AATAAGTACTACTCCTAAACCGATAATATTCGAGGATATATCTATACAATCAGCACAATACTAGCGCCCGTAAATAAGTTTAAGTTCTTTCTTACTAATAACTAGGATCAGAAATAGCGTGACACGTACCACTTATCCTTCTAGGAAGCTCTGATTCTATATCAAGAATAGCTTTTAGCCCTTAATTAGTCACTAGATAGCTCTCAAATGATAGCTCGGCTAGGATCGAAGCTTAATACGATGCTAGATAGGAGTAATACCTAGGGAAGTATAGCTACTAATAAAATGACTCGTTATCTTGATAGTGGTACGTTTAAGCTAAGCCTTTCAGAATTCTAACTAACTTCGGATTAGATCCTATTCAAATTGCTCCTCTTACGTTCTAGCGAGAGAACTAAGCGCGATTCCTAGCAATTGCTGCTCTTACGCGTAATATCCTCTCTTTCCCTACAACCGGGGTAGGCGTTAAACGGCTATTTAATACTACTCGGGATATCTGCTATTACCGTCGAGGAAGAATAAAGTCTCATACAATCGAGGATTTAATGATATTTCTTTGCACCTCAAGGTTTGACATAGAAGAACAAGAGGCGAGACTTCTTAAGAAGTTCTTCTCTCATGATAAGCTAGAAGTAGCAAAAGAAGAGAAGGATAATAACCTCGACGACATTGAGATCGAGCCAATCAGTGATACCGAGGAATAGGAGACTTTAATTGATAAGGAGACAGAGCTAGATAAAGCTTTATTGACTGTATTTAAAGGGCCGACTATACGTAAACCCTAGGTGCCATTGCTAGTGAATAACACCCAAGTACGTGCGTCAGGACGGAAGCGAAAGAATTGCGATAATGATATATTCGAGTACTATTAGTTAGTTAATCGATTAAAGCTCTCTAATTCATAGATCTTCAAAAAAGCCTCGAAATAACCCTATATTCTGACGGCCGTCAAAAAAACTAGCAATATAGCTTAATAACCCTATTTTCTGACGGCCGTCAGAATTGTAGCCCTATAGCCTCAGGAATCTATTAAACGTACAATTAAATTAAACAGTGATTATAGAAAGAGGCCTTGCTTACAAGTCAAATACCCAAAAATACAGCCAAAAACTACACAAGTTATGTAGTCACGAGTCTTGACATGTTTGCATTATTTATGAACCCAGCTAGGGGCCCGGGCCCAGCACTGGGCCAGAAATCCCGACCCGGGCCCAGTACTGGGTTGGAGAACCCGGCCCAGAACCCAACCCAGCCCGGGTTGGGCCCGGGTTGGGCCCGGGTTGAGCTGGGTTCTGCGGAAGTCTACTCCGTATATCATTTTTAAGGGTAAAGTCCTTATTAAATCTTGGCTCGACGGCCTTCCGCTTGATTAGAGACTTGATATTAGTTCGAATAGGTAGACTTCCGACGAAATTAGCCTTCGGTGGCTTCAAAAGTAGTTTATTCCGTCTACTTTTTCGCGTACGAAAGGGAAGTATAGACTTTTGATACTCGACGGCCACGGAAGTTATTTAACCGCGAAATTCGACGAAATTTGCGAGAAGAACAATATTATCGCAATTTGTATGCCTCCGCACTCGTCTCACCTTTTATAGCCTCTCGATATTGGCTGTTTTGCGGGGTTAAAGCGCGCGTACGGTCGGTTAGTCGAATCGAAAGTACGGCTAATTATTAATCACGTCGATAAACTAGAATTCCTCGAAGCCTACCCGTCTGCCCGAAACGAGATATTTCAATCAAAGACTATTAAAAATAGCTTCGCCGCTACCGGTCTAATACCGTATAACCCCGATCGAGTGATTTCAAAGCTTAATATTTAGCTTCGAACCCCGACACCCCCCTCGAGCCGGGGAAGCGAGTGGTCGCCGAAAACGCCCTCGAACTACGTTCAATTACAAAAACAAGCTTCTTCAATAAAAGCCTTACTTAAACAACGCTCAAAAAGCCTACCGAGTCCGCTAAATTCCGCGATTAATTAGGTTTTAAAAGCCTATCAAAGCACGATACAATCAGTTGCCTTACTCGAGAAAGAAGTAAGCGATTTACGCGCTAAAAACGAGAAGAAGAAGCGAAAAAGGACTCGTTCTACAAGGCAAATACCCTCCGGAGAAGGCCTCTCAGTTTTAGAGGCCTCTACTCTAATAGCGCAGTCAGAGCAAGCAGTTTTAGCACCGTTACCCCGCGAGGCAGAGCTAGCTCCGACACCTTCTTAGCCACGTACGAGAGCCTTACCGAAGTGTAGCGTTTGTGGAATTCAGGGTCATAGAATGGCTACATGTCCTGATAGATCTCGAGTTTAATTCATTGAATTTAATAGCGTTTTGGTTGAGATAAATGCATTTAAAATTGATTGATTAGGTGGGGTGTCCAGCTCGCTTATGTGTCCAGCTCGCATGTGAATTACGTTAAGGAATAATGCTGATCTTATTAATAAGATTAATTTCCCAAGAGGAGAGTCCTTCTCTAGATAGCTTTGACCTTTTATACTACAGATACATACTCTAGCAAAAGTTTCCATACACTTTCCATGTTCCCACCTTTTAACTCCGTAAATATCATAACTTTCAAAATATACTCTCACCAATCAGGCAATCTTTTATACCAAATGATTTAAAAGTGGAACGAATTAGGGTATTCGATTTTTGGAGCCGCGTCCTTCGGTGTAGAAAAATCGGTGAAATATTTTAACTATAACGAACACAGTGGTGACAAAGACTATCCGTTATACATACCTATTAATTCCTTTGTCAAACCATGTTAATCTGGTGCTGTCTAAATGGTATCGTAATGACTATGCAGGCGGTTCTTTCCAGTCGAAACAAGAACTCGTGGTCCGTACGCCTGGTCATGCCCCAGTACAGAACTTTGAGCGGTGCTTGATGCATCGAGAGTGCTCCAGTCCTACATGTAAATCACATGAGCCACAATCCAGTAGCCCAGTAACCCCAAAACCCGTACAAATGTGAGGCTGAATGCTTGCCAGACACCCAGTACAAAATAATTGATCTCTCTACCAATGTCATTATGCAAATCGTCTTCCTTGTCCTTCGACAACTCACAATATAGGTTCACAACCGCAAACAACGATAGATGAGCTATTAGGACCTGGGAGGGGGTAGCCCCTCCCGGAGCTACTCCCTGAGCGGTCTGAATGCGATGAGGCAGTAGATAATAGTGTGCAGAGGGAGAATCGCATGAAGTCAGTGATGCGAATAGACCAAGATCAGCCGTACTTTATCTGGAGGCCATTTTCTCCGGATCAAAGCAGAGGGGCAGTTAGGAATAATGGCATCGTGGATCTTGAGATGCTGTCGAGCCATTGGAAGCTTCCTCTCCAGACAACCTTCAGGCCAGGCTGAAGATCTCCTCGAGGAGCCCATCATGATTGTCAACATGATCCATAAGATGTTCCGCTCATTGCATATCTGCTAGAGATGGCCCATACGCCACAAATATGCCTGTCCCTTCAACAAACAGTTTGATCCACCGAAGGCGTCACGGTTGCTACAATACGATAGTCTCCGCCAATGGTTCACCTAAGGCAGACTGAACACCCTGGCGTGGATATGCTCTGTTGATCTCGACGACTCAAATAGCCAAATATAAGATATAATGGCGTGGTAAGGTACGGGAATAATCTCTGCACTTTTGACGGCAGCTGGCAGTGATGTATCGTAGCTCATCGTCATCCAAGCCGATACGCGGGTTCTTTTCTCTTCGCTGAAGTGAGGCGACACGGCTCCGCAACTGCTGGACATACCATGCCTCATACTTGGAATTGGCTTGTAGTCCTGTATCGTATCCGTAAACAATGGTAGAGAACCCACTGGAAGGGCGGAGGGGTTAGTCCTTGGCAGAGTGAATACAATGAGGGAGACGCCATGTTCTTTGGACCCAAACCAGAGGAGTCATTAGGCTTGATGGTATTGTGCATTGCAATGGCGTCGAGCTATCGGGGACGTCCAGATTCAAGCACAGGCGCCAGAGGGCTCCGCTATATCATAGACAGCTGAGATGCTGAGAAATCAAAGCTCTATTCCGAGATAGGACTTGAGCGGAGGTCAATAAACGAGTGAGAAACAAGTGTAGCGAGGGATATTTTAACTTCTTGATGGCGTCTTTCGGCATCATTCGACGCAAGTCCTCAGATCAACAGCATCATATACAAATGGTCAGAAGTCCTTTGACCCCATCACCTTTATATGATCTAATTGATCCACACGAGGCACTTGAAAGAGGTGAGGAAAGAGAAGCCAAGTTAGGACTCAAACAGTACGTGAAAAGTACACTCACTGCGAGGACTGCATAAAGAAATTGTTGAATAACTCAAAGCACTGTCAACAGACCGATGGCCCTGTAGTAAATGGGTGTCTAGGTATGTCAGTATTCCATCGTGATGAGCGTCGGATCGGGGAGCAGGAAGCGTTTTAATTGGATCGGGTCTCGAGATGTGTAGCACTCAGTCAACTGAAGGACTTAGAAATAACGGGCACACGTGTTGTAGTGAAAAATCCCCAATCTGAAGCATTCTGTTCGTCTCGAAGTACTCCCAAAAGGCTTTCACATGATGCGGACTTCGTAGACGGGAATCTCTTCAGCCTATTCATACGTGAGAACCAGATCTTCAAGATTTGGATTCCATGGCTGATAAGAATCACTGTCCGTGCGAACCAAAATCCGGCTTGAGGCCGATGAGATCGAATCCTAATTTTCGACTTGCTAGCTTCGGCGATGCCAATATACTTTCGGCTGGTAAACAGAACCACGAATGTGCCCTTATGCATGCGTTAAACTAGTTTGCAAAAAAACCCCCTGGTGAGGTATAGCTCATGACTACGTTTGTGGGCCCAGGAGAAGTGCAAGCCAAGATATTGCCGTATGAGAGGGTCTACGTAGGGTAAGTTGCAACAAAGATAGAACATGAATGGACTACTACCCTTGAATTTTGGGAATCATGCCTAAGACTGGTGCGCAGCTAAAAGTTCCACGCCAGTTTAAATCTGCCATACACGTTATGAACTTTTTTCTTTTCCTAATGACCAGAAGACAACGATCTGCCTCGGCTGACCAATACGTGACACCACTTCAAATGACATAACATTTAAACATTCTCGAGGACCTGCTCCTTGAACTCCCGCTCCACCTTCTGGCCCTTGTCGTCAGTCGCGGACTCTCCGTGGAGAGCAAGAAGAGCACCAAGGTCAAACTTGGGGGACTTGAGGAGCTTGACCTTGCGAATGTGGACCTGTGGATAAACATGTTAGCAGTTAAAACCGTAATAATCGGTCAGGGGATACCAACATTCTGCAGGGGGTAGATGCCCTGGGTGGACTTCTCGATCTCACGGCCAATGACCTCGGGAATGAGCTTGTGGGTGAGCTGAGAGAGAGTGCAGCTAGAGGCCTCACGCTGCATGATCTCGGTCATCTTCTTGCGAATGGCGCGGATCTGAGAAGAACGGGCGTAGGTGGTCTTCTTGATCTGGTTGGGGCGTCTCTTGGTGAAGGCAATGGCGAACAGGCGGATGAGATAGTCGTCAGTAGTCTTCACAGTGACGTTGGCCTCGATCAGAGACTGCCACTTGCGGACAAGGGAACGGAGCTTGTCGGTGGTGAAGTCCAAGCCGTGGAAGTTGGTCAAGCAGTTCTTGCCCTGGATCTCATCAACACGGAGCTTCACCTTGCGGAAAGCGTGATCCTCGTCATTCTGGAGATCGGCCAGGGAGACCTCGAAGATACGGCCCTTCAGCGAGTCGTTGGCGTTCTTCAGACCGCTGGTGCGGTTGACCAGAGTCTTGCCGACACTAAAGAGTTCATTAGCAAATCCGAACCAACACCTTCTCTTCTTCGTCGGGGTCGGGCTAAGATGCATACTCGCGGGTCTGGAAGGTGGAGGGAGCCTGGCGAGCATGGTTAGTAGTGTAACAAGACAGCAATGCCTGGTAGACTCGACTTACCTTCACGGAGTACTCGTCCTTGCGGGTGAAGGGGTCGACTGTTCTCTTCTTGATACCCTTCTTACCCTTAGAAAGGCGCTTGTTCCTAAACGACAAATATTAGCGCTGGATTCGTGCGAAGTGTGGTGAAGTCGTCAAGGCGCAAGTGTAATTGAAAGCATTAAAAAGAAGGAAGCAGGATGGAAGCTTACTTTCCAACAGCCATGATTGCGAGTCGTATCTGTGTGTTGTTGGAAGACAGACAAAAGGTATCGCACCACGCGCTCAGAGGGTTTCGACACTGCTCGGCGAGAGGGTTGAAAACCCACAGAAAACTCGGCTAAGCGAGACGCGGGCCCTAGTCCCAGATTACATCAGCAATCATGTGACCGAACATTTAAAAAAATCATTGGAATTGTCTGCGGAGTAGCCCAGTGGATATGAGTGACTTCGTTAATTGGCTGGCTATTGCCCTATTGCCTCATATATGTTACTCTTTAGTGCTCTTTTAGTGTAGCGTGTATATATTTAACATGGAGTAGAGGTGTGAATCAATTGTCGATTACTGTATATCAAGTGCAGATCAAGTGACCCATCTCTTTCAAACCAGTCAAATATGTTTGAATTTCAAGTAGGCCATCTCATGTGCGCTCACATGATCTGGTGGGAATTGCCACCAAACTGACATCACAGGACGGACATCGGATGATCAATATTCCCGCTCCGATTTGGGTAAGTCTCCTTAGGCTATACACTTGCTCCGCACGAGTTCCCTACTTTCCCCCACAGCTTCATCAATCTCACTTTCATCCCTCTGCAACACGGTTTGAGTGACAGAGACTTAGCTGCAGCATGGTATGTACTCGCTTAATGTCCCAGAAACCTTGCAGCCGGGAACAGATGCTGACTCTAGAACAGGGCAAGCGCAAGAAGTCAAGCCGGACACCCCAAGGGCCTCGAAAGGTGATTGAACCGCGCATTTCCCAACAATATACCAGAAACTGACACTTGCAACCAGCGGGACCCTCTACCCACCGCCTTCTCCTGTCTTTTCTGCAACCATGAGAATTCAGTCGTGGTCAAACTAGACAAGAAATTAGGCCTAGGTGATCTTTCATGTAAAGTTTGCGGCCAAAAGTTTCAAACGGGCATCAATTGTAAGTCGCGCACTACTTGGCTAGATCATCGCGCCTAACATCATGGCTTTTTAGACCTATCCGCTCCCGTCGACGTTTATTCAGATTGGGTGGATGCATGCGACGCAGTTGCCAAGGATACTGCCAACCAGTACGAAGCATCCAGCGCCACACTGGGGCATCGCGGGACAAGCAAAGAGGATATCCCAGAAGAGACAGTACATGGCGATGCTTATGCTGATGATGATTACTGATTGTGCGATGAGGCGAACGGCGCAAAAGGAACGATACCAACAACAATCGATTTTATGAGCTACTTGTATGACAAAGAACTAGATCCCATTTTTCTAATTGTATGTGCTCATACATTTCCCTTTTCCAGAAAATATCCGCACCCATACAGACCTACGCTACAATCCAGTCTAACCCGGAGACTTGTATGGGGGGAACTCAATGTCGAGGTGGTCTGTAACAGCACCCATGGAAAATGCCCTGACAGATGTTTCTGCATAATTTTGTCCTGGTCACAGATTGCAATTGTCATGGATAATGACACACCTTACAGAGTATAGTATCTGTCGCCAAAGTCACCCAATCCGGGGATGATGTATCTACCAATCAATCAGCATGAAAATCACAATTGTTCTCTCAATGGTCTTACTTTTTCTCATCCAACCCTTGGTCGACAAAAGCGGTGACGACCCGAAGCTTGGGGAACCTTTCAGCAAACTCAGCAACACCAGATGGGCTGGCAATCAGGTTCAAAAAGAGGATCCGGTGCTCTGGAACTCCTCTTTCCTTCAGTGTCTCCACGGCAAGAGTTGCAGAACCGCCTGAGATCAGATCAGTTTGGTTTCCAGGGCCATTGGACCCAGAGGGCCAACTCACCAGTTGCAAACATTGGATCTAGGAGAAGGACCCAACGCTCAGTAATGTCAGCAGGCAACTTATCGTAGAAGAGCTTAGGCATGCATGTCTCCTCATCACGCTGAATAAGAATCTTGCCGATACGAACAGACCGACAGCAGTCCCGTAGTCCTTGTTCCATAGCCTCACCTGCCCTCATAATGGACACCCCGCAGATCTTTCCTTCGAATTTGACACCCAGGTAAGCCCGCCCAACGGGGGTGGTGACAGACTGCTCAACAACGGGAAGGTGGTTGAGTCCCTCTTCTACAAGCAATCGAATAATGCGATTTGAGTAAAAGATAAAATCGGCACGAGCTGTCCTCTTGTCTCGGATCATTCTGTTTGGTACATATGAGTCTATACTCCAACTGCAGAAAATGGGGTTGCCTCACGTTAACAAAGCAATCAACTGGGGAGTTTGAGGTAACACATGGACATTCTCATAGGATACAGCCTTTGAGACAGTCGCAGTGGGCTTTTCACCATCAGGGCGGTACATAGGACCAACACCCTGCGCAGGAGATGGAGCCGATTCTGGTTTGCTGGCCATAGTATCGGTTGCAGGTAGCAGGGTTTAGGGATTCAGAAAAGTTTGTATAAAGAGATTGAAACCCCGTAGATAAAAATCAGCTGAAGACACTAAAAAGTGAAAAGAAAGAGAAAACAGAGAGAGAAAAGTCGAGGAGAGCGGGGAACTCGGGATTTCTTATCTTTTATATCGCAGGGAAGCTATGCCGCCGTGGGTGATTCTGCCCCATCTCCTCCGCCTCTTATCACTTGCATTCTCCGCTTCCTCCAACTTGCCTTGCTTAGCTCTTCTTTCGATACTACGCCACGGCTCCCTTTGAGCTTGCGCCAGCTCTGTCTTCACATTGCAAAGAAATGGCTTCTCAAGACACACTTGCACGTTCTTTGGCCCATTAGCTCGACTTGCTTGCCGTCCCTTGAGCGTCTCTGAATACCACATTTGACCCAGTTTGATCGACGCGACAACATTTGCGATAACACCTGCGCATCAAAGCGCCAGCAGGCCCTAGATTTACTGCACCAAGAGCCGAAAATGGAGAACTCGCGCCCCTGGAATCGAAGGCCCATAACCTATGGATCCGCTGCTAGGAGTCAAACTCGTCCGGACATTGCCAAATTTACGCGCCCCTCTCCCGCCAAAAGAACCTCCAAAGAAGGGCCCTCGCCAAGTAATTCGCGTGCCTCGCAATTGATCAACACCAAATTACAGCGTAACAAGAATGGGAACAAGAAACCAGCCGGATCCACCAATGAAACAAATATGGACGCTCTTGCTCAATCACAGGCTGACCAAGAACCCGATGTATATGACTTTCCATCCTCAGATGAAGCGCAAAATCTCGTCGGTCGGCGAAAGCGAAGGCGTCACAATACCGAAGACAAAGAAGTCCCTGCGCCTCTTCAATCTACAGCATTCAATTCTACCACTGATGGAAGATCAGAAGTGGTAGACAGCGGAGAAGGTATTGTGTCCAACCCGGCGGTGAAGAATGTGCGAGATCGCCGGAGGCCATTGATCAAAACTCACGAGACTCATTTTAAGAGCTCAATCACTTACTCCGGTGGCAATAAGTCAATATTGCAACAAACGAATGAGATCTCTGCTTCTGGAAATCCGGGGTTTGGGAAACTCTCTTCACGAGAGAGAGATCTTGAGCCCACTGAGACTTCAAAACCACGCAGGCCGGTGCCGAATACCCACAAGGCCTCAGCTATTCCCACCGAGAATGTTACTCCCGGCAGAAGGAGGCTTATTGATTCGTTGGGAATTACAGACTCTCCGATTGAAACATCACCAAAGAGTCCTGCCGAAAGCCAGCCAACTCCAAACCGGGCTTCTCACAATGTCCATGTGAACGAGGTGCCTGTGAATGACTGTCAACCTGGGACCCCTGCCCTCGTACCATCCCATCTAAGAGGATCCCAGATCACCTATGCACGCCAACGGTCCTTCCTTGATGATATCTTCATGACAGATGAACTTCCCACGACAAACCTTATTCCTGAATTGGAAACCCCTTCTAAGTCAGTCCAGCGTCAGCTGAAATATGATGCTCCTCCGATGGCTCGTTTGATTGTGGCCGATGAGGAAACCAATGAAGATGGATCTGTTCGAAGTATCCATGAACTCAGACAGGCGGGTGGAAATGCTCGGTACCGAGGTGCTGTCGAGTCCATATTTGAAGATATCGAAGATCCTCAAAACTCGTTGTCAGGTCGATGCAACGCCTTTGTCCAACTTTGTAGCAAGCTCCTGGATACTGGAGCGCGAAACCGATTTGTCGAGTGCAATTTTGACAAAAGACTCGTCGATTGTCTTTCGATTGAACTTCAGGTCGTCCCTGCTATCCTGGCCTTCTGTGCATACGCCCTGGCATCGTCGGATGGAAATTTGTCCTATGTGCTTGCTACTGCTGCGTGGCCTAAGCTTCTGGACACATCATACATTCTGTTGGACGTTCATGATGATATATCAGTGGCGACAAAGGCTCAAGCTGGCGACCTATCTCGACCCTTGCAGAAGACCATTCAAAATATTGTCCCACAGGTGTCTTCGGTGCTATTCCCCAAGCCTGCATTACCAAAGCTTACTCCATGTATTTTGGCATTGTATTGCATGAAGTCGACCATCTCGACCCTACAAACCAAAGGCGAAAGCCCTAGTCTTTCCACTTCTCTTCTCAAATTATTGGTTGAGATGGTCTCATCTGAAAGCTCGCGCTGTGTCTCTCAGAAGACCATATCAACCGAGACATCTCAATTTTTGGGACTAGGCTTCTCAATTCTGGAAGCGTCGACTGCATCATCCGTGTTCAAAGATGAACATCAGGATCAGCTTGGTTCACTTTCCAGTCTCCACAGCCTGCTCTATCTCAAGAGCTCACACGCCGACCGCGTTAGCCAAAAAATCAAGCCTCTCTATATCCGGGTGATCTTGAATGTCACCAATAGCGACATTCTGCTTTGCGATAAATTTGCGAATCCAGAGTTGGTGGGAGGGTTGGTCGATGTGGTCTTGGCAAATTTTGGTGACCTGACAGAAGATGCTCTTGGTCAGGAAAACAACTCCCTGGACAGTGTAATATTAGCTCTGGGTGCTCTGACCAACCTGTCTGAACGAAGTCAAGAGTCAAGGTCGATTTTCCTCAGGCCCGTTGGCTCCACGAATTCTTTTCTTGACCGGCTCCTACGTCTATTCATCACCAATGTCGATTCTATCTCCACGGTAAGCGTTTCAGTCGCGTTTGCGTTCTGGCTTAGGCTAACTCTACCTACTTAGGCTCATTCGGTCTTGGAGGTACACCATAATGTTGCTGTGGGATATTTGGCAGTCCTTCTTCTGACACTCTGTCTGGACAGCAGTGCTCGTTTGCAGATCAAGAGCTCGTTTGTTCCAAACGGGCTGTTAGCAGTGACCTCGACTGTTGATGAATTTCTCCAATACCACCAAAAGATTGAAGAGGAACTTTACCAATTCCCGACCAAGGGACAATCAGCGAGTGGATTCCTGTCCAGGCTACAGGAACTTGTGGCTCAGGTTCGACAGGTCGATTTATGATGGACATGTTATACCGGTAAGACGGCGCATATGTGCGCGCCTGGCCCTGTTCCTATCTTAAATTATTTTCAACTGATGGCGTTGAGTGGATGGTCTGCTGGAATTCCTTGATACCCCTGTTCTATCTCTATCATCTGTAATTGAAATGAATTATTTGTTCTAGGAAATCTCATATTTGATTTGGATTCTTGATCAATTGATATTCCAGAAAGATCACGATCACCTATATCACTCATCGTAACAAAACCTAGTTAACGCTCTTTGAAAGAGAGAGGTTCCAATACTTGAGTCATTGTAGAAAAGAGTTGGAGAAATGACTGTTTGCACTGTTTGCAGGGCTCAAGGAATTGGAGCTCCGCATGCATCGAGGGGGATTTGCCACCTCGCAACGTTCACTTTTCACAACAAGTGCTATTGTCTTTGAATTGCCGTGGATTGAAATCTAGGACATTAGTTTTTACCCTCTACGCTTCCACGGACCTTCTCTCATTCTCACTGCTCTACACCATGCCTGCTGCACCCAAACAGAGGAAGATCGCCATTGTTGGTAGTCGCTCCGTGGGTAAGAACTACTTAGTTACAATGCAGTTCTATGTTTTCTGAGCAGATCTAACATACATTCGCGTCTCCCAGGCAAATCGTCACTCACGGTCCGCTTTGTCGAGCATCACTTTGTCGAAAGCTATTACCCTACCATTGAGAACACTTTCAGCCGAATTATCAAACACAACGGCCAAGACTATGCGACTGAGATCGTTGATACTGCAGGACAGGTAGATTAAATTTGTGTGAGGTTATTGCCGACCTTTTGACTAAGAACTTCACAGGACGAATACAGCATCTTGAACTCGAAACATTTCATTGGAATCCATGGATATATCATTGTCTATTCAGTCACATCCCGCCAGTCTTTTGAGATGGTGCGAGTAATTCGAGACAAGATTTTGAATCACCTGGTAAGCCACTGCTTTTCTGGTTTATGCCAACCCTTACTAAGAATTACTCTCCCAGGGGGCGGATGAAGTACCTCTTGTTGTTGTAGGCAACAAGAGTGATCTCAAGCCCGAACAGCGCCAGGTATCTCTTGATGAGGGTCGCCAATTAGCAGAGGAGGTCAACTGTGCCTTCACTGAGGCTAGTGCCTTCCTTGATTTCAACGTGACCAAGGCTTTTGATCTTATGATTGGAGAGGTTGAGAAGACCTCAAATCCCTCACAACCCACAGGAGGAAACAAATGTACCTTGATGTGATACTAAAGCGTGTTTTGTCCGGAGATGGTAAGTGAAGCAGTCTGAGAACAACCTAAGTTATTTTTCTCCATGAATTTGTGATATTATTTTACCATATCTGGCTGCAATTGACCTCTTAATCTCGGTTCATATTGGCTGATTGTTTAAAACAGGATTTGTGCTATTGATTCATCTTTATGGCTCTGTTTGAATCCCTTATTTTGGTTGCCTTTTCTTTGGCCCTTTGTCTATGTTTCTGGAATTGGTGGATTTTTGGGGGCTTTTGCATGAATAATGAGCTTAAGGTGTAGGGAACATGGATCAGCACCATGCATAGAGTAATGAACTAAATACAGGGCAATGTCAAGCCCGCAGACTGTAGACATTAACATTTGTTCACTGGAAATAGAGGCTTAGATCGCTATGTCGATTAAGTAATCCGCCACATCAACCCAAGAGTGCGTGGAGACACGCACTGGGGATTTTCCTCTTTGCCCCTCCGCACATTGAGTCACCCCTCAATCATCAAACTCAACACCAATCGTCAACATGCTCGACCTTTCCGACTTTGTCACCGAGCGCGGTGGTGATATCAAGAAGATCAAGGAGAGCCAGCAGAAACGTTTTGCTCCCGAGGAAACTGTTGATGAAGTGATTGCACTCTACGAGGAAGCCCGCCGGGGTATGGCTATCATTGTTCTCTCCACGGTCATTGCTGACATATTCCAGCGCGTTATGAAGTGACACAGATCGGATCCCAGCTCAATGCGCTCCAGAAGGAGATTGGAATGAAGAAGAAGGTTATTATGCGCCAACCTCGGGATCGCGACTGAATGCTTACACAGCGCCAATTAGAACAAGGAAGACGCAAATGAACTGTTCGGACAAAAGGCCGAGCTGGAGAAGCGCAAGAAGCAGGCAGAGGAAGCTGCAGTTGACAAGGAAGTGCAACGAGACCGAAAGATCCGCACCATTGGAAACTATGTTCATGAATCAGTGCCCGTGAGCAACGATGAGGTATGGTTTTGGCTTGGATTGTAATATTTTATGCGCTTGCATAACTGACCAGTGACCTTTCGGCCATAGGAAGATAACCAGGTGATCAGGACATGGGCTCCAGAGAATGCCCAAATGGACAGGCCAGGTTGCCTTTCCCACCACGAAGTCCTCACCCGTCTTGATGGATATGACCCTGAACGTGGTGTGAAGATTGTTGGCCACCGTGGGTACTGCTTGACTGGCTACGGTCTTTTCCTCAACCTGGCTCTGATCAACTACGGCCTGGAGTTCCTCTTCAACAAGGGCTACAAGCCCAACCAGCCCCCGCAATTCATGCTTCGCGATCTCATGGCGAAGACTGCCCAACTGGAGCAATTCGACGAGGAGCTGTACAAGGTCACCGAGAGCGAGGACAAAACCACCGACAAGTACCTCATTGCCACTTCTGAACAGCCTTTATCTGCTCTGCATGATAGCGAGTGGTTGCAAGACAAGGACCTTCCTATCAAGTAAGATGCCCGTCTTTCTTGTCCTTGTTGTGTTGCTAAATGAGAAAACAGGTATGCCGGTTACAGTACATGCTACCGCAAAGAGGCAGGATCCCACGGCAAGGATGCTTGGGGTATCTTCCGTGTCCACCAGTTTGAAAAGGTAAGATCAATTTCAAGTGTCCCACATGAGCATCCGTATACTTATACCCAGGTTAGATCGAGCAATTTGTTCTCACAAAGCCAGAGGATTCTTGGCAAGCCTTTGAGGACATGATGAGCACCTCCGAGGAATTTTACCAATCCTTGGGACTTCCATACAACATTGTTGCCATTGTCTCTGGTGCCTTGAACAACGCAGCCGCCAAGAAGTACGACTTAGAGGCCTGGTTCCCCTTCCAAAAGGAGTACAAGGAGCTTGTCTCTTGCTCCAACTGTACTGACTACCAGTCCCGAGCCTTGGAGATCCGTTACGGTACCAAGAAGGCCACTGATTTGAAGAAGACCTATGTCCACGCGCTTAACGCTACTCTGTGTGCAACCGAGCGAACCCTCTGCTGTGTGCTGGAGAACTACCAAAGAGAAGATGTAAGTGCTTCCCCCGACTTTGGCAACGATGATATCTAACTGAGAGTCTAGGGCATTGTGGTCCCAGAGCCCCTCCGGAAGTACATTCCCGGTGCACCGGAATTCCTTCCTTATACCAAGGATCTCCCCAAGGATAGCACCTCCACAAAGACCAAGAGCAAGTCCAAGGGCACCGATGATGCCACCAAAAAGATGCAAGGCCTCCAGGTGTAGACTGGGAGCACGTGATTGAAATATTACCCCAAAGGGCAACTATCACCTGATTGGCTGAAAATTAGAAAAGAAGCAAAAAAAAAAAAAAAAAAGAAAGATTTGCCCCGCGAACATACCCCTCCAAGATTTTGAAGACGTCGACAAGTACTACATTATCTCTATACTTTAGGTACATATTGAAATAGTCTCTTTCAGTCATCTTTCTTAGTTCATCCCTATGATCTTCCTTAAATTATATGGATCCCCGAGTCTTCAATCCCGATTTGCAACGGGATTTGCAATAGGGTTCCGATTCCGGAGGCTTACTTAATTGCTAATTAAGAGTCATAAGGTAGTTCACCTCTTCCTTTCGCTCCCAAGGTTGTTTCTCCCCTACAATCATCCCACCCTCAATTATGACTTCCGCAAGAGATATTCGTCCTCGCCAGGACGACTTTGCCCAGCAACATCTTTCAGCTTCGCCCAACGCCTCCTTCCATTCCCCATCCAGCCATGGCTCTGCTCTGGGCCGTACCGTTCCTCTGGTCAATGCAAAGCATTTGAAGCCATTCGCCACACAAGACATCAAGGTATTGCTCCTGGAGAATGTGAACCAGACTGGCCGCGAGATCCTGTCCCAGCAGGGTTACCAGGTGGAATACCTCAAGTCTTCCCTGCCGGAGGACCAACTCATTGAGAAGATCCGGTGCGTTAATATGTGGATCGACAATCAGCGCGGTGGCTAATTAGTGGTTATGTAGGGATGTGCATGTCATTGGTATTCGTTCAAAGACGAAGCTGACTGCGCGCGTTCTGAAGGAGGCAAAGAACCTGATTGTCATTGGCTGCTTCTGTATTGGCACCAACCAGGTTGACCTTCAATATGCTGCTGATAACGGTATTGCTGTTTTCAACTCCCCCTTCAGCAACTCTCGCAGTGTTGCCGAGCTCGTCATTGGTGAGATCATTATGCTTGCGCGCCAGCTTGGCGACCGCTCCAACGAGATGCACAACGGCACTTGGAACAAGGTGAGCAACGGATGCTGGGAAATCAGAGGAAAGACTTTAGGTATGTCATGGATATTTTGAATTCATTAAGCATCTTACTCATATCTCCTTTCTAGGAATCATTGGTTATGGTCACATTGGTGCCCAGCTGTCAGTTTTGGCCGAGGCAATGGGAATGTCCGTTATCTACTTCGATGTGCTCAACATCATGTCGCTCGGAACTGCCCGCCAGGTGGAGACCTTGGAGGAGCTTCTGGGCCAGGCTGATTACATTACTTGCCATGTGCCCGAGATCCCCGAGACCAAGGGTATGATTGGACAGACGCAATTTGAACAGATGAAGACCGGCAGCTATTTGATCAATGCTAGCCGTGGAACTGTTGTGGATATTCCTGCCCTCATCGATGCTATGCGGAGCGGAAAGGTTGCCGGTGCTGCCCTGGATGTGTATCCCAATGAGCCTGCTGGAAACGGTGACTACTTCAACAATGAGCTGAACACCTGGGGAGCCGATCTGCGTTCGCTGAAGAACTTGATTTTGACCCCACACATCGGAGGTAGCACTGATGAGGCCCAGAAGGCTATTGGTGTTGAAGTTGCTCAGGCTCTGGTTAGATACGTCAACGAGGGTTCGACATTGGGTGCTGTCAACCTGCCCGAGGTTGTTCTTCGTTCTTTGACCATGGATGAGCCCAACCATGCTCGCGTAAGTGGCACCGTACCGGAGACCTTGATACTTTTAAAACTGACATACCACTCAAGGTTATCTACATTCACAAGAACATTCCTGGAGTGTTGCGAAAGGGTATGTGCATCACCCCATCGGTATGAAATGACACGGCTAACATAGTGCAGTCAACGAGATTATTGGAGACCACAACGTTGACAAGCAGATGACCGACAGCAGAGGCGATGTGAGTTTACCTCTTCAAAGCTTTGAACTGCCAAAGCTAACTATATCTAGGTTGCCTACTTGATGGCTGATATCAGCAATGTGGACACTGCTACCATCAAGGATTTGTACACCAGCTTCGAAAGCCTCCCCTGTAAGATTCCTGCTTCAATTTTGTATCATTCAAAGCTAACAATTCATCAGCTCGCATCATGACCCGCATTCTGTATTAGAGGGTCTTTCTCTGAACAAGCTAGCCTCCAGGCTGTGATGCTTTAATCAGCTTAAGACACTGGAGCCCTGTCCCTGGGTTCACTTCCGGTTGCAATGGGTTACTCTCAACGAGGGCCCTGGGAGAAAACAATTTCAATCCACATGAGGATCTTGGTCTTGGGTACGGCACAAAGGCCGTTGGAATGTACACTGCGACCATAATTTTGCCAATTACTAGACAAAAGTCATGACATGAACGTTATTCATTTCTATACGCAGTTCTCGCAGTGAGTGTACTTTTCATGCATTGTTTGAACCCTTACTTAGCTTTTATTTTTTTCACATTCGTTTTTCACCCCTTCTTTGCCCATTTTTGAGTGCCTCGGTTGGATCAATTAAATCATATACTGGTGGGGGTCGTAAAAAGACTCAAGGTCATTGTTGTAAACAAAAGTCATGACATGAACATTTTTCATTTCTATCGATCATAAAATTTTTATCGGCAATTAGAATACAAGCACAAGTAGGATGATCAGCCGCGACTCCCATCCCTGTAGCTAGGACTACGGCTCCTCCTTCTCGGTTCCCGGCGGTAATCATGTCGATTGTTTGAACGCCAGTCGGGGTTGGCGCTGGAGTCTCGCGCACGATCAGGGGCGTTACCATAGTTTGGAACATAGGAGTCGGTGTTCCCCGGTCTGGTTCCTGGTCGGCCCTGGCCATATCGATCTCGCCGTTGGTCATCTCTTCCGTCAGGTCTGTTGGCTTGGGTCCCATCCCATGGCGGGTGAGCGGGAACCGGGGGACGCGGGGGCAATCCGGTATCTCTTTGCGACGGTGGGAAAGGCCCACGGCGTTGGGCATTTCCGTGGCCCGGAGCATTTGGTCTGCCTCGGGCACCGCCGGGAATGCGACTGTTTCTGGAATCTGGTCCGCGAGAGCCAGAGCTCCCCCAGCCACTGTTTGACTGAGTATCGCCTGAACCAACGGCAGGAACAGGAGGCACTGGTGCTCGCTGACTGCGGAACTTCTTTCGATCAAGTTCATGTGAGTCTGAGAACTGAGGAATATCTCCAGGTCGTGCTGGGAGCGGAGGAGTGGTAAAGTAAGGATGCTTCAATGCATCAATGGCGTTGATTCGTTTCCGCCAGTCAAGTTTGAGAAGCTCCCCTAGAAGGGATATTGCTGTTGGACTCAGGCTATTGGCCAAATGGTAAGTTTCATTCAGATAGGAGTGGTATAGAAGACATACTCCTTGAAATAATCCGCAAGGTTCCCGCGCTTAAATCCAAAGTTCTTCACGCCCTCGCAACCTGGGAGCAAACTCCATCCAGGCATATTTTCCTCGGTGGGAGTGCCCACAAGACTGAAAATTAACTGCGCTTGGTTGAGGTCGCTGTTGCCCATGAGTATAGGCTTCCCTTTGAACATCTCGCCAAACACACAGCTGAAAAGATGGTTAGGAACCGAAAGGACCATTTGCTTCTGACAAAGACATACCCAACTCCCCACAGATCAATGGCAGTGGTGTAGCGTTTCAATTGTAGCAGTAGCTCGGGTGGGCGGTACCATCTTGTGACAACAAGAGCAGTGTACTCTCTCTTGGCCTCTCCTCCTCCTTTGCCGGGTTGCGGAGGGGGCTCATCGTAGGGTCGAGCAAGTCCGAAATCAGCAATCTGAAGAAGGCCGCCATTGCTGATCAGCAAGTTTGCCGCTGTCCATTTAGGTTAGCTCCGGTGCAGCCACAGGTTGATTCGGGGCTTACCTTTCATATCACGATGTAAAATGCGGCTCTATGATATCGTTAGCTAAATTACGCGAACTGAGTGTCACACATACTGCATGTAGATATTTGAGACCCTCAAGGAGTTGCATCAAATAGCATTTGATCTGGGGCTCGGTAAAGTGGACAGCCGGATTTTCTAGCAGTCCCGAAAGGTCATGCTCCATATATGGGAAGACCATGTACATGCTAGGCTTCTTTCGTCCATCACCTGATATGTAGTCAGAGTAATTCCCTCTCTAGAAGCGCACGAAGCAAGCTAACCTTTTCCTCGCTCGATTGCCATCTCTTTGAGTTGCAAAATATTTGGGTGCGAAAGCGCCTTGAGAAGCTTGATCTCTCGAATAGCAGTGATAGGAAACTAGCTCAGAGTCAGCTGTGAGCCATAGAAGACTCCTGGGGTAATGGAAACCACTCACGCCTTCTTTTTCGTGGTGCATCAAGATCTTTTTGAGGGCCACAACCGTCGTGTCTTTCTTTGATCTTGCGCGATAGACCTCACTATTGACCGGTCAGGCATGTTGCTTTTTTGGGTCCAGTAAAACCTTACCCAAAGGTTCCTTCTCCAAGCTTCCCGACAAATTCATAGTCACGAATGTTGGAACAGCCGGGGAATCGGGCTTGGTCGTTGCCGTCTTTCTCAAGGGATGTGATTGCCATATTGAATCGGGCGGTATGAGTTGTCGCCCGTGACAAATATGGCAGGTATTATTCGATTCAGCGTCGCGTCGAATCTCACGTCAAAGATTCGAAGCAATTGTCGCGTGGTTGGGGCAGACAGATCGGAGTGAATGTAAAGCGTCGAGCTCAGTCGGTAAAAATGTTCCAAGGCAAGTTTGGGCTCAAGGAATCCTTAAAAGACCGAGTCATCTCACAACGGAGGGGATTCAAGTGAAAGTGAAAAGGCGGTTACAATGATGTCGCATTGCTTTCTTTGAATGGAATAAATCTCGAGTTGGACCACTCAGAGTGAATAGAGACCTGAATAGGGACCAGCCCAAACGAGGCGCAGACAAGACAGGCCGAAATGCCCAATGATCAATGATGTGATTGCTCGGAGATCAAATAATTGATGCGGTTGAGTGCCGTCACGGGTCACGTGTAGCGACTTCCCCGTCTCCGACCAAGGGCAGAACTCTCCAACCTCACCCGAGTTCTGTGAAGCAACGACAGTCATTCCCAACATACAGTAAGTGCTACAGGCATTGACTTCGGTATCTGTCCGTGGTTAACCATATCCCAATTCGTACAGTCATGGCGGGCAACTCATCCCACCCTATCCACATCCACCCGGTTCGCCCGCTCTACCGCTTCACTGCAACCGCATTGGGCGCAAGCATGTGGTTCTTCGTATGCAATCCCTTTTCTAGCCATTGAGTGCACTATGCTGACCTTCCTCTTCTGTGCAGCTCATGTACCGGGCCAAGAAGGACGGACCAGCTCTGTTGGGCTGGAAGCACCCTTGGGACCATTGATCTCCGAATTTTATCGTTGATTTTGTTTCTCTTTATATCAAATGGTCACTGTGCACTGTGTGGCCAAATTCAATGCTGACTGGATTGGTCAAATTGCGTACGGGGTACATTGGAGATAAACACAGAGTTGTTCCAGAGTGCGTGTCAAAACAGGTCCAGTTCATGATAGCCATTTACCAGTCGAAATGTATCATACCCTTTCTCTTTCATTTTTGTTATGGGCACAAGGGTTAGGCCCGTGTTAGCTGGGTAGAGAGCCTAAAATCCTCTATCTACAACTTTATGTGTAACTGCTATAAGTACAGTGCGAGCCCTTCGACAGCGTGCATTACATGCGCATTTCCTCCAACAGCACCTTGTACATGCGACGCTTCTTGTGATAGTTTCGCTGCAAGCGGGCACGAGCATGTCCAAGTATCTGTGCCAGGCGAGGGAAAATGTTCTTCTCCGCTATCCAGGCGAGAGCGAAGACACCCAAAGCCAGCGCAACCAACCAGCTTCGGAACCCGTCAGACATAGACGTCAGTTGCATAACGTCCACGACCCATTGAGAAGGCCTGAAGAGCATGTAAGCCGAAATGAAGAGATCAACAATGATAGTAACGAGGTATGGCACTATAGAAAATTAGTCAAACTACTCAAGCACCCTGGGATGGGATTTTCACCATTCATTGTCATTGGTTTCCGGAACGGGGGACCAGCACTGAGAATGACACTAGTCAGGATGTACTGGAAGCAGGAGAACAGGAACAAAGCTGTGTTCTCTGAGTTGACAATGTTGCTCTTCTCGAGGTCCAGCTGCGGCGGCATAAACCTGGAAAATGTTAGAAGCGGCGCAAGACGATTAGACTATAGGACACCGACCATGGCTGTAATTGTACTGTCTGGAAAACAGCAAGCTGCGATAGTACTACAATTGAGATATGTCCAAGCAACGGTGTCAATACCTTGCGTGAAACAAGGTCGGCGGTTGGACGCTTCCGAGATAGCGTGGGGGCAGGGTCAGCCCATCCCACTGTGAGTAAGATTAGACTAGCACGAATTTTGAACCATGGGATCACTTACTGAAGATTGCAATTGGCATAATGAGCGCAAGATCGATGAAGAGGAACTGGGGATGGTTAGTTATCTGATGACTTTGGAGTATGGTGGTCTGCTTACTTGGAAATCACCCAGGTTTGACCCTGAAGTATAGAGGAAGCTGACAGAGGAGAATTGAATGGCGGAATAAAGACTCATGAACTTGAAGCAGGAAAAGCTTGTCACCAAAGCAGCTCGGCCCTCGCTGTGACCATTGTTAGACATCTACTTCACCAATCAACGCATAAAACTTACCGAATCAAGGTCGGGACACAGGAGATTTCGAATACTCGACTAGTGAAAGGTGCAGCGACGGACGCCTCGGCATCTGACAAGGAAATACCAACATCGGCGGCTTTCAGTGCACCACAATCATTGGCACCATCTCCGCAAAAGCCGCAGCAGTAATCGATGGACTGAAGTTTCTCAACCAGTTCATGCTTTTCGTCCGGAGACATTCTGGCGAATACCTTTCCGCAAACAAGTACCTAGAGCCAGACAGGTCAGATTGCTCCAATTGATAAAAGGAGTATAAAGCGAGTGGGTACACCTACCTTATTGAGGACATCCTCGTTTCCGTAATCGATCATCCATCTAAATACATCACCAGTCACGGCAACAGAGAACTTAAGCTCGGCGATGGCGTTCCCTGGAATGGAAATGTCGTTTTCACCGGTATCAATAGGCTGCAATATATCAGTTCCAGTTCTCCAGCATATGTAAAGAAGTACTCTACCATAAGTGTTCTCGGGTCCAATCGAAGATCAGGGTTGTCCACGCTTTCCCATATGAGAGAAGTTTTGGAAAAAAGACCGGGCTCTGCATCTTGAATTAGATTTGAATTTGACATATTGCGGTAAAACTAACCTTCAATCAAATGGGGAATGAAGCATGGTTCATCTGCTCCAAGCATTTTGCATTCGCGCGCAACACTTATTGCAGTCAAAATATTGTCACCTGTGCACATGACATTGCGTATTCCCGCTTCGTTCAGCTCAGAAATCACACTGGCAGTGCTAGGTTTCAGCTTGTTTTCGAAAATTATGAAACCTAAGAACTCCAGGTTTGATTCGGCATCGGTTCGAGTCATTTTCTGGACTTTCATCCAACTAAGCTTTCGTTCATACTTGGTGGCGCATGCAATCACACGATATCCTTTGTGTGTGTAGTAACTCAGGAGATCTTCATAATCCGAGGGAACTGAAACAACAGTTAGCATGCAGTTGGATAGAAATGGTAGTTACTGACGAGATTCAGGAACGCAAATATCCTTTATACTTTCCGGTGCACCTTTTACAAAGAAGCTTGCTCCGTTGTCACCGAATCTTCTGGTCACTACACTCGCGCGGCGGAGGTGGGAGACAAACTCAAAGCTGCGTAGGACTCCGAGCTCCAGGCGATTCTAGGATAGATTAGAGCCTTTAGATTTCTTTTTAGCGGGGTGAGCAACTTACAGCCGAAGTATCTTCTTGATTGGCATGCTGAGGAGGCTTTGCAACTGAGGGTGCAATGGTGTCGTATTTGTGGGCTCGGTCCGAAACATGATTTCCTCCCTCTTCGAAAGTCCAATCAGTGAACTGGAACATCTTCACGTCGAGAGGATCCCCTAGTAGCTCATCGTCCACTACCCTGAGAGAATGACACGTCGCCATGGTGTACATGATTTTTCTTTGCTTATCGAGATCATATGCAGAGTTTGCCTTCTTAGAAGGGAGAAGGAAACCATCAGAGGTCTCAGAGAGCAATTCGGAAAACCTGTAGACTCTTAGTGAGGGCCACGTAATTTTCTAGGGAGTTTCAAACCTTTGAGCGCGGGTTACGATGCGCGCTCCGAGGACATCCAGCCCATCTTCGGTCAGAGTTCCAGTTTTATCAAAACAGACAACGTCAAGTTTTCCACCAACATTCACCCTGACATATGTTAGTGTCACGTCAGAAATACCTTGCTTTGTAACTCACTTCTGTGGACTGATACAGAAAATACTCTGCTTCTTCAGTCGAGAAAGAGCAAAGTTGGTTCCAATGGTAAGTGTGGCCGGAAGAGCTGGCGGCACAACAATCGTTATCAGATCGAGGGCTCGCACTATGATCAAGTGCCAGGCGAGCTATACTCTGGTCAGTATTTGGCATTCAAAATGGGGCTTATCTGTTCGAATTTGACTTACGCCCAACCGAACAAAATTGACAAACGAGGCAATGAAACCAAGGAGAGCAACCACGCCCATAACTGCAATGTATCGAAACGAGTCCCGGTAGAACTTGAATCCGGAAGGTTTGGGGAAAAGCATAGAGCGAACTAGTGCACCCTTTGTTGTCAAAAAGCCAGTTCTGACAACGATTGCCAAAGCTACTGCTTCATCGTCATCAACATTCTGAGGTCGTCTAGCGCGTATCACTTTTGTTCCGCTGAAGAGGAAATGCTTGGCAACCTGGGGGTGTATAGAAGGGGTGCTAAGATCAAGATATTTGAGGGCGTCATCGGTGAGAGGTGCTTTGGAGACCGGGACAGATTCGCCTGTCTTTATGTTAGATACCAAGGACCCGGCAAATGAATAATACATACCAGTGAGCATGCTTTCATTCACAATGCAATCCCCTGACAACAATATGCAGTCACACGGGACCTGGTTAAGCGAGGGATCCGAGAACTCAAAAACATCGCCAGGAACCAACTCCTGAGAGGAAACCGATCGCCCTGAAAGACGGTCAGTAATTGGATAAAGGCAAAGTGTCAAATCGACTTACAGAATCCGTTTCTCAGAACACGAACATCACATTCAAAAAGAGAAATCTCTCTGAGCCGACTCATTGTCTACTAATATATTAGCATGCGATGCGAGACAATTATTGGGTAGAGCATACCGATTTGGTCTCAAGCACAGTTGTTGCTATGCTGAAAAATGAGATGAGGAAAATGCAGACGGCATAGTAATAGTATTCGTCCATCGACCAAAGAACAAGGCTGGCGACTTGGAAGATATAGAAAGGATGAAAAGCCTGATTCGTTAGAATACCATCATACAAAGTTGTTGGAGAAACCCACCTCTTCGAGAAGAAGCTGAGGCACAGTCTTTTGATGAATTTCAATAACGTTGCGCTCGAAGATTTGTTCTCTGCTGTCTCGCTCATCGGCATCTAACCCTACTCGCATGACCTTGGCATTTGTCCACGAGGGATCTTTCCAGCCATTGATCAAGGAGAATTTATCCTCAAGGGGATGGTAAAAGAACTTCAAGTACCTGTAATCAATAAAATGCAGTGAATCAATAGTCGGATCGCTATCTTCATCATAGGTGTGACTCGAAGAATCAGCGAACACCGTAGAAAGAGGACGGCCATAGGCTTGGCTGCCGATTTCATGTATAGTGAATTGATTCCATTGATCCTGTCATGCATTAGGAATTTCATTCAAGTATAATGGTGTCAGTTCCTCACCTCGATTGCCACCCACTGGCATTTTCCGATGGGAGTCGGCTTCCCAATTAATCGAACCCGCCATCTTGGCAGCCACCGAAAGAGTAGGTAGGCAAAGCCACCAGTCAAGATGCAGAGGGCGACATATAGGGCAAACCCGCCAGCGCTTGTGGAGAAGCCAGCAAAGACAGCGGTCAAATCTTCTGATGCGATATAGACCTTCTGATTCAGCCTGTTGCCGGATCGTCGGTCATGTCCATAGGAGCTTGCCGACATATAGCGAGAAAGAAGAGGATGCTCGACAGAGTCACGAGATACAGATAGTCTCTTTGAAACAAAGGACCCTCTAGCTGACTCGAGGTCTTCGTCGCCCATCGCATGGACTGACTCTTCATCGATCTCGCTCTCTTCCTCTACCGCATCCTCATTCGACCACTCCTCGAAGTCCTCTCCGTCTTGAAAGTATGTGAAGCTGACGGTAGAGCCTGTTCGATTGCGACGGTGTGCGAATGACACAACACTAGAAGGAATGCTTTCCGAGATCGGTCCATCAAAAACCTGAGATTGATTAGCTCACCATCTGCGTGAAATTTGTCTTTGACATACCTCGTTACGTGCCATCTCCACGTCCGACACGACACTCATGCTACATGGACATTAGCATTGTGGACATCATAGGGTGCAATCGGAGGAATAGCTACCTGCTTCGCATGGAATCGCGCCGCATCCCGTTCCGAGGCATTGAAAGATCCACAGGACCAGTCCCCGAAGGGGAATGTGGACGACTTCCCATCATGAGCTCAGTTCCTCTGGGGATAGGAATACATGTAAAGGTCGAAGATCCAGTGTGGAAGAAGGGAAGGGTGTGATCGACCTTATCGGGTCCCACCGCGGAGAATAGCTTATCATCATGTGATGGCTTACAATTACCCGAAAAGGCATTCGCATCCTTGGACTTTGTATATGCCAGACAGCTTCTATGTTAGATTTGTACGAGTATATTCCATACAGCTTCAAGGATTGCCTTTACCTTTTTGGCTCGTCTTGCTAAACTCTCTTTTGCTTGGCAACAAGTCTCCAAGTCCATTAGTTGAATTGGTTAAAACTGGTCAGTCAATCTTATAGATTACGTTGTTTATGCAAGTGGGGTTTGAAATGTTCTATCGGCCCTATTCTCCAGAAAGTACAGCTTGCTGCTCTAGCAGAGCTCGCTAGTTAATTTGATCTTACTGTCCTATGCCTGTAGGGTGCATTTCATTGGGGTTAGATGGCTTTGATCTGCTTGCTCTTCAGGTGTTACTTGCAAAATGCAAGTCGGTCATGTTTGAGTGGCTGTTGGGGACCTCTTATGGCATCTTGCAGGGATAATACCAATGTTCGTACATGAGCGTTAAGCCTACATACATATACGTGTGCCACTGCTGATGTCATTGATTCCTGTCTATCAATAAGACTCAAAGTGTTTAGAGCTTGTAAGTATGGGAATTTTCTGCAGAAATCACATCCATATATGGAGCAGATTCGTTCAAATTTTTAGTCAAATTAAACAATGTTGCATTGCATGACAACACGCGAAAAATAGGCCCTCTGGTTTGAGATAGATGGTTTGATAGTCAGTCATGGTAATGCTGCATCCCACAGCCAGCATATCATAACAGTGATATATCAGCATAGTGTGATCCTATAGTCATCCTGCGTTGAACGTCATCCAGTCAACTACCGGTGTGCAACACCGTTTCTAAATATATCCGGGGTTATGGACGATCCCCAATTCCAACCCAGGCTCAGAGAGCACCTAGGATATATGTATAGTGATCTTGATAGCCACTTATACATATATCTAGGCAGGTAAAATTGTAAGTCAGATCTTCAAGGGCCTAAGAGGGGTAACAAGGGAGAGTTTGCGGTCCAGGGCCAGGGTCAAAATTGAAAAAAATGAGGATGGAATGGTTGAAGATGATATCCAAGTCGCTAAATGATAATCAAATTCAAAGACTAGAAAGAGACAGTGTCAAACAGTATTGTTGGGAGAATTTGCAGCCTTTGCAGCGATTCTCAACCAGAACCGTCGCGTCCCGCCAAGCCCCTCGGCCAGAGGCGCTAACGATCCCACCATCTTCCAGACTCTCCTCTCCCCCAAAACTAGTATCAAATTCTTCCTTTCTTCTTCATTCCCCCATCTCTCCCTCTCTACCTCATTCACCATGTCTGAGCCCATCAGAAACAAGAAGGCCGATTTCCCGGTCGCACCGTAAGGACCCCCTGTCTTATTTTTTCTTACTATCACCCTAGCAAAAAAACTGACTGGCAACAGGACCCCGCAAAACACGCCGGCCAACAATGCTCCTATCTCCTCTCACGCCCAGCAGCCTGGCGTTTCCAGCATCAAGGAAGGTGAGTAACTGCTTCCTGGATTTGATATTCCCCTCTCTGGTCGCCATTGGTCCGTGACTGACCGTGTCTTTGCAGAGTCCCTTGACAATGCCGCCGCTGCCTCTCTCTTCGCCCGCAACCCTGCCCTTGTCTCCATGATCCAGGGAAAGCTGGGTCAGCTCGTTGGTCGCTCATCCGGCTACATCGAATCTCTCCCCCCATCCGTCCGCCGCCGTGTCGCTGGCCTGAAGGGTCTTCAAAAGGAGCACGCCAAGCTCGAGGCTCAGTTCCAGGAAGAGGTTTTGGAGCTCGAGAAGAAGTTCTTTGGCAAGTTCACCCCGCTGTACCAGCGCCGTTCCACGATAGTCAACGGTGGTGTCGAGCCTACCGAGGATGAGGTTGAGGCCGGCAAGGAGGATGAAGAGGAGGAGGAGACCAAGGAGGAACCAAAGAAGGAGGAGGGTGAGCCCATGAGTGGTATTCCTGAGTTCTGGCTCTCCGCTATGAAGAACCAGATTTCTCTTGCTGAGATGATCACCGAGCGAGATGAGGAGGCCCTCAAGCACCTCATCGACATCCGCATGGAGTACCTTGACCGACCGGGATTCCGCCTCATTTTCGAATTTTCCGAGAACGAGTTCTTCACCAACAAAACTATCTCCAAGTCATACTTCTACAAGGACGAGAATGGATACGGTGGCGACTTCATCTACGACCACGCCGATGGCTCTCAGATTGACTGGAAGGAGGACCAGGACCTGACTCTGCGCCTTGAGAGCAAGAAGCAGCGCAACAAGAGTAAGTCACTCATCGCGGGTATTTCACATCATCATCTAACAGTCCCCCCAGACACCAAGCAGACCCGCGTTGTGAAGATCAGCGTGCCCACCGAGTCCTTCTTCAACTTCTTCTCGCCCCCACAGCCCCCCACCGAGGACGATGAGTCCGTTGCTAGCGACATCGAAGAGCGCCTGGAACTTGACTACCAGCTTGGTGAAGATATTAAGGAGAAGCTCATTCCTCGTGCCATCGACTGGTTCACCGGCGAGGCTCTTCAGTTCGAGGAGCTGGGTGACGATATGGATGCCGACGAGTTTGAGGATGAAGACGACGAAGACGAGGATGACGACGAGGACGAGGACGAGCACGGGTCAGACCGCGATGTGGACGAGGAGGACACAGACGAAGAGGTACAGTCCCCCAAGCAGTACGATCTTCGATACACACTAACCTGATTCTAGGATGATGGTACCTCCAAGCCCAAGAAGGAGGCCGCCGAGTGCAAGCAAAACTAAGAAGAAAAGTTGACGGTGAACGCCCAACATGAATGACAGAAATCGTGCCCTCTGATATTTTGCTATGCTTTCGCTGATGCGTGTCTTGTCTCTGATCCTTTCCTACTTTCTAATATTCAATCAATACTTGACATAATCGGTGTGTAATTTCTCGCCTCCAGCGCTCTTGTCAAGTGAGAGTTGGCGATTAGAGGCCTCAATAGCTGATAGAATATGTTTTCCCATGTCTAAGTCAGAAGTATAGAGACCTGAAACAGTTCAAACAAGTAGACCATGTAAACTATGTACATGTAAAACATTATGGTGGTCAAACAGGGATGGCGGTGACAGGTTGTGGGGACGCCCCCCCCCCCCCGTATATTTCCCTAAGCTCCTTCAGGGGCTCTCGCTAAATGGCCAGCTGTTAGTCTCTCCAAGGGTTGTTTTCCTTTCCACCAACCACTCTATTTCTTATCCTTTTCTTGACTATTCTTCTCCGGAACATGAAATGAGGGAGAGTCCCTCTTGTCTTTGGACTTGATTTCGTTTTCCATTCGATGCCCCGGCGCCCCCGAACCCTTTCTGATTACTGGAGCTCTTGCAAATATCCTTTCCTTGCAGCACGAATAACGAACTACCGTGATGGCGCACATTTACGAGGTTGGAACAAGGGCCTGGCAGCCCGACCCAACGGAGGGATGGTTGGCATCCGAGGTGAAAGAGAAGCTGGTGGATGGAGAGAAGGTGCAGCTGGTGTTTGAGGTCGAGAACGGAGAGGTCAGTCTGACTAGATGCGCATCTGGTCTTTTTTTCATCTGGGGATATGGCGACTGATGATACTCGAATACATAGACAAAAACCGTCGAGACCACGCAATCAGAACTGCAGGTCGACAACAACCCCAAACTACCTCCGTTGATGAATCCTGCGATGCTAGAAGCAAGCGAAGATCTGACGAATCTATCTCATTTGAACGAACCCGCTGGTTTGTCTCGCTTCTAGATATGTTGTGTGCTGCTTCCCAGCTGACGGCTTTGAAGTCCTGCAGGCTATTAAACTTCGCTATGCCCAGAAGGAGATATATACCTACAGTGGTATTGTCCTGATTGCAACCAACCCTTTTGCCCGAGTCGATTCGCTGTATGTGCCGCAGATGGTGCAAGTCTATGCTGGGAAACACCGTGCCTCCCAGGCACCTCATCTGTTCGCGATTGCAGAGGAAGCATTCGCGTAAGGACCAGCCCTCCCCTTCTCATTTCGTTCGCTTATTTATCTTTCACAGTGACATGCTTCGTGATGGAAAGAACCAAACGATTGTGGTATCGGGTGAATCTGGTGCTGGTAAGACCGTGAGCGCGAAATACATCATGCGTTATTTTGCGACTCGCGAATCTTCCGACCAGCCCGGAAAGTACACCACGAGTCGAGCAGATGCCATAAGTGAGACTGAAGAGCAGATTTTGGCAACAAATCCGGTTATGGAAGCGTTCGGTAACGCCAAAACAACTCGCAATGACAACTCCTCCCGTTTCGGAAAATATATCGAAATCATGTTCGATGACCGAACGAATATCATTGGTGCCAAAATTAGAACCTATCTTCTCGAGCGGTCCAGGTTGGTTTTCCAACCTTTGAAGGAACGCAACTACCACATCTTCTACCAGCTTGTGGCTGGCGCTTCAGACCAAGAAAAGCAAGACCTCAATCTTTTGTCTGCCGAGGACTTTGAGTATCTCAATCAAGGCGGTACTCCGACTATTGACGGTGTTGATGACAAGGCTGAGTTTGAGGCCACTAGAAAGTCGTTGGCTACTATCGGTGTTCCAACGGAAGACCAAACCGGCATTTTCCGCGTTCTTGCTGCGTTGCTACATCTTGGTAATGTCAAGATCACAGCTACCCGTACCGAATCGTCCCTTTCATCGACCGAGCCTGCCCTTGTGCGCGCTTGTGAGCTGCTTGGTATTGATGCCAACGAGTTTGCGAGATGGATCGTCAAAAAGCAACTCATCACCCGCGGGGAAAAGATCACCTCAAACTTGACACAGCAACAAGCTCTCGTCGTCCGAGACTCAGTCGCCAAATTCATTTATTCAAGTCTGTTTGATTGGCTTGTTGACAAGATCAATCGCCGACTGGCTACAGACGAGGTTCTTGAGAAGTTCAAGTGCTTCATTGGTGTTCTGGATATCTACGGCTTTGAACACTTTGCCAAAAACTCTTTCGAACAATTCTGTATCAACTATGCCAATGAGAAGCTCCAGCAGGAGTTCAACCAGCATGTTTTCAAGCTTGAGCAGGAAGAATATGTACGGGAAGAAATCGATTGGACTTTTATCGACTTCTCGGATAACCAGCCTTGTATCGATTTGATCGAAGCCAAGCTTGGTATACTATCGCTTTTGGATGAAGAATCTCGACTTCCCATGGGTTCTGATGAGCAGTTCGTCACCAAGCTTCACCATCACTTTGCCGCCGATAAGCAAAAGTTCTACAAGAAGCCCAGATTCGGAAAGTCCGCATTCACTGTTTGTCACTACGCTGTTGATGTTACTTATGAATCCGATGGTTTCATTGAGAAGAACCGCGATACTGTGCCCGATGAACATTTGGAGGTGTTGCGCAACTCTTCAAATCCATTCATTAAGGAGATTCTGGACACTGCCGCTGCTGTCCGTGAAAAGGATTCTGCCTCTGTCTCATCCAAACCTGTGGCAGCAGCACCTGGTCGCCGGATCGGTGTTGCAGTGAACCGCAAACCCACGCTCGGAGGAATCTTCAAGTCTTCACTGATTGAGCTGATGCACACCATCAATTCTACTGAGGTCCATTACATCCGCTGCATCAAGCCTAATGAAGCTAAGGAAGCTTGGAAATTTGAGGGACCCATGGTCCTAAGTCAACTGAGGGCCTGCGGTGTCTTGGAAACTGTTCGAATTAGTACTGCCGGTTACCCAACTCGATGGACCTATGAAGAATTTGCTATTCGCTATTACATGTTGTGTCATTCCTCACAATGGACCTCGGAGATCCGAGAGATGTGTCATGCTATTCTACGAAAAGCCCTTGGAGAGGCTAGCCACCAAAAGCAGGTCAAGTACCAGCTGGGCCTCACCAAGATTTTTTTCCGGGCAGGTATGCTCGCTTTCTTGGAGAACCTCAGAACCTCCAGACTGAACGAATGTGCCATCATGATCCAGAAGAACCTGCGAGCCAAGTATTACCGCCGCCGCTACCTCGATGCTCGCGAATCTATTCTCACCACTCAGGCCTTTATTCGAGGATTCCTGGCACGCCAGCGCGCCCAGGAAATCCGCCGCACCAAGGCTGCTACCACGATTCAGCGGGTCTGGCGTGGCCAGAAGGAGAAGAAGCGATACACTCAGATTCGCAAGAACTTCATTTTGTTCCAGTCCATTGCCAAGGGATTCCTTTGTCGGCGAAATATTATGGACTCTATTCATGGGAACGCAGCCAAGGTCATTCAACGTGCATTCCGTTCATGGCGTCAATTGCGGTCCTGGAGAGAGTATCGTCGTAAGGTTATCACTGTTCAGAACCTTTGGAGAGGAAAACAGGCGAGAAATGCCTACAAGCGACTCCGTGAGGATGCACGCGATCTCAAGCAAATTTCGTATAAACTCGAGAACAAGGTGGTTGAGTTGACTCAGATCATTCAATCTCTCAAGCTTGAAAACAAGACCTTGGTTTCGCAGTTAGAAAACTATGATACTCAATTGAAGTCGTGGCGCAGTCGTCATAACACACTGGAGGCTCGCACCAAGGAGCTTCAAGCCGAAGCAAACCAGGCTGGCATCACTGCAGCCCGGTTAGAGGCCATCGAAGAGGAGATGGCTAAGCTACAACAAAGCTATACCGAGGCTCAAGCCAACATTAAACGCCTTCAAGAAGAAGAAAGACTCTCTCGGGAGGCTTTACAGGCCGCCGACGAGGAGCTTCAGCGCCTCAAGCTTATTGACGCCGATCATGAGAAAGACAAAACTGGCCTTCGCCAGCGCATCTCGGAGCTTGAGGAACAGCTCGAGGTTGCCAAGCGATCTGTACCGGTCAACGGAGTCAATGGCGATCTTCCAAACGGCGGCGCAGTCCAAGCGCCTGCGCCGGCATTGATCAACCTGGTGTCCTCGAAGAAGCCCAAGCCAAAGAGACGCAGCGCTGGCGCCGAGAAGATTGAGACGGATCGTTTCAGCGGTGCTTACAATCCTCGGCCCGTATCAATGGCAATCACACCTGGTTCCATGGCCGCTCGTCAGAACGCAGTGATCTCTCCAGGATCGGAATCTGTTGAGTACGAACTCGAAAACTTGCTCTCAGAGGAGGACGACTTGAACGAGGAGGTCGGTATGGGTCTGATTCGCAACCTGAAGATCCCTCTCCCAAGCTCGACCCCACCACCTACCGAAAAGGAAGTTCTCTTCCCAGCATACTTGATCAACCTGGTCACATCCGAGATGTGGAACAATGGTTTCGTCAAGGAGTCGGAGCGATTCTTAGCCAATGTCATGCAGTCCATTCAGCAGGAGGTCATGCAGCACGATGGTGATGATGCAATCAATCCTGGAGCCTTCTGGCTGTCCAACGTGCACGAGATGCTCTCCTTTGTCTTCCTGGCCGAGGATTGGTACGAGGCTCAGAAAACTGAGAATTATGAGTACGACCGTCTGCTGGAGATCGTCAAGCACGACCTTGAGAGCTTGGAATTCAACATTTACCACACCTGGATGAAGGTTTTGAAGAAAAAGCTTTACAAGATGATTGTGCCTGCGATTATTGAGTCACAGTCACTTCCAGGCTTTGTTACGAGCGAAACTAACCGTTTCCTCGGGAAGCTCTTGCCCTCTAACAACAATCCTGCCTACAGCATGGACAACCTTCTCAGTCTCTTGAACGGTGTCTACAAAGCTATGAAGGCGTTCTACCTTGAAGACACAATTGTCACTCAGACCGTAACAGAGCTGCTGCGCCTGGTTGGTGTCACCGCATTTAATGATCTCCTCATGCGGCGTAACTTCCTTTCATGGAAACGTGGTCTTCAAATCAACTACAACATCACCCGGATTGAGGAGTGGTGCAAGAGCCACGACATGCCAGAGGGAACTTTGCAGTTGGAGCATCTTATGGTATGTTTCTTCCCATTGTTTGGGTCTTGGCCTGCTAACGTTTATAACAGCAAGCGACAAAGCTTCTGCAACTGAAGAAGGCGACTTTGAATGATATTGAGATCATTCAAGATATTTGCTGGATGTAAGTTTGGCCCATGCCGTCTATGATATCCATCCATTAACATCGTTCCAGGCTGTCACCAAACCAGATTCAGAAACTTCTAAACCAGTACCTGGTTGCAGACTATGAACAGCCCATTAACGGGGAAATCATGAAGGCCGTCGCTTCTCGTGTCACGGAGAAGAGTGATGTACTTCTGTTGGCCCCTGTCGATATGGAGGACAGTGGCCCCTATGAGATTGCCGAGCCCCGTGTTATCACCGCTCTGGAGACCTATACCCCATCTTGGCTCCAAACACCGCGGCTGAAGCGACTGGCTGAGATTGTGTCAGCGCAGGCGATGGCGCAACAAGAGAAGCTCGAATTGGACAATGGGGTAATTGAGGAATAGATCTGTATGTTGTATATTAGAGAGACTATCCTGTGAGCTACGGATTACGACCTGCCTGGATTTCTTCATGGCTTTTGAGATATAGTGATGCGATGATTTTCATTTGTGTTTTGCATGAGACGTCTTAGCTATAGACAGAACAGAACTCTGTTTGACATTGACCTTCTTGCTCTTTCGGCATGTACATGCTGACTTGTATTACAATGGTGGTTTCGTTGAACATGGCGGATATATATTGGAGCGGTGACGGTGGGGGTGGAGTTCGACCTCTCACCCGTCGCAATGCTTGAACCTCCAAACCTGACTCACCAGATCGAACCAAAATCTCAATCAACATTCAAAATGACTCTCACCAAGCTCAACTTTATCACTGGAAACAAAAACAAATTGTCCGAAGTGCGGGCTATCCTTGGTAATGTTATCGAGGTAGACAACCAGGAAGTTGATGTCCCTGAGATCCAGGGAACCATTGAGGAAATCGCCAAGGAAAAGGCCAAACGCGCCGCTGAGGCAGTGAGTTATATCATGTAGACTTCAATTAGAAGTTAAATATACTCATGTGGCACAGATCAATGGACCTGCCTTGACCGAGGACACTGCTCTTGAGTTCCATGCACTCAAGGGCCTCCCCGGGCCATATATGTGAGAGATATATATCACTTGCTATATCAAATTGCTAATTAGACCAAGCAAATCATTCATGGAGGCTTTGGGCCTCGAAGGCCTGAACAAGATGCTTGACGGATTTGAGGACAGAACAGCCGAAGCTGTGTGCACCTTTGCCTTTTGCCGGGGACCTGGCGAGGAGCCTCTTATCTTCCAAGGCAGAACAGAGGCAAGCTAATCATTTATAGAAATTCACTGATACGAGTCTAATTGCGATATACAGGGTGCCATTGTGCGGCCTAGAGGCCCAACCAATTTTGGTGAGTGAACATCCAAGAGTTTTATTGCAAAATCATGTTCTGATGTATGACAGGCTGGGATCCTATCTTCGAGTATGATGGAAAGACATACGCCGAGATGGAGAAGGAGGCCAAGGTAAGAAGACCTCTTTAACCCCAATTCATGATTTCATATTAAGAACCGGACAGAACAAGATCTCCCACCGATACAAGGCGCTAGTGAAGTTGCAGCAGTGGCTAGCTGAAGGTCAGCAGTAAATCGCCATGGGTATATAACGCGGCCATGATAGACCTTATAGAAGAATGAGAAATGAAGCCAAAGCATATCTATGGTTGGATTCAGTCCGCAGTTTCCGCTTGCGTCTTCTTCCACGACTCCACCCACTGCACAATTCTTTGGCAGTTCGATTCCACATCACTGTCCTGCTCGCTGCTCAGCTCCACCACAACTTCCTCGTCAAAGGCTTCCCGCGCCTCGTCCAGTAGGACGCCAAAGATTTCGGCATCGACGTTCTCTTCAAGCTTCTTATCATGGTAACCCCTAAGAAAACCTTAGTTTCAACCGTGTATCGGTACTTATAGTCAATGACTTACCGCGAGGACAGGCGGTCGTATAGAATATCTGTAGTGGGACACCGGAGCACAACGACAAGATCAATCCAGGATTTGGGGAAGAGATCGCAAGCATGCCAGTCGATTAGGTAACCACCATTAGGAATTTCATCTTCGAGGGCATCCAAGAGCTAAAAATTCAAACAGATTAGCATTCTGTGGCTCGAGAAATTCGCGACGGAGCTGGTTGGCGTGATTGAGTGTATATGCCCAGGTGTCAGAGGACACCACAGCAGAGACATCCCACTCAGAGGGCAATCTCACCTTATCCTCATCGACCACCCAGGTCTTCAATTCCTCATCATATTCGTCGAAGCAACCGCGGTCTTTTGCGACTTGGTTGATGGAGAGATGCTTCAGGCCGATTTCTTGCGCGAGTTGCTCGCAATGGACGGTCTTTCCCACGCCAGGGGTACCGGTAATGATCAGGTTCGGGGAGGTTCGCATGGTTGGATGAGTGTAGTGTAGTGTAGTTTATTGGAATTGTCTCTGATGGGATCAACTTAATTTTCGACTATCTTATCGTCGGAGGGGTAACTTACTAATTTTACTGTCGGCAGAAAGTGGTATATCCTGATATACGTAGTACACCACGCATATAGTTCTATTTTGTTTTATGTTAGTATCCTCAATCGAAGCTTGAATAATGCCTCTCAACATAGCATGAAGCAGAGAGCAGTGTTAGAAATATACTATGAGGACTGTCAAAACAGTACGGCAGGCGGTATTTTAGGCGGTGTAAATACGAGTTTGAGTTATATCACAGCGGAGCCTTTTCTCATTAATCATGATTATATACAGACGCCTCGCATTTAGAGATATCATGAATTCATTTGTGAGTGGGCTCGGGGTTGGGGGTAGTCATGCATAATCTGCGATTGGTAAGTATGATACAAGACAACAGATCAACGATCACTCACTTGAGAAGCTCGAACATCTTGTACTTTTGCAAATAAGAAGTGCCTCTGCGATATGCTTTGAGCAGGCGCGTAGGATCGTTGGGTTTGACAAAGGCCCCGAGCATACGTTCCATGGCAGGGGAAGTCTTGAACATAGGATCAAAGACGAGCAGATTGGCACTGCCATTGTCTCGGATCTCAAACCCAACAATTGTCATGGAATGTCCTGTTTCTTTGGGTTAGAGACCGTGAAACCTGATATAAGAGCAAATGCATTGAACTGAGCCCACCTTGATGTTGGAAGTATATCGGAGGGAGATCAGTCTTAAAGATCTTGGTATCTGCATTTTCCAAGGAGCATGCCGACTTGAAGTAGTTTGCTACATCCATGTAGAGTGCATCACAGGCGCGTAGGTCGCTACTTCCACACAAACTGCTGGCGTCAGACCTGGACGAAAGTTAGCGGGATTCTTTTCGAAATGTCAGTCACGACTCACGGGATCCCAAGACTCAGGAATAGCGCTTGTGCCTGAAATATGGTTAGTAGGTACATTAGATATTTGAGAAAAAAAAATACCTCGGGCGTTCCAATAAATTTGCGGGTATCTTTGATACCCCCAGTCTCAGTTCTCCCAACACTGTTGAATCCCATATCCCAGGCAGATTCAATCATATCCTGTAGGTCCAAGATCGTTGGGCCCTTGTCTGAAAAGTTTTCATATCCAAAACTTCGAGACTTCCTCAAATAAGAAACGAGCATTTGAATGTTTCGGTAGCCACAAAATCCGCCTTCGCGGGGCATCTTGCAAATATGACGGACCTTGGGACTACAGAAGAATGCCCGCTTCACTGATTTGTCTTGCTCGCATAAACGAGTAAGGATTGGAATCAAATTGTCGGTCTCATTTTCCACTGTATCGCGTCGAGACAGTTTACCATCCGAGGTAATTTGGGTTTGCTTTGAAGTGCGACCTCCTTTCTCTAACATTTTTCTCAGCCACGACGGCATTTTCTTTTCATGGGCATGGGGACCCAGCTCTGAGCGCTGTAAAGGATTAGTTACTGATCTGTGGAGTATCAGAATGTGATACGCACTCCTAATCTCATTGCGCCATCAGGGCCAATTGCCCTCGGAGGGCTATGAGGCCGTGGTGGTTTTGCTGTATTTGCCCGTGAGACATCTCGCTGCATACCGCGCTTGCCTCTTTTGCCAGAATCCAATATATCAAACGAGTCACCCCCGTCAAAGAAGTGGTCATCTTCATGTGCAGCGCCTGCATTTGGGTGTGCTGGCGTTGCCCCGGCATCATCCAGTGCAATATCCTCAGCAACATGCAGATCTAAGTGATTAGATAGTTCAGCACTTGCCACTGTCTCACCACATCCATGTGGACAGTCGACATACTTGTCTACATCTTCTTCAGACGGTGACAACCTCGGACTCGCGACAGGGGGGCTGTCGAACAGAAAGCCCGCTGCCCCAACTTCAGGATGACAGAATTCGATATGCTGAGCAACAAAGTCAGCGTCCTGGTCTGTGAATGGACAAAACGGACAAGATGGTGTGCTGTGATCGGCCATCATGAAGTTTTCATCCAGTGCTGACAAGGCGCGAATTGATAGGCAATGTGGAAGAGAGAGCAGAGTGCATGTACTGGTATGCAAAGAAAATGGCAAATGCGAGACTAAAAGCAAAGTTGATATTCAGTCGGAAGTATAGAAAATGAATCTGATGCCCAAAGCCTAAACGGAGGAACGGCGCCCGTTCCCGAGGCCCACATTTAGTCTTAAATGTGCATGTATAGGAGTCATTAGGCTTCCTTCTTGACCTCTTCATTGCCTGTTCTATAGTGCTTAGGTTAAATTTCTTTTCAAATAGGAAGTTAATCTTGTACATCTACTCTGTATAAAGGTGGGTATGAAGGACTGATGGCCTATGACTATGATATCGGTAATCAAGGGTAAGTTAGTATATGAAATAACATGTTATAGAGAGCTTTGATATGTATAGAATGTGCTCGCCTCGGATCCTCGGCATAGTATAAACCATCAACAAACAATAGAATGCTACGTCAACACTTCATCCGGATATAAAGGAAAAGTGTTACTCCGAGAATACAATGACGATGGCGTGATTGGCGGGGTGGCCGACATCGTTTAGTGCCTGACTGTTTTAGGAAGGCGGTAAAACTCTATTGCCAATTGAGTCACGAATTTTTTTGCAAATGCGGCGGCGCATGAGGTAGGGCTCCGCTTTCGCTGATTCCTCCCCCCTCCAACTACACTACTCTCCCGTCTTCTTTCTACAACAGACTCTCCTGGGTTGACGTGATCATGACTCTCCTAGATTCAGCCTCGCAGGCTCACAGCAATTGGGTTGTGCAGAAATTTGGTGGCACTAGTGTCGGCAAGTTTGCTCTCAATATCATTGAGCAGGTGGTACAGTATGATGACTCAATTTACGAATACACATGAACACTACTGACCAAGATCTTTCACCAGACCCAGCCTAGTGGATAATAGAGTCGCTGTTGTATGTTCAGCACGAAGCAGTTCCACAAAAGCCGAGGGCACTACCAACCGGTGAGTCACCACATTTCCATGGCAAGTCACCTCGAGATGCTAATGTACCTGTCAACAGGTTATTGCGAGCCGCACGGGATGCTGAGAACTCTCAGTCGCGGGAATACCGAACATTGGTGGAGGCTGTTCGATTGGAACATGTCCAAGTCCTCCAGGACCAGGTGAAGTCACCCGAAATCAGAGACCAAGTCATCGCGGATATTAGTGGAGAATGTGATCGGGTTCTCAAAGTCCTCGAGGCCGCCCAGACTCTCGGAGAGATCAGCGCACGTTGCGTGGACAAGGTGATCAGCACCGGCGAGAAGCTCAGCTGCCGTGTGATGGCTGCCCTGCTGCAAGATCGTGGGGTTGACTCACAATATGTCGATCTGTCCGAGATCATTGATTTCCCAATTGGTCACCACGGTCTCGACCAGGACTTTTATAACACTTTGGCGACGGCCTTTGGCAAAAAGGTCGAGGCCTGCGGGCACCGAGTACCAGTCATGACCGGATACTTTGGTACCATTCCCGGTGGTCTACTGGATCAGATTGGTCGTGGATACACTGATCTCTGCGCTGCTCTTGTTTCAGTTGGAACCCGCGCCAAGGAGCTCCAGGTGTGGAAGGAAGTTGACGGCATCTTCACTGCGGACCCTCGCAAGGTGCCGACTGCTCGTCTGCTCTCTGCCATCACACCCGCCGAAGCCGCTGAATTGACCTTCTATGGCTCCGAAGTCATTCACCCTTTCACCATGGAACAGGTAATCCGCGCCAAGATCCCCATCCGCATCAAGAACGTCATGAACCCGAAGAATCGGGGCACAATTATCTTCCCAGACTCCACGTCCGAACTGGAGAGAACTACACCTGGACACGACCCTCGCCTATTCCGCACGCGAAGCCCCAGCTTTATGCAGAGACCGAAGCGGCCGACAGCAGTGACCATCAAGCACAAGATTTTGGTCATCAACGTCCACTCCAACAAGCGGTCCCTCTCACACGGTTTCTTTGCCGGTATTTTCTCTGTACTGGACAAGTGGCGCCTGTCCATTGACCTGATCTCCACCAGTGAGGTCCACGTGTCCCTGGCCCTCCATTCAGAAGCGCCCCTTTTGAACGGAAACGGACGGGATGAGTATCAGGTTATTGATGATGACCTCAAGGGGGCATTGAATGATTTGGGACGTTACGGCACCGTTGACATCATCCCTGAGATGGCCATCCTCAGTCTGGTGGGTAAACAGATGAAGAATATGATCGGTGTGGCTGGTCGCATGTTCACTACTCTCGGGGAGAACAATGTGAATATTGAGATGATTTCGCAAGGTAAGTGAATAATTGTCTTCCAACCCCCACCCCCTTCCTCCATACCCTTGATTCGGGGCTGACGGTCTTCCCCCCTCGCAGGTGCAAGCGAAATCAACATCTCCTGCGTGATCGAAGAACGCGACGCCGACCGTGCCCTGAACATCATCCATACGAGCATGTTCACCTTTTTGGATTAAATTTGCGCCAGCAAAGAATCATTATTGTTTAAGATATCCCGTGGGTTTTTATTATATTTAGAGAAAAAGCATGCATCCCGGGTGGAAGTCCAAAAAAAAGAAGGGGGACTCGGGAAGCAAAGCATATGCTTTTTTCTTTTTTTTTTTGTGATGCATGGAACTTGGCGTTTTCTCCATTTTATTCATATAGATATCATGAAGCGTTTCATGATCGAGGGATGCAGACTCTCAGGCGTTCCGGCATATAGTGAAATCTGTGACAAGGTGTTTCTGATATTGAAGCAAGGAAATGTCCCTAGATTCAAGCAATAGACCACTGATCTTCAATTATCTGATACCGTTGGACCTGCAGCGTTAAGCACATGCATCTGTAGACCATTGCAATTCATTGGCCGCTAGCTAGCAGCTTGCAGGATGACAGTTTGAAACAAGGGATATTTGCTTGACCTGGGTAGTTTCAGGTTACATCGACATGCCTAAGACTAAGCCTACGAACAAGAATAGAATAAAAAAAGAATATAAAGATACAAGAATATACGAGGACATGAACTAGCACATGATACTTGGTCTTAAACTATCATACTATACTCCAGAATAGACTAATATAGATATATCGAAGTGAAGTCCTGACATACTTCGACCTTCCAGTGGATCCGATCGACCAAGTATGAGCAAGGGAGATCCCTTGATACCATACCGTATCTTACACCCTGACCCATCCCCTCTCCAATACAAAAACGCGTGACGCGTGCCTGGGATGACCATACCTGACACGTATTTGAGTCAATCGCACTCCAACTTCGATCTTCGACTCTCCCTCTCCCCGCCTTTGCCCACTTTCTTGGATATTTAGGCCTTTTGAATATTCCGGGATCCTTGATTTCGCCCTTTAGTTATAATATGATTAGGCCCTCGAGAATTCCCTAGAGTCGCTCGCCATTCTTGACGATCGTCCCAACCTTGGAACACCTACTGATCTTCATTGCCCTGTACTCTCTCTGTATCCTCTCTCCTCTTCTACCTACTTTCACCCTCTGTCTTCACCTATCCTCCATCGTCTATCTTCATCCTCATTCTTATTCTCATTCTCCACCTACTCGCCAATATTGGTCCATATTCTCAATTCAATTCCACATCTTCCGTCATCTGCTATCTGAGTGACCTGATTCGCAACTGCCCTAGCGCCTTGTGGCCCAACGAGTCTGCATGTCGGCCTGAGGAACTTGGTCTTTGCCTTTGATCTGCCATTGGCCCAAGGAGGAAGTGTCTGCGCAGTCTCGTCACGTCTTGGCTTACCCGCTCGGTCTTTCACCGACCTCTGGCCTTGTTGTCCCCGTCGCGCCCTCTGTTTTCGACGCGTCATACGGTCCCTGTAGTGACAGGCGACACATCTGCTTGGAGTTTGCGCCATCTAGATTATGGGATCGACGCGTTTGTCGGGCGCACACCTTTCTTCAGTGTTGGCCCCATCTGAGATCATCAGATCGCAGCCCCGTCTGCAACCCTCACCGCTACCACTCCAACCCATTGAGAACTCGTCTTTCCATCCGGCTTCCCGCTCGCACAGGCCATCGCCGACGAAAGGCTTGCACCCCCAAGGCTCGCATCCGGGCCACGGAAAACTCGGTTTCGTCCCCATCTCTGCGCCCACTCCTCCCATGTTTACCACCGACTCTCCAGCCAAGAAAGCGCCCTTCCCACTCTACTCACAATCCTCGATGCCACACTCGGCTCTCTTCACCACCTTCTCCAGTGTCAATCCGGAATCATCAAAAGAAAACCGCCGCCCAGAAGAATTGTCAAATGACAGTTTCGCAGACTTCCCAGAACCGTCATATGAATCAAAACTTCCGATGAAGCGCACACTGATGGAAGCCGCACCATTGAAAGAACGCGCCAACAAGAAGCAAAAGCGCGATGACACGCCGACTGCCTGTCTACCTGAACCGCACGAGATGCCTCCAGTTGAAGATGACGGCACCAAGCCGCCTTACAGCTACGCCACCTTGATCGGCATGTCGATTTTGCGCGCGAACAACCGGCGCTTGACCCTCGCACAGATCTACAAGTGGATCTCAGATACCTTTTCATACTACAAGAATAGCGACCCAGGTTGGCAAAACAGCATCCGACACAACCTCAGTCTGAACAAGGCCTTTATCAAGCAAGAGCGACCCAAGGATGATCCCGGTAAGGGCAACTACTGGGCGATTGAGCCTGGGATGGAAGCGCAATTCCTCAAGGATAAGCAAGTGCGCCGGGCCACCATGTCAAGCCTTCCTCTTCCTTCGATCCCCCAGCGCGACCTTGGTCTACCGCACTCCGCCAGCACTACCACATGGATGGTGCCACCTCCCCCTGCACATCACGCGCCTGCACCCAAGCCGCCGCCAGTTGCGGATTTGGACTCCGATGCGACTCTGCCTGCGTCTGACCCGGCTCTCCAAGATGATGCAGATGATGTTGTTCCGGTTTCTACTGCACATGCAGTCCCTCGCTCCTCACCCCCTCAAACTATCCGCTCGTCTCCTCCCATTGCTCCTCCTCGCTTTGCTCGTCAAGGCACTCCACCTACACCTACTCAATCTGGCCCTACCCCCGCCCCTCGCCCGCGCAAGCGCAAGTCCATCACGATGAATGATAGTGGCTACTTCTCGTCCTTGGAATCGTCGGCTATGAGGCCAAACAAGGCCGGTCATATATTGACCTCCGATTTGGATATCGAGCCCCCGCGCATCAAGCGAGGCCGTGCAGAAGAAGAGATTGCGCGCATGCGCAGTTCTTCTCATGACATCAGTCCTGGCCAGCCCACGACGCGCAAAAACCCCAACCACATCATTGGATCTTCCCCCCTGCGCAGTCAATACGTGAGCATGCTGCCGCCTCCATTGACTCCTGTGATCAAGTTCAAGAAGCCTGCAAAGCCACCGCCATCTGTGTCTCCCAACACCAACCTGCGAAACCACCGCCGTAAGATCCAACAAATGGTCAATTCGCCTATTAAGCATCTGGGTCTTACGGAGCAGGAACTCCCTTGGAGCCCGGCGTTCAACTTGCAGGACGAAAGCTATACCCCCAATGATCACTATAATACGACTTTTGATGTGTTCGAGGACACTGGCGCAGACCATATCTCCTATGGATCACCAGCGAAGCGTTCAGTGAAGCGTGTCCGGACCGACAGCGGAAATCCTGCTCTCGCTGACATCACCTCTGTGAACATCAATAGTCGCCTTGGGATACCTCCACTCCCCAGATCCAAGTCTGCCATATTCCCAGAGTCGCCGTCCAAGCTCCCGGAAACCCACCGGTTTGGAGATGCTGGCCAGGAAGATTTCTTCTCTTTCCACCTCTTCGACGAGGGTAATGACAGTTCTGGCGAAGTTGATGGTGTTGATCTGTTGCAAGGCTTCCAAAAGATTGGAGGTGTAAGCAAAGATGACACCCTGAAGCCCAAGTCGCTTCATTCGCGGCCCCAAATGGGCAACCGCAGCAGCACGACCTTGTTTTGAGACCCTAATGATTCTTCTTTTTGCGATGGGTACTCCGCGAGGCCCATCTTTGTGTTATCGGATTTGATTTTTTGTCGTTCTTGCATCGTACTCACTATCCCCCCCTCCTGTTCTCCTGCTTTTACCCGCATGTCTGATTTTGTTTAAGATGTTTCTGTTTCTGGAGTTCAAACCCGGTGGTGATTCCAAGGTCTTGTGGGCGGTGTTTTTCTTTGGGAGTTGGGCTGCACTGCAGCCGTTCTGACATTTCCACCGAGCCCGGGATGGCTGGTTACGACCTTAATGACGACGCTAAGATGTACATGAGCAAGCGATGGTTTTTACGATTTGGGATATTGGGGCTGGGGCTATCTTTATGGGAACTACGGGGACACATTGGCGGCGCTTTTGAATTGAATTAATGTAGTTAGCAATTGAAAGTCATTACTTGTTTGGTTATCAACAGTCACCTCTTCAGGCATCCTAAACAGAAAAGAGAACATGCAAGTACCGAAACGCCCGAGTAGACCCTTTTGTCCCATGCGTGTGGCTCACCGGATCACGTTGAGCTGATGCCCAAATCGCCACAAGTTCACCAGCCACGTCAACATAACCATATTTAGTCACTGCTTCCACAACCCCGACAGCCACAGCTGACACACTGAATCGTCTGGTCCTCCTTGAGCTGCGCTTTGGGCACTCGGCAGATACATGTCGAGTTGAAGTTGGTCTCTTTCGTCTGGACGCAGCGCAAGCAGCACAACTAGAAACACATAAGTTAGCAACTTTCTTTGAGAGGTAGCCTCGCACAAAATAGAAACTTACCTTTTCATACCCCTGCTTCTTCCACTTGGCAATCAAGTTGGCATCCGCATACCCATTCTTAAGAAGCCAGTCGTACAACTGCTTTGAAATTGCCTCTTTCTCGTAGTAAAGGTCATAGATGTATCGCGAACCTGTCAAATCAACCAAATGTCAGTAAAATGCATTCAATATGAGGGTGGGAGCATGATGCTAGTGTTCTGGTTGAGTGGCGGGGCAGCAACGTACGCTGATGGCTAATCTGGAAAATAGGCCAGAGCACCTCGTATTTCTTCTTTCCTTCATGCGACGCATTCTCGGCATCCTTCATCTTATTGCTGAACTCCAGTAGGGTATCTTCAATATCATCGAAGCCGGCGGGTGGTGGTTTGCGATTGCGAGAGGTGCGAATTGGAGGCATGGTGGCGATGTAGGAGGTGGAGGGTATAACAGGAGGAAATGCAAGTGTAGAGCAGAAGTGAATTAAAGCGAGACAAGCATTCTTCGTTTGGAAGAAAGAAGACGAGGGACCAAGTTGGCTATCGATAGGGAAAACTGCGCGTCATTTTTGTGCCATCCGCCACCGCCTTTGATTTTGAACGGCGACTTGTCCAGCTACGGCATCGTCTATCTCATCTTCACAAGCCATATAACGTTACCTCTTTCCCTTCAATTCTATTCCTCACATTCATTCGAAATGGAGACCCAACTCGATCTTACCAAGCTATCCGAGAACGACAAGAAGGAGCTCAACCAGGTCCTGAACAACGAAGCTCAGAAGGGCAACATCCAACAGAGTGAGTCCACTCCATCCATACAATCAGATATCTACAGTGGTCTATGATTCACGCACTATCTGTGTAAAAAATCCAATTGATCCGCTACATACTCTCCACACTCCCTCCCTTATAGTACCCATCACTAACAACCAACCCTCTAGCCGTCCACCACCTGAACGAGGTCTGCTGGCAAAAGTGCATCACCAGCAAGATCACCTCCGGCACCCTCGACAAGTCTGAGGAGGCATGCGCACAGAACTGCGTTGACCGGTGGATGGACACAAGCTTGTCCATCCTGCAGAAGCTGGAGAACATGCGCGGCCACTAAATGTGACTGCGATGTTGATCTTCTCTTTGCTCCTGCATGTTCCTTTATCTATCCGGCTGTGATGTGATGGAATCCCATTGCATTGTTTGAAATCTGTATGATAGTGATGACCTGGTACATGTATCTGGGTTGGGCTTGGCTGGGTTCTACTGGCTACGGCTTCCGGTATTGGTTTGGGATATAGATTGATGGATGGATTGCAAAACCACCACTTGTATACTAGAGTCAACATATGAACGATACTATCTTGTACTTGTACCTGTTCTTTGGTTTGGAGCAGCGAGTATGGGGCCCATCTATGGTCAGGTGTATCTTGTCTTGAGATTGGAATCAGTAAATATTTAGTAGAACTTGAAGGAGACCCATGCAAGACCGTAGAACTACCTCTTGTCAAGCTATAGGTCAGTGGGAACCAAGTTTAACTAGGAAAGATGGCCAAGGCGACCTCATCTATACTCGAAACCTTGGTCCTATGGGCATTTAACTATAATAGCGGTAACTCATGCGCCAGCACACAGACATAAAAAACGTTATGGCCAACCTACTTTACACTACACTGTTATGTCTACAATTTGAGCTCAAATGCCATGGCCCACAGGACGAAAGTCCACTATATTCAGGAAACACGCATAAAGGGTATGAAGTTTTTGATCATTCAGCACTCGATGCTGCAGGACAGCCGAGGAACACTGGCTGGTATTTTAGACCCCGGTGGGAACACAGTTCGCCAAAACCCAAACAAATCCATTCGTGAATTTTATCTAAACAATGGCCAGCTTGGTGGCAGCAATGTCCAGAGCATCGACATCAGGGGTGAGACGAGCGAAGGCCTTCTTGGTACCGTCGGGGCTATTTCAAATTAGTTAAGATCATACAGCGCAAAAGGTTGGGAAAACATACCGGACAAGGGTGTTAACCTTGACGGTGTCAACATCGTAGAGCTTCTTAAGAGCCATCTTGATCTGACGCTTGTTGGACTTGACGTTGACGATGAAGACAAGGGTGTTGTTCTCCTCGATCTTCTTCATGGCGCTCTCGGTGTTCAAGGGGTACAGGATGACCTTGTTGAAGTCGAGAGCGGGGGCATGAGGGATGGAGACGCGGGGGTACTTGGGGGACCGCGACAGCTGGAGGGTCTTGGGACGGTGGAAGGTGGTCGAGGTGCGGACCTTGCGGGACTTGTGAAGCTGTTGCCACAACCGCGTTAGCGATAGGCTCCAAAAGAAATTTCTTTGGTCTGCTTCATCTTGCAGCGTTACGTACCGAGGCGCCCTTGGCAACCGCCTTGGCGGCAGCGTTGGCCTTCTTGTTGCCTGTATAGAGGAAGCCGGTTAGCCTGGTGATCAAGAAAAAATTGTCTAGGTCGTGTGCCAGTTTGCGAAATTCGCCGTTTGGACGAGCGTGAGGTTCTAGACGAGACGAAGTTGATATATGAGATTCGTTGACATGTTCGATAGCAATGCAAGTGTGTTTCCCAGTATTCCCGGTGCTTTGCAACACAATATTGAAATGTCGTAAAATTTTCGAATCCAGATATCGAAATCGTTGTCCACGTCCACACGGCGAATTCACAATTGGCAATGTTGGGAGCGCAATTTAAGACCAAGGAATGTTTGTTTCAACGTACCGGTCTTGTTGTCGGAGGGGGCCATGGCTGTCGTCGGTCGCTGTCGATGATGCTTGTCACAGTGTCGGGAATCGAAGATTTGGAGGTGTATTCGCTTAGCGAAAACCCTAGCGCTGTGTGGGTCAGGTGATCTGAACGGGTGCTGAGTCAGTGGTTTTGGTTTACATACCAATACGGTATTGTCATTATACCATCCAATCAGACCGCATATAAATCTTGGCGTCTTTGGGCTTTTCTCCACCAGCTTTTCTTTGCAGGAGAATCTCAATCACTTTGTATAATCAGACTTCCAACAACATTGGGATCCAGTCTCCAGAGATTTATCTTCTCTCATACAACTGGTCATTCCATCTCGATCACGACATGGCTCCTCAAAAACGATCCAAGAGGCCGATGTTGTTGTCCCATAGTCGGCCTCCAATCGTCAAATCCAAGGAGGCTGCCCTTTCAGCCAAAGCCACCCGCAATCTCATTCGCTCTCATCACCGGCTTCTCAAGACCCGAGCACAAGCCTTGGCAGCTGGCGATGAGGCCCGGGTCAGCAGCATCGATGCTCAAATTGAAGCCAACGGAGGCTTGAAGAGCTACCAGACTGCAAGCAAGCTCGGCCAGTCAATGGACCGTGGTGGTGACTCCAGCAAGGTTCTCATTGACTGGATCAAGCCGCAGCTTAGCCAATGGAACAAGACCATCCCTCAGCTGCGGGTTCTTGAAGTTGGAGCTTTGAGCACGAAGAACGCCTGCTCTAACAACGCAGCATTGCATGTCACTCGAATCGATTTGAATTCTCAAGAGCCAGGGATTCTCAAGCAAGATTTTATGGAACGGCCTTTGCCGTCCAGTGATGCCGAACGCTTCAACCTCATCAGTCTATCATTGGTATTAAATTACGTTCCTGATGCCATGGGACGGGGTGAAATGCTCAAACGATGCGTCAAGTTCTTAACTTCAAAATGCTCTGTTGAGCTTGTTCCAACACTCTTCCTGGTTCTACCCATTGCATGTGTCGATAACTCGCGCTACCTGAATGAAGAAAGACTTAGGGAGATCATGACTTGTTTGGGCTTCCGCCTAACTCAGAGCAAGCGGACATCAAAGCTGGTCTTCCATCTATGGGAACACTCTGGTACCTACGCGCCTAAGGTCTACAAGAAGGAAGAGTTGAGGTCTGGCAAGACAAGAAACAATTTCGCCGTCATCCTCAACAAAGGCTGAAGTCTATACGAAAACAAACATTGATTCTTCAAGCACCAATGGTGCTGGTCACGGCTGAAGCTAGTTTGCAAGAATCTCCCGGGGCAGGAAAGCCCAGACAGTTCCCACCGCTGCCAGAATCGTCGAGATCACGAGCAAAATCCAATCAAGGATGCGCTCGCCCCGACTGATCTCCTTTCCAAATATCTTGAGGTAAAATGCAAGAGGGAAGATAATACAAATGGTGAAACACAAGAAGGAACCCATGAACGCCATGATGCGATCGAACGCTGGGAAGATGACGGACAAAATGACAATCGTGACCACGACAACAAGGCGAATAGCCGCCCGTGCGATCTGTTGAATCGTTTCGCGATGGTTCTCAGCAGGAACATTGCCTGCAACTCCACAAAGAACTTCAAATGTGGCAACCAGAGGCCGTGCACTATAACCTTGTCAGTTGTGTTTGAAAGAAAAACCAAAAGGTGGACTTACTTCAACGGCACCTTGGTGAGCGGGATGATTGAGATGAATACTATAATACAGACGGAAAGGACCTTGGGGTAGTTGGTGACGGTCAGAATGTTCGCAGTGATCTCGTCCTGGACGAAATCACCAAACATGAGCCAACCAATGATGGCCATTGAACAGTCGAGAGTAAACTAGTCTTGTCAAATTTGTTCTTGCATCTTGAGTCAAAGAAGTCTTACTGTAAAAATGTAGGTTACCCGCAGACTCTTTCCGTACTTCTGAGGATGTCTCATGTCGCGGTAGATGTTTGGGAAGACACCATGGCCACCCCAGGGTGCTTTCTCAAGAATTAGCTTCTCGTAAACCTCACAGCTGCTGGAAAACTTACACATAATTAGGCCAAAACTCAAGGGAATAGTAGCCCAGTTGTCAGGGAAGAGGAATGTGTTGGCTGGCTGCCGCAGTGAGCCTGGTGTATCTGGCTTGACGAGGCCATCGATGCAAATAAGAGCCACAACTTGGAAGTGTTAGTATTGGTGGACTGTTTTGAGAGCACAAAACCTACTAGATGTACAGGATATAATACCCAGGATGCTGGTGATACTGAGGAAACGCAATGGGAGGAAGTTGAGTGGGATCAGCACAACTCCACAGACAATCTTCCAATGTAAGATACTCAAGCCCGGAACCAAAGCGTATAGACTGTCTGCGAAAAGCACAACCAGGGCTACACATGCACCGAGAAGTTCCAAACAGAACAAAAAGCTGGTTATCAAACGAGCCTGCTGCCCGAAACTGATGTAGGCTAAATCAGCATAGGTGACGACACTCCGATCAACATCCAGACACTTAGCCAGAATCTTGGCTGTGTAGGAGGTTGTCACTGCCGAGAATACCAGAAAGGTCAATCCTAAAACCCAACCAGCATGCTTCATTGCCAGCGGAAGACTCAAAAGGCCGATACCAATCAACACATTGACAGAGTTGAAGACAGTCTGCGGGACTGTGGATTGGCCAACGATAACGTCCTCTTGGGTCCCATCTTCATGCTGGATATGCTTGACCAGCAATGGTCCCCGATCCGGGTCTCCTGCGCCATCGACATGGATATTCTGATCTCTGTGGAATTGAATTGCATGTCTTCGAGTCGACTCGCTCATGCGCGAAGAGATCGTGCCATATGAAGTCGCAAAGCTTCTATCAAAAGACGAGGCCAAAAGCCCCGTGCTGGGAATCCCATGCTTGAAATGCTCTGGTCCATGCGAGTCCTCTTCGACTGGCTCATCTTCCTCCGACTCATCACGAAGCAGAGGTCGTTCGACATCAGAGTTGCGGCCCCAAGATCCCCAAGGCTGGTTGCTTCTCGATCCATATTCCACGCCAGTAGCAATTCCGAATTCATCATCCGACTCTGAAACAAACGAGGACCGCCGAGGAATTACCTCCGGGAATGCTGCAGCTCTCTGCCAGGAACGCGCAAAGTTATCCAGACTGTTGGGTCCACCCGCTTGACGGAACCGGTTTGAGAACGACGACGACCTTTCCCGAGGTTAGCAGGATGAACGAGCCACGAGAGCGCAAGGTACTTACCTCTCTCTGCCCCAGGTCCCCGACTCGATCGGACTCCCGCGATCCAGATGGCCATAGTCGTAGGAGCTTGGTACCACGGTTGTTGGTGTTCTCAGTGAGCCATCCAGCGAGTCGTTGTCATGGTCTGTTCCCGACATGGTGATACTACTCAAGCGCAGAGAAGGTTTAAAGGGGAAAAGAAGAACAAGGAAGGGAAAACTCTCCCCTCTCTTATCACATGGAGATAGCTCCAACAGATAAGGCGAGTCTGGAAGATCAAAAGAGTCTAGCGCCAAGGAGCTTCCCGTAGAGACTTAGTGTGGGGAGTGCGGATCTCGCTTTTTTTTTGATAAGACTGCAGGTTATTGACTAATTGTAGTGACCAGATGTCTAATAGATCCAGCCAAGGAGGCAATGGAGGAAATTTCAGGGATGGTCTCATATCAAGAATATTTCTAGAGGTCCGAACTCGGGCCTGTACTCTTGCAGTGTTTGATATTTACGTAAGGCAGATGCAGCCTCGATCAACAAACAATTCTAGACAATTATACATCTAGAGGTTTACATAGGGGTAATTATAATTTCATGCATGCCCAATAGTACACAGGTACCGGTACCTGAAACCCCAGCGTTGGGCCATGACCCGACAAGTACCATGTACGTCACGAGCCCTGGCTTACCTCAGCGGTCCCAGCCGACCCCTCGAACAAACTGTGTACTTCCCACCCCACGAGGAAATTTGCCGCTTTGTACGTCAATCAAGTTAAGGTGTGTGGTCTCGACGTGCCTGGTTTTTCGCGTGAAAAATTATTGGTGTCATTTTGCTGGCTTTCTTTTGCTCATACTGACCGTTTCTAGGTGTTAAACAGGTCAGATCAATTCTTTGAAGTTCCCGCTTCACTTACTGACCTTTTCAGGCGTCCGCAGGCAAGGCCTTTGATACTTTTCCCCCTGATTGTCCTTCGCCTCGCCCAAGATGAGCGCTCCTCAGCCGAACGAAGCTGATAAGAACATCGAGATCTGGAAGGTCAAGAAGCTGATCAAGCGTCTTGAATCCGCTCGCGGAAATGGAACTTCCATGATCTCGCTCATTATTCGTACGTCGCCCCGGTCTCAAGCCACCCGTCGCCGCTAACTCGCAAATCCAGCCCCCAAGGATCAGATTTCTCGGGCCGCAAAGATGCTGGCTGAAGAATACGTATGTTTTTCCTTGAATAGATCTCCGAGCGTCATCTAACCGCGCACGATCAGGGTACCGCCTCCAACATCAAGTCCCGAGTCAACCGTCTCTCCGTCTTGTCCGCCATTACTTCCACCCAGCAGCGTCTCAAGCTGTACAACAAGGTTCCTCCCAATGGACTGGTTGTGTACTGTGGTGAAATTATCACCGCCGAAGGAAAGGAGCGCAAGATTAACATCGACTTCGAACCCTTCAAGCCCATCAACACATCGCTATACCTTTGTGACAACAAGTTCCACACCGAGGCCTTGAGTGAGCTCTTGGAGTCGGACCAGAAGTTCGGTTTCATTATCATGGACGGTAACGGTGCTCTGTTCGGTACTCTCAGTGGTAACACCCGTGAGATTCTTCAACGTCTGTCTGTCGATCTGCCCAAGAAGCACGTGAGTATATCTACTTTTTCTCTCGGCATTCCATACTGATATCTGAAAAGGGCCGTGGAGGTCAATCCGCTCTGCGTTTCTCTCGTCTACGTGAGGAAAAACGTCACAACTACGTTCGCAAAATTGCCGAATTGGCTGTTCAGAATTACATCACCAACGATAAGGTCAACGTCGCTGGTCTCGTCTTGGCTGGTTCCGCCGATTTCAAGAACGACCTTAACCAGTCCGACCTGTTCGACGGCCGCCTGCAGGCCAAGGTTATCAAGATTGTCGATGTTTCTTACGGTGGTGAGAACGGTTTCAACCAGGCTATTGAACTTGCTGGCGAGACCTTGAGCAACGTCAAGTTCGTCCAGGAGAAGAAGCTCATTGGACAGTACTTCCAGGAGATCTCTCAAGATACTGGCAAGGTCTGCTATGGTATTGAGGATACCCTCAAGGCTCTGGAGCTTGGTGCCGCTGAGATTCTGATTGTCCACGAGAATCTGGAGATCACCCGCTGGGTCATGAAGAACGCCGCGGGTGCTGAGGTTGTGGTCCACACCAGCAAGGCCCAGGAATCCAACCGTGAGCTTTTCCAGGACAAGGAAACTGGTCTCGATATGGAAGTTGTCGACTCCGGCTCCTTCCTCGAGTGGCTTGCCGAGGCTTACAAGGACTTCGGTGCTAACCTGGAGTTCGTCTCTGACCGATCTGGCGAAGGAAACCAGTTCGTCAAGGGATTCGGTGGTATCGGTGCCATTCTCCGATACAAGGTCAACTTTGAACAGCTTGCCGATTACAGCGATGACGACGAGTTCTACGATGGTATGCTTGGTCTTTCTCCGTTTCTGATTTTATAACTAACTTTAACAGATTGACGGCGTTGCCCCCTCGCAGTGAGCGAGGATGAACGGCCAGAAGCTCCCGCGGCGGGTCTTTTGACGGCTCGCCCTGTGGATCAAGAAGGTGGCTCCCGTGATGGAACCAAGGCATCCGTGAAGGATAACCAACAAAGGCCTGGTCCACGCACAATGAAGCCACTCAGAGGTATGTTCAATCCCGACGATAACGATATCAGAATTGTTCTAACATGTAATAGGGTCATCCAAGCTCCGTGATATGCACACCGAGGTCACCTCGGGGTCTGATATGAAGTGGTTTAAATTGCAATTTAGGTTGGATCTGATTCTCGGCAAACTTTGGTCATCCACCGCTGCTTGCTCGACTTACTTCATGTAAGACAGATGGTGTTGGATTGTTATTTCTCGGCCAGTTATATGCAAATTCATTTAGAATGGCATTGCCTGGTACTTCATTCGTTATTGCTCGTTATTTTTCAAAAAGTACCCGAAAGGGTTGGTATAGATGGTGCCCGTGTTTGTCAAGTTATCTTTTTATCAAGCGGAGTACGCTTCGTAGAAAGGAGAACGAGTTTGATATTTTGTCATTCATTCATATGGTAAACCGAAACTTATGTAGCATGGTGCTCTTTACATGGATCAAAAAAAAATCACACGTAGACTGCACTCGGGATTATGTTCAAATGCTTTCAAAAATTGCTCCCGCTCAGTTGATCCTTCCAAGTGCCTAGGTCCTTGCATGTTTCTGTGACTTGTCGGAGGTCATTGAGAGCCTTGTGGACAGCGTCCTTGTTCTCATCTGAAGGAGTTCTTCCGCACTCAACAAAGAAGATGTATTGCCACGGTTTCTTTAGACTTGGCCTTGTGTTGATACTTGTGAGGTTCAGACCATGGCTCTTGAAGATGATCAAAGCATTCGCCAATGCACCGGCCGACGTATGATCAATGGTGAAAGAGATCAAGGTCTTGTGCGTGGTGTCAAGAGCAGGCTTCTGGTCTAGTGTGGGTGGGTTCGGTTGCTCAAATTCCAGCTGAGCTGTGCGCTCAGAAAAGACATTTCTCAAGATAAGGAAGCGAGTGGTGTTGTCGGCACGGTCCTCGATGTTTTCCTGGAGTATGTCCACTCCATGGTGCTCTGCTGCAAAGCGACTGGCAATGGCACCGCCCTTCTCCTCGGTCTCCTTGGAAACAATCTCAGCACCCTTGGACGTGGATGAAACATCTTGCCTCTCGACGCCCTTGAAATACCGAGAGAGGAAAGTCTCACACTGACCCCAGGCCTGCGGGTGTGTATATAGCTTGGTGATTGAGCCATCGTAGCCGGCCCAGCCGCCGGGATATGTGCCTTTGCGTGCGAGGAGACAATGGTGGACTGTGAGGTAATATTCCCCACACACCTTCACATCTTTATATGAATCATCCCGATCTGCCAAGAGATCTAGCGTCTGCACCACAGATCCATTGGTGGAATTCTCGCACGGAATCACGGCGTAGTCGACGGTCTTCTGCTGAAGAGCGGCAAAAGCCTCTGCAAAAGAAGCATGAGGCAGCAGATCTGCCGAGATCTTGCCAAAGGATTCCGCAGTGGCCTATAGATCAGGGGGTCAATCGTCAGATCTGGTGCAACGCGGGGTACATCGGGGGGCTGACCTGATGCGAAAACGACGCCAATGGCCCAAGAAAGGCTACCCTCAAGCGAGTCATGATTGCAGTGTGGAAATGAAGAAACAAATCCCCCTAAATCCACTCAGCTGAACATTTCCAGACCCGCCGAGCGGTGTGGGCTCCGATATTCCAACATTGGCAATGAGCGACAAACAAACAGACCAAACGATCTGAGATCGAACTCCGGGGTTGAGACATCATCCGTCCTTTTCCCGTACTCTGCCCCATGACATTTCCACTTCGACCCCTGGTCTCTCTGAGACATGGATCTCGGACTTATTCTTCGCTCTGTGAGCGCTTGCATCGCGAACTGACTTCAAGGAAACTCCCGTTGACTTACGACTACCTACACCCGCAGCCCTCACACCTTCTAACCCTTACGCTCCGTGATCTTGTACCACAATCTAAAACTGCCGAAGATTATGCGACTCTGCCTTCAATACAGAGTGCTTCTCCCTTGCCGATCGGCCACCACTTGATTTACTTCCCGCCGCAGGTGACATTGTCCCAACTACTCCCGGACTGCACCGACACACTACATACCCCGGGAGAACCATTCAACCGACGTCTCTGGGCAGGTGGAAACTTAAGATTCCCCGCATCTAGTCCTGCTTTAGATGGCAGCCGCGCAGTCTGCATCGAGTCCATCCGCAATGTGGCAGTCAAGGGTCGCGAAGGGGACGAGAAGGTGATTGTCACTATTGAGCGGCGCGTCGGCAATGTCCCAGAAGGAGAAAGTGCCGACGCAACCTGGGATCGGATCTGGAAAGAGAACGAAGAAAATCCAGGGGAGTCGTCGGTCATTGAGAATCGGGATCTCATCTTCATGCGGTTGAAGACCGAGGCACAAATTGAGGCTAATAAAGAGCAATTTGGAAAGCCTAGTAGGATTGTCAAACGTGCGTATTTCTTTCTCCTTGAACCTGGGTTTTGAATTGTAAGAAAGGTTCCTGACATTCTGGCGCAAACTATAGCTCCCTCCAATGCGACGTTCCACCATGCTCTCATGCCGACTAAAGCGCTGCTATTTCGATTCTCGGCTCTAACATTCAATGCTCATTCTATCCATCTGGACAAGGGATATACTCAAAACCAGGAAGGATACCGTAATCTTTTGGTACATGGCCCCTTAACACTCACGCTACTGTTGAGTGTGCTTCAGCACCATTTGAAGCAAGTGAATCTCTGCATCAGTAACATTGAATATAAAAACCTGGCTCCTCTATTTGTTGAAGAGGAGCTAGTTATATGTGGAAAGCCCAAGAATAATACTGGAGCTTGGGATGTGTGGATTGAAGGCCAGGATGGAGGGTTGGCTGTTCGAGGTACTGCTTGGACAAGGACCTTGTGTTAATATCATTAATAAATGCATATTCTTGAAATACTTCAGTTCAAAACAATTCAAGTTGTCATAGTACTAACCGAGCAGTTTTATAGATGAGGCTCGAACTAAATGGAAGCGATGCTGTAATCACGGATGTCGGATAAACTCTGCCGGAGCTAGTTTTGCACACGTTTTATTCTTTCCCACCTGCCCCTTCCTCTTCTCTTCAACTCAGTAACCTGGCTTTCTCTGAAAGCGCAATGATACACACTGTGATCAATTAACCTAGCATTTTTCTTCAGCTCCAGTCATGGACTTCTTCTGGCAGGCTCCCCCAGTCACTAGGTATGCACGTCCCTTCGGATCTCTCAAGTTCATCTTGCTAACTTACTTTTCAGGACTCTTACAGCCTTGACTCTGGTTCAATCCGCGTTGGTACATGGTGGTTTAATGAGCGGCTACCATGTTCTCTACCTGCCGAGTCTGATCTTTAAATGGCGCCCGGAAATTTGGCGACTGGCCACCCCATTCTTACTAACCGGACCTGGCTTGTCCTTTGTCTTTGACCTATACTTCAGTATGATGCCTCGGTATCACAGTCTTTGATCGGGGTGCTAATGTACCAACAGTGTACCACTATGGCAGTTCTCTGGAGACAGGCTCGGCTCGCTTTGACCGACCTGGAGAGTTCTTCATTTACCTGTTGTTTGTAGCCTTCACCCTCATGGTAAGTGACTTAGAGTTCTATTTGTTCTGCTTGCATTCTTTTCCTTTCCCCTCGCATTATCTGCCCGCCCAGCCTACAAATCTAGCTGAAGCGGTTCCTGGAAGCGAGGGAGATTACCCCTGCGTCACGTGCAGCACCGTCAATTCGCAAAATATAGGTGCTGCATGCGGTGTGGGAATGGTGGGATTGCCTTTGAGATAGCCGGCATGATTCTATATCGTGTCGGTTTTTGGGCGCCCTACATTTATATACATCTATTCTTTCCAATACCATTCACTATTCTTCCTACATCCTACATACTCGTTCCGGTAGTTGAATCGTTGATAAATGCTAACTTTTCCCAAGCTCACAGCAGGTGCTTATTTCGGGGCGATGGTTCTTACAAGTCGTAAGCTTTCAGTACTTCTTTTTTAGTACCAGACACTGACTGGTCCCAGCCTTGATCATGGCTTTCGTCTACACCTATTCACAGGATAATCGAGGCAAGCGCGTGAGATTCTACATCATCGATATTCCCGTGGTATTTCTGCCATACGCATTGCTCCTCGTCACAATGGTGATGGCCGGGTGGCCATCTGCTGTGATAGAGAGTATGGGCATTATCTCTGCTCATCTTTACGACTTTATTACTCGCATTTACCCTACTTTCGGTGGCGGACGAAACTTCATCGTGGTCCCAGCCTTCGTGGAGAGATACTTTACTCGACACACCGTGAATGTTGGGTATCGCGGATACGGAACAGCCAGTCGCCCAGCACGAGCAGCCGATCAGCCTGCAAGTGGACCACTCCCATCATCCTGGGGCTGGGCCTCTGGTGCATCAGGTTCCTGGAATGGCAGAGGTGCTGGTCGCAGACTTGGTTAGAAGTCTGCAGATGTGTAAATCCTGTTGGCTTGTATTTGGCAGACGAGTTGGTGTGCATATGGTCATAGATAGTGACAACTGGCACAACATTCAGCTATTCAACCATTCACAAAAGAATAATGTATCAATAAGAACTACATCCCAGTTGAACTAAATTTAAGAATATTCAAGGAATAGAGAAATAGACCGTTGATGTCTGGAAAAAGAGACGGTCACGTGTGGTTGCCCACCGCCGGGCGCTAAACCCTTTCGGGCACTGGAGCTGCCGCACTCGCAAAATTTCCTTCGACCAAATTTTCGGGGCTTCAACCGCGCAATTCCTCAACGACAACCACCAAAATGGCCGTCGTCAAGACCTCGGAGATGGACTACGCCATCAAGCCTGAAGCGTCCGTTCCTACCGTTAACACGGAGGATTGGCCGCTTCTGCTCAAGAACTATGAGAAGCGTACGCTTGTCCCCAAAACTCCATGCTTGACCCAGCCGACATTGACATTTTTACTTGTATAGTGCTCGTCCGGACTGGTCACTTCACCCCTATCCCCGCTGGCTCTTCTCCTTTGAGCCGTGACCTCAAGTCTTACATCAGCTCCGGTGTCATCAATCTCGACAAGCCGTCGAACCCTTCCAGTCACGAAGTCGTCGCTTGGATGAAGCGTATCCTCAGGTAAAATCAGTTTCCATCCACCTCAATGGAATCAATACTGATCTCTTCATACTATAGATCCGAGAAGACTGGTCACAGTGGTACCCTTGATCCCAAGGTCACTGGATGTTTGATCGTTTGCATTGACCGTGCCACCCGCCTGGTCAAGTCTCAGCAGGGTGCTGGTAAGGAGTACGTCTGTGTCATTCGTCTCCATGAGAAGATCCCCGGTGGTGAGGCTCAGTTCCGCCGCGCTCTGGAGACCTTGACCGGTGCGCTCTTCCAGCGTCCCCCTCTCATCTCTGCCGTCAAGCGTCAGCTCCGTGTCCGTACCATCTACGAGAGCAAGCTCTACGAGTTCGACAACGAGCGTCACCTTGGTGTCTTCTGGGTCAGCTGTGAGGCTGGTACCTACATCCGTACTCTCTGTGTTCACCTTGGTCTCCTCCTCGGTGTCGGTGCCCACATGCAGGAGCTCCGCCGTGTCCGCTCCGGTGCCATGGACGAGTCCAAGGGTATGGTCACCCTCCACGATGTGATGGATGCCCAGTGGGTCTACGACAACCAGCGCGACGAGTCTTACCTCCGCAAGGTCATCAGCCCCCTGGAGTCCCTCCTCACCTCCTACAAGCGTATTGTCGTCAAGGACAGCGCTGTCAACGCCGTCTGCTACGGTGCTAAGCTCATGATCCCCGGTCTGCTCCGCTACGAGTCCGGCATTGAGATCAACGAGGAGGTCGTCCTCATGACCACCAAGGGTGAGGCCATCGCCATTGGTATCGCGCAGATGTCCACCGTCGAGCTCACCACGTGCGACCACGGTGTTGTTGCCAAGGTCAAGCGTTGTATCATGGAGCGTGACCTCTACCCTCGCCGCTGGGGTCTCGGACCCACCGCTCTCGAGAAGAAGAAGATGAAGTCCGCTGGCCAGCTCGACAAGTACGGCCGCACCAACGAGGCTACCCCCGCCAAGTGGAAGAGCGAGTACAAGGACTTCAACGCTCCTCTCGATGCTGAAGAGTCTGCTGCCGCTCCCGCCATCACCCCTGCCCCCAAGGAGGACTCCCCCGAGCCCGTGAAGGCCGAGGCTGACAGCGATGACAAGAAGCGCAAGAGACATGAGGGCGAGACTGCCGAAGAGAAGGCTGAGCGCAAGAAGAAGAAGAAGGAGAAGAAGGAAAAGAAGGAGCGCCGGAAGTCCAAGCAGGACGATAGCGATGACAGCGACTAGATGCACTCCAGGAAGGCCATCAGGTCCCCTGTACCATATTTTGCTATTTCCGGAGTCTTGGGTCAAAAGGGAAATTCGTTAGTCTATTCTACAGTTTCATATTGAAGGCTGATTATGTGAATGGTCAATCACCAGTAAAATAAACCAGTAGATTCAAGTAAAATAGAATAAAATAAAAGTACTCCATGCTCTGAAGTAAATGACATTACATCTGAACGTTGCACCCGATGACGCGGATCTCGTGACTTCTCTCTCCGCATCCCGGAGCTTCCCCTCCACTCCGTCTTCTGATCACCTCACTCGACTACTTAATCTGGGACTTGAGGATCTTGATCTGAGATAAAAAGAATCTCTGGTCACCATGGCCGCAGAGCTGACATCAACAAAGCTCAACCCGGAGAGCCACATCATCCTGGTAACTTCTCCGCACGTCTCATGATAGAGGTGCTCTAACAGCCCCAAACAGGACCAACCGCTTCTCCGACTTCCACATGAACTAGCCCGCAGAAACTTCAAGTCCGTACAACGAGCCGTCGAACGCGAAAAGGAATATGTTCTCCCCGCACTCAAGGACACGGCCAACGCCTCACTCTCCAACACACAAACCCCCGACCAGACACTTGCCGCCCTCGACGCGATGATATCCCGAATGCAAGGTCTCAAGAGGAAAATGGAGGGGCTGCAGGAAGAAGAGAAGAAAATTCACCATCAGTCTCGCAAGCGCATCCAGCATCTGGAGGCGCTGCACAGGATCCCCAATCTAGCCGATGTCAAATACGACCAGTGGGCAAGAGTACGGCTGGATCGACTACTTGTGGATCATATGCTGCGATCTGGGTATTCAGATAGCGCAAAGCAACTAGCTCAGGAGAGGGGAGTTGAGGATCTTGTGGATCTCGGTGTCTTTACGCAGTGCCAACGAATCGTTGAAAGCCTGCGACGGGGAGAGACGAAGGAAGCACTGCAGTGGTGTGGAGAGAACAAGGCAGCCTTGAAAAAGAGCCAGGTAAGATACGGCAGGGCTATATTTGTATTAGGACTGGCTAACTCGAGATATCTACAGCACAACCTTGAATTTGAGCTCCGGCTGCAGCAATTCATCGAGATGGTCCGAACCCAGGACAAAACAAAGAAGATCGAAGCAATTGCTCATGCCAAGAGATATCTCATACTAAACAATCAAGCTCAAAACCCGGAGATCAGGCGTGCTGCCGGTTTGCTTGTCTTTAAGCAAGATACACGAGTTGAGCCTTACAAGGTATGACAAGCAAGTCTGGCAAAGGGACGTTCTGTACTAACAAACACAGTCACTCTTCTCACTAGACCGCTGGAAAGTGCTTTCAGATCTCTTTGTAAAAACTCACCATGAATTACTTTCATTGCCATCACAGCCTTTACTACATATTGCACTTTCAGCCGGACTTTCAGCTCTCAAAACACCCCTATGCCACTCTGCATACACATCATCCAGCTCAAATTCACAGTCAACCTCGACATCAGTATGTCCGATTTGCTCGACCGAACTAAATGAGCTCGCCCGCACAATGCCATACGCCCATCACTCCAAGAGTTACGTGGAGAGCGACCCTATCGTCCTACCTAATGGCCGCGTCTACGGACAACAGCGGTTAATAGAAATCAGCACCAAGATGGGATCTGTGGAAGCGGGCAAGGTCAAAGACCCGACAACGGGTGAAGTCTTTGACGAGAGCGAGATGAAGAAAGTGTATATAATGTAGAACGAGATTTTACCTTTCCTGTTTGGCCTGATTTACCCAATGCTTTTTTATTTTTAGCGGCTTAGCGAATAAGCAGTTTGAAACGGATAATTTATACATTCAAGGGACAGGCCATGCTTTGCCTTATATATTCAAGCAATGAATCAACTGCAAGAGCAGCTGTGCATCTACCTCAGTCGCTATCACTAGACGAATCATCCCTTTCCCTTTTTTGCGTCTTCTTGTTGAACTTGCCCTTCTGCTTCCACTTAGGCTTCTCCTTCACCTCAAAGACATACATCCTCGCATCCCGATCCTCCCCCCTCCACCCACCTCTCTCTCCATTCTTCCCTTCAATCTCTCCAATTGTGCGTGCATGTGAATATCCCTCATAAGAAGCCCACGGGAACCGGAAACTGGTAACAACAATCAACCCAGCATGTCTAGCCAGATCCTTGATATTCCAAAGCGTATAAGGTTCCGCCTCGAACAAAGTAACGAGAATCTGACCAGCCCCAGTCCGAATCCCCTTCCCAGTCGTCTCATCTCCACCTTCTCCCTCCTCATCGTCATCTTCGTCATCATCCTCAGACTCAGAGATTTCCCATTCATCCTCATCGGCATCCATAAGCGGAGGCGCCTTGGAAACAAGAGGCACACAAGCCTTAAAGAAAGCAACCAGCAACTCCTGATTCGCCCGCACCTGCCGATTAACATCCGTCGAGAGTCCGCCCACATGTGGGAAATTGAAACAAATCACATCCCACGGTCCACCAGACTGGTAAGGCGGATCTGGGGTTTTGGGCTGGAACCAGCCTGGTCTTTTGCGCTCGTGGCGGTGGAAACCTGTGCGGATTTCTTTGGCGCCGCCGCCTGGACTGCCGAGTTTGCGGGCGTCCACGGAGAAGAGTACTTTGGGGGCTTTTTGGGTGGTTGAGTCTTTGCTCTCTTCTATGCCGTTTTCTGTTTCTGTCTCTTTCTTTGGCTTTTTGCTGAATTCTAGGATTGCTTGGATATTCTCCTGCGCTTGTGGGTATTTGCCTTCTAGTGTGTCTTTGGAATCGTAGCATGTTGCGCATAGATTGCGGCATTTGTATTGGGTTGCCAGAGAGCGGGCGAATGAAAAGTCCCCTGTTGATTGTTAGCATGTATTCTCTGGGATTATGCTGGACCAACTGTAGATTGAATTATGCATGTTTTTGTCTTGACAAAGTTTGCACATTGGTTCCAATCTCATATATCAGAATGGAGATGGTATGATCTCACACCAGGAATTGAACCATCAACCCGAATATACATGGACTTTCAAGACAAGGAGCAGACATGAAATCGAAGCAACAGAAGAACACAAAAGCAAATTATACAAAGCTCACCTTCGCCAACAAGGAGAACCCGATCCTTCCTCAAAAATGGAACAATAGGTCTCTGGTTTGCCTGCACAGAACCCTTCTTGACTGTAGTCTCCTTTGCCTGACCCTGACTCTGACTCTGGCCATTTCCATTCTGTCCCTTGGGAGGGTTAGAAGGCTGGCCGGAAGGTTTGCCAGGACCGCGGGAGCGGGCTGGAGCAGGGGCTCCTTTGATTTTCTTGTTATTGCGTGGCATATAGCTGTCTATCAATGCCTTTATATGTGGAATTTGTTTATGCGTGAAACAATTCAAGCATATAAGAGGAGTTGGTGAGGTGAAGATGCAAGAAGGAAAATCGCGGGTCTGGGTTAAGCTCGGCCAATCATAGATCCGGACTATTCACCTCTTGATATCATGAACATAGTTTATATTCTTCGCTTTCGGCAATCAATTGAAATCAAACTACATGATATTTGTTACAAGCTTACATGTACATTGGTATCATTTCCAATAATCATCATATTAGTTATCCAAACACACGTTCTATTGGCAAAACCAGAGCGCGGCATAGCTATGTACAGGAACAAGACAGGCAAGAACAGATGCTATGGCCGCATGTCAAAAAGAAAAAGATTAAATCATACTTTGATCGAGATCAGGGGAAGGGGAATTTAGAATAGAAACATTTTGTTTCATAAATCCCCTCTATAGATGCCAGGCGAGGGAAAGAAATGAAGAAAGAGAGCGAGGAAGAAGAGGGAAGGAAGAGAAAATCAAACACCAACACCGACCAAAGTGATCACAGGAATACCCCCATCAGGGCCAGACAAGAAAAGGCCCATACTTCGGCTGCAATGAAACGTGAATCATAATGTCACATGCAAAGATAGCACCGGTGTTTGGGCGGTGAACTTTTGATATATGCGCTGACCAGTCAGATACATAGTGCCAAATGCTGTTTAAGAGCGCAATGAGTCTCTCATGCTCTGGCTGCTGGCGCTGACGGGTGTAGGGAGGACACCGGTCTTGGGCTTGGCGTTCTGCTTGATCTTGGCAATAGCGTAGACGATACCACTGACGAAGCCAATACCAATGGCGGAGACACTGGGGAAGGTGACAGGTGCATCGAAGAAGACAAGTCCCGACACGGCGATAGGCAGTTTGTTAAGCGCGCCAACCATGGAGTACGTGGTGGAAGAGGTCACTCGGACACACCAGGCGGAGGTATACGAGATAAAGACGGACGAGGCTCCGGACAGGACCATGGCGAAGAAAATGCCGTCGCGGTTGGCCTCGGGGAAGTTGCGGGCCAGGTTGGCGGAGGACCAGTCCTCGACCAGGAGGGTGAGAACGATCAGAACGGGAATGGATAGAAGGTTGTTGTAGAACATGGCTGAGAGGAATATGTGTTAGCGAGCATATCAATCAAGACCAAAAAGGCCACTTACTGTCAAAGTCCTTGAAGTTGGTCAGCTTGATGCGCTTGCGCATGCCCAGGACGTAAGACGAGGTGCACAGGCAGTTGATCAACATCCAGACGTATCCAGCGTTCAAGGTCGAGACCTTGCTGGAGGTGTCACCGGTGCTCTCGACGGCGTGCTTGATATCAGCCCAGGCGGCAATGAGCGAGCTGACAACCATGAGACCGAAGGAGAACAGGGTCAGGCTGGTGACGGAGCCACCGAACCAGAGAACCTCACCATACGCGATCAGGATAATGGTCAAATTCTTGAAGATAGTGTAGACGGGAATCGAGAGGAATTGGAGAGCCTTGGAGCCAGTGTAGATCATGCCGATCAGGAGTAGCGTAATCGGGAACCCTAAAACCAAAGAAAATGATATGATTAGTCGCTGAGACTTGAAACCTGGAATTGCATCTCTTACACTTGCGTGCCTCATCGGCACTGAAGTCGCGGTAGGTGATAAGACCCATAGACTTGCAGGTCTGGATCGCGGCAATGCAGACCAAAGACTGTTTTATATCAGATATCGGCTCTAAGTGAGGCTACAATTGTCTCCACGTACCTGAACACAGAGCAAGAGGAAGTTCAAGTTAAAGTCCAGACCCGATAGAACATACTTGTTCATCACGGTCATCATAATTGAGGATCCACAGTATGCCAGAACGGGGAGGGCTGGACTGTTGGACATAGAGCTGGGGACGGCGCGGGGCGAGGGATTTGGCGGAGGCGCAGCCTCAAACTGCTTCCCTGAGTCGAGCTTGTTCATCTCGATGCTGTAGTCGTCGGACTTCTTGTCTTCGACCATGTTGGCGGTTGGCGGTTGGCGGATGGCGGTTGATTCAGGAGTCGGGGGTGGAGGAGGCTTGAAATGACAGAAGCACCAGCCGAGACAGGATCACACAGGATCACAGAGTCAAAAGAAGGGAGTGTTCGCGAAGTGACCGAAGAAAATAAAGGGAGATTTCGACAACAACAGATTTCGCCCGGAAGCAGCGCGTTACGTAAGCAGGGGATTTAGGGGGCTGACTCAGCATTTAATTTTATTTATAGTGAAACAGTTACTGTAACGTTGTAAGAAAATGGCTTTAATATAAGGAAGAATGAAGAATATAAACTAGAGTCACTGCAATTGTGACTGTTGAGACCATTGAGCTAGTCGAGATATTGTGATCAATTGGGATTTTGTATATTTATCTACGAGTACTGCTTCCCCTGAAGCAAGGCAAGAAAATACATATTTTCTCGAAATATATACAAGATATAACTTCAATAACCAAAGATATGTTATAAATTGCAGAAATCCGAATAAAATATCTCTTTGTCTACTTCTGAACCCAATGTTCAACGCGTAAACTACCGAGTCCAATAAACCGGTGGAGCTCCGATCTTCCACTCCAACCCTCCTCACACACACCTCAATCCAATCTACAATATACAATTTCAGGCTGGAAGAAGAGCCAAATACATAGGAAACACCCTTACCAAAGCAACCACCAAAACCAAAACAACCAAACCCCTCCAAACCCATCAACGACATCCACCAAAATGACCGACTCAGACGACGAAGCCCTCTTCGCAGCGCTCGAAAAAGAAGATGACACAAGCTACCGCGATGCCCGAATCCAACAACTAAACGAAGAATTCGCGTCCAAAAAGAACAACCACAGCACAAACCCCAACCCAGGCAGCACAAACATTCTCCAAAACGAAGTCTACCCAACCCTCTCAACGGACCAATCCGTGCTAGACTTTACAACCCGCACCAGTCGATGTCTAGTACACTTCGCACACCCCGATTTCACACGGTGCGCTGTAATGGACATGCGACTAGGCGAGCTAGCGAGCGCGCACTACGAGGTTTCATTTGCGCGCGTGGACGTGCGCAACACCCCTTTCATTGCCGAGAAACTGGGTATCAGGATCTTGCCTTGCGTTATTGGGTTTAAGGATGGGGTTGGGGTTGATCGGGTTGTTGGGTTTGAGGGGCTTGAGGCAAGGGGATTTGATGGGGTTGAAGGGTTTGAGGCTAAGAACCTGGAGAAGAGGTTGGTTGCCAAGGGGGTGCTTCTGCAGGCTAAGTTGAGTGGTGGGGATGATGATGATGATATTCGTGATGATGACAGTGGTGATGATGAGCAGGGTGGGAGGAGGACTTTTAGGAGAATTAAAGGGAAGAAAGGGATCCGGAGTGCCAATCCCAATGTGAGAAACCGAGGAGACGACGACGATGGTGATTGGGATTAAGATATGATGTTGGTATGTGGTGGTTATGTATAGTAACGGATTATGTTCAGTTTAAACCCATACCGAGTGATATACCTCTACTTCTAGCCTCGAACTAGGAAAATTTGAAAAATGGATTGGAGCCAGACACGAAAGAAAAGCACTAAGACTGTCATCATAGAATTACAGGCAAAAAGATCAAAGACCGTAAACAAAAGCCAGGCAACCAAAACCAAAGAGAAAAGAAGCAGGATAGAACCAGCTCCCTAGAGTTACAACAAATGCCTTGAAGCCGAGAACAGATAGGAACAGAGGAATAAGGAACAGGGGGAATTCTATACGAAGCAGTTTCGGAATGGTGCAACATCCATCCGCATGGATGCCCTTGAAGAACAGAACGTAAATTTAGGAATCGGAGACGCAGACATATTCTAAATCGCCACGTTCTTCATTTCACCCAGCACCTCCGAGTCCATGGCAGTAGAAGATTCTGCGGTGGCGTCGCTCTTGTCGATCTTGTCATTCTCCTTAGAATCGACCTTGGGGAATCCCTCGTTCTCCTTGTTGGAGATTTGCGGGGTGGCCACCTCCATCAGGTCTTCTGTCTGGGGCTCCTTGCCATTCCCTGTCTCCTTGGGGTCCTCGGAGATGGTAGGTCCAGTAGTGACCACGGGACTCGTTGTTTCTTCAGTCACGCGGGCAAGAGGGCTGGAGACACCAAATTGCGTCTTGGGGCTCTGAGCTGATCCTCCCTTGGAGAAACGGTGCGGCGAGCGGCCACGTTCCTCGGCTCGTGTTGGGCTGCCGTAGGGCGACTCCCGGCTGCTGGACCGGTTGCCTGAAGCATTCACACCTAGACCGTTGGGACCAGGACCCTTGCGACGAGGCGCACGACGGCCAAACTTCTGATCCGTTCTCCAGCGCAGGATCTCCAGGTATGGGGGCTCGACATTCTGGGAGCGGAACTCCTTCAGCTTGAGCTCGTTTGTCTCCTCATCGACGATGACCTTGCCGCTGCACAGATCATCAGCGAACGTGGCCAGGAATGCAGACCACGACCGAGCAATGACGTATTTACAATCGTAATCGCGACCAAAAATAATCACCTGGCCCCATTTTCCAGCGGGACCGGGTGCCAGATCAATCGCAATGTTGTTGCCACCCCAATCACGGGCGAGGGGAATCCAAGCTGGGTGTGCGTATGCTTTTTGAACAGCCCCGGGAGGCTGGGACTCCTGACGGTCCAGCAATTCCGATCTCCACATGGGGGAACCGCTCTGCTGAGACGGACCAGCCGAGGAGCTTGCCGCAGAGCTGGACACAGGGACGTGCATGTTGCTGAGATATTCATCGTTGACCCGCTTCCAGTTGTTCCACTCCTGCACGATCTCTTCACAATCCATAAGCATGGCGCTAAAGAGGACACCAGTGGGCAAGCCACCGCGCTCCTGGCCATCGTGGCACATCAGCGATTCGCGCAACTCTAATGGCAGACTGCAGTCGAGTTCATGCTCCAATTCATTGATATCGTTCTGGGTGCACCCTTCGCAAAGCTGGTCAAAGAGCTCTTCGTAATTGTGTTCTAACCAGCGCTCAATTTTCCTCCAGGAGTGAGCGACCGGTGGCGGAGGCGGTGCCCCATCGTGGAAACTCTGCATCTGGATCTCGGGTGCGCCTTCGCCCTGGTCATTGGACCGTCTCTTCTGAGATGCGACAGATCTCATGCCAGGTGAGTAAGGGCGAGTCGGAGAGTCTTCACTGGGGGAGCCAGTCCATTCGGAGGTTTGGGCGGTTGCCGAACCCTTGGACGGCTCGTCATCGTAGGGATTGGAGAGATCGGGGCGGGACTCGATTGCGCTCGTTGCGATGGATGTAAGAGGCTCATGGCGGCTTTGGCTGAGAGGAACATGTTGTCCAGTACGGTAGGGAGAGTCGTGGGAGGCATGACGGTCATTGGAGGTCATGGTATGCCAAAAGGAGCGCCATGCCGAACCAAACCTGTAGAGAGTCAGAGGTGAACTTGGGGATAGAGAGAGAGACGTACATATTCGCCATGGTGAAAACAGAAGATAAGCAGTATTAAGTGAAGATCATAAAGAGAAAGGAGGCCCGACCCAGTGAAGCGAAATTTCTTTGGAGATGGTAGGGGCGAGGCCAGAATTAGGTAAGGAAGGAGAAGTGGAGGGGACTTCTGGAACTCTTCCTTTACATATATCTTGTCTGTCGTGTGTCGTGTCGATGTTTGCGAGAGAGCGAATGTGTGAAGAAGTTGTTATGATGTTATGTCTTCCCCCCCCCCCCCCCCCCCCCTGGCCGCATCCATCTTCAGGTATGCAGATCCCATGATGTCGACACCCCATCATAGCCATGTTTTCACTATGTTCTGTAGTCTACACAACGCCTATTTCCGCATCCGTCATGCCCTTTTTGCCTCATTTCAAAGAGATTGTTCCTGCAGGCCTGTGGCTGTTGAGATTTAAGCTTCATCAAGTCCGAGACAAGATCTACGAGACCCATCCCAGCCAAGGCCTGATATGTCAATCTGTTCAGAGTACTCCGTAGCTCTGTGTTCGGGAGAAGACTATACTCTAAACCCCCTAACCCCGTAAGCACATGAAGATATAAAAGTAGAGGTGGATCTGGATGCAACTGTGGCGGCGAATAACTAGTGACAACCAATTACTCCTTCATTAAGGGGGAAACCAAAAATAGAATGGAACGAACTGGTAAAAAAACCCCCTACAGAGTTCAGTCCTCTGTACAGAATCTGTACAGTTGTAGTCAAGACCCTGGATTCACATTATTAGGATCGGCACTGGAGTCTATTCGGTTCTATTCGAGGTCTGTTAGCCTGTTTTGTGAAGGGCCCACACAGCGCCACTTTCGCCGTTTCACTGTGGCTTGCCTGTCTTGGGGGTAGCACCTCTGCACGTGGGATTCAACTACCAGCTTAAATTACTCTAGAAGACAAAGTGGGTTCTGACCAGTGAAAGTTTGACTAAATGAGTGTCGGGCGTGAAACACGCCAATTGGCAACAGGCCAGTCGCAAAGATTCAAGCATGAATCCACAGAAGGAAAAGGCTGATCGAGTTCGACCAACCGCATAGAAAAACATCAAGAGTGACAATCCCCGCGAGGAAGAAGTAAAAATCAGAACCAGAAAAAGAAAGAAACAACGTGTCGTAGCCATCCTTGGCTGGATCCTCCCCTAAACAGCACTTGGAAAACATCATGACGCCGAACGATGCAAGAAAAGAAGGTAAAAAGCACCGCCTCATCAATGTACCGAGCAGCCAGTCCCGTGTATCATCATCATGGTAAGAATTACCGCGAGAGTCCCACGGAAAGAAACACCAAGCACCCTGTCGCGAGAAAGGAAGACCAAAAAAGAACCCCACCGAGGGACCTTGGACCAGTCAAGGATGCCCTATGAACCAATGCAAAACGAGAATTAAGAAAAAGCCAAAAGAAGGGAAGTAACGAGATTGAACGCAGATCATGATCTGCAGAGACACTAAGCAAAGGAGCTCTGGATTCCACTCGGCGGCATTCCCGCTGTAGCACCGAGCTTCAGGACCCGACGAATGTCATCCTCGATTTGCTTAGTGTCCATGGACTGGGCAGCAGAAGGCGAGCTTGTCGGCATGCGGAAACCAGCCGGGTATTGTGGCTGCGGAGAGGTGTAGTTGAGCCGTTGAGGTGGAGGGCTCGGCATGTAAGGACCCCTGAACGGGGCCGGCGAGGAGCCGTTCGAAACACCGTAAGGTGAATGAGCAGGGGGAACCTCACGGCGCAGCGGCGAGTGGGAATGAGGAGGGTAGGGGTAAGGAGCACGGCCAGCGTTGTTAGGAATGGCCTGCTGCTGACCGGAGAAAGAGCCATGCGACATGGTCATGGGGGGTCCAGAGGAAGTTCGCATGGGGGTAGCATAAGGGGGGATGTTCGATGGACGCGCACCAAATGCGGCTGAATCAGGAGTGGGTTGAGCCGAGGGTGGCTTCTGGGGACGCGGATTGAGAAGTAAGTGCTTCAACTCCTCGGTCTTCATTCTGCGCTGCTCCTCAGTGATATTGGGAGACTGGGGAGTGCTCGAGGATCGAGTGTTTTGCAAAGCGTTCATACGGTCCTGATAGGAAGGAGCAAATGAAGGACCAATATGCGAATTGCGTGGAGAAACCGAAGTCTCCATCTCAAAAGCAAACATGCCATCTGCGTTGGAGCGCATAGCTCTGGGTTCAGTCTGAGGCGATCGAAGCTTATTCACTTCAGGGCTGCTCGTCGACTTGGTATTCCTGGCTTGTACAGCAGCCTGGAAGAGGAAGTCCAGAGGAGTGGGTTTCGGTTCAGTGCCTGTGGTCTGAGGTCGGCTTCGAGGTTTAGAAGGAGTCACATCCGGTTCGGGTTCATTCTCCGCAATATCGCTGTCGGTCTCGATCGGTGGCACGAGATCTGAATCAGGAGCTGACTTGGAGAAAAAGCTGGGCATGGGAAGCGCTGAAGGAGCGGGCGATGCATGGAAGGTTGGGCCTGCATAGGCGGCACTATCCTTCATCTGAGGGGAGGCAACCGTGTGCGACGGGGTTTGTCGTTGGGTATTGTTCTGGTGCCCAGTATTCTGGAAATAACCGTTGGTTGGTGCCGGTGAAGCCTTGTTGTCGCGCGGTTTCTTTGCAGATCGCATAGGCTTCTTCTTCGAGTTGTTGATGTTTGAGTCAGTCTGATTCCCGGCTGGGCTCATATTCCGCGGCGGAGATGACGGCGGGGTCGAGAGGAGACCCGGTTTATGCGCTTGAGGCGTCATGTTCTTCTTCTGTGGACGGCGGTTGTTGCGCGAACCCTTGGGGGTTGGAGGATGAGGAGATTGGGTCGACATGTCGACTGGTCGGCTTAAAAAATAGGCAGCCTGTGTGGAGAGAGAAAGAAAGAGCAACGCTATGACGAAGCAGTAAAGCAATGAGATTATCACGGCAAAATCAGGTCAGATCACTGCTCAGCAGGGTCGACAATATTAAGAAGATGGCGCCTAAGAGGAAGTGACAAAGTGACAGGTTGAGAAAGAGTCAAAGGGTCAAAGGCAAAGAAAGACGAATCACTGAAACGCCTCTATTAGGAAGAGTAGAAATGGACTGTTAAAGAAAACCCACGGAAATCATCTCTAAAGAGAAATGCGATATTGAAGAAGCATGTCGGTGGTGTGAGGGAGGAAAGTGACGAAGTTGGAGAGGGGATATGACTAAGAGCCGCCACCGGCCTCATTGACAAACACAGTCAAACATGACCTGGGTACCTCTGGAGTGACCTTTGCGACCTGTGATTTCCTTATTTCCATACTTCTTTGTCCTCTAAACCTTCGTCGGTTGCCTGTTGCAGTCTTACCTACGTCAATTTCTGTGATCCGACCTGAGACCCCCACCCTAGCTTCTGCCACTTGCCAAGCATTTCCGAATCGACCCTCACCAACCTCACAACATGGCGGATGTTGAAATGAAGGAAGCCGCTGGCTCCTCCAAGGGCAAGGCTGTTGCCAAGGCCGACGCTGCCGGCGATAAGAAGAAATTTGAGATCAAGAAGGTACGCAATCAGCTGCCGAGCTAGACCTCACGATACTGATTGAGATGCTAGTGGAACGCCGTTGCCCTATGGGCCTGGGACATTGTCGTAGACAACTGTGCCATTTGCCGAAATCACATCATGGACCTTTGTACGTCTTAAACCAGCCTCACCCAGCAGAGCTAAGCTGACAATGAAACAGGCATCGAATGCCAGGCCAACCAGGGCTCTTCAACAACCGAAGAGTGCACCGTCGCCTGGGGTATTTGCAACGTGAGTGCCTCCGCTTTCTAGCCTCGAGTCGGGACTAACGCTTGCTCTAGCACGCTTTCCACTTCCACTGCATATCGAGATGGTTGAAGACCCGCCAGGTCTGCCCACTGGACAACCGCGACTGGGAGTTCCAGAAGTACGGCCGGTAAAGAGATGGAGACGGAGGTTTTTTGCAAGCGCTTTTTCAGGGCCTTTTTCGGGGACACTACATGATACAAATTCACGATATCTTGCTATGCCAATAATGGCTATGATTTATTCCAAATCGCACCCTTTACCAGAGCAGCGGTTAAGCCAGCCCAGACGGAGGGACATGACGGGTGTTAGGATAGTTGATGTCTCGGGCGAATGTATGCTTCTCATATTTTAATATAAGAGTGAGCATTGCCGCAATTCTTTCCATTTCAACTTGTATCAGGCTCGGTCCTAGGTTTGAAGCTATTAGGAGCTTATTGCACTTTCACTCCGTCCACGACTATGCCTGGATTTGCTTTCCCGTTCTTTGAGCCAAGCCACTTCTCAGGGTGCCGGTTGTAAAACGGCCAAGGGGGAACGACGACAAAGGCAGTGAAGAGTGTACCCGCAAGGCCGCTCCATAATGTAAGGTAGATGTCTTTGTAGGTGAATCCGACGAAGAAACTGACAGCCTATGATGCGACAGATATTATTACTTGTGTCAAATCAGAAGACAACTGGATGTTTGGGTATACATACCCCGGAGATAATCAGTAAAATAGTGCAAAGTAGCTCTGCGAGGTACTGGCCGTGGAAGTCCTATCGAGGTATTATTAGCTTGGATTGTGGATAAACAGTAACAGAGAAATGAGATCATACAATTTGGCCTTCGACGGCATCTCTTAGAGGATTCAGTATTTCATCCATGGTGTAGTCGATGGTGAGGAATCCCTGGCTTATCGCAATGGTGTCATTAGCCTTCTGCCGCATCACACATCACCGCCTTCGGCCCTATACAACATTCAAGCTCGAACATAAATTGACTATTTTGTATGTCGATTCTAGATCTTGAATTAATACTTGCTAATTATTCTCGCATTGCATATCATTCGCATCTTTTATCTCTTCGTTATACGTATGATCATGATTTCATTCGATGTCTGCCATCTATCTTATTGCCAAAACAAATCGTCTACCCAATCCATTAGGGTACCGTGAACGACTCCCCTGTATCATGCACAAATCCTGTACAAGACGAAAACTCAAGAGTGTGCCCAGAATTCCGAGTCGGAAGGCTCACATGCATCCTGCAAAGCAAGGAACAGCGGTGAACCAAGATCTTGCATAACCCATGTGGGTAGCAGGAAAGGGAAAGCAGAACACCTTCCCAAGATGCGTTTCCATCGGAGCGCAATACCCAATGCAGCCGTCATGCCATGCCTGAAATTATCACAGACATGACGAACAGACTCGTGGGACAGCGATCATGTTATGACGAAACAAAGCGCGCCAGAGATTTAGTTATACTTCACAGTAGCGCCGTCTTGAGCGGGCTCCAGCAATTTCCATTGGCACGAGATGTTGTTGGAAGCGAACCGAGCGATGATGCGGTCAGCAATCTCATCGAAGCGATCTGTGGCCAATGCCAGGATAGTTGGTCCTGCACCAGAGAGACAGATTCCCAACAGACCGGGTTGAGTGGATGGGGTCATGAATTGGAGAATCTCAGTCAGGCCTGGGATCAGGGTCTTGCGGTAAGGCTGGTGCACTTTATCTTGCATGGCCAGGAAGATCATATCAGGATCCGGCGGGGAACTTCCCAAGGCTGCGGGAAGTAGGGCCGCGCGTTGAAGGTTGAAAACCTGGACGGCATTAGTGTTGGGTCAACCATTGACATTGGAGTGAACATACCACGTCCGCCCGTGTATAGGTCTCTGGGAGTACATTACGGGCATTGGCCGTAGGCACCACAAAATCAGGAATAATGGCAATAGCCTTGATCTCCGGGGCCCAATTGAACTTGCGGTAATGACCAATGGCCATAGGGGGTTCTGGGGGCCTGATGCCAGTGTCGACACCACCAGCCGGGGCAGGCAATACCTCACTGAGCGGGATCTCCTTCCGGGCTACATCCTCAGGCTTGAGATCATTCAGATAAGTTCCAACGAAACCACCGAAGAGGGAAGCGGCTACGTTATCCGGGTGCCGCTCTATACACACGTCAGTAAATGCACGGCATGTCCATGTTTCCGATAAACAGGTAAGAACAGGGTAAATCAAGGAACGTACCAATCATCAAACAGTAGTCCAGTAAGCGTTCCTTGCTCAAACGCAACTTGCCCACTTCGTTACCCAGCATTACACCGGCAACTACAGCGGTACCAGATGAACCCAGGCCCCGACCTAATGGGATGGGGTTGACGATGTGCACCTTGGTCTCAACGGGGAAGGCCCGCTGGTTATGGCATCGCAGAACATACAGGGCTACACGGGTGATCAGGTTGACCTCGGGGTCAAGGCTGATCTGCTCGACACTCTTGCTCTGGTCCTCATAGGTGATGGCACAGTTGAAAGGGAGCTCGGAGGAGTCTTTGGCCTCAACAGTGACGTGGAGGTCCAAGTGAAGGGACAATGCAAGACCAATCACATCGAAGCCAGGACCAATGTTTGCAGAGGAGCAAGGGATTCTGAGCAGAAAGGAAGACATGGCGCAGGCTTGTGTCATGTGTACTGTGTACAGTAATCCTGCGTAGTATGAGTCTGATATATGACTCTTAAGCGGGAAAAATTGGCCGACGTCGGGGAGACCCAAGTAGGCAAGTGGGGAATTTCACACTCAAATTTGAATGGAATGATTGGATTGTGTGTCGATCTATGCGAGTGTAGCAGGGTTAAGTTAACTTAATTATTTATCTTTTGGACAGTCAGAGTTGGTGAGTTTCCTGCATTCCAAAGTTGTTCGCGAATTCGATATACTGCACGGTGACTTACAACAGAAATTTAAAAGCCCAAATGCAGGGTACAAGAGTCAAGAACCGAGATAAGATATCTAGTTCCAAGATCTCCAGGGCTGACTACATGTAAATCCTCCACTGGACTCCGTAAAGACGGAGTCCTCCGAACTTGAGCACTTGAGCAAAGCCAAAGCGTGGACTAAGTAAAACAGTAATAATATCCGGCAATAAATGCCTCATGATAACCAAAAATAACAGTTAATGTGAGAGCCTAGTTCTTAGTTTACACTTACACGGACTCGACCCGCCCGAAAATTTTCACAGAGCTTCAAGTGACATTTCCCCCCCCCCCCCCCCCCACTTATTTTCTTTCTTCTTTCTCCATTGTCAAACGCCCTTGAGGTGCCTCATATTTCTCATCTTCTTTGACTTGTCTCTTTCTAGTGGTCTTTTTAACCTTCCGCTTGATTGTGGACCGTTACCGAAACCATCACCGGCCCCGGCCCCGTTGATTCTCGCCACTCACCAGTGCCAGCCTTCACACGTTGCGAATCCATCTCATCTCGAGAACTCGAATCCCAACGTCCTTTGATTACCCTGCGAGCTGACGGCTTTCGTCCTCTCGCCTATCTGCAAATCTGGAGCACCCAAGCTCCCCATCTCCTCACCTCATCAAGTTGGCGGGACTTCGCTACACCCAGTCCTCTCTCCTCCACCCTCTTGCAGGCCCCAAGTTCAGGGTCTTCTGCGGGGGCGACACCAGACCCCCCTAACTGGGTTTACCACAACTCCCCTATTGTGGCCATCAGACGTGTGTCGGTAACGCCAGACCCTTGTGAAGGGTCTGGCTTATGGATGGAGGGCCGTCACCCTTGAACGAACCTCGTACCGGCTTACGTCTGCTCCGGCCGTCGTGCTAAATCTTAAAAGAGCAACTCGATCCCAAACACCAAAAATAATATCCAATCTGGCGCCATAAACGCTTTTTGTCGGAAATCTCACCCCCGAGAGAATTCGCCATGACCGAATCTCCCAGATCCGAGAGGTACATGGACCTCACCCGGTTCAGTACCCCGGTACCTGAATTGGATGACCATCGCCACCAGATGCAAACACCACGAATTGAGGCACCAATCGAGCGCTCGCTCAGCCCGCATGATACAACTCAGATGAACCCTGCAATGGAAACCCCTGGGCGACCAGACTTGCTCAACGTGCAAGATGCCCTACGAGATGGCCCCGTCTTCCGAGACTTTGAAAACGCCGTGGTCGACGACGATCGATCGCTGAATGAGATTGGGATGGGACGACGCTTCTCTGTCGATCCCGCAGCTCAATATCATACCCCTCGCCATATCAGCATTGCGCAGCATGATCTCGCCAATGCCTCGTGTACCTCGTCCGTATCGGCCCGGTCATCATCTCCCCCCAATTCCGTTGAGGCTTTTGCCGACCCGCGTCGTCGTGAACGCGCAAACACCTTGGACAGCCATGCACCTCCTGATTTGGAAGCCATCTTGCAGCGCACTGTCTCCGGTGGCACAAACAACCGGCGCCCAACTTTCAGCAACGCCAGTGCTATCCGGCCCCAACTGGGCGATGTGCCATTCGATTCGGCTGAGGAGGCTTGCTTTGACGAGCCAGGTCGTATCCCCGTCATCGATTATGAGGAATTGGAGGAGTTTGTAGCTCTGAACCAAAACACAAAGGTTTTTACTGGAAACCGCCGCAAGCATAGCATGAGCTCGCAGAGCAAGAAGCCTCGCATCTTCTACGACCTCCGTCCTGGCGCCGAAAGCCCCGAGGTTGGCGAGGTCAAGAAAACTGATGCGTCGGACTCTTCCGATGAAGATGAGAAGAAGCCCAAAATCACCGATGAAAAGGAGCTGCTCAAGTCACTCCAAAACACAAACGATCCTACTCGTTTCGGCTTTTTCTCGTCCGAGTCTCAGACTACGGTTCATGCTGCCGACCTGGGAGATCTGGTGCTTCCAGGCGAAACCTTCCGGGATCTCTTCGAGCTCGGGCCTGAAGGTGGTGTTTGGTGGCTGGACGTTGTTAATCCCACCGATGATGAATTAGGTGCCATATCGCGAGCCTTCAATATCCATCCCTTGACGACGGAGGATATTCAAACTCAGGAAGCTCGCGAGAAGGTCGAGTTGTTCAAGCAGTACTACTTTGTTTGTTTCCGGACTTTCTACCAAATGGACAAGACCAGCGAGGAGTTCTTGGAGCCAGTCAATTTCTACATGGTCGTCTTCCGCGACGGTGTACTGACCTTCTCGTTCGATGACAACCCTCACGCCGCCAATGTTCGGAAGCGTATTGGAAAGCTGCGCGACTACGTGGCTCTCAGCAGTGACTGGATCTGTTATGCCATGATGTAAGTTGCAATCTATACCTTCCAGAATTCACATACTAACCCGACACAGCGATGACATCGTCGATAGCTTCGGTCCAGTAATCCGCGACGTGGAGCTCGAATCTGAAGCAATTGAAGATCATGTATTCATCGCGCGTGTCGACGACTTCGAATCCTTCCTCCCGCGCATCGGAGGCCTCCGCAAGAAAGTCATGAGTCTGATGCGCTTGCTAGGCGGTAAAGCAGACGTCATCCGTGGTTTCTCCAAGCGTTGCAACGAGCAGTACTCTGTTACCCCCCGTGGTGATATCGGCTTGTACCTGGGCGATATCCAAGATCACGTCGTAACCATGATGTCGAACTTGTCTCACTTCGAGAAGATGCTCAGTCGCTCGCATACCAACTACCTGGCCCAGCTCAATGTTACTAACCTTGTCCTGGGTAACCATGTCAACAAGGTTCTTAGCAAGGTTACTCTCATTGCTACTATCCTGGTGCCTATGAACTTGATCTGTGGTTTGTTCGGTATGAACATTGAGGTTCCTGGCCAGCATCACAAGGGCCTCGAATGGTTCTTTGGTATCCTCGGTGTTATGGGTGCCATTGTTCTTGTCAGTATTGGGTTGGCCCGTTGGCAGAGGCTGGTGTGAGCCTACCTTGAATATTTTCGCTGAGATATCTTTTACCTGCTTTCTCCTATTTCTTGTTCTTATTCCTCTGTGGGTCTGTTTTGTCTTTACACTTGATTTTGGTTCGGGTCTTGTTTCGCAGTACATCGTCTATTCCAGAATACATTATACATACCTTGGAGTGGTTTCCTTGGCTTTTGTACTATACTGTTGATTAACTCTGATCATGTCAGTGGCTTTGTACTTGCACATAGAGCAATCGATCCCTGACCTTCTGAACTTTGATATGTCCAACAATGTCGATTCGATCTCTACATCTATGACTGTAAACGACGCGGAGTTTTCAGTTTCGTATTGAGTACATGACATCCTCATTCAAGCCCTCTTGGTAGCAAACACCATAACCAACGGCGTCACAGTCCTAACCTTCTTCCCATCCATAGCCCTCTCCAACTCCTCCCAATAAGGCTTCAACTCCTCTTCAGACACATCAGGCTTAGCCCAAGTAGCCAAATACCCCCTAAACCAGTCAAAGTCTTGCTCACCCATCCAACCCTCATCTCTCTCCTCCCAAACAACCTCCTCTCCATCTTTCACCAAAGACCCCCCAACCCGATCATCCAACCTGAACGTCTCAACCCTCCCAAGAGCATTAACATACAGCCTTCTCACCCCCTCCCAGACCTCAACCGGAAAACCAAGACTCTCAAAGCCCGAATTCATAATCCGCAACGCATGCTCAAACATAGGATTACTGACAGCCTCAACATAAAGATCCCGAATGGCATCCCAAGCCATCTGAGCCCGCTCATTATCCTCAATCCGGGGATGATTATAATGCGTAATAACCAAGGTCCCACCCACACGAAGCTGTCTCGCAAACTCGGCTATCGCGACCTCCGGCCGCATCCAGTGGATACATTCACATACAGTAATCAGATCCACGGATCCAGATTCAACGCTGCTATTTTCCGCACTTTCTTGTAGAAATCGGAATTTGGATTCTAGGTGTCCTGATTCTGTGACGAGGACTTTGTGCGCTAGGGTTGTATAGCCTTCGTTTGGGTCTGAGACTATTACTTGCTTGAAGTGTGTTGCTAGGCTTGAGGCTGCTATTCCGCAGCCGGCGCCGACGTCATGGGCTATGGTCCAGGTTGTTTTGGGGTTGGCATTGGAACTTGAGGTTGAGTGGTAGGTGAAGATTCGATTAAAGAATGAGGGTGGGTAGATTGGTCGGAAGATCACGTAGTCGGACCAGCTTACACCTTGTTTGGCGTTGAAGCCAAATTCGCGGGTTTCGATTTGCTCGGGGATTGAGATTGTTGACATGGTGTGTTTCTTCGTATGATCTTTGGTATAAGTTGAAGTGGTGGTTTGATCTAGCAGTGAAAGCAGGCTGTATTTATAGTCCGTGTCTTGGCCCTCGGCTCTATACACTTGTTTCTATCCTTAGTTCGAACAGATCAAATAGACGAGTAAGCAGATACAGCAACGTGAAACCATTGTCCTGACCCCCTCAAATGGGTAGATCAACAGGGTAGTTCAGCCCAGCGTGCATGCATGAACACCTTGACCGAGTCACACCGGTCCGTGCTACAGGAAATAGAGACACTACTGCGTATACATTGATAGTATAGTCAGTTGATCTCATGGCATTCGATATGTATTGCCAATAGGTTCAGACTGGAGTTCCTTTCTTGGCGACATGAAGTATCAATGCGGCATCTTGCATTAGTGCACAGTCCTAAGTCGTAAGTTCTCACCACATCCCAGATACTCGATCGAATTACATCTGTCCACCCCGAGTAGCCCCGAGAGCGAGTACGAATCCTTTCTTTTAATCCCGATTGTGCAGATCCCGATCTGAGGGGCAGTGTATCACAGCCAATCATCCCAGTCGTGACATCGCTTTAGCATGGGGTTGACAGAGCAGGCGGGATTATACAAGTATATTATCATTGGTTTCTCAATGGAACCTGCCAAGATATTGCTAGAGACAAGTCTGTTGTCAAAGTACTGCACTTCGTGTACACACGTACGTCTAGTGTAAATCAGAGCGGGCATATGATCAGCGAACAAAGAGCCGCATATTTAGCATGTATAGGTAGCGTGTGTCGTTATCAATAATGCCGGATGAGCTCGGGGTAACGCTTCTATGAGATCTGGAGATCTACGTACATGCAGGTCAATAATTAGTGTGCATCCTTTGAAACTATGATGCCCAGGTATAGTACTTTTGACAACCCACTCATCCATTTTGGTTGCTCAACCAGTTTTCTTAGATAGTCGCCATGGCAAGCATTTATACCTTCTTGACTGGCTGGAGGTTGCTCGAAAAGGGAGGGATTCTCGAGTTCTGGAGGCGTTTTAGATACAAGAATGGTCGGATGTCCTTTGACACCCACACATTTGTATGATCTGAATGGCTCACCGGAGGCCCTTGAGAACGGACAAAAAAGATGTGCAAAAAGAGAAGCCAAGTTGGAGCTCAATGAATGCGCGAAAAGTATGCTCACTGCGAGGACTGCGCATAGAAATTGCGGAATACGTCATAGCACTAGCAACAGGTTGATAGCCCCTGTTGTAGAATCGGAATGTCCTCACCCTCATTGAACAATAGAACATTTGCCAAACATACGTTGTTTTCAGAACAAATTGGTTCACGGAGTTAGTCAGTCATATCTCCGTTGAGGGCTCGGCCTCAACATAACCTCCGAGAACTATATACATCTCGGCCTTTTTAGCCCTCTTAATTCCATTCGATTGAAATATAAATTGGTTCAAATTGGGTCTCTCAGCAATGAACCCAACCATCTAAACCGCATACAAAATGGCCTCAAACCACATCACCAACGTTGCCATCGTCGGAGTACGTGACATCATTCATCATCCCAGAACGTCAACTAATAACCTCCCCAGGCTGGCGGTAATAGCGGCCGTTTCATGACTGAAGCCCTCCTGCAGACAGGACAGCACACCGTCACAGCCCTCGCACGAGCCGACAGCCAAAGCAAGCTACCGGAGGGAGTGATCGAAAAGACAATCGACTATAGCAAGCCAGAGACCATCGTCGAGGCACTCAAGGGTCAAGACGCGCTCGTAATCACTCTAAGTGGTAGAGTACCCCATGACATTGATCTTCAGCTCATCAATGCAGCCGGTGAGGCTGGTGTACCCTGGATTTTGCCGAATGAATGGAGTCCAGATACGGCAAATGAAGACTTAGTCAAGGACGTGGTAGTCTTCCAATCAAAGGGTAAGAAGCTTACATCGTACGATACATAATTCCTACTCACAATTCCATCTGTATAAGGGGGAATCCGCAAAGCAATCACAGATCTCGGCAAAAGCTCTTACATAGCCGTGAACACTGGATTCTGGTACGAATGGAGTCTGGCAATAGCACCTGCCTTCGGCGTGGACTTTGCCGATCGATCCGCTACACTATTCGACGAAGGAAGCGTCAAGATCTCCACGTCGACATGGCCGCAGGTTGGTCGGGCTGTGGCCAATCTGCTTAGCCTGCCTATTTCGGCTGGAGGGTCTTGTCTTGAGAAGTTGAAAGACCAGGTGGTTTATGTTGACTCATTTACTGTTAGCCAGCGGGATATGCTGGATTCTGTTTACAGAGTGACTGGGACGACGGAGGCTGATTGGAACATCACCAAGGAGCCAGCTCAGGAGAGATATAAGAGTGGCGTGGAGGCTATGCAGAAGGGGGATTTGGTTGGGTTTGCTAAGATGCTTTATGCGAGGGTCTTTTATGATGATGGGTCTGGGGATTTTAGTGGCAAGGGGACGCTTAATAGTGTGCTTGGATTGCCCAAGGAGGCTCTTGACGAAGCGACGAAGAGAGCGATTGAGCGTTCGGAGAGTACTAGTTGGCCTTAAAATGACAGAGGCGACAATAGGGTCAATAGCTTAATTATGCACTTTGGGCGACTTGACTATGACCATAAAGTATATTTGTTCATGAAAGAAAGACAGCTTTTGGATATAACTCCTCTCCGAACCCCATGCAAAACCTGAAATGACATAAGAAACAAAATTTACAGCTGGAACAAAGTTCTCTGCTTCTCCATTCCACCCTTCCACTCCCACTCTTGTCCACTGGCACGCTGGATGCCCTTGTCAACACGGCGCAGCTTCAAGGTGAACCGGGGTCCCAGCTCCTGCAAACCTGTACGGATACCCTGGGCACCCTCCATTTCCTTGCCATCAGCACCAACAACAGCCTTCTCGGTCTCACGCTTTTCACGGAAAACGTAGCGGTGACGACGGACGAAGATGTAATCACGCTGGTTGTGCAGGGTGACGACTTGTCTGCCCTCGAACTCTGGCTGAGGCGGGAAAAGAGCACGGAACAAATGCGCGGTGAGGAGACCAAGAGGAGTACGGAAGTTGTTGAGGATCAGCTCGGGCCAGTGCTCGGTGGCGCGGCCGTGACCAGGAAGTCGCTTTCCCTCAACCCAGTTACTGATGCTGAAATGGAAGGTTGGGCCGACTGGCAGGTGAACCATCGTCAGACCACTAGGCTTCTTCTGGTCTTCTTGCAACACGACCACCGTTGTGAAGTTGCGGTTTGTAGCAAATTTGGAGATCTCACGGATGGAGAACTTGTGCGAGTATCTGTGCGCTGTGCGACGAATATAAACGCTGTTCGGGAATAGATCGGTCAAGATCTCGGCTTCGTTGTGGAGATTGGAGTTGATAGCGGTGGTGATGAGGATTTTGGGGGTGGGCGGCGGGCCCTCAGTGAAGAGCGTAGGGAATTTGGCGGCCAGTGCTTCAGGAGCGAGGCTCAGATTTGTGCTGCGTGTGGACTGGGTAGGCTCTGTGGCACGCTCTGTGGCGGTTGGGAGAGAGTTCTTCATGCGGCTCTCTTTTTGTTCGCCGTCCTTTTCTTCATCCTCGTCTTCGTCGTCTGAGGCAAGCATACTGTCTACCGACTCGTTGTCTGATTCGGGAGCCTCGCTGTCATCCTCACCCTCTTCGAATGGCCGATTGAGTTCGTCTTCTTCTTCCTTCTTGGCGCGCTTGATGCGCTCAACGTCAACGCTCAATCCGAGGCCAGTTTCTTCGGTGTCGTTGTCGGCTTCGTTCCAGATTCGCTTTCGTTCGAGGGTCAGAGGAATGTTGCGCTTGAGACGCTCCTCCTTGAGCTTGGGATTCTTGGCTTCTTCCTTCTTGAAAGCATAGCGCTCTTCTCGGCGCGCAGCGTCCTTAGCACGCTTGCGCTTCACATGGTTCATCTTGCGCCGGAGCTTGTTCTTGGTCTTCTCATCACCCATAACGCCTGGAGGCGGTTTCCCTACACCTTTGAGGCCCATAATTGCAAGCTGGCGAGTGTGGAGTGCTGCTGTGAAGGTCAGTAGAAAATGTCAAGATTGACGAGAAATAAATTATCTCGGACAATCGTTTCGCCGGAGCGACAATCTGCGATTCGGCCACTTATTGCTTTAGCAGCGGGAGATCTCCCAAGGAAAATAAATAATAAAGCAAAAGCTCATAGCCAATTGCCCGCGTTCTTTCTATCTCTCTTTCTCTGTTCATTGTCCTCTCGGTGGTGAGGGACTGCATGGTGGATGACTCAATTGCCGCGCCTGCGATTTCCCCCCCCGCTCTTTTCTTTCCCCTCCGTCCCTCCTTCGCTCTCAATTCAGGACTTTCACCTCTCCCCCGAAGCCGAAACGAACCCCTAAGATGGCCACTGTCAACACCAAGACGGGTCAGTCCGTTGACCGGACGGTCCTGGACTCCATGCTCCGTCGGCGCATGTTCTACACTCCCTCCTTCGAAATTTACGGTGGTGTGTCTGGTCTGTACGATTATGGCCCACCAGGAACCGCCCTGATCGCCAACATGACCGACTTGTGGCGCAAACACTTCGTGCTCGAGGAGGACATGCTCGAGGTCGACACCACCATGTTGACCCCCCACGACATTCTCAAGACCAGTGGGCACGTGGATAAGTTCGCCGATTGGATGTGCAAGGACCCCAAGACTGGCGAGATCTTCCGTGCGGACCACTTGGTCGAGGAGGTGCTGGAGAACCGTCTTAAGGGTGACAAGGAGGCCCGTGGCCAGAAGGTCGTCGTGGACGAGGAGAAGGAGGCCAAGAAGAAGAGAAAGGCCAAGGGCACCGAGGCCAAAAAGCTGGACGATGCCCTCGTCAAGGAGTACGAGGAGACCCTCGCACAGATTGACAATTACGGTGGCCCCCAGTTGGAGGAGCTCATCAAGAAGCACGATATCCGCAACCCCGTCACCGGCGGCGAGGTGCTTCCTCCCGTCTCATTCAACCTCATGTTCCAGACCTCTATTGGTCCTAGCAGCAACATGCCCGGTTACCTGCGCCCCGAGACTGCTCAGGGTCAGTTCTTGAACTTCGCCAAGCTGTTGGAGTTCAACCAGCAGTCCATGCCCTTCGCCTCTGCCTCCATTGGCAAGTCGTTCCGTAACGAGATCTCCCCCCGTGCTGGTCTCCTGCGCGTGCGTGAGTTCTTGATGGCCGAGATCGAGCACTACGTCGACCCCGAGGGTGGCAAGAAGCACGCTCGTTTCGAGGAGGTCAAGGACGTTGAGATGTCCTTGCTCGACCGCAACGTGCAGCTTTCTGGCAGCACCCAGCTGACCAAGATGACCATCGGCAAGGCCGTTGAGACTGGCCTCGTTGACAATGAGACCCTGGGTTACTTCTTGGCCCGTATTCAGTCCTTCCTGATGAAGCTTGGTGTCGACCCCACCAAGCTGCGCTTCCGTCAGCATATGGCCAACGAGATGGCTCACTACGCTACCGACTGCTGGGATGCTGAGTTGCAGACTAGCTACGGATGGATTGAGTGTGTCGGATGCGCTGACCGTAGCGCTTACGATCTGACTGTCCACAAGAACAAGACTGGTGCCCCTCTCGTCGTGCGCCAGAGCCGTGCTGAGCCTCTGCGCATCGAGGAGTACCAGATCGACCTTGAGAAGAAGAAGTTCGGTCCTCGCTTCAAGAAGGACGCTAAGACCGTTGAGAATGCCATCGATGCTCTGTCCCAGGATCTGCGCGAGAAGCTGTCCCTGGACCTCGAGAAGAACGGCAAGATTGAGGTCGATGTTGAGGGTGTCGGCTCCGGCAAGGTTGAGTTGGAGAAGGACCTCATCAAGATCGAGAAGCGTACCCGCGTTGAGAACGTCCGCGAGTACACCCCCAACGTCATCGAGCCTTCGTTCGGTATTGGCCGTATCTTGTACAGCATGATCGAGCACTCTTACTGGTCCCGTGCTGGTGATGAATCTCGCGGTGTAAGTCTTTCTCTCATTTTTAAATCTAATTTCAATGCTAACAACTACTCCAGGTCCTTTCTTTCCCCCCTGCTGTCGCCCCTACTAAGGTCCTGCTGGTTCCCCTCTCTACCCACGCTTCTTTCAAGCCCCTGACCCAGCGTCTGACCAGCAAGCTGCGCAAGCTCGGTGTCTCCAACCGTGTTGATGACTCCTCTGCCAGTATCGGTAAGCGTTACTCTCGTAACGACGAGCTGGGCACACCCTTCGGTGTCACCGTCGACTTCCAGTCCGTTCAAGACGGCACCTTCACTCTCCGTGACCGCGATACCACCAAGCAGGTCCGCGCCAGCGAGGATGACATCCTCCAGGCTATCAAGTCGCTTGTCGACGGCGACGAGACCTGGGAGGACATTCGCAAGCGTCTTCCCGAGTTCACTTCCCAGGAGATCGAGTAGAGTGCTAGAGTATATAAAATACCATTCCCTTTTTTTATTAAATCATCAAATTTAAAGTAGACTGTTACTATAGATCTATGAATATAGCTCAATTTATACGCTAAATGACAATGCGATCCGGACCGCGCCAAGAATCCGGGGCACTGCACCTCCGTCATCCATCTGTCCTCTTTCTTGCTCCGCCTCTCCAAGAGAACCAACAATGGCGCCCACAATACACTCCGCCAAATTGACACTCTCGTGTCCGCTCTTCGCAGCCGACTTCGACCCGCGCAACAACGGTCTACTGCTCGTCGGCGGCGGAGGCGGCGAGGGGCGCAGCGGAGTCGGAAACAAGATCGCAAGTCTCGCCTTGAGGAGAAGAACAGCTGTTTTTGTATGACAATGCTAACTGTTGTATTCTTGATAGTCTCTTCTTGATACTTCGCGTCGTGATGAGATCACCGAGGCCGTTGAACTGAACTTATCGCGTGATGAAGATTCGGTGACGTCGCTGGCTGCCGCGCCGGTGTGTGGTGATGCAACTAGCTCTCTTGTTACTTTGGCTGGAATCAATAGCTCTGTGGCAGAGCAGAAAAAGAACAACAATCAGCATATGCGCGCTTTCCGCTTTGTGGCGCCACGAAAGAACCGAGCTGTAGCTGCCCCGCAGGATACGGAAGAGTTGAAGGACGAAAAGAAGACAAAAGACGACAAGGACACCAAACCCGAGGAAGTGATCATACCCGGGAGAGCAATAACTCTGTCGCAAGCTTCATTGTTCCGCACGAAGAACGGGCCAGGCTCCTCGGATACGTACCAGCGCGTGGTCAGACTCTCGCCGTGGCCGAAGGGGAAGGACAATGAGAAACACACCCGGATTGGAGCTATTGCAACGGGTCTGGCAGCTTCTGGGGAAATTGTATTCTTTCGCGCCACCGAAACTCCTAGCGAGACAGATGTCATTGGCCGTATCCAACTAAGCGGCAATGAAGAGGCCGAGGATGTCGACTTTGCCAGTCTCGAACACGACCCCGAACAGACCGAAGACGCCAAAGATCAGTTCCGTGTGGCTTATACAAATGGAGTGGATATCATGGTTGGCGAGATTTCCTCGTCTAACAACTCCAGTAGCTCCCCCGAGGTTCGCTGCATCTACACCACTCCTCTATCAGCCAGCGGCGCTCCCACACGCCCCAAGTTCCGCGCGCTGCGCTTCCTCTCTCCCCGAACCCTGCTCCTCCTGCAGAATGCACCAGACCGTGGTGGCAGTGAGCTCATTCTTCTTCAACTCCCAACCACCAGCCAGAGCAAGCCCCAAATCCTACGTCGCCGCAAGCTCCCCAGAACCGTGAAGATCGGTCTGGGTTTGGATATATGCCAATTAGGAACTAATCCTCAAGGCCAGCAACAGACCGTCATCGCAGTCAGCGGCAGTGACAACTCCATCGCTCTCTTCACACTAGAATATGGACCAAAGCGCGGATACAGCAACGTCCGCCCCTACTCAACAATCCGCGAAGTCCACCCCTTCTCAATGACAAAGCTCGCCTTTTCAACTTTCACCGCACCCTCACATCCCATAGGCCCAGAAGTCGGGCCCCAGAATGTGAAGCTCGCCTCCGTCAGCATGGGCAATACAGTCGTTGTGCACACATTCCCTCTCTCCCCATTCCCAACCTCGTCCCGCACCCCCCGCTACGTCCTAGCCATGCCCGGCCCAGCCGAGATCTGGGAACTAATCTACAGCATCCTCATCCTCCTCTTCTCCATCTCAGCCATCTGCTTCGCAATGCTGGCCTTCGCCGAAATCCGCGGCGGCACACCTCCCTTCTTAGGCGCCGCCGAGTGGCTCCCAGTTGGTCTCCGCAATATGGTTGCTGGTCAATACGTCCCCCCTCCACCAGATCGTCTGACATACCTCGATACCCTGCTTGCGTCTCGCTACAAGGGTACAACGAATATCCCCGTCATCCAAACACACCCGGACTCAACCGAGCAAGAGCAACTTGAATCACTCCGTTCAATCCTTGACCGCGTCCACAATGCCGGTGCTGCACCTGCAGACCTGGAAACCGCCACGCCCCACGATCTCTCCGTCATTGTGCGGTGCCACGAGGCAGGCCACGGCGCTGAAGAGAGCATCTTTGTTGAGACGGCTACGTCGGCGCGTCATAATGGCATCTCCGATGAGGAGAAGTTGCGCGCTTGGACTGATCTTTCCGATGAGGATCGAAATATCTGGAAGCAGAGGCTGGTCGATGCTGGACGGTGGACGGCTGCTGAGGGGGAGAGTATCCTTCTAGGTGTTTTGTTTGGGACTGCTTGTCGTGAACTGGGTGGTGCTGTTAGGGCTGAATTGCCTTGAATTTGATATTTGCTGGAGGGAAAAGGTGGTGTGATGTAGGCCTTGGTGGGATTGTTCTATTGTATTGTGTTGTAGGATGGGTGGCTTGTTTCGCTTCTTGGGTTTGTATCTTGCTTTACATATCGGTTTACTTCACGTCTGAATGATATATTGGAATTTATAGTCAGTCCGGTCATAGTTGTAGTGTATCTCATATGAGGGCATTCGTTGGGTCAATAGCTACGGGCATAGATGATTGCTTTTGTATTTGCACTTCTGGATCGATATCCTTGTGCCCTAGGCTACTATTTGTACTTGGAGAAAGAATAAATAAAATGAAACTTAAGTTTTGTTGTCTCAAAGACCTCCTATTACGAATAAGAGCTTGTAATTTCATAAGAGGCCAGAGAAGAAGAAAACAGACAAAATCCGTGTCTGCGAGCGCAGCGCACAAAATACAGTGCAAGTGCAGAATCGTGAACGTCATGGGGGAAACATGGTATGTCTTTTGTGCAGGCGTTGAAAAAAGAAATCGCAGAAACAAAAGTGGGAGAATGAAAATGGAAATCAGATCAAACGCCGTGGATTATCGTTCAGGATTGTGTGTATGAGAGTAGCCGAGCGTCTCCAAGGGACATTGGAGAGAAACAAGCACAAAACAGGAGAGAAAAAAATAGGAAGAATAGGGAAGAGACCGATACCGTTGTTCCTGTTGAGATCGTGAAGGAACATGAATGTGAACATCTAAACGAAGACGCGCGCGTAAATGGGACCCATATGTGCTCCAGGTTTGCGGTAAATCAATTACTGGCCATTAGCCTTCTTCCAGCGGAGGAGCTCGGCCAAGCTAGCCAAGCTGCAGCCCGTCTGTAGGAACTCGTGAGCCAAGAGCTCGTCGGCCGTGGCACGGCTGCGGACATCGACGCATAGACAGACGCTCAGGAAGGCCTTGAGCTCCTTGCTGAGCTTCTCGGGCTTCTTGAGACGGGGAGTTCCGTTGGTTGCAATGAGGTAGAGGGCCTTGAGGGGCTCTTCGTTGAGGTATGGGGGCTCAGATTCAATCATTTCGATGGCCATGATTCCCAGTGACCAGCAGTCGACCTTGGGGCCGTACTCCTTTTGCTTGACAACCTCAGGGGCCATCCAGTAAGGAGTACCAACCATGGTTGCACGCTTGCTCTTGGACTCGGTCAGCTTGGCACAGAAACCGAAATCGGTGATCTTGACGTTGCCGACGCGGTCGAGCAGGACGTTGTCACTCTTGATATCACGGTGGATGATGTTCTGGCTGTGCAGGTGAGCCAATCCCCTACAGGTCTTTGCGAGAAAAGTCAGTAATTGCGAGTAAAACATGAATCATATCCGACTTACCTCGACACAAATAGTTGCAATCTGATTTTCCGTAATGACTTGGTTGTTGTCAATCACATCAGTGAGAGCACCGCCCTCCATGAACTCCATGACGACCCAGAGCTCATTGCTCGACTCCTGCAAGAACGAGTCGAGGAAATTGACAATGTTGGCATGTTGGCTGTCCTTCATGACAATAATTTCGTTGACGATCAACTCCTTACGGGGCTGGCTACGCAGATCCATTTGCTTGATAGCCACCTGGCATCGGGGACCGTACTGGCGATAAAGCTCCTTGGCAACGCCGGAGGTAGCACCCTCCTTAACACGTGCGACATACACGGATCCAGAGGCACCTTGTCCAATCTTGCGTTGCTTGCTGTATGAATCGTTGGGGTTGTCCTTGGACACGACCGAGCGAAGTCGATCCATGACCTCGTTCTCGGACATGGCGGACATGCGCACCTCTTTCTGGCGTGGCTCCGGCTTCTTGGTCAAAGCAGCTTCGGCCTGGCGAACGCCATCGGGGACGTTCTGCTTGGCTCCATTTTGCTTGTTGGCAATGTTTAGAGGTTTCACAGCTTGGACAGGGGCGGGCAGACGTGTTGGAGGGGGTCCTTGAGCCTGTTGACCCTTGGAGCCATTCTGTTGAGGACGGTTTGCGGAACTGGGAGCGCGAGCATCGTTGGGGGGATAGCGCGAGCTTGGAGAACCCTGGCGATCGTCGGTTCGTGGGGCACCAGGGGCACGGGGGGCGCCTTGGCCATACGGACTCTGTGAAGGTGGTGCCGGTGCGGGTCGCTGTGCGGTCAACTGTCGCGGGTCTTGAGGACGAGCACCAGCTCCTGGAGCCTGAGGGGCTGGGCGACTTGGCTGGTAGCGGCTGTTGCTGGACGTGTCTTCTCCGCCATAGCCACCAAGTTCCTGCTTGGCCATGGGTGTGCGGGTCTGGGGAATGGACTGGTTGTATGCATCTTGCTCCTCCTTGCGACGGAGATCTTCCAACCGGCGACGCTCCTGCTCAGCCAATTCCTTCATATGATCGGCTTGTTTCTGCTGTTCGGCGGCACGCTCAGACTCTCTGCTTTGTGGGGAGGAAACTGAGCGCATGGCACTGTCAGATTGCTTTGACTGGCCGCTATCAAGACGCTGCGCTGGACCTGGTGGAGGAGGTCGCGGGGGTGCAATGGAACTTCCGACACTGTTGCCATATGACTTGGCTCCATTGCCGGAGGGTGTGTTCATACCAGCGTAATATTGGGGGTTCTGTTCACGCATCTTGATATCTGAGTAGAATTCAAGGACCTCAATGACAGCTTGTGGGTTCTTCTTATAATCCTCCTTGGTGATGGCTGAAGCTGTCAGAAGCTTCTCCCATTCTGGAGGCAAGCCTACAAAGGCGCCAGTCTTGGGGTCAAATCCGACATGGACGCGGTGACTGAAGTTGGTCGGGTTGCTGACTCCACCCATACCGGGGCATCGCTCGTAGATCTTGTCGATCCATTCATAAATTTCATCGTCGGATTTAACTTCACAGGTGATGGTTTTGGTAGGCAAGTCCCGAGTAAGAAGGGCAGATTTCGACGAGGCATCTTTCGGGTTGGCGAGACGAGTGACCTCGAAAGCCATCTTGGATTCCTCCGAGCGAGCCACTGCGGTAACAGACGAAAGTGGGAAGGAGATCACCACCTTGCTCGAGTCATTCTTCAGGAATTCGAGTTTGTACTCGCGCAAGATCAAGTATCTCGAGTTCCACGTTGCCAAGAACTTGTCCTCTTTGCAGCGAACATGGCCCTCCTTGATAATCGTGATTCCACTTTGAGTATTGCTCCGACTCATGGCGAGAGACGGGCTACTGGTATTAGGGAACAGTGACAGATTGGCCGAGCCCGGGCCCGGTGTACTCGGCGAGTCCAAACTCATCTGGCCAAAGGAGGCAGTGGTATTGTTGGTCGGGAGAGTCAACTTTGGAGGACGATCGGTCGGGGGGCGGGGAGCGGGCCCCGGATTCATGAACTGATCCGGAGAGTACATATTGCTGTGCATTGTGAGTGGCATGTCTAGAGAAGAGGGGAGGAGTGACGGACTTTCCATAGGAAGTCATGATAAAGGGGGAACGAATGCGCCGAGACCTCCTGAGGTCAGGACTAATTAACAGTTAGTCCAGGGGATGGTTTCACAGGCACAGGCACAGGCACAGGCCCGGCTTTGATCTGATGCATACACAAACAGGGTGTGGAGTGCAGGCAATGAGAGTGGAAAAAAGACAGGGGACCATACAAGAGAAATAACCAGGAGCCGTCCTCGCACTGCGAGGATGCTCAACGAAACGCAGTGATCAAAGCGAAGGTGAAAGATGAAGTTGGTGGGGGAAAGAAGGTGAAAGGGGTCCCCTGAGATGGAGACGTTCATCTACAGAAAACAAGCCTCTGCCAATCACGAGAGCTGCACAGAACAGGGACATTGTATGTTGATATTTTTATAGTGATCGCATATGTTACAATTATCTCTTTAAGGCTCTCCAAAGGGATGGTTGAACTTCAATAGTCCATTTAGCCCTCCAACCCATCCCTCGTGGGCCTCACAGCCCACACTTCTCCGCATAACGCTGGGTACACCTCCCTGCCATTCATTCTCGCCATGACGCATCTCTTCATTCCAAACTCGGACTTCCATGCCAACTGCCATCCCTTGGCCCAGGTTGACCCCGTCTAGACTGACTTCGAGTTCGCGCCCGCGGTTCTTCTCGCTGAGCCGCAAAGTGATAGGCGTACTGGATGGGAGGACCAATGGGCGGAAGCTGAGGCTACGCGCGCAGATCGGGGTCAAGAGAATGGCTGGGACTAGTGGATGCACAATGCTACCCCCACTGCTGAGGCTGTATGCAGTACTCCCGGTCGGGGTGGAGATGATAATGCCATCAGCCACTGCTTCGGTGAGGAAACGCCCACCAACAAACACATCCACCACTGCCAAGTGTGGTTCCTTGCCGCGGTGGATGAGTAGTTCGTTCATCACATAAACTCCCTGACCCTGGTCTGTTTTAGTCCGGATCGGGGTAGTCTCAGCGCCGTCAGCAGTAAAGAACCCAACTTTCAGCCGGTTGCGCATCAAAATGCGTGCCCCGCGAGTTGAGCCCATTGATTTCCCTCGAACAGAAGACCATCCAGTTGGGCCCATCTCGGATTCATGTCCGGAAAGTTCCGTTGCCGCGGACTTCTCAAGCACGGGAGTGCGATCTCCTGCCCCAGCCCCAGACATGTAGACCTCTCGGAAGGCTCTTTTGAATTCCGAGAATTTCCATTCACTCAGAAATCCTAGTGTGCCCATGCTAAATGACAAGACGGGTGGGACATTCGAGCAGGTTGCGAAAAGCGAGGAGGCATGTAAGATGGTGCCATCTCCGCCTAAAGTCACCGTGAGGTCAACTTTCTCGTGCAATGCAGTTGGCTTTTCGTCAAGACATGCTGAATAGACGGGAAAGGGAAGTGACGAGTGTACTTCGGCGGCGGTCTTCGACTCGAGAATGACTCGGATGGATGGGTATACGGAGGAAATATGGCTGAGAAAATGAGTCTATATAATCGCTCATGAAAACTGTAACATACTTAACGAATTCGATCAAAGAATCGGTCACAGCTGGGGCGCAATCCTTGCGCACCAGGAAGATGTTGCGTGGCGGTGCCGGCCACTGAAGAGAAAGGAGCTCCCCATCACAGGATTCTACCAGAATCAGCCTCAGAACGAAATGGATGACCATTCAGTCACCTCAATGACCCACACCTTGGTATTTTGGTATCAGGCGCTGTGATAAAGCGCCAATGTCTTTGATCTCGTGACGCGGTATAGATGTGGAGAAGCAGCGAACAGAAGTGCGGAAGATGCGCTGCATTGTAAAAAATGGCCTATCCAGTCAGGTGTATCAGCCAGGAGACATCGAGTTGGGTTGGTTGGCGCTCACATCAATCCATATTATAGCCCAACTGTCCAGAGATGGGATGCAAGTGTGTTGTTGGTAAATTAAAGGTTCCAACAGAGAGCTATAGCTAGGCGGAGTAAATAGTTGACCGCCTTGGAGTGTGACGTTATGAGGGTTGGGCTGTCACGGGTTCGATCTGCTAACTCCGAGCCCACATTGTATTATTCCTCCCGGCCTTCCGGGGGATCGTTTACTCTTCTAACTCCCCTAGTCCCCTTGTGACGCGTTGATCGTCTTCATATCCTCTGCCTCGATATTGCGTGGGCTCCAAGCTCCCCTACCTAAGGTCTCAGAACTCTGGTCTGACCCCTCCAGCTTCAAGGATCTCCGGATCGTCAGATCCCAGATCCCAAATCCCAATTTCCAATTCTCCACCATGGAATCAGCCGAGATTCGACAGCGCAACCCAGTCAAAGATACCAGCGAGCTCCAGAGACTCTCCACCAAACCCCCCTCAGAGCCTCGCCTCAAGCATGGCGTTCCCATGCAAGTCCTACGGTCCCTGCTGCTGGCAACGTGGTTTAACAGCTGTTGTATGGCCATTTGTGTGACGCAATTGATCGGCTCCCCACTATATTTTGTCAACAAGGATTGGTATTATTCATATATGGCATACACGAAACAATGCTTTGGGCTGGTCATCACGGCTGCTACCCATTGGGCCTCCCCGACGCTCTTCCGGGTGAGCGGTGATGAAAGTGTCCGTGGTCAAATTCATCTCTCGAAAGATGGATTACTGGAGACATGTTTCCCAGAACGCCTAGTCATGATCTCGAACCACCAGGTCTACACCGACTGGATCTACCTCTGGTGGGTTGCATATACAAACACCATGCACGGCCGCATCTTCATCATCCTAAAGGAGTCGCTTAAGTATATTCCCATTGTGGGCACGGGCATGATGTTCTACGGTTTCATCTTCATGGCTCGCAGGTGGCAGTCTGACAAACCAAGGCTTCAGCATCGATTGGAGAAGCTCAAGACACGGCTTACTGGATCTAACTCAGCCCGCCCACAGTTTGATCCAATGTGGCTTCTAATTTTCCCCGAGGGAACAAACCTGTCCACCAATACAAAGGGCCGCAGTGACGCCTTTGGAAAAAAAATGGGTCTGCCATCTTTCAAACATCAGATTCTTCCGCGTTCTACCGGTCTGTTCTTCTGTCTCCAGCAATTGCGAGGAACCATAGACTGGGTGTATGATTGCACCATCGCCTATGAAGGACCACCGTATGTTTCCCCTACACATCTTCCAATCCATACTCACTGTTGTTTAGTAAGGGAAGCTACCCCGATAAATACTTCACACTCCGCTCCACATTCTTACAAGGAAGACCGCCAACTTCGGTCAACATGCATTGGAGACGTTTCGCCGTTTCTAAGATTCCTCTTGATGACCAGAAAGACTTTGAGGCCTGGCTGACACAGCGTTGGGCCGAGAAGGATGAACTCATGGATGAATACTTCGAAACAGGTCGTTTCCCGTCAGATTTGGCAGGTTCAGTCAGGGCCGATGACGCAGTAGATGGACAGGCAGTTGCTGCGTCGGCTGGCTATGTAGAGTCCTACGTCCGTTTGCACCATTGGATCGAGCTTGGTCTGATCTTTGTGGTCCTGCTCAGCCTTGCTCTCATTTGCAGATTCATCACCAGCTGGTTGTGAGTTGGACGTTTTGGAATTTCCCTAGATATCCCCCTAGAATCAGTAAATGGCATGGCTATTAGCTATTATCTATATTTATCTCCTTTTTTTTTTTTTTTGTGCCTGTTGATGCGACATTCATTGTTCAAATGTGGCTGATGTGGCGGTGCGGGCCAGCCACTCCTCTCAATTCTCAACTTCTCCATCGCCGCGCTCTTAACCTCCGAGATTCACTTTCGCGTTTTCTCCGACTAAGGGGTCGCTAAACTCGTTTGACCCAATTTTGATCTCATTTGATGGACCGTTTCACCTGATCATGAGTTGAGGCTCCAAAAATTCTACATTCATTCGCAAAGTGGCCTCATCCCTCCCGACGCTTCGAAGATGGCGCCTCTCGAAAATGGCCATTCGAATGGCCTGAATGGAGATCCTACCTCCGCCGCGAGCCCCCTGAGCAACGCTCGCTTTTCCGATATCCCCGATGCCATCGATATTCCCGCATCCAGCTTCGACAGTGAAGTCGAAGTCAGCTTGCTTGAGCTCCCCGATGACCCGACCGAGCTTTGCACTCTTCTGGAAAATGAAAAGGCGGCCAAAAACTTTTGGGTGATCATTGCGCTCGCTTATGCCAAGCGAAAGCAGTTCGATCATGCTATCGATATCCTGAACAAGGGTCTGGCCTCTGTGGCCCACGGAGCAACAAAGGAGAAACTCGGCCTTCTGGGCTGGGTCTGCTGGCTTCTCATGCTGAAGAGCCGATACGCTCCACGAGTCGCCCCAGATGGAGAACTCTATTCAGAAGCAAAGACCAAGGATCACTACCTCCAGCTCGCGACTTCGACGTTGAACGAGGCATCGCGTTTGAACCCGGCTTACCCGCCTCTTTTCCTGGCGCGTGGCGTCCTCTGTCTCCTCCGCGCATCGCTGTACCCTCCCCGCGCTGTTCGACCAGGGGCTATCGATACTTCTGAACGAGTCGAATCCCTGCGCCAAGCTTTGAAATGCTTCGACGAGTCATCCAAGGCTTTTGGTGGTCGGAACATCATGGCTATCATGGGACGTGCTCGGGCTCATTACATGTTGGGAAGACACGCGGAAGCACTCGAAGGATACCAGAAGGTTTTGGTTAAGATGCCTAGCCTCACAGACCCAGATCCTCGTATTGGTATTGGATGCTGCTTGTGGCAGCTTGGGTTCAAGGACCAAGCCAAGGCAGCTTGGGAGAGATCTCTGTCTCTCGTAAGCTTCGACTTCTGGAGTTTGATTGATATACAGTAACTGACATTTGCTCGCAGAACCCCGAGTCCAAGGTTGCCAACATCCTCCTCGCAGAATATTACCTCTACGACAGCTCCCGCCGAGCCACTACCGACCCTATGTTCGGTTCATTGTACAAGGTCGCCATGACCCAATACACACAAAAAGCATTTAAATTGGACAAAGAATATCCGATGACATGCTCCTTGTTCGCCAGCTACTTCCTCCTGCGCAAACAATACCCGACTGTCGAGACATTGGCACGCAAGGCAATTGAACATACAGATGTCATGCCTATTGCAAGTGACGGTTGGTACCTCCTTGGCCGCAAGTCACACTACGAAGGCGATGCTGCCCGTGCTGCGGAGTTTTACAACCGTTCCGACCAGGCCCGTGGTGGAGGTGACAAGGGCTACCTTCCCGCCAAGTTCGGCGCTGTACAGATGCAGATCTCGAACAAGGACTTCGATGGTGCCAAGTTCCGATTGGAGAAGATTGTCCAGCAATCCAAGAACCCGGAGGCGATGATTCTTCTGGGTGCTATTCATGCGGAAGAAGTCTTTGCTGCCCAGAAGGCTGGTAGCAAGGAAGATAAGTCGACTGAGATCAAGCGGGCCATCACTCTCTTGGAGTCTGTGCGCTCCATGTGGAAGGATGAGAAGCAAAAGCTTTCACCTGATGAGTCGGTTTTGGTCTACCTTTCTCGTCTTTATGAGAATACATCTCCAGATAAGAGCATGCAGTGCCTGACCCAACTGGAGCAGATTCAGATTGCTAGCATCCCCGAAGATGCTCGGCCGGAGGGCATCGAGGATGAGGATTCAATGAACGCTGCTCTCCGAGAGAGTCTGCCGCCGCAGCTTCTCAACAACATGGGATGCTTCCTGTACCAGCACGAGAAGATTGCCTTGGCCCGTGGCATGTTCCAGTCCGCGCTGAACGCTTGTGTGCAATCAGAAGATAGGGAAGATGGCACTGACACCGATGCGCTCATCACGACAATCAGCTACAACCTGGGACGAACATACGAATCGGCAGATATGTGGGATGAAGCCAAGAAGGTCTACGAAGGTGTTCTTGAGCGTCACAGTGATTACACAGAGGCCAGTGCGCGTCTGACTTATATCGCTCTGCGTCAAAGCCCCACAGACGAGGGACCCAAGAAGATCACCCAGCTTTACGAGGCTGAAAACACAGACGTGGAAGTTCGTGCACTGTTTGGATGGTACCTCAGTAAATCAAAGAAGCGAGTCACCAACATTGGCGAAGACACCGAGCAACGCCATTTCAAGCACACACTGCAGCATTACGACAAGCATGACCGATATGCGTTGACTGGGATGGGCAATATCCATCTCCTTGCCGCTCGTGACATGCGCCGTGGCACTGACCAGGAGAAGGAGAAGCGCCGCAAAGTCTACCAGCGTGCGGTTGAATTTTTCGATAAGGCTCTGCAGCTGGACCATAAGAACGCATATGCTGCTCAGGGTATTGCAATCGCTCTCATTGATGACAAGAAAGATCACAGTGGTGCAGTGCAAATCCTGTCCAAGATCCGCGACACACTCAAAGACCCCAGCGTCTACCTCAACCTGGGCCATGTGTTTGCCGAGCTCCGACAGTTCTCACGCTCAATTGAGCACTATGAGACTGCATTGGCCAAGGATCGTGCCCGCGATGTGCAAATCCTGGCCTGTCTCGGCCGTGTATGGTGGTTGCGAGGTAAACAAGAAGCCAACTTGGCAGCCATGAAGACAGCACTGGACTACGCTCAGCGTGCCCGCGCCGTCTCCCCCGACCAGCTTCACCTGCAGTTCAACGTCGCTTTCGTCCAAAACCAGATCGCCTCGCTCGCTTACGGTCTACAGACTACCCAGAAGACGCTCCAGGACGTCCAAGAAGCCGCCGATGGTCTCAAGGAGGCCATTGAAACCTTTGAACGTCTCTCCAAGGAGAAGAACCCGCCATATCCTAGCGCCGCTTTGGAGCAGCGAGCCAACATGGGTCGCACGATCAGCAAGCAACTCGACCGAGCCATGCAGAGCCAGAAGGAGTACGAGGAGAAGAACGCCGCTAAACTCCAGCAAGCTCGTGAAGCCCGCGAAGAAGCACAGCGCATCCGTGAAGAGGAGCTGCGCAAGGCTCAAGAAGTCGAAATGGAGCGCAAGAAGCGCATAGCCGAGGAGCGCGCAGTGATGGTCGAAGAGGTGCAGCGCCATGCCGCCAAGCGCGCTGAGGATGAGCGTGCTCGCGAGGAAGCCGAGTTGACGGCCGACTCCGAGACCGGTGAACAAATCAAGCGCAAGAAGAAGCCCGCCGCCAAGCGCAAGAAGAAGGGTGGAGACGACTTCATTGCCGACGATGAGGATGGCGAGGCTGCTCGCAGCGGTGCCGAGAGCGACGGCGAGGCGGTACCTAAAAAGCGTCGTCGTCTGGGCCGTCGCTCCGAGGGCAAGGCTCAGAGCGAAAAGGCTCACAAGGAGACTCCCGGTAAGTATAAGAGCAGTGAGATGGTTGTGGACTCGGATGATGAGCCTGCATCCCCGGGCGCAGACAAGGAAGATCTCTTCGACGACGACGAGCCCGCACAGGAAGATGCTGCTCCGCGTCGTCGGGGCAAGGCTTCTCGTCGCATTGCGGATGACGATGATGAGGAAGAGGCCGAGGCCGAGGCACCCGCTGAAAACGACGATGACTTGTTCGGCGAGGAGGATCCCAAGCCTGCTGAGGACACGGAGATGCAGGATTGATTTGCCATATTACCTGACTGTTGTTTCTTTTCCTTTCCAGTTTCCCAGGCGTTCGGGGAGGGAGGGCATTCAATCTCATTTGATACTTGCCTCCGATGGGGTTTCGTCCATGTGTAATTATTAGCCTGCGTTCTACAAAAACCTGAATTCAGTTGCCAGTTCACAGTATGTAAAGAATCACATTACATCCATACTACTGTATGCCTCCCCGATAACTTACCAAACCAAAATGCCGCCACACCAAGCCACGGGGCCTCGGTACCAAGCTTGTCAAACAGACACAGAAACCCCCGTCCCTAGAATGGAAACACGGAATTCCATCGGAAGATCCTGAGACCAGATCTAGACACACTATCCAGACATGGACAAGGATAAATAGATTAAACCCGCAAATTAATCGTCCGAGCCCACCCCGACAGTCCACGGCATATGTCAGATCGAAGACCGTGGAAATCTTTGCCGAGATAGGAGAGCTTAATAGATTTCAATTCCAGCTGAACTAACACGCTAAGTGATAGTGTTCCTAGGGGCGATAGATGCAAATGTAACGTTGATATCTTAGGTCCGAGTCATCCTGGTCACTGGCTGGTGTTGGTTTTGCCCGTGTGCTCACTGGTCGAGTTTATTGTGTACTATATCTCTCCCTGGACTCTTCGATGGGGCTATGTACTCGGTTCAATGCAACTACATTAGCTGCCTCGGTCTTCGGGTTGGTGTCATGCAGGTTGGTGCGCGGGCTGTGCGGGCTGTGCGGGCTTGTGTCAGCGTGGGATTGGCATGGGCATGGGCATGGGCATGGGCCTTGGGGCTCTGGTCTTTCGTTTCTCAGGAGCTCAGGTATTGGATTATTTCTGGTGTGCTCATCCTGTGAAATGTATGTGCCTGTTGTGTAGTGGATCGTAAGGCAGCAGCTAATAGTCCCACCTTGCCCTACACTATTTTAGAATCTCAAAATCCCACAGATCACAAATCATGAGTAGGTCATGACAATTCATCCACAGCGGATATGTCGACCTGTAAAATATAAATTACGGGTCCATTGTGCAAGTGAGACACTGTCTGTCTACAGGATAGCCTAATGCACCAAACCTTTCCGTTTAGGTAACAAACCCACAAGAAACAACGCTGCTCCAATTCCCAGATAGCGCCCCAGGATATTCAGACAACTCATCACCCAGACACACACTGGGCTTGGGTATCCACCTACCACTGCAGCTAGGTAGAGAGGGTATAGTAAGGTGAGGCCGGCACCGGTCTGGACTGCTTCAATGGCTTGGTTGTTTTTCTTTCCGTGTTCTGTGAGACCGAGTTTGAATGGGACGGATTGGCAGATGTCAATTGCCAATTGTTTGGTTAGATAGTAGATATTGAAGTACTGGTCTGGGTGGCTTTCGGTGGGAGTGGCCGTGCAGCGCATAGATGGTTTCAGGTGGGACAGTAGGAGACTGCTGACCAGAATGCGAGTGCTGCGATAGCTGTTCCAGATATCACATGCTTCGACAGATGTATAGATGTGGAAATTCCCGTCGTAGTGAGAGATGTGTCGGCTCTCATTGACAGATGAATTCTTTCCATTCCATGTTCCAATTATGAAGGGAAAGTTGGCGAAAAGTTCTCGGGAAAACTCTTCCAGTTTTGTGTCAATTTCCATGGCCATTGATAATACCATGGTATCATCTCGAAGAGCACCGTCCTTGATATCAGCCTGGAAATTGCAAAATCCGGCGGACAATTTCACTAGTTGGTTTCTTTAAGTTCCAAGGAGATCAATCTGAAATTTAGATGTCGTCCGATCATGTAAGTCGATCAAAAATCTCTGGAAACCGTTCCATTGGTTGAAGACAACCCAGAAGCTAAAGATATCAGCAATGGTACTAGTCAACAGAATGTCTCTACCTCTTACCGCTGTATTCCTGAGTGCACTGAACATATCAAACCCACCTTCATATTGAAGCTGCTCTCCATCACGGAGTTCAAGTAACACAGCAGCACCATGTGTATGCGTCAACCAGGACTCGATTGATTTGGGTCTTTCAAAGGCAATGATCTGAAGAATGAGATTTGATATACGTAGACAGACCCTGGTGTAACGCTTACCTCATACAATGAGAGACATAGTATAGCGGCGAGTGTCGTTTCAGTACTCGCCTGGCTGGGATCATTAATAGCGGCATTGATCCCTCGCAGGGCCATGTCATACTCCTTTCTCGAAGAGAATCGTAGATCTGATGAATTATGGAGATTCCCGAGATTTGCTAGTCCCACTGAGGCGATGCTGGCTATTAATGCTTTCTGGCTTTCTGGAGCTGCTGATATCAGGTTTTGGTTCACGTGGCAGGTTGATAAATAAGGAAGATTGAGCCATGAGTATGCTTTCGAAAAGAAGCAAGAAGCTTGTTGCGTGGAAGATTTGGTCGTTCACAAACGTGAATAATGGGGATAGACAATAGATATTTTTGTCCTTTTGGCTGTCGTCATTCGTTTGATAGACATGATTATCCTGTATCGAGTGGATTTGAGCATGCTGTCCAGCAGTGTCACTCAAAACTGAACCAGTAGTCCTTGACCTCTGGATAAGTCTGAGTCTCATTTCGAAACCACGATGAAAGCTCATCTCGATAACCTGGGCAGGCTCGAGTAGCTTTCCGGCATTGTAAGCATGTAGGTCGAGCTCGATCACACTTTATAGCAAATCTTGACATTAGCAATGACTTGATTGCGCTGAGAGGGTGACTTGCGCTGATTTTTCTCGCTCGGCATGCATGGCACCCCTGGCTGGGTCTGCCGCAGTAGACCATGGAAGACTGTCTCTATGGATTATATGTGAGAGAGGCCACAGATAAAGATATATTTGAAGAGCTATGCAGCTGCCTGGTTAACAAGTCCTCATGGTACGGTGGTCAGGCTAACTGCATTAGGGATCCAGGGCGAGACTAGCGATATAAGGGTATTTCATTGGTCCATAGAGCTATTGGATCCACTCTATTCTGTAGAAAACGCTTCACTGGATGTTCGACTTTTGGAATAGAAGTACTTTCAACCACTTTCTCACCTTGTTTATTTGTCTCATGATGGGACTGGACTATCGGCACGGTATCTCCCTACTAGAGGTCCCCCTATCTTTCTCCCTACCTTCTTCATTGCTCTTTGGGTATCCTCCAAACATGGATTTAACAAGTCAGGGTGGATAGCTTTGGCTATTTTCTCGCTCGTTCATGTGATCGGTTCACGCTGCCAGATATCTGGCCACGATATCCAACCCTACATCGACGAATCTATATCGCTTGGGCTGTCTGTAACTCAATTGGACTGTCGCCATTGACTGTGGCTTGTGTTGGTCTTTTGGCTCGGGCTAAGTATTTCAACCTCTTTTTTGGGGCTACCAAATCTCACTACTGTCCCTTTTAGGAACAAAACTCTGAAACAAAGATCCGGAAAAGATGTACATCGACGCTTCTTCTCTCAGTCAACCTCGCCACTCTAGCAGCTGTGATCTTGAGTATTATCGGTGCGACAAAAAATCTCCAACAGTGTCCATGCCTCTACAACAAACTCACTATCCAAGATTGGGGTGTCTATATTCCTAGTTGCTTGGGCCGGCCTAGTCTTGATCCTATTCCTGATTTGAATGCGCTGCCGTCAAATCGAAAATGGAGAACATAGACTAGTCCTTGCGGTGGAGCTTCTCTTTTATTCATTCGAATCGTCTACTCCCTGATGGCGGCTTCCTCGGGTGACTCGAAAGTCCACATGCTCACCGGGAATCCTACTATTGTGTTGGTCATGGCTGTTCTCGAGGATATAGCTATCGTTTGGATGTGTCTAGGTACTGATCTTACATTGTCTGCACCAGTTGTCACCAGTGACCAGTTGTTCGTCCGGTGAGATATTTGCCCATCCGCATTTAAAGCAAGGGAGAAGCTAACGTACGCTTTTTCTTCAGGCAGGAAGAATAAATCTAATGACATGGTATGGTCGTCGAGATCAGGCAATATATCTGTAATTTTTTTGATTGGCATTTAAGAAATTTACGGTTTGGGGTTTCCCTGGGTCTTTGAAGGGTAGGACGTAACCTGGACCTGGTTGAGCTTGAATGGAAGAGTACAGTATACATATTTACGGACACCCCCCATTGGATTTAAACTTTTATGCTAGGTAGCATTTGCAATTGGACAACTCAACTGCCTTTATGCCTGCTATCAATTCCGCATTTTACTTAGTGCAAAGAAGAAAGTGACCAAAGCCAGGGTAGGATTTAGTGAAGCGATGATATCAACGGAGCCGCCCAGGGGTGGTTCACCGCCCAAAAAGTCAATGATCAACAACCCCCCGAGCTCTCCACCACCGACCTCTGCAGAGTTACCAAGAGCTTATCTCTTGAAATCTTTCCAGATATCTCCACATTCTTACTGCAACATCCAATTGAACTGAACCACCGCAACCCTAATTGGATATCCAATGTAGCGCTTCTGCTTCTATGTCATCGATTTGTCACCTACACTAGCTATGACACCTACCAAAAGTGCCTAGCTAGTCGGCACTTAGTGGATACAACCAGATTTGATCGTGACAGTTCCTGAAACACGACAGTTACCATGCCGCAAGCATCACTTCAGAGACTGGGTACTTAAATATCCCAATCTTCTCTCGTGGAGACTGGACTCTCCATCCTCCTTGCCAGACATTGACAGTTCCTTGTGAGTGAGTACATCCCAACCTATATCAGGCATAGCGACTATATTGGCCTGTATAGCAGTCCAGCCTCGTTCAAATTCTAATCAATATATTAGTTGCATCTCATCAAAATGCGTTACGCACTCGCAGCTCCAGCCCTGCTGGCCGTGACAGTCATCGCCGCACCTGTCTCCAAACCCGACGAGGAAGCCAACAACCTGGGTATCGACAACATCGATCTCCCCCAGCTGGCAGTCAAGAACATTCCCAAGCGCGATGAGGATGTCAATATTGACAGCATCAACCCTGGTGTTGGCATTCCTACCCTCACCGTTCCCACTTTGAAATCCAAGCGTGGTGATGGTGATGATGGCTTGCTCGACGGGCTTGATCTTGGTGTCGACGTTCTCAAGCGTGAAATTGATGCCGAGGACGAGCAGCAACAGGAAAGTAACGACGGTGTGCTCGGTCTCGGTTTCCTTGGTTTTACCAAGCGCGAGGACACCCTGCTCGGTAGCGAAAACCTCACTGTCGATACCTTTACGGAGATTGATGACACACTTGATGGCATCCTTGAAAAACGGGATGGAAGCCTGACCAGCGGTGATGGTGGCGACGGTGACGCCGACAGCGAGCTCATCGAGGATGCCGTGGACTCGGCTGAGGGCGTGCTTGGAAAGCGTGAAGAAACCATGACCACCGGTGGTCACGATGGCGGCGACGACGATCTCGCTGAGATTGTGGACACTGTTGAGGATCTCCTCGAAAAGCGGGATGACAGCATCCTCACCGACGGCGATGAGAATGGCAGCAACTATAAAAACAACGGTAACGATGGCATTCTTGGCACGGGTATCCTTCGCAAGCGGGGCGATGGCGATGATGATGATGATGAAGATGATGATGAAGATGATGATGAAGATGATGATGAAGATGATGATGATGAGGGCTTACTTGGCCTGGGCATCGGTCCTCTTCGCAAGCGAGGCGATGGCGATGAAGATGATGATGAGGGCTTACTTGGCCTGGGCATCGGTCCTCTTCGCAAGCGAGGCGATGGCGATGATGATGATGATGATGATGAGGGCCTTCTTGGCCTAGGCCTCTTCGATATTCTCAAGCGGGAGCAAGACACCAGTATTGGAGGGATTGGTGGTGTTGATGCTGGCACTCCTGTCTTGGACATTGTCAACGCCTAAATGACACACCAAGCCCAAAATCTGTGTATGTCCCCTTTCAAGGTCAAGCAAAGCAAAGCTAACAAATAATATAGAATCTGGTGGCTGATTGATCGAGGGAATGGAATAAGAGGAAATTGGCGTTATGAACTTAAGATATGATTTACTTACGCTTAATGTCTAATGCACAGTATAGGCTATACCTTGAATGGAAGGATCCTCTTTCACCTTGGGAATACTAGTGTAGATCACACGATGCACGACTAGTACAGGTAAATGCAATAGTCCGATCGATGTATCAATATATATAAAATGACCAGTAAAGACACAAACATTGGCCAAACGTTGACCAGACACGAAAGATGGAAGGGATCCCCTGCAAACAACCAGGCACAAGCCGTGCAATCCCGGCCAGTTCACCGATCAATGCCAGGTTACATTGATGGTCTCCCTCTAGTCGCACATAGTTGCATCAATAGTCAAGTCGATTGAAGAACATCAAAGGGTGAGGACCATTCCGGCTATTGATGGGATTTGCCCCCAGCACTTACGTCGATAGTGCGAGAATGCCCCCCATCCAAACTCCATTCAAACTCCACAGGTGGTTCTAACGACGGATATTCAATATAGTCTACCCAGATAAGCGACCGTTAGCTGTCCAATAATGTAATTAACTTATATTAGTTAGCGCTAGGGGATGGTATGATCTAGTACGACCTAGTAGTGTGATCCTGCCTCGCGGCAGGTTACATAGGGCATGAAAGGATCTACCAACTGTTACTACCGTACTCTTTATTCCGTGCCAGACTCTGTCTAATACAGAACAAGCGAAATACTGACTGTCGATCTCGGGAAGTGGCCAGGAGAAACACACCGAACGTGTTCGTGTGAGCTTGAACCAACAATTAGTTTAGACCTGATACATAGCCCCAAAGTCAAAGCGAAACGTGCCTCGAACCTTGAGAGTTCCAGGGGTATTCTAGCTTCGGCTTTCTCAAACATAAGCCGTTATGGATTAAGTTAACGTTTCTCAATTTTGAGCAGTCCGTATAGTAAGGCTGAGCCCAAATCTGCGAGCAAAACGTTGGGTCTGTACAGACCTGTTGTGTCTGTCTCAGAGTGCCTATCCTTCCCTCTAATTTCGGGGCATATTCTATTTCTGCAGATCTGGCCTGAACGTGTGGGAACGGGGCGTGAGACGCTTGGACCTGGAACTCGGTTGTTCGCCGATGACGAGGTGATCATCGCGAACGGCCGGTGGAGATTGGCCTTCTTAAAGGGGAGAATAGTCTGAGTACACACAGTATGTGTATAGGGGGAATATACAAGCGTGGGAGAGTATACTTCCGTTGGAGGATGAGGCATATATGTACCACGGAAGCTGTAAGAGTGTACCTGCATCTACATGTACCCTCGTGTACCTTATCATGGTCAGCACTACGTGATGTACCTGATGGTACTCATGGACAGTTCTAGACGAGATCGTCAGGAGTCCCGCAATACTAGCGTGATACCAGTCCCGTCTTTTGTTTCGAGTCTTTTCACTGTATAATACAGTACTGTATGAAGTAGAGAGCACAGTGCTACCATATGTATATGCACATACCATCTACTGAGACACCGTTTCAACTGTAGGTTCATGTAAGGGAAACACATTTCACATTCTTCAGCTTCCGAGTTGGAAGGTGGTTTTACTTTATAGTTAGGAGTCACAGACAAAGTTACCGACAGAGTTAGAGAATACTCCGTGCTCTGTGCTTGTACATGTGCATGTACAGAGATAGGGGAACGGCACCCTCCGAGGCCCCCACCGATTATCCCCTACAGGCAGGCACAGGCAGGCACAGGCAGGCACAGAAACGGACAGGAATACGATCAGATCCTTACTCGTGCTTCGACAGGGATGTTCTCCGTAGGAACACAATATGCCGAGCACATGGGTAAATGTAATACAAAGACATTATGGGTCCCCACTGCCGGATTCCGTAGATTGCGATCGGTCTGTTCCAAGCCCTACTCAAAAACTGAACTAAAACACTAGACTATCATGAGATGAAAACCGTTGACCGAGGCTCCGCTGGGACGCGGGGAAGAGGCGCTTCGTGGCTGGTCTCGGGCTTTACGCAAGGATGTGGGAATAGGAATATTGTCCGAAAAACAGAAATAGAATGAGTGGAGGTGGAAAGGGAAAGTGGGATGAGTGAATTGTGCACTGTGGGAGACCTCCACTTACATCCTGTACGCGAGCTGATCATATGCCAAAGGAAAGTACAGTGGAGATAAGAGGTAGTCTATATCTATACCGATATATCTACTACAATATCTACATCTATATCCTATAGTTGTCCATGTCTATAAGTATCCGGTGAATTGGTACGCGTAATGGGCGTATCCATCCGTACCTGCCAGAAGCAGACTAGTGGAAGTCTTGTTCCCCACAATCTCACTTGGGCCCTGAGCACTAGAACCGTTGTGTTTCGGCTCCGTGATGCTGGGATTGTGTTCCGTGGTCTACTCTCTCATGGCCACTCACTTCCCTTCAATTCAAGTCAAGTCAAGTCATTCCTTTTGTATTGTACAGGTTAGCCCACGGCAGCCCGCATCGTGTAACTAGCAAATCTCTAACAAAGAGCAAATAAATGTTAAAAAGAATTGTGGAAAAAAATATATAAAAAGATAAACAAAAAGAAAAAGAAACACAAATATAAAACAATCTCAATACAATACCGTACCCGCCATAAAATACCCCTGAACCAGCCCGTGTATCGATTCTCTTCATTTATCTCCCGGCTCTCCCTCCTTTTTGCCCACGGGGATCTCCAGATGTTTGGTCTTCACAATGTCGACCTTTGCTCCTTTCCCGGCCAAGGGCCAATGGGACGATGATAGTGACCGTCCATCCACTCGTTCCTCTAATGAGCCGCCAGAGTATGCGGCTCATATCCGGTCGAGGTCAACTGCTCATGTGAATAGCCCGAAGCGTCTATCAGTCTTCAGTGGCCGTTCCAGAAGCAATACTACTACCTCGACCTCGACAACCTCTCGCCGGTCCCCAGGTTCATCCATGACCTCCGAAGGATCAATGCCTGAGGAGCGAACGGTGTCATCGCTGGGCATGCGTGCTGATAAGGATAAGCCGTCACGGTCCTTACTAGCACGTGGCAGTCGCATTCTGCGCCGTCAAGGTAGCAAGATCAACATTGTCGCCACGCTGGACGAGGAAGACGAGGCGGATCGCGAGAAGCCCAGGGCCGAGAGAGAGCTGTTTGGCCGTCGCGCCCGCCATAGCGAAAACCGTAAGTGCCCAAGCTATTAAGCTATGAAGCACGTGGACCCAATTGACCCAATGCAGATGAACGTCTGAAGAGCATCATCTCAGACCCATTCGACTTCCACCACTTGACTCATACCAACCCGTCGCAATTCCAGTTGTTGGATCAGACCCGTGAGAATGATCTCGTCACCGAATTCTCCGCCATCCGTGCATCTCAACGGCCCCAGACCGATCTTAAAGGCATCCGCGCCGAGAACATTCATTTCCGCAACTTCTCCACCGAAGACCTGGGTGCGTTTGGAACTGCCACCACGGTGGATGTCCCCAGTGTCAGTCCACCGGCTTCTCCAGATGGGTACCGTGGCCATGCACGTCGGGAATCTCGTGTGACCGAGAACTTCTCCCGGCCTGTCTCCAGATATCCCCGTTCATGCCCTACCACTCCCCCGCCGCCTGCTGTCCCAGAGGCCCCTCTACCTGAAACTGCCGAGCCCGCTCCTCGGGCCATTGATGAGATCCTAGGCTTGTCCACCAGCATGACATATCCGGAATGCTTGCAATCTGCCCAGCCAACCCGTTTCTTCAGTCCCGAGCCCACAGACGATAAGCCCAGAACGTCGTCCATGAGTAGCCACTATGATCTAGAGGATGTCCAGGAAGAGGAAGAGGAAGTGACTCGGTACTGGGATAGCCCTGAGTCTAGTATGGGAGGCCCTGTTTCCTGCGCAACTTCCCAGGCTAGTCCCAAGACCAGGGTCCGGTCAAGTCAGCCAAAGGCTCCGTTGTCGATCGATGTGGCCGAGGAGTTGTCCAGAAAGTTCTCCGAGGCACTTGGTTCGCCCACCCTGCCCCAGCATCTTCAGCACACTTCTCAAGCCCAGGTCCAGGTGACGCCGCCTCCGACCTCCAGCGTGCGTCAATTCTCGTATGACGATGAGATGTATGACTCGTGGGATGCGGATATCGACTATTGCTATGAGCATGCAGCCGAGTCCACCTCCAACTTTGACTGGTCGCGCACATCTCTGGACGAGAACCGTCCACAAATTGGTATTGCCTGCAGTGATGGTCCCTGGCTGTCACCAAAGACCCGACACCTCCAGCCCAGCCCGTTGAGCACCTCTGCTCTGCCCACTCCAGATTTGGACCCTAGCCCTGCCCAGTCGGCTATGCCGCACTCAGCCGCCACTCCTTGTGATTATGAGCCAGATTATATCGCTCGGCCCGGTGACTATTTCCCAGTCAGTTCCTCGATCCTGCCATCGTCCCTGGGCAAACAACTTCCTCACGAGCCGTTGTATGAGGAGTACCTGGCAACTGATGGAGAATCAGATCGTCACTATCCCTTCTCGGGCATGATGGGCAACCCCATCTCTCCCCGTAACAGCTTTTCCCCTATCAGCAAGTGCAACTCCCAGGAGAGCTTGATGCTCTCCCGCGCGGCCTCGATTGCCCGCAAGCACCGCTCCTCGGTGTCAACCACCAGCGTACCGGAGCTCATCCACAGCCTGTCCAGCAGCCGCGAGCTGATGCCGACTGACCGTTTGACTGCCGTCGAAGCCCTGGCCCGCCCTTCTTCATCTTCCAATCATCGCCAAACCAAGAGTCTGGCCGAGGCACACCTTCTTCAGAATGCTGAAGATGAAACCATGCCTCCATTCCTTCACGACCGGACTAAATCCACCTCCGAGGTGGAAGTCCGATCGATCGAAGCCCCGCTGCCTCCGCTGCCTCCTAAAAATCCCAACCGAAAGAAGAGCAGGACTCCATCTTACTCTCTCTTCCCAACCACTGCTCAGTAAAAGTGATGGTCAACTCTTCCTTCTGTTTTCTTATCATCTCACCCCTTGCGTCTTATCGAGGGTATCAACTCTCGCTTCCCGACCCTTTGTGGTCTACGAGTCACGATCTGTGTTTTCCTTGTGTCTTTATCTGTCTGTTTAACATGTCTGTGAGCCATATTTTCCGTTTGTTTTTGGTTTCAGCTGTGGTCGTTCTTTCATCTGCATTTCTCAGCGATCAGCGATTTGGTGTCTTGGAGGGGATTTGGGAAAAGAGAAAAAAAGGAACTGGAGGGAATCTGGATTGGGAACATTCGCTATAGAATTTTTTTTAGAGGAGCTCAAGCTCCAATGCAGCCTTTGGCATTGACTTGTGGTGTACAGTAGACGTGTATAGCCTAAAGCGGTTAGCTCGGATCATCTGATTCCTATCTTATCTCACTTTTCTCAACTTCCACTTAACTCAACGAACCACCATGTCGTCTTCGCAGGAGCTGGTCAAGCGCCCGGATGGCCAGCTCATGCCCCCTCCTCCGCCTCCGAAACGGATCAAACGCCCCGCGACAGTCCTGGACGAAGATGTCTACACCAGTACACTATCCCACATCATCGCCCGTGACTTCTTCCCGGGCTTACTGGAAACGCAAAGCAAGCAAGAATATCTGGATGCGCTAGAATCAAAAGATAAAGCATGGATCGCAAGCTCGAAGAAGAAACTGGCAGATGTTATGCGCACGCCCACGCCAGGTTCAAATGCGAGAAGAAAGACAGACCCCGCGGGCACGCCACAGCATTTCCCATCCAGCCAATCTGATGAGACACCCCACGGCTGGGGAGGTGATACCCCTATGTCTTTTGTATCGACATCAACAGCAGCGACAGATGCCCCGGAGCAAAACGTGCCCGATGTGTCGAACATGGGGCTACTCGCCTTCCAGGCAAAATACACCAGTGAAGACAACGAGTCCTTTAACAAAGTTATCGACAAGCAAAACATCAAACGTAGAGAGAAATACCCATGGCTCTGGACCGGCAACAAAGTTCCTTCGGCGCGCCAAATCGCCCATCACGCCCAAGAAACAAAGCGCATCACAGCACAAGGCGGGAACCCCGAAACAGCCCTGGTCAAGCAAGATGGCCCAGCCATAAAAACAGACTTGGATGCTCGCCCTGCAAAACCAGACTCGTGGAAGACCCGTCCGGATAACACACTCATGTTCCTCCCATCCTCTGTGGAGGATACACACGAGACCCTCCCTCAAAAGGCAGACCTCTCGTCCCGAGCCGGCCCAAAACGAACCCTCTACCAAAACACAAGACTGCTCGACCCAGAAGCAGCAGCCGCAGCAGACTCAATCCCTCAATCACCCTCTCTTTCAGCAATCCAAGACGCCATAGCCGGCCGACCTCGGCTAAACGAATCAGAAGCCATGTCCACAGCCGGGGGCGAAACACCCCGTGTAAACGGCTACGCCTTTGTTGACGAAGACGAACCCGAACCAGCATCATTCAGCTACACCTCATCCTCCAACCCCGGATCTTCAGAGTATGAAGCAGATTGGCGCCTCCTAGGCCAAGCAGATTCAACCCCAAATCCATTTCAACTATCCGAAACCGGTAAACGTGAAGCCCTCCACCATCGCATGGTCGATCGTGTGGCGCGCAATAAACGAGCTGAAAAGGCTGCGCGAGTTACCAAAACTCCTGTTTCGAATACGCCGCGTTTCGCTAGCAGTCCCATGCTCGGTTCGAGGACGCCTGGCTCTGTGGCTTCTGCTTCTACTTCTGCTGGAGGGAGGCAGGGGAAGATGCTGACACCTGCGGCGCATCGGTTGTTGAATCAGGTCGGGGGGACGCCGAGGTTTGGCTCTTCTGTTAATGGTTCTGGGAGATCTGGGCTTGGGAATGTTTGGTCGCCGAAGTTGACGCCAAAGAAGAAGTGATTTTTATTTGTGTTCATGCATTATACCATGGGAGTTTTGAGTTCATTACGGTGTTATCGTTGCTAGTTACCTTTGGAGGTTGCATTATCTGCATATGGATGTATTGTTCTACACGGAAATCCGAATCAAGTATAATATAGACCTCAACAACAACTTTAGAAAGATATTGTATATTCTAACAGTCAAGTGCTGAACATCGGAACGAACAGGAAACGGGGATTATCCGCCCGAGAAGAGTTCTTACCCGGTCCCGAGAATCGGCTTCATACTTGCTTCACTTCACCTCCAACGCTTTGTCTTGACAAGAGATACAAGAGTAGCGGAGAACTGGACTGTCTTATTCACTGGATATTTTGTATGGTATGGTTTTGCGCTCTCGCCTTGTGGTCTGTACCATTCAATGTGATATCAACTGGGGATTCGATGCTAATGGCTGGTAGATGATCAATTGATCATATTTGATCTCTTCTATGCAGTGATCTTATGTAAACATCTACGTTCCTATCCAGCTTGATATACACATATCAGAATGAGCATCGATACCCAACCTCAGGGTGTCTCACCGGGATCAACTTCAACTTCAACCTCAACTCCCTCCAAACCAGGAGATACAACCAAAGCAAAAGATCCAGACACAGAGAAACAAGCTGTATCAGCAAACTCAGCCTCAGCCACAGACCAAGCGCTAGAAAAGGAAAAAGAGCAAGGAAAAGAAGACTCCAAACCATCAAGCTACAACCCAACAACCCTCCTAACAACCCTCCTCTCCCCATTCACATCAACCTTTACTTCAACATCGCCCCCACCACCCCCGGAAGCATACTACACTCCAACCGAAATCCCCCTCTTCAAACGTCTCCAAAAAACCCGCCTCTCACGTACGCGCGAAAAACAACTCCTCCGCGCAGCAGAGCGTGAATATAATGATCCGCCTCCGCAGCCTGCGCCAGGTGATTGTTGTGGGAGTTCTTGTGATCCCTGTGTGAGGGATTTGTGGGGGGAGGAGATTGGGGTTTGGAGGGGGAGGTGGGGGAATCGGGCGTTGGAAAAGAAGGAGGGTAAGGGTGAGAAGCGAAAAGAAGGAGGCGATGCTAGCGTTCAAGGGAGTGGGACTGGGAATGGCAATACGGGGAGGAAGGATTTGGAGTGGTGATTTGGTGATTTGGTTTACATCGGATGCTTGTATCTAGATTTTGTTGTATATAACGGTAGACTTGGAATATATATTTCAACAGTAGACTTCACTGTCTATTATCTATTTCTGGCGTTACGATATGTTAGTTTATACACTGCCAGAGCCATCTAAGAGTAGCCAAGGTATAGCTGTCTACGCTGTATGTATAGTATAGTGCTGGGTAGGGGGGTATTAAACATATAAAAAAAGCCATTTACTTCATCTAGGTCATTATTCAAATAAAAAAAGACCATTAAGCTTGGTAACAAAAAGAAAACACCAAAAAAGAAATGCTCACATGCGGATTTGAACCGCAGACCTCGTGATTGACCGAGGGTGGATACTCTTACTAGTCACGCGCTCTACCAACTGAGCTATGCGAGCTATTGTTATATTGTGGCCTTTCACAGGGAAATATAGAGCAACTTTGGAGTACTAAATCAGACAGCAGACTCAGTTACATCCATGGATAATTCCACGAGACTTCCAAAATTCCAAGGTTGCAGATAATATCATTCCTATTTACAACTATAACAAATAAATAACACCCATAGCAACCAAACTGAAAAATCCAACCCAGCCAGCCCCAAGTCTCACTCCAAGACTCAAATGGTAAGCTGCACCAAGGTACGAACACGTAATATCACCATCTGAATTGCGATATCCATAGGATGCATTCAACCATCGCCCGCTGGGACACTTGAAACCAAGTTTTGAAGGACAATCTTTAACAAGCGTTGAACAGATATCTTCACAAGGCAGGATCTCTTTATAAGGACCTGGTTGGATTTCTGTGTCGATGATCTTGTTTCTGGATGTGTTGGATGCAACGTGTTGTCTGTATGGACTATCCACTGGCAGGGAGGACCCGTTGATAAAATCTTGGCCTGCGTTGCGGACGGCGAGGTAGGGAGCGTTGTTGCTGAAATCTGCGCAGCGCGGAATTGATACGCTGCAGAGCCACTGTTTGTAGGCTGTGGCGCAATCGTCGCAGTCGACTGCTAGGGAGAACATGCTTTCTTGGTCTGTTTTGCATTGGACTTGTTGGAGGCTGTAGTTGAAGTTTTGGTAATAGTGTGCTGCGTTGGTGTCGTAAATTTCGCGCAATTTGGCTACGCTTAGTTTAGGGTTTGAGGGGACGGCGTAGGCTACTTCTGAGCAGAAGGTTAGGTTGAAGAGGACGGCACAGTTGTCGTCTGGTTGTGTTAGCAAGTTACCTCTCGGGATTGGAGAAGCAAGTCTTACCTGCTTTGGTTGTGAAGTTCATGGCTTCCCAGACCTGTCCTCCGCCGCCGACAATGCCATTTCCTGATGTGGTGGAGTTGCCCACCATTGCCAGGATGCCATTATAAGACGAGCTCTGGTTCAGTCCAGTAATGTAGAACTGCTCTTTCGGTCTATTTCCCAGTCCACGGCTGGTCATACCAACCTCAACCGACTTGCTGATTCGTCCGACCTGCGAAAGCTCATCAAGCGCACAGAATGATCGCTCCAAGCCTACCAATGCTGTGTTATTGATATTATGGGCAAACATGGTATATGGAGGCGTCATGTTCATCCACTGCTGATAATTGTCGGAGTCTTTCTCAGCCTGCGTCAGGTTATTGGTCACCAGCAACGCGGCAGACACATCTGCATCGACAAAGTACAGGAAAGGGTCATTGTCCACGACATTGTGGAAATATGCGTCAATCGAGGCTGCAAGCTGGTATGTATAGCCTCCGGAGTAGCCAGTCGAGTTGGGCGCAGCGACACCAATGAAGACGTCGCTGTCTGTGTCTTTCTCGATCCCAATATACCCTCCCTCAGCCGTGTATACATCTTGATCGGAATCATCATGGCCTGGTCCTGGCTCCTGTAGCGTCTCCGACTTGGAGACGTACATCTGCAACTGCGGGAACCCATCCTCGGTAGTCGTTGTGTTGGCGGTGGGCTTACGGCACGTCGTAAGCGACAGGTAGACGGTGGTCGATCGCTTCTCCAGACCATCTCGTTTCCGTAACTCGTCATTCGCGTCATCATCATCAGTGGCATTCACATAGGCAGGAAGCCCTGCGCCCTTGCTAGCGTGTTTGCCATTCACCACCGACGAGGGCAGATAGAACCACTGCACATCACCGATTTCGAGCGAGGTATTCACGAATTGATTGTTGCCCAACGATTTCGCGGCATTCGGGTATCGGCGCACCAGATCTAGGCCATTGGATTCCCCGTCTTCATCTACATTGTCTCGAGTCTCCAGTCCATTGAACGAGTCCAGCGCAAGTGGGAGTCCAGCCCCGTCGCTCACGATTGCTCCTCGGAGGTTCAGATTGTTTTCGGTATTGAGGTCATTAAGGGTATCAGTAAATGCATAGGCTGTCGAATCGCAGAATATGAATAACAAGATGAGCGCGCTAATTGTTGCAGTTAGATAGCACTGCAGCGCGTTGTATTGACGTCCCATGGAAAGGCCGAGGGGTGGGTGTCGCACGGTGCATGGGTGAGTGCGGCAGAGAAAGGATCACAGGGGAGCAGTGATATATACCTGCAGACCTCCAAGAGGTTTAGTCAACTGCATGTAGATGTTTGAGAGTGTTTGGGGAGTTGGCTATCGGAAAATGTCCTTATCGATATTCTGCCCTTTTTACCGCCCGGATATTTATAGACCAGCCTTATGTCTCAACTTCATTTATAGAGCTTTCATACGATCATTCATGTGAATTGAATGCATAGACATCTGCCTGAACATGTGTGGTTTTGTTCACTTGTGTTTGTTTAGCCCTTCATATTCGGGCGCAAGGACGCGCGTAAGTATTCGCACATATTGACGAACTGCGTACCCCACTGGATGTTTACTCAAGAAATGTAATTGCACAAGTATTCTGCCAAAACTTTAATCTAATCAACTATAAATCACCCTTCAAATGATAGTATCTCGATCCAGAATCATACTCTACGGAAACCTCAACACCCAATGCCTCATGCGGAACAACCCTCTGTCTCGCAACGAAGAGTTCATAGCAATTAGCCATAGCATCAGACACAGAAAGCTCAGCACAAACAAACATGGTCGTGCTATCCTTGCCCATTACCATGACTATATCACCATCATCCCCCAAGCGGAAGAATGTACCAGGCTTAGGGTTAACCCGTGAGACTAACTCCTTCTGTATCTTTGGTTTCGCTGTCACTTGCGCTAATTCCGCTTTGCTAGAGCCACTGAGAATCTCGTTTCTCAGTCGAGCACGTGAGTCGATATGTAGACTCCACAGCTTGATGTATAGTTTCTGTGCTTGCTCTTGTCGGACGCCCACTGTCACTGTAGCGCGCGCGGTGAATTCATCCAGCTGTAACTTGCATAGCTGCGTACCGTCTTCGTGGGGAGCTAGTTTGGTTGGGTCGATTGTCGGTTTTCCGGACTGAATACCAATTGGTTAGACCATTATGACTTGGCAAAGAAGATAATACTCACATTCTTCCTAATCCACTCGTGTACATGCTTGTTACTCCAAGTAGTAGGAATAAGAGCGTCGTATGGCCTCGGTTTAACCTTTGGCACATGCACCCTGAGCAATTCCGCATATCGCAGTGTATTCCGACTATGAGGAACATCCAACATGCTCGGAGCAACACAGGCAATAACAAGAGTCTTGCAAGCCCTGCTACTGTTGACATCAAATGCAGGTTTCAGCACTTTTGTCAGCGTGCTAGTGCGAAAGGGAATATGGACATGTTTTTGTGTGGCAGTCCCTTGAGAAATACCCCAAGTGGCTCTGGCGCGGATACAATCCTTGAGTGTCACCAATGATTTGTTGATTTCGCGGGTTTCTGCCATGCGTTCTGTTGAATGATGTCGTACGTCTGCGCTTGCTTCACTGCCTGCAAGATCAACCAGGAAGAAGGTCCCTTCTGGTGCTCCTTTGCGATCGGTGTCGATGATTCTTAGACGGCAGATTGCGTGAGAGCGGGAGGACCGTTCGTTTTTGGTTGTGTCTGCTGTCAATCGAAGTGATTTGGCGGTTTCGATTAGTGATAGGAGGTCCTCGACGTTGGTGGGGGTCTTCTCGAGAGCTCCGACGATTTGGATTGAGCCAAATGAGTCTTCGAGAATGTTGATTTGTTTCCGATCCCCCAAAAGGTCTAGAAAAGAGGATTTAGTTATAGCTCAGAGTGTAATGGTCTGGTCTCACCGTAGGCAACGTTTCCAAATATCTCGAATATGCACATGTGCACCTCCTTCTTCTCAGGTCGTGTATCGAGGAGGGCCTGTACAACGAGTCTTTCCAGCGCTGTAACTGTAAAGGTCTTCCCAGATCCAGTCTGGCCATAGGCTAGCATGATGCTCGTTCCGCCATTCCACGCCCATTCGACCAATTGCTGTACTTTGTCGTCATATATGTCTTGTGTAGCTTTATCGGAGCCGAAGACCTCATCCAAAGAGAAAGACGTTGACTACAAGGATGTCAGCCATGATTTTCACAACGTTGGCCAAGCGTACCTTCACATCAGGCTTCCCATTGAACTTCCTAATTGCTTCATGTATCTTAACCCTCCCATGATGCTGCGTGATGACACCTTGGACATGGTTTGCATCCTTTTCCTGCTCGGACAGAGGACGTACCCGAACACAAATCGATGTGTCTGATGGAGCGAGTGATCCTGGAGTCTTTGTTGTATCGGGCTCTGCGATGAGTTTCTGTACCCTATCTGCGAAGTAGTCTCGGTGGTCGAAGAATAGCGAGTCCATGACTAAGTTGGAGAATTTTGGGTAACAGATGTAAGTATGCCCTGCGATAGATATACTCTGAGACTGATAGCGGTCTGATAATCTACGTGGCAAGCTTGGTAGCCTGGTTCTTTGTGAAAGGGGCCTGCTTGGAAGTCCGAAACGACATGTAGAATGCCAAATGCAAGCGCCACACCGCTTGTGCGGGCTATCACATTGCATTCAGCCTCATTGACATACCAGAGTGATGGGGGTCCTAAAACTGTGTTAGCATAGTTCAAAGATGTAGAAAGGAAAGACACGACCTAGATATAATAAACAAACAAATGAACAGAAGAAAAAAAAGCACCCCATAAAAGCAAGTCACATAGAAAGGCCAATGGAGCATTTTAAGACAGGAAAAAAGATACAATAATACTAAGTCTGCTTTGACTGGGAAAAAAACAAACAAAAAAGTAGTTGTCACACCAAATAGCCAACTTCCCTGTAACAGGACGGTGTAATCTGGCGACGCCATCCTGGGGTGGAGATGTCTCTGCAGAATTGCTTCCCTCAAGGGTCATCTCCATTGCTTAGCGGCCTCCAGCGTCGTGGATTACTCACACGAGTGAAAATGCCGACCCCGGGATTCGTACCAGGCACCAGTACGAGCTGAATTTCTTCGAAGCAAGGTTACTGGCTTGGCGGTGAGCCTCCCACTAGGTTATCCATGACAGATTATCGAAAATATCCTAGAACAGTATTATAACCAATATTTACTTTCTTCACAGTTTTCTTATATCTCTAATTTATATCTGCACTTTGTTTCTTTCTTTACTTCTGCTCACCACCACGATGCCCCGGCTCCTCTTCATCGCCTCCATCGGCAACAAAGCACCCCTCCGCCGAACCCGTCATTCAGCAGGCCACCTCCTCCTAGACGCAGTAGCTCCCCTTCTCCCAAAATCCCTCCCAGACACAGACTTCCACCAAACATGGTACAGCCCAACCTACATGAACGTAACGGGGCCGAAACTCGTGCGCGCCCTTGAGCAATGGGCAGTCTCCCAGAACGAAATTCTTCAAGCGAAAGGGATCTCTCCACCTTCTACAGGTACTTCTCCAACATCAACCGACGCAAACACATCCTTCCCCACAACACTTGTCATTCTCCACGACGAACTCGAATCCCCACTCGGTAAAGTCCGCATTAAACGTGGTGGACCTGAGTCTGCTAGTTTGCGTGGGCACCGCGGGTTGATTAGTATCTGTGAGACGTTGCGCGGGAAGGGATTGTACCCTGCGCGCCGTGGTGCGAAGATCGATTTGTCGATTCTGAGGATTGGGGTTGGGATTGGGAGGCCTGATAGTCGGGAGAAGAATGCTGTGTCGGATTATGTGCTCGCGAATGTTTCGTCGGCTGAATTGGCGGCTTATCATCGGGCTGCGGAGCCTGTTGTGAAGGTTTTGGCCGAGGAGCTTTATCGGGTTTAGACTGGTATGAAGTATAGATTGCTGGTGTGTGTGTGTATGATTTGTTGATATTGTGATACCCTGTGATTATACCCTGTTTATTGATTATGTTGCATTGACTTGAATAGAGTGAAGCATGGACTCCTATCAATCATGTACACGTAGACAGGAACAAGAAAAATAACAAGAAATATAACAAGAAATAAGGTGCGACAAAGCAAACGGAACAATCCGCAATAATAGGCAAATAGGCATATGCTCGTTAACTCCAATCCAAGACCTTAAACTGTCCCGGCAATGCTCAGATCCCGAATCTCCTGCAGAACCTCCTCAACCCGGTTATCCAGATCTCCCTTGGCGTATTGGTCGCGTGTCTCGGCGTCGAGGTACTGCTGCACCTGTGCCATGCGTGAGTATGCCTCCGCACAGAAACGCAACTGGATCTTGACGAGGGCTTCGAAACTGGGGTCGAGGTAGGGGACACGAAGATCGATCAGCTGTGGGAGTTCGTTGAAAAGCTGCTCATTCAGTTGCTCGTAGGCCTGCTTGGCCATTTCGGCCTCGCGCTCGGTCCGTGGCAGCTTGGTGACATCCTTGTCGGGCTTTTCGGCAAGCTTCTTGACCTTGGCGCGCATAGCGTCGTAGTCGAGCAGCTTGTGGTTACGTTTCTTGATACATTCGTTGACGTCGGGGAAGTAGGCGCAGAATCGGGAGATGGGGTCGAGGACGGTGGTTCTGTTCGTGTCAGTCCGGTAGCCTATGCTGAAAGTTATGGTGGCTGTCCTACCGGTATGGTCCGTCCAGTGCCTTGATAGTCTCAGCGTCGAGATCCTCTACAGCTTGCTTGTAGCTCCGGCTCACGCCGTCTCTTGTGCCCGCATCACCGTAGAATGCATCGATTGTCTCTGCAATGCGCATTTGAGACGCAGTCATAGCTGTGAAAGTCAGAACCTGCCAATTCCCCCGTATCAGATTATCACTCACCTCGTAGTGAATCCAAATATCCCTTGGCTTCCTTCTGCAACCGATTCGCTGCAGTCTCCATAGTCCGGTATCGTCTAACGCGACCGAGTCAGTGCCATCCACACAACGAACAGAACAAAACATACCGCTCCTCAATCTCATAGTCGCGATCATTTGTCCTCTCAACATGTCCTGTCCAATTCCAGTCAGCATCTACTTCCACTTCAAGCCACAGACCGGGCAGATATCGTCGATCGCCCTCTTATTGCGGGGTAAGACTCGACCCGTCACTCACCCGTCTTCATCATCACCTGCGTCGTCGCACGGTTGACATTCTTCTTGAACCCTATTCAGCTCTGTTAGATCGTGCCAGTGCCAGTGTCGGGGAATGACTCCGGTGGGGAGTGGGAGTGGTGGCGTACCTGCCCAAGACATGGCAGCGGTAGTTGGAGGATGGAACCGTCAATGTAAATTGGAGTGGATTAAGCTTCCAAAGCTGTATGTATGTGTGAATGGTGAGTGACGCAGATGAATCAGGATAGAAATCGCAAGTGAGTACCTGGTCGGGGCCAAGATGACTTTCTGCCTTGCGATGTGGCTTGGCGATGTGGCTGAGTGATTATGTAACATGACGTAGCCGCATCCGGTAGGGCTACAGGGCTGTGATGAACACCTCTATTTACAGAGTGCAACATGGTCTGTTTCGGGTGAATTTACAGGATATGGGTGACGTTGACACTATATATTAGCTCATTTGCCTTTTAGTTGTACCCAGTAGAAGTAGTCTGGTCTTTTATGATATGCTGTTTCTTCACTATATATATCGTTCTACAGGATACACTAAAACATAAGCATTATTCACCGGATCCATATCAAAAGCCCATATAACCTAGTAAAACCAAAATCGGACACCGACGGCAAGAAGTCCGGGGTGCATCTCGCCTAGTGACTCACGAACACTCTGGGCCGAAGTCGGTCTGCCAACATATAAAGGGACCAGAGTCTCGACTGTATAGCCAGGGTATTAGAACTCCAAAGAGCCTAGAGATATCTGCAATATACTTAAAGGTAACATCCTCCATCCATGGATCAACTTACCCAACGTCCAGGAACTCATCGACAACACAGAACTACAGACCCAAACAAACCGAAAGCATCATGTCCATCGACGACATCTCCTTCCGAACAGAACTTCGCAACACAAAAGTCCTAGAAGGGCCCTTCCCATCCCTCAACTTCGACAAATTCCCCCCGACCCCACAAGATGCCTTCAAGAACTGGTTCCACGAAGCCGTAACAGCAAACGTGCGTGAACCACACGCCATGACGGTCTCAACAGTCAACGAAGAAGGATGCCCAGACGCGCGTGTCCTAATACTCAAAAACGTCGACAGTCGCGGCTGGCATTTCGCCGTCAAGTCTGACAGCCCCAAAGGCAAACAGTTGGCTGGGAACGGGGCTACGGCCTTGACATTCTATTGGCCTTTGCTTGCTAGGCAGGTGAGAGTTAGGGGGACTGCTGTTGCATTGCCTGATGGGGAGAGTGCGCTGGATTACCAGGCTAGACCTGTTGCTTCGAGGGTTAGTGCTGTTGCGTCGGAGCAGAGCGAGGTTCTTGGCAACCGGAAGGATTTGGAGAAGAAGTTGGTTGCTACCGAGGAGGTGTTGAGGAGGGATTCTTTGGCTGGAGTTGAGAAGTGGAGAGTTTATGCTGTTGATGCTAGTTCTGTTGAGTTTTGGCAGGGCGATGCCAATCGGCTTCATCAGCGGTTGCGGTACGTTTGGAGTAAAGATGATTGTCAATGGGTCAAGCATTTGCTTTGGCCTTAGGTCTTGGTTTTAGTAGGAACATGCAACTTGGGAATAGAAGAAAGGCTAGGTTATTCATCGCAAGACTTACAAATAGCACTGATATTGAGATACCATCACATAACTATAGAATATCACCTGGAACTAAAGATTACAAATAAAAACAATTGCTCCGTCATCTTAAATATCCCTAACTTCCGGAGTATACACGGAACTACAGTATGACCCGTAGAAATCCAATATGAAATAGATACAAAAGAATAGATACAAAAGAATAGATACAAAAGAATAGATACAAAAGAATAGATACAATACCCCGGCATACAACTTTCCCATCCGAAACCGTAACAAAAACTTCATACATCATCCGACCGGATCTTCAACAGCGCGGCGGGCTAAACCACCAGAAAAGGAAAGTTAAAAACTCAAGCCACAACCCCAAGCCCCAACAGCCCAGCCAAGATCCATAGGGCAGAGAAAAAGCCGCAAGCAAGACCCGCAGAACCACGAAGAGAACTCGACTCATTCACTTTTTGTTTGCCTAGCCTTTAGTCCGCATATGCAGAACTGGCAGATATCCACTTTGCCCAGACTGAAATGGTGATGCCTAAACAATGGGGTCTGTCTTGGCGGATATCATTATATTGGTAGAAGTTACAGGATTTGATTTGGTTTGGATTCGAGATGATAGTATTGGTTGCTTTTGGTATCGGGTGTACAGGTGTACGGTACCTGTAGGTGGGCTTATTGTAACATTCGGCTTAGCCGGATATAACTTGGATCCCGACACCTCCGTTGATACTGTACGTATGTATTGGGAATAAGACTGATTTTTGGATTTTACGATAATATAATGACAGGTTACAGTGTATAGATACATGTACAGTTACCAGATAGGTAGACGTCAGGAGTATCGTAATGAATTTGGCCTTGGTATGCCCTGATATGAACTATATTCCAAGGTTTATTCAGTGGAATCAACTACATCATCAATATATCATAGTTGTATCTATCCCACCACCATTCCGTCTCAGATACAACATCCAAACAAACAAATCAAACTGTGCAAGTGTGGCCGAGTTGGTTAAGGCGCCAGATTCAAGCATCCACACTTGATATCCGTCAACGGAAATCCTGGTAACGAAAGTTGCATGGGTTCGAATCCCATCGCTTGCATATCTTTTTGCTTTTTTCATTCATTACACTCGAAGTGTATAAGAAACATGTTTTTGTTTCCACTATTCTACTATTTTGATTGTATGTGTATGAGAGATGTAATTCCTAAGAAAACATAGTTCATTGCCAAAGGCGTATGTACAAATGCGTGGATATATATATATATATACTAGAAATCAAACAAAGCGAGAGAATAAAACACAGGCGAAAACACGGACAAGACAAACCGAAAAAAGTTCAGACATCCTCCAAGTGACTGAAATCCAATCCAACTCACCAGACGTAAATCCAAACCTAGATGCAATGCAGGCAGACAAATCCCGGTTGATCTGATCGCGTGGCTATGCTAACCCCGCTTTGTTTAGATGACAGAGTAGGATTCTGAGACCTAACCTGAGCCAAGCATGCCCCGGATTCCTGTGAATCCAGACTCTGTTTGGAATGGAATGTCCACCTGTTTGGCCCGGCAAATGAGGGCTTCGTTAATAGTAGTACAAGGGGAGGGAATGGAAAATAAAAGGCAAGAATGCTAACGCCAGAATGAGGAAGAGGTATCTGCAAGAAGGGGACGTAAGCAAGAAGCAGCATGGAGATCTCAAGAGAAAGAAAGTGAAAATGAAAAACCGGAGTGCCGGACGAAACTGAATGAAATGGGTCATGATTCTTCGTTGCATTGAGTTGAACGTTGGGCACATGATAATCCGGTACACCCCCACAGCTAAATGGAATAAAACGTAAACGTAAACACGTAAACAACGACAGAGACAAAGATACAGGCTGAAGAGGCTGGAGACAAGATGCGCCGCAGCCAAAAGCAGAACAGCTCAAGCGAAAAACAAGCTAGCTGTCGTTGGGACATGGAATAAGGAAGAAAATGAAATGAGAATGAAAAAGGGCCTCCTTCTATTTCAGGAGCATTCAAAGGATAAAACAGACAGCCTCGCCGAACTTCACTTCGAATGGGTCTGGAACAAACAACCACCCAGTGTAAACATAGGGGATGTAAAGAACTTCCAACCCCGAGAGGAGGACACGGCCTTGGTACCGAGTCCAATCATTCTGATGGATCACTCCTTTAGAAGCCCTCCTCGCCGGCCTTGCACAGCTTGATCTGACGGACCCATTCTGATTTAAGGACCTGTGAGGCATTGATGCGGCGGGATGGGTTGGGGTCGAGAATGGAGTAGATCACGTTACGGCAACGAGCCTGGATTTTGTTAGTTTGGGAAAAGCCTGGATAAGGGATTGAGGTCTTACCCGATGCAAGGTCTCAATAGGGGCGTATCCATCCTCGTGTTTACGGCCGTCAAGGTAGCGTTGGTAGAATTCATCTTCGTCCTTCCGCGCTACACGCCACAGATGGCGACCTGTTCGCATGGCCATGTAGATGACACCGGTGGCCCAGAGATCAACTGCACGAGGGTCGAATTCCCGCTCGACGTATTCCTCGGGCGCGATGTAAGGTGCTGAGCCGCAGAGTCCGGCTGTCATGTGGGCTTCCTTTTCCCAAGCCATGCGGAAGCATTCACCATTGCCGAAATCGGTGATCTTGAGGGCACCATGGGTAGTTAAGAGCAAATTCTCGGGTTTGAGATCGCGGTGGGCAACACCCATCTCGTGCATGTATTCCACACCACGCATCAACTGTTTAAAGAAGCAGTCTGCTTCGGCGACTTCGAGCTTGCCGGCAGCAAGAACCAAAGTGTAGAGGTCACCGCCGGCGCAATATTCCATGACTTCACAGTAATCGCCTTTGGCGTCTTGTAGGAGGTCCAAGGTATGAATGACGTTAGGGTGACGAAGCGACGATGAGATGCAGAATTCCGAAGTGAGTCGCTTTTGGTACTTCTTGGTGGTTTCCTGTGGGCGACGGCGAAATTCTTTCACGGCGTAGAGCTGTTCGCACTTGGAATCTTGAGGATCAACTTTGTGCGAGATGCGAACGATACCGAAGGCACCACGGCCGACAATCTCCTGGCACTTGCCGTACTTGTCGACCAATGAAGCAGTGGCGTTCGGACCACCCTTCTTATCAGCCGCCAGCTTATCACGCTCGGTCTTGAATTGGTCAATCCAGGTCGACATGAGCGACAACTGCTGCTCATCGACCTGATCGTCCTTTTTCCGACCTCCCAGCATATCGCGCAGGAGGTCCGTCAGCTTCTCCTGCCGTCTGGCACTGCGGAGATGATGCGAATGGTTGCCAAGGTGTTCCGGCAAGACCTCGAACCGCTTGTGGGCAGGAGCAGCTCCATCTTTGGATTTCTTGTCCTCGGTCTTCTTTTTATCAGAATGCGCCACAGGCTCGCTCTTGAGTGAAGGGTTTCGGGATGGGGTTCGGGAGTTAGCACCTCGTGAAGGAGGTCTAGAAGGAGGCCTGGAGTTTGGTTGGGAGGGAGGTTTCGAAGACGGCTTCTCTTTGCCGCTGGCTGGATGAATGCTTTCTAGGCTGCTGTCGGATAGATCCCGGTGCACATCGTGGGGAGGCGGAGTAGATTTCCCCGTGCTGGAAAACATACGAGTCAGGCGAGAGGCCATGGTTGCTTTGGTTGGTTTGCCGGGGGAGAGAGCCGGCGAGGGGAGCACATCCCCGTTGGGATGAGCGGACAGAGTCATGCCCGCGAGGGCGCGTGTTACCGAAGCATCGCCATCCCGAGGGTCGTGCGAATGTTGTGAAGCGGCGGCGGAGGAGACTGCGGACGGCACAGGTGAGGGAGAAGGTGGAGTCATGTGCGGTGGATCAAGAGGTGTTGGGAGGTGAAATTACAAAATTCCACGTCGTCCAAGAAGACGTGAGGTAGAGAGTAAGGATATAGTAAGGGCGAGTGCGAGTGCGAGTGCGATGTGCGAAAATGTGCGAAATGCGCCAGCAAAGGGCCTGAGGCAAGACTGACCAGACTGACTCGAACAAAGAGATGGAAACGACTCCGCGCAGCCAGGCAAGCCCCAGGTTTATGTGAGGAAAAAGAGAGGAAGTGGGATAATTTTGAGGATGAAATACTCGTATGTGTAATTACAGGGCTGAAGGGAATCTTATTAATGCTCGCTCAGCATGGCAAAACCTGCAGCTCAGGGCTGCAGGTTGTGAGACGTACATATTATTCTATTATTTTATTATTCTCTATACTATTCACTTTACTTCTGATTAATCTAATAATTCTAGTCTATTCGATTCTATTCAATTAAATTTTATTATTACAAAGTGAAAGTGGCTGAAGTAGCATTAGTATGTGGTTACAAGCTAAATGATACATGGGTGAGAGATTTAATGAAATACACACTCGATACATGTTTTTTTCGGAAAGAGCTGGATTTCCTGACCCGATGACGTTCCGTACGTGACGTTGTAGTTTCCCACGCCACTGGAGGCTGTGCACTTCACTTCTTTCTGCTATCAACTTATGATTCGACTACCCCCGCTTCATTCGTGCTGGGAGCGCCATGTGGCGGTTCTTGGAGAGGGGGTATGGCTGTTGATCTATTAGCCGCATATCCTAGACGTGCTTCATTACTCTGTATGGTAGGTGGGGGATATGGGTATGGAGATGCAATCTAGGGAGTCTTTTCTACTTCTGCTCCGAGAGACTGTACAGGAAATTAGACAGAGAGAGTACTGTAGAGATTACTCCAGAGTACAGAGTAGACCTTGCCATTGTCACCTGCTGCTTATATCCGTGCTCACGTCGTATTGGAACATTCTCATTGGCATTGCCTCTTCTGGACATTTCCTTCTTTCACTACCGGACGATCCCCACGTAACAGTCCTGCACATCTCCCCATTGGGATCGTGGAGACTGTTGAGGAGCTTCTACTAGCGTCACTTGGGAACTTTTATGTTAGGCCGGACAGATGATAGTATGGAGTAGAGACTAGCCGCATTTGATTCGTTCCGTGAATACAGTATGTTCACCGTCTCTTCGGCTCGAATTTCTTGGGTACAAATCTCTGGTTCCGTGTATTACAGGCAGTTGACTAGGCAGCTACAATTACCCCGGGTTTCTCAATAGTGACCTCGGCTCAACATTCAATAATAATTTACACTTACACATGCAGTGGAGTCCACTTTTCTACACAAGCTTCCGTTACCACTACGAGGGATTTTCACGATCCAATCAGATAGCTCGCTGCTGTCATCTTGATTGCCCACACAGTACTTCGTACAGGGATACGTAGTTAGCTAAGTACTACTCCGTACAGCATTCACTCATATACTCCGTCAACTGTGCATATCCAATCCATTCTATAACACAACACTACACAGATAGGAGAATACCACCGATCTACACTGCACATCAACCATTCCCCCCACCTAACCCACAAATGCCTCTTAACATATGTAGCACATCTTACTCCGTACAGTTAGTGCCATCACACTAAGTGAACTCACCACTTAGCACTTACATGTGCTGTATAGCAGAGTAGAGGTAGATCACATAAAGCCATCAACAAGCCCAAATCTAAATCCCCTCCAATCTAAATCGTAATTCCAATCCCGACTTCCACCCCGACTTCCACCCCGACTTCCACCCCGACTTCCACCCCGACTTCAACCGCTGACCGCCAGTTCGCGTGCAGCTTGCATCTGGACAACTCATACGCCAGGGTTTGGGACTGGGTTTGGATTGGAGATTGGTTGGGTTGGGATTGCGGACGGTTATCTGTGCTTGGATCTCTGCTTGTTTACGTGACAAACTGGATGGGAGAGAGAAAGCAGGGTTGCATATTACTGCCAGATTACCAGTCCTACGTATGATGGTCTGAGCTTTAGATAAGCTGTGGTCTGGTCTTGTTTTGTTGGACTTGGACTGGACTATTCCTAGGTGGGAAGTTAGCTGGTGATTGTATAGGTACAATATAAGAACTAAGGAGGATCTCCGAGGCTGAGGGGAAGATGAAGAGAGGAGCTGAGAGCTGGCTGTGGCTATAGTGGGCTTGCAGTAGTTTTGTTTCTGTACCGTAGCCTGTCTATTACCTTATACGCCATCCATCCAATAGCAATCACCACTATCAGCTGTAGCATATGATCCATCATCCAATTCTATTTTCAAATCTCTCCCTTCAAGAACAACCTATCGGTTCATCGGGTCACTGCACACAGGGTGCACAGATTACTGCATGTACATGTACAACGGAAAATGCAACATGCGCTGCACGAGCCACCGCTGCATTTGGAAATGGGCTTTCTTGGCAGCATAGCTTGGCTATAATACCTCGAGGAGGGTGGGCTCTAGCTTCAGCCTCCAAGTTTCAGCCACCAATCCGCTGGGTCTGGGCTCGCGTTGGCTGGTTCTGTTATCTACAACCCTGAAGGCGGAAATTATGGCAATTGCACGCGGGGGAAGAAGTTGATATCGGACTTTGATCGAGGTAGTGCGATAATTGGCTCCGATTGCGTTATACCAGGGTTTCTTCATCCCGAGTAATCCCGCTCTCGATCCTGGGCTTCTGATTTGATAGATACGCACACAGACTCTAAAACAGAGACGGAAGTTCACGGTATGTAGTCTTTGTTCATTGTTCCTGGTTGAAATAACAGAATGAGCTATTTGCGGGCCGGCCCCCAGTGGCCTGCGTGGCGTACCCGACAGTGGCGCCGGTTTTCCCACGTGGGGAGAGAGCGAGTCTTATTGAGCGTTGCCTGCCATTTGAAAAGGCGGTATGGATGCCACCCTGTTGCACTTAACTTTGATCACCGGATTGTAGGTGGGTGTGCCCGACAGGTGTCTGACGGCGAGACCGTTGCGGTGTGCTCTCATTGCAGATATGCTGTCTGTGTAGCTTGGAAGGATTCCGGTGCCATGCCGGTGCTGTCTCGACTCAGCGGTGAGAAGTGATTCTTCCATTTTCTTCCTTCTTCCCTCTTCCTCTTCATAAAATGTCCCTGGACCATGCAGACCTCACTGCCACAGTCCCAACGTGAATCGGATCATAGCTGCCGGTCGATATCATGACAAAACTTGAGTCTGCTACCATGTCAACAACTACGGCAATATGCCAGACTGAGCGATACGTACCACGAACTGTTCCAATGACTGCTCGAAAAGCTCATTGTTGACACCCACACCGCCAGTATGCTCGGTCGGAGAGAGGGGGTTCTTAACCACTGAACAGACAAAAGCGTAAGCCATATGTATATCTCATCAGCAGATCTCACACGAACCATATTCCACAAAGAGATTGATGTAAATCTGTTGCAGTGCAATGCGCATACTGGGACTCTTCAGATCCGTCAGCATGACGAACTTGGTATTCGTCGGCGTCTCGTAATAGTGCAATTTGTACTGGCTAGTGGTGAACGACACAAAACTGAGCAATGCCCTTTTGGTCAGTATGGTCCTTCCAAGTACCCGTCAAGCTACCAGCTGTCTAGTCTGGCTTGCTGATCCAGGTGTCTCACCTGTCATCGTCTCCGCCTAGCTTGCGCACCATGTTCCGCAGTGAAAAGACCGTTCCAAATACCAATTTCGAATCGTCGTCTGTCGATCGCACTGTTTGGCCGAGGGCGGTCGGTGCTTGTCCGGAGGTAGTGTCAGACCGGGATTTCCCCACGATGGAGGCCGGGCGCGGTAGCCAGCGGCGTTTGTAGATGCATTCCGCTAGAAACAGTCAGCTGAGTAATTGCAATGAAGATAGGATTCTTGCCGTGGCGATCAAAGATGTAAAACGAGTAGACGACCATGGTGTAGCTTGACTGTCTCAAGTGTTGATTGATGTTCAGGGGAGTACTGGCTGGGGGCGGTGAAAGTAGTCCCCGACAACATATCAAAAAGGAGCTGCCTAGAAATTTACATTCGTCCTATTCTTTTTGTATTTTTTTTTTATATATAATATTCTGCAGTGTACTTCTGGGCTCTCGTAAGGCTGACAGCCCGCATTTCACGTTATCAAAACCCCCGCTCCAACGTCGTCTTTACCCCACACCTTCAACGTCTGCACTGTATTTCAATGGATGAGAATGCTGAAATCCCCGTCTCGGACGTCGAACCCTCGGTCGTTGATGTAGAGGGCAATGCAAGACCGGCACCGAGCAGAGTTGCGTGAGTATCACCGTGTCTCGCCTGATATGATATATCATACTGACGCATGCATCTAGCTCTGCTGCATCATATGACAGACATCGCCGTCGAAACCCACGAGCTAGGCGTCCGGTGAAGGTCGGTTTCTCGATGCCGTGACCGAATCGCAGAACTGATACCGGAAAATAGGAAACACTGGACGCCCGCTCCGAGTATACTACCAGTCAGGATGATGGGACGGCCGAGCACCGTATCAACCAGTACGTGATCAGGCAGGAGATTGGGCGTGGGTCATTTGGTGCAGTCCATCTGGCTGCCGATCAATTTGGGAATGAATATGTATGATCTTGCAACTGATGTATCTGGTGTGAGTTTTGCTAACTGTCAGATGGGGAATTGTAATTCAGGCTGTGAAAGAATTTTCCAAGTCTCGTTTAAGGAAACGTGCTCAATCGCATTTATTACGAAGACCCAGAGGCCCGAGAAGACCGGGGACGGGCTTTAACTCGCCGTTACATCGTCATCCTTCCGGCGATGACAACGAGACTGCCAAGAATCCTCTGTATTTGATCAAAGAGGAAATTGCGATCATGAAAAAGCTCAATCATAACAACTTGGTGTCCTTAATCGAGGTACTGGATGACCCGACTGAGGACTCATTATATATGGTGATGGAAATGTGCAAAAAGGGCGTGATCATGAAGGTTGGACTAGAAGAGAGAGCGGATCCATATGATGACGAGCACTGTCGGTGCTGGTTCCGCGATCTGATATTGGGCATTGAGTATCTTCATGCTCAGGGTATCGTCCACCGAGACATCAAGCCTGACAATTGCTTGTTGACCAACGATGATGTGCTGAAAGTAGTCGACTTTGGTGTATCGGAGATGTTTGAAAAGGACTCTGATATGTTCACAGCCAAGTCAGCTGGCTCTCCAGCTTTTCTGCCACCAGAGCTGTGTGTTGTCAAGCACGGTGATGTTTCAGGAAAAGCAACAGATATCTGGTCCATGGGAGTGACTCTATATTGTCTTCGATATGGTAAGCTGCCATTCGAGAAACAAAGTATCTTCGAACTGTACGATAGCATCAGAGGGGATTCCCTGGTATGCGAAGAAGAAGCGGACGAAGGATTCAAAGATTTGATAGAAAGAATCCTGGAGAAAGATCCGGAGAAACGGATCGACATGTTTGGCTTACGGGTGAGTGACCTGAGTCGTACAGTGTTGCCAATGCTGACCAGTGTAACAGGAACACCCTTGGGTGACGAAGGATGGAACAGATCCATTGCTGTCGTTTGAGGAGAACACATCGCAGATCATTGCACCGCCGACGGAGGAAGAGATGAACTCGGCTATTACAACGAATATGGGCAACCTCATGACTGTGGTAAGTGATTCGATCCATCCATTGTGAAAATCATTAACAAGACCCAGATGAAAGCAGTCAAGAAATTCAAACGTCTAATGGATCCTACCAAACCGCAAACTCCCATGCAGAGCATCCTCGGCGGAGACCACGAAGCTTACTTCGTAGAACCACCCATGGAGATGGACCCAGATGAACCCTTCCCTGCAGTAGGAGAACAAGCCCATGGTCACGGTCTGAGCGCTGGTATAAGAAAAGTTTTCGGACGACACCCGTTCGCAGGATTTCGCGAAAGTCCAAATACCATGGGGTCCAGCGACTCAGCCAGCATCTCCTCAAGACCAGACCATAGCCCAAGCAGCAGTCAAAGACCAAGCGGAGTCTTTGAACCAGAGCGCAAAGACTCCAACTCCCGCACCGGCCGATCTCCAGGCAAAGCAGACATCCAAGAAGCAGTCCACTCCCAATCAGCATCGCCACACAGCCCCTCTCGCGCCAGCTCAGCAACTACAAAGCGCAGCCTAGAAGGAACAAGAGGACACGCACGGGATCCCCTAGAAGAAGAGTTCCCCTACCTCTTCATCGGACCATCAACATACACAGGAACCTCACACACAGAACCAAGCACCGATCTGATGACAGCAACATCAGACTCACCAATCTTTGAAGAACCAGAGAGCACCCTGGACCCAACGAACGAGATGGAGGAAGAAGAACCCGTCCAAATAGTCAGCGAATCACCTGGTGCCGCGGACTTCAACATCTACGAAACGGCATACAGAATGGAACTCGATCGCATCAAACACAGCCTCTCGGAGTCAGACCGTGCCAACCGCCAATCCGGTCCAAAGGTCTACCTAACCCGTCGCGTCGAGAATAAAGACGAGGTTATGCGACTGGCTAAGGAGAAGGCTCTCGATTTGCAGATTGGGCAGCGGTTCGCGTATACGCCTGCCAAGTCTGCGCCGTCGGCGTTTAGCTCTGTTGCTAGTGCGTTGCGCGCGCAGGTGCAGAAGAAGAGGGCTGGTGGGGAGACGGAGGGGGAGGGTGGTGATGGTGATGGGAATGGGGGTGCAGGTGAGGAGGATAGGCCGAAGGGGGGTCAGGCTGCTCCTCATCCTCACCCTGCTAAGCGTCTTTCTCTTTCTTCGCAGGCTGTTCCTGATGCTGAGGCTTCTTCCCTTGAGGCGACGGGTGTTTCTGCGAATGATTCGGCGGAGGATTCTAAGGCTCAGTTGCGCCGGCTTCTTGGGAGGATCAGGGGGAAGGGTGATGCGGAATGATCTTTGGAACGTGGCTGGGGTTGTAGGGAGTATGTATTGCATAGGGACATATTGAACTTGATCGAGGATGAGGCTGGTGCCCAGTCCTAGTTCTCCGTACATTTTCGCATCCGGAGTTCTCATCTGCCTATTTTAATTAAGCTTTTGAGTTACGGGGAGTAAACCAATTTTTTGTCTTTTGTCCTGATTGGCCGCGCTCGGCATAGATTCTGGTCTCGGGCTGAGGTTACACAAATGGAGTCATGAGTCTAATTGAAAGAAGGAAGAAAAAACATGGATGAGAGAAGATGGAAGATAAATATGAATTAACAGCCTCAGCAAGGAATGGAAGATATCATCCAAGAAGGAGTCAGTCAAGATTGAATAGAAACAAAAGCAAGAATCAGTAACCATAACGGATACCAGAATCAAGATAAGAATCAGATCAAAAGTATAACAGGGTCAAATAAAATAATACAGTAAACAGGTCTGAAATAGGAACCATATCAAATCGTGCGATTCAAGGCTCAAAGGACCACCATCGTCACGCTCTAGCAGAAGCCAGGGACATCTCGTCGTTATATGTATAGCACGCTAGACTCGACACTGGCTGGTAAAGAAATTTAGATAAACAAGGATCAGAAGTAGCAATGGCAAAGTAGAGCAGAAGCAGAAGCAAAGTAGGGCGTCAAGAACAGATAGAAGTATAATTGCGAAGAAGAAACAGAAGAAAAGAAAGATGCGAGGCATGCAAGGCATCAGTTGGCGTAAACGTCTTGTCTTGATCAGGGCTTCGCACAGTCAAGTCACAATTCACATTTGAAAAGCGACATTGACACTGGAAGAATTGCTCGAGACGACTGGAAGCAGCAAAAAGGACAGGCTTGCTTGGGCGCAGAATTGCAAACGTTCAATCATGAGAACGAATCAAATATCAAGAGTCGAAAAAGCAAAATAGCCGTTATCTTCATTGAACATGGGGAACATAGACACATCAGTGTTTTTATGAAGATCACTGTTGTATAATGTTCTCCAGCTTTGGTACCTGTACCTTTACCTGTACCATATACACATAGGTGCTCAGGTAGGCGGACAGGTCACCAAAACGGAGACATCGAAACTTGTCGATGGGAGAGGAGTTGTCGAGGAGTGTAATTGTTGAAGAGAGTAGAGATATCGCTGGAAGGGAGAGCAGAAGAGCAAAGAACCACACAATAAAAACAACACAAACGCTGTCTATTGTCATCATTGGGTGCTAGATCATTCATTCATGGCGCTTGGTAGAAAGCAAAAGATCAACGTCAAAGTCAAAGTCGAGCAAAGCTGGAAATGCAGTCGACGGAAGAAAATGGAAGTAAAAAGAAATTCAATAATCAAATCATAGATAGAATGAAATATCATCGTGGGGGTTTCTCCGCCGTGCCCATCCGCCCTTCCGGATACGGCGGTTGATGTTGATCGGGTCGGCTTGTCACCGAGTCACGGCGGCCACTTTCCGGTGGAGAGTACCTATCATTGCTTGTAAAGGAGCCGTAGGGTCGTTCCGCTGGGTTGCTGAGTCTGGGGAACGCGTCTGGGGGACCTAGTTGAAGAGTGTGTGGTGCTGGGAGAGGATGGCTCATTTCTGTTGGTCGGGGCAGCTCGCGCATGTTGGGACCGGGGCCGGGGCCGGCGACAGCAGCAGGACCAGGACCAGGACCAGGACCAGGCATACGTCGACTTGGAACATCGCGTCTTTCATCATTTATTGACGGGCCTGGTGGGACTGTTGAGCGCATTGCAGATGCTTCGTACATCATTGGACTCGGCACGTGGCCAATACTATGGCTGTGGCTCCGGCCATGAGCTTGCATGTGACCTTGTTTTGGTCCGAAAGCTTGAGACGCGATCGATTGCGGAAACGGGGTCGAAGGGCCAGCCACCGGGCTGGTCGGCGAAGGAGGGATCTTGAGTCTGGCTGAATTCGAACGACGAGGTGGAGGGTAGGTTTCACCGCGGGCTTCTGCTGCCAATTTGCGCCGTTCTGTTTCTGCTTTGCTCGGGCGACCTCTTTTGCGAGGTGGTTCACCGGTGCCCGGATCTAGTCTTGGGGAGAGTTGAGCCGAGGCACCACTTTCGCTGCTATAGGACGCGATGCTGGCCGGTGGTCTGGGCTGGATAGCGCGTGGTAATGGCTTGTCGGATGGGTACAATGGCCGTTTGCGCATGGGATCTGGCGCTGGCGGACCGGTCATGTCGGAGCGTGGAAACGGCGCAGGATGTTTTGGAGGGTGGATGGCCTGTGAGCACATATTGAGAAAGGCTGTTTTGCACGCGCTGAGTGAACGACCTTGACCGAAATGTGGTGTTAGCCCTGATATCGATCTGCAAAGCCTTTTTTGGCGTATGATAATACCTTGTGGGAGGGGGATATGCTCCCAGTTTGGAGTGACGTTGAAGTCTTTAATCAAGTTGACTAAATGACTGGAAGGCATTTCGGCTTTTTTGAGGATCTCCGTGAGTAGGGTGTACTGGGATCAACATCAGCGCATTGTTCACCCGTGAAGAAGCCATTCCCGCCTACCTTATCCTCCTCAGTCCATGGCCTATCAGATGAATTCGACATGTCCAGACCATGGAAGCGGATAATAGCCAGCTTCCCCTTTCCCCCAGGACAAAAGTCAAAAACAAAGGAAGCCTCCCAGATTATCTCAGGAAAAGAGAGCGACAGTCGTGATATCCCAATTATTCATGGGAAAGGGAAAAAAAGGAAGAAAAAAGAAAACAAAAAACCAATCCAAACACGCGACAGAACGAAAGACGGCCTCTTATGTCCCCATCTAGACGAAACTAAAGGGACAGGGAAAATGAGCAATTGAAGGCTTCCTAGCCAAAGAAAAAAAGCGCAGAACAAACCTCCATCAATCCCTTTTCTTGCAACGATTTGGCCAAACGGACTTGAGCAGCCGGGATCGCGCAGGAGACGTTCGGGAAGGAAAGCTGCAGGGACGATGCTTTGAGGTGTATTACACGTATAATGTATCAGACCCGTACAGGCGGTTCAGCCGGGCCAGTTTCATCTTTTCCAGAAGAGGTTCGAAGGCAAAATTACCACTAGGGGAGCGGGGAGCCTGGAATTGTTCTCAAAAGTACGATCGAGGGGTTGAGTGGGGGGGGAGTAGACAGTTGAGATGCAGATGCAGATGCATCTAAGCCTCAGGAGGCATCTGTGGTTCGGAAACGGTTGGCCCTGGCAGTTCCAGAGCCAAGGGACAGCTGGCGGGTGGTCTTTTTTTCTTTTTCTTTTTCTTTTTAGTGGTCCTGGATTGAAGTTTCGACGATTTTGTTGGTAAACCTGTAGTGTCGTGGAGCCCAAGGAGAATTGTGATAGGCTGACAAAGCCCCGGGACGCTGGGTAATGCTGCGAGAAAATAATTTTGTTTGAAGCTAGGCCCAGGGGCGGTTAGAGTGGTCGATCGTAAACAAAAGCGCGTCAAAAGGGAAGTGGAGAGGTAAATACAGTAACGGGAAAGGGGTTGACTTTTGATATCCAGATATCCGCAACCATGGATCAGAATTGTTTATTTCCACATGGCAGTCACGGGACTACTTACTTTCTCTCCTTGACCTTCCAAGGAAGACTGACTGGAATTTACATACACAAAGAGTAAGTTATACTCCGTACGGAGAGTAGATTATGCACGCACAGACTCTGCAGACGCGCTTTCACTAAACACTCCCATCCAATCGATTCCCGCTTTTGCCATAACCTCCTGTACTTGCAGTCCTGGTCCTATAGATGTGTCTTGCAGACGTGCATACTGTACTGTGCATGTACATGTAGCGAAGCTGGCACCATCCTGCTCTTATCTGTGGTCTTCCCCTTTTCCTGTGTACGGACTAGCTTGCTGACAGCCAAAGGATTGACTGACCCGTCGCCATCTCCTTCGATGTGTGTCAACGTTCCCCGTACTCAAGTGGCATGTTCGGATTGCATACTCAGATGGATGCTCAGATGCCCATAGATCTATTTCGAGTGGAGATAATGTGTACGGACATCGTGGAGTTCAACATAACGTTAATGGACACGGGCCTGAATAAACCGAGGGCGGTGAGAGCGAATGACACGCGAAATAACAATAGCTTCGAAAAGCAATTCAGATCTTCTCTTTACCGCTTTGGACCCCTTGATTCGGTCTTCTGGCAGAACTCGTATTCTGCTCCTCTCTCACTTAAGCCTTAATCAATTCTTCTGTCCGTGTCGTCATGTCTGCCCATGACCACGCGGACTCCCAGGCAGTTAAGATGGAGAAGAATGGCGACTCGCGCACTTGCTCCCGATCTCCTCTTCGATCTCCTCTCCCGAAAAAAGAGTCCCCCGGGTCCCAATCCGATGCCCCCGAGATGAAGATGAAGGAAGAAAAGCCAGATGAGATGCGCCTCAAGCAGGAGCCCGGTTCACGGCCCAGGCTATCCCGGAGCTCGTCGCAGAAGGTGTCGCGGCCGCCTCCGCTATACACCCACCTACCGGATAGCACGAAAGATGCGCTTGCCACGTTTGAGCAGATTAATGGCTGTTTCTACGCCAACAAGTACATGGGCTACACTGAGCATGCGATGGAATGTGATTGCGCTGAGGAGTGGGGTAGGTGATGTCGAGTCCTGGTGTCTCCAAGCGAGCCCAGTCTACCGGAAATGAGAAGGATCGCTGACGGGACACCAGAGCCCAAGATTGGACAGAATTTAGCATGCGGCGAAGACTCGGACTGCATCAACCGCGCGACCAAAATCGAATGTGTTGGCGACTGTGGCTGCGGTTCGGACTGTCGGAACCAGCGTTTCCAAAAACGACAATTTGCACAGGTGTCTGTCATCAAAACCGAGAAGAAGGGGTTCGGCCTACGCGCGGAAACGAATTTGGATCCACACCAGTTGATCTACGAATATGTGGGCGAGGTCGTGGGAGAGCAGCAGTTTCGGCGGCGGATGAGACAATACGATGAGGAGGGCATCAAGCACTTTTACTTCATGTCCTTGAACAAGGGCGAGTTTGTCGATGCGACCAAGCGAGGAAACTTGGGACGGTTTTGCAACCATTCTTGCAATCCGAACTGCTACGTGGACAAGTGGGTGGTGGGTGAGAAGCTGCGTATGGGAATTTTTGCGGAACGCAGTATCCAAGCTGGCGAGGAATTGGTCTTCAACTACAACGTGGACAGATACGGTGCTGATCCCCAGCCCTGCTATTGTGGAGAGCCCATGTGCACAGGCTTCATCGGTGGACGTACCCAGACAGAACGTGCGACCAAGCTGTCCAATGCCACAATTGAGGCTCTCGGTATTGACGAAGCCGATGGCTGGGATACGGCGGTCGCCAAGCGCCCCAAGAAGAAGAAGCTTGAAGAAGATGACGAGGAATACGTGGACAGTGTGCAGCCCAAGTCCTTGGATGAGGACGGTGTCACCAAGGTTATGGCAGCTCTTGTACAGTGCCAGGAGAAGTGGATCGCAGTCAAGTTGCTTGGCCGTGTCCAGCGCTGCGAGGACGAGCGCGTTCGTAACCGTGTGGTCCGGATGCACGGATACCAAATTTTAAACTCCCAGTTGGCCATGTGGAAGGATGATATGAATGTCGTTTTGCAAATCATGAACATTCTGGATGGATTCCCGCGTCTCACTCGGAACAAGATTCAGGACTCCAAGATCGAGGCAAATGTCCAGCCTTTGACGACCTGTGATGATGAGCGCGTGGCAAAGAAAGCTGTCTCCTTGCTTGAGAGCTGGGCTGGCCTGGAGGTTGCCTACCGCATACCGCGCATGAAGCGTGGCAAGGATGCTATTAAGGTTGTCAACAACCAGTTCGAACGCCGCGAGTCTGGGCGCGATCAGCCCAAACGATCCGTTACTCGTTCTCCTTCTCCCGCATATGACGCTCCACCCCGCGGGCCAGCACAGCAACGGAGGGACCGAGGTCAACCGCAGAACCAAAACCGGCAGAGAGGCCGACGTGGTCGCCAGCCATTGCCCGAGGGTTGGTTCGCTGCTGAGGACCAAGCTGGGCGTGTTTACTATTACACTGCGGGCAATCAAACCACCTGGGATAGGCCGACTCAGCCTGCTACTGCGCCTGCAGGTCATCTGCCCGTTAAGCAGAAGAACCTGGCACTACAGAGCATTATCGATGGGATTGTCAATAGCCAGGACCGCACGCCCTCTGAACACAAGAGTGCTACGCCGGCTACACCACAGCCGACTGAGCAACCAGAGAAGAAGAACAAGGAGGAGGAGCGTTGGAAGAAATACCCACTGGAAAAGCAGAAGAGGCTTTACGAAAACACAGTGAGTACAACATCAAGCACAAGCATTGATATACAGCCGTTTAACGCGGCACAGCTATTCCCTCATATCAAGCATGTCGTCGACCAGTACAAACACAAGATCCCGAAAGATGATCTGAAGCGATTCGCCAAGGAGGTAAGAGCCTGAATTCTTCGCGTGCCAAGCGTACCAATACTCATCGTCCTGATAGACTGCCAAGAAGCTTGTTGAAGGCGACTACAAGAAGAACCGTGTCACAGATCCAACCAAGATCACCGAGAAACACCAACAAACAGTCAAGAGCTACTGCAAGTCTTTCTTCGATAAGGCAGCCGCCAAGTACAAGCAGCGCGAGAAGCACAAGGCGGAAAAGCCAAAGGGAAGTGCAGAGTCATCCGAGGCTCCCGAAGCAGATCTGAAAATGTCCGATGTCGAGGCCGACGCTGCACCCAGCACTTCTCCATTAGATAATGATGCCAGTGCCACCCTCAAGCGCAAGCGCAACGGCCAGGGCGACGTGGACAGCGCCATGGACGTGGACAGCTCTCCATCCAAACGACAGAAATCCACCCCTCCACCTCCACCCCCGCCTCCTCCCCCAGTTGAAACACCAGACGCGGATGGCGATGGCGATACCAGCATGGGAAATCCAGGCGATGACCCGTCTCCTCCTCCCCCCCCTCCCCCAAAGGACAGCGCAGGCGGCTACGACGGCACAATGGAAACAGAAACAGGGTCGAACCAGCCATCACATCCACAGAGCATCGAGGGACAGGTCTAACCAACCTACCTGCAACATTACCACCGTGGCTTAACTTAACATTACCTGACTTGCCCACCATGTGCATTAATACCCAAAAGCGAGCGAAAGAGAGAGAAAGAATGACACCGGGGAGATCAATGACTCGACAAACTTTTGCATACTTCTTTTCGCTTCTACCTTGTTTTACTTACCTTTTTTTTTCTTCCCCATCTCTCTGTCTTTCGACTATTTTGTCTTTTGTCTTTTGTTGCCGTCAATACCCCCCGATGTGCCCATAGTTTGCAATTCGCAACGCAATTCGCAGTCGCTGTTTGCGATTTGGCTGAGATTGAGTTTTTATCTGTATTCTGTCTGCACATATAGTATGACCACGGATGTGGATGTGAGGGAACAGTTGCATGCCTACACCTGCACCCGCAAATACACCTGCAACCCAGGTCTGTACCTATACTGATATTTAGGTATAGGTTCATATCTGAATATATGGATCTACGGGTTGCACTCGGTCTACAGTACAATCCTACAAGTGTAGCATGGCCACACAACACGATACCATCTCAATCATGATCATCATTGTCAACATCTAGATCTAATCCTGCCCCACATCCATCATATGCACAATCGATCAAGTAAATGCAAAAAACATCCACCGAAAAGATCAATACGATACAACAAACAGACGCAGACCAGACCAGGAGGGGAAAAAAAGAGTCATATCATATCAAAATCAAATCAAAGCCCAGTCAAACCAGAACAAGCATAGAATATGGCACGGAAACAGAAAACAAGGAACAGCATTGCACCAAGAGAATCACACCTAAACCAATTGCAACATCCACAACGGAGTAACAACCAATCTAATAGAAACTCTCAACAATACTATCCTTATTAACGGCACCGGCACCAGCACCAGAGCCACCGGGGCCCATCTCGCCGAGACGGAAGACAGACTCGATAACGCTCAGCTCAGTGGCGGTGGTGTCGAGACCGGTAATGGCGAGCCAGTCGTTGACGACCATGCCGGCGCCGACGACGGGAGATCCGCGGTTCACGGAACCGGCAACGAGGGGCACTTGCAGGAGGGAGGAGAGCTCGTCCTGGTCGCGGATTGAGGTCTTGGGGTGGACAACACCACCCTGGTTGGAGAGGGCCATGTATGAACCTGTCAGGACGTTGTCGGCTACTGTTTGGCGGAATACTTCTACGCCGAGGACGTCGGCGATGCTAGTCTCTGTTAGTTGGATACTAGGATATGGAATCGTGGGGGAACGTACATCTCTTCGGTCTCACGCTCCAGATCGGGGTGCACGATTGCGACGTGGTCATTGCAGCAGATGACATTGCCCAGTGCGGACAGGCGCTCTTCTATGCGTTGGATTTTGACTTCGTCTGGAAGCGTGTTGCGCAGGTGTTGCAATTCTTGGTCTGTGGTGGTTGTGGGAACGAGGAGACCTTTGCGGTTACTATGGAGGTATATTAGTCGTTGTTCAGTGTAGCCTCCGCAGGTGGTTGTAGGCTTACCCGACGGTCAGACGGCCGACAATGCGGGTTCCGGCGATGGTGGCGTGGCAGACGGGGATGACATCTTGGAGTTCAGACTCGAAGACACTGGTGTAGGTGTTAGTTTGGGGGTCATTTGGCTTTTGCGGGAATTGACTAGGATGGAATGGAAATTGGAGGTTGTGGACGTTGAAATGGTGATGGCATGGTATGGCTTGCAGTTATGCCATAGACATAGCCAGAGCCACTGCCAATTCCAATCTCAACTGCAGTCCAGTCCTAGTTCCAATCCCATCTGCCTCGGTAGACACACCTGTAGAAGTTCTCGGAACCACCAACCGCAACGATCGCATAAGAGTTGGTCAGGAGAGAGAAAACGCCGACCCTGTAATATCCGGTCAAAACATGACTGTAGTAAACTCTGTATATCCAACTCACTCGTTTGAGTTCTCGAATTGCGCGCGGACAGCCATTTTAGAGTATCCGAGTGGAAAGACCGGTATGATGAAAAAAGGTGATGAGAGCGGGGTCGAGGGTCGAGAGTCGAGAGTGAGGGGGAGAATCGAACAGAGAAACAAAAACTGCCTCACTGCCAACGAAGAAATGGACTAATGCCTGAATATCAGAAGAAGCCTGAGAGACAATAAATATTGCAGAGACGTGCGATCCAAACTGAAAAAGATCAAAAGCTCGGGCCAATCAGCTGCCGTCTTCGGTTTGCCCCGCCGGAGCCGCAGAGGCGAGTCACCGTGGGCGGTGCTAGGTACCGGTACTTGTTCTAGTATTGACTATCACATATTATGAGAAGTACCGGTACATAGTTTTACTGACTCATTCTGTCTCATACTGATGATTCATTCTATTCGACTTCATAACACTAAATGAGTCTGATAGTCTGATGTCTTTGCTGTGGCTGTGCCAGAGGCAACTGCTCTATCTTTGTATCCGATCATCTGGCTTTACCCCATTGTATAGGCATTCTAAAAGTCATGTCTAGACATGACCTAAAAGGATATGGTATCGACTTGAGGATGAAACCTAGAAGCACTACATATGAGCTATATTACTCTATGTTAGACTTGAGTAGCTGTTATGTATGCAAGGAATTTATAATGTGCTGGCTCTAATACATGTTCCCTCCAGCTTCGAAGTATACATGAATAGCGTGGATATCGCAGTCGCGCATCCCCCACTATGCTTGTTTCCCTAGTCTCTGGTCATATGTCACCGATCGCAACCGCAAAACTCTAGACAAACACCGCTACAGTACGAAGCTATGTGGGCCCTGAGGCGTTCTTTCTTTGGGTTAAGTAATATCTAGGCACAATCAAATCGTTATTTTCCAATCGGTGTCAGTCTAAGAACGCTATCAGGGTAGCTAGGGGGAGCTACCAGCCATCAGAGCATGTAAACAAGTGAGCATAGTCTGGAAGTGGTAGGAGATCAAAAAGCCTGAATATCATATGTGATCTAAGCGTGGAACCAACATCACTTGACATAAAAGCTTGCTTCCCATGGCTATCGAAATTTTCCTCGTCGCGCATCTGTCCGACAGAGCTGGATCTTTGGTATGAAATCGTTCTCCCTGCCCTTTGCTCGTCGCTAACAAACGAGCATATTGCTTGAATAAAGAGCTTCTTCTCGTGGCTTTTGAAACCAGGATCTCAACCTTTCCGCAGTCCAACGCTCTATCAAAGACCATCATATACAGGCTACTTCAGCATGTCATATGTGTCTCAAGCTGCCTCACGCGGCGGATGCCATGGATGTTTCTTAGAACAAGTCTTATGTCCAAGATACTGTCTTTCTGTATGTTTGAACATACAACTAAGGGCCATCTACATCAGATTAGTATTATTGTCATCACCCGTACTAAGGACACTTTCATACTAACGTATGCCTTAGCTCTCTACCTAATAGACCTGGTGTATCATTTGCAACCCAAATTGCAATTGATCAGACCTACTTGGCGACTCCACCAGCGAAGCTTTCATTTGATCAACGAACCCCCTCCTTGATTCACGCCACCTCACTCTCCGGAGAAAAGTCCCAGTCTTTGTGCGATTGTCGAACTCTACTTGCCGTGCCTGGAGACGTTTTTTGAGCATATTACAGCATGCAGCCCTCAACACGACGATGGAAGCAATACTTCACCACCGCCTCGCTCCTCTTTACGGGGACACTTCGCCATGTGCGCTGGGGTGCCTTCAACAACTGCGGCAGCATACTTCATGCCCTTCACTGCGATCACAACAAGTGCGACCTGGGTGGCCAATGATTCGCCCGAGACTTCGACGTGACATGGGATCTTGTGGATCACACTTCACGTTGATCAATATCAAGTCATATGAGGTGGAGGAAACTATCAAGCTCTACCAACTATTTCCCCGTGTCTCTGTTTCCTGGCTGGACCAAGTTGTGTATCTCTCTTCCCCCGTAGATTCCATAGTTTTGTGGATTATTCGCTGTTCAATGGTCATTGATGTTAAGCTAGAGCTAGTTTCTTTTGGTAGATCATGCAACATACTTTCTTTTTCTCGTTTCCATGGAGTATCATCAACTCGTGGATTTCAGCTTTCATTTCTTCTTTACTTGATAATCATAAGTTTTTATTTCTACATTCTCCCTTCCATCTCATGTTACAATGTGCAATCATAGCTGTGAGTCCTTTCTCACCTCCACAATGTATACTTAGATGATAAACCCGAGGCATTCGAAGTAGGAACTCACAGAGATGGAAAAAGAGAAGCCAAAGTAGAGTAAAGATATTACATGAAACAGGGCAGCCGCTTCGAGGCTTTTGTGGAGAGATTGTCCAATAGCTCACGACCCTTCTGGCAAGACAATGCTGCCTTAGGTCTCAAATCTTCTTTGCTTGCTCGTGCTGCATGACAGAAATTGATTCTGCTGCTTTATATAAAAGAATTCATCATCCCCTCAGATTTTCTCCTCCCTTCCTCTTCTCCACCAGCCAGCTATATAACGTTACATATTTTATGAACCCTGCTGAACCAGATCCTAGCATATCAAACCCACTTGCTCTTTTCTCATCTGCTCTTTCCTCGCCTCTCTCTCGTTTACATTCGTTCATCCTGCATCATTCTTCCAAGAAGCTTTTTCCCGACATGACACATCATTCTCTTTGAACCCATCACCCCTCAACATGCGAAGACGACATACAAAGACCATTATTTTCAAGTTCTTTCGAAGCGAAAGAAGTCAGATACAACTAAAGAGAACCTGGCATCGGCTCCATTGATCACTTCTCATATGAGACAGCAATATCTTTTCCCTCTTCTCTCGCTTATTTTCCTCTCCTTCACATGTCTCTTCATGCCTACATTGCTATTTCAAGCCAAATCTCAGTCAGAAACAGACAAGCTTCAGCTCCAGTGGCTTTGAACCTCCGCATCTGGAACTGGCAATGCATTGGAAGCTTTCATCTTTACTCTTTCCATTCAACTTTTCCCTTGGACACGCTGTCTTATCGGCCGTGATGCAACAGAGACATTTGTTCATTCGGATATCCCGTACTGGCCGCCGCCATGCTGCCGAGTGCGCCACACCACACTCTTTCTTGTCGTTGTCACTCAAAATATCCTCTCTGGTACGTCATAAACTCGGATGCAGGCTCCCGACACTGGACCCCAGGCTAAGGCTACCGGAATTATTCCAAAAGCGTACAATACTTATGATACCCCAATTGTTCTATGCCAACGGATGATTGATCAGAACATTCAAGATGGGCCGGCTCCAAGGCCATGCCATTCTCCGACGAGCCCTTCCACCACTGTGTATTGGTGAGAATCATACCACATCCTCTGCTATAAACATAGAGAGATACTTAGGTGATTTAAACTCATGGAAAGACTTCTTCGATGATGTCAAGGCCTTTGAACCCGAGCATGAGTGGTCCCGGAGAGTCCTGCGGCTCGCCCATAACAGCAGGCCCACAGATCCAGAACTTTTGTTGTTGGTGATGAGCATGGAGTCCAGGGCCGCTTCCAACAGCAAGTGGGATAGGCTGTTGGAGCGGTCTTGAATGGCCAGGAAGTTGAAATTGCTTTTGCCGACTTTAAAGCGGCAGAAATTTCGAACATCTACCCTGGATACAGCTACGTGCCCGACGTAGCACTGATCTCAACAAATACTGCGACCTTCTATCATTTGAAAGCCATTGGAGAACTTCAAACGCCCTGGGCTTATGCCTATAGCCTTTTCAGATATCTTGAGAACAAAGAGAGGCTTAGGAAATTGTTGGGTCAGTGCATTGGCTATATGTTAGATCTTCGCGTCATAGATGGGTTTATGTCTAGTTATGATGAGACTATCTGCCTCCGACAGGGTTTGAAGGGCAACGAGTGGGTGATAGAGTATTCTCCAAATTTCGAGAGCAGCCCTTGTGGGTTCTACTAAAGCTGAAGGAGAAGAGCCTCCATCTGTTCGACAGTGCTTTATGTATCTTAGTGGTCTAGCGGCTGAGCAACCTCCAATAGACAACTTCACCCCCCGTGATGAGTGGATCGGTCAATCATTAGCAGATGTATCAAGGTTCCTTAAGTACCCGCAGAGGAAATCAACATCGTTTTTTCTCTCATGCAAGTTCCTCATGCTCTCCCTTTTCAAGTGATTGTTACGGGCGCTGGTGTGGCTGGCATCGACGTTCTGTATCACGCGACCAAGTTTCTGCAGACCTCAACGTTGGAATCAAATGCTCCTATAAAATTGCCGATATAGGTGGCAATTTATGTAAGAACCGCTTACTACGGTGTGCTTGCGATAGGCCTTCCTTAACCATCTGCTCGGATAGTGTCCGAACATAGAGCTACAGTCCGCCTCACGTTCCCTCGGTGGAGACTAGGAGAGACAGTACTTGTGGACGCTGGTCTCTCGTGACTCTTCGCCAAAAGTCTTATGGCATTTCCTTGGACGCCAGACAATATATCCGTCGGTCTGGCTTATGGCTTGGTACTATTCTGTGCCGGAATAAGCCTCGGTAAGAGTCCTCTCCATCAAAGGGCAAATTGTCACGAGTGTCGGTTGTTTCCGGATTCGAGAAAATCAAGGTGTTGCCAGACTACGCAGCAATGCATGTGTGTTCAGCGCATTTTGAAAACCAAGAAGTTCGAGGGGAGAAGAAACGTGCAGACACGACGCCGTGTGGTAGTCCGTCTGAAGCCTCATTCAGAATAAAAATTGACGGAGTGCCGTGTTTCTGCAAGAAAGGATATCTGCCTCTCGAACAGTGCAGATAAGACGTGATATGTATCGGTTATTTCCAGACTGGAAGCTTCAAAGTGTTACCCAACGTTGCGGCAATGCATGTGTGCTCCATTCGTCTGAATATAGACAAAAAGTTCGAGAGAAGGAACTTGCATAGGACAAATCTGATGAATGGACTGCTCAATCTAGCTTCTTGCTTTATTACTTTCTCTACATGTTTGAGGATGAAGTGATTGTTATTTGGGTTCGAGGCCAGACGGGACCTTGGTTAATTGAGATCATGTATCTAGGCTCGAATAGAGTCACGCGACTTCTAATTCTAGTTCTAGTTCTACTCTACTCTTATTCCTATTTGTACTTCATTCTCTATTTCACTTCTACTTCACTTCTACTTCTGCTTTTACAAGTAAGCATGTGGAAAGAAAACCCCGTGATTGCTACAAATACAGAGTGCATGGTATCAACAGGAGCCGAAGCCCCAAAAAGAATCAACAAAACCGAACCAAATACAAACAAGACTAAAATAAAAAACGAAACAAAAAAGAAAAGAAAACTAGACCGGGCAACAAAAACAGGCAAGGCACGCTCCGAACGAAAATAGTATTACAGGGAACGCACCGCGTCCCCCTCCCCTCGTCATTCATCATTTTGATCTCAGTTCATGCTGAGGTATTAGTAGCGACGAGGAGGAGGGGGAGGGGGATGCGAACCCGGCGGGGGAGGGGGAAGTAGAGGGAGGGCGGCGGGGCGGGGTGGCCAGATGGGGGTGGCAGGTAGCCACCTGGCAGGGGGAGGCGGGCGAAGTTTGAGCCCGGGGGAGGAGGGAGCTGGGGAGGACCGTTCATTGCGAACGGGTCTGGGAGGCCCAGGCCAAGCTGGCCGCGGGCTGGGAGGAGGCGGCGGGGTTGTTGGGTGGGTGTTGGGCGTGGGAGGATGAATGACCGCGGGTCTGTTGGCCCGTGGGTTGGTGGTGCTGGCCCTGGGTGCCCATGGGCGTGGTGCGCGTGGTGGGTGAGGTGGTGAGGAGGTGGGTAGGGGGTTCGGTGGGGAGGGAGCGATGTTTGCATTTGGGGGAGATGGGTTGGTGGTGGCTCTAAAAGGGCTGCGTCTGCTAGCAGCGAGAGAGAGCGTGGGTGGGGGTCCATGGGGTAGTCGGAGGTGCCGTCGCATGTGAGCTGTTTGCCAGTTGTTTCTGAGGAGCTGACGATGTTTGCTGCTTCGAGGAGACTGTCGAATGCCATGCCAGAGTAGACGACTCCATCCATTACTTCTGGCTCTGGGGGTTGGATTTCCTCGTTGAGCTTGCCCATGCGTGCTTTTTGATCAAAGTCATCCCAGCCTTCGTCGGCTTGGGTGTAGTCCATAGCTCCATCAGGTTCCCGGACAGCCTCGGCGAGGAATCCACGCTCGACTTGGCGGACGGCTGTGTCGCCAATCCGGAAGAGGAATTGCCTCTCGGATTGCTCTGAATCAGAAGTATCGGTCTGGGTTGTTAGCTTGGTTCGTTTCTTGTGAGCGCGGGAACTTACCTCCGTGTGCTCATCGTCCTCTGCAGCTCTGCGGCCAATGATTGCCGACATGAACTTGCCCATGAGAAAAGTGACCATTTCCTCTTGTATTCCCTTGAGGATATTCTGTATCTAGTTAGCAGTGATCCGTGACAAGCATGAAGATAACTTACCTTGGCTTGGTCATTGATATTGTAAAGCTCGCCCTCGCGCTTTTTCTTGATTAATTCCATTCTCCACTTGTTATCCGCGTTCAACCGATCAATCGCCTTGCGTTGGTACTCGGCCAGATCCTGCTGGACTTGAGCAAACTCAGGGCAATCCTTGTGGGCGTTCTTTTCGCGGGCAAGCTTGTGCATAGAGTGGTCAGACATGAAACCCAGCGCAATGGACTGTGCCTGGCCAATTCTCTTGAATAGAGTTGCCATTTCATCTTGGCGGGTTTTGGTTGGTAGTATGTCAGGTGTAGGAGATGGGGTACGACCACGCCAGTTCTCGGCGTCCCATATCTCATCTTCGATCTTCTTGCCGCGTTTGATTACGGTGGTTGCGCGCGCACGGCCACGTCCTCGGCCGCCACGAGGCTTGGCAACTGCAGAGCGAATGGGACCGACAAATCCTCCACGATTGCCGCGACCACGGCCTCGGCCACGTCCACGACCTCGGCCACCGCGGGATCCTCTACCTCCACGACCTCGAACGGTGGGGGCAAAAGCAGGGGGGTCGAATTCTTCAGAGGGAACGGGAACATCCTCAGGTGTCGTTTCAGCCTGGGTTTCCATTTCATTTCCATTTTGCATAGGGCTATCGACAGCCTCTTCGGTTTCTGTTTCATCATTGCGCAACTTTTTGCTGGGGACCTCGGAATCAACTTCCGGGGTTTCATCTTGCATATCCAATGACTTGCGCTTGCGAGAGAGTCGAGGAGAGACAGTTCCGAATGGAGCTTCTTCAAATTCGGCCATTTTGGGACTTTCAGTGGCAGCTGGGTCGTCCTTGGCTTTGGGCTCCATGTCATTGAAATGGTCATCGGTGGTCTCATCGGCTGTGTGAGTGGCTCCAGGCGAAGCCGGAGCAGAAGCAACAATGCGAGGTTGGGGAGATTGAGAAGTTTTGCGGATGGCAGGTTCAGACTTGAAATCTTCATCATAATTTGAGTCCATGTCATCATCAGGTTGGCTGGCATCAGAGTCCATAGACTTGCTGGGTGACACTTCTTCATAAGTGCCATCTTCATTAGGCTTGAGTCTGGCGGACTGGCGGGTAGTACGCGAAGACTCGGGGACAGCCATAGCACGACGAGAACGTCGGATGCGAGGAGTCTCCGGATTGCGGAAGACAGCGCTGGCTGGGGTGCTTTCATCGTCATCGAAAGCATCTTCTGAAATGGCACGTTGGATTAAAGAAGGGATTTTCAGCTTGACGATGTGCGAGCGCACTGGGCTGCTCGGAGTTTCAATGCTGGAAGACAGACGGCCAGGAAGACTGGCCCGACCACGACCGCGACCACGTCCTCGCCCGCGCCCTCTTCCGCGGGTGGGTGTGGGAGGAATGGCATCTACAAGGGTCAGCAGTGAACGGGGTGGATGGGGTTGCAAACTTACCTTGAGCAGTGCGCCCCGAGCGCGTTGAGATACTGGGAGTACGAACAGGCTGAGCAGCCGCTCCCCTTTTCTTTCTTCCCACCATCACTGTTGATGGGAGTTGTCAGTCGGGATGATCCAATAGCCAGTAGCAGCAAGGGGTGTGGAAATCCCAGACGGGTCTACGGGATGGGAAAAAAAAGAGGTAAAAAGAGGGAGAGGTAAAGGGAGAAATACGGAGTATGCAAGAATTGAAACAGAAGAAGGGAAACTGGAGTCGCGGGGAGAACGTCAAGTACAGAAGGGGAAAAGAAAAAGGACGCGATCATCAAAAGTGTAGATCAGTGCACTGGGAGCTGGGGAAGACAGGGTTTTTGAGGCGCGCGCCAGCGAAGACATACGGGGATGAGCCAAATCGGTGGAGAAGAAGGGATTGCAGATTGCAGATTGCAGGAAAAAAACGCGATCACTTACCGATGGGAATGTCTAGAGAAGAGAAACTAGAAACAGAGCAGAAAGAGCAGATGGTAGAATAGCAGAATGCAGAATGCAGAATACTATGGTAAAAAGAAAAGAGATAGTAGAGAGGGAAAGATGGGGAGATGGGGAGAGAGAGATGGGAGATGGGAAATGAGAGAGATGTGTGAAGGTGTAGAGAGATGAGGAGAGAAACCTTGGAAAAGGTCTGATTAGCTCAGATCGGCCAACGTCTATCCAGCACAACAATAAGTGTGAATAGACGAAATAGCGATATCTGGATAGAAGTGTTAAGGTGAAAAGATGATCTTGTCTCATTTCTTCTGCCAAGGTCCATTGGCCCCATTTGCCAGATTGTCCGTATAATGACAATGCCACTTACACTTAAGCTATACACTACACTATACTATGCACACTATACTACAATACAATACATAAAACCTATTGAACTACTACATTATTCTCTATTGTCTATTCTCTATATACCAAAATCTACTTATTTACACCGGTCTCGAGGCCTACGCGTACAGTGACTCCGGTCCCCAGCCACATTCTTCTGCCGATAGTCTCACATAGTGTATATGGAGTACTATACCATTACATTCAATCATTCTATGGTACTGTCTACGTCTATCTCTATTCTTCGCCTGTTCATGTAATCGAAAAAAATAGTGTCCACCGCCAGTCGACCCACATAACGAATATCCAAGGAGATGAGTTACGGCCACTACGATTGGCTACTGGATGCTGTATGATGGAATCTTGCTTGAAGGGGGGTAAAGTTAGCCAATTTGTCACATGTACGTCCTCTTCCTCTCTTTTACCTCGTGTGTATTTCTGTCTTCTCACACTTCCGTTTCTATTGATCGCACTGCATTAGGAAACTCGGGACATTCGGCACTTTTGTCCGCATAGTGGGCCTCGTACAAAACCGGAATTTCATGCACAGATCAACTTGAGAGTATATATTTTGCAAATAGAATCTTCATTTGTACAATATTCTTTCATATACACTAAACAGTAGAACGCAAACACAGACACAACGCACCGAAAACAGTCCAAGAAAAAAACATACAAGTCGTTCAGTTCGAGTCAAGTCAAGTAATCAAATCAATCCAGATCAACCTATTCACTTTTCATAAGGGGATTCGTTCAGTTCATATCTCTCGGTTTGAGAAGTTGTGAAGCTCGCTCGAGCCGGATCCTTCCTCCGAGGCAGTTCGTCCAATTCGACACCTGGCATCGGTGAGGGGGTACGCATGCTCTGCTCGCGCAATGACCGGGCCGAGCGCATGCGTGTAATCGTCCCCTTGGTCAGGGTGTGGCCGGCTGATGGGGAGGCTTTCAGCATTGTGCCTGGGGCGGTGGTGGGGGAGGGACCTGGGCTGGTGGAGCGGAAGAGAGGGTGGATATTTGTATCTTGGAAGGGATTGTATTCCCAGGTTGAATGTGCTGATGTTGGGGCGGGTATTAATGTTGGTGTGCTCAAGGTTGATAGAGTTGGTGAGTCTAGGTTGAGGGTTGAGCCTGCTGGGGACCGTTGGACTAGACTGTCTAGCGAGAGGTGGGTTGGTGGGTTGCGACGAAGGCTGGGCATGCTGCGGATGCTGTTGCTTCCTCGGAGGGGGAGGGAGTGACTGGATTCAAATGGTGTTTTGTCTGTCGTTGGGGAATGGGTTCGGGTGGATCTTGTTGACGAAGTATCGATTGACACTCGCTTGGTTTCTTTGGTGCTTTGGCAGAGTGTTGCGTCTGAGAAGCGATTGGAGCGACGAGGGAATTTGCGCAGGGAGGTACGCTTTGGCTCGAATAATTCTGATAGATCGCATACTCGCGGTGGCGATGGAAGAAGTTGAGGGCTCTGAGGGACAGACTTGAGTTCCTCAGGGTATGAACGAGGCCATTCGGGGTTTTGTCTTTCTTGGATCAGAGGCATGGCAATGAATCCACAGTATAGGCCTTGGGCAAAGACAGCAAAAGTCCAGAATACAGCGCGAGTGACGAACACAGAGGCTTGGGGGCTTGACGTCATTGCTCCTGCAGAAATAGCTGAAGCAATGAGTAGATATCCGCCGGTGATGCAGCCCCATTGTAGACGGCCCTGAATGTCTTTGTGGTGGAGTACACTGAGCATAACCAATGCCAAGCAGCTGATTGCACTCAGGATGAGAGGAGGCAAGTCGGATGAGGATTTTGAAGTTGCATAAGAAATACCATTGAGAATTGTAACAATAAATGTTGAGAGCAATGAGGCTCCAGCCAGTGTATAAGGCAAAGCAGTAGACATGATGAATGAATGTGAAGACTGTAGACTGTAGACTGTAAAGAATGTGGAATCAACGTTGGCAGACTGCCAAAACGTTCACCAATGCACAATGAGTGTAAGGAGTATGCACTTCCCTCGAGGGGAATGTCGGTCTGATATATGTTTCCGCAGAGTTCGTACACGGGACGGGACGCATCTCAGCGTGGCTTCAAAGTATATCATGGAAGCAGTCCGCCTGAACCTATCACTTTGGCTAGGATCTGATATATCAACCCGACATGATGGTTAGAGTCTGCAGATAAGACTCGATCGAAAATCAAATCAATTGGGGGCGGAAGAGTTTTGCGACCTTCGCATGTTCGGATATTGGAAAATGACCTGTAGTCGATGGAAGTATACAGGCGGAGACTCCGGGGTATTTGAGAGGCCTGGACCCTTAGAATTGCAATTCAATAGTGCGGAATATCTCGCAAGCGACAGCATTCATATGATCCATCAGACTGGGGATCATTCCGGTGTTCTGGCGAGGGCGGATCCCCGATCTCAATAGTGCATCCCAAATGTGATATATCGCATCGCTCTCGCGAGTAAAAACCTCCGCTCCCCTGATCCTCGGCTAGGCTAAAATCATTCGATATGAACATTCAAGCCGAGTTTACAGATCGAGATGCTCAGATATCTCTATAACCGACAGACGGGAAATGGTCCTGCAGGACGTATCCAGGTTCGCAGACCTGCAAGCTATTCCGAGTCTGGGGATATGATAATTTGTCACTGCAATTTATGCATTTCTCATATGTAATATTCCTGTCCACTTCTGCGCAGCTGTGGGTACATTGGCATGTCCGTGCTAATGTATGTATTTCGAAGGCACTGGCGCTTCCTATATGTTGGTCAGCCTAGTTTATCTTCAGGGCTGCTTGATCGATCCAGATGATCATAAGCATGATCCAGATTGGCCAGGACATAAATTGATATCCTCGGTCTATCAATTGGTTCTAATTTTTGTTAATTCATGCTGATTCGTGTTGATTCGTGCTGATTCATGTCTCGCGAATGTGAGGATAGGCTGCCAACAGGCAACCTTGAGATCGAATGATGTCCTGCAGGGGTTTCCTATAATGCTCAACACAAAAAATATCATCTACTACAGTAGGTAGAGGTAAGGTAAGTAAAGCCACTGGGAGTGAAGGCGGTCAGTTGTTCTACCCGCACTTTGCATCATCGTCACTCTAGTCCCCTCACTCTTTTCTTTCGACTTCATCGCTTGGAAGATCCACAAATCTCGATTTTCTTTCTCTCCCTCGAATCTGTGATCTTACCCTCCCGCTCTTTTCTACTGAACTCTGCGGCAAAATGAAGCTCACCTTCAAGGTACGTGCCCTCCGGTCCCCCACCTGACCACAGCTGACAATCTCGACAGGACCTGAAGCAGGAGAAGTTCGTCATCGATGTCGAGCCTTCTGAAACTGTATGTCATCTCTCTAGCTAGATCATCGGTATGGAATGGCGCTGATTTATCCGGCTAGGTTCGCGAGGTCAAGGCCAAGATCGCCCAGGAGAAGGGCGAATATGAGGCTGAGCGTATGAAGGTTATCTACTCTGGTATGTGCTTCGTTCAAATGGTAGCAGCGGCGACTGACTGTCCCTCTCCCTGTAGGAAAAATCCTTCAAGATGACAAGACAGTCGAATCCTACAACATCCAAGAAAAGGATTTCCTAGTTTGCTTGCCTTCAAAGGTACGGATCAGACATCCTCTTTGCTTCACCCGGCTCAAACTGACATATCATCACAGCCCAAGGCCGCCCCTGCTTCCTCCCAGCCTAAGCCCCCCTCGACTCCGGCTGCCCGAGCTCCTGCATCGACCCCCGCTGCTCCTCCTGCCCCTCAGGCCTCCTCTACCGCTGCCCCAGCTGTCCCCGCTACCCCTACTCCCGCCGGTGCGACACAGTCCAGCGGACCCGCCTTTGGAGACCCCTCTGCTCTCGCCATGGGCTCTGCCGCCGAGGGTGCCGTTGCTCAGATGGAGGCTATGGGCTTTGCACGAACCGATATCGATCGTGCCATGCGCGCTGCATTCTACAACCCTGACCGTGCCATTGAATACCTCTTGACTGTAAGTTTCTTATTATAGGTTACACAATTTCTCCGCTAATCATGCCACAGGGTATTCCCGATAACATCCAGGAACAGCAGCAGCAGCAACAACAACAACAGCAGCAAGAAGCCGCAGCGCCTGCTCCTACTGCTGGTGCTCCTGCTCCCGCTGGTGGTGAAGAGCCTCTTAACTTGTTCGAAGCCGCCGCTCAGGCCGGTGAAGGTGGTGGTCGTGGTGCCCGCGGTGCCACCGGCGCTGGTGCTGGTGCTGGAGCTGGTGATGCTGCCAGCCTCGAGTTCCTCCGCAGCAACCCCCACTTCCAACAGCTCCGTCAGCTCGTTCAGCAGCAACCCCACATGCTTGAGCCTATCCTGCAACAGGTCGCCGCTGGGAATCCCCAAATCGCCTCTCTCATCGGACAGAACTCCGATCAGTTCCTTCAGCTTCTCGGTGAGGACATTGAGGAGGGCGAGGGAGATCTGCCTCCTGGAGCACAGGCCATTTCGGTTACAGAGGAAGAGCGGGATGCCATTGAACGTGTATGTCCCTCGTGATCTCTGCCATCTTTTCGATCTATTGCTAACCTACGTAGTTGTGCCGTCTGGGCTTCCCCCGGGACCACGTCATCCAGGCCTACTTCGCCTGCGACAAGAACGAAGAGTTGGCCGCTAACTTCCTCTTCGACCAGCCGGACGAGGATGAGGAGTAGATTTGATTTTCTTGTCTTTAAAAAGAAACGTCTGCTTTTTCACCTCCCGATACGTCCTCCCTCTTCCGTTATGTTCTTGATGAAAACCTCCAAGCATGCTGCTTTGATTCTTATGTCTCTCCCCTTTCCCACGAGTATGAACCAGAATCAGAATCAGAATCAGAATCAGAATCAGTACTCAGCCTGGCGTCTTGTTCCTTTGTGGACTTGGCTTTGCATTCTCCTGTTTCCCTCCGACTTCGACTCCTCCGACTCCGTCACGACTGTCATGTATCTATCTAATGGGTCAATGGGACTTGTTCGCTGATTAGATTGCTACGGAGTAATGTCAATGTAGATCTTACATCGGCCAATAGTAGGAGTGCCGATCTAACCAGGATAGGATATCTTGTAGATCGGTCAGAGGATATGTTGTAACTTTACAATGGTCATGTGCAGCTACCTAGATGTATATACATTCTGCATAAATCCAAATCCAAATTCAAATATCCAAATGACCAGTGGAAGTACCCCGGGAAGTATATATATCGAAAAATCCATCAGTTATATCTCCACTCCATAACGGTAACAATGACCACCATTTTATATAACCAATAAAAACAAGGTCCAACTGTACCTCAATACAAACACAGACATGATCTACTAAATTAGATCTACTAATTACATACAGGTGGGTTGTACAACCCCTCCATTCCTATCAAATCACAAGGTCCTTTACCATCACAAGCTGAGTTCATAGTCCCAGCTGACTAGACCAGAACCCGGCCTAGACTCAGCTCTCTGATAGGGAGTATTCATATACGAAAGTCAATGTGTAAGCTCTACTGAAGTAAGAATATAGAAAATGATGACAATTCAATTCAATCAATCACGCCCACCCAAAAAGGCATGCAAAAGGTATCTTGTATCCAGCCATCCCGGCACATGCAAATATGAGATATGAGATAAAAAGGCAAAGGTAAAGGGGGCAGGGGAAGAAAAGAAGGGGAAAAATAACATATCCATATCCAAGTAGATACCCGAATCATGTGCAAATCAACATAACATTCCAACCCAAAATGAAATGTACACTGCTCTGCTCTGCGGCACTATTTGCAAGATCGGCGAACAGCCCAGACGCCCAATCCGCGACGTCCAATAACACGCTTGAGAGTTGGTAGGATTCCATCCTCGGCGAAGTCTAGGTCATCTAGGTTTAGATGTTGTCGGTAGGACCATACTGGGTGCAGTTTTATATCACGGGCTTGGTCTGACGTAGATGTAGACGATGCGAGAGCGTATGCATCTAGGAACTCGGCTGATGTGGGTGCGACGAGGAATATTGTTGATGCGGAAGAAGAGGAACAGCTTGGGACTGCTTCGTCGAGCTGGTTGATCATTTCCAGGCCTGGTATTCCCATTAGATCCTGTGTGAGGATCTCAGTTGTGTTATTTCCGTCGGTGTCTGTGTCTGGTCCGAGCAGCCATAATGGTGGTGAGTAGGTTTTCCACCAGAAGACTGTTGCGTCGGGGGTGTAGGGGCCTGTGCTTGCTGAGACGATGTTGCGCATTGCTAGCTGGGTTGGGACCACGCCGCCTTGGTGGTAGACGCCCATTAGAAAACCCATTGCTGCGTTGAAGAGGACCCATATTGCGAGGAAGAGGCGGGAGCGCCGCATGCGCACGCAGCTTAGGAGGAGTGGCACGCAGGGGAGGAGGAAGCGTGGTTCTTGGTGGGGAAAGAGGGAGAGGAGCATCGTTGCTGAGAGAGCGGAGACGGCGCGCATGTTGCGCATCCAGGATGGCACGAGCGGGTAGCTGAAGAGCGAGAATATCATTGCTATGTAGGCTGGGCCGAGGAGTTGGAGTAGGTTTGCTGTGAAGTGTTGGTGGTGGGGGTGAAGGCCATGGACTGCTAGGTTTGCGGTGTCGGTGTTGTAGAGGAGATTGTTTAGTGGTGTTATTATTGGGTCGCGGAGGAATGAGAGGAGGGTTGCTGTTGGTCGGTAGAAGGTGGTGTCTGTGAAGACAGCTACTGTCGCAAAGAGGAGGCCGGCGGCGACAAAGGCGAGGAGGGAGGTAGGTCTGGAGGGGTCAGTCTCAGCAGATTTTGAGGACTTGAAGTACGTACTTGCGCTGGAAGTGAGGCAGCAATTGTAGGCCCGGAACCAAAAGGAAAGCCGGGAAGGTGATGCGGTTGAAGACGCCCACGACGGCGATAAAGGCGAGCACAACATGGGCGAAGACGGAGGAGCGCTTCTGTATAAAAGTCAGCGCAAGAGACTGCATTGGGTCTATGCTATCTTACCTTATTCTCGACAATGCGCCGAATCAGAACCAACCCCCAGGCAACCAGCAGGGTCTCGAGGGAGTTGGAGAAGGTGTGCGTCTGATATGTCCAGGTGACATACGACGAGGCCACCAGCACCACCGTCGCACGCCGATGACGCGGAGAGGGCACTAGCTCGTAGATCGCCCAGTCTTCCAGCACAAAATTCAAAAGGAACATTCCTCCGCGCAGCGCATAGTAGACCAGTTGTGGTGGTGGGCTGCCGGAGCCGATCTCAGTATAGAACCATTTCAACAGGCTCATCGGCAGCTCATAAGTCGCCCATAATGGGAATATGCTGCGAATAGGATGTTCCACAGTGAACTCCCATGGTAATTTCGACGGGCATGAGAATATGCGACCTAAAATGGCGCGATCTGGTCAGTGTTGTTTTTTTCTCGTATAGGGAGCGTGGGTGTTGCGGATCGCGTTCGGGAGTTTTGAGGAGCGCAGCGCCCGATCGAATGCGCATTGGAAAGCGCGTCGCATGCGCAGTAATTGGGACTGAAGTGGATTTGGACTGAGCGTACCTGCGACTACCTCTGGGCCTTGGAAATTCTCATCTGGATGGAGATAGCTGGGCGAGAGCGCAAAATAGACGCGAATCACGAGTAACAAAAGGTAGGTTCTTCGCCACATGGTAGGAATCCAGGAACATCATTAAAATAGATTAAAAGATCAAAGAAAAGTTGAAAAGGAGTGGAAGGGGGAAAGCAACGCGTAGCGCGGAGATGATATCACAGGTTGATGCTTCAGTCTTTAACCCCTTTCAGCTTCCAGCTTATGTGCTCTACTGCGGTATAAGCGATACTACAAGTCGTATTCTAGTTTCCTGGTATTCAATCATTACAAGTATATCTATGGCTTTAGATAGGTCAAATAATGGTACATAGTCACGGTACGTGTTCAGCAGAAAAATGTTGAATATGACTCTATAGATATGACTCTATATAAATTATGTAGTGCCGATTGATCCATTCCTAAACAAGCCTACTCTTAGCCCAAGGTTGATGTGTCCTTTACTAGCACGAATGCGGTCTTCAGGGTTGGCGTACTGTTTGCAATCTATTCATAAAAATGCTGTAGAATAGTGAAGAGTAATGAAACAAGAGAATAAATAGAAAGATCCATTCAAGGCAGCAAGTCAACGCAAGTAAAAAATAGGCAACGATTCAGCCATTCGAGTGCTAGTTAACGTGAAAGAGGGTAACCGTACAAAGCGTCAGGACGACGTGGGGGCCAAGCCTCTTACTAACCAAACTTCATAACGTGAACATCCCGCCCATCTTCAACTTCACTGATCCTTTTCTCGACGTACACCGAATACCACACTTTTTCTTCTTTTACTTGTTAGTTGTACGCTTGATCTGTGCGCACAGCGCTGACCACAACTCTCTTACAGTTATCATAACGCCGAAATGTCTACCGGAACCATCACTCTCACCAGTTCCGATGAAGTCGACATCACCCTCGGTACGTCAAATGCTTGATTTGACTATGAAGCCGCCGTTTGCAAGATGCTAATTGACATTAACAGACCGCGCTGTCGCTGAGCGCTCTGTCCTGATCAAGAACATGCTCGAGGATCTTGGTGACTCCGGCGAAGCCATCCCCATTCCTAACGTGAGACATCATCCCACCTCCATATGATACAGATCAGTCACTAACATCTATCTATTAGGTCAACGAAGCCGTCCTGAAGAAGGTCATCGCCTGGTGTGAGCAGCACAAGAACGACCCCGCCAGCGCAAACGACGACGACGACAACCGACGCAAGACCACCGACATTGACGAGTGGGACCAGAAATTCATGCAGGTTGACCAGGAGATGCTCTTCGAGATTATTCTCGTACGTTTATTCCAACGTCTATTATGACCCACCTGTCTGGACATGTACTGACCACAACTCCAGGCTGCCAACTACCTCGACATCAAGGCCCTCCTCGACGTCGGCTGCAAGACCGTTGCCAATATGATCAAGGGCAAGTCCCCTGAGGAGATCCGCAAGACATTCAACATCCAGAATGACTTTACTCCCGAGGAGGAAGACCAGATCCGTCGTGAGAACGAGTGGGCTGAGGAGTAAGTTTTGCTTTCCCGAATCTATGCGATATCATCTGCTAACCTTTGACTTTTGCAGTCGTTGAATGGGTGGCTAAGTCTTGTTTTGCTAAAATGGAATGGATATCCTGCGCGCTCACCTATGACAGATTTTGGGTTGCAAATCAAGTGCGCGCTATTGCTTGATCGGGCGTTCTCTGCTTTTGAAAAGATCTCTGGTATACTGGATTTCAATAGGACATGTTATAACGACAACTGAGTAACCGAGTAGAACTACTGTAGATTATGAGGTGACTAAGTTTTTGTAACTGGCGGGGTAAACACTAAGCTTGGGCATATCATATCCGCTATGACGACTGCTACAAAGCTGTAGCTAAGTGTTGATGTTGAGGCTCTTACGGAGTACAGTACAGTTCCAATGATAGGAGCAACTACATGGGTCACGTAGTGGAGTCATCTATAAGTATAAGTAAATGCAAGGCAAAGGACATTCAATTCGACCATGAAATTTTTGTATCAAAAAGGAGATCCTCCCCCGCGCCGTCCTACAAGCCCGCCCCCAAAGAGACGATCAACCAGACACACACGCGCACTGCAATCAAATCCGGGCAACTCAAGTCCACAAGAACCCGAGCACATCAATTCCTCCATTCGGAACCCATGGAGAGAAAAAGATGAAGAATGAAGAAAAGAAGAAAAGGTTGGTTGGCCACTCCGCCCGGAGATGTATTTTGAAAAAAATGTAATTGTTGCAAAAGACTTGAAAGTAGTTCCACATCCACTAGCGCTCTCAAGTCGTGTCGGCGCATTCGTTTTTCGAAATGATAAATTCGGTGCGGGCGTCACGTCATGAGAGGTTGGACGGCTCTACACCGTAGTGTAGGATTCCGGTTTCCAACCCCCGATCAAAACACACATAAGACATCGCGAGACGGGATATCGGATGGCTGCACGGAAGGTGGGGTGATTCTCTGAAGAAAATTTAAACCTTCAGTGTCGACTTGCGCCAGTGGCGACGCTTGGCGTTGTATCTGTGTGGTTGTCAGCCTTGTTCTGACTGTTTCTGTGTACCAATGATCCTTCCTCCCGGACGGTGCTTCATGATGGTCGGTGGTCGATGGTGTGGTGGTGATTCCCTCTCCTTCCCTCTCATTTACTTTCTCACGGTCCGGACGGATTGGATTTTTGGTATGAATTCGGGCGATTTACCTGATGGTGTTGCCGGTGCGCAGACGGATCCACTGGGGGATGGGACGGTTCTGGCGCTGAGCTTTGGCAAGCTTTTGCTTGGTGCGGAAAGTCTTGTGGCTCTATAGGGAAAAAAGGGTTAGAATTTGGACTTGTGAAAATCTATTTTGATGGCGATGATGGCGATGATGGCGATGATGGCGATGAGGGCGATGAGGGCGATGACGAGTATTTCAATATGACGGGTAACAGGTATAGGCTGGGACATACCGGCATCTTGAAGTGTTGATCGCGACGGCGAGCTTGTTGGATGGACGGATGAAGTTGTCGACCTTCGGGTGTGGATGGTTTGTGTGCGGCAGGGCTTGGCTTCGCTTCGGTTGGGTCAGGTGATGTGGGTACTGGCCTGAGGAAGTGGGCTGCAAGGTAGCAAGGCAGCAAGGCAACAAGGCAAATTATGAAAACAGAATACTTCTGCCTCAGGTTATGCACCCTGCACGTGTCCGCATGTCCACCTGTCATTCTCGCATGGTCTCTGCATTATCTTGATTTTACATTTGCCACAAATGTGGTGACTGCTGCAATGAGTCACCACACATCATTGCTAGTTACATATACAGACACAGTTCAAAAGTCAGACTCGACCTGTAATTTGCTTGTCCTCTCGACCCAAATAGGTATGGAGAGCGGCAATCGGGCCAAAAAATAGCCGTCCCCGGGCATAAAAAGTGGCATACGCACGGGCGAATGTTCCAGGCGGTCCACTCGCAACGACTGCCTGCAATTGTATCCCGAATCGTGGCCACGTTACTGGTGGATCACGGACATTTTGATGCGGAGTCCTGGTTTTGTCCTAAGCTCCAATATCGATTACGGAAAACGGACGTAAGCGACGCAAGCATTTACCTTGGAACTGGTTGGAACTGGTCAGGACGAAAATTCGGTCGAAACGAGTTGACGCATATCACTCTCGTATTCGGTCCCGTATTCCGATATCCAATGATATCAAGGAGAGCTGTGTTTCAAGCATTGTAGTTTCATACTTTTGAGTCAGACCGAGATAGGAGTTCGGAGTTCGCAGTTCACAGACCTGGAATGTGAACACGGGGCTAGGAATGTTCGATCGGATTCCCAGATTGAGGGTGCAATCTGACATAGAGTAATATATCATCCAATCCCTACAGTCGGGAACAAAAGGAGTTGCATAAAGAAGCCGGAGTCAGCAGTCTCCGGCCCACCGACGGCAAAAATTAAGATATTAAGACACCGTTAAACATTTAACATTTAACTACTTCGTACTCCTTTCTCCTTTCTCCCCTTGCTATGTTTGTTAATCTTGACTACTTTAATATCTAATCCCCCTCTCTTATCGATTACCGTCCCGTAGTCCCACCGTTTCATGGACTAAGACTACGCATATATTCACCATGCAACAGCCCGAAGAGGGCGTGACCGCCGTGGAGAAGGTGGTGGAGGAGCCTCAGCTTAATGAGAAGCCTGTTTCGAGCTCAGCTTCAACCCTGGCCAAAGAAAAGGAGACCACAGCTTCGGTATTGAACGATGACGATGCGCTTTATGCCCACCTACCGGCACATGAGAAGGATATCTTGAAGCGACAGTTGGATGCGCCTCCAGTCAAGATCACCTTTTTCGGTCTCTATCGATATGCCTCTCACATGGATATTCTCATTATTGTGGTTAGCGCGCTTTGTGCTATTGCCGCCGGTGCTGCCCTGCCTCTATTCACAGTGAGTATACTCCTCGCCTAACCGAGACGGTTCTAACAATCTCAGATTCTATTCGGATCTTTGGCAAACGACTTCACCAAGATCATTTACAACGCCATTCCCTATGATGAATTCTACCACGCGCTAACTCACAACGTCTTGTACTTTGTCTACCTAGGCATTGGCGAGTTCGTCACCGTCTACATCAGTACCATCGGATTCATCTACACTGGTGAACATGTCACCCAAAAGATTCGAGAGAACTACCTCGAAGCTATCCTGCGCCAGAACATCGCCTACTTTGACAAGTTGGGTGCCGGTGAGGTCACCACCCGCATTACCGCTGACACCAACCTCATCCAAGATGGCGTCTCCGAAAAGGTCGGACTAACCCTCACTGCCATTGCCACTTTTGTTACTGCCTTTATCGTCGCCTATATCAAGTATGCTCCACTGGCGGGTATCTGTACGTCGACAATCGTCGCCCTTGTGGTGATCATGGGCGGTGGATCCACCTTCATTGTCAAGTTCAGTAAGCTTTCCCTGGAGAGCTACGGCGCCGGTGGCACGGTGGCGGAAGAGGTCATCAGTTCAATTCGTAATGCGACTGCGTTCGGTACCCAGGACAAGCTGGCCAAGCAGTACGAGGTGCACTTGGCGCACGCAGAGCGCTGGGGCATGCGTCTGCAGATGGCTCTTGGTGTAATGGTTGGCGGTATGTTTGGGATCATGTTTTTGAACTACGGTCTTGGATTCTGGATGGGTTCGCGATTCCTGGTTCAGGGCAAGCTCGATGTCGGACACGTTTTGACTATTCTGATGGCTATTCTTATCGGTTCGTTCAGCTTGGGTAACGTCAGCCCGAACGGCCAGGCTTTTACCAATGCTGTGGCTGCTGCTGCTAAAATCTTTGCGACTATCGATCGCAAGTCCCCGCTGGATCCTACTTCCGATGAAGGCATTATCCTTGACCACGTGGAGGGTCACATCGAGTTCCGTGATGTGAAGCACATTTATCCTTCTCGTCCTGAGGTTACCATCATGGAGAGTGTCTCGCTTACTATGCCTGCTGGAAAGACCACCGCCTTGGTTGGTCCCTCGGGCTCTGGAAAGAGTACCGTCGTTGGTCTCGTCGAGCGCTTCTATCTCCCCGTTGGTGGCCAGGTCTTCTTGGATGGGCACGATATCCAGACTCTCAACCTGCGCTGGTTGCGCCAGCAGATCTCGCTGGTCAGCCAGGAGCCTATTCTCTTCGGTACCACTATCTACCAGAATATCCGCCACGGCCTGATCGGAACCCGTTTCGAGCACGAATCTGAGGAGAAGATCAAGGAATTGGTCGAGAATGCTGCCAAGATGGCCAACGCCCACGAGTTCATCAATATCCTTCCGGAAGGCTATGAGACCAACGTGGGTCAGCGTGGATTCTTGCTGTCTGGTGGCCAGAAGCAACGTATTGCTATTGCCCGTGCTATTGTTTCCGACCCTAAGATTCTCCTCCTCGATGAAGCCACTTCTGCACTCGATACCAAGTCTGAAGGTGTGGTCCAGGCAGCGCTTGACCGTGCTGCTGAGGGCCGTACTACCATTGTTATTGCCCACCGTCTGTCTACTATCAAGACCGCCCACAATATTGTTGTCTTTGTCAACGGATCTATCGTCGAGCAGGGTACTCACGATGACCTGACTGAACATGACGGTCCTTACTACAAGCTCGTCGAAGCCCAGCGCATCAACGAAGAAAAGGATGCTGATGCCCTAGACGAGTCTGAGGACGAGGACAGCGCTGAAAACATGGACAAGGCTCACATCGCTCGCGTCCAGTCTGTTGCTAGCGGTTCTTCGGCAATGCTCAAGGAGGAGGCTGAGGCTTTTGAAGCTGATTTGCGTCGCCTTGATTCTCGCAAGTCCGTGTCCAGCGTCGTCCTGTCTAAGCGCCCTGCTGAAGGAGGCAACCACAAGTACTCGCTCTGGACTCTGATCAAGTTTATTGCTGGCTTCAACAAGGAGGAGTGGAAGTACATGATTATCGGTCTGTGCTTCTCCATCCTCGCTGGTGGTGGTCAGCCCACTCAGGCTTTCTTGTACGCCAAGGCCATCAGCGCCCTGTCTTATCCCAAGTCTGAGTATGCCAAGTTGCGCTCCGAGGCCAACTTCTGGTCCCTGATGTTTTTGGTCGTTGGGATCGTTCAGTTCATCACTTTCTCAATTCACGGCATTGCCTTTGCTTTCAGCTCTGAGCGATTGATTCGCAAGGCTCGCAGCCAGGCTTTCCGCACTATGCTCCGTCAGGATATCAACTTCTTTGATCGCGAGGAGAACAGCACTGGTGCTTTGACTTCTTTCTTGTCCACCGAGACCAAGCACTTGTCTGGTATCAGTGGTCAAACCCTCGGAACAATTCTGATGACATCTACCACTCTTATCGCTGCTATTGTGATTTCGCTGTCCTTTGGTTGGAAGCTTGCTCTTGTCTGTATCTCGGTCGTTCCTATTCTCCTAGGATGTGGTTTCTACCGCTTCTACATGCTCGCTGCCTTCCAGTCTCGGTCCAAGGCCGCCTATGAAGGATCTGCCAGCTATGCTTGCGAGGCCACTTCCGCTATCCGGACCGTCGCTTCCCTTACCCGCGAAAATGACGTGTGGTCGGTTTACCATGGCCAGCTCGACTTGCAGGGCCGTGCCAGTTTGATCTCTGTCATTAAATCCTCGTCCTTGTACGCTGCATCCCAGGCCCTGGTCTTCTTCTGTGTTGCCCTCGGCTTCTGGTACGGAGGAACCTTGCTCGGCAAGCACGAGTATGGCATGTTCACATTCTTCGTCTGTTTCAGTGAGATCCTGTTCGGTGCTCAATCCGCCGGAACAGTGTTCTCCTTCAGTCCAGACATGGGCAAGGCCAAGAACGCCGCTGCCGAGTTCTTGAAGTTGTTCGAACGTCGCCCGACCATCGATACTTGGTCTGAGGAAGGCGAGAACCTGGAGCACTGCGAGGGAACAATTGAGTTCAAGGATGTTCACTTCCGCTACCCTACCCGTCCCGAGCAGCCTGTGCTCCGTGGCCTCAACCTCAGCGTCAAGCCCGGTCAATACATCGCCCTGGTCGGACCCAGTGGATGCGGCAAATCCACCACCATCGCCCTTCTCGAGCGTTTCTACGATGCCCTTTCTGGTGGCGTCTACGTCGATGGCAAGAACATCGCCGATCTCAACGTCAACTCCTACCGCAGCCACCTCGCTCTGGTCAGCCAAGAGCCCACTCTCTACCAAGGTACCATCAAGGAGAATATTCTCCTCGGTCGCCCCAACGAGGACCCCTCCGACGAGGAACTCGTCAAAGCCTGCAAGGATGCCAACATTTACGACTTCATCATGTCCCTCCCGTAAGCCCCCATTCCTTCCCATCTTCAATAAATACTAACCAAATCAGTGAGGGATTCGAAACAGTCGTCGGCTCCAAGGGTGGCATGTTATCTGGTGGCCAGAAGCAGCGCGTAGCCATCGCCCGCGCCCTTCTTCGCAACCCTAAGATTCTCCTCCTCGACGAGGCCACTTCCGCGTTGGACTCCGAGTCCGAGAAGGTCGTCCAGGCTGCTCTCGATGCTGCTGCTCGTGGCCGTACCACCATCGCTGTAGCTCACCGTCTCAGCACGATTCAAAAGGCTGATATAATCTATGTCTTTGATCAGGGCAAGATTGTTGAGAGTGGAACTCACACTGAGCTGCTCCGTAATAAGGGTCGTTACTATGAATTGGTTAACCTCCAATCTCTGGGCAAGACTCATTAATTTTGATCTGATTTGATTTTGGTTCGTTGCACTCATACCCCTACCTTTCTGTCACGAATCTATTCTCCCCATTATCTATTTTATTACCCTCTCATTTCCTCTTCCATCTACAATCTCCATTCGATGTATCCACTACATTCCCCTCTCCACCTCGATCTCACTCAACCTCTTCTGTTCTCCCCTTTTCTACCTATGTGATCTTTCTCATAATAGATCAACCGGCGTTGCGGCAAGAGTCGGAGAAAGATAAAAAAACCGCGCTTCCGATTTCAGTTCAGAATAGATGAATGAATACAATGAATTCTCCATTCAGCAAATCCATCCAGTAATTTCAAGTCTAGCCTACTTCCCCTTAAACTCCATAAACATAAAACATCATGATAAAATACTGTAGCTTAATTCAATATCAATCCTTCTCCCCAGCACCAAACTCCCTCTCAACCTCAATCTGTCGCACGCCTCTTCCCTCAGCGATAAGTCCCATCAATCCCTGTCCGATATCTTTGATTTCATTGTATTCATGTAAGAGGCGGATATGGCGTTTGACTGTTGCCGTGGGATCGTTTCTGGAGGAGAGGGAGATTGGTCAGAATTGTTCACGGTATTATATTTTCTGGACATTGGATAGATAATAGCCCGTGGTACATAGATCATGTTTGAACCATGATACTTAACGTTAATGGAAAGAATACATACTTGAGTTTGGACGTTGTCGACGCTAATTCCGATTCCAGTTGTGCCTGCTGCATTTCCAGGTTGGCGATGGAGTCGCGGAGAGAGGCCTGTGCTTCTTTAGTCGAGTGGATTCTGAGATAGAGTGAGACATACTAGATTCTTTTCCTTGGCTTCGGATGCCATGTTGTTACGGAGTAACTGAACTGTTGATGTTGGAGAGTTGCATCTACAGTACTTCCACGTGCAGAACCCAATGACAGCCCTCGCTGAATAAGCTCAGGCTTCAAGGTTCTGTTCATTCAATGTTATTTCAAGGACATTTATCTTAACTTATAGTTACTTGACTAAACTAATGAAGCTTCCATTTATACACCAGTTGAACCCCCCTGTCAACGCGGCACGCCGATCCCGCATAATCGGATGCTCCGGATTGGGTCCTGATACCCGCATCTGTTCTTTTCTCCCTTTCACACCTCCCCCAACTCACCATGAATACATTCAGTCGATCTATGTGGACTTTGTTCCTATTATTCGGCGCTGCCGTCGCCCACGGCGGCCATGAGGCTGTTCCGCAGGGCGAGTCTGTCTCCAAGGATCCTATCGTATGTTCATGTCCATGATCCCGCCACGCGTACTCCAGGAACAGGAACTAACGACAATGTGTTGCAGGATGGCATCCTATGGACGCATATGATTCTGATGGGATTTGCTTTTGGAATTGTTTTCCCACTGGGCATGGTTCTCGGGGTATGTACTTACTATTCTATTCTGTTGATGTGTTATGCTTCGCCGCATTACCTCACCTCCAGACTATGGTCTGACACACTACTCTCTAGATCGTTCGCTCTCGCTGGCACGTCCCCGTCCAAGTCGTCGGCACTGTCGTTGCTGTCTTGGCTTACTTCCTCGGACATGCGCACAAGGGTCGCCAATTCGACAAGAACCTCCACGCCTCATTCGCGAATTGGTTGATGCTCATGCTCATCGTACAGGTTGTTCTGGGCGCTTATCTTAAGCTGCACCTTGAGAAGGCAGGACAGGGTCGTATCCGATGGATCTTCGTGTTGGCACATGGTATCGTTGGCAAGATCATGCCTGTTGTCAGCTGGGCGCAGATGCTCTTTGGCGGTATTGCCTCGCTGGGCTTCTGCCGGGGTGATCACCTCGGTCAGTGTCTCGCTCATTTCATTATGGGTAGTGCTTTCATCGGCTATGGTGTTTGCTTGACTATTCTCTTGCTCGTTGGCCAATACTGGTTGCGCAAGACTGGTCGCAGTCAGGAGTTCTTCGATTCCTTGGTCATCGCGGCTTGGGGCTGCGTCAACACTTTCACTGAGCACCGCTGGGGTACTGCTTGGGTGCACAATGACCTTCAACATACTACCATGGGTATTGTCTGGTGGTGTGCTGGGCTGCTGGGTATGTGGTTGAGCCGCAGCCGCAATGGCCGTCCGAAGCGCAACCTTATTCCTGCTCTTGTTATCATGATGACTGGTTATGCCATGTCTGCTCATCCCCAGGAGTTGATGATCAGTACTATGATTCACTCTATCTTCGGATATACTCTCATGGCCGCGGGACTCACCCGTGTTATCGAGATCTCTTTCGTGCTGAGGGATAAGCCTGCGCTCTCCGAGCCGAACAGCTTCCAATACCTGACTCCCTTCGTATGTCCCTCAATCTGCTATCTTAAACATAACTGACCCTCGCAGCTGCTCTACGCCTCCGGATTCCTCTTCATGGGCGCCACGGAGGAACAAATGCTCCTCCTCCACAATGCAGGCGTAACCCACGTCTCCTACGTGCTGATCCTATTCAGCATCGCATTCATCTGTTTCCTCTGTAAGCCCGAAACCAAACTCTTCCCAGCCCTCGATGAAACCCACTAACCAAACCTCTAGTCGTCAACATCCTCCTCCACATCTACGCCGTGCACGCCTGGCCAAACTCCGAGTCAACAGACCAAGACGGTCCCAAGTACTCGACTCTCAACGGAAACGCAAACGGCCATGCACGCTCTACCTCGCAGCAGATTCAGGATGCAGAGGCTTTCGAGCTTCATGGGTTGATTTCCGATGACGAGGAGGGTGGTCCTTCTATGGGACCTAGGAAGAATAGCGATGAGGAGCTCGGCAAGGATGAGTCTCGTCATTGATTGTATACAGTAATTGGTAAAAGAACTTGGTCACGATAGTTCGTCTGCATTTTGGATTGTTGGCGGCGTTGGTTATATGGTTGATCGTCTTTTGGCTGTAGGGGGGCTAATAAATAGTCTTGAAGACAAAATTGGACATATTTCTTAAGATTTTGGAGTACTTGAATCTGATGTATTTAATTGACCAGCGTTTGGTCTTCCGTAATTTAGCGTTAAGTTGGCTTAACTATCGTCTATCGTACATGAAAAGAGCCAGATCTAGCCTGGGTGCAGATGTAAATTGCAAAAATAAAAGAAATTCGTGACCATGCAGAAAACGAAGTGCAGTCCGTCTCCATCATCATCATCCACCATTCGGAATCTTCATCATCTTATCACCATCTACTGCCCACTTTGAGGAACACTCCCATCAACAGGAACAGTCACCGGATTCCGAACAGGTGCAGCAGCAGCCATCTCAGCTCCAGCACCGAGATCAGGGAAGAATGGGTGCAGCGGATAGATAGGACCAACGGACTTCTCGCCATCGAACAGTAGCATATTCTGCAATGGCTGCTCCCTAGCCGAAAGAACATTGATCACATCCTGTGCTAGGGCTCCACCGAGGAACGCAGCAACGGGACTCAACTCACTGCCAAGGTTCTGTAAGAATGTGCGCAGGAACCCAGCTTCAAGAGTGACAGGCTCGAGTTTTAGTTCCTGGTGTCTGTCGCGGGACAGTTTGGTGAAGAGTTCCAGATCCTCGTGTGTGAATGTTGGGCGGCGGCCGAGCATTTTCTCGAACTCCCAGAGTGCGCGTAGACAGCTGAGTAGCGGGGTTACTTGCTTGCGGCGGCGGGGAAGACGGGTGTATTCTTCTGGGAGGGGTGATGTGTTTGCCAGGATGAGAGGAGAGTAGATCTCCCGCTTTGTGACGAGCTCGATGGCCTTGTCGTTTTCTTTCTTGGTGCTTATAGAAATTATGCTGCGGGTGGGTGTTTCCTGGGTCGTGGTGTCCATGTTGGACTTGGCGCGCTCGATCACAAAGTCATGGCTGATTAGATCGGCGAAAGCGTATCCGTAGAATCCGTGTAGCCCGGCTGCGTAGAATGGTCTGTTGGCCAAGCGACAGGCAGCATTGATAGTGGTATTTGTGAGGAAGTCTTGTTCAGTGGCAATTGTGAGATCAAATTGCGCAAAGAAGTCGGGTTGTTTCGTTTTGACGTCGTCGGTGTCGATGTTAAGCTTCACGCGCGGGTTCATCTTGTGGATCTGAGGTCCTGCGACTTGTGCACGCTAATATCAAGCTTGTCAGTATGTGTCATGGGTCGCCATGCATTAGAGACCCACCTTTTTGCCAATCATGTCTCCTTCGCTTTGCGCCTCGGTGATGAAGAACTGCGCACCCAGATCCTCCTCCGCGACGTCCTGGTGGTCGAGGATTGTGAGAGAGCCGATGCCCGCCAAAACGAGGTTCTTGGCCACCTCATTTGCCAGGGCTTTGACAGAGATCAGGAGGATGTTCGCCGAGCGGATCCTGGTTCCGTTAGATTCGTCCGGCATGTCGCGACTGAGGTTGCTCACTTTTCTTGGGCTTGGACGCCCCAGAGTCGGATCTGTCTGTCATACAGTGCGATTTCATCTGGTACGGTGTAAGTGGATATCATCAAGACCCAGCGGCATGCATACCGGCGCTGATTGACTGCATGTTGTCCTGTTCCGCCATGTTCGGGGAGCTTGGCAGAGATGAGAGCTAAACTTGCGGGTGGCTTGGCTTGAAGGTTGCTCCGCGCTTCGGCTCGGGATGATAAAAGAAATCAAACTGACGAAAAAAGCAACGAAATTGGAACGAGAAGAAAATGAAAGCGAAACCAGACGCGCAATGCGAAGTTGAAATGTGAAGGAGTGAAGAGAAGAGAGGGAGGCTGGCACGTGATCCGGGAGCTAAATGTGGGGGCGTGGGGACTAGAAGTATACAAAGCGGTGTTGATGTATTTCTTCTTAGGTTTTTATTAGATCTGATGTAGACTACATAGCTGATACTAGAATTATCCAATGATGCTCAGTATATATCCCAAGCATATCACTGACCAATTACTGAGAGAACGGATTCAGAACATAATTCGAAAGTTACAGCGGATAGTCTTTAGTGCATAGCTGCTAAAGAGATACCTGCTCTCGTTCATAGATACCAAGTCTCTGGAACATGAGATCTTTCAAAAAAGATCGAGCAAGTGAAGGTCTATAGCCCACAGGCTTGTCCACTGGTTCTAAAGCAATGGCGGGGTTGAGATGTTAGAGAATTATCCATCTGCCGAATTAGCCCAGCGATTATTAGCGTATTGAACATATTAGCAGAGAAACTTGCCTCTGTATTTCCATCGAGCGTGAAGGCAAAGCGAGACTTGTTTGTTATCATCGCTTCTTCTTGAGTGCTCAAACAACAGAGCAATCAACAAGCAAGGATAACAAATGGTTTTGATGTTATTTTCACGTTCAATAAGAACATTGAAGCATGCGTCCCTGATGGTACATTGTATATATTTAACCAGGTTCCAGCAGTCATCAAGTCTGAGATAGCATCATTGAAGCCGACGCCTCTGCGGGGTCCTAATGCGCACGAATTCCATTTTCAGAGAGTTGAGCCAGCAATGTACACACGTTTTGTATGTAATTCTTTGCTTAAAAAGCTGCGTCAATAATGTAAAATGGAAATTGATTGAACTGAAACGATTCCAAGTGGGGGTGAAGAAGTGAGGAAGTGGACGGGAATGCGGAGCGATGATCTAATCCCATCACGTGTGTTATCAACTCTCTTTGGACTTTCGGACTTTGAATTTCAATCGTTCAAGTATTCCTGGATTCTTCACTCCTACTCGGGTTGATACCCAATAATTTGGTATCCTCTCGATATAGGTTCATCAGCGGTAGCTTGAATGATGGTATGTCTGGCTGCTCCACCACCTCCACCCTCCACCTTATGTCTCACACCTCCCTCAAGTCAGGAAACTACGACTTTCCTCCTGCTTCGCCTTCTTCGTCCCGCGTATCTGGCCAAACTGGCTCTACCGAACGAGGCCCTGACGTGCTCCGCCTCCAGCATCTCCGCAACTTAGTCAACGAACGAAACCGCTCCGGTGCTTACAACACCTTCAGCGCTACTCGTGCCTTATTGACGCTGAATCAAGAGATTCTAGAGCACACTCTTGACCGGGCACGAGATCGAACCGACTTCGAACAAGCCCGGGCCGCTGCGGATCGCCAGATCCAACAACTCCAGTCCGAGATAGCTAGCCCACCCGACCTAATTCGAAGTATTTGGGCAGACCAGATTAATCTTAACTCAGAACGATCCCTGAGTCCTCTTGCCCCGGAAGCTCAGTCTCTTCGACGTCGACTTCCCCGACCGGCGTATATATCCCCTAGCCCCGACGGGTCCTCATCCAGATCCCCATCCCTCATGCCACCAGGCTCGTCGGGCCGAGATGGCCAGGGACGCCTAAAACGTCGGAAGCTGGACGCCGACGATAACCGCGAGGAATTTCAAGGATTCAACTACGGGCGATATGGACAAGTCTACCCCGGGAGGTTGCAAATGGAGATTGCGAGCTGTGACGGAGGAAACTATGACCCGGATGGCGGGTGTTCGCGCCCGGACAACGTCTTAGAAAACAACCAAAGCGTCTACTCCACCAAGGAAAATCGCTGCAATCTGATACTACGTCACCGGGGCGAGGCACCTTTTTGTTTAAAAAAGATCGTGATCAAAGCACCCCAATGTGGGTTCGATGCCCCGTATGTACCTCTGTCCCTTTGTTGAATTCTAGCTAACAGGACTAGAATTCAAGAAGGCATGGTATTTGTTTCCATGTCTTCCGACGAACTACTCGATCGCACTGCACGGTATCAAATTCAATACTCCAGTCCTCGATGGCGCCGCCGACACCGCCGGCATGGCCTACAGCCGTCTCAGGAGTACTTGAATGCATACCGATCACCACTACAAAATCTCGAACGCACAGTTCTCATGGGACCGAACTCAGACAGTTCGGCTTCTGATACAACGGATGACCCACAAAGACAATTTCGCATTACCACGGAGTACGACGAAAACAACGAGGAAAACAGTCATTCCGGAAACGATGACACCATCCCCTTTACAGAGTTCGAAAGAGCTCAAGGTGATCAGAGTGACCAGGGTGATCGGCTGGAAGATCCTTCGACAGAAACCGATGAGACACCAACCGAGGATGAGGATGACAATACCAGAACACTCCGCCAACGGATCCAATCCAATCGACGGCAGAATATGCTCTTTCGCATGGCCGAGCAGAGCGAGCGTCGAAACCCGACTCTTGTGAATCCCAATCCACCACCTGAACCCAACTCCCCAGAGGTCTTGAAACCACATGCGCGATTCTTCATTGAGCGACAGAAAAGCATGGTCACTATCAAATTCGATCCACCTCCGTATGTATCATCTACTTCGGACATTGATGTATGCTAACAAGCCCAGATCTGGTCGTTTCATTCTGATCAAGCTATGGAGCCCACGACCCGATGGGAATATCGATATAGAAAGCATCATCACGCATGGATATGCTGGTCCACGCTTCTTCCCGAGCATTGCTCCTCGTTAGTTGGATGTTTTACGGAGTGGTGGTTTTGATATTTGAGCGATGATACCTTTTCTTTGACTGCACTTCAGGCAACCTGGGTTTCTGTTTACGAGCGCAACGATGATACGAATGAAATGAGACATGCTTATGCTATGTGGGCGCCTTTCGGGTATTCGTTGGATCAAATAGACAATTCATCCCCACGAGACATTATATACGCCTTCACCTTCCCATACATAGACGTCCAGTAAGTAGAGGTGTTGCATGCTTCTCGAGCATATCTTGAACACGTATCCAGTCACCCAAGACAGTGCTTTGAAAGTAATGACTTGATTCTAGCCCTGTACTAATTTGTCTGTTGCTTTATCGTACATCGTTATCCAGTCTCCAAACAGCTCGTCTACTGCCGATGATTGGATTTCTGCGGCCAATTCAAATATCGAATGATCATGATGTCTATAATGATCTAAACCAGATGCGCATTGGACATAAAATGCCAATTCTTTGACTTTGCTTCATGCGGAGGCGAGTTCTCACTAGCTTCGTAGAGAGTTTTTACGACTGCTATGCCGACGTCCGCGAGTTGGATGATCGCAGCGGCAGCTCCAACCGCCTCCAGCGCCATCTGAATAAAACTGGCACCTAGAAGAAGACTCACATTACATCAAGGGGCTGTAGACGGGTACCAGACAATCCAGGGGCGAAGTTTATTGCGAGCGAGGCTCAGCTGGTCACATGTCGCCTGCATGTTTAGCGTGAGAGTGAGTAGATCTATAAGGAATGTCCTCTAGTGAAGAAACAACCTCGGAAAGCAGACAAAGCAATACATTCCATTCCCCCGGCTAAGTTAATTAAACCCTCCGCACATAGGTCCAAGTATAATACCCCAAAGTAGAAATAGTAGCAACCAACGAAGCAAGCGTAATAAGACCACCAGTGATAATCCCCTGTTCAAAGAACCCAATCTTAAAGCCTGGTCTCTGCTTGGTCGATGCCAGCGGTGCAATAGCCTCCCGCCACACTGTATCTGCCTTGGCCGTATTGTTATCAAGGATAACCTGTACCGCGCATGGAGTTTGAGTTATTAGTTGTGGGCGTGGGAGTTCGAATTGAGACTTTGTGTAGCGGGTTTGTGTAGATGGGGCTGTGTTCTTTGGGATGGCTGGTCCGACTATTCATGGATCAGTATTGCAGACTTTGATTTGGGGTTCAGATCTGGTGTATGCTTACTGAGCATGTGGCTAGGGATATGGTTAACCCATGATACGTGGGCATCGATGAATTGGGTTAGGTATTTGGCTGAAGATGGGGCTGCGAAAGCATAGGTTGCTGCCAGGGTTTCATTGCTATGGCCATGTTAGATGGTTCATTGGTGGGAAAGGATTGGAAACGTACAAGTTGGTATCAATAGCATCATCCAAGCTAGAGAATGGATGAACAAGGAACACTTTCTCTGAAATCTTCTTCTGCAAGAGGGGTGATTTACTATAGTCGTGTTAGTACAAGTGCTTCCAATATGTAGTATCAAAGCCTTTGTAGAAACTTACCGATCCTGAACCTCAACGACACCCCAATTACTCCCAGAAACAAGAACCCTTGCATTCCTATCCTTCTGGATAGAATCCAACAAGCTAGACTTCCTTAAGAGAGGCCTGGCCTCTCCATTCTCCCCAGCAAGGTACTTCGACGCATGCTGAATAACAGCCTCGACGAATGGCTTCATCGCGAATTCGTGCACGAGCACTAAATCCGGACTATATGGCGACCGACCACCGAGTGCGAACCGCGCTGCTACCAATGCCTGTGCGGCTTCAGTGATGTTGGCGGTGCGGTCAACTATAGCCACCGTCCTTGCGGTAGCTGGTGAGACCAGACCACTGCCGTTGTTTGATTCGCCGGTTTGATCGACTATCAATGCCTTGTTCAGGAATGAAGGATCCGGTCTTTGGGCTGTGATGCTAAATGTGTCGTGGTCTAGTGCTTCTGGAAGAATCTTGCGTAGGAGGGCTGGGAGAGCGCTTGTTGTTTGAGGGAGCTGGGTGGTATAGTCAGTACTCGGATCTATATGGAAGGAAAAGAGAAAAACAAACCTCAAGAACGACGCAGTTGCCTGCGGCGAGAGCAGCACTCAACGCTGACATGACGGAATAAAACAAGGTATGCGCATTTGGTACGATGTATACAATTCCATTGCCACGCATGCCATCTGTGTTATCTTTACCGCACGCAATGCGATACTCAGCCTCGAGATCCTTCTCCAAGCTCAAGCCGGAGTAATGGGTTCGGATCTCTTGCAGCGCGAGTACAACCTCGGCGCGGACTTCGGCGCGCGTGTGACCTGAGTCTGAGCTGATGGCATCTTGGATTGAAGCAATGTGCTTCACGAGGTTTGATTGGAGCTTCTGGAATTGAGATTGGCGATAGCGAGCGTTTTGGGTACGACCGTCGATATTCGCGGCTAAGATGCGAGAGAGATCCATTTTGGAGGGGATAGAGGTTTGGTATGAGGATACTGGGATCTCGGGAATGAATATAGCATAAATGGACTAGGAATAGCTCGGACATAGTGACATCTCCGAGTCGGGATGTGGACATGTGGGGGAGTTGCCAAGCCCTAAGTCTGGGGTCTCGGGACTTCCTCTATACTTCATGTCTGACTCCATATTCTACGGCGTAGTCCATACTTGCTTCTCTCTTCTGAGTTCCTGCTTTTCACCTCTCATCATGGCGACCACAACAACGACCACCACCACCACCCAAACCCTCTCCATCCTCGCGGACTACGAAGTCCACCACAGCGGAAATGACCACCAAGACGAACATACCTCCCCCGTCACCGCTCCGCAACCCGCAGACTGGCCTATAGAACACCGTCGCATGCCTGCTTACCGTCCCACAAATCGCAATTTGCCTTTTGAGGAGAGGCCTGGGGGTAGTAATCCGGCGGAGATGGTGTTCATTCAGGTTATGTTGCACGGCGTGTGGCTTAATGCTGTTGGTACTCCCATATGTGATGTTTGGATGTGCTATTAACCATTTCCAGGCTGTATCTCGACTCTGGAGATTTACTGGGGGGAGAATCAATGATAAGATCTTTCATTATGACGTTGGTGGGGAGTGGTAGATCAGGCATGATTTTGGTTAATAATTGGAGTTCATCAGTTTGGAGTACAACGTGTTTTCACTTTTATCAGCTTATTTCAAGTAATTGAATAAGAAATAGGAGCGTGTTGAATGTCCTCGGGTTTGTTTTGATACATCATGAACACGTAAAACACATAAAACGCATATCGTCAACAAACTCACATCTACACATAGAAATTGAGTAAAGTCGAGAGAATAATAGCCGCAATATAATTGAGTTGCCCGTCCGTCAGTGTTCTTGACAAGCACAATACAGACATCTCTCCAAGGTAAAAGCAAAGAGAAGAGGCAAAGCGACGCAGCTGGAGAATCCACTCATTCATCAAGGAATCTAGCACAACTCCACACCACAGTCCTCACTCACATTGAGCAAGTGGCGTGCACACCTTCATGGCAAGCCACGAAGTGCAGATTCTCCAATCTACAAAAGTAAAAAGTGGGTGGTGAAAGGAAAAAGTGATACGTAAAAAAAGCTGTAGACATAAGAAGGCGTTTGATCCGTTTGCATAGGAATCAAAAGTTACGCTTGCCGTTTATTGCACTCATGTAAAACTCATAAGAGGGGGCTTAAATTCAAGTAAGCACACAGATTAAGTACTAGCACGAACACCAATACCGTCAACGACCTCCCCCAATCGTCCACCGTCAACCTCAATCTCCTCCGAAGGCTGAAGAACATACATCATCCGAGCCCACTGACCAGTCTTGACACCATTCTCATCAACGACATCGGGAGTAACGTTCCTCCAAGCATGATTCGTGCCCCGCTGCACAGCAACATCACCACGCTTAAGCAACCGCACTTCACCCGAATCAAGCACGAGCTCAACCTCGCCTTCGAGGACGACACCATAATCAAGAGACACGGTACGGTGCATTGGACTCATGGCTGCAGGTGGCATATCCACGATTCGGCAGACTGTCCCGCTTGATACGACGATGCCTGGTGGGCTTGTCAGGTAGTTGGAGTATTCCGTTATATCCAATTTGTTGTTCAATTGCGCGGGGAAGTGGTCGGATGTGTAAGCTAAGCTAAAGTCTGCGCCGTCTGGGATTCTTTGTACCGGCATTAACTCTGGGAGGTCGTTTGAGAAGATCGCTTTGCCGCTTTCATTGTGGGTGGTTATGAAGCGGTTGAGGGGGCGGATATTTTTGGGGGTTTCGTCCGGCATGGTTGAGGGAATTGAATTCAAGTGAGACAAAGTGAAATGAGAGTGTATCGATATCTATGAAAGCTTGCACTGGAATTGTGTCCCATCTATATCTTGTGCTTGCTCTCCCCGCATCGGGTTGTTGTCCACATCGGATAGATGTGGGAATTCGGACTCTAATTTCGGAGCCGAGGTCGCATAAAAGAGAATTAGTAGTTGACGAAGTGGCAACTAGCATTTTGGCTACGTATTGTTGCTACGGAGTATGTGTGGCCTGTATACAAGTCCGTTGACCTCGGAAGTATTACTCAATTGGGAATGATCTAATAACTAATAATACAACATGAAAATATATGCATTCATTCAATTCTATACTATATATGTTTAAACGCCTAAGCAGACGGAATAATAGGCAGAGTAACATAGTTCTCTGCAAGACCAAAGTGAATATGATTCTGGCCCTGGAAGCGCTCAACAGATCTGCAGAAACAAGAATTAGCCAAAATTACCCCACGAAAGAAGGAATACTAACCGGTCTTCAGGCGAGTTATGTTGGAAAATACCAGAACCCTGGGTATCACCACTACCAATCTCCAAAACAATCTTACCACCCTTCTCGACGACCACATTTGTCGGCCAAACCTCCACATCAACAGGATAGACCTCACCAGGAATCACAGGCTTGGCATCGGTTGAGTAATAATTCCGATGAGGCAGGTATTCCCGGTGCTTGGGGTTCTCGGGATCAACCTGTCTCATCGAAACACGCAACCAGCCCTTGCACAATGGCACGGGGTCACCTGCTGTACCGGTGTAGAAGACTTCGGTTCCAGCTGGTGAGATATACCGCAGTGTCACAAATAGATCCAGGTCCTGAGGTGTTTCGGAACCTGGGTTCGCGCTCATTGATACGTTCAAGTGTGCGACGATGTGGCCCGTGATTTCGGTTTCGGTCTCGAAGGCGTCAGTGGTGAATTGAACCAGCTGGGGATTTTCAAGGTTGCCAAGTGCCTGGTAAGAGATCTTTGTCGAGCGGGATTCCTTTGGTGGCGATGTGATGAGCCCGTTGTTCGAGGTGAGGTGGAACTTGGTATATTGCGTACGAGCAATCGGCCACTCCTGCTCGATACGACGAGGGAATGCCTTCTCAGCTTCGGCGTTGTTGTGTCCGACATCACCCTTGCGCAGAACCATATCAACCTTTGGCGCAGTGCCATCAGCCCAGCCCGCACGATCCTCGCCTTTGAGGAAAGCGTCGAGGAAACTGCGCTGCAGCTCGACTTCCTCTTTGTAATAGAATGGCAGATCATGACGGCCAGTAATGAAGCGGAGATACTTCAAGTCGGAACCTGCATGTGTATACCCCTCCACATTACCACGAAGATGAAGCAGAATTCCGCCCCAATTCGCAACAGATAACAACGGTACCTTGATATCAGACATACTATACTCCTTCGAGGCATAGTACAAATCATCGCGGAACCGATTGCTCACATTATCGACCGTCTGATCCTGTCGATTCCGCACAAGTTCCTCTTCAGGAAGATCACCCTCAATACTATCAGGACCCCAGTTCCTCGCTGCCCGTCCACCAAGTCCATACTGGTTACTGACGACCTGTCGATCCCACCAGAATTTGATGAACTTGTTCGACAGGATTCCGCCATGGCGACATCTATCCCGGTAATAATCGGACATTCCCTCCCAGGGAATAATGCACGAGAGACCCTTCGGCTGACGCGCTGCGACTCGCCATTGACTACCGGCGTAGTAGCTGATTCCAAGGAGTCCGACTTTGCCGCTGGACCAAGGCTGCTCGGCAGCCCATTCGACTACGTCGAAGAAGGCTTCACTTGTGCCTCGCGACATCGTGTCCAGCTTGCCCATTGACTGGCCTGTGCCGCGCTCGTCGGCGCGAACAACGGCGTAGCCGTTGCTAGTCCAGAATTTTGGGTCGGGGGTTTCCCAAGCTGAGTGCTCAGAGCGTTGCTCTGGGTTAACCTCGCTGAAGCTTTGGGGGTGGAAGCTGGGGTTGTTAGTATGGGTCTTGTATTAAGTGGTGTGGTGCTTACGCTTCATAGCTGATGTCTTTGCCGTACGGCCCGTACGTGACGAGGACAGGGACCTTCTCTGAGGTCTTGGGTCTGTAGACATTGCATCGGACGAGACCTGATTCATCCTTGAGTGGGATGGTGAGGTTCTGCTCGAAGATGTAGGAGAACGAGGTCTCGTCGCGGGTTGCGATGTCTCTAATCTGGTTTGGCATTTCGTCCAAAAGGGAATAGTCAATTGTAAGAGTGGAAACAAAGTAAAATAACCACATGAGTTTCTATGAGTTCATATAAGCGTGTCGGTCTCCTCCCCGATGTGGAGCCGAAATGGGCATCCGAGAGATGCGCAACGACCAAAGTCCCGAACCAGAGGAATAGGTCATAAATAACACTCTGGCCTCCGGTGTTCGACTGTTGTCTCAAAGAGTTATCGTCATGACGTTCAAGGATTTGAGGGATACACAAGGCCTCCGCGTCTTGATCGTTGGCGCTGGCATTGGCGGTCTAACCGCTGCCATTGCATTGAGACAACAAGGACATCGTGTGGAATTGTTTGAACGTTCTCGCTTTGCAAATGAGGTCGGAGCTGCGATTCACTTGTCGCCTAATGCGAATGGTGTCTTGCGCCGACTGGGGATTTATGCGGAGGAATTCGGTGCTGTAGAGGCAGAACAGGTGAGACGCAGATGTAAACCTCGGTATGGGGACATTGACTGATATATGCAGCTACGCGAATACACTCCAGCTGGAGAGGAAGTGCATGTTACAAACCTCAAGCAACATGCAGCAATGTGGAGACATGTAAGCCCTAATTCATCGCCATCTCCATCTATACAACTAACAAATCCAGCGCTGGCTCCTCGTACACCGTGCACACTTCCACGAAGGACTCAAGAAGTTCGCCCAAGCACCAGGGAAAGGAACACCAGCTCTCCTCCACACAGCCAGCAAAGTCGTCGACATCAACTCTCACGAAGCAACAGTTACCCTGGAAAACGGCGATGTCATCAAAGGCGACGTGCTCATCGGTGCCGATGGCGTACACTCCCTAACCCGGAGTAAAATCTCCAAGACACAACCCTTCAGCTCTGGCAAGAATGCCTTCCGCTTTTTAATGAGCCGTCAAGAGGCCCTGGATGACCCAGAAACGAAGAGCATCGCGCAAGACTTCGGCGCAGTCGATATGTGGGACGCCGAAGAGCGACGCGTGGTGATCTACCCATGTTCCAACAATGAATTGTTGAATTTCGTCTGTATACATCCGGATACTGATACGACCATTGATACCACCGGTGATTCCTATAATCAGAATATTGGAAAAGACGCCTTGTTGGATGTTTATAAGCACTTTAACCCGCAGGTGCGCAAGTTGCTGGCCAAGGCTGATCCGCAGACTTTGAAGTTGTGGCCGTTGCTTGATATGGAGACGCTTCCTACGTGGGTTGAGGCACGCTTGGCTATTCTTGGTGATGCTGCTCATCCTTTCTTGCCTTATCGGGCTTCTGGTGGCGCTATGGCCATTGAGGATGCTGTTTCTTTGGCTGTTGTGCTTCCTGGGGATATTGAAAAGGATCAGGTGGCCGAGAGGTTGAAGGTTTATGAGAAGGCGAGGTTTGAGCGTGCTACGACTATTCAGGAGATGACTCGTCAGTCGAGTAAGCATATTTCTCCAGAGGCTGGTAAGTTTTCCCTTGAATATCTATCAGAGCATAACTAAAAGTGTTAGCAATGGGCATGGTGGTTTACATCTACGGCCATGACGAATTCGACCACTCCGCCCAAGTCTTGCGCAAGCATCTCTGGTCCCAGAACCCACACATGTACTGGCGTCAGCCTATCGTCTTCGGTCCTATGCCCGGTCCCCGACAGGACTGGATGGGCCGTGACAGAGCGCTCAAGTCAACCCAGTCAACCTTCACAACTGCTTCTATAAAATTCAAGACCAGCCGCACTCTCCTGCAGAACCTGTTTCCGACTGACCGGTATAGATTTATCTCACCCAGCACTGTGGCCAGAGCGAGTTTCTCGCAGACTACCCTTGGCGGTATGGACTGGCTGGGCGGCGGTGGATATCGCCATATTGGACTTTATATCCACGGTGTGCAGTATACCAAGGAAGATGGTACCGTGCTGAAGGGAACATATATGCCTATTCTGTTTGAGAATCTGGCTGATCCTATTGTTTCTGGGCGGGAAGAGTTGGGCATGCCCAAGCTTTATACTGCTATCGATGTTCATCAGCGGAACGAATCTTACCGACTACAGACTAGTTGGCAGGGGGCTGTGTGGGGTCATTTCGAGTTGGAAAGTTTGCAGGATCAGGATCCTTCGGCTGATGCTGGGACTATTGGGGGCGAGGCTGATGACGGTATCCTGGTTCATCGGTATATGCCAAAGATTGGCAAGGAGTACAAGGGTCAGGCTGAGGCTGAGTATCCTATCTTTGTGCCTCATGCTGCTGAGTCCAAGGTTGTTCCGTCCAGAGTGACGCGGTTGCAGCGGACCAAAAAGGCAAAAGTCGAGATCCAAGGTCTTGATTGGGATGCCTTGCCAACACTTCACCATGTTGTTTCTCGGCTAGGTGAGATTCCCGTGGATGAGATCATCGATGCCAAGGTTGTTAGTGGAGTTGGAGTTCCTGATGTATCCTCGGCTATGCGCATTGAATAGCATATTTAGTCTCCCAATTTGCATATATCGGATGATCAAGGTACTCGGCAAGTCGTCGGCAACTTTCCGCCCATAGAGTTCATCTGCCCACCCTTTCATAGATAGACGGTGGTATTCAGCGTATCCGGCATATCCGCAGCCATAGCCACGAGTCAGGCACAAAGATACGGGACTCTGGCACATGTCGTTTGAGGCTTGAGCAGTCTAGGCGGGGTAGACATAAAGCCACTGACCTCCTGAACAGGCGCCATGCTTGATCAGCCGTTAGGGTTGAGCCGGGAGCCAATCTGAAACGTTAGCACTAATGCAGGCCTCTTGAAAGGGGAAGAAAACCGTTCACCTACCGGGAAGTACCGTGTCGGACCGAAGAGGCTTCTCGCTCTGGCGGGGGCATATCATATGCAAAGATCATACTTGTGTCGATCCGTGCGTGTGCGGCGAAATGCAGGTCAGCACGGCAAGTTGACAGCACAGCCTTGGTGTCATAGTTCGAGGCTAGAGCGGGATTATCAGACAATGTTGGTACTTTTGGACCTTAACGGTAATCACGGACTGTCCCACCAGAAAGTTGTGAAGGAGACCAGTAAGAGACGAGTAAAAGCCGGGTATCCTAGGATTAGACATTAGCTGTGTATGTACATGGATGTAAGTGTAGAGACTAAGTGGAGATATGTAAGGGAGTGGAAGAGGAAGAGAGCTCGGCTTTACTCATCCACTTCCTTTCACCTCTCTCTCTTTCTCTCTTTCTCTTTCTCCCTCTCTCTATTCCTCTATCCCTCTATCTCTCCCTCCCTCCCTCCCACTATGCGTATCACCGTTAGCGTCATCCGTCCCGACGCGGACTCGGACATTATCAACCTAGAAGTCGGTGGTGACATGACGATCGAGCTATTGAAAGCCATTGTCGAAAGCGAAACCGCCATCCCGCCACAAGCCCAACAAATTGTCTACAACAACCAGCTCCTCGGAAACCCCTCACAAACCCTCGACCAAGTGGGCATTGCTGAAGGCGACATGCTAGGCGTCCACGTCACCCTCCGTCCTCCGCAACAACCACGACCCTCCCCCTCTGCCTCCTCCGTCGCTCCGCGTCAGGCCCCACCCCGCCCGGGCATGCAAGACCCAGAAACAATTCGCCTACACATCCTGGGTGATCCCCGCGTGCGCGAAGCCGTCCGCAGGCAGAATCCCGAGCTGTCTGACGCGGCAGATAACGCTCAGCGGTTCCGCGAGGTCCTCATGAGGCAGCAGCAGAGAGAGGCACAGCTGGAAGCAGAGAAGGAAGCTCGCATCGCCATGCTCAATGCTGATCCTTTCAACCCGGATAACCAGAAGGAAATTGAGGAGATTATTCGCCAGAATGCCGTCACGGAGAACCTGCACAACGCCATGGAGCATCATCCCGAGTGTATGTTTACCCCACATCGTTGCCCGCACCACCAAAGCTGGAACCAAGCTAACAAAATACAGCCTTTGGCCGCGTTACTATGCTCTACATCCCCGTTGAAGTAAATGGTCACCGCCTAAATGCGTTCGTCGACTCCGGCGCCCAGGTCACAATCATGTCGCCCGAATGTGCAACAGCCTGCAACATCATGCGGCTAGTCGACCGCCGCTACGGCGGTATCGCCAAGGGAGTCGGCACCGCGCCGATCCTCGGCCGCGTCCACTCGGCCCAGATTCGCATCGGCGAGATGTTCCTCCCCTGCTCGTTCACCGTGATGGAGGGTAAGCAGATCGATCTGCTTCTCGGGTTGGACATGCTCCGCCGACACCAGGCCTGTATTGATCTCAATCGGGGCGCCCTCGTCATCCAGGATCAGGCTGTGCCGTTCCTAGGCGAGGCTGATATTCCGCGTCACCTGACTGAGGAGTTTGAGGCTGAGCCTACGGTCAAAGGGGCAGATGGAGCGGAAGTCGGAGCTAGAACTGGAGCTGTTACCCATAAAGCGGGTGGCGAGGAAGGAGGCAATACTAGCACTACTGCCCCTGCACCAGCGCCAGCTTCATCCCAACCGCGAATCAATATCCGGCCTGCGCCTGCACCGCCTGCGTCGCGCTGGCCGCAAGACTCTATTGCCAAAATCACCGAGCTGGGCTTCACACGTGAAGAAGCTGTTCGGGCGCTTGACATGGCGAATGGAAACCTGGACCATGCGATCGGGTTTTTGATCTAGAGTTGCATTTCATAGTGGCGTTGGGATGGGGTTGGCTTAGGACTTGTATTAGCGATTTTCGATCGAGCACTTTAATGATGTGTACGATTAGCATCACCTATCACATGGATGGTATCTCTATTTAAGAATCTAGTAATAAGTGTAGGTCAGTAAGTAAGTGTTTCTACAGAAGCCGTAGCTTATTCCCGTTTATTCTTCTGGAGTCTCCCCCGTAACCGGAACACCATATCCAAAGTCATACAAGCCCCTACGTAAGAGTCAGCTCAACAGTCACCTACAAAACAGTACATATGTCGATGTCGATGTAGATGTATAGTATAACTCACCCAACGCCACATAAGGTCCATACAGAGTCGTAATCTGCCATTTCTGGTCCGTCGACCGATCTGTCCAGCTCCACACGTCCACTAGACATGTCAGAGATGTGAGGAAGGCTTGGACGCCGAAGACGAGGAGGTGGACTGGGATGAGGGGGTGATCTGGTTGATATTGAAATTAGTTTCTTTTCTCGAGAGTGATGCTTTGCTTGCTTCCAATGTTTCGTCTTCCGGTGTTCCATGGGGCTGGGGTTATGATTTGCCCGATGGGCTGACATGATATCTGCATTGGCTTGACAGGTGACGCCGACAGTGGCATTGATATGGTGGTATATCTGGTGCGATATAGGTGTATTGGATGGAATTGAAATGTCCCATTTGGAATGGGTATACGGGGTATAGGGGTAGTAGATATACCTGTCAACAACCCCCGCACAGCCCAAATCGACGCGGGAACATGGTATATCAGTTCCATCCAGATGAAGACTGTGAACCAGGTGGGAGCGGGATCCTCGAAGAATTTGTCATGGTAGGTGTCTATGTAGAATTGGCGGAGGGTGTGAGAGAAGTTGGTTTGGAGGGAGGTTGGTTGCAGGGGGACTGTGTCGACTACTGTCAAGTGTCAAGTGCCGGTGTGTTAGCGCTGTGATGTCAATTGAAAGGAATGTGGATTGTATCCACTAGACTCGACAGGTAGCGTGAGAACGGAGACACGGAGACACGGGACGGGATGGGAACGGGATGGGATGGGATAGTGTTGGGACATACGGAAGATGATGGGGATGTGGGTTACGAAGAACAGCAGATAGGCTGTGTCGCGTTTGAGCATGGTGAAATGGTGAAAGATAGCCCGTTCGTGGTCAAGTGCTGGATCATATGCAGAAAGAAAGAAAACAAAGGAAAGAGATATCTTGTCAGGTGACCTATAGATCGGAGTGCAACTAAGAACGCAACTTACGCATCTTTGCTTTTTCCCGGTGGGACCAGGAACTAACTTAGGCATTCCCGAGTCCAAGGTACCTAAGGAACCTTCCAAGGTTCCAAAAGGATACCCACTCGCCACTTGTGGAGATTTAACGCTCTCTCCATACTCCTGGATCTAAATTACGTAGAGCCTCACACCGCTGCTTCTCATTTTTGGGTATCTAGGCCATCTGGCAAGGTGGCCTGACTGATTCCTCGCTGGAAATACTCTCCCCGAGGGAATTATGACATTTTCTATAGCATGCACCATCTACCGGCCCGATCCCTGCTCCAAGGACCTTAGAGGAGAGAGCCCAAATTACATCAGGATAAGGTATGCAGCATGGGATAGGTCTGAAAGAAAGCAGACCGCAACATCCGGCCAATGGCACAAGCTGATTCGAACTTGCCGTTCCCTTTACGCCGAGGCAAAGATGAACCCACTGCATGCCTTATCTGGATAATTGAAGCGGTGAATTGAGAGAAGGGGTCGGATCACTCCGGGATTTGTGTGTTTGAGGTATGATCTAGGGGGTTTAGGTTGGGAATTAGATTGATCGCTTCGATCTTGACCGCTGTTTAGTATATAAGTCTCCATCTACTTCAACTTACTTGATGCTTTAATCTACATCTACATCTACATCTACATCTATACCTATATTTGATCTATACTTGACTACACAATGCCGTCTTCAGCCCCCCTTCGCGAAAAGAAAAAGGAACCCCCAATCAGTTACGACATCAACATCCCCTACGTGGATGTAGAGAAACAATCCAAAATCAACACCAAATACCCCCAATACCTACCCAGCTGGGATCCAATCTTCTTTGACCCCCTAACACCATTCGAATACAACGACCCAGCCCTGCGCGCAAACAAGAACAAGCGCAACCTCCTCAATGAAGCCTCCAAAATAACTCACATCCAACCAAACATCGGCTCAGTCATTGAAGGCGTCCAACTCTCCTCCCTGACTAGCGCCGGAAGAGACGAACTCGCCCTCCTCATCGCCGAGCGTAAAGTCGTCGCCTTCCCAGAGCAGGATCTCATCGATGCCGGCCCAGACGCTCAAGAGGAATTCATGCGCCATTTTGGTAAACCGAATTACCAGCCTGTTTCTGGTTCTATGACTGATCACCCTGCTTTCCATATTATTCACCGTGATGGCAATCGCGAGGAGATTTCCCGCTTCCTTGAGCAGAGGACTACTACGACTCTCTGGCATCAGGATGTCAGTTATGAAATTCAGCCTCCCGGCTATGTCATGTTGGGTCTTCTGCAAGGTCCTGAGGTTGGTGGGGATACTGTCTTTGCTGCGACGGATATGGCGTATAAGCGGCTTTCGCCTACGTTCACCAGTTTCTTGGATTCGTTGAAGGTTACGCATACTTCTAGCAAGATGATTAATCATACGCGTCTTGCTGGTGGTCTTGTTCGGAAGGATGCTGTTGATACTGTCCATCCGCTTGTGCGGGTTCATCCAGTTACTGGGGAGAAGTGTTTGTTTTTGAATGGGGAGTTTATTACGAGGATTCAGGGGCTGAAGGATTCCGAGATGAAGTGGCTGTTGGATTTCCTCATGAATCATTTGGTGACTGGGCATGATTTCCAGGCTAGGGTGAGGTGGCAGCCCAGGACTATTGTTATGTTTGACAATCGGTCGACTATTCGTGAGTTACCCTTGGACAATATGTCGACCACATTGCTAACTATGATTTAGACTCCGCTATTGTTGACTACTTGGACGATGACTATGGTGCCAAAGCTCGTCATATTTTCCGTCTCATTGCGCTCGCTGAGAAGCCAATCCCCGTTTACGAGGATTTCTCTGAATAGACTCCAGATTTGTTTCATAGAGGCGTTAATAGATTAATGGGTAATTTCGGATGCACTCCACTGGCTTGTAGCTGTATAGCATTGCTCTATGGACTAACATTTGTGTTCGTTTTCATTACCATCCCACGCCTAGAGTACAAAGTGAAACACCACGAAAACAGAAAAAGAACTATGTCAAATCATATTGATCCTCAGATCATCTGCAGCCAATAATTGCCTGTATCACCGCAGAATTTCGTCAATCCGCGACCGCAACTCAATAGCCGTGGTCAACTCCTCCTGGCTGAGGACATTACTGCCCTGTTGCAGGATCAACAACATCTCTGAAATCCGCTCGGCAACCACATCCGATCCGAATACCATACCGCCCAGGCGCACGGTCTCTTGGAACCAGCCAGTCAGCAGGTACAAGAGATCGCTGGCGATATACCGCCGGTTGGCGCCGTGGAAAGGCGCCTCGTCGGTGTAGTACATGGTCTCCAGGACGGCGTACAAGGACTCGTGCGCCACGCCAAGATCCAAAAAGAGATCCACGACCCAGGTGGCTGGGCCGACGTTCCTTTGGAATTCGAGTGCATAGCGCTCGAGCATGGGGACCAGGTCGCGCACCGGGAACACGGTTTCGGACATGCGTAAGCGACTTCCGAGGCTGCGAACTTTGTCGATCACCGCTTCGTAAGGTTGCGGTGAGCCACTGCGGGTGGTTGCGTCATGCACTGTCTGGATCAAGTGTTGCCATGTTGACTTGATGTCGGCGGCGTTTCGGTGGTCGGCAAAGTAGAAGATCTGAAGACAGATGTCGTGGTAGCCAGCAGTGTCGGCGAATTCATTGAAGAGCTAGGATTGTTAGTTGGAATCGTCAAGTTAGAAAAAGTGACTTACTGTGCTAATATCCATCACTGGTCCATCCACCTCGCGCAGCACATCGGCTTTGCGATCCGGGTTAATTCGCTCATCGTCCTTCAGTCTTTGCAGGAGATCGTCTTGGATATTAGCCACGTCAATGAGGTTGGAGATCTCCTGCAGCAATCGTTGCCGTGCTTGACGTCCTACATCGGCCGTGAAAATGGAAGCGTTGGCGCGTGCTTGGCCGAGGTACTCGATCCGACGGCTCAATGGGAGAGCAAAAGCGCTATTCGCCAAATCGAACTGCACTTGAGCGGTCTCGAAGAACCTTTGAGACTGAGAGTAGAATCGCCACAGAAGATCAGCATGGTCGAGATCGTCAGCCGACTTGCGCTGGAGGTAGGTGACCACGAAATGTGACTGTGTCGACAGCAATCGGTCGCTCCAGCCCTGCTCGAGGTACCAATCGTACAAACTCGTCAAAAAGACCTCATCTGTCGAGCCGGAAATCACGCCATAAGCTTCATTTTGGCGTTTGGCAACGGTAGTCAGCTGGCCATCGATAAATCCGGGATCAGATGCAGCCAGGGTATCAACTGCAAGGACAATCTTGAACACAAGGTCGTAACATTGCTTGCGGAAGTAGAAGTACTCCTTGCGGGTATCCTTGTAATGAGTGAGTTGGGTCCAGGATCCAAGGGATAGGGTTATGGCACAGGGGGTGCGTACCTGTTCGGGGCGCTGGTCCATGATCCAGGAGAGGGCAAGGTTGGATTTATCGGAGCGGCCGGCCACATTGAGTGCAAGTTGAATGGCGCCTGTAAAGTTAGCGTTGAACAACAGAGATGTGAATCAATTTACCTGCAAAAAACTGGTTGGAAATGAAGTTGTCCACTGCCGAGACCAGATAATCCATGGGGAGGTTCTCGGCTACCTGTTGGAAGAGATGAAGACTGTCATTGAGTAGGTTGCGGCCCAGTTCCGTGTTGGCACCGGCTTCAGGGGCACGCTTGAGCAACTCCTGTGCCTTGAAGATCACAACGTCGTCGGCGCTGCAGAAGCTGCCACATCGTCGGCGGAGCGCATCAGCCACGGTCTCAACATTGGAGCCCTTGGCAATGTTGCGGTTGACAATGGCCTTGACCAACTCCTTGGCAATGTCATGGCCCTTACTGGAACTGAATAGTTCTTCAAATGTGAGCTGAAGGAACTTTTCTTTCGACTCCGCGGGCAGAGTTGCCACAATCTCATCAACACGCTCATCGAACAACACCAGTACAAATGAGATGCCCTCAATTGTGTGGGTCACCAGCTGAACAAGGGAGTGTAAAGCGCGGTGCTCGGCCTGCAGTGCGGTCTCTTCTTGCTTGGTAGATACTCGGGCAAGAGCCTCGGGTCCGCTGAGTCCCTCGATGAAAGTCTTATTGACTTTAAAGAATGCTTGAAGGGCACTGAGATCATGTTGGATAGTCTGCAACTTGGCAGAGCTGACACCCGCTGAAACAGTCTGCGCACCATTGGGTCCCTTGCCCACCTTGGCGATTTCCTTCTTCCAGATGGATCGCAACAGACGCGTAATGTACAATCCGATGCCAGTGTGTCGTGGGGATGGCTGCACCGTATCAATGGCAGCTGTCGAGTTATCTGCCACAGAATTCTCATTCACAGTAGGCCGGCCACCGTATTCAATAAACACCTTGCGAGCGTACTCTAAAACATCCGGGTCGTTGATACGGGTTAGTCTTTGGTCAGGAGAAATTTCCACACCTTGGCCACAAGCCACTGCCAAAGCTGTCGCCAGCGCCTCACTCCGGCCATATGTGCGAATGAAGTTCTTGATCTCGCCCGCTAAGCCTTCGTCAGAGTTACCGCCGCTGCGGACCAATGAAGCAAAGATATCCACGAGACGACGCCGGCGAATGAGATGAACTCCACCGTTAGTCAAAATGGCAATCTCTGCAGCCGGGTGGTCGAATTGAACAGCCAGCTCATTGGCAACAGAAGAAGGCGCCGAAACAAGTCCGATATCCTCTGCCTTGCCTCCCAGATCGAGCATGATAGCTGATTCAGCAGTCTTACCGGCACCCGCATTTTCCTGGGAGCGAGCGACTCGGCCAGCGTCAGGAGTAGAGATGAAAAGGCTATCCATCTTTTGCAATGGATCCTTGCTGGTGAAACAGAAGAAATAACCCGGGGAGAAGCGTTCGGCAAGGCGAGTAGGAGAAAGCGTGTTGATCGGACCAGGAAGGGGAGCAACCCTAAAAGGTGAGTCTGGGGCAAGATCAATGGGGGGTGTCTTCACATGCAGCGCCTGCATGCTCGTGGGAGGGCCGGACTGTGAAGGAGCCCAGTTGTATGAGTTGGTTGCACTGAGATAGATACGGTAACCTGTCGCGGTTGTTGCAACCAGGTGGTAACGCGATGCCTCTGTTTTTGGCACAGGGCTGATCGAAACAATTCTGACTCTGGGATTAAGCGCCTCGTTGGAGGTGATGATGTGACCAATGTTGGAGTAGATATCCTGAGTGCGCTTGGTGATTGCAAGGGACAAAGAGCCATCAGATCCCATGTAGAAGACGCGAATTGTAGACGTAGAGGAAAGCGTGTAAAGAAGGCTTCGGCTGTCATCAACAACCATCTGTGTGACAAACTCGGATGAAGCTTGCGCAAGGTTCGTGATGCTCATTGATGGCCTGAAAGCTGACAGCCGTGAGCTTGTGTGGTTGACTCTGCCGCAGCGGCCCTGGAACCACCGTTCCTCTTGCTGGTAGGTGACCTCGTGCACATCGTTATCAGATGATCCACCGAAGAAAATGCGACCACTTGATGGGGAAGCTGCAAACACATTGATATCTAGACCTCGGACCGAGACGGTCATGCCAGTTTGGAAGAGGGAGACGCTTCCGCTGCCACTCGGCGTAGTCTCATAACCCATACCCAGCAAAATCACATCCGCGGTCGTCGAAACCACAAGCAAATGAGTAATTGCCGGCAAGAACACTCCCGGACGTGGCTTGGTCAGCTTGACAGCATTGATACTGTTTGGTTGGTCCTCAAATCCCACCAATGTCGGGTTTGGGTGTGTGAAATCCCAAATGTACAGTGCGTTGTCAATGGCCACCCACGCGTGATTTAGCTCGGCAAACAAACCCATGCTGGTCGAAACTTGTGCGCGGTTGTATTGATCGAAGATCTGATCGGGGATGTCGTACATCTTGACTTTTTGGAATGGCGCCCATGATGAAGCTGCGGGAATGTTGTACTCGGAGGAAGAGCCCTCTGTCTTTGGTCAGTTCTGCGAAAGCCTGGAAACTTGAAATCTTACGTGATAGATAGCTGTCGAGGTCTGGGTAACGCGATTCGCTTTGCAGGCTGTTATTAATTGTTCGCGCCCCGCGTTCCTCGGTACTCAAGGTCTGATTTTTGGTCTGCGATGCTGCCGGGGGGAGCTTCGGCATAGGGGTCTGAGGGGTCTGTATTTGCGGCGATTTTGCCTGGAGGGTTTGAGACACTGGCGCCGGGGTCTGGAAGTACGTCCCAGGAAGGGGTTTTTGCGGTGTTGCCGGAGGAAGATTTGTTGGAAGTGACGGGTACGCCATGGTGGAATAACAGAAGCGAGGGAGAATTCCCCGCTAGAAATGATAGGGAAGCTGCAGGATGTGTCGAATGGTGAATCACAAAGAGAAATAACAGGTAGAGAGAAGACGATGAGGAAGGGGAGGAGAGATTGGATCATCCAAGGTCTTTGCGAAAAGAGAGTCAACACTGAGAGCGGTGCACGGACCAATCTGGGATCTTCCGCCTTTTGTTTGAACTTCAACTATTGACTGCTTTGCTCTCTACAATCAATCAACAATGTTTCAATCACTTCGAGTTTCTGCGCGTATTCCTGCTCGTCTGGTACGATGGAATTCTACTGCCACTCCGGTTCTACCGCCATTGATGGCTACCTTGCGGACTGATCTTAAAACTGCCATGAGAGCAAAGGATACCACTAGGTAGGTATTCTTCTGCAATTGGTCGAATTAAGCTTATGAACAGACTGAATGTGCTTCGCGCTTTGATTTCGGAGACCAACAATGCCGCCAAAACCTCCTCCCCCATTCAGACCGATATCCAACTCTTGTCGCTCATTCGGAAACGCTTGAATGCGACCAAGGATGCGGCCAAGGAGTTTGAAGCTGCTGAGCGCCCCGACTTGAAGGAAAAGGAGGATGCACAAGCTGTCGTGTTGGAGGAATACGCTGGTCAGGTCGTGACAGTGCCGACTGCCGAGATCACCGAGGCGATTGTCAATCAGATCAACGCATTGAAAGCCGCCGGCGAAAAGGTCAACCCCGGGCTCCTCTTCAAAGCTCTGTTTGCCCAAGACGGACCCTTGACTGGCAAGCCAGTCGACCGCAAAGAGGTGGGTGCTGAGATCCAGAAGGCACTTAAAGAACTCTCTTGAGATTACATCTACATTTACCATTGTATATTAGTGTCACAATAGCCTAGGAGGCAATCAATTCAGTATGGAAGGATACGAAAGACATTCCAACGCCAACCAAACGCCAGGTTAACAGATCATGAGTAGAAAACGGCCGCACCTCCAAGCGAGGTCATCAGGACACCCAACCACCACCAACGCTTTGGATTAATCAACTCTTCTCGGCTGATCAAACTGAATCCAGATTTGGTCGACAAGTCACGTTTTCCTTTGCCAGTCGGTGTTGGGTTCAATGTGGTGGTGGGCAGCATCTTTGGTGGCCGGTAGGCAAGGAACATGGGGTGAAGAAGCGAACCATCGGCCTTTTTCAAGTCGAGTCGTTGAATCTTGTGGTATTTGTCCACTCCAGTGGAGAATGACTATACAGAGTTAGAGTAAATTGACCACAGAAAGGGAGATATGTACTTTGAAGTGCTCGGTGGTATTGTATCGCGTGTATAGACCAACCGCTTGGCGACAGGGATCAGACAAGAGCTGGCGACCATCGACGGCAATTGGGGTCAGGATTAAAGAACCATCGGCAGATATTTCAAACGACCCGTGTTGCCATTGCATGATTCCTTTCGGACATGATGGATCGGCAGCTGTTTTGCGTCAGTACTATCCAGTGATCTATATGGAAGAACTCACGATTTGAGATTGCGCGGTAGTATGCTTCCTCGTAATGGCCTTGGTCGTCAAACGAGTATGAAATGCCAGTCAAATTCGGTTCCAGCAACTTGTCCTTGAGCGGATCGTAGAATCCCTGCGCGTGTTAGTCTCATTTGTTGTGAATGTGCACAACACATACTGGTCCAGTAATAACTTCATGAGATTTGGTGGTCCATGTTCCAACCAAATCACTTGCTGTAGCTGCCCAGGCAGCTGTAGCCAACAAACTCCAAATCAAAAACATCTTGGTTGACGAAGGAAAGTTGGCAGTTGGAAGGTATTTGAGGCGCCCTTCACCCTAGATGCCCTTGATGCCTTGGGTCCCACATACCTTATCATTATCAGGAATGGACTCCCCCTCAACAACCTCATGGCTCTTCAATCCGCAAAGCGCGAACTACGCAAAAGTATGCGATCGACTCTTTTGAGTCTTTCGGCTGCTTCTATAAATCAACAATGTCAGATTTGTTGTTTCTATGATGTTCCCTACTGACCTGTCGCAGCTAGAACCGCCACGACCAAATTCCTCTCGCTGGCCGAGTACCAGAACGCGAACAGTATTGCTGTCTACTTGTCCATGCCTACTGGAGAGCTGTCTACTACGGGAATTGTACGAGATGCTCTACAGAGTGGCAAACAAGTCTATATCCCATACATTCACACCCAAGACAAGACCTCCGTCATGGACATGTTCGCGCTCGGATCCATGGCCGAGTTTGAGTCATTACAACCGGACAAATGGGGGATCCCATCGCTTCAGGCTACGCAAATTGAAGGTCGCCAGAATGGTTTGACGCAAGGATTGGATTTGATTGTAATGCCGGGCATGGCCTTTGACCATGGGTTTCGGCGACTTGGTCATGGTAAAGGATATTATGATCATTTTCTAACGCGATACTCAAATTTGGCCAGAAAAATGCCATTCCTTGGTAAGAAATCCCAGAAACAATCCCTTTAGCCCCGACTGAACTCCATGGTAGTTGCCCTTTCTCTGCAAGATCAATTGCTCTCTGAAGATATTCCCGTGGTGGAGCATGACTGGCTGATAGATGCGATCGTGGTTGGTGATGGTGGATATCTGGATCGCAGGGTGTAGCGCAAATCGAAATAGAAAGTAAAAAGCGAAAAATCAAACGGCTTGAATGAGCGAGACATTGTCGCCTTTGAGGAGGATCTGGCCTATTGTGGAGTTAGCTGTATTCTGTAGTTGGACTCGGGCATCCATACCTAATGGCCTGCGCTTCTCCTCCTCTGTCTTGGTGGCAAGTCGCACCTCCACGGCATCATCGATGACCAGGTTCATAAACTCATCGAACCCCTAGTGGCTGTTAGCACGAGCAATCAAGCGCGTCGTTGAAAGTACATACCCGGACCTTCCCCTCTATCCGGAATGCTAGCTGCTCATACAGCCAGACAGAGACAGTGTTGCGCTTCTGCAGCAGGCTGAAAATAAAGTGAATTGGCGCCAACAACGTCTTGCGGGGAGCCATGATGGGTGTGTTGAGGTTGAGAGCTGGGGAGAAACGAACCAAAATGAGAAAGCTCTGCGTCCCGTGATTTGATTACAGTAATACCAATACACGTCACGAACACCATCCCACCTTCTCCTCCAAGTCACATCTTCCCCCCTGTCTCTTTACACTTCTCCCCATTGCTGAGCCTCGTTTTACTGTTTTTTCAATATGGCCAGCAAGGAAGCCGGGCAGGCATTCGCCCCGGTCCTGGCGGCCGTCGCGACAATGCAAGGGAATGTGCCTAGGTCTGAGAAGACTCAGGCCCATGAATTCCTAGAGAAGTTCCAGAAATCGGTATGCCAGTCCGCTACATTGAGGGGCAAGATTTGCTGACTCTGGGAATAGATTGAGGCCTGGACAACAACCCACGCTTTGTTACAGTCCCCCGATGTCCCGGTCGAGGCCAAACTGTTTGCCGCGACTACACTGAAAGGAAAGGTATGTTTACCGCGATGGTGGATGCTGGCTTTCCCTAACAACTGCGCAGATCATTTTCGATCTTGATCAACTACCCCCCGATGCGGTTGTGGCGCTCCGAGACTCCGTCCTGAATCTGTTGGTGGCATTTGCGTCGGGCCCGCGGCCCATCCAGACCCAGCTATGCGTGTGTTTGGCCAGTTTGGCGATCCAGATGGTCGCGTGGAAGGATGTTCTGGCGGTGGTTGGGTCAGCGTTGGGAAGCAGCGCCGGAGACTGCGTGCTGGAGTTCCTGAAAATCTTGCCTGAGGAAGTCACCGAGGGTCGCAAGATTAACCTCAGCGTATGTGTTTAAGTGGTGTTGACAAAGGATAAGCTGACGCTTGCAACAGGAGGATGAATTGCTTGGAAGAACCAAGGAGTTGCTGGAAGACAATGCGGAGCAGGTCATGCAGCTAATGATTCAATACTCTCAATCATCGCGTGAGTTTAGATTCTTGCATCAGTGGAGGATCAAGGCATAACTAATGTATACAGCTGACGCCGCAACCAACCCCCGTCTTCTCGACTGCATCACTTCATGGCTACGTGAAATTCCCGCCGCCAAGGTCGTTGAGTCACCCCTCATGGACGTCATCCTCAAGGCCCTCGACAACGATCGTTCTTTCGACGCCGGTGTTGACTGTGTTTGCACGCTTTACCGCGACACCAAGGATGTCGACGAGTCGCTTCCCGTCATTCAAGCGCTCTACCCGCGACTGATGGCTCTTCGCCCCAAGATTGCCGAAACTGCCGAGGCTGAGGATTTGGAGGCATTCAAAGGTGTCACAAGAATGTTTGCCGAGGCTGGAGAAGCTTGGGTTGTGCTTGTTGCGCGTCTTCCAGGTGAATTCCGTGGTCTCGTGGAGGCCCTACTTGAATGCTGTGCTCGGGACTGGGAGCGTGATGCAGTCTCTCTGACCTTCATTTTCTGGTACGAACTCAAGCAATACATCACCCTGGAGCGCTACAATGATGCCCGTGTCAGCTTCCAGGACATCTTCTCGCAACTGGTGGATATTATGGTCAAGCACTTGGAGTACCCCAGCCCAGAGGACGGCGAGACCGACTTGTTTGGCGGAGATCGCGAGCAGGAAGAAAAGTTCCGTCAGTTCCGTCATGCCATGGGTGATGTTCTCAAGGACTGCTGTGCCGTCGTTGGTGTGACCAACTGTCTCGGTAAGATCTACCAGCTGATCCAGCAGTGGGTAGCCAAGTATGCGTCACAGGCCAGCAACGAGCATGTTCCTCACTGGCAGGAACTGGAGGCTCCTCTTTTTGGTCTCCGTGCAATGGGCCGGATGGTCGATCCGGAGGAAAGCACCGTTCTTGGACAGTTGATTCCTTTGATTGTCCAGATCCCAGACCAGGAGAAGGTCCGATTCCAGGCGATCATGGCGCTGGCCCGCTATACGGAATGGACCGCTCTTCACCCCGAAACCCTCGAGGCCCAGCTCAATTATGTGATTTCTGGATTCCACCACAGCTCTCAAGAGGTTGTGCAGGCTTCTGCTCTTGCCTTCAAGTTCCTCGGTACCGATTGCCAGAAGCTTCTCGGTGGTCATATCGCTCAGCTGCACTCCTTCTTTGAGTCGGTTCTCGACAAACTGAAGCCTGCCAGCCAAGAGGAGGTGACTGAGGGTGTCGCCGCTGTGGTTTCCGTCCAGCCCCATGAGAAGATCTACGAGTCATACAAGATGTTCTGTGACCCGATCATGGCCCGAATCATGAACCTGGCCAACAACGCGCAGGATGAAGAAGGCCAGCGAGCTGTGGCTGATCACTTACAACTGATCACCATCTTTGTGCAAGTTGTGACTCCCATTGTTGCACCAGGAGAAGAAAACCCCGCCGTCAAATACTGTGGTGAGATTCTCCCTATTATGACCACGATTGTCATGAACTTTACGTCCTCCACGCCTATCCTTGAACGAGTGTGCCGCTGCTGGCGCTACATGATTATTTCTTATCGCACCGGCATGATTTCTCTCCTGCCTACCCTGGCCGAGAGCATCGCAAACGGCTTCCAGGCATCGCGCGAGGGTTGCTTCTTGTGGGCCACCGACGCGGTGGTGCGTGAGTATTCCGATGGCGCCGAGTACGTCGACCAGGCTACCAGTGATGCCGTCTTCCAGTTCTATGAGCAGCAGGCCATTGCCTTCTTGCGTATCTTGAACGACCTCCCCCCGAGAACCTGCCGGATGTGATTGAGGATTTCTTCCGTCTTTCTTCTGATGCCGTCCGATACTACCCTAAGAAGTGCATCAGCTCGTCTCTGGCTATTCCTATCTTCTCTGCTGCCCTCAGCGCCCTCACTCTTCAACAAGTCGACCCTCTCATCGCCACGCTTCACTACTACCGGGATTTGTTCAGCTTCGCATTTGACAAGCCAATGGTCTCAGAATTCACTACCCCCGAAGGCCAGCCCTACTCCACGCCACCCGAGGTCCGTGAGGCTGTGAAGGCGTTGATTGCCTCGCAGGGTCAGCCCTTGGCGCAGCGTGTTTTGACTGGCATGATGTTCACCTTCCCAGGTGACTGCTTCCCTGACGCGTCGGGTGTGATCATGACAATGTTCGAGCTGCTTCCCCAGGAAAGCGGTGCTTGGCTACAAAGCACACTGCAGATGTTGCCTGCTGGTTCTATGAAGCAGGGCGAGGCTGAACGACTTCTCAAGAACGTCTCCGACAAAGTACAGTCGGGAGAGACCCGCAAGATCCGTGCTCTCCTCCAAGGTATGTTCATATCCCACTATTATGAGCGACAAAGCTAATCATTTCAGACTTCACCAACTCGTACCGCCGCCGCAATGTGGCTCCACGTGATGGACTCGGCCGTCTGGAGGCCACCCGGTTCCGATTCAGCGGCTGAAATCCTCACTACACTTTTCCCCTAGTGCCTAGCACTCAAAAAGAACCCACGGGAGCATTTGCACATCAGGTGTTGGTCCTTTGTTATTGACGCGCCATGTGGCACGCGAGGGCATGAACCCGGTCTCGAAATGATTTATGATCTGCCGGTGCGCCGGCTTAGCCAGGACTTTCTGGCATCGTCAGTTACTGCCATTTAGGTTGGAATTTCTCGACCTAGTGTAGACAGCATTTATAGATAGTCAGAACTCTTGTCTACAGGCATGTGTAGAGATGCGATTTCGCAGTCTCCGCGTGTGGGTATTTGATCATGAGCAATGAATCTATTGATTACCATTTACCATCGACCCATGACCTCAAGATACTGTATATCTTGGGAAGTAGTGACCTGACATACCATTACAGTGCTGTTAGATGTCTGCGTAGGTTTTTAAGAAAGTTTTTCTTGTATAGGGTGACCGCGGACCCTTCATTCTCCCTGCTCACTGACCAGGTGAGGGCTTGAAACCGATCGACTTGCTGACCCGAGGGGGTTCCATCAATGTAACCACCGCCCACAAATCGCTCAAATCCTGGTGGAATGCAGACCCCAAATCTTCCAGCTACAAGGCCGTTATATTTGGAAAAAAAATCAGGTTCATGTCTTTCGCGACAAAGAATATTCATACAGAGCTAACCCGGATATAAATCAACACCGAACGATCTATGTCACTTATTGTCCAATTGAGTTCCCTCCAGTAAAGGCATAGGAGATGGAACCGTTCGCGTGAAAATTGAGATAAATCCCATCGGCGAAGGTCACCCTGCACGCTACTCTACTTGAGCGACCGACATCGACCCATCATCTCACCTAGCTTTTCAGGTGAGAAATAATCCATCCAAGGCCCCGAAGTTACGGGGTACGTTCACCATCCGGGATTGACGTCTGTCTGGATATCCAACGCATCTGTCAATGTTCTCATGGGCAAATCGGTTGAGGAGATCTTTTGTACCCCAAGTCGGTATATCTACTTCTAGAAAGATGTCTGATGGAACCAAGGAGGGCATCTGTGCCATTTCCAATACTTCCGTGTAACTGGATGTCACTGGATTTACGGTGCATCATTCCATGCAGGATTTGCCCCATCGATAATATCTTGGAGGAAGGTAAAGCAGGTGGCTTGTGGGATATCTGGGTGGGCTGGGGGAGGTTGGAAGACAGAGGAGGGGGGAAAATAGCCGTGGTATTGATTCAGGTCCAGGACTTCTTTCTTTCGGGACACAAAGAAGGGGAGTTGAAAGAGTATAGCATAGACAGCTGAGACAACAGGCGGCGAGCTCCACGAATCAATAATCTTATAGAAGTTGGACTCTCGGGCACAATACACTCAATACACTCAACGGAATCACCCTATCTCGTCAAGTGACGTTATTTCGCATGAGAATAGGTCAAATCTTGGTGCGTTCTTTTTCACTGATACGCCGCTGTTGAGGACTGGAAGCCTCAATGTGGACTGAGACTTTTATATGGGTATTTTGTTCTGGTACAGACCTAGCTTGATGCTATATATGGTCGGAAATGAAGCCTGTGGCCTAGAGGGAAGCATTTAACTTGCATTGGCAAGTCTAAAGGCCGCTGTGTGCCTTTTTTTTGTTTTTTTCTTCTCGTTTGAATGAGATGCTTGATGCGTAGCCACGGCATGCTCTGTAATGAGGGGATCAACGAAGCTAGTAGGTATTGTAAGGACTGATTCGACTGGGTTTTCTCAAATATTGACCCTATCCTATAGATAGCATCCAATTTTCACTGTATATGGAGAATGTATAGAAGTAATTGTGGGTATCAGGATATATATATGTATGTAATTTGTAGGTTGACGTAGCTGATTCGACTAGAACATATACCTAGTAAGAATTCGATAGAGAACATAATGACTTACATGCTTCTCTATGGGTTTCCCCTTGTTTATTAAAGAAATCAGTCAATTAAAAGAAAAAAAGGGAAGAAAGCGAGCGGAGGGGAAAAAAAGGAAAGAAAAAAAGGAAAGAAAAAAAGAAAGGCTCAGCCGAGAGTCGAACTCGGGATCTCCGCATTACACTAGTGAATTGGTTAGAAGATGTTATGTGAAATTGTGGAGTCGGAGGATACTAACAGTGCGATGCGTTAACCACTGCGCCACTAAGCCATTGGATGGAAGAACGTGGCTATCTTAAGGCTCTAGTCCATTAGTTTTGTGGATGTTTCAGGGTAATCACATCCCTTCGAACCGATATGACTTGGAATGTAAAGTTACACTCTGGAGGCCTTGTCAGGTCAGTGAAATATACTCATACATCCATATTAATACACTGAAATGCTATGCGTGTACGGTCTGTAAAATTGCCGTTTAATTTCTCACCCGCCACAACCCCACCGACATCTCCGCACTTTCCCCCGGACGCCTTTTGACTGCCGAATTTGACTCTTCTTTCTCCCACGTGGATCGGCATCCCGAGGATTCCTCTCGATGGCATGAGAATGGAGGACGATCACCCTTCCAAGCGCCGCCGACGCAGTCGCAAAGTCCACTCCGATCGCAAGTTCGAATGCACCTTCGAGGGCTGCGGGAAGAGCTACTCGCGCGCCGAACATCTCAGTCGCCATGCGCTCAACCACGCCCCGAAACAAATCTACCGCTGCGACTTTCCAAACTGCTACCGCTCCTTCGTGCGACAAGACCTCTGCATTCGCCATCGCGAACGCCACACCACCAGTGGCTCCCAGCTGCAGAAGCGCGACCACTATACCGATCATGACGCCAAGACCTCGCCTACTTCCTCGCCTGCGATCACGGCCCCGGACTACTTTGTTGACTCCGAGACGCCTAAACCGCCTGTGACGACGTTCCCGATCACTACTGGCATAGAGACGACTGAAATACCCATCTCGCAGTACTCCGATTTCCCCGCTGTGCTGGACCAGCCGGATAACCTTATCGACCTGGACTCCATGTCCTACCCCATCTTCGGAGGCGAAACCTACAACCGGTCACCTTTTGCCATGGCAGATGACTTTGCGGCGTGGTTGTTCAGCGAGCCACTCGCACCGCTGGGGTATGGGATGGTACCCATGGTGCAAAATCAGTTCTATATGAACGAGCCTTCGTACAATAACTTTTGCACGGTGGTACCGCAACACCCGATGAGCGTGACCAGTATTCTAGACTCGGGGGCACCACCGTCGATCATCTCAGAAGAGAAGAGGCAGGAATTACTGCACTTGATGTCAACGCGATTCAACGAGGCGGCGTATGCAGCCGGCGCGAAGCGGAAGGATGCGCTTATGGAAGGGGATTTGAACAATGACCGGCATGTCCTTAGTCTGCGCATGATGCAGACGTACATTGGTTCTTATTGGTACCATTTTCATGCACAGTTGCCGATCCTGCATCAGCCCACTTTTGCTGCAGATCGCACGCCTGCACTTCTAATCTTGGCGATCATGGCTATTGGGGCTGCAACTTTGGATAAGATTCATGGAGAGGCTGCTACTGAGGCGGCTGCCGAGCTGGCTAGCTTTATTGCCTGGCATTTGCGCTGGGAGATCTTTATGGATGCGGATTTCCGGCCACCTGCTAGACTGTGGGTGTTTCAGTCGCTTTTATTACTGGAAGTCTATGAGAAGCTGTTCTCTACCCGTGCGCTGCATGAGCGCGCTCATATTCATCACGATACGACACTCACTCTCATGCGCCGAGGTAGTTCGTTGATCGGCAGTTCTTCATTCGATACGCCAGAAACGAAGGAAGAAGACGAGTCATGGTCAACCTGGATCAAGGCCGAGGCAACTCGCCGTGTAGCATTTGCCGCATTTGTGCTTGATTCTACACATGCAACCATGTTTGGACACTCAGCCAAAATGGTTGCACATGAATTACGACTACCATTGCCCTGCGATGAAGCCCTGTGGGCGGCAACCAGCGCAGCAGAGGTGGCTCGAGTCCAGTCCAGCCTGCAGTCACATGGTGTACGACCGATCATGTTTTTGGACGGCTTGAAACGCACACTCAACGGACAACCAGTCCGAACGAACGCGTTCGGCCGGATTATCCTCATGGCAGGCTTGTTGAGTGTCTGCTGGCATCTGAACCAGCGAGATCTGCAAATCAGTTCGCTGGGAGTAGGCCAAACCCTGGGCGGACGCGATAAATGGCGCTCATCCCTACTACGAGCATTCGATAACTGGCGACGCGACGTCGACGAAGCCCTAGGTCCATCGACGACATCCGAGTCGCGCGATGTACTACACGGCTTAGCCCACATGGCCTCCCACGTTGACATAGTCGATTTGCAGATCTTCGCAGGCGCCGGCCGATTGATGGGTCGGTCAATCACAGCACGCGACTACCACAGCGCAAAGGAGAAAACAAGTCGATGGGCCACGAAAGCCTCAGCCCGTGATGCCACCTTTTACGCCCTCAAATTCCTCTCCACCTGTTTTCTCGACCCGGCCACTCAACCGGGCGAATACGCCGCCCGCGACGACTACCTCCTCAATCGACCGTGGGTGATGTACTTCGCAGCATTGGTAGTCTGGACGTACGGGTACGCCTTGGACGGACCCCTGCGTCCGGCACCGGTGCTCGCCACACAAGCCGAAAGACAACAAGACATGCAGGTCTTCCTGCATCGCATGAGTCAGACCCGGGAACCGAATGAGCTAGAGGGCTTGACAGGTCGTAATGGTTGTCTCGGTCTGCTCATGATTCTCCGCGACTCCTTTGCTACACCGCGGTGGGAGTTACTAGGGGAAGCGGCGCGGCTGCTGGACAGCTGTATCGCGAAGCTACAGTCGTAGCAGTATGTATGATGTATTGATACCTAATTGTATATTCAGTTTATATAAACCAGTCTACCTACCACAGAGTACAGTCAGAAATGACGTTGTATACAGTAGTCCACGGCGTTGCCCTAACAACCGCCGATCCCCCTACAAGTCTCCCCCCAACATCTGTCCACAATCCACAATCCACAATCCGCATATTTGTCCAGAATCCCTACATCAGCCAAAAGCATCAAATACAACATGGTGAGTGTCCCTGTCCCTGGCAATGTTGTCCCTGATGTAATCCGTTCCGATCCCGTCCCGCCCCTTCCCCTCCCTTGGAACCAACATCATCCTTTTCTCCGCCCTCTTTCGACTTGTGCTTTTCATCATGGCTAACAAACACGAGGCCTCCACAAACTACAAGGAAGCGTTCTCGCTCTTCGATCGCCGCGGCACTGGCCGTGTCGCCGGTGACCTCCTCGGTGACCTCCTGCGCGCTTGCGGGCAGAACCCTACTCTGGCTGAGATTGGGGATTTGGAGAAGTCTATTGGTGGTGATTGTATGTTTCCTTTCACTCTGAATGGTCTGAGACGCGCCTGTCCAGCTCCAGCTCCAGGCCCCGCCCTGGTTGGGACTGGGTTGGGGTGAGCTGGGCTGGATTGGATTGGACTAGGCTAACATGGTTCTTTTCGCAGTCGACTTCGAGTCCTTCCTCAAAGTCCTGAACCGTCCCGGTGGTTTCCGTGAGCCTGGTGAACCCGAGGAATACTGTCGCGGATTCCAAGTTTTCGATAAGGATATGACTGGTTTCATTGGTGTTGGACAGCTGCGCTACAGTATGTTCTCTATTCTCCCTATACTGTTCTTTGAACTGCGCATTTGGATGAGGTGGACGCTAATGCGATATAGTCCTCACGAATCTCGGCGAGAAGATGTCCGATGATGAAGTTGATGAGTTGCTCAAGGCTGTTGATACTAGCTCTGGCGAGATCAACTACACTGGTATGTTCACGGCAGTCCGATATACGGACGCAGGCTAACGATTTAGATCTCGTTCGCACTATCCTCGCCAACTAATACCCTGATATGATTGAACGTTTATGGATATGGCTATGGCTATAGCTTGAGGGATTGCGGCGTGTTGGAATACTTTCGTCTTGTATGTTTTTTATCAAATTACTTCTGTATTATTGGAGGGTATCAACTATATGTAACCTTCACTCTCACTTTTCTTTCTTCTTATCTGCGATATAAACTAAACAATCCATTCCCTCCACTCTCCCTCTCCAACTCCCTCCCCTCCCATCCCTTCAGTCCCAACCAAAGACCCAGGAAGGAGATAGAGTGCCTGCGGCCTCTCCCCTTCCTGTCCACCACCAGAAGTAGAATAATGCACCTCATCCAAATAATACCCAATAACAACCCGACACCGTCCACACCTCAACAAAACCCTCTTCTCAATCCCATCTTCCCGTCTAATCATTGTCGCCCGCCGATCTGGAATAGTGGTCGCGAGAAGGAGAGTCGTATGGTTGGCGCTTTGTCGAGTCTTGCCAGCTCCAGCTCCAGTCTCAGCTCCTGCAGTCGGAGGATTGGTAGATTGCGCTTCGGCTTCCAGCTCCGCTGAAAGTTCGTTCTCATCGGTAGTTCGCTCCAATGGCAGGATTAGGGCCTTGTCTTTGCCTTCGCCGCTTCGGCGGGGGAGAGTTGGGATGTTGCGTGTTGTTGCTAGTAGCAGGTGGTTGCAGAAGCGGCAGTGTTGCGTGTGGATTTGGTGTCGTTCGGGATTGGTTTGTTCCGTCATTTTAGGCTGGGATTCTTGTGATTGTCGGCGCTTGGTTCTGAATGTGATTGCAATTGCTGTGTAGAGGTGCGGCGTGGATGAGTTGGTGATCGTGCTGTCTAATGGTTAGTGATCTGCTCTGCGGGGTTGCCTGGATGGCATAGCTTCAGCTGAAAATTTGATAGGAACTCACAAGAAAGGAGCTGTAACAGTTATATTATTTCCTCGGTGAAAGACTAGTGAGAGGTCTAAAATCCGAGTCGCAAGAGCTGAGTAGCAGAATTGCCGAGGCGGTGGGCTTATCAGTTATCGCCTGATCTACTCTTAAATACGTTATATCTATACGAAGCAGTTGGTCTTTTCTGATGCGATAGATTGAGAGTGAATCCGTGTAGCTCTCTAGTATGCTAAGGATATAATGCATTTGTCAGTCAAATAGCTTCAATGGGCCTTACGCCAGACCAAGATCCTTGTAGAAAGCATCGGTCTGAGGCTCACGACCCAGGAACTCAGTCAGGGTCTTCATCTCGTCCTGGCTACCACCCTTCTCCAGAACTTGGTAGCGATAGCGACGGCCTGCAGCCTTGTTCATGGGGTCGTCCTTGAAGACAGTGTAGAACATGTCGGTGGAGTATACTTGGGAGCTGTAGATTCATGAGTATGTTATGCTTCTCCATATCGTAGGATAATCTTACCTCAGGTATCCATAGTATCCGGCATCGTAACCACCGATCAAGTGTCCAAAAGTGGCCTCGCCGTGGCCCCATTCGCTACCAGCGCCTAGAGCTTCCGGTCCGTCCATCTGGGTGATCTCCTGGCGGAGACGGTTGTATGTAGCCGAAAGAGGGAGAGCCTCAATGTCGGCGTGGCTCTTGGGCTCGTGGATAGCCATGTCGAAGATACCAAAGTGGAGCTGGCGCAGGTTGAACAACGCATCGTTGACGTGCTTGGTGCGGATCAAGTTCTCGATCACGTCGTCGGGGATACGCTCTGATGGTGGGCCAGTGGCAGTCTTACCGCCGCTGCGGGACTGCTGAGCTTCTTGCCAGCTGGCAAGGTACTCGGGGGAGAGAGTAGAGTAGTGACGGCTGAGGGAGCGCAGCTGCGAGGGTGTCCAGCACCAGTTCTCGAGCATCTGACTGGGCGCTTCGACGAAGTCGCGCACTGTGCTGGTACCGTGGAAGCGGGAGTAGATGGTTCGGGAGACCAGGTCGTGAATACCGTGGCCAAGTTCGTGGAAGAGGGTGACTACCTCGTCGTGCTTCAGCAGACTAGGCTTCTTGGGCTGGGGCTTGGTAAAGTTGCACACCAATGCGGTGGCGGGGAAACGGCGGTTACCGTCCTGGTCGATGAAGCCGGGCTGCAGGTTGAAGTTGGCGGCGTGGCCATACTTGCCCTCGCGAGGGAACAGGTCAAGGTAGAGATATCCGACGAAACCACTACCCTCACCCTCGTCGTTCCATACACTGTAAACCTGCACGTCCTCATGCCAGACAATGTCATCACCTTGGCCAGTTGGGGCAAGAGATGCCCGGTCTTCGCCAACAATCTCAACAAACTCCAGACCAAACAGCTCCTCGAAGATCTTCAGCATGCCCTCGATGGTGGTTTGCAGGGGGAACCACTCAGCAATGAGCTGCTGATCCAGAGAGTAGTCCTTCTCCAGCATCAGACGGTCATAGAAACGGTGGTCCCACAGGTAGTAACGGCCATCCGAGTTAGGATCAGTAGCCTTCTTCAACTCGTGCAGCTTCTCAATCTCCTGCTTACCGCCAGCGGTCAAGCGGTTGCGAAGATCTCCCAGGAACTTGTCGACAGTCTCAGGTGTCTTGGCCATCTTATCCTCGATGCGGAAGGCGGCGTGGTTGGGGTAGCCGAGCAAACGAGCAGCTTCGTCACGGAGAACAATGGCCTCGCGGAATAGCGGCACGTTCTGGTTGCACTTGTTCTCGTTGGCGATCATGACCTGCTTACGGGTCTCGGGGTCGTTGGCGTATTTCATGGTAGGGAAGAGGTCGGGGTACTTGAAGGAGAGCCACAGCTTGCCGGCATTCTCGTTCTCACCCTTCTTCAGACCGTCCAGCACATCATTCGGCACACCGGACAGCTGCTCGGGTGTAAACCAGATACCGCCGTTCTCCTCGTTCAGGTTCTTCTGGAACTCAATGCTCAGCTGGCTCAGACGCTTCTTGATCTCCTTAAAACGGGCCCGCTGAGGTCCGGCGGGCAGACCAAGACCATTGCGGACGAAGTCCTTGTGTTCCTTCTCTAGTAGACGGCGGGACTCGGGATCGAGAGACTCGTTCCGGCGCAGCACGGCGTCGAACAGGCCGAAGACATCTTCACGCATGACAGCTTCAATGAAGAACTCGTCCATGAGCTCTTCGGCCTTGGAAGAGGCATCACGCAGCTTCGAGTCGGTGGAGACAGCCTGGTAGAAGCCCAGAATGTGTGCCTCTAGACCCATGACGTTATCATCTTGAGCGAGGGGACGGACGACGTTGTCAAAGGTGGCATTTTCGGGCTTGATTTCGGCGACCAGCTTGTCCTGGATATCACGGGAGGATTTGATCAGACGCTCGGCATCTGCAACCACCGATTGCGGGGTAGCAGTGAAGATGGGCGGGGCCTGGGGAGGCTTCCGGAGGTGGGAGGGAGCCATGCTGGAGGTAGTCAAGAGTCGTACTGGTGTAGTGGTACGCAAGTGGCCCAGCACGGATGAAAGGCGGAGACGGAGGAGGGGCGCCACGGTGAGGATGGCGATGAGAGCGATGAAAAAGTGACGAATGAAAGCAATGATGGCGGTGGATGGCGGTGTACAAGTCAGTTGGAGATGCTGTCAGGTGATCCAAAGCTCGAAGTCAATTGCGGGGTGTGAGGTCTTGGCGGGAAGTATACACGGCGTATACAACAATTCCTGACAAGGGACTTTTAGTTAGTATGTAGGTGAAAAGGATGCAGTTTCTCATGGGTTATACTAAGATTTATCAAGCCTATAGGGCTTCTATGCTTTACTTGGACATGATACGCCGGTTAAATATTGAGACCTATACTGGACCTCTATAGCTAGGCTAAGAACTTACTGGATCTGTTTTTAGCTGACGATTGAGTATCTTTCGAACACTTATCTCAAGATGCCAATATTTCTCAAGTTTACAAAATGTACTATCTCTACAAGTAGAAGTCATACTTATTTACATAATTCTACACGGTAGAAGGTAAACAAGGTAAAATAACATTTCTTTGAGGGTATCAATTGATTCATAATAACTCTAAAGACAAAATGCCAGTCACATGCAAAAATGAAAATTCGATCAGTTTCAAAATATGACCTTGGCCACACATCGTCATGGCAGTAGCGTACGATCACCAAGAAAAGTAAATCTATGAGACAAATGCCTTTATGAAGACTCGGGGGTTAGTTTATCCAACCGGAAGCTGTCCTTACGGAAGTCTGGCTTGCGATTAATGGTGCAAACCCCATTGTTGATCCTCTGCCGAAGGTTGTGCGTTCAACAGTTGGAAGGTGATATTTTGGCAGAGCAATTTCGAGTCATTGATCTTCTCACATTTGTCTGGCTTGTCACAGTCGTGAGTCACGCCTACTCCCAATGAGATGCACAAGTTCTGAGTTGTGTACAGAGGATCATAGCTTAGGATCAAGTTCCCCGGCTCAAACACGTCCTGGACTACCTGCATAAATTGGCGGTCACTGAGCTTACTGTCATCTTCTTGTGGGAAAACGGTGACCCTAGGAGGAGATTGGTCGAGGCGAGGTCCGACGATTGACTGGACTTTGATCCAGAGTGGCTCTTTAATGTATGAGAACGGGGGCTTTCGCTTCATCGCTGCACGCCGGACCCTTAGGGCTTGCTTGGTCAAGGGGCCCCGGATCTCTCAGTGAATTCCTGAAGTAGCCATGGTTAGTGGCTAATGGGCAGTTGAGCTAGGGGGGTTTCAAAACCGTTGTTGGTTTGGTAATTGTAATAAGAGTTGTTTCCAGTGTCAGCGTGAGTGTGTTGAGTGTGATGGGAAACAGTTGGACTCGGGCACCTGACGTTTTCATATGTTTGAAAGGTAATAAAGAAGCAAAGAAGCCATGAAAAACAGCTTAAAAATAGCTATTGTATTCCACTCGTACGGTCCCCATTCTACCACCCCGTCCTACAAATCACTTGCTCTTCAATGTGCTCACTAGGCTATTATGTACCATATCTGCCGACTAGCGAAAAGATTGACTGCATTCTGGAATAAGCAGGGCAACAACAGAAATAGGAACAAAAATATAGTGGACGATAAAACTGCCTGCTTCATTCAGTCAACTATTGATGCGTCGGTCTCGGCCTGTTATATTATCTGCCCAGGTGGCTACTGCCTGGAGGCTCGATTCGATCTACAGGATGGATTGTTCAGCCTTCATTTATCACCTCACACGACGATAAAACTCACCCGTGGTACTTTCAAAACTATCCAGACACCCATGGTAAGGAAACAAGATAATGCTGCGACAAGTAAAGACCATTTCCAGTCTGGATTATCTCGAAGCACATTGACGTTCATCCCAAAGAGACTCTGAACTCGAGTGGTCGGTTAATAGCCAGATGTAAATTGAAAAGAGAAGAAAAGAAAGGACCAGCATTCAAACTCACCGACGTCAGCATCAAAGGAAGAAAAAGAAACTGTATAAAAATTTAGTATCGACATCAACAGATACTCTTCATATAAGATTCCTACAGTAATTCGGCTTAAGTGTTTGAAACTTGCGGCTTCATCGATCGAAATCCAAGCGAATTCCTGCGAGCCGTTTGTCAATAATATACAAAATGACATTTTGTAGCTAAGCTTACTATTTGCAAGACATCACGTAGACCTTGATCAATATGACTCAGTTTTGAAATCACATATTCTTCGAGATCGTTAATGGGTTTTATCAGCTCTTGACCGTCCGAACGAAGGGTTGTATCAAAATTCACAACGTCCTTAAGTTCTTGAATCTGCGACTGAAGGCATATTCGAATTTTTGTTCGGTCACGGGCATTCTGCGCGATATTTTTGATCATTGCGTGACTTCCGCCCTCGTTCTCAATCTGAGAACTTCTCTTTTGTTCAATTTGGAATGTTAGATAGAGCATTCTGCAGTGAGACGTAAGGACTTACGATCTTCTCAAATTCAGTATCTAAATCAAAACAAAGCTTGTTCCAACATTGGCGTAAATGCTCGAGAAAATGTTCAAAAAATTTGACAGGCGTTTTGGGGACCTTGCTTTGTAGGATAGTGCTAATAAACCCATGGGCTTGCTCATTGGCTTCAAGTGTGAGGGCCCAAGCAATACCCCAGGACTTTGTGTACTGAGGCTTTCCTTTCTGATTTTCAGCGGGGAATCGAACTGATATATGTGTTATCAGCACTCTGTGAAGATGAAGATCCTCATGTTTGCTCCATTGAAGGTAGGGACTCGAACTTGAAGATTTTAGATATTTCGGACGACGCAATAGGCGGAAATAGCTTTTGGAATCCGACCAAGCCATATGGTTTGGGTAAAGGCTAGAGGAAATAGTCAGGGATTTGTGCTGCTAGTGGTCTACAGATCCATACCATAGCCTGTTTTCCCCTGCGTTCGGCACACACTGAATTGAATTCTTGGCAAATGATTCCCAGCAGAGATTTCGGCGTTGTGTCCCTATTGTAAATCGAACATAAGACTTTCTTTCACTTTCAAGGTCGGTAAGGTCGGAGCATTCCTCTGAGTTGAAGTCGATTCCTTCCTCATAAAGGAGCTTGATGACGGATTTATTTTTTGATTCAATCGCGATCTGCATTGGGGTTTTGTCATCGTGGTTCGGGGAGTTAGCTTGGTTTGTAACCGCGATCAGGGCTGAGACGAAACTTGGGTTATCATTATAGCATGCAAGGTGGAGAGGCGTATACCCGTTATCGTCGATATGGTTGGCGTCATAATTGTACTCGAGCAGTAAGCGCACTAGCTCTAGCGCTTTGCGTTCGCCAAAACTCCCTGTTTCCTTGACCAACAACCTCATGGAAGTTTTGTCTCGGGGAATGAGAAGTTTCACCAAATTCAAGCTTTTCTTTTCCAACGCACGTAGCAAGGAAGTCGTGTGCTCGTCTTCTCCGTCATCAATTCTTGTATTTTTCTGCTTCAAAAGTAATTTGGCAATTTCTAGATCGTCGTATTCGGCAGTCCATGATAAGAGGGTTCGACCATTGAGTGTCTCCGGTAGTCGGAAAATCAACTCAGACAACATTCTTGTGTCCCCATGTTCGGGAAATGATGAAAAAAGGGTATTTCTTGTCCTCAGGAGAAGCTGGAAGCTCTTTTGATTGCCAGAATTCTGGCTTATATCGACTTTTCCTGATTTGAGAAATCGTATCATGAGCTCGACATTGCCGGATATTGCTGCTTTCAAGAATGGAGTTTGACCATTTATATCTGGTCGATCCGCTTTGATTTCATCGTTCTTGAGCAGAATGTCTACTGCGCTCAAACATCTCTCGGAAACTGCCCAGAACAACGGTGTCTTTTTACAAATGTCCTCTGCGTTTATGTCTGAGCCTTGATCGATCAGAAATTTGATCACGTCGTCATTGGCTTTTCTGTGTTTATCAGTTCCTACCCATGATAATGAAGTCCGCATATTGCTGTCTCTTGATTCAACTCTGGCGCCATTGCCAACAAGGTGTCTCATGATATCGATACTTCCGAGTTGTGCGGCCAGCGACAAAGGTGTTCGGCCAGAAACATCCGGTCGATCGACTTGAATATCATGGTTGTTGAGTAATTCAATCACCGTATTCGTGCAGTTCCCAGAAACAGCCCATGATAGCGGTGTCTTATGTGAATTGTCCTCCGAATTTATGCATGATCCTTTGCCTAACAGGCACCTGATGACGTCCGTGTTCGCTTTCTCACTGTCATTGGGTGTCGCCGCCCATGACAGTGCAGTGCGGCCGTTCTTGTCTTTCAGGTGGCAATCAGATCCTTTGGTCAGCAAAGCATTCACGGACTCCGCTCTGCAAGCTTCTGCAGCCCAGGACAGAGCAGTTCGACCATCTTCGACGGGGGACCAATTCACTTCAACATTGTCACTTTCCAAAAATTTCTCCAACACTAGCGTTTTAGGCAACAATGCTGCTTTGGATAATGGGAATTCTCCAAGTTCTGCAAAGTTCGGATCATGATGTTCCAGAAAATTTTGTATTATTGACAGCTTTGTTCTCATAGCATTCTCTGCCTTTTTCACTATCCCTCTTTTTGTGTTCGTGGGGATTTTCGTCGGAAACAAGCGAATTGCGTCGAAGAAGTACCGTTGCTCTCGTGAAAGGGAACCAGAGAAACTGTCTGCCATCGTAGAAATATTCAGAAGAGAACACTTTCCGGCTGAGAAGATAAATTCCCCGCTGTAAGCCCAAGGTAGGCTAGGGAGGGGCAATACAATAGAAGATACCGTGTGCCGAATTCTTACAATACGATTCAACGTTTTGAAGCAAGCTAAATCCGAAATGGAATAGGGTCTGGGAAAGAATGAAAGATAGTAAAATGGTGAAACTGATTTCGATCCTACCTGCAACCCGTAGAACTGGTAGAATCTCCCTAACTAACCTTCTAGGGTATTATATGTGCATCCGATATTAGATCGAATCGGAACACAAGTATGAGCACGATATGTACAAGATTTGGCATACTATACGTAGAACCAAGGCACATGGCTAAAGACTCTACTATGGACATCTCTATTCTTTGTTTCCTTTTACGATCTCGGGGCTTTGACATTTTATCAAATGAAACGGAAAAAGAGCCGATCAAAGATAGGAAACCCCGAAAATACTATTCTATAAACAAGATTCTTTCTGTTAGTGCTCTAGTATAGTTTCGAATGTGGAAGGCTCAGGTCAAAAGAGGCGAAGGAGGAGATATTCATTTTGAGTTAAAGCTCGATAAATACGAACAGGCGAAGTGTTGACGTGTAAAAAGGGGATTTACATGTGATAGAACCCCCCGCTTTTCGAAGTTTTCAGGTCTGCGATGTTCTTCATTCTTTCTTATACTAACAATACTAACATTTATGAAATACACAGTGAGACAATGTCATATGAAATCGTTTCTAATTCATGAAAATTATCTATGAAGTGCGTCACAGGCCGCTTTTGAAAAGACAGAAATGAGAAAGAAACGCCAACCCCGAACCCAGAATGCAAGATCAAATTTCATCAGTTTAAGCTGCATCCGCAGTGGGAATGGGCTCGGGGATCTTGGTGACCTGCATGCCAGCGCGGATGATACGTTGGCCTGAGTCGTCGCGAACATACTCGGAGTTCTCCTTCTGAGCACGCTTCCAGATCTCGACTTCACCACCGCCACGAATGACACCGACACGCATGGTGGACAGCAGGTTGTGGGCACCGTTGGAATGGTAGTAGACACCACCGTTGAACATGGCGGTCGCATCCTTGCCCAGACCGGACTTGATCATGGCCTTGCCACCGGGGTGGTCCTTGATGAAGTCGGTCACGTCGTGGACAACGCCGGCGATGGAGATGAGACCTCTGCCGTTCTTGGCCTGGTCGACATAGTCATCCCACTCCATGACGGGGAGCTGGTCCAGAGGAGTACCCCAGTCGAGCTTGGCGCGCTTCTGATCGATCTTCTTCTGGAGTTGCTGCACACGACCCTTCTCGATCTCGTTGGAGCGGAATTGCTTCAAGTCATAGGCCAAACCGAGCTGCTTGCAGGTCCAGATGGTCCACTTGGTGGGGTCATACTGGTGCCACTCGATGGCGTTGCGGTAGTCCGAAGGGAATTCGTGGTGGAAGTTGTGGTACCCCTCGCCGAGAGTGACCAGGGCGGTAATGACGTGGTCACGAGGAGAATTACGGTCATCGAAGGGCTGGTCACCAAGCCAGTGAGCCAAGGAGTTGACACAGAAAGTGGCCTGTTGCACGAAGAAGATACGCAGGATACCAGCGTACACAAAGCCACCCCACCAGTCACCCCAGCCGAGACCGGAGACGAGCATGGGCACGATCAATCCCATGGTGAGGACGACCTTGAGGTAGTTACGGTGCTGCCAGACGACCACGGGGTCTTCGTTGAGGTCGGAGATGTCGGTACGGCCAATTCGCTTGGGGTTCTGCTTCATGACCATCCATCCAAGGTGAGAGTACAGGAGACCCTTGCGGACGGAGTAGGGGTCCTTGTCGGTGTCGGTGTAACGGTGGTGCGCACGATGATCCCGAGCCCACCAGCGGATGGAGCCTTCAACAGCACCGCCACCGACGGCAGCAAGCCAGATACGAAGAGGCAGAGTGGCGGAGTAGGAGCAGTGAGCCCAGAGACGATGGTAACCTAAAAACAGTCAGCTTGAATCTTTCCGCCCTCGAGTCAATTGAACTTACCAGCAGTGATTCCCAATCCAGTGAAGAAGTAGTAGATGACTGCCCAGATGGCAGTCTTCAGCTGCAGAGGCACCCAGAAGGCCTGGATGCAGCCGGAAATGGGCACACCGAGAATCAGAACGACATTGAGCCAGTTGACATGCTTGTACCAGTTCTGGCGAGTCATCTGAGTGTCGGCAATGTGGACCTTCTTGGTCTCAGCCGCCCGCGGGCGTGAAGCATCAACCTTCGACGACATGGTGTATGGATGAAGTTGAAGATAGAAAGGCCGGAAGGAGAGGGTTTTTTATACTTGGGGCCCACTTGGGACCAACGTTGGGGCGAGGTGCTCGGATATGGGGAAACTTGGCACAAGAACAAATCAAAGACGAATCAAAAGGATGAAGACATTGACCGTCACAAGATCCCGAGGCAATGCAGAGAGAAGACGACAACAATTATAAGCTTGCCCCGATAGAACTTTGCTCTTCTGGAGTGGCGTGCCTCAGTTTCGGCGACTGTTGGGTCCGGCCAGCCCCAACGCTTTCAACAGGTTGTGATTGGTGGAGGAAGAGCGGAGAACGATGGCAAATTCGAGATGAGCAGGGTGTTCACTTAGTCATGCATTATGTCAGTGTATTAGATCAGCAGACTATGTCAGCATTCGTCGGAATTCTTAGGATCAGACCACTCACACTATCCAATCACACTTCTTTCTCTCCATTCGGAGGCAAATACCGTCCATACAAGCGTTGTACGCCTGGTGCCTTACAGAATGCATTCGACTGTAAGCGTATTGATCGGCCTTTCGCGAAACCTCCATTACACCCTTGTACAGCCTTGTGTTGGACCTCGGTGATACCAATGAAGTCATGGCATTCAGTACAACCCAGTTCAACAAAATGTTGAGATAATATGTCTGGCACCTGATCTTCCAGTCACCATGAAGTTCTTGATTCCTGTCGGATGTGCACAGACAGTGTCACCTCGTTACCGATTTACATCATTGCTAACATCAACCATCCCGTTTTATCGCGAGTCAAGCAAATCCAGCAGATCATGATTCAAACGATGCGTCAGTGTCAAATATAGTGGTCATCAGAAGGGAAGAGTTCGCCAGAAGTCACAAGCCACACCCACCGAGTGAGGTCATGACCGAGGTGATCATCACATGGCTGGGCAGACCGGATGTTGCTGAATCCAGGCAAGCAACAAGCACAAACACAAAGCAGTTACGCTGCTTGAATTCTGAAGTCTGGCCAGGGATCAACATGCTTTTCTGGAACAATACTTCGGGAATGCCGAAGCATCAATCCCGAAGTTTGCCCCTGTATGGTTCCGCCTGACAGCCCATGGACATTCATGGACACTCCCATGGACCTCCCATGGACAATTAGTACGCACAGTGGCCATGGAACAGAGAAGCAGAGTCAATCTACGGAGTACAATCCCTGCATATTCCGCAAGATGACCGCACCCGATCAATTACTCGATCGCCAAGATTAATATTCATATCTGAGGTCTGATAGCTGAAAGCATGAAGTCGGCGCCTTCCACTGTCGACGGCCGCCTCCGAGTGCCAAATGCCTAGCAGATAAACCCCAGACAGATAGCCGAGAGAAAGTTCGATCGAACCCGGGAGGGCCATGCGAAGCCACCAAGGATGCATGTGGCGTAAGTCAGCATGGCTCACTGCCTGGCTCCATCGCTTACAGTCACCAATGAACCGGTGTTATTTGTTCAGAATGGATCACTTTCTAGCAATAGCAGTACATAAAATGGGACTACGGACTAGACTGCCCTTCAATATCCTTATCATTCTCCACTTTGATATATGCTTGGCGCTAAACTCCGCTAATCTCTAACTGGCTGGGCCTAACTCTCTTCCGGCCAGATAAGGATGGCCCTAACGGCTTCGAGGCAAGCGTTTGCGCTGTTTATGCGATGCTCTTGCTAATTCAAACTTTTTTAATGAAATTTGCCTCCGATAACACGAGGTCACGTCCATCTTATCGTTCTCCGCGTTTTAGTCATCTCCACTGCGGGTTAGAGTTAGCGATGTTCGGAATGGAGCTTTTTTTTTTGGTTTGACTCATATATAAGTCTAGTTCCTGATCTAGTATCCATATTCAATCACTCACATACAACATATTCACAATGGACGGCCCTGATCAGATCGGTCCCGATCACTCGCCTAAGCGCACTTTCAGCGACAGACTTCGCTATGTCGCAAAGACTTTCACAACTCGGTATGCGACACCAACAATACGGGAACTTGAATTTACCGATTGACTGTTCACAGTGAGGGGCTATTAGGAGATTACGACTATGCATACCTATTTATTCCCCGGTTACCATTCACGAAAAGAGCCCGCAAATCAGCTCCATTCTTCGGTCTTGACGACCGCGTCCCTGTCGTCCTCGCTTTGATCCTCGGCTTGCAGCATGCGCTTGCAATGTTGGCTGGTGGTGCGTCATACATTCGATCTTGAATATACGATTGAAACTAAAGGAAATAGTCATTTCACCTCCCATCATGCTCGGCGGTTCAGCCGGTGTCAACTTCGGCGACGAGCTATACCAATACCTCGTTTCAACTTCATTGATTGTCTCCGGCCTTTTGAGTGCTGTTCAGATGTTCCGGCTACATATCAGAGGAACTAAATATTATATCGGAACTGGACTGCTATCTGTCGTTGGTATGCAATTTCATTAATTGATCGAAATGACCAAGCCCTGACCACGAACGTTAGGAACATCATTCTCAACAATCACTGTCGCCCAAGGCGCCTTCACCCAAATGTACAAATCAGGCTACTGCCCAACAGCAGAAGACGGAACGAAACTCGCCTGCCCCAAGGGTTACGGCGCCCTCCTCGGTACATCATGTCTCTGTGCTCTCCTCGAAATCGGCATGTCCTTCATGAGTAGTCGCATCCTCGCCCGCGTCTTCCCCCCTCTCGTTACTGGTCCTACCGTGCTCCTCATCGGTGCTTCGCTCGTCAAGTCCGCTATGACCGACTGGGCTGGTGGTTCCGGCTGTGGCGCTGATCCCTCGAACCCGGGAATGTGTCCTAGTGCTGATGCGCCACATGCTCTGCCTTGGGGCTCTGCTGAGTTTATTGGTCTTGGTTTCTTGGTTTTCGTTACGATTATCATCTGTGAGCGTTGGGGTCCTCCGATTCTGAAGAGTTGCTCGGTTATTGTTGGTCTGCTCGTTGGTTCTATTGTTGCTGCTGCTTGCAACTACTTCGAGTCTTCTGGTATTGCCGCTGCGCCTGTGGCTTCTTTTGCTTGGGTTCATACTTTCCCCTTGTCGGTTTACCCGCCGCTCATTCTGCCGCTGCTTGCGCTGTACATTGTTATCATGATGGAGTCTATTGGTGATATTACTGCTACTTGTGATGTCTCCCGTCTCCAGGTTGAAGGTGCTACTTTCGATTCCCGTATTCAGGGAGGTGTCCTTGGTAACGGTATCACCTGTCTAATTGCTGGTCTGATGACTATCAGTCCCATGTCCGTCTTCGCACAGAACAACGGTGTCATCGCCTTGACAAAATGCGCCAACCGCACAGCCGGCTACTGCTGCTGCTTTTTCCTGGTTGTTATGGGTGTCTTTTCCAAGTTCGCCGCTGCGCTGGTTGCCATTCCTAGCCCTGTGCTCGGTGGTATGACTGCTTTCCTGTTCAGTTCTGTTGCAGTCAGTGGTCTACGCATTATCGCTTCGGTTGAATTCACCCGTCGCAACCGGTTCATTCTGACTGCCAGTTTCTCTCTGGGAATGGGTGTTACTCTTGTTCCTGAGTGGTTCGCTTATTTCTTCACTTACAGTGGTGATAATCATGCCCTGGAAGGTCTGCTGAATGCTTGTGACCTCGTCATGGAGAATGGATTTGCTGTTGCTGCCCTGCTGGGTATCTTTCTCAACCTTTTCATTCCCGAGGAGGCGGATGATGTCCCTGCTGTGCTGGATTCCACTTATTCCGAGGATGGTCGTACCCAGATTGATACTACTACCCATGAGTCGACTACTAAGATGGAGCATCCTGTTGCCTCCAGTGCTAGTGCTTGATTGTTTGTCTGTTTGGAGTTGGCTTAGCCATGATTTCTTTTTTTTAGCGCTTGTTTTAATATCTTACCTATTCCCAATGTCATGTTATATTTGCTCTCTATGAATGCATTACAAAATATGCCCTGCTTCAAATTATTTCAATTCTTATCGAGCACATGTAACCTGTTTGGATGTTGTATATTTCCACCTGCACCCGATCAGGTAATCATGTGAATATCATGAGTGGAGCAATGTCTTGGATTCGCGCGGTCTTTGCTTGACTCAGTCGAACTCATTTCCGCGGCTTTGAGACGAAGGAATTGTCCTGCGTCAGTATAGAGGAAGTGGCACAGGATTGAAAAGCATGCTTGGATGGATTTACTAACAGTGAACAGATGTTTTATTAGCCACTGCATACGGCAGTTGAATATTCAGATAAAGTATAAAGGATGAAAGTTGGCATTGTAACTGTCTATGGGCTTTCACTGTTATATACACTCGAGTCTGCACTAGCATCATCTGCATGGGGACCCGGCTAAGGTATTTCATCTGGCCAGCTCGCACCCCTTTGTAATAGCAGCTGCACAATATCTTCATGACCAATTTGGGAAGCAGCGTCAATGTCATTATTGTTGGGCTCAACAAAAATTTGCAAGGGTCGAGGGAGGTTCTTGTGACAGTCAAAATTGGCACCATGGACAAACATGAGCTATTTCGACGTTTGCGGGAGAAATCTGTAATCGCCCTCCCCAATGGCCTTGCTGTGAACTTTGGATGAGAAAATCTTTCGCTATCTGATGAATGTAGAACAGCTTTGAGTCATAGGTGCTGATAAAAAGACCACATAGGTTTTTCACTTTCTGCTGGAATGTGTCTTCACGCCAGCCATGTGAAACTAGTGTAGCATAGGAATCACATTCGTCTAGCTTTACAGCGAGTGTGAGTGCCATGTTGGCCTCGACAAGAGTCATAGGACGTGTCGCAGCCAAAATTGTTGGAAAGAGAGCCTCTGTGTCTTTCATCCTTGCTTCGGTTAGGATCTTTTTGTATGCACCTGGCCTCTTGAGGTATATTGGAAAGAGTGGTTTCCAAATCAGCCCATTATGCAAGTTCACTAGACCTCTCTTGGATTATTACAGTTGGCGAATGATTGCAGATAGAGCATCAGTGGCGTGCATGCGGCTTTCGTCTCCCTCTGAAGAAAAGGAAGTAACAAACAGGGGTATCCATACTCCTGTAGAGGTGTTCATCAATCAAAGCTTTTGGCCAGACCGATTTACCGCAACCAGGACTGGTAGATACCTGGAGGCGTTGGAGTCACGCCAATTGCGAAGGTCTCCAAACGTTCGAGAGCTGCCTGGATGGTTGGAGATTGTCGAGTTTGACTCTGGAAAAGAAGGGAAAGAGCAGTTATCTGAGGCTTCAAATGTGATCCTCTATTGACATCTCAATAGAAACGAAGACCTCTTACTCGAGCTTTAACGAGATCTCGGCCCGATCCGCAAAGTTAAACCAAAGCAGTTCACGAATTTCACGAATCTCACGGGTATACATGCACAGCATCCACAGTCAAGTAATTATACAAATACAATAACAATAGCATACAAAGTTCAACACCAGTTCAAACCCCCTCCACTATCTCACCAGGCGCCAACATCTTGATATACCGATGCTCCCCATTCTCAAGAACCCGGACCTCATCCCCAACCCTCAACACAAAGGCCTCTTTGGCAGGAACAAGCTGCATCCCAAGACAAGCATTAGTCCGATCCCCATCATCAATCCGCCGATACGCCTTTAACGTCCGATCCGGCTCAGCCTTGTGTCGATCCCCAGATTCGGGATCAACATTCGGCAACCTACACCTTACAGTCCGACACGAAGCATGGATCTCCGTAGCACCAATTGACAGTCGCCTCCAGTGGTCTTCTTCAAATGCAGCGGGTCCTTGGATGATGATGTTTGCGCGGAAGCGGCGAACGCTCAAGCGTGGGATTGCATAGGCGCAGCGTGCCGCTACGTCTTTGTGGCTTGAGAGACTCAATAGGTGAATTGGATAGGCGTCTGCGAAGGCTGTGTTGGGTTGGAAGCCTAGGTCTTCTTTGCGCGGTGCGTTGCGGAAGATTTGGCGAGTGTGTGGTGCGCTTGCGCGGAATAATGTTAATGGACTGGGTTTTGGATCAAAGCCCATATATGCGTGTAATGAGTCCGGGAGTAGACATCCGAGATCGTGGGCCAGGGGCTTGTCTTTCCAGATTCTCACTGGGACCAGTGGGAAGTTGGAGTCCGGTGGTGGATGCAATGGCACTTGGAATGTGTGGCGGCTGGTACAGATCTTGAGTGTCATGCCGATCTTCATGGGAAGGCCGTTCCATCCAGTTGGTACCAATCGAGGATAGGATATCAGCATCACGCCGCCTGACCTGACTTCTGACAGGTTTGTGTCATAGTCCGAGGCGGACGGGTCAGGGACCCAGATCTCAGGATGGATCAGGGCAAGGCGGTTGAATCCTGCATTTCGTAAAGTTCGAATGTTCCATTCATCCTTGCTGTACTCCGCAAAGACAAACTGCCTGTCAAATTCGAGTCCCGTAGGTACGACATTCGAAACTTGCAGCTCGACAGCACCGCAGGATTTGAGTGGATAGCTAAACAGCGCTTTTACGCGCCATGACGGAAGGCCCTGGTTCTTTTGATCACTCGGGACCCCCTCACTATACTTCGGATCAAATTCATCGTCTAGATTGCTCTGACCCGGCGGTAGTCCCAAGCGACGACATCCTTTCGGATGGATCGGCGGTGTCTTTAGAACATAATAAAGCGGTATAAAGGCGAGAAAGACAGCCAGAAAAGGGAAATTGATCAAATCCCCCAGGGTAATGTCGGTGTTGGACATGGAGTGTTGTATGGAGTCAGATCGCAGGGATCGAAAGCGGCAAAAAATCTCCCGATCCCGGATCTCCGTCAACACCTCATTCCATCACGAAACTCAATAGAACATGGATTCAATACATTAAAGTCGATACTTATCATATCGCCACTACTTTTGAGCCTAGCTAGCTCTGCTGCCAGCTTGATGCACCCACTATGAGCGCCCTAAAGGACCAACGCGGTCTCAACGCGCCCAGCCAACACACGTGTCAGTAGCTCCCCAGTTCTTCAATAACCGAACAATGGAATACTTACCTATATAAACAGCTCCACTGACTTCAACTCAAGCAACACAAACTTTCATTTCATCAGCCAACGTCCGACTCCCGAACCGAATCGGAACGGGCTCCCGGCGTCTGGACGAAGCTTTAGATGGCCAATTCAAGCATCATCGACGCCCAACTGGCATTGTGCGTGGTCAAATTACAGAAGCGTGGGGACCACCAGGGTCTGGGAAGACCTCGCTGGGGTGAGTCTCTTCGCATTGCCGCCAGAGTCCGAATCTAACCTATCCACAGCTTAAGCATTGCACGCAGTGCATTGGAAGATGGCGGCAAAGTAGTCTGGATTGGTATGTCCCAAGCCCACAGAGACATCTAGACAGTCAAATTGATATTGTCAGATACGAGTTCTCCCGTGCCTGTACCACGGCTTCAACAAATGGGGATGAACGTCGAAAACTTCGTCTATTTGCGCACGCCGACATTACCGCACCTTCTTGCTCTTCTCGGGAAACCACCCAAGAACTTTCCACCTGCAGGAACTTCATTGATAGTCGTTGACTCCGTGTCAAGTCTCTTCCAATCGTATTTTACTGGCGCGTCAGAGCTCAAGGCCCAGCTCGCACGCGGCAAAATCAAAGACAAGAATGAGTTGCAGTGGCTTCTCAATCGAAGATGGAATGTCACGAATGAGCTTTCTATCTATTTGACTAAACTTGCTTTGAAGAGGATTGCCGTGTTGGCTCTTGATCAGACACACACAAAGATCAAGGGGCAGGTTCGTGCTACGTTAGGGCCTACTGTCTGGGGAGGAGGGTGGGAAAAGAGTGTTCTGACTCGTGTCGTGCTCTATCGTGGAAAGCGTGGTGAACGCTTTGCGGAGGTTACCAAGCGTGGAGGCAACTTTCTACCCAGGACTGGGAGGGTAGTTGTTCGGTTTCGCATTGCGAAGGTATGTTGCTTCGCCGTGATATAGTTCTTTGTTGACTCAGGTAGGACGGTTACCGTGATGATAAACCAACAGGTCTTTCTATCCGACGAAAGGTCCCTATGCGGCCCCCTGCAGTTCGGTCTTCCAACCTGCCAAGTCGCGTCTTTCGGACTCCCAAGGCACCCACTCCTTCTCCATTATCACCGGTTCACAGATCACCAGCTCTCAGTTCACCAATCCACAGACCACCAGCTCTCAATTCACCAATCCACAGACCGTCAGTTCCTAGATCACCATTTCCCAAGTCACCACTCGCGAAATCCAGACTCTCTACATCAACACTTCCCGATGAACCATCCAACCCAGTCCCTCCGCCACAGCCCGCACCGACACCGAAGAAACGTAAAGTGGAAGAAGTGGCGGACAGCCAGGATGAATTCTCAGAAGATGATTTCGTAGACGAAGAATTCCCCTGAAAGACAAGCAGCATCGAATACGAATCATGAATCATGCATTTTCAGACAAACAGCATACTAGCTGCCAGCTATCATACACTCGGAGCCTCGACAAAAACCCGCCTCTGAACAATCCTTGCTCCATGCGACTCAGCCAAAAAATCCTTCGGTTCAGCCTCCTCACACTGATCCTGACTTCGCTCCGGCGTCTCAAGCGGCGGATGTATCGTGCAAAGAGGCAGTGTATCAGCGATAGTCACAGAAATCGGATGTCGAGATCCCTGGATGAGATCGACCAGTCGACCCAAGACTGCAAACTCCAGCTTCAACTTGAGCGAGTATACAAAACCCTTCAGGATGATCTGCACAGCATACAAATTGGCATACTCCAAACTCAACAGGACGAGATCCATGATCACGATTGCGCAATTTATCCCGATGAGATGGTACATGATTGTTCTTGAATCCGGGCGCGCGGATATATCCGCCCCGAGACGTAGTAGCTTGACTGTTTCAATGACATACAATGTCGACAGGAGACCCTCTTGCAATGTAAACCCCGTCAACTGGATCTTCTCCATGATGTTGTACCCCTTGACCCAAGCCACATCACCACTATGAACGATATTCGCGCCGTATGTCAAGATCGTCGTGGGGATATGCAGCAGAAAGAAATTGACAATGATCAGTCGGAGTACTCGTCGCAGAATACGTTCATCTCGGAGAACGAGATGCAGTCGCGAATACAGAACAACCGATTGGCCGGTTACCATTGTCCACCACCCGATTGTCAAAATCGTCACCGAGAGAACAGAGTCGGTCTGCGTGAAGAATTTCATAAGGAAACCAATTGAATATGGCACTACGCCTATACATCCTGATGCCAGGAGAGACCAGAAGTACAGACCGCGCCAGCGGCGGAAGGTGGCTGGGACCAGCACGACTAGTTCGGCGACGTTGTAGCAGGATAGACCGATAAATGTTATTAGGATCATTTGGAGGATATTGCCTTCTTTTGCTAGGGCGCCAGAGATTCCGTCTAGGAGGCCCTGTGGGACGGACATTTCGGTAGGGTTCGTAGGGTCATCCCGTTTGGTATGTCCACATAGTCGGTATAGCAGTGATGAAGGAGGAAAAAGAGGTGAGAGGCGGATAGAGAAGTATGGACTGGTCGTACGGGAAATACCCCTCCTGCATATGGCTTGGACTTGTTGGTGCACGCGCGTAATTGTGCGTCAAAAGAAAGGAAACTTGGAAATGAATGGAATTCTTTCTGGAGCCACAACCCGGGGTTTAGTTCGATATTCCAGCTAGGGGGTATGGCTTGATATTTCCACTAGACAGGGATGTCTCGGGCCATTTGTCTACAATGTGACACCCGTTGCGGGTTGAACTTGGACCAATAAAGATTTCATTTGAGTCTACATGTGATTATGGCTCTTCATAGGTTGGTCAGATAGTCCTCAATCTGCTCCTTGGTCAACTTGCGGAACCGCGGTCCCTGGGCGCCCTCCACTCCTTCAAAGCCAAGCAGGTGGTCCGCTGGCGGGCCGACAATGCCTAAAAGGATTAGCTGATGTTGGCAGGGGGTGGGAAGTGGACTCACCAATTTCTATCGTGTCACCGTTCATCTCACCCTCAATCGTCTCCTTGAGTGTCAACAGCGCAATGTGAATGGCATCCTCAAGCTCCAGTCCTTCGGTGTATCGCTTCTCGAGGAAAGTCTTGGCACTCGTTGCGTGTTTACCGATGGCTGTGGCCTTCCACGGGTAGTAGCTGCCACTGGGGTCGACCTGGTACAGACTGGGACCACCCTTGTGAATACCACCGGTCTTGGTGGTTGTCTTCTCCTCGGGGTCGTCCTTCTGTGCCTCTCCCTCGGGCTCAACACCCTCGTCCCAGCCCGCAACCAACAGACTGACACCGTAAGGGCGGACACCACCAGATTGTGTAGCTTCCTGCACCACACGAGCAACATCTTGCACCAATATCCGAGTGGGAGGGTATTCGTTGTAGATACGCTTGTAGCCTGTGTGGGAGACCTTGCGGGCCTTGTCGACTAGAACCCGGTAATCAGGCCCCATACCGGCGTAGACCATACCAATGTCGGGAGTGACCAGGGAAATCTTGGACAGCGATGGGGGATCGATCAGAGGCGATGAGGACTTCTTCTCAGTAGCGAGGACAATTCCGTTTGTAGCTATGATGGCGGTCAGCTTGGTCCTGTGGGGAGAGCTGAGAGCTTACCTTTGATACCGAGGGCGGTAACACCCTGGTTGACTGCGTTCAACGCATATTCTAGTTTGATCAGTATTGATCCATAAGATCAGGATGATGGTCGCGTCTTACCAATCTGCACCAGCTTGCCGCTGTGATGGAGCTGGGTTAGCTAGTGTCAATTCCACGGGACAAGAGGTGCTTACCTGGGCGAGAATGTCGTCAAAGAGAAAGAGTATCGGTCCGCCATGATTCACTGTAAGCTGCAACACAACAGTAAGAGATGGAAAAGAAGAAGGGGAGCTGTGTTGTAGGCAGAGATGGGTGACGTTTGGCGTAGAGCTGGAAGGCGGTGAACCAATCGGGGTTAGCCGTGGGGGTTGGGAACACTTGGGCTTTTCTGCTTTTCTTTTCTTTCCCTCTGAGATCTTTCTCTCTTTGAACATTCCCCCAATGTGAGACCAATGGCAGAATCTGAACAGAATTATCCCCCTAGGGTCTGTCGCATCTGTCTAGAGACAGTATTGCCGACCTTTCAACCCTCGGAATTCCTACAGAAGCCCCGAGTGGTGTACGAGTCCTCCGACCCAGAGCTTGGCCGTCTCTTGCGTCCATGTCATTGCAAAGGCTCCTCGCGTTATGTCCATGAGGGTTGCCTGCAATCATGGCGCCATGCCGACCCTAAGTACGCGACAAGAAACTTCTGGCAATGTCCAACCTGTGGCTTCCAGTATCGCCTCGGCCGTCTGACTTGGGCACGATGGATCAGTAGCGCATCCATGCAGCTCTTCCTCACTATCGCCATCCTTTTGTTTACCGTATTCATCCTTGGATTCATTGCTGACCCTATCATTGACTTTTACCTCGGCCCCGTGGATGTCTACGAAATAGTTGACGACTCCTCTTGGTTGGAACACTTCATCAAAGGACTGACCTCCCTGGGCCTGTTGTCACTTATCAAGGCCATCTTTGCATTGTCACCCTTCCCTTGGAACATGCGCTCTGTGGTTAGCGGCCGTAATGGAGGCCGCAACCGAGCTGCCCAACTGAACTGGCTAGTGATCCTGGTTGGCGTTGGTAGTTTCCTCTGGGTATGTCCACGGGTGTCACGAGTTGACTCAGCTTAACTAACAGATACAGGCTGTCTACAAAGGCGTCCGGTCATGGAGTAGACGCACGCTAGAAAAGGCGGGCGAGAGAGTGATGGATGTGCCACTCCCCGACGATGAGGAGGAAGATAGTAAAGAAGATTGAACTCGCACTACTTAAGTTGCCGTCTCCTCTGCCCCATGAGATGTCGATTAGTCAATGTGCGAAGAACATTACTGTCTTCAATACTCCTGGGTGTCTACCTGAGAAGCAGATGAATGGCCTCGAGAACGTCTTGTTCTTGAATAATTCTCTGCTTCATGTATCAGGAAGCCCCTTGAGGAAGACAGTCCGTGGCTCAATTGTATGACTGCGTGCTGACCACTGAGTCTGACTTGGTAACGCTTTCGGATTGAGCGATGGGAAATGATAGTTAATCGAAGTGAGCCTTGTGCCTGCCTTATAATTTATTCTTCTCAATGTTTTCCACCTCGCAATCTTTCTTTCTTCGCGATTCGCGACCTCCCTTTTCTCTAATAATGTGATATCTAAACCATCATGGACTCATCTGGAACTCCCCTTGTCCAAATTCGATCGCAACTCGCGATGGACTCCGACTCCGACTCGGACACCACCGTCACCCCCAACAAAGAGCCATTTCCTGACTTCGACGCCGAAACATGCGGCCCAAACCGTAACAGATACGAAGCGGAATGGGCCCGCGCCTTCCGACAGGCTGTCCAAGAGGACATTCGCACTCGCTACATCGAGCCCTACATCATCCCCCATAACCTCGGCGAGCCATTTACTCGTAGCAACATGCTCCTCGAGGACATCAAGGACCTCCTTGCTGACCCACACATGCGCCAGACCACCCGCAATCAATTTCTCACTATGGTCAACCACACGCTTCATTTGCACCAGGTCATCTTCCACCACAGTGACCAGTTCCTTGACACGAAAGAGATTACTGAGGCCAGGTATCTTGTGGATATTGTTCTCAGCTACATGGGCTGGATAGATGGCAAGTTACGTGATCAGGTCTCCGCTGCTGAGCAGGTTTCCGTCGTACTTGAACAATTGTCCAAGGAGAAGACGACCGTCATTGAACGATACAGTCGCATGGCTACTGTGGTTTCTGCGTGAGTCTATCGTCTATGTTCTGATTCTTTATATTGACAAGTGAAGTCACCTGAAGAAGCCCCGTCCCCTGGAACGCCGTCTACTCACTGTCTTCCTTGACTTTTATGAAACATGGGTCCACACTACCTTCCTACGTCTGCGCAACCACCAGATTCTCGTGGAAGACATTCCCGTTCTCGCTCGAATTGACTTGTCGCGTCGAATCATTGCCGTCTGGGACGTGCTTAGTCGCTGCATTGAGAATTATTCCCTTTACACCTGGGCCACTCGCACCATTCGGACCAAGTACTTCGCACCAGCCATAGATCTGATGTCCGAGACCCCGGATATCTGGCAGAAATCCTGGAACAAGCGCTCGACTGTTGAAAGCCGTCGGTCTACCCATCCTGGACTGTTTGAAGAATTTTTGAGCGATCAGCCCGTGGAGACAACTCAGCAACCGGATAGTCTGGAGGGCCAGCACTCGACCAGAATTCAATCGACTTCAGTTGCAGAGCTAGAGGTTGCTGGAGCTTGAACCCTCCAGCCAAGTAATCTGGCCATGACCAGAGCTACCGATACGACCGCGACGAGTCGCCACAAACCGTCATCCAAGATACCGTTCAAGATACCCACAGAATGACACTGATACCCGAGGACAACGAATGACTGACGAAACGATACCCTAGCTTTGAGGAAACTCGCGCTTTGTGCACGAAATACTCTCATGTCTACTTGTGTAATGTAATACCAGATGCAGCATTTCAGCAGAAACATAACAAAGGAACGAATTCAATTCAAGCTATTCAATCCATTCAAGCCTCGCTATCCTTGTAAGCCCCCAACTTGAACAGCTTCTTCGCATTCTCCCGACCAATCTTCAACCGATTCGTGTTGGACATCTCAGCATTATCAAACCACTCACAACCATCCTCAAACGTCTCAAAGGGATAATCAATCGAGAACAGAATCCGATCAGCCCCAACCTCAGCCAAACAAAAGTTCAACGTAGTAGTAGAGAAATGCCCAGAAGTAGTAATCCACAAATTATCCGCGAAATACTCCCGAATGGTCCTCTTACACGTCTCCCCCAGACCCAGAACCTTCTTCCGATCCTCAAACCAATGATTAATCCGCCACATATCAAATGGAATATGTTCGCCCAGATGTCCCAGGATAACCTGCAACTTGGGATGTCTGTCGAAAACACCATTCGTCACCATTCCCAGTACGTGCAGACTAACACCCTGTGCGAAGGACAATGGGGGCCCGATGAGCCATTTCCGGTCTGCCCAGAGTTTCTCGTAGATTGTGCCTGTTGGGTTGCGCGGGTGGAGGTACAATGGTACGTCTAGTTCTTCGCAGGTTGACCAGAACACGTCCCATTTGGCGTTGTCGTAGAAGATCATTTCGTCGCCGTCTGGGCCGGCGCGTTGGGTGTCGTTCACCAGTGCGCCTAGGAAGCCGTGTTGAGTTACGCAGCGGCGGAGCTCCGTGGCTGCTTCTTGAGGGTCGTGCATGGAGAGGGTGCTGTTCTTGTTAGTTTGTTCATTGCTTGTCTCAGATGAGGGTGGAGAGCTTACGCAAAAGCGGCAAATCGCTCTGGGTGCGCTTTCACCTTCTCGGCGATGTAGTCATTGATCTCGATGGCTAGGGCTTGTGCATCCTTGGCATCCCAGTTATCTTGTACACCTGGCGCGGTGTAGCTGAGGATTTGGAGACCGACGCCGTATTTCTCGGCGAAGTCAAGACGGATTGGACCGACATCATTGATTTCTGCGGTGTGCTTCTCTGTGTCTGTGGCGAACATTCCGGCCCACCATTTGGTCTTCTCCGCGAACCGGGGAAGCGCGAAGGCTTCTTCGAGGGCGATTTTGCCGAGCATGATGTAGTATGGAGGGTGGTGAAGTGACGGTGATGGAGGGAAGTGGAAGGGGAGATGGGGGATTTCGGGGTACAGAATACCTGGTGACGAATTACTTTATATCACACCGGGGTCCCCGCACTTCGGAAGCTCCTGTATATAGCCGTTTGGCATTCGATCTACTGATTACGCGCATCGGATGAGGTGATCCGACGAACCGACGGGGGCGGTCCGCCCACTGCGGCTCGGGGCGGCCGGGGTAAAGTTATATCAATTGCTTCAGTGTTGTCTGTACTTGACTGCGCAAACAGGCCGCAATCCGGTTCCATGACTCGGTGGATCCCTCTTTGACTGACCTCTTTGACTGAAGGATACCAACCGCGTCTTTTCCGATCATCCATTTCCCCGGTGTCGGAATTTGCGCTGCTGCAAGCTCGATCTTTCCTCTCGGGGTCGAGTCGATGATGTGGGACGACTGCACCTCGCCGATGACGAAGAGCTGGTCGTGTGGATCCATACTTGGATTGTAGTTTCGTTTAAACTCTAGGATATAACCTGCCAAAGGAGCACCAACGGCATGGATCTTGGTTCCTTGTTTGGTAGTGGTGGATGGGACAAAGAGTGAGAAGTGGGCTCTCTGAAAGGTGGTGTTACGAGCAGCTATTAGGTAGATGGTTTTTCTATCCACGTTTTCGATGTTTATGAAGAGGATACAGTGGTAGGTCCAAGAGTATTATCAAAGGATGAGGTTCTACGCTGATGCTTGAACCTGTCACATCTCAGCCTGAAATGTAATCGACGCTTAAAGAAGGCGAAACGTATGTATCATTGATACGTTCGAAGATTCTATTCACGGGCGGTTTTTCTGCTTTACTTTTTTCATACTTTCCTCCGGCTGGTATGGGGAACCACTTGCTTCCCAACGGCCACTACCAAGAACTGTACAAGAGTCGGCTCGGCACTCGAATTACGCGACGGAAATGTGGATATACGTGTAATATAATGCTCTTATTAAATCTTATATACTGTACACAGTCACCCCAGGAAATGCGACCTATCCGAACTCGGCTGTTCGCCATGCGAAGAACCCGAATGCACCATAGAAATCAACATGCTCAACACAGCAAACTCCAACTTGAGCTTGATACTATACACCAACGCTTTGAAGATGATCTGTGTGAAATAAAAGCCCATATACTCCAACACCAGCAGCGCGACATCCATGCAGATCGCCGTGACATTGATCGCGATCAGCTCGTACAGGATCTTATGTCGTCTCTTGTTTTCTTGTGGACTTATTCGGAGTATTGCGACTGTTTCGTAGATGTACACGCCTGAGATGAGGGTTTCTTGCGCGGCGAACCAAGTGACTTGGATCTTTTCTACTACGTCGAATGCGCGCACCCATGATGGTATGTAGGAGAAGTATTCCGAGCCGAAGTTGAGGGTGACGGTTGGGATGACGAGGATGATTGTGTCGATTATGATGAGCCATTTTAGAGCGCGGAGGAGGCGGTAGTTGGTGGAGATCAGGTGGAGACGGGAGTAGAGGACTACCGATTGGGTTGGGACGAGCATTATGAAGCCGATATTCGAGAGAAGGAGGCTTAACCATAGTGGTGCGAGTGCGAAGAATTGAAAGGACGTTCCTAGGCTGGTTGGGATGATGCCTAGTACGGCTGATAGGAGGAGCGACCAGAAGTAGAGGCTGCGGTAGGTTTTGAAGGTCAGTGGGATGAGGACCATCAGCTCCAGCGCGTTGTATAATGCGATCGAGATAAACACTATAGCGGCGATGCTTTTGGCTTGGTTGTCGCCGATCAGGGATGGGTGTGGCTGGAACGAGCTCGACATGGTAGGAGGTGCATGCTTGCTGCTTGCCTAGGGGGTGACCTGGGGGTAGGATTGACCGCAGAGGTTATAGGCCCGACGAACATAGGAACGCGATAGTTGAGGCGATGCGCCACGATGTCGCGATCTATGGTTCCAAACGTCACGAACGTCACCACCCAATGAACATTCTCGGAATCATTTCCACTACTTCAATGGAACGCGATGATAGGCTCAGCCGAAATGCAAAGATTCATCCATGGTAATGGACTCGGATTGATTTCTTTTTCATTGGCTCAGAGATAATAGTCTTCAGGGAGATAGGGATCGCGGGGAAGGTTCGATTTAGACGCTTGGAACTGTCTATAACTGGACCAGGACCTTGATATTATCTCGATCCCTTCTATGATGACTTAGCAGTAAGCTTGATTCCACACTTCTCCATGGGTCGACAGGCTGCAGAACTCCAATCCGGAACCGGCGGAGCTTGCACCCCCATGGTTATTCTATACCTCATCAAGACCGAAGCAACCAAAAGTTTCATACTTAGAGTTCCGAGTCTCTGGCCCTTGCACGCGTGTTTCCCGGCGCCCCAGCCAATAAAATCCCCCCGGAACTCCCGAGAGGGGTCCCAGCGCATTGGATTGGGGTAATCATTGGGGTTGATAGATGTGTCTGAGAATGGATAGACAACTGAAGCCCCGGAAGGGATGGTGTAAGGTCCAACTGTTAATTCTGGACCAACGTTCTTTCGCACGGCTGTGTAGGGCTGAGCGATGCGTAGGGTTTCGCGGATGCAGAGATCCAGTGTAGGGGTTTGGGTTTCCCAGGCTTGCAGGGGTATTGACGAGAGAGTTTCGGTCAGAATTTGACTGGGAGAGGCGGCATGTACTGATATCAGAGTTTCAATCTCTTTCTGCACAGCCGCAGACCAGTGTGGATCAGAGGCGAGATACATGATCAGCCATGTTACTGTGCAATGTTAGGAAGGGCTGTTAACCATTTTGAGACAACATACCTGTAGTTCCCATGGCACGTGCTCCGGCTAGAGAAAGACCTAGCATGAGCTGTATAAGCAGTTAGTCTCGGATATGGAGCTCTCAGTGTTCGGGCACATACGCCGAATATGTGAAAACTACTCTCTCCGTCATCCAGCATCTGCTGGAGGGTGTCTCTCTTGTGACTTCCACTGCTCCTCCTCTTCTGAATCTCTGCCTGAATGATCCTGTATATGCGCGCAGAAGCGGAGATCTTGCAAAGGGACGAGATATTGGGTAGCCATGAACTTTCGGACGTATTGGAAGTTGAGTCGACAAGATCGACAAGTGGTTTTAGACGCGACAAAAGGGCTGGATCGTCGGCTATATCGAAGGAAGCAGGGCGCATGACCATCTGAAAGGCAATCTAGGACAAGAAATTTGTGTTAGCTCTATCTTTGACAGGTATATAAAGCATACATACCTCATGGAAAGCTGAGCACGGATCGAGGTCGGCTTGAGTCCCCCACGAATCCAGTTGTTGTTGGCAGTCTGACAGTAACAACGGGATTACTGCATGCTGCATAAGTTTTTACTCTCTTAGATAGTATTCAATTGGACAGACTCACAAAATTGCAAGTTATCTGGCTTTTGAATAGCACTCATCCGTCGAACAACACCATTGACCTGGTGTGGGTCAAACTCCGATGAGATCTGGAAAAGACAAAACTATCAATAAATGGGATGAATATTGCTTTGAGAGGACTCACACTACCAAGTAGACTTTGGAATGTCTCATATAGATGTAAGTTCTTTTCTTTGAAGAAGATGCGTCGACCTTCCGGTCCAGATAGAACAATGGGTCTGGGCTGGTAGACAATGAATGATATAGCTCGAAAGCAATTTCTCAGAAAATCGATACACTTGTCAAAAGGGTCGGAACTTGGTAAGAAAAAGCGAAGTGACTGTACACAGGGCCTGCGTCCTTTCCTCGTCAAGGGAGTCTGTTCGTATAATACTTGATGCAACACGAATAGAATCACAATGGCCATGGAGGCAAGAGCACCCAAGTCGGATGGTGTTAGATTGAGCAAGCTACTGCATGATGCAGACCCTAGATTTGTTAAAATACTTTGTAGCATATTGTGAAGAAAGATCAGAAGCAGAATGCGCAGTTCTAAGATTGAATTGAATGCATATTCAAGCCCTTTTATACTACAAGCCCCAAAAAGTACGCCTCATGCCTGGATTACCCATAAATCCACCCATTTTCGTTACATTGAGCCCATCTCCATCGTCTCTACTAAGCCTCTCTTCGTTGCCTGCCCTACCGCCCGGGTATAACTCAGGTGGAGCAAATGCACCACCAGACAAACGCCAGACCCACTAAGTCTCTAAGCCTCTCCGTAGATCAGCCTATCCTATAGATCTCCAACTGTTGGAAGAAAGCCGCAGACTGAAGTCATGTTGGCTGCTCAGCTACGGCCTGTCTAGACAGGATCCATTGTAATGGTGTACTGCATTGTTTAGATTAAGTCTGACCGGAAATACAACAGCCGTTCATGTACATTCGCTTATCGTATGCATGTCAGAACCTGAAATAAGACCCCGACCACCAACACTACACCCTCTTGTTGCCAATCGTTCTTCTGATGTGCCTGAGAGGCTTGTATCACATCATTTCCTCACTAATGTTCTTACCAATTGCCGCTTTTGCCTGACTCTGGTGAGGTTCATGGCCCCATAGATAGCTTGGCTGATGCTCGCCTAGATTGCGGCTGAAAGGGATCGTTCGATTGACTCATTGTTCGTATTATGGGATAATAATACAGATCTCGATCTCGAGTGATTTGCAGTAGCCTATGGAAGGTCATACATCCCAACAGTCAGCAACCAACAGTTTGGTCGTGGGCCATTCCTCATAGGCCAGGTTTTTGTTCTGTAGCCGCGCCCATCGTACCGCCTGCATTGCGGGATCAGCCACCTGCCCGCCGGTGCATACCGAACTGTGACTAATACTTGATTGGCCATATCTCCGAGAAGGATTCTGAATAGGTGGAAGGAAACGTGCCTCGAACAAGTGATCCCTCGGTGTGAGATTTTGCAGAGCCTGCAGGGAGACTTTGCATAACGCGCTAGCTCTTTTCGGCAATAGTCTCATTCACCAGACTCTCAAAAGTACTCGTTTTGACTAAGAGCCATTACATAGAGCAAACATCGGAGACTTGCAGTTCAGATATAAACAAGTCAAGTAGAAGAATCACTCAATTCAAAAAAGCCCAAACCTAGAGGACATGAGCATCAGGAGAACTAGCGGGCTAGAAGCACAGGAGGTGACAAGACAGAGAGAAGAGAAATAAGCAGATTAGAACACAACAAACTCTGTGTTCTCTGGGGAGAAGCCGCCAATACCATGAAGCTGGTCGAAAATCCCTCTTTGCCTGCGTTCGATCCCTCTGTACAGCGAAATTCGAAATTGGCTTCTATGTTTTGCGCAAAGAACTTGTTTCTGGAACCCTACTAGGTATATTAAACGTACAGGAAGCAGAGGGCTCCCAAATGCAACGGCTGATTGGAATGAATTGTAGTAGATTGTAATTGAAACCATACTACAGAATATAGTGAGGCCAACCTGACACATAAGAAACGAAGTGAAGCTAAAAAGATCGTGTCTAGATAGCCACATGGCGGGTTTCCCAATTCAGCAGGGTTTCAGAATTGTGCAGGGTATAAGGATGAGTCGGACCCAGACTTCGTTCTTGCTTGATCACGCAGGTTCTTAGCAAATCGATTGCCTCGGTACTTCGACCGGCAGACTCCCAGGTGAATGCAAGGTTGGCCATGCTCGTCAGCGTGTCGGGATGGTCTGCACCGAGTTTCGTCTTGCGAGTCTCCATGACCTGCACTAAGAGCTGCTCGGCCTCTTCCCATCGGCCTTGGTCCCTATACGTCACCGCTAGGTTGCCTATGCTCGTCAGCGTGTCGGGATGGTCCGCGCCGAGTTTCGTCTTGCTCGTCTCTATGACCTGCACAAAAAGCTGCTCGGCCGCTTCCCATCGGCCTTGGTTCCTATACGTCGCCGCTAGGTTGGCTATGCTCGTCAGCGTAGAGGGATGTTCTACACCGAGTTTCGTCTTGCGAGTCTCTATAACATGCATAAAAAGCTGCTCGGCCTCTTCCCATCGGCCCTGGTTCCACAACGTGAACGCTAGGTTGGCCATGCTCGTCAGCGTAGAGGGATGTTCTGCGCCGAGTTTCGTCTTGCTCGTCTCTATAACATGCATAAAAAGCTGCTCGGCCTCTTCCCATCGGCCCTGGTTCCACAACGTGAACGCCAGGTTGCCTATGCTTGTCAGCGTGTCGGGATGGTCCACGCCGAGTTTTGTCTTGCGAGTCTCCATGACATGCACCTCGAGCTGCTCGGCCTCTTCCCATCGGCCCTGGTTCCACAACGTTAACGCTAGGTTGGCCATGCTCGTCAGCGTGTTAGGATGGTCTGCACCGAGTTTCGTCTTGCGAGTCTCTATGACCTGCACAAAAAGCTGCTCGGCCTCTTCCCATCGGCCCTGGTTCCATAACGTCGACGCTAGGTTGCCTATGCTCGTCAGCGTGTCGGGATGGTCCGCGCCAAGTTTCGTCTTGCGAGTCTCTATAACCTGCATCTCGAGCTGCTCGGCCTCTTCCCATCGGCCCTGGTTCCACAACGTGAACGCTAGGTTGGCTATGCTCGTTAGCGTAGAGGGATGGTCTGCACCGAGTTTCGTCTTGCGAGTCTCTATAACCTGCACCTCGAGCTGCTCGGCCTCATGCCACCGCCCCTCTAGTCGGTAGGCTACTGCTAACATCGCAGTGCTGTTAAGGGTGTCTTCATCTTCCGCGCCGCCAATCTTCAGTCTTTGCTTCCTTGACATCTCTGCCATCTCCTTTGAAGTCGAAATATTGCCACATTCTTGCGCATACCACGCCCCTCTGTAGAGTAGCGCGGCCCAGTTTCGGAGTGAATCTTGCGATTTCGGTCGATGCAACACGGCCGACCTGATATGTGGAAAAAGTGACCGGCATCTATCCCAATTTTCATATTCACCAGTCGGGAATTCTCCACATAAGCTGCTTATGAAAAGTTCCTTCCACTGCTCCTCCTGGCCATGAGATTTCAACCATGTGCGTACTGTGAGCTGCACTAACCGATGCATCGTGAACACCATGTTATCTTCACCAGTGGCAATAAAGGAATAGTCCCTTAGAGTCGCAATATCGCTCTCGAAGTCGTCATCTAAGTCACAGTCGGACGAGCTATCCGCATGTTCTTCACTTGATCTGTCGATAACTCCTTCCGGAGATCCGAGAGGTTCACGATCTCTTTCCGCATCTTGTACCCGTAGAAGATTCTCTTGGATTCCCTGCCAGTCGAAAAAGCTCATCAGAGACAGTAGATCAGCTGCAGACCGCCTGATCCGTCGGATATGGTCGAATGATATTTGCCAAGTCAATAGAATCGAGTTCTTTGCCTGCCAGTCTCTATGCATATGTTTTCCCTCGTGGTAAAGAAGTTTCGAGGCTTGATGATCACTCTGTCGAAGCTTTTCTAGGTATTCCGATGCCGAGCAACGGGGTGAGCGGTGGGTGATGTAGCTAGCCGCTTGCACAATTGCGAGCGGCATGAATTCAAGTTCCTCGACTAGTAGAACCAAATCCTCTTCCTCAGTAGATGAGTCTAGCTTTTTCTGCATTAGAACCGACGCTTCGGCTGTATTCATTGGTTGCACATCGATCAAATTTTTCTTATCGCCGGCAATTTCCAAAGCCACAGCCTTATTCCGGCTCGTCATGATGATAGAGCCATTCGAGCTTTCGAGAAGGTACCTAAGCGGTGGCCGCGTCGAGGTATAGTACTGGGCATCTGCTTGAGCCTCGATTCGAGTTGCCAACGGTTTGCAAAGGAGCTCGTCGTCATCGACATTATCAAGGACAAGAATCCATTCTCCAATCTCTCCATCTTGCAACCAATTCCCGAAGAGTTGGAATATATTAGCGTTGCGATCCTGGCGCCCAGGAACCTTGGCACGGTCGGCAAGGTTGCGGAGACTTTCCTCGCAGCGGGCCGCATTACTCGCATGAACCCAGAAAATCCATGTATCAGGCGATTGCTGCCAGACTTGGTGGCAGTATTCGATGGCGAGTCGAGATTTCCTGTTGTCAAGTCAGCCTTGGGCGGATCGCGAAGGGCTGGATTGACCTAACCCAACGCCCCCTAGACCAAAGAGAACTATTCTAGCTCCCGGGATCGAAGACTTTTCGTGGATTTGATCAAGGAGTTCATCGCGGCTGACAAAGTCTGGATCATGCGGGAACGGCACGGTCGAAAGAGGCTCTGGGCGGGGTTCTGGTTGGTCTAGAAGTGAAATTCACCATTGGTTAACACGACCTGAGCCTAACTGCGAGACTATTCGAACTCACCCGCAGGAAGATATATCGGCCCGTGGCTGATCCCCACCTGGAACCCCGAATTCTGGTAACCAAAAGATATAGAGGTCATTTTGAATGGGCGACGCACAGTTTAAGATTTGGGCAAAAGAAGGGCGCTGGGCCCCTTATTTGGGGCCTAGCCTCAACGTCTCAGGTGACTTCTTGGGCGCTAGGCGTTGGGCTAGGCACCAGGTTAGCCCGGTGCTTTCTTCCTCTCACCTATTGAACCTCGATCTACCGCGCTATCTAAGTAAAAATGTCTACGTGCCCGTCTCTCAGCCAGTCAATATCGGGGGCTTACCGCCCTGCCCCGCCTAATATGCTGGCCTGGACAAGTTATAGGCCGGTTTTATGCGGCTTGATTAATATCGTTTTATTACTACTTGAATTAGGGCAATGGTGAGGCTGAGGAGCGACTAAGCCCCTCTCAATTCTCTCCCTTCGACCCCTCAAATAGCTAGCACTACCATAACCCCAGTCATTTGCATACCAACGCCAACAGTCTCTTTGCTACATTAGCGATTTCACTTTCCACCTCTGTGTTCGTGATGTCGAACCCAGAAGATTACACTGTCGGTTGGATTTGCGCCATCACGACTGAATATGTTGCCGCTCAAGCATTCCTCGACGAAAGGCATGACCCCCCCGTGTACCTGCCGCCTCACAGCAAATCCGACTACACGTTGGGAAGAGTTTGGAAGCACAACGTGGTTATTTCCGTTTTGCCCATGGGAGAATACGGCACGAGCTCGGCAGCTCGGGTGGCAGAAGACATGATGCATAGCTTTCCAAATATCCGTATCGGCCTTATGGTCGGCATCGGGGGCGGCGCGCCAAGCCAGAAGCATGATATCCGTCTTGGAGATGTTGTGGTTAGCATCCCTCGCAATGGCCAAGGCGGTGTCCTGCAGTATGATTTTGGTAAAACCATTCAGGGCCAAGCCTTCCAACCCACGGGATATCTAGATCAGCCACCCACCGTGCTACGTGCAGCAGTAAATGGACTCGAAGCCCAGTATGAGAGCGAAGGAAACCAACTCGATGACACGGTGCATAAGATCCTCGAGAAGAAGCCGCGATTACGAAGGAAATACCAGCGCCCAGATCTAGCTAGTGACCGACTATACCAAAGTCAGGTTGTCCATGCCGTGGACGGTGATTCACCTTGCACTTTGGGTTGCGGTGAGGATCCATCCTGCCTAGTTCCACGATCTCCCCGCACCGAAGAGGATGATAATCCGGCAATTCATTACGGCCTTGTTGCCTCAGCCGACCAACTCATGAAGGACGCTTTGTTTCGAGACAATTTGGCTGCGCAAAAAGACGTTTTGTGCTTTGAAATGGAAGCAGCTGGGTTGATGAACCACTTTCCTTGTCTAGTGATCCGAGGCATCTGCGATTATGCTGACTCGCATAAGAACAAAGCCTGGCAGGGGTATGCGGCCATGGTTGCAGCTGCGTACGCCAAAGACCTTTTGTATCGAATTGCTCCCCAGCAGGTGGAACAAGAGGCAAGAATTGTTAATGTTCTGAAGGAAGGAGATCACTATACAAACATCACTTTCGGAAGTCACAACTCTGGCTTCCAGGTTGGCGTGAATGATGGCCCTCTCAACGCGACGTTCGGGGCAAAGTAATTGGCGTGTACATATATCCGCGCAAATTTTGATGTCTGCTTTGTTTCGGTTAAGTAAACTCATGATATGTGTTGGCGATCAACGTCCAGTACTAGATACTTTCTACACGCTCTTACAGGGTCCCCCTGTGGAGGCCAACCGAGATCGACAACAGTATCAGCAGTAGGTGGCTGTTCTTGCATAATGGATTGCCATCATGAAAGCAGAGGTCCGTTCGATGCAGCGCCAATTCAATCCGACAATCACAGATGAGTCGACGTTATAGAAAATCAGATCAGCTGCATAGCCAACCATCATCCCAAACGCCGTCCACATCTGCCATTGCACGACCAATGCACTACGGATGGAGGATGGTGCCGCTGAAATGGCGCCGTACATGGGCACCGTTGCGGATTTGAGACCAATACCGAATCCAAGCATGAATCGCGCTACGAACATCGTCCACCATGTTGACACGTACCCTTGCCAGAGACAGGCAATTGCGCTGAAACAACATGTTATGAAGATTGTCCCGCGACGTCCGAACCTGGCATTGAATGGGACAGTGAGCCAGCAACCGATGACGGCGCAGCAAAGATATGGGGCCGCGTTTACCAGACCGACATGCCAAGTACTTCTGGATGATCGGTCACCGATACCAAATTGGTGTTTGTAGAAGGAACCAATGTTACCGTCACCGAGGAAGCCATGTACAGTATGGATCTATCAGCGCGGCTCCGAATATCTCCCGGTTGGAACCCGGTCGGGCTTCGGCTATACTTAGCAGTAGCTGCTGCACGAGTTGTGATCATCAGGCTTCAATTAAAATATGCACAGACTTGCAGTATGCTGGCCAGACATAATAGGTCAACCCTGCTGAATATCATTGAAAGAATGGGACTTGAGTGATCGTTCACATCTGCGCCATGGCACTGCAAGGTTGACCAAGGGATACGAATACAGTAGCTGTTTGGCTCGGAAATTGAGAGACCCAGAGCATATTTATTACAATTGGCAATTGGTATGAAGCTTTCCTTGGAATAATCAATTCTTATGTTGCTATCTAGTACAGGTAGGTCTATTGTAGATATTAGGTGGTCCTGTGAAAATCTTCAATCATGTTAGCAATGATCGCATAGACTTGGTAAGAAAAGCAAAGTCAAGAAGCTTCATCAGATAGCAGTTGGTACAATTTTTAGTCCACATTATAGTTCAGAACAGGTCTGTGTGAAAAGGTTGCTTCATCATAGAAGGGAGGGAAGAAACGGTTCAAACTCACAATTTTAGTAGCAGCTCCTCAACAGCCAAGACAACATTTGGTATTGTGATGTTTGTATCGGGACAGTTGAGTCGAGACAGGCTCATGGTGTTTGAATCGCTGCTTGTATGGCAAGCTAGACGTAGCTTCATCATGCTCTGTCTATATTGTCTAGGCAGGATTGGCGACAAACCACAGCCAATGCTTATGCTATAGACCCATCGATCATGGATGCAATGCCAATGAACAGCCACAATGGTATAAGTTTTGAAATCGAAGTGAATGCAGAAGATGAAGAAAAAAAGAAAAAGGCGGGAGCTCGCGAAATAAATACTGCCGATCGGATATTTGCACTGTTTGCACTGGCAATCAAAAAAAAAAGTGACAGACGCGAATTGCAATTTTGATTTCGTGGTTTTGCAGTTTCGTGTTGAAGTCTTATTCTGCAGATATTAACACAGTCATGGATATGGAAAGCCTCAGACCTCAGGAGCAGAGTGTGTTATCTATACTTGACCACCGAAAAAGGCACTAATCTAGATCTACAGCTCCTACCAAGTCGCCCTATGAGAACGTCCGTACGAACGGTCGAGCCTTCAACTCTGTCAACTGGCGCACAAAGGTTGACAGCCCATCTGGCTCACCCACACGTCCATCACCATCTCGTCCCAGTAACGCCAGCCCCAACACCACCAACACCTCTCGCGCAGCATTCAGCCGACCTGGATCCCATGTCCCGCAAGCGATCTCAGATGGCCGCCGCCTGTATGTAGGCAACATGCCCTACACGGCCAAGACGGAGGATGTGGAGGCGCTATTCATTGCGGCCGAGTTCCCTATGTATGCGTGCACTTGAACCATGGCCATGGACCCGACTTAATCCCCTTCCCATAGCGAGCGCATCGATATTGCCATTGACCCGTTCACCGGCCGAAACCCCTCCTACTGCTTCGTCGACCTGCAAAACAAGGAACATGCCGAGCGTGCCATGACCGAGTTGGATGGCCGGGATATGCTGGGTCGTCCGGTCAAGATCAAGCCCGGTGTCGCCAAGTCGGCGGAGCGCATCGCCAACCCCCCCGAGCCCTTTAGAATTGATCGCTGGCGCCAGCAGGATAAAGTCAGCTTTGCCAAGGTGAACAGTGATTCTAGCCGTCGAGTCTATGTCGGTGGCCTGCCTCGGTTGACAGACCATGAGGCCGTGCAGAGTAACATTGAGGCGTTTTTCAAGGGGTTCTCTGTGTAAGTCTTGGTGGCTTCAGTGGTGTGATCTATACTGATACTGTGCAGTGAGAATGTCAGCAAGGTCTTCGCCCCTCATCCCGCAAAGCGATTTGAGCCCGGCGAGCACTACTATCTGTTCGTCGATGTGGGCAGCCCTGAGGAAGCCGAGAGGGCTATGCGTGAATTGAATGGCCAACAAGGACCGTGGGGTGGTCCTCTGCGAGTGCAATTTGCTCGTGGGCCCAAGCCAACGGTCACAGATAAGAATGGAATAGAAATGACAGCATAGAATACAGCATATAGCATACAAAATAGAATCATGCAACTTGTAACAAGCAACAACTTGGAAGAAGTGGAAAAAGTGGATTGTTCACGGGATGACGTTAGTGGGGAAAAGACTCACCGCATCGCCATCCAACTTCCCTCCTTTTTCCTTTCCTCACTTTTGATCTCCTGCAGGTGATAATCCGATCTTCTCCTTTATAGAGACCCTGCATGCTCGGCTAGTTGAGGCTTGTCTCTTGTTCCGGCCTCGGGATCTCTTCCTAATCCTCCCGAAACCACTTCCATTTCTCTACACCTCTACAACCATGTCGTCCAAAAGTGTGATTAGGAGCCAGCAGCAACATAAGGTGTTCATTGCCAGTGTAAGTCGAATTTCCTTCTTTCTCCAACTTTTGATGTATCGCGGGGTACTCAACCGAGGTCCCGCGCCAATTGGTGCAGTTCGCCACTTGGGGAATCGCGGAAAGTTCATTGCATGTTTGAGAGTGTAAAAGCTTGTCGATGAGACGATTCTTCGCCTCGTATCAACCGCTCTTGATGCAAAAGGCAGTATTAGGAGAAAGTACTCTGTATTTTGGACCTGGACCCGCTTAATACCTTCCCAACTTGCGCGCTGCTTCCTCCTCCTACACACGCCTGCTTTCTCAAAATGTTTGCCGCTGACCCTTACTTACAGTCTGACGACTCCAAAATATGTGTTGTCATGGTGGGCCTTCCGGCCCGAGGCAAAAGTCTCATCGCCGGCAAGGGTAAGTGTGCATCCAGCTATTGCGTACTGAGACTAACACCCGACAGCGATGCGCTATCTTGGCTGGGTGGGCATTCCCGCGCGCGTTTTCAATGTTGGTGGCTATCGCCGATTCAACACTCCTCAGCCAGCGGCCACCTTCTTTGATCCTCACAACGAGGAAGGCGAGCGCATGCGTCGCGCTGCGGCCGAGGCGGCCATGTCGGACATGATCCAGTGGTTCAACACCGGAAAGGGTGTTGTGGCCATTCTGGACGCCACCAACTCGACCAAGGAGCGTCGTAACTGGATCTACGAAAAGTGTCACGAGGCTGATATTGAGGCCCTCTTTGTGGAGTCTATTTGCGATGATGAAGACTTGATCATGACCAACATCAAGGAAGTTAAGACTACATCTCCGGATTACAAGGGCCAAGATCCTGAAGCTGCAGCTCTGGATTTCCGCAATCGCATTCGCAATTATGAAAAGGCCTATGAGACGATTGACGACAATGAGAAGCATTTCACTTATGTCAAACTCATCAACGTTGGATCAACCGTCATTATCAACCAGATCAAGGATTATCTATCTAGTCGACTGGTCTATTACATTCAGAACCTTCACATCAAGCCTCGATCCATTTGGCTGTCAAGAGTGAGTCATGTGATATGTCTTTGGGAATACCAGCTAACGAAAGGTAGCACGGCGAGTCCGAGTTCAACTTGACCGGTAAGATTGGTGGAGATTCCAATATCTCCGAGCGAGGTGAAGCCTATGCCCGCGCACTCCCTGAGCTCATGCGCAAGTCGGGAATCCCTTCCAACACCAAGATTGTCATTTGGACCTCAACCCTGCGCCGCACCATTCAGACAGCCCGCCATCTCAAGGCTGAGACCGACTTTGAGAAACTCGAATGGAAAGCTCTGGATGAGCTCGACTCCGGTGTTTGCGATGGTTTGACTTACGAGGAAATTGCCGAGAAGTACCCTGAAGACTTCGCCGCCAGAGACGAAGACAAATACAACTACCGCTACCGCGGCGGCGAGTCCTACCGTGACGTCGTCATTCGCCTGGAACCAATCATCATGGAACTCGAGCGCAGCGAGAATGTCATTATTGTTACCCACCAAGCCGTGCTCCGTTGTATCTACGCTTACTTCATGAACGTCGCCCAGGAACAGAGTCCGTGGATGGAGGTGCCATTGCACACCCTCATCAAGCTCACGCCCCGTGCATATGGTACCGAGGAGCAACGTTTCAAGGCTGATATCCCTGCTGTTTCCACTTGGCGTGGGAAGGGAACATCTGCTAAGCACCAAGATTTCCCTGCAGAGGGCAAGGAGGGCACAGAGACTAAGCATTAAGTTGTATTAGTATTAGTCTGCATCGGAGTGGCGTCACCTGGCACATGGATGCGGTTGGATTAAGACTGCATAAGATATTCAGATACCAAAAACAAGGGTTTATTGATTTACCAACAGTATTGTGTCATGTATCCAACGAAAAGTAGAAGCGTTAATATATTAGACTACTGCTGGTAACTATCTGCCGATCCATCCCGAAATCGGCCCGCCATGTGGATTCACGCTGACTAAGTACTGACTCATCACCTGGACGTCATGCGGAGAGCTTCAACAGCGCTCGCCCTCCCAACAGGAATTGCGAGCACCACGCCCATGTTGTCAGCATTTACGGCGCGGCCGCTGGTCGAGCTGAAGCCGCGCGACAAGTCGCGCATCGAATCCGTCCTAGCCTACGGCGACCGCCTCCTAGCCGGCCTAAACAATGGCAACCTCCGCATCTACCGCGTCACCGACGACGGCAAGACCGAACTTCTACGCGAACTGGAGAAATTTTCCCGATACAAGATCGAGCAGCTAGCCTTGATTAAGGAGGCCAATGTGCTTGTTTCGCTTGCGGGCGGTTATGTCTCCCTTCATGATGCGCAGTCTTATGAGGTTGTTGAAGTGCTGACGCAGACGAAGGGTGCTTCTGCTTTTGCTATTACTTCTAATGTTGTTAATGACCCCGATACCAATGTTCCTGCTATTGTTTCCCGCCTTGCTGTTTCGGTTAAGAGAAAGATTCTTATGTGGGTTTGGCGCGATATGGAACTCGAGCGCGACACTACGGAGTTGAGCTTGGTAAGTGGGGTTAAGACTCTCACTTGGGTCGCTGCTGAGCGTTTGGTTGTCGGCTTGAACTCGAGTTTCGTCATGGTCAATCTGGAGAGTGGCCAGGTGACGGATTTGGCTGGTCCGGGCAGTGTTGAGGAGTCTGGTCGATTTACAGGTGTTGGAGCTGCAAGTATGAGCTATATCGGTATGGGTGGGATGGTGCCGCGGCCACTTGCGACGAGGCTTGGGGAAGGTCAGATTCTGCTGGCCAAAGATATCAATACGCACTTCATCGATGTTGATGGCCAACCGCTTGGTCGCAAGCAGGTTCCCTGGAGCCATGCACCTGTAGAGCTGGGATATTCATATCCTTTTCTATTGGCTTTGCATGATTCCGCCAAGGGTGTACTGGAAGTCCGCAACCCAGAGACCTTGTCTCTTTTGCAGTCCATTCCTTTGCCGTCCGCTAGTATCCTGCACATTCCACAACCGAATATCAGTCTCGCACACGCTGGAAAGGGGTTCTTGGTGGCCAGTGAACGCACAATATGGCGCATGGAAGCCCTGAGCTATGACACACAAATCGATACATTGGTTGAAAAAGGCTATTTAGATGAAGCTATCAGCTTACTTGGAATGCTGGAGGATGCCCTTCTCCGGGATAAATCTGGCCGTTTACGCTCTACAAAACTGGAAAAGGCGCAAGGCTTGTTTGCCTTGAACAAGTATCGCGATTCTTTGGACCTCTTTACTGAGGTCTCTGCACCCCCGGAAAGTGTCATTCGCCTGTACCCTCGATTGATCGCGGGTGATCTGACAACTGTCCCCGAGCCCGAGGCTCCAAATGGAAAAGCCCATGGGTCACAAAGTGACGGTTCGTCGGATGAGGCAGCCCCAGGGCAAACATCCACCAATGCTCCGTCTGTCATATCATCTATGCGTAAACCCGATGAGGGCAGCGAGTCGAGCAGCATCCGCGGAGACGAGAAAGGTAAGCAAGACTCGGCTTTTAGGTGTCTTTGAACGGGACTAATCCAACTAGGTCTCCGAATGGCAGTCCGTGAACTACAGGGTTATCTGGCCGATGTCCGCCGACGCTTCCAGCGCTTCCTCCACCCCGATGGTTCTCTCAAGGCTGCTGCGCCTTCTGAAGCCAAAGATGAAGCCAGTGACTCGGTCCTCAAGCTATTGGACTTCCCATCTACCGAGGATTTTGCTGCACAGCTCCGAGCCAAGGCCAGACTGGTCGATACCACCTTGTTCCGCGCACACATGTTTGCGACGCCATCGCTAGCTGGGTCTCTATTCCGTATTGCCAACTTCTGTGACCCGGATGTTGTCATGGAACGACTGGAGGAGACAGGCCGATACAATGACTTGATTGACTTCCTTTACGGCAAGAGATTGCATCGCCAAGCACTGGAACTGTTGCAGCGCTTTGGTCAGACCGAAAATGGTCCTTTGAGTGGTCCCACGCGCACAGTCGCCTATCTCCAAAACTTGCCTCCCGACCAGATTGATCTGGTCATTGAGTTTGGAGAATGGCCTATTCGCGCTAGTCACGAGTTGGGAATGGAGATTTTCCTGACTGACACTGAGAACGCCGAGACACTACCTCGCCCTCGTGTTCTCGCATTCCTCGAGAAAATAGACACCACGCTTGCCATTCAATATCTTGAACATGTCATTAACGAATGGAACGACATGACGCCCGACATACATCAACGGTTACTCATCTTATATCTAGATCAACTTACATCCCACCAAGGGGAATGGAAAGACAAGTTTTTGACCATGTTGAGAGAGAGTGAACAATACTCGCCGGCGAAGATGTTAGATCGCCTTGATCGAGAGGGTATTTTTCCATTTTTCACTGCAAATACACAGCAATACTAATACTTGTCAGATCCCAACTTCTACGAAGCCCGTGCTATCCTGTTTAGCAAGATGGGACAACACAGACAAGCACTCGAGATCTATGTCTTCAAACTGGAACACCACGAGAAAGCAGAAGAGTAGGTCATACCATTCCATTCAAAGACGACAACACTAACTCGCAAAAGATACTGCAACCAAGTCCACCTTGCCGAAAAGAAGGAAGAAGAGAACTCAATCTACCTAACTCTCCTCTCCCTCTACCTCTCACCACCGCACGGCTACAACCCTCAATACGACCCTGCAATTGACCTCCTAGCCAAACACGGCTCCAGACTCCCAGCCGAGTCCGCCCTGAAACTCATCCCAGACCAGCAAGCCGTGCAAAAACTGGAATTCTATTTCAAGGGCCGCATGCGCGCTGCGAACTCTGTGTTCAATGAAGCGCGCATTGTGGCTAATCTGCGTAAATCGCGCGATATGCAGGTTCAGGCACAGCTGGCTCTTGGCGAAGGTGTTCGATGCAATGGAGCGGGTTCGCGTGCTCGTCATGTTACTGTTACCGAAGAGCGGATATGTGGCGTTTGTCATAAGCGTTTGGGTGGGAGTGTGATCAATGTGTTCCCCGAGTAAGTTTGTCTTCCTCGTCTTCTTTTAATTGATGCTGATGATTCGATCTAGTAACACGGTTGTTCATTTGGGATGTGCGAATCGGAGACCCAGTGTTCGATCTGGGTAATCCATCCAATTCTCTTGTTGTATCTGCATTGCATGCATCGAGCTGTTCTCGTTCCATTTTCATTGTCTTTTTCGGTTTATTCGGTCGGTCGTTCTTGGTTGGATTGTTGTCGGAGGCTGTTTTAGCGACTTTGATACCCAGTGCTAGCATCCTTTTTCACAATACGTCATGCATCATCCTCAACGACTTCCTCTCCGTAATTTTCCTCCTCCTTGGCTTCCTGCGCAGAGATCTGGCCTTGGGCTTTCTTGTCTTCTTCCATGCGCTCTGTCAGGAACACATTGATCTGGTCCTGTAGTTTGGGGACGAGTGTTTGCAGGGCCTTGAGGTGAGCTTGCTTTGTGGCCAGGGTGTCGGCTCCGTCGGAGGGAATTGCGTGTTGGAATGTCTCAGTAGCTTGAGGGGCGGAGTATACCGCTTCGAGATTGAGGGAGTTGGCCATTGGAGGGATATGTACACTGGTGAGTTGGAGGTGGGAGGAAGAGTTGAACCCCCACCATACTCTTTCCTGCCGAGGCTAATCCAAAGATGGACTAGTGGTTGGGTAATTACTTAGGCTGTAAATAGAAGGCGGTAAGCACAGCACCTTTCCCCGGACCTTCGATAATCCGGTCTATCAATGAGAAAGTATACGAAGGGCATTTTGGGAACTGCAATTTGATGTGATCCCAGATGAGCTGCTCGAGCTAGATGTCTATAGAACAAATAGTAAACTAAACTGAGTGAGATCGAGACTACATCTGTCGATATAGAAGCTTCGATCTGCGTGTAGATCGAGATAGCGCTGTTGTCTTTACTGTCGACCGTAGGGGAAGGGATCTACGAGGTGGCTTTTGTAGCCTTGAAACACTTCATGCTTTCATGTCATGGACACACCATGAATCCCTCGTTGCGATCCCCAAACTCGCCAGGGCGTCAAAGGGTGCCAGCCCCTGCTCGCTACCGGCCTCCACCTCCGCAGCCTCCGTCGGATGACGACGAAGATGACTCCGACGAAGACGAATTGGCTCGCCCCGGTTCCTCCGGTAGCGACGCCTCCTCCAATGTGACAACAGTTTCAGCAGCACCGGTTACACCTATCAATCCTCAAATTCCTCCCGGCAGCTATTTCCCCCCCTCAACCTCGCTCAACCACCACCTCGCCGCACGCTCGCCCGATGCCAGACCACTCCGGCCGCCGGCCGTCTGGCCGGGGCCCCTCGACTGAACTGCCCCGGCATCGCTCTCGCGTTCACTCGCAGGGCTTCTTTGAACCATCCATGCCGAGTGCTTCGTCTGACCAGGTCCCTACCGTGTCGGCCTCCCGAATCGCTGCCCAGGCAGCAATGCAACAGACGAAACGGGCCCAGAATGTTATACCTGTGGAGGATACACGGTCACGGCAAAGTGGCAGCGCATCGCCCCCGCTCATGCCTGCTCCATTGCGTGTTACTGTGCCCTCGCCTCAGCCCCCAGCGCCAACAAACGTGGCTACGACAGCTGCGAATGTTGTGTTCCCGCGCGCCGGTGCGCAACCGCCAGACCTACAGCCCGAGAAACAAAAGAAGAAAAAGCTGTTTTCTAAACCAAAGCATATCGGTATCAGCAGGGATAAAGATTTGGGCAAGGATCGGGGGCTTCCTTCTCCGAGCAAGATCAGTGGCTTGTCGCGGATGGTCAGCGCGTCTACGACGACTTTGGCCGACTTGCCTTCGAACAACTCCTCCATGTACAATCTCTCCAATGCCTCTGTGAGCACCGTCGTCCCCGCAGATCGAGCTCCTGTGCCAGAAAAGGAAAAGGACAAGGAAAAAGACAAACACAAGCACCATTTCCTGTCGAGACAGAAACTCAAACTCAAGGACCGGGTGGATGATCACTTCAATCAAGTCTTGTCCTCAGCCTCCAGCAACTCTCGTCCGGCCGATCCAAATGCTCCGCAATCCCTCTACTCCTTCACAAGCCCTGCATCACCGGCTCCGGGTGCCACGTTCGGTAAGTCGGTCAGCGGTCTGGATATCTTGCATGGCGGACGAGCACTCCGCGAGAAGAAGAAAGAGGAGAAAGCACTCGCCGAGTCGGAGCAATTGGAATGGCTAGCCAATACCACCGGCGGTGCCACGACGCCTGGTGGTTTCCCATGTCCCTCTTCAATTGGCAGTGCAAGTACATACCCCGAGTCTATCCTTCGGGAGACATTGCAAGGCTTTGGGTTGAATAACATGACACCCGAAGATGCGTGGGATTTCCTCAAGGCGAAGCTGCTGGTCATCTTCGATGGTGAGGATGTGCGCATTGCCATTGAGGATTTGAACAAGCTGGTTCTGGTTCATTTGCAGCGCTGTGTGCATAAGAGGACACCCGCCTCCATCATTACCGACTTGCAGGAGTTGCTTGAAACTGGGTTCGCAACTCTTAATCTCAGTTCGCTTCTAGGGGTACCTGATGAAAAGCTGGTTCCACACCTGGTACAGATTTGGCTGCTGGTATTCGGTACAATCTTGCCCTTTATCCAGGCCGTTTTCCTTCCTCTGGATCTCGAATTCAAGGGCTGTGGATCTCTGATGACTAGCCGCGAAGCTCTTGAGTTCTGGGGGCCACTCCCTGTCGGTGGTACGCTCGAAGTGCGTAACCTGGTTCTCATTGCCTTCCGTGACTGTATCATCCTAAACCGCTACGAGACTCTGAAAGCAACCTTCTCCCGCCTCAGTCTAGACTCCATCAACTCTGGCTTCCCAACTCTCAGTGTGACAGCCAAAAGCACCGGCACAGGAGGACGTCCTGGTACTGCAGCCTCGCTCGACGCCGGTTTCGGCAGCTTTAACTCACAATCTTCTACCCTCCTCAGCACTGTTGCAGACAGCTACTCTTCAGACGGGATAACCGGTCTAGCCAACAACCCCCGGCCTACAAGCAGCAACTCCCGCAGCCGCGCTGCATCGAATACTTCCTCAAACCCAGATCCTTTCACCTTCCAGTCTGTTGCATCGCCGCCGGCACCTGCGAAACGACCCACGATCATTCACCGCGTTAACTCGACTGATAGCTCACATGTCATTACAGAGACTGTGGGTCGTATGCTGCAATGTGTTAGCGTGCTCGCCAGCGTGCAAACTGCCGATGCCTCTCAAGAGAAGATCGAGGTCCTCAGCAAAGCTCTAAAGCACAACTGGCTTGGACGTGGCCGCACAGGCCGTGATCGCCGTGGATTTGTCGGTGCTAAGATTCGGCCTGTCATGGTTGGCGGTCCACCAGTCATCGACGATGCAGAGTCTCTCACCACTGCTGGTATCAGTATTGGAACAAGTACTACTAGTGGATCTCGAGGTCGAGGTGATTCTGATTCGTCGGAATGGAGTGCAGGACTACCAGGAATGGGGTTGAGTATGCGAAGCAGTGGTAGACGAGAAATGAGCGCTCTCTGACCTTTGATTGTTTTTTTTGTTGATTCTTTAGCTGTTCAGCTTTAGCTTTAGCTCTCATGATTGTATGACACCAGCGGGTGGGCACATGGACTCGGGGCGTTTCTCATTCGGATTTGATATCCTTGAGCATTTTCTATGATCGTATCTAGCGAATAACAGACTTACTGAGAACTGGTTTTGTAAAAAAGGGACCTGCGAATTACTGTATCCAGTTAGGATTGCCTTGTTAGGTTTGGCGCCCCAATACGCTGTTTTGTAACTTGCCCTCCGTCGTCTCGACATAAAAGACCCGACCTCGCCCTATTCGACCTCCCATTCTCTTTCCCCGCCATATCTGGGTAGCTAAGTCCCTTGTAAGGAATAGGCTCCGTGCGCGAGGCAAACTGAACTGCCTACGCTAACAGGAGCTAGGACGATCATTAGCTCGTCTGAGGTATTTATAGGTACAGGGCTTGCTTGATCCCGATGGTCTCTGACTATCATCAGTTTTGGGCATGTTGATGGAAAAGAGGAACAATAGAATCAAGCATCACCACAAAAAAAAATCAAGAAGGCCAGGGGGATAATCTCTCGCATCAAGAAACGACCTTCTTACCATCAATTGATGCTTGTGGCAGATGTGCCATGGGTTATACCAACCGCATTATATGCTTCATTTTATTATTCTTACCGATGTTCTTTTCATTGCCCAATTCCCGCGAAAATGATCATTTATTCCATATCAAGGGAGACGCTAGCTACATATACTCGTATACCTTATCCTTACCGGCTTCTTAGACCGCATTCTATTGGCATTGTGGAATATCAGCAAGTGTGAATGATATTCTGAACGGAGATCTGTTCTATATGGTGGATCAAACCATCCCCTCATCTTTCCCACGATCCGTCAACCTCAAAAAGATTGAGCTGACTAGCTTCTCATCACATCAAATTTCCCCAGTGCATTGACTACCTTGTTCCTCTGTTGACTACCGCTCAGGAATGCTTAATTAAGGCTACAGGCAGTTATCTTAGCTACAACAGATTGTATGCCTCATCTTTTGACATGCCGACTTGAACGCTCTGTTTCGCAGGACTGGTTGTTTTCCAGACCATCTGTATCACACGATCTCATGATGAAACCTGTATTCTTTGCCTGCGCCATAGGCGCTGAACGATAGATCTGGTATAACTTCGCATTGACGATGAAAAGCCATGCTTGGCAGGTGCTCATGCTGTCGCATTCAGTAGCACATTCAGATGGCGATAAATGAGTGTATCCGTGGGCCAGAGGTGCTTTACTGAAGAACCCAATGGTTTTATTCTGGGCGCTGGGGAAGCAAGAGGCGGATACAGAAATGAACCCTTCTATAGCTAGGAGAAAGGTGAAAACAAAGATTGAAGTTGGTAACATGGATTCTGGCAGCTCAGGATGTTCGCTTGATCGTGTATATACATGTTAAGGCGCAGTGCATTACTCCATCTGTCACTTTATAAGGGTAAATATAGAAGTCTCAAACATGCATCTGATAGTGGCGTTGGGTCATTTCCGAGTTCAATTTCTCTTGATGCCACCATCAAGAATCATAATTAATTTCCGGAACTCCGTGGGTGGTAAAGCAATAGTGTACCTCGCTAAATAAGCCACAGAAGCCGTTGAAGCCATCGATAAGCTTAGCGCCTGCGCTAAGACCAAGAGATCGCAAGGGTCCCGTACACGCCCTATTATGCCCTGTATCAAAATTACCACTCACTTGGCCCAAACAGTCCCCTTTGGATCTGGAATCTTATCGCTCTCTCTCTCTCTCTCTCTCTCTCTCTCTCATTTTCGCCGCATCTCACCTCTCATGGCATCATCCTCAAATTAATACATCGCTCTTTCTCAGTGGCTACCATCCTCCAACGGCTTCACTTTCACCTCCGACTCCTTGCTCGCGCTAGAAAGGCCCAAATCCCCTTCTCTTCATCTCGGTGCTACTCGGAAATAATACAGATGGACCCCCCATCTATCAAGTTGGACAACAGCGGCACCGGCCCCTTGTGAGTCCCTGGTTTCAACGGTGTACCCCTGTTCTATGAGCATCGAAAAGACAATCGGTTTGCATGTGGAATTTGCGATTGGAGACAAATTCCCCAATTGTTTTTGGTAGAGCTTTCTATGCTGCAGTTCATGTCGTATGTCACGGAACAGCCAGACTAGGAAAATTAAGTCCGAAGACCCGCAGACACTGGAGGAATGGCATGGGCACGCCGTTTCGGTCTTTGGCCTCGATGAATCCTCATGGCAGGATGTGTAAAGGAGTTGCGAGACAAAGCCTCTGACTTCAAACGCACGGGGTATATTGCTGTGTTTGATACGGACTCACGAGTTATCAAATCTCAGGTTCATAACGATCTTCTCAAAGAGCTTCAAGAATCCATGTCGCCGCTATTTTCGGCTTCGAAATCTGTTTCGTCTACTGCCTCGGTCGATCCAAATAAGAGTGTTTCGGAGAGTCCGGTTCGAGATGTGATTGACCTCTTGATGTATCCTCTCATGTATGGGCGAACTCGAGGGGCTTATTTCAGCCGCCATTGAACCGTGGAACGAAATGCTCATCCTTGGAGATCAGGGTCGGACACCAATTCGAATCAGAACTTATGATTTCCAAGTGGAAGGCGGTGATGACGAGACCAAGTTGCATAATTACATGAAGAACGCGAGACAGGGACGAACACCACCTATCACAGAAGAAGAATGGCCTGACATTCGATCACGAATAAGAGAACATCTTCGGCTCCCTGAGCCCGAGAAGCGGCACCGTATATTGCCCGACTCTGGGTACCATGATCTTCTCGCTGGTATGCAGCCATGGCAATAGAATTCTTCTGAAGTACTGGAAAAATTGGTAATCGCAAAGAGCAGGCGGTTGTACGCCGTGAAAGGAATTGAGCCAGGGATCTCCTTCACATACGATGAATGGAAGACTGGTGAAAATACAGGCCGCGCGATCATGCCCAAATGGAGTGACCCTGATAAACTTGAAACGCCCCCAATTCCCGATTTAGATCACGATTACTACTCGATATCTCTCCAAGATCAATTCGAGGGCTTGCAGATCATAGTTCGAGGGTCAACTATTGAGCTCACCCTAGAAGAGCCTTTGTATTATGGTGATTCCCATCACAACGTTGCTGGTATCCTCAATGAGCATATCGTTTCTACAGCCGTATGCTACTTCGATATGCACAACATCAAAGATGCAAAGGTTTCATTCCAACAAGAGACTCACATCGAGAGCGATGATTTCAATATTGCGGAGTATGACGTTATGAATCGAGTTTTTGATGTTCCGAGCTGGTCAATCCGCGGCGATGATCCTTGTTACCCAGAGGCTCTACAGACCATAGGGTCTATCCCGATTTCACGAAATGGGCAGTTTCTTGCTTGGCCAAGTACACTGCGGTCTAAGGCCGAGCCATTCAGTATGGCAGATCGATTGCGGCCAGGGCACCTTCGATTTGCGACTTTGTGGTTGGTAGGCCCGCATTATCGAATTTGCTCAACTCAGAATGTGCCTCCCCAGGACCCAAGCTGGGTCGAGACATCCCAATCAACGAAGGACGCGCCGAAGCATGATTTAATGGCATTCACGCAGGCAGTCGAGGCTCGAAACCAAATGCGGCAAGATAGAGACAGGATAAGCGAGAAATTCCTTGAACGCGGACATTCGCGGCACATTTATTCGGAAGTTTACATTCTTTGAATATAGCCGAACACAAGAGATAGATGCTAGCAGCTAGATTACTATGCTAGAACTCTATATATACAAAATAATATAGAATATACCACTCCTTTCTGAGAAATTTGAGTATTATGGAAAGGCAGGTAGATATAGATTCAATTGTGCATAGTCGACAAGTCCGGATCATACATATATCCCAAACACAAATGAAGGCTATGATATCTACAGTATGGTGCAAAACCTGACAGTGCTCCGGTGGCAATTCTCGGCATGCTGTTGGGCTTTGACGCTGGTGCAGTAGTTGGTGAAATTCGTGATAAATCATTGAACGCCTTTCAATACGATACTCTTGCTGCCTCTCGACGCGGCATAACAAGCGATGAGATAAAGGAATTCGGAAGTCTGTTTGAAGCGAAGATGAATCAAGTTGGTTCCATGGTTAGCAAGTGCTTCAGACGCTGAGCTTTCAAGTCATGCCGCTGCCACTTGTACCGATGTGATATATAGACAAGGAACTAATAAAATCCGATTACTTTAAAACATTCTTCTTTGGCTGGTCTCGATCGTCTAGCCAGGTGGTAGTAGAGCGACTCATAGTGGTATATCAGGGTTATTCAGGACGCTTACATGAAATAAGAAAAGCAGCTGTAGAAGAAGGGTATATGTCCTTCGGCGGGCCTGTGATTTACTATTTATATCGAGTTAGTTTTGCCCTTTTAGTTTAGTGTCCCAATACGCCGACACGTAACCTGGTCCTCCGTCCTGATCTGTTATAAGCTTGGTCTGGGGTAATAGGCGCTCTAAAATATTTAGCCGCCTATTCTGAGTGTGACGGGGCTCTCAGCATACCAAATGTGAGGCAAGAAAAGCCCAGAACCGCGAATCATCTGCTATCAAAATCTGTACCTGACGCGTCTCTCGCAAACGAATGCATACACATACAGCTGCGTCGCACATCTTGCTATATTCGGAAGCCTTTTTCATAAGAGTTGTCTTGCGACGACATTTCCTCTGTCTCTTCGACTTTTTCGAACTAATGGAGGGGATAGACTTAACAGCAGCCATTGTGAGCTGCTTCCTTGCTCTCCAGGAACAATTTCGATTGGAATGCATATATGACAAAAATTTAGGAGTAGGGGGATAAGTACTTTTTAGAAAAACACATACGCATATTGTGTATCAATTATGGAATGAAAGGAAGAATGGAATTGTTGAAAACCATATGTGGAAAACCGGCCTTCGTATGTGCTGTGTTCATCATTGGAAGACAAACCATAGTGATTGTTCGTAGCCATCAATAAGTGCGGCAACGGTTGCAGTCACGATAGATTGGAACCCCTGTTCAAAAACACCATTAAAAGTTGGGTCTTAATTAAACTTAAGATCATTTTCGTCGGGCTGTAACTTTTGAACGTTGATGACTTTTGTGCGCAGAAGCTATACAGCCAATACTTTTTGCCCTTGCTCAAGGGCTGCCCTAAATATGCAAAAATAGGCCCGAAATCAACAGGAATTAAACATAACAGATCCGAAGGGACCTGTGGCGCAATTTCGAATGATTCCTAGTTTCTTAAGATCCAGGAAATTGACGTTGGGCCGAGTGTGCTCCGCCTCAAAAAGGGCATGATTCGTCCCGTATCCGTCGTTGGGGCTGCGTGTATCTGATCCATTCAGGGGATTTTCTCCAGAGCCATAGAGAAAGCTTGCCACCTCATCTGAAAGCTTGATAAACCTCCCCGGCCACCTGCGATGGCCTTCCATCGCGATCGTGACGGTCCGTTTCAGTGGTTGATCTCTCTCGGTCCAATCTAGTTCCTCTCGCATCCTCTCTAGTAAACCAGTCAAACACAATTCATCAAAGGAAAACTCGATAAATTCAAAGTCAAGCGATCGTAATGAGGATGGTGCCAATTTGAGTATGTCCATCAACTCCGACGTATCAATGCTGAAATTAGAGAGCGCCAAGTGAGACAGGTTCGGCCACTCCTTAATAGGCAGAATCTCCTTCAGGGGCATAGGTGGATCCCTCATTGCAAAATGAGATCCATTATTGAATGTAGTTGATAAATGGACATGAGTCAATTCCTTGGCTAGGCTCACAGCTTGACGGAATAATCCGCTTTGGAATCCTGTCCAGTAACCACTGCTGCCAGTAAGTAAAGACAGATGAAGACGCCGGAAGCCTGGACGTTTCATGATGGCCGTAAAGTGATTGTATTCCTCACACGGCCGGTCGAAAATCAAAAAGTTTAGTCCGGTGTGGAGTTGCTTGGAGTTGAAGCTCAGCTCGGAAACATTATGCTTCTCAGCTTGTGACAAAAGGCGAAGAACAATTCGAGCCCCTCGCCATAGCTCCTTGTAGTCATCGGTTGCCTCTGACCACGGTAGCGGCTCGGCAACCTGAGAATCAACGGGATCATAGTGCCATCCTCGCGGAATCGGATAGTTGAATCCGCATGGAAATGCTCGGATCATAGGTGTCTCGTACAACGGAGTAAACAGCCAGCCGTGGGCCGCAGGCGTAACGGTCACTCTTTGGAGCCGTGGGAATCGCTCCAGGCCGTAAAGAAAGGCTGTTTTGTCATCTTTGGATCTGATCATAGTCGTCTGATCATCCAATAATTGCCGATAATACTTCCAGCAGGCTTTCAACGGCATTTGGGCATCCATCTGGTGCTGACGTGCAACGTGATCAGGTCGGTCCACGTCGCGGTATTTCCGATGCTTGATCGTGTAGCGGTTCTCTTCGCATTCCTCCGTGAACCAGATGGGACATCCCTCATTGGAGTTGATTTCCATGCGTTCGGGATCGATGATTGGACGCACAGATTCCCATATCAACGGCGCGAATACAAACCGTGCGTCGTCCCAGAGGATCTCCCTGATTTCGTGGCGAAACTTTGGATGGTCTGCTACAGCCCGAAAAACTTGGATGTTCAACGAGTTGGCCGAAAGAAACAAGCGCGAGGAGGAGAATGGTGAAATCTCGCCGAGGGCTTTGCACGTCAAGCGCAAGGACTTGACATCTTTGTTTGGCAGAAAGGACACAATGGATGAAATCACTTCAGGGGGGGGAACGCAGAAACCACAGGCTTTGTGTTGCCATCCCGGACGAGGGGACTGGTGAAGCCCTTGGAGGTATGGGTCAATGGGTTAAAAGGTGCGAAGTTGCAAAGATGTCAAGATGTGAGTGAACCCTTCACTCAAATAAAATTAAGTGCCCCAGGGCAAAGCGGCCCAGGGTCAATTTCCTGATTTGAACATGTAGTTCGTAAACGGCGGGTCTTGAACAGCCAATTATTCTACATGATGCATTATTCCGTGATTTGTTGAAGCCTCGAGCATACCCCTGCGGAGATGGCAGTTTAATAATACCGATTCACTTCAATACAGTAACTCTGGTGTCTAATACCCAAGAATACGATGGCCTGTTATTCCATTACTAGTCTGCGTGTAATAATTTTACTCGCTAGTTCCCAGGCAGTGGGGCCCGAGAAAAGAAAAGCAGTCATCAGAGTAGAAGTTGTTTTCGCTATTGACTGTATACAAGAAAGATAGAACGACCAAGTGTCCATGTGGTCAGAGACTTTCCAACCGATATCTTGCCATGACAATCTAATTCAAAGAGCTATGATAGGCCGGCAATATGTGAACTAAACAAAGGTTTGAGAGAATCAATTCATTCAATCTAACTAGCTTTCGTCCTCCGAGTCTTTCATTTCGAAGGATGTCATACGCTTTAGAGGACGTGAGAGCTTCAGCCAAAGTTCGTTATCCGAATCATCATCTTCAATATATTAAGTAGCCAGTATCCGCGCTATCGTTGGAGATTCCGCTGGATTCGTCTTCAATCTTCTGCGCAGTTTCAGTTGACAGCCACATGTATCTCTCCACAACTCCCGGGTCAGCCGGCTGACCGCCATAGATACCAGCAGAGCCCCATTCGTCTCTGAGATGCGGCCCCCAAGGAATAACCCTATCCGAAAATTGGATAGAAGAATGAGCAAAAGAATCTCTGGGCTCCAAATCAGGCTGTAAACTTGCTTCCACGGTGGTATCGTAAGGGCCGAACTCTGAGATTTCTCTGCTTCCAATAGAACGCTCCCTGACAAATTCTTCTAGGCATTGGAGGTAGAACGGGTTTCTGCTCTGTTGGCAGCCTCGAAGAAGGACTCGCGTGGAGGGGGCTTCAGCGACCTGAACAGCGATTGGTAGTCACAAATTATGGCGGTGATCGCAATTTGGGGTCTCATGGACGGACACTTGCCAGCCAGCTCACGCAAAGTGTTCTCATGAGGCCTAACCGGCCACCAGATAAGCCAAGGGAGGCAGTCAGAGTCATCGTCAAGGTCAGAGATATCATTGTTCATGATTTTACGAGCATTGATCGCCGTGCGAATCTCGCGACACTCGCGCTCATTGCCTTCGCTGAGCGATTTACCTGGGAGAAGGATTCGCCCAGGGTTGGTTTCCAGCTGATAGGCCCACCATCGGGTAAACTTGTATGGTGATAAATCCCACGAAGAATACAATTGTATTCAACTTCCGTTCTGAGCCTCCGCGGGTGCATCAATCGAGCGTATCTATCCACATTACCCTCCCATGCAGCCATTTGCGTTGGAAGGCGTTTGTCAAGAACTGGAAGATCAGGCGGAAGAGGCATCCACAAATGCTCAGAGTCTCCTGGGCCGAGTTTCGCACCCGGGCCGAGTCTCGCATCGCGATCGATTTTGCTGGTTCTTTCTTTCAACCCAATAAATCCATCTTCCTCAATGTCAATGTCATCTGCAGTTGTATCTGGCAAGTTCTTGGGAGGAAGAACATGCCGGCCCAAAGCCCGTCGGGGCTTCATATTGCCATTTAGAAACGCGGGTGTCTGTGGCAGCACATGCGCGGCCGACTTGATAGCGCATCGATGGATATCGACGGGCAAGCTCGCGGTAGGTTTCTTCCGATGCAGGTTCTAGATACCAAATGCAGTATGGCTCGGTGGCAGAATCTTGCATATCGGGGATGATGTTACTCATTATCAGGCGAGCATTGCGGGCGCGAGAAAACTGATGAGCCTGCCTTTCGTCGCCGGAGCATAACTCAATGATTGCCGGGCTTGTTGCAAATTCGAGTGAATCACGGATCCCGCGAATGGCTGCTCTACGATGCCAAAAAGAGGTCACATCGGACGGGACTTTTTTCCCTTTATTGCCGCGATGCATTGATCGAGGTCGTATTCAGCGGGTTGTTTCTTGCCCGTGTGGACTGGTAGGTCCCAGGGGGAAAGGCAGATTTTTGAAAAGCGAAACGTGCTGTGCCTAGCAGGGATTTATAGGCTAGGCCGACAGCAAAGTTGGTACTTGAAGCGCTTTATTAGACTTATCTCCCTCAACTTTCTGGTATTTAAGTCTTAGTCTTATTTGTCACGTAAAAAAATGCTTCAATTGTGGATTACTTCTAACAAAGCTTATCCACCCGCTTGGGGCTTGATCAAATAGCCCCGGGGTATCACAATCATACAATGCTCAACGCAGAACGCCGAGCCACAAGAGTAGTGTAATGCCAGGCTTCGCCACCTGGCCTGGCTTCTCATCCTCAAACCCCACCGAGTTTCCCCCAACGGCCCTCCTAATCAGCAAGATCGTTAGCAATCAACTCAATGATCTCAGTGTAACGCACAAGTAAGCCCAATCTGACAAGCAAGCAAACAAAGAGTGAAAGAATGAATGACAACTGAGGTTTATACGTACATTTGGCAGTGGCGGCAGACTCGGCCGTCTTCTGGGTTGTGTTGCTGCGCAACGTACGGGTCACCTCGGGGTTGACGACGGCCGGGGTGCTCTTGCGAGCCTTCTTGCCCTTGGTGCGCTTGGTGGGACGCTCGGGGGTGGCGGGCTTTTGCTTTGTAGCTGCCTCCATGCCGGTCTCCATCTCGTGGAGAAGGCCATCGAGATCATCGAGGCCCAAGTCGCTCATCTCACCATCGTTGGTGAAATGGTGTGGCGGGTTGTTGTGGCTGGTGGCCATCATGGCGAGCAGCTCGTCTTCGGATGCTTGGATGCGAGCTTCATTCCAGGCGTCCAGGATTGGATCACTCGCTGACATCGCGGGATTCAGTGAAGAATCCTGCCAGCGAGGGCGTTGTTGGCGCTCCAGATCCTCAGAGACTTCGGGCATGATGTTGTTCGGATGAAAGGGTAGGGGGGTGACAATATGAGATGGCTGGACAGTTGGGGGTTGAATATCAGATCCAGCAGCTTCGGTGTGGGCAAAGGTGCGAGGAGGAGAGTCCAGAAAGCGCGAAAGAGAATAAGAGGATTCAAATGGAAGGATGACGGTAGAGATGTGAGAAGTTACCAGAGTGGAAACAGAAGCACGAGGTGAGACAGCTGGGGCAGGAGCATAAGATGACTCGGAGGACATGGACCGGGGGCCACTTCCATACAAGATCTCGGAGGGAATGGGTAAGGGAGCAAGACCATCAGGAGAAGCGATGGAAGAAGGGCTCTCTGAAGGAATGGACATGGGTGCACTCCCATATGAGCTCTCAGAGACGGGCGAGGGAGCAGGTGCAGCAGGCAAAGTAGCGGAGGCGTCAACAGGAGATTCCCAGGACCTGGACCTCAAAAACGCCCCGTCCGAAAGTGCAGCGGAAAGATCAGTGATGATGGTCAAGCCCCGAGGCCTGGTATCAAGAATGTTGTATCTCATCTTAACAATGTCAACCAGATTGGCCAAATAAACCAGTGTGATAAGATTGAACTTTGAGAAATCGAAGAATCGCGACGAGGTTAAGACTGCATGAGACAGGTTACACTATTTATATGCTTAGTTTTGACGCTTTTCGTTTTTGAGACATCGTGGGATCGTGGGACCTCGCCGGCGCTGACATCGTCGGAGCCTTCGGGGCTCGAAAAAAAATGCCCTAGCATGCATGATACATACGAACACCCCACCAGCATCTTTCTCAGCATATCCATTATTTACACTGCATAATCTACAAGTCATAGATATCATAGATGTTGTTCTTCCCTTGGGCTCCGGTTATTGAGCTGGCAATCTCATTCTTCAGTTTGCTTTAGAAGCAAAAGCCCGTTGCAGCGGGCGCGTAGCTCGACCACTTCAACACATCTATCAGCGTCTAGGCACCTGGTCTACAGCATATTAACAAGCTATGCTCTTCTCTTCCCATGATAGAAGTGGTGCTCTTCCCGTTCCCATTCCCCTTGGTGGTTCAATGAAATTAGGGCAAGTCACCGGCACGTGGTCACCATGTACCAAATAAGTCGCCAACCTATAACAGGCTGCTAGGTACTCAAAAGTGATTCATGTGCAGATATCTGTACATACTAATGCAAAAACAACTCATGTTTTGCTCAGACTAGAAAGCCAAGGCAGCCACCTCGCATAGAACGACAGCTCAGCTTTCGGCGCTTAACAGGGTGCCCAAACTGGAAGAAGCTCAGAGCCGCATTATTGAATAACGCATATGGAAGACTGAGAAAACAAAGAATATGCTCCAAATCCATCCAGGATGTCCACGGGGCAGAAAGAGGTAACTAATAATAAAGGGCCAGCGCATACATCGTGGGGCCGACTGATTGGTGTTGAGGCTGCAGCGTGATGCCTGCGTACATAAAATGCGTCTCACCCACAGAGTCATTCTCTTTCTCTCTTTTCTCTGGTCTTCCAGACTCTGCTCTGTTTCATTTCTGCTTTTGTCTCTACCTTTCTGTTCTTTACTCTCTCTCTCTCTCTCTCTCCCTGTCTCTGTGTCTGCCTCTGGTTCACTTCCAGTCTCAGTCAAGTCTCAGTCTTTTTATTTAGTCTCTTCTGATACCTTACATTCCATTATTCTCCAACTTCTCCAACTCTTGCAGCTGTAATTTTGATGGCAGAACCAACCATCCCAGCTGAGGCCAAGGATGAGGTTGATCCCTCTACCGAAAACCTCAACGGCTCAGCCCAACCAGAAGTCGCCGTGAAAGAGGTCCCAGCCAAAGACCCAGCGGTTGCCCCCGCAGCTGAGACAGCCCCCAAGCTCGTCTGCCAGAAACACGACAAAAAGAAGAAACGCAAGAAGAGGGCCAAAAAGGCCGATTCGAGCGACAGCTCCTCGTCCTCCTCATCTTCCAACTCTGACAGTGACGCAGATACGGACGATGCTGACTCGGAGTCTACGAGCGAGTCTAACACGGACAAGCGCAAGCGGCACCGTATACGAGCAAAGGCACGGACCAAGCGTGTGCTAAAGGATAAGAAGCGCCGTAAGAGGAGAAAGCAACGGTCGCGTAAGGCTGCAGCCTCGGATACGGATTCCTCTTCGGATTCCTCTTCTGAGTCTGACTCGGACAGTTCGGAGAAGTCGGATGATTCGTTGGATGAAAAGGCTCTCCGCAAACTGGTGACCAGGCTGAAGCTAAAGAAGCGCGCTAAGAAGCTCCGCGATCAGACCTCCGACGATCTCACGGCCAGTGATCCTCTGAGTGAGAAGAGAGAGAAGCGCTCTAAGAAAAAGAAGCCTGCCTCCAAGGTTGCTTTCAAGCGTGTTGATCAACGTGAGTCCTTGATTCTTTGTCTATTGTATCTTGCTAACCTTTGCTAGTATGGGACACCACCATCCACAAGTATAAGCTGACCGAAACGGTGGACGACCCTGATGCCGACGAATGGGACCAATACATCTTCACCGTACGTCGCAAGTTCAACTGGGAAAATAAATACCTGGAAACAGTGGTCGACATCAAGAGCAAGCACCTCCGCGATGCCCTGGCCAAAGTCATGGACGGCGTCAAGGGCGTCAGCTTGGTACAAGAGCCCGCCGTGGTTGACCCCAACATGCTCTTCCTCTACCTGGAGGAAACACGCCAATACATGAAGGACCAGAAGAAACAGTCGCGCAGCGAAAAGAAAAAGAAAGCTCGCAAGGCCGCCGCCCTCAAAGCTGCCCATCTTAAGGTCCTCATCAAATACCTCGACACCGACTATGCCGATACCAAGAAAACCCTCTACCCCCTCCTCGAGGCAAACACCATTACCTTTGATCTCCTGTGGGCACTCTTCAAGCCAAACACCATCGCCTACACCCCGACCTACAGTAACCCAGACGAACCACGCGCCTTCAAGATCGAGTACGCTATCAAGGAATCGTCTTTCATGAAGGGCCATTGGTACAGCGTCGAAGGCCGCTACCTGGAATACGACGGCAAAGACTACGGTTTCGGAAGCATGTCTGCTGAAGTTGACTCGTTCAAGGGCGCTCGCAAGATCACCAGTCTGGCTTGCTACCCGCTGCAATACCACCGTGACGCCGAGGCCCTGCGTTCCCGTCTGATCGAGCGTGGTAAGCGCTTTGTTGCGCTGCGTGGCATGAACTACCGCTTCCATAAGGGTATGGCCTTTTATAAGAAGAAGCGCTCGTTCGTGATCAAGGTTAATATCAATGGGCGGGTTATGATCGATCCTGCTATTCATCGTCGTATTAATCCCAATTACCCCATCAGCACGGTTCGTCCCAAGGATCCGGATCTAATAGATCCGTCTGAGGCTGGGTTCAGTGGTGGGGAAGATGATGATAGTGACGGGTGTTGCTGTGGCGGGTCTGACTCGGACTCCGAGCATGGCGGTGCATCTGACACACCCAAGACGGTGTACAAGGTCGTTGAGGATGAGGAGGGTTGCCCGCGTGTGGTTGAGGTGGAGGTTGATGAGAGTGGAAATGAAATTCAGAGGGAGAAGATGGATCGGCTTGAGGGTGATGCTGCTGATCCTAAGCCGCGCGAGTTCACTGAGGAAGAGCTGCTTGTTGCTAGCCCGGTTGTTTTGGGCTTTGCGTTTAGCGAGAAGCTCTGGCTTGAGTTTACCATCTCGGGCATCAGTGATATCGAGTGGGATAAGGAGGCCTTTGGCTCGCTTGTTCTGCCGACGAACCAGAAGTCTATTGTGAAGGCTTTGGTCGAGTCGCATACCTTCCATGCTGCGGAGAACATCGACGATGTTATCCAGGGTAAGGGCAAGGGTCTGGTTGCTGTGCTGCATGGTCCCCCGGGAACAGGTAAGACACTTACAGCAGAGGGCATTGCCGAGTTACTGCGTCGCCCGCTGTACATGGTCAGTGCCGGTGAGCTGGGCACAGACTCGCGGACTCTGGAGGCTGAGCTGAACAAGATTCTGGATATTGCTCATTCCTGGGGTGCTGTGCTTCTCCTCGATGAAGCTGATGTCTTCCTTGAGAAGCGCACTATTCATGATATCCACCGCAATGCTCTCGTTAGCATCTTCCTCCGTCTGCTAGAGTACTTCCAGGGTATTCTCTTCCTGACTACCAACCGAGTTGAAACCTTCGACGATGCCTTCCAGTCGCGTATCCATGTTGCTCTGCGTTATGGTGATCTCACTTCCAAGGCGAAGCGTAGCATCTGGAAGATGTTCCTGGAGCGTGTGCGTGCCATCGAGGGTGTGCATATTGCATCATTTAGCGAGGAGGACTATGACATGCTTTCCAGACACACGTTGAATGGTCGTCAGGTATTTTTTGTTACCCTGAATGGTGCTTGAGTCGTCTGATGCTAACTGATATAGATCAAAAACTCGGTCCGCACTGCGCAGGCCCTGGCTGTCAACGAGAGCTCGCCTCTATCAATGGAACATATCAAGCGTGTGCTAGAGGTGGCCGAGACATTTGATCAAGATTTACGCGGTGGAACAGGATACCTGGATGCTATGCGCAGTTATACTTGATGATTGATGATTGCTGGTAAGGTGCTATCTGGAACTGGTGCAGAAATAGGTTGATACTTTGCTTTTCGGTTCGAATAGTTAGTTGCGGGTTCTCTTTCTTTGCATTGCGAATCTGGTGTGTTAGGTATTCAATGCATGATCCGGGTTTTGAAAATAGTATTACGTCTGAAGCTATTGCTAAGATCAAGTAGATCGAGTGTTATTAGTGCTATCGATCTAGTAAGACATGTCATATCCATCCATCAGAACGGCATAACGGCAGATGCTTGTTGTACATTGTAACATTTTAAGGGTTGGCCTTGACGAAGTCGACACCCTTCTGGATGTTCTTCTTCAGGTCAGCAAGGCAGGCATCGAGGAGCTTCTGCTCGTACTCGTTGACCTGGCCGACGGGGTGGATCTGCTCAACACCGTTGGGGCCGAGCTCGACCTTGGAGGCGAAGAAGTCGATGCCCTGGTCCTTGTACAGGGGGGAATCGATGAAGGTGGGCTCGATGACACCCTTCTCGCCCTGGGCGGCGCGGAGGAGGGACTCGGCGAAGCGGGCACCAGCCATGGCCATGGAGAGGGTGGCGGAACCGGCACCGTCCTTGGCCTTGACCACCTCGTCACCACCGAACTGGATGCGGTTGACGAGAGCATCGCGGGCCTGGCCGGCGATGGAAGAGTGGTTGGACTGCGAGAGCAGGGGAACAATAGTCACACCGGAGTGTCCACCAACAACGGGGACAGCCTCGCCGGAGGGGTTGGTCTTCTGGACCTCGGAAATGAAGCGCGAGGCACGGACGACATCAAGGGTGGTGACACCGAAGAGACGCTTGGGGTCGTAGACACCGCGGGCCTTGTAGACCTCGGAGACGATGGGGACGGTGGAGTTGACCTGATAGATGTTAGACAAGTCGATAAAAAGTCACTCTGATCTACTTACGGGGTTGGCAATGACCAGGACGTGAGCCTTGGGGGCGGCCTCAGCGGCGGCCTTGGCGAGGTCGCGGACGATAGAGGCGTTGGTGTTGAAAAGGTCATCACGGGTCATGCCAGGCTTACGGGGAACACCAGCGGGGATCAGGATGATCTCGGAGTTCTCGAGGCAGTCACGGAGACCGCTGGCATCGGGGTTATAACCAGTGACGGTGCTGTTGGTGTTGATGTGGCTCAGATCAGCGGCGACACCTGTCAAGAGTCAGATATTGCAAATAGATTGAAATTGAGGTAAATGTCATCATACCGGGTCCACCACGGATATCGTAAAGGGCGAGGTCAGAAACACGGGGGTTGAGCTTCAAGAGCAGGGACAGAGGCTGGCCAATACCGCCGGCGGCACCGAGAACGGCAACCTTGGAGGCCTGCGCAAGAGGTTAGAGCTGTTAAGTAGCATTGATTGGAAGACGTACATTGCTAGCGGAGGCCGAGAAGGCACGCTTCTGGAAGAGGTTGACGGTACGACGAGCGGCGAACATGACTGCGATGATGAGATATGTGGAAGAGAAGAAGAAGGGGAAAGGGAGATTCCGGTGAAAGAGATTGGGGCTCCACAACAGTTTCCGAGCTCCCGAGTTCGGCTGACGTCGCCATAGTTACTTCGTTTTGATATTGATATGCAGGTCATTTACTGCGATATCATTTGCTATTCTCTGTTGTTCTCTGCTGTTATATGCAGTTGACATGTATCCTACACGACTGTGTGAGTAGGTTCCTCCCGAGCTCGGGATTGCATGTGGAGAGGTACAGGTACATAGCAGGTACATGTGCTTAAATACCTCAATTGAGTTCTACAGAGTCATTCAAAGCTACAACTCATGTAGCAAGTGTTCCTAAGAAGAATTGGCCTTTAATTGTCTATTTTGACAATATATCCGTTTCCGTCGAGTCCGTAGATTCCATAGTATACGGAAACATGGAGACAACTCAGAGTACCGAGGTACATCTATTGGTACAGGGTCCAAGTTCGCATTTGTTGCGCCAGGTACATATACATGTACAATTACAACTAACATGAAATATTACGAATTGACAATGCCAATAATTGAAATAAACCAAACGCCGGCGCTGATGAACCTGAATACAAGATACAAGACCCTACCCTAGACCTACCAGCACTCGAAACCTCCCATATAAGTGACATAGCTTGACAGGTCAACGCAAAAAGTGCAGCACGAGCCAGCAGAACAAAAAGAAGACAACCACTCCACCCCAGAAAATCCACTTATCCTGCCGAGCACGTCGCTCCACCATTCGAATTGTGTCTCCGCTTACGCCCAGCGTGTTTGCGACACTATATAGCCGGCGTTGTGTGCCCTTTAATACCTCTCGCTGCTGGCCCAGGTCAGCCAGGACGGCACGACCTCGATCGAGGAAGTCGTCTAACTGAGTGTTTGTGTTGGAGAAAAAGGACTGTTCGCGGAGAGCGTTTGTTTCGCGGTTGTATTCTGACGGGCCGGCGCCGAAGCTAAGGCCTGACGATGTAGGTGCGAATGCTGAAGTGGTTTGTGGAAGGGAGGACTGCGCGTAGGGGTTCTCGGGTGTTGCGGCGTGGTGTGGTCGACGGCCGAGCAGTTCGTTGCGGTTGGTCACCGATTGCTGGGGCTGTTAGACTTGTGGGTGGATATTATGTGGGTTGTCTTACTGCATCCTCGCGCTCTTTGCGAAGTCGGTCGAATTGTGTTCGGTAGTCTGCGAGCTCATCGCGGAAGTTCTTGATTCGGTCGAAGGCTTTTTGTTGTTTTTCGGGGATCAGTTCCTTCTTGGAGAGAGCTGAATAGTCATCGACTGTGCGGGACAATGATGCCAGAGAGGCAGCAAGCTGGCCTGGGATTCTAGTCAGTGTTGATTCGCGAAGAGCTGATGATGAAGCGCACCTTGTAATGCGGGTGAGGAGGTGGCAGGAGACTGTGAGAAAGTGTCCAGGTCCCGGCGGATCGAGGACGACTGCTTGAGAGCAGAATTAAATAGCGAGTTCTATCCGTGTCAGTAATGGGTATCATCAATGACAGACTGTAGCGTACCATTGTGTCAATGCGGCGGATGCCACGTATAGATCAGGTTGTTGGGTTTCTTGTACACAAAGGGAGGTGTGGTAGAGGAAGGCCAAGTATTGTCTAAAGCAAAGGAAGACAACAAAGCCTTGAGCTAATTTAGTGTGGGAAACACCGAGGGAGCTTAACCAACTCAGCGCGAGGCCAGATGGGCTTGTTTGGGCCATTCTGACGTCGTTCACCGCTTCCAGGAACGATGCATGTCATCGTTCCATATCTTGCATATCTGTAGCGTGCCATGTTTTTCTCATGGTAATTGCTATTTGCAATGATCTTTCATTTTACTTTAACGCCAAGTGAACCTACAGAATTTACAACCCTGGAGTGTGGAAAAAATGGTATTGTCGTCAAGGATACTGATACAGTCAAGCCGGTCCGACTCCATTATCGCCAAAGAAAAAAAAAACAGAATGCAAAATTGCAATAGAGCAGGGATGGTATATCAAAACAAAGAGTAATCAGGCAACACCAGAAAAGAGATGGAACGCCGCACATCTATTTCGGGGGGAACTTGTTCTGCAAGAACCACCTATATATATATGTTAGCAACATCATTCACGACCAATCTTAATGTTGAAAAAGCGAATGCACTTACTTGCTGACGAGGTAGTCCACGGCACCAAAGACACCAACAGCACCAGCAGACAGTCCAACGAGCTCCCAGGACAGCTTGCCCTGGGTGTGTTGACGGTAAGCACCAAAGCCGAGACCAGCACCGACGAGAGTCGCAATAGCAGCGTTGGCGAGGAAGACGGGGTTGTTGGTGTTTCCACGGATGCCACTGGCCTTCGCTTTGTGAGCCTTGGCCTTCTTCTCGGCATCCTCGCGTGCGCGCTGTTTCTCCTTCTCTTCGGCCTCACGCTCTATCCGCTCAGCCTGGGTAGTAGTCTGGACATCTTGCTCGAGAAACTCTGCGTCCACGGATTGCACGTGAGGTCCGTCGACGTCGATGAGAGAAGCTGTGCTCTCGGATTCGTCCTTGTAGACTCCTCCAACGAAAGGAGCGCGACTACAGTTGATGTTAGCTCAAAGGACCTTTGGCCTTTTGGAGAAAAAAAGGTGTACTCACGCCTGCAATTTGATGTTAGTGTTGCGACAGAGGTTCAGGGATTTGTGCACTTACATCCTCGGGGGCCTGCTTAGGGCCCTTGGCAGCAGCGTCGGCGTATGACATAGTGATCAGAGTGTATAATAGTAGTTCTGTAATCCAGTCAACACTTGAAACACAATAGAGACCAAAATCACCTACCAAGAGCGTGGATGAAGAAAACAAGGGAGGGGAAAGTGAAGGTTTTATACCTTTTGGGGTGTGACATCACGTCATGACCTGGGCCCACTGCCAGGGTTCTCGATCCGTAGATTCTTCCCGTGTTGACTTTACTCTTTTTGTATGATGTTTACTGGTCTATACTGAGATATACTAACATGGTCTATTGCAGAGCAGTGGCTGTTGATCATTACCGATATACTTATCTCATTTGGAGCATCTTATATCTAGTTTGCCGGGTCAGCCACCTACGTTGGCGCATCCGGAACATCACACTAGCCAAGACAATACGAAAACAATGATATGAAGTGGACAAAAATTGATTGAAAGCTGCTAAATAGATCAAAAACAAAAAGGACCTATGTAGTGGTCTAATGGGGGAGGCAAAGTGTTTTAATACAGATTACAAGATGAGAGTCGGAAGGGACTTTGCTGTTACAGCAGAAGCTCCAGGGGGTTCTCGACGACCTTCTTCAGCTCCTTAATCCATTCACCACCGACGGCGCCGTCAACCACCTTGTGGTCGAAGCTACCGGTGACGATGATCTGGTCATCCCACTCGGTGACGGTGCCCTCCTCAGTCTCGACAGGGATAGCAACCTTGCGGGTGGTGCCAACAGCCAGAATACCGGCCTGCGGGGGGTTGATGACAGCAGTGAAGCGCTCAACGGCGGGGTTCATGCCCATGTTGCTGATGGTGAAGGTGCCACCCTGGTACTCCTCGGGCTTGAGCTTGTTGTCGCGGGCACGCTTGCCAAGGTCCTTGATCTGGTTGGAGATGCTGGAGAGACCGAGACCGGAGACGTTCTTGACAACGGGGGTGATCAGACCAACGGGAGTGGCAACAGCGACACTGATATCAGCGGTCTTGTGCTGGCGGATGACGGTCTGGCCGTCAACCTCTTGCCAGCTGGAGTTGACCTGGGGAACCTTCTGCAGGGCAACGGCGCAGGCCTTGACGAGGAAATCGTTGACGGAGAGCTTGAACTTGCCCTCGGAGGAGGCGTTCAGAGCCTGGCGGAGCTTCATGAGCTTGGTGACCGACAGGGTGGTGGAGACGAAGTAGTGGGGGTTCTCGGCCATGGACTGCTTCAGACGGTTGGCGATGGTCTTGCGCATGGAGGTGATGGGGATGTCCTCGTAGGCGGGACCGGCGGCGGCGGAAGCGGCGGGCTTGTACTTCTCGATATCCTCCTTGGTGATGACACCACCACGGCCAGTACCCTTGAGGCCCTTGATGGGGACACCCTTCTCAAGGGCGAGGGCCTTGGCAGCAGGGCTGATGTTGGCCTCACGCTCAAGAGCGGGCTGGAGCTTCTCACCCGAAGTCTCGGGCTCCTGCGCAGCGGGCTGCTCCGGGGCGGGGGCGGGGGCGGCAGACTCGCTCTTGGGCTCCTCCTTTGTCTCAGCAGGGGCAGGCTTGTCACCACCGGCATCGGCCAGAGTGAAGGACTCGAAGGCAGAGACATCAGCACCCTCCTCAACAAGGACGGCAATGGGCTAAAGGGGGGCAAAAGTCAGTTTGATGCCCGCGGATAAAACCGGGAAATTTCTTACAGCGCCAACAGCGACATCCTTCTCACCAGACTCCTTCAGAACCTTGGCGAGGACACCCTCATCCTGGAACTCGAAGTCCATCTGGGCCTTATCAGTCTCAATCTCCACCAAAACATCACCGGGCTGGAGGCCGTCTCCGGCTTTCTTCTGCCAAACACCGATGTTTCCCGCGGTCATTGTCGGCGAAAGGGCGGGCATGCTGATGAGTGTGTGGGGAGGGAAGGCTGTGAGAGTATCATGTTAGAATTGGTGTTGACCGACAGAGGAGATAGTCCATACACTTGGAAGCATAGTAGCGGGAAAGAGCGGAGATGCTAGGCAATTGGTTCCTGCGCGCGAACAGCCCATTAGTATCAGAAAAGACCAGCGACTAACAGGCAAACATACTGGATGACCTCCTGGAACTTGTAGGAGACCTGGGGCCGGCGCATAGCGGCGGCACCTCTGGACATGAACATGGCGCTCGGGGTGCGCATCCGGACAGCTGACGCAACCATGGTGCCTGAGACTATCGCGATTATAAAATGAAAGAAATAAAGGCCCTCAACGCTGAGATGAAAGAATTGGAGATACCCGACACAATGTGGACGTGGAGGGCCAAGATTGGATGGGGTTGGGGTGGAAGGAGATGTCTCTAAATCACGAACTTTTCTGTTGAGCTAAGGTACCTTAGGTTTCTCACCGGTGAGCGGCCTTTTCCGAGAGAGGGAAATTAGATAATAACTGAGTCATCTTATTAGATCAGCATCTTAGGTCAGCCGATTAGCTCAGCATGCACCAGTCCCGATTCGGAGAAGACACGCATCCCCGTAACATGTCATTGCGGTTGTGCAAAGTACAGCTCCACCACATTTGCTCGTTCGATGTTTTTGATCTAATTAAATTGCTCCGCCCGGAGTCTACCTGACCATGGCGGATGTCGCATCCGGCCCCGAGCCGACCCAATCTGAGATGCCCGAGAAACCCGTGGAGACCCCAGATGTATCTCCTACAGCTCTAGATTCTGAGCCAAAACTGCCCGAGCAGACCGACCCGTTGGACACCCCTACCGAAGAGAACGAGGAAATGCCAGAAGAACAGGATGAAGAGAAACCAGAGGTGCCACCCAAGGATGAGTCTGAACAGACCGACCAGGAACCCAAAACAGACAGCCCGCCTGAAATTCAGGAACCAACCCCGGAAGACGACAATGTCGCGGAAAGTCGGTTGCGATCGGACTCTCGGTCCACGACGGCTACCTTCATGACGCAACGGTCAGGTGCAGTCAGTTCTACTGTGTTCATTGTGACGGCCCTGGACAATATTGCTGCCTCGCGGGACGCCCGGAGGGACAAGAAATTGGAGGAAGCCACACAGGTCGCTTTGACCAACATCAAACAGACCGATGGACAGCCAATTGATCCGGAGCTCATTTTCCGCCCTCTTCACTTGGCAAGCAAGTCCCTGAGCATTCCCTTGCAGGTCACCGCGTTGGACTGTATAGGAAAGCTGATCACATACTCCTATTTCGCATTCCCCTCCGCCGAGACAGAGAACGAAACCACTCCCGGCCAACCACCGTTGATTGAACGCGCTATTGATGCGATTTGCGACTGTTTCGAAAATGAAGCAACCGCGGTTGAGATTCAGCAGCAAATCATCAAATCGCTACTGGCGGCAGTCTTGAACGACAAGATTGTGGTCCATGGAGCTGGTCTCCTGAAAGCCGTCCGCCAGATTTACAACATTTTCATCTACTCAAAATCCAGCCAAAACCAGCAAATCGCCCAGGGATCGCTCACACAAATGGTCAGCACGGTCTTTGACCGCGTGCGCGTACGACTGGACCTTAAAGAACTCCGAACCCGCGAGGTAGAGAAGCCATCTTCAACCCTTGATGCCTCGGCCAGTGATGTGGGTCAGACATCGGAGGCGGCTTCAGTGTCTGTGGCAGACCAACCCGTCACCAAGGAACCCACTGCCGAAAAGCTCACCCTGCAGAGCTTCGAATCACCCAAAGAAGTGACCACTGTCAACGATAATGCGCCCACAACAGTCACCCGTGCTAAGCGATCAACCACGCGGTCAATGTCCGGCATCCCTGAAGAGAAGGATGATGACAGCTCGGCCGAGGACGAAGTAGATGAGATCTATGTCAAAGACGCCTTCCTTGTTTTCCGGGCTCTGTGCAAGCTGAGCCACAAGGTTTTATCCCATGAGCAGCAACAAGATGTGAAATCTCAGAACATGAGATCCAAGCTTCTTTCGCTGCACCTCATCCACTACCTCATCAACAACCACACCGCAACATTCACTTCTCCTCTTGCTGCGATCAAGAACAGCTCCTCCAGCACGGATGGAATGACACTACTTCTGGCCGTGCGACCTCATCTGTGCCTCAGTTTGAGTCGCAATGGCGCCAGCGCTGTGCCTCATGTGTTCAAAGTTTGCTGCGAGATCTTCTGGCTGATGCTGAAGGACATGAGAGTCATGATGAAAAAGGAATTGGAGGTATTCCTGAAAGAAATCTACCTGGCCATTCTTGAGAAACGAGCTGCCCCTGCGTTCCAAAAGCAATACTTCATGGAAGTACTAGAGAGGCTAGGTGGGGATCCACGGGCTTTGGTTGAAATTTATCTCAACTATGATTGTGACCGGACTGCTTTGGAGAATATCTTCCAGAAGTATGTGTTTTAAAAGTCGACCCTGCTCTACCTCAACTAACTTGTATAGTATCATTGAACAACTCTCCCGGTATGCAAGCGTGCCTGTTGTCACGTCAGCTTCTCAGCAACAGCAGTACCAAGAGCAGCATGTTAAAATGACAAGTATTGGCTCTGACTGGCATCACCGAGGCACTCTTCCCCTTTCCTTGACAAGTGCACACATCGTGCCTACTCCTCCATCTCCGATGCCTCATATCCCTCCGGAGTACGGTTTGAAGCAACAGGCTATTGAGTGCCTTGTTGAGATGCTACGATCGCTAGACAATTGGGCTGCCCAGCGACTGGACGAGCAACCCGAGGCGGCTATTCCCTCTAGGTCGATTGACAACTCCCGCGAGTCATTGGACACAAGCATCCTTATTTCACCACGCCCTGAAACTCATGAAGGCGGAACTGGACGGTCCACGCCTCTGCCTGAGGATGACCCGAACCAGATTGAAAAGGTCAAGCAGCGCAAGATTGCTCTCACGAATGCTATTCAACAATTCAATTTCAAGCCGAAGCGCGGAATCAAAGCCTTCCTCCAAGAAGGTTTCATCCGTTCGGAGTCGCCTGAAGATATTGCTGGCTTCATGCTCCGCAATGATCGTATCGACAAGGCCATGTTGGGAGAGTATTTAGGCGAAGGAGAGCCAGAAAACATTGCCATTATGCATGCATTTGTTGACCTGATGGAGTTTACGAAGCGCCGTTTCGTCGACTCCCTGCGCTCCTTCTTGCAGCATTTCCGCCTGCCTGGTGAAGCCCAAAAAATTGATCGGTTTATGCTGAAGTTTGCCGAGCGCTACACCACTCAAAACCCCAATGCGTTCGCCAATGCTGACACCGCCTACGTTCTGGCATACTCCGTAATTCTGCTCAATACTGATCAGCACAGTTCAAAGATGAAGGGCCGTCGTATGACAAAGGAGGACTTTATCAAGAACAACCGTGGTATCAACGACAACCAGGACTTGCCTGCCGACTATCTCGGCGCTATCTATGAAGAGATTGGAAGCAACGAAATTGTCCTTGACACGGAGCAGGAGCATGCTGCCAACCTCAGTGCACAGCCTGCCGCTCCTACTGGCCTTGCCACAAGAGCTGGACAGGTGTTTGCTACTGTTGGACGGGACATCCAAGGCGAAAAGTACTCTCAGGCTTCGGAAGAGATGGCCAACAAGACGGAACAGCTTTACCGCTCCCTTATTCGAGCCCAGCGCAAGACAGCTGTCAAAGATGCGCTCTCGCGCTTCATTCCTGCAACCTCAGAGCGCCACGTTGGGTCAATGTTCAACGTCACCTGGATGTCTTTCCTGTCTGGATTGTCTGCACCAATGCAGGACACTCAAAACATCAAAACCATCCGACTCTGTATGGAGGGACTCAAGCTGTCTATTCGGATCAGCTGCGCCTTCGATCTGGAGACTCCTCGTGTTGCATTCGTGACTGCATTGGCAAAGTTCACCAACCTTGGTAACGTAAGGGAGATGATGCCGAAGAACTTCGAGGCTCTGAAGGCCTTGCTCGACGTCGCTCTTACCGAGGGCAACCACCTTCAGGGCTCATGGCGGGATGTCCTGACTTGTGTCAGTCAGCTTGACCGTCTTCAGCTTCTGAGCGATGGTGTTGATGAGGGATCGTTGCCTGATGTTTCACGAGTACCTTCATCGGCGGACGTTTCTCGCAGATCGATGCAAAGTACCAGGCGTGCTCGCCCGCGCTCTATCAACGGGCCGGCTGCTTTCCGTCCAGAGATCGCCATGGAAAGTCGTTCAGCAGATATGATCCGTGGGGTGGACCGTATTTTCACCAACACCGCCAATCTTTCACACGAGGCCATCATTGAGTTCGTTAGGGCGTTGAGTGAAGTCAGCTGGCAAGAGATCCAATCTTCCGGTCACACTGATTCGCCTCGAACCTATAGTTTGCAGAAGCTGGTTGAAATCAGTTACTACAACATGACTCGTGTCAGGATCGAGTGGTCCAAGATCTGGGAGGTGCTGGGTCAACACTTCAACCAAGTCGGTTGTCACTCAAATACCACTGTTGTCTTCTTTGCATTGGACTCCCTCCGACAACTTTCCATGCGTTTCATGGAGATTGAGGAGTTGCCTGGTTTCAAGTTCCAGAAGGACTTCCTCAAGCCCTTTGAGCATGTGATGGCAAATAGCACTACTGCTGCTGTCAAGGACATGATTCTGCGGTGTCTGATTCAGATGATCCAGGCTCGTGGAGACAACATTCGTTCTGGCTGGAAGACCATGTTTGGTGTTTTTACCGTGGCCGCTCGGGAACCCTATGAGGGAATTGTCAACATGGCCTTTGATCATGTCACTCAGGTCTACAACACACGATTTGGAGTTGTGATCACTCAAGGCGCCTTTGCAGACCTCATTGTTTGTCTCACTGAATTCTCGAAGAACTCCAAGTTCCAGAAGAAATCCTTGCAGGCAATTGAGACATTGAAGTCAACCGTCACCAAGATGTTGCGAACCCCCGAATGCCCCTTGTCCCACCGTGATGCCGCATCTGCGGCCACTTTCCAGGACAATGGCACCAACCTTGCCAAGCAACTTACTCGTCAATCTCAAGAGGAGCAGTTCTGGTACCCTATCCTGATTGCATTCCAGGATGTGCTTATGACGGGTGATGACCTCGAGGTCCGCTCCCGAGCACTCACATACCTCTTCGATACCTTGATCCGACATGGTGGTAACTTCCCAAGGGACTTCTGGGATGTTCTCTGGAGACAGTTGCTTTGCCCAATCTTTGTGGTCTTGCAGTCCAAGTCCGAAATGTCCAAGGTTCCAAACCACGAGGATCTTTCGGTGTGGCTCTCCACTACAATGATTCAGGCGCTGCGAAACATGATCACCCTCTTCACTCATTATTTTGATGCGTTGGAATACATGCTGAGTCGCTTCTTGGAACTTTTGACCCTCTGCATTTGTCAAGAAAACGACACGATTGCACGCATTGGCAGTAACTGCCTTCAACAGTTGATTCTGCAGAATGTCGCCAAATTCCAGCAGGAGCACTGGTCCCAGATTGTTGGAGCTTTCGTTGAGCTTTTCAGCAAAACGACTGCATATGAACTGTTCACTGCTGCAGTCTCCATGTCAAAGCCGGCGGATGCTGTGAATGGGGATGCGGTCCACACACCCGATGCTGCCTCTGCGGCTGCAGCCACAGGCGAGGATATGCCTGAAGCACTGCAGGCTAATGGATCGCAAAGTACAAGCTCTCTTCAAGAAAACGGAGATCCCCCTGTACAGAGTGAGGCCCGTGCCGAATTGGAGGATTACCGACCTCAATCAGACCAGCAACAGCCTGCAGCTGTCACTGCTGCACGACGCCGGTACTTCAACCGCATCATCACCAACTGTGTTCTGCAGTTGCTCATGATTGAAACGGTTCATGAATTGTTCTCGAACGAGAATGTTTATGCAAAGATCCCCAGTGGAGAGCTTCTCCGACTCATGGGCCTGCTGAAGAAGAGTTATCAGTTTGCTAAGAAATTCAACGAGGACAAGGACTTGCGGATGCAGCTTTGGCGCCAGGGCTTCATGAAGCAACCCCCCAACTTGTTGAAGCAGGAGAGCGGTAGTGCCTCCACTTACGTGCATATTCTCTTCCGCATGTACCACGACGAGCGAGAGGAGAGACAGAGCAGTCGCCCCGAAACCGAGGCTGCACTCATTCCGTATGTTATTCTTCGATTACGCTTATCTTCATCGCTAATCTCTTTCCAGTCTTTGTGCAGATATCATTCGCAGCTTCGTTCGTTTGGAAGAAGACACCCAACACCGCAACATCGTCGCCTGGCGTCCTGTGGTGGTGGATGTTATTGACGGATACACCAACTTCCCGCAAGTGGACTTTGACAAACACATTGAGACCTTCTACCCACTCGGAGTTGAGTTGTTGAGCCGTGACCTCAACCCGGAGATCCGCGTCGCTCTCCAGTCCCTCCTGCGCCGCATCGGCGAGGTCCGACTAGGCGTTGCTCCGCCAAATCCCTTGGATGCCCCGATCAGCCCGCGGAGCTCCGTTTCCCAGAAGGCGTCGCGTCGTGACAGCCAGGCCTGATTTTGTGTACTATTCTTGGATATCCTCGCGGTCTTGTCTTTGGCGTTCTTATAACCCGGCTTTTCGGGCCTTTTACACATTTTTGATCTTTCTACTTTTAGAGATGCATAGCTGTATTGATAAGACAAAAATTTTGTTAATTTGATTTCATTTCACTTCTGGACTTCCTGGAACGTGGGGACCTTGCCCGACTCGTAGTAGGAGAGTACACTGTCCATATCGCGCTCGGTCATCTCTACGAGCTGTTCCAAGCTCCATTGTTCGCACACGCCGGACATCCTGTAATAGGTTAGAACGTAGCTCGGACAGACAGAAGATGTGACCTACCATTTCATTCTCTTGGGCCCTTGATCCGGGTTGGGGGCTACTTCACGGAGTTTCTTCCGGAGCTTTCCCACATTCTCAATTGCTGCACCCATGTTCCCCGGCAAAGTCTCGGCGATCTTCTTGCGCACGATGCTGGCCAGCTTGGGGCCGTTTCCGTTGGTGCTGACCATCACCTGCAATGGACCATCACGATGGACACTGCCAAAGTAGAAATCGCACTCCGGTGGGACATCGGCAATGTTTGCTGCGATTCGCCTTTCCTTGCACAGTTTCCAGACCTGTGTTGAAGCTTCCGGGTCGTCAATGGCGCAAAGCACCATATCGGCATCATCGAGGTCGCTGGGTTGGAAATTACGGTCGACGTGTGAGACTTGCTTCTCAGACACTCGGAATGCGACTTCCTCGTTGAGCCCGGCAGCTGGACAAACGACTGTCACCCGTGCATCGGCATTGAGGGCATGCAGGATACGTCCTGCAGCAACCTAGCAGAATATATAGATCAGTCATAGCTCCGAGATCAACATCACTGGGATAGATACCTCCCCGCCACCAACTACTAACACATGCTTGTCTCTAATCTGCCAGGCCAAGATCAATGAGCCACCACCCTGGACTTCTGGGAACTTGGACATGGTGGGATGATGGGAGGATGATGCAACGATCAGGCGTCGATGCCCCCCATGTACGGCGGGCGGTGTGAACCATCCCCGCTAGTGAACTTTTCTCTTCCCGAACTTTTCACTTCCTTCACCTTTCTCTTCTTCACCTCAACAATGCGTGGTGTCCAGATCTTTTCGGGGAATTCCCACCCCGCCCTCGCAGATACTATCTGCGAGAGGTTAGGCACTGTGCCTGCTAAAGCTAACTTGGGAAAGTTCGCCAATGGCGAGACCAGTGTGAACATCGGTACCTCAGTGCGGAACCAGGATGTCTACATCGTCCAAAGTGGCAGTGAGAAGATTAATGACAGTGTAATGGAGCTCCTGATTATGATTTCAGCGTGCAAGGGTGGCTCAGCCAAGTCGATTACAGGTATGTCGTCGTCGACCCGAGGTTGGAAAGCTCTGAGACTAACTTGTGTCCAGCGGTCGTGCCGTATGCTGCCCGTCCTGTCTGACTTTCCAAATACAGTGATTGCTGACGCAGACGAGATATTTCCCCTATTCGCGCCAATCTAAGAAGAAGAGTCATCGCGGTGCCATCACGGCCCGCATGCTCGCCAATCTCCTCACGATCGCCGGCGTGGACCATGTGATTACCATGGACCTGCACGTATGTCTCTATGCGATGATCAGTTTGATACTTTGGATATTGATGGGCTCCTAGGCATCCCAGATGCAAGGGTTCTTCGGAAAGCCGGTCGACAACCTCTTTGCCGAACCGTTCATTGCGCGCTGGATCCGGATGAATGTCACTGGCTGGAAAGACGCCGTCGTGGTGAGCAAGAATGCAGGCGGTACCAAGCGAGTAACATCGCTGGCCGATACTCTCAAGCTCAATTTCGGAATCGTGACGACAGATCGTCGTCGGCCGAAGGTCCCTGTGGCCACCATGTCTGACAGCACAGTCTTCTTCGATGCCAGGGATGAAGATCCTCGCGCGACCAAGGACCCACAGCCTTTTGAGCTGCACTTGCACAAATCTCTCAGAACCCCTGCCACTCCCCCTATTCCAGAAGAGCCGGAGCCGGTCACTCCTCCTCAGGAGCAGCTCCTGCGACCCGAGACCCCACCTGCAGCTCGCCGCCCATCGGAGCTGGAAGCAGCCTATGAGTACACGGATTTGCGTGTCCGGGAGGTCATCACTGGGCGTCTGGTGCAAGGCCAATTGGTTGACGATGACTATCGCTCCAATGAAGACTCACATTCCGGTGGCACCACGCCGGGGGCAGGCAGCAACCACGAAGAGGTCGTCCCGGATGCCATGTTCAACTCGATGATTTCCAACGCCTCGTCGCAGGCTCCTGATCATGCACTCGGTGGCTCCTTTGACGCAGTGGAGTCTGATGACGAAGCTAGTGTCTGCGGTGGACACGCCGACGAGAGGACCATCACGCTGGTCGGCGAGGTCCGCGACCGATCCGTTTTTGTTGTCGATGACATGATCGACAAGAGTGGGTCGTGGATTGCCGCTGCCGAGACTGTTGTGAAGCGTGGTGGTGCCAGCAAGGTCTACTGTATTGCTACTCACGGACTCTTCACCGAAGAGTCACTGGACCAGATGGAGGCCTGCCCGTCCATTGACCACATCGTCGTGACCAACACCTTCCCAATCTCACCGTTGATGCTGCGGCGATCCAAGAAGCTGATTGTGATTGATGTGTCCAGCCTATTGGCAGAGAGCATCCGGAGGCACCATTACGGCGAAAGGTTTGTTACCACCGGCTGTGTCGCGTGACCATCCACTAACAACGAGCAGCGTCTCGGCCCTCTTCCACCTTAACGACTGATGAGGCAGATGGCAGTTACGATGCACGAACTATATCTAGGACGGCGTTTTTGCATATTGATGCGCAGGGTTCCCCTGCAACCCGTTGATGACATGATACCTATTGCGGAAATGAACCTGTTCGATCATCCCCTTCCCTTGCGTAGCAGTGATATCACAATCCCCTTTTCACCCCCCAGCGATGCAGTCCACTCGGGTACTGCAGGGGCATCTTGTAACCCACAAGGTGTTCTTAACGGAGCGTTGGCAGAGCAAACTTTGGGTCTTCTTCTTTCTTCATGTTGTGATCTCCTCGGACGCATCCAACATGGAGGTGTCACCCCTTCCCCAGTTCTTTCAAGACGAGTGGCCCTGGCCGTGGAAGTGGTGCAAGAGTTGATCTCAAACATACGTAATTCGATAGCAAACAATTTGATTCATGTCCACTTTCCGATTCATATCCATCCATATCCAACCCCGTAACCACTTCCCGAGTGGCAAGCCCCGACCCGATATCTTCCCATATGCAGTCGGCCGCGAAGTATTGCATGATTGCTTCTCGAAGCAAGTTTGCCATTCGGTCGCGGTCCAGTGATCGTGGTGTCCAAGTGTCGGTGTGTTATAGACCGGTGGAGATATACTTCGCAGGACTGGCTCTAGCGCTGCGGTCTCCTGTAGCAACGAGCCCTTGGTCGTAATTGCAATCTTTCGGTGTGACAGGTGGACTTGGAAAGTACAGAAAATATATGTATTCATAGCCCGTCGGAAGAGGTGTCTCTCTCTCCGAGATTGGCCCTGTTCCCGTCTACGTTGCGTACCACCCGGGGGGGGGAGGTGTTTCTTGTTGGAACTGCCCCATCCAGTCGTTGCAGAGTCTTGGCTTCTCACCATCCGAAGTAGAGACAGGGGTAAATGTGAGAGAGCGACTAATCGACAATTCCACAATTCCATTCTGCGGCTATTCAATAAGCAATTGGGCCGTGCAAGCGCCGCCGCACTAATGCAGCGGGGGTCGAGTTCCGATCGAGAGAATTTTGAGATCCGGTACTTTTGAGGATTGTTATTTGGGTACTTTTTAAGGCAAAGTCCGATGGGGACAAGGGACAATAGTGACATTCCCGTGTGGATCTCGGCCCAAGCGTCTTCAGTTGATGTATCAACTACAGGTCTACGGGTCAGGGGCTGAATAGATAGATAGCGAGGCGATGATTGAGTCCAGATCGAATGAATTGGATAGAGAAATCCAAATCGAATCCAATCGAGCCGAATTTCCGTCAAAAAAGAAACAAAATGACATATAAACAGAAAAAGAAACCAACCTTCGACCCAAATCGCTGGGATGCAAAGCCCCGATCTTCCACGTATTCGGGAATTACGATTTATTCTTTCGCTGGACTTAGCTCCATCTGCTTAGGGCTACTTGATCTATACATCTTCCCTGCTCCAATGACTTTCTTCCCTTGTCCCTCTTCGGCTCCCTTCCGGCTTTCCCCAGCTGAATCAATCGGTCCTCCCCAATCAGCGTCCTCCGATGACCGATCGAGACTAAATCTCTTCCTCGAACTGGGATCTGCCTGGCGTCGGTGGTTCCATGCAAGATGAGCTTTTCGGTAGATCGGCCGTCTTAATTTCTTTAATTCTACTTTTCCCATGAGGACCTCATTTATTCTCGGATACCTGCATCATACGGATTCTTGCAGGGTCTGTCGGCTGTTGAGACATTGACTGGTAATTGGGATTGCTCACCGTGTTCTGAGATCGAGAGAGAGAGAAAGAGAGAGAGAGAGAGAGCGAGAGTATATAATGGCCTCGTCGTCCTGGTTTTTCTAGATCCAGACTCTCTCAATTGACTTTCTATCCTCGACACGCCTTGCTTTCAATTGACTTTGATTCTATCTCCATCTCCATCTCCATCTCCATCTCTCTCCTTCATCTTCTTCATCCTCCATCTTCCCTTGCCAATCTAGGAGCTTGGATCTCACCTCCGGTGATCGACACTATCTTCCACATCCTCGGGTCCTGGTACGTGACAGAGTCCCGGGACTAGAGCCTCCCGGATATACTGACATGACAGCAGTGTGATCTCCCATTTTTCACCTCTTTCACCTTCATCATGGCCAACCAGTGTTCCGGTCACGTCTTTGCCATTGTCCAGGCTACCAACGGCAACATCCTGACCTGGCGGTGCTCAGACTGCAACTCTGGACCCTTTGTGGCGATCTGGCGCTGCAAGATTTGTGGCCATTGTCGCTGCAATGCATGCCACAATGCCAAAGCATAGGTGAGCCGAAACCGAGTCCGAAGCCTCCTTGCGAGTGACTAACTTCCCAAAAGGGACTTCTGCATCTGCCGGCATATACAGGTTGCTCTACGGAGTAGGGGTGTGTTTCCACCAGCCCCAGCCCCTCGGGGTCGGGTTGAGATCCGCTCTCGTTTTGCATTTGATGTGTTCCAAAAGTCTTGTTTTTCTTGCATCTTGGAGTTTATAGACCTGGGTGTTTGTTTTTGTCGGGCTTTCGGGATCGTTCTTTCTGGACCAATGGTCGTGTATTCTATTTCTTTATTGAAGCCAGAGGGCTGTTCCAATGCTATTCCATGTTATCCGAAGGCTATTCCAAATGCTGCTTGAACGTTATTTCAAATACTTTGATCGGCCATGTCACGGCCCAATCAAGGTACACGTAACTTGGGGACGGCATACACATGGAGGCGATCAAAAGCTTTCTCAGGTCTAGCCTGGTAGGCCCTACATGCAGGGTCTGCCTTGTTCGTGTTCACCCTGAATATTCAAGGTTTTCGGTTTGAGATCCGGGATGCGAGCTGCGCCGCTAGGAATAGAAATGAACCTCTCTCTTTACCGAAGTGGAGAAAGAGAAAAGATTGGCAATAATCCCCTTGCCAAGCCAGGGCTATATCCCGTGCTTGGGGAATTTTTTTCTCCCGCGCACATGTTGACCCAATGTGAGTGGCTGCATGAAAATGAGATGTATCGGAACGACATACGTACGCGACAAGGGCTAAAACAGACTAAAGCGACTAAAGACACTAACCGAGACTAAGGCCAACACTAAACGGAAAATGGGGAAAGGAGGGCAAATCGTGTTCCCAGGGGCTTGGGACAATACCTCCATCTCCACTGACCAAAGTACTTATATTACGCACAATGTACTTGACTCGTACTTTTTCGATGATGACATTCGTATGCAATATTCCAATATTCCAATATTCACTCACTAGGTGTAGATACTCTGTGAACGGTTAGCATGTTCCCTCCATCCCTAGATTCGTACTCACCTCTGTAATTTGATTCACGGCCAATCCAGGCTCAGCCATTTCAGCATCTTTCAGGAAATCCAAGGGCAACCAAACCAAATGACCCTTGATCAGATCGAGCTTCTCGCGCACATCCTTGACAGGCATATACGGATCGAACAAGTGGCCCTCATTATGCGAGCCCCGCGGTCGGAAATTGTCATAATCCTCAAAGGTCTTGATATTATCATCGGGATCCGCGCGGAACAGCATCCGATACGTCTCAGTGTTCCCACTCGCCTGCGACGTCCAGGTGTTCCAGACCCCGTCGCTCAGCGGGTCCGTCACGAACTCATTCTCCGGTCCCGAGATGATCTCGTTTAAGCATTCGTCCGGTGGTCGCGCGTTGGGATGTCCTGTGGCGTCGTATTCCTGCGCCGGCAGTAGGCCTAGGTGTTCGCGCCAGAGTTGGCGCCGCAGCGTTGCGGCCAATCGGGCTGCTCGGTAGGGTTGTCCGTTCATGGTGCTGTCGATGAAGTCTTGATCTTCCATGACAATGGCTATTTCGCTGTCGTGCGATCCCAGTTGCGACTGCGGTTCTCAGCCGATGATACAGGACAGAAATGAAGGGTCATAATGTGGGAGAGGTGGGAGACGTCGTGCTACACTTACCCGATCGTTGATATTGGCACTGCCGCAGATTATGGTGCGGTCGTCGACAATACATACTTTGCCGTGCACGTAAAGCTCCTCTTGGACAAAGTTGCTCTTCTCGGCCTCTGGGTCACCCTCCCAGTTCTCGTCGGACATCTTACCGCCGTTCAGCATGGTGCAGTGCGACACGGTGTCCTTGCTGTGGAAGCCATCCTTGGCCTTGCGCTGTTCCACCTTTTCTTCGAACTTCTTCAGTTTCTGCAGAGTGGCTTCTTTCTGACTGGGGTCGGCGGTGTAGTCTTTCTCGTTGCGGTCACCATCTTTGCCGATCGTCGGGTGCACACTTTCACTCATGATGGATTCGGCAATACCGCGCTGGATGTCCTGGTATGTAACATCGGCTTGCTTCTCGAGGTCTTCCAGAGCGGGCGTCTTGTTGATTCGGTCGTATGCCCGCAGGGCAAAGATGAAGACATGCTCTGATTCGTGTTAGGATGCATTGCATTGACACGGGAAAAGAGAACCTACCGCGAGGGTCAATGCCCTCCTTCTCGATTTGCCCAAAGATTGAGTGCTCGCCACGACAAATCGACTTGTACTGATAGTCCATGATAGCCCGAGTTCCCGTCGCGGCGTTATCACGCAGATCACCAGCGAAACCGGGAATCGCAGGGATGACAAGGATGACGCGGAACTTACGGCCTTCCTTACCTGCTTTCACGCACGCATCGACAATAGCCCGGCCAATGGTGTTGAAAATTGGACGCTGCTGGTCGCCAGTAGCGGTGACTATCAATGTTAGCAAATGTGCCTATATTTTGGATGGCTGGCTTACTGAAGAACTGGTTCTCAATGTACACAAAGTGCTGAGCGTTGCGGATGGTCTCGCAGTATGCGTTCTGGATACTGTGCTCGTTCAGAATACCACTACTCCAGTCATCACTGCTTCGCACGATCTGAGCGCGCACAGTGCCCACATCACCACGGGGCTTGGATGAGAGAGGGGTCAGTGGGTGCTGAATATAGTCACCGCATGGGTACTTGGGTCTCTGAACCGCGATGATATCTTCATCTTCGCCCGTGCGGCCCTCCATAAGCAGCCAATCGACATCGTGGTTGCGCTTGTATTTGTCGCGCTTGATAAAGTTCCAGCGCAGGACGAAGTGCTCTGCAATATCAAACACACAGTCACCCATCAATCCCATGGCCACATCGTGCCAGGGCATGCGGCCGTATTCAGCCTTGCTAACTTCGTTGCTCTGCCAGTCTTCCACGCCCTGGAAGTCCATGATTCGGTTGTTGTTAAATTCCTGACCTGGGAAGATGTCGTCCCGTAGGCCGGCTGGGTGGACATCTGCCAGAGGGTGCTGGTTCACATCCCAGCGTCCGAAACAAAGATCAATACCTCCAATGAATGCGACGGCGTAATCGATGACAACGAATTTCTCGTGATGGGCCTGTCTACTGTCAGCTGTCTCAATGTAAGCCTCGGGAGCAGGGGCTACATACCCAGTACAGGGTCATATCGGCTGCGTTTTCAAAGACATTGTGATCGGGGTGGCGCATCACTCGAATGTTGCCGTGACCAGGTGTTCCTTCGGGGCAAAGGTTTCGCAGCGCATGCTTGGTGTGCGCTGAATTGCAAGTCAGGGCTTGGTTGACCTACAGGACTGTCAATATGATGCTTTCATCACAAGCCAAAAATTAAAGACCGACCTCTTTGTAGACAATCACATAGATCTTGACACCAGCCTCCGCGCGGCGCTTCAAGACCTGATCCAATCGCCATTCCTGGTGCTCCACAGGAGGCCGACGCATAAACAATTCCGGGGACAGCCACCAATCGGCGATGTAAATGGTCTCGGTCGCCTTCTCGAGAGCCTCGGAAACTGCCCACATGTAATCCATGGCGTCGACATACCACTTGACGCGATTGCCCTCGTGGATGGGCGCAAATGATCCAAAGCGGTGCGACTCTGCAATTTCAGAACGCTTGCGGTCTGTTTTTTGCTCATGCTCCTCATCGTGGCGATGATTGGGATTTATAATGTTGAAGAACTTGCCCACCTTGTGCTTCATGTGTGTAGCTTCGGCTTTGACATCATGAAGATGGGTGTCTGGAAATGGTCAGTCTTTGGTCAAGTACGGAGATCTCATTACAGACCTTTAAAAGACCCCTCCAGATGGTCTATTGAATGCTCCAGCTTTTCCTTGAATTTCTGCATAATTGCGAGGAGTTGTGGAGGGGGAAAGATCGGGGGAGGGGAATCTGGAGATAATCCAAGTGACATCACGGCAGCCCTACTACCTTACGAATCTCGGCATTAAATTGTCTCATAATTTGTGATAATGCAGATCTACAGCCACATCCTTTGGTTTGTTCGTGTTTTCCTCCAATTTCCCGCGTGGAGCCTGTATTTCCATGGTACCCGACGATATCGGACCACTTTAGTTTCTTGGCAATTGCAGGGTATTCGGATATTTGTGTTGTGCGGGTGGTGTAGATGTATAGAGGACGGAATACACATATATATTATAGGCAAAATAGAGCAGATCTGGAGGGGAGTCGATCTCAGTGGAGATATATATACTCCGAGTGGGCTATGATTCGCGACTCTACAGCAAACATGTGGCGAGAGCATAATCCAGTCTTCAAATAAGGAACCATCTGACATTCTAGACCGTCTAAACATTCAGAATATAAAAATCCAGCCCTGGAGACATTTGGTGTGCATTGAAGATCAATGATGTAATGTGCCAAGTTTGTCCTCTCCGCCGCTGACGCGTAGCAGTTGAGCATGATACAGCCAAAATAGTAGGAGATAACTTATAAGCTAGATGTTAAAGGAACATACCAGATGTGCATATAATGCTCTTTCAAAGCACTATTGCCTGATTGTTCTTTGCCTTCTGTTCTGTTGTCACTCAGTACACTATTACCTAGCAGACTGAACAACACAGGAGTATAGCTAAATATACCGACAGGCCAGAACATCAGAATAAACCAACCACTGCAACAACCACTGTAACATCACGTAGCTCACGTAGCTCACGTATAAAGCGAACAATGCGAAGTAAACAAAAACAAGCCCAGGAATGCTTACCTCAGCCACGTGACCGACCAAACAACGTTGTCAGAGGAACGGTCCTTTTCTGTTTATCCTCCCTCGACTCACACGCGGCTACGCCTTTACAGCCCCAGTAGGCTTGCGACTCGCTTTTTGGAGTTTGGATTGTGCATTGCGAGTTCTGTTTGTCTCTGGGTGTCATTTTGGTTTTGGTTTGAGAAAAGTGTGCCGTGGAAAGTGCAGGGTCATCGCCGTGGTTACCACTTCCTCCACAACGCAAATGGGCATAATGCCGCCAGAACTGGGTAAGTCAACGCTCAACGTTGGGTCACGTTATTCTTCCCATCCTGACCTCCCAAAGCTCGAGCCCAGTCACAGGGAAGTGTGGTGTCCCAGACAACACAGATTGCCCCCCAGAGCCGACCTGGTACGGCAGACCCTATGCGGGCACGGTCAGAAACTGCTTCCAGAGCTGGTCGTCGTCCTCGTTCCCGAGGCTCAACAGCGAGCATTCACTCGAGTACGACACAACAAACACAAGACCAGCACCTCGACGGTTTCCCGCAATTTATGCCCTCGCAAGTCCCGGGCCAACACATGTTTGGTGGTAACCCAGAGGATATGCTGATGCGATTTGGGCACCAGTTTTCTCACCACTCGAACAGTCCGTCTTTGGACCAATCAATGCACGACCATACCGCGATGCCTCGAGCAGATGAGTTCCAGAACCACGCGATGCACGACCACACCCTTGCCCACCAACCCATACAACCACCAATGCCGCATGCAATTCATGCAATTCCACAATATCAGCCTGTTTATGACAGTGGAGTTGAAAACCATTTGCCTGATCACATCACCGAGGATCAAGACATGTCTGAACAAGGCGCAAAAAAGAAAAAGGGGGCTAGCTCGACATTGGCAAATGACATGGAACTGCGGAAATTGCTCCGCCAGTATGAGGGATGGACCCTGAAGCAGATGGCAGCAGAGGTCATGAAGCATGAAGGTGGTGGAGGCAAGGCCGAAAAAGTGAAGCAAGTCTTCGCCATGATCTGGTAAGGAAGATTCCTGGCAAAGACCTAGATTTGCAAGTTAACCATCGTCATAGGCTGAGAGAAAACTGCCGCAAGAGTACTGGCTCAGTGCGTCGTGACCGTGTTTACTGTTGTTATGCAGAGAACTGTGGCACAGAGCGAGTTTCAGTATTGAACCCTGCTTCTTTTGGCAAACTCGTTCGCATCATCTTTCCCAATGTGCAGACTCGACGACTTGGAGTTCGAGGTGAATCCAAGTACCACTATGTTGACTTGTCGGTCATTGAGGAGAAGCAACAAAAGCTTGCACCCCTCAATCCTCAAGCCAACCAAAGCGTCAATGGTCCCCTGCCGCCATCAAGACCTGCCAGTGCGCTGCGCTCGAGGAGGTAAGACCCCATGCCCTCGCATACAATTGGGCCCTGCTTACAATTTCTAGTGCCAGTGTACAGCAGCCGACCGCCGACACCGCCGTTTTCCCTTCCCCCCCCACCTCGTTTGCTCCTCGATTCCCAAGCCATCCTGCACCTGGTGATTGCAATTGCCAGTCCCAGAACCCCAATGGATCAGATGAAACAATCACTCGTGAAAATGTGGCTCAACAAGCTGGAAAGATGATTCATCAAATGTTGCAGTTCCCGCTGGATGAGAATCCTCTGGTCGATAACGAAGCCCTTCAACTCCCCGATATCCGCCCCTACCTCCCCGCGAACAGTGACTTGAAAGTTGCTGCAGCCCTTGCTGCTCTCTACCGCTCCCATTGCATCTCTGTTATCGACAGTTTCCGTTACTGCAAGGAAAGGAATCTCATGAAATACTTCTCTGCTTTCCATGGCACCTTGACTGTCCCTGTTCAGAAGATGTTGACACACCCCAACGTTGCCCCGTGGATCAAGGAGTGTGATTGGATGATGTATCAGAAGATGATTGCTTTTGTGGCACCCCTGACAACCCAGGTGGTCCCCAAACCGGTTCTAGATGCCTTCAACTCTATCTCACAAAGACTCTGCGGTCATATTTCCGAGACATTCAAGGCTCAGCCAACTCATGTTTCACTCGCACGACTGATTCCCGCACACATCTTCTGCAATCTCCTCAAGCACATGCTGGATGTGAACCAGGCTGCCAATGCTGCTGCCGCCTGGCTTTGCCATCCCGACAACCGGAACCAGATGTGGTTTGACTACAAGACCCTGGTCAACCCTCGTGACATGATGACCAAGGCCAATATTCCGACGTGTGCTGAGCTGGCCACAGAGCAGATTCTCAAGCATGATGTTCGCGCACTTCTCACCCCATTGACCGACGCAGACCCCACCACGGCCTTGCCTTTCTTCACGAAACCTGATTCACCTGATTCCGTCGAGGCTCACAAGTTTCCCGTTGAAAGTGCCCCCGGCGATGAGTACAATTTCCCAGACAAATGGGTTCAATTCATCCTAAACCTTCCCGCTGCCTTTTCTCATCACCGCACCCAGTGCGTGATTGAGAAGGTTGATGCCTTGTGGGACAGCGTTCTGCACCGACTCACTCTGGGTGGTGCCGCCAGTTTCAGTGCCTGGTGGATGACCAAGGTTTTCTTCCACGAAATGATGGTTTGGCAGGCCGAGAAGGGCGGATTCATGCGCAACACCCCCGGATCCCTGCAAAGTGCGACCTTCGGTCCGGAGTCGCTTGGCAATTTTCAGATGAAGCCAGCTGTCCCCGAGCAGTCCCCTTTTGAAGGGACTCAGCCCCAGACCAAGTCCAATGATAGCCCTGTTCCCCCAAACGGCCAGGTCCCTACCAATGGCCATTCGGATTTTAAACACCCGCCCAACGAGAAGCGACTGTCACTCGCCGATCCGGGCTTCCAAGCTCACAACAATGACGACAGTGCCATCGACCTTGAAGATGATACCATGTTAATGGCAGTTGGCAAATACGGAGACATGATGGTCTCCGATCCCGCCGACGCTGAGGGCGATGTGGTCGTCATCTAATTGTTAAATTTTGATTCGGATTCATGAGTTGGAGTTGGATATCCCCTTTGTTTGGATTATTCCTTTTGGGTTGACGGAGTTTTACGATTCTCTTTTGTTATTTTGGTTATCCCATTTGTTTCTACGAAGCGATGAGCCACGAGCATGGAATGTACGAGTATTCCTTGCGAACCCGATGTACCGGGCCCCCTGATCATCATTCTTACAGCATTTAATTGGCGTGTGGCGGAATTCTGTACTGAATTGGTTACACTTCCCCTTTCCTGTTTGTTACTTTCGGGTCTCCTCCGAGTCCCCTTGTACATATGCAGTTACAACGTACGGACTTTTTCCTCAGGGGCTTTACTATTTTCTTTCTCCATTGTATTACTTTCCAGTACTGAGGATTAATCATTTTTCGAGTGTATTGAAATGCCCATGTCATCAAAAAGTTGCCAAAAAGTCAAAGAAGAGGAGTTAACAGCTCGCTATGCCGGTTTACGACTGGGATCCGAACCCCATGCAGGACGAGTATAAAGCCATCGCAACTCTTTAAATTGTGTTGACCTTATGATCATCGTCGCCCCTCCTTGAAAGTGTTCTCCTTCTCACAGAGATATTACGCCGTCTCCATGTGTTACACCTTCAACTACCGGCAACCTCGACAGAAGTACCCTGTGACCTTTCCACCCTTTCCCGGGCCTGCAGTTCTCCCAACAAGAATGACTGTAAGTATATAATGCCCTGTTCATCTGTGTCCTCAGAATCCATTCTAGAAAGTAACAGCTGAGTGATATGAGAAAATGATAGCTTGAAACAGCAGTGCAGAGGATGGTATGTCATGCACATGCAAAAAGAGATTCGAGGGCGTCAACAAGGCTCACTTCATCTCAGAGAAAAGAACACTGTTGCTGAGAAATAGTAGGTCTCTCAAAGTACTCCTTGTCTACAGTCTACAATTTGGTCATAGCAAAGCTCGCCATGTTTTGGTATTGATTCATTTCAACCAATTAAATTCAACTCATACTATCAAATACAAGCTCCCAACATCAAAGCTACACAGCAATCTCCTTGGGCCATCTGCCAAAGGTGAATTGCGAGTTACACATATTGGTCAACTCCCAACTCTCGGCACCCAGAAGCGCCGGCGTATGCTCATCTTCTTCATCTCCCGCGGCACCGGCCACAAACATAGCAGCCATGAAGTGATCATCGGTAGCGTGTGCGTCCCGGTATCGAGGATGCTTCATGAGCCTTGTCATAGCACGTCGTAACTGCACGCCGGAAGTCTTGGTGATGACATCCTCGACCGCCTGACGGAACTCCATAGCCCAATCCTCCGGTGGCGTTTCCATCGCAAAGTTATCCCGGAAGCGCATCATGGGGGCCCACCGATTTCTGTATAGATTGTGCACAGCTCCTCCCGTCCCGATGATCAGGTAGTTCTCTCGTCGTAGCTGGCGCAAGGTCGAGCCAATCTTCATGTGGAAATGGGGGTCGTAGCGGGCGTTGGCTGAGACGAGTGTTGTTGGTGGACATCCTGCCGGGAACATGCGGATGAGAATGAGATATACGTCGTGGATCCAGTCGAAACTGTCATTGCCGCTCACGTTGAACCCTTCCTGGGCCAGCATTTGGATGCAACGCTTTGTGGTTTCGAGGTCGGGATTCAGCTTGTAGTTCTGATACTTGTCGGGATGAACATATGCTACTGGGCTCTTGTCTGGATTGGGATTGGTTGCCAGCTCGATCTTGTCTCCCATGCAGTCCCAATGTGCCCCCTGTAATGTGTTAGCTGTGCTAGGTATACGCCTTGTATGATTTACCATGATGACCACGCCCTTGATCTTGCGCTCTAGAGCTTCATCACCGCACTTCTTCCAGTAGTCTGCGCTTTCCGACTCTTCTCCCAACATCATGGTTGAGCCATGGGAGAAGAAATGAACAGGGGTGAGGCCTATATCGTTAGCAGGCATCATAAACGAAGAATGCAGACATACCCATTGTGAGTATGTATATAGTTGATTTGACTGAAAAACAACCGGGAATGAAGCAGTACAAATACTCCTATTCCTTTCTACGCAACTGCATACTCCATCGGGTATTGTCCCCCACATCCCGAATGTGCATTTGCCACAATCCCACCATTTTGGCCGAATTAGACCCTTTTCGATCAAACCAAATCAGCCACTTCCTTCTGCTTAAGCTTCTTGGGGGGGAATGAGGGGTACATGGCCATTTCCGGGGCAAAACGCCTTCAACTCTGGGGAATAGCCGCGTAATTGTGTGAATCTGGGGAATGCGCAGTGGAGTAGGCGAATGAGTGCGGGACTGCCACTGGCCCCTGAAGGAACTGCCTCTTTTCACGAGTTTCTCATTGGTCGTTTTAGAAGAAGCCATAGTCTGAAGATCTCTCATTCCGCATTTAGCGTGGAGAAAGTGGCGTCGATCAACTGCCACTTCCCCCGGATTTCCTCTCCTTCCTCCCTTTTCTCTTTTTTCCACTGTCCCCCTCTCCTTTCCCCCTGTCTTGCGATGCAAATGCCTGATCATGTACACTGATTCACCCCCAAAGACGGTGCGAATGGACAGTGCGCATTCTCCGCCAAAAAAGGAGAATGGCTACTTTCAATGTGGTTTCTGTAAACGTCACTATAACCGAGCTGATCATTTGATACGCCATGTTCGCTCGCATACACGAGAAAAGCCATATGTCTGCGATGTTTGCGACAAAGGGTTTGCGCGGCCGTGAGGATCACCTCAATTGGAGGGTTTGCTCTGTGGCTGATGTGTTCTTAGAGATTTGTTAAAACGCCATGCGACAGGCCATGCCAACGACCGAGACCGTAAACGAAAGCGAAGCTCGTCAGTCGCCAAACAGAGCAGGGTCTCCCAGGCGTGCAAATCCTGTGCCACTTCAAAATTAAAATGCGACGATGACAAGCCCTGTCGGCGATGCCGCGAGCGCAACCAGCCCTGTGACTGGCAGGATGTCTCGCAGGATTCGTCACCAGAGCCTACACACCAGCGCAACATCTTCGATACGCCTGCGCAAAGCAATGCGCGTATGGAATTGACTACTTCGCCTGCGGTGGCATTCTCACCGATGCCAACGCCTTTGGAGGATTTCTCAGCGACCACTATCTTGATGACCCCGAGGCCTCTGCCAAACAACGTCCTGTCTCCAGAAATGCCCCAGGGGGTAGACCAAATGGCCCTTGAAACTGGAGGTATGAATGGATCCGATGAATTATGCTACTACTGGCTGACAGTCACATAGTATCACCTAACGACCACGAGAGTGGCATCTTTAGTGTCGACGGCACATTCTTCCCAAACTTCATCCCCGACTCTCTGATACCTTCTCTTGCCCGATATAATGATCCTGATCCATCGCAAATGGCACCCGAATATGTCCATTATGGCGCTTCGGACAACCTTCACTTTGACTTCACCCTTACCGATGGCGACTTCGGTCTGATCGACTTCTACAACTCCCGGAGCCTGTTACCTAGCTTTCACAACCAGCATGACGAAATTTATGATACCGATAGCGGGATCGGAATTGGTGCAGAGGCCTACCACCGCTCATCACTTTCCGCGTGGAAACCTGCACCTGAGGATCATGCATTTGATGACCACGAAAACCTGTCTGTCCCGCAAGTGATTAACAGCCCAGAAACAAACGTTACACCCGAATGGCCACATTTATGTGAGCGGTTGACATCTAGTAGCCGTGACTTGATTCTGAGCTTGGTCTTGGAGGTGAGCCGAGAGGCCAACCTGAGTCGCATCATGAAGTCGTTTCCAAGCACAGAATTGCTGGATGGCTTAATTCAGCAATATTTTGAGCTACAGAGACACACAATTCAAACGTTTATCCATATGCCAACATTCCAAACGAATAGCGAGGATCCTGGTGTTCTTGCTGGCCTGGCTGCTGCTGGTGCTGTTTTTTCACCCATTCCGACTATCAGAAAACTTGGATATGCACTGAATGAGATTGTGAGACTGCATCTTCCTGGAAAGGTAGGAATACTTCGATGGATGTGTGATAACAACGTTGACATGCTTTCAGTACGAACGAGATAATACGTTTACCCGTGATCTGCGGACCTCACAAACCTATGCCTTGACTATTGACATTGGAATCTGGAGTGGTAACCGTCGAAAGACTGAAATTGCAGAGAGCTTTTCACAGCCGCTCATTACCATGCTTCGTCGTGCTTTACGATTTCGTCGCTCAGTCTACACTAATATTGTACCCCGTGCGGAGGACAAGGGGCCTGCTCTGGAGGCTAAGTGGCGGGAATGGGTTGAACAAGAGTCCTACAAAAGGTAGTTTCCACTCGACATCTTTTTTTCGTCGCATACTAACCTTGTCGGCTAGGCTTGTTTACTCTCTCTTTATGCATGACTCCCAAACAGCAATGTCTCTTAACGTCAATCCAATCATATCATACGCAGATATGGAGCTTCCTTTGCCAGCATCGCGCCATTTATGGGAGGCCAAGTCTGCCACCGAGTGGAAAGACCTCTTTGGCAGAGTGACTCCAGAACGGTTGCCATCTCTGGCCGATCTTCTCCGCGATATGTCACAAATCACCGTGTTCCAAGATTGCGTCGACACCCAATTCGCAGCATCAGTATTGATTCACGGTCTAGCCGCACTGATCAACGAGTATCACCGGCTGAAGTTCATCTCTACCAATAACTCCAAACACTGGCATGCGCTCGTGACAAACTCTCGTCAACAAGAGCTTGATCAAGCTTTGCAGCATTTCAAAATGGTCTGCTCTGAACTGCGTGGAGAGTGCCGACCTGAGATCATGCTTGTATGTGAAGTTGTATCTATGCTTTTGCACATGTCTCTGGAAGAGCTTCAACTCTTTGCCGGCAAGGAAGACAAACAAGAAGCTCGGCGGGTCTACCATTCTGCACTGGAGTGGATTGCCAGTTCTGATTCTCGAAGAGCGGTATGGCATGCTGGCCAGGTCATCCGCGCTGCGAGAAGTATGCCCCCAGGGTCCTTGACAAGATTCTTGGCCATTGGAGTGTACTACGCTGGTCTTGCATTTTGGTCTTATAGTGTTGTTTCCAAGGCGAACACGGCTCGACTCACGGGAAGCCCCAATATCCCGCTATCAAACGCTGGCCCGACAGTCCTCCTTGATGGTGATGACATACCTGATGTCTCCAAGTTTGTCACACTAGGCTGTGGCTCCCCTGCCCTACAGGGCCCGGGTGGAGCCGCCTATTTGGTTGACCCAGGGACTACAATGGATGTTGTACAAAGAATCCTTCGCGTTGAGAATTCCGAGAGAACTCCCCCATTGGTTCAGATGCTGGCTCAGTTGATGGGGGATTTGGGGCACTGCGTGCGCGGTGGTTAAAGCCTCGGCCTCAATTTGTATTGCCGATATTTCATTGATACCCAGTTATGAATCCAACGAGCCTCTCCATCTTTGGGCAGGGACATCGACATAAATATTAAATCGGACTGGCTCACAAGTAAACTACATTACTGAACACAGGTAAACCTCGGGTGAATGTCCACATTCCGATTCAACTTCCCCACGCTTCACCCGACTTTGCGGGGAGCCCAGCCCCGGTGGTAGATACACCTACCATGGCCAGAAATGCATCGATGACATTCGGCCTGGTGTCCCTCATTGCGGCTTGCACTCGTCAAACTGCGGGGGGAATTTTCCCGCCAACGCGGTTGCCGCGATGCACTATGCTGGTGCGGATGATCACTATATTCTGGGAGGTGTCCAAACGGTTACAGCTATGACCATTGGCATGGAAACAATGAAGAAAGACCATTTCATTACCGGGCCAGGAAATTCCTTTGTCGCCGAGGCTAAGCGACAACTGGTTGTAGAGGAGATTTGGTGATCTGCCTGCCGGACCGATTGAGATTTTCATCGTGTCGCTACCGATGTCTTGAAGGCCATGATCACTCAGGAGATGCCAGGGCCCATTGGTATTTCCATGACAAGTTTGAGTGGATGGAATAGTGTGTGAGGAAGTGAAGTCTCAGATGCCAAGAGTTTGTGATCGACTCAATTCCACAACTCTATACTTTCTGCAGTATAACGTTGACTTGCATTGACCAACTGCATGTACACTCATCGGACAACTTGCCGATATCCCAGGGTTACCATAATCCAACCCTAGTCGGACTTTTCTCCGATGACAGTCTGCTGCATCCAATCAAAAGTGCTCTGTAGGGCGTGTAGGGGCATGCTGTGGGGCATCAGTGGAGTGTTCTCCACGAAGAAGCCGATTTCTTCATAGGCCAGAGGAAATTACCATCAAGTAACAGAGAAGTCGATTGGCGCTTGATTTCAATGTGGGCTATAGATCCATTTGACACGGCTTCTCCAGAGAACCGGTGATTGAAAATTTGTCGTTCGGAATGTTGATTCAAGTCTGGCTTGTACCCTTTCTTCAATAGACCAATACAGGATTACCGGTTACAATGGAATTGAAGTCGTCGGATGGCTATCGAGATCCTCTCACTCTCTCGCCGGTGCGTAATGTTTACAGCTTCCGAGTCTTCAGGGCTACTTTCTCCATAGGTCGCTCAAGACCACACCACCACACCCTCTTCTCATGATTCTGATATTGAAACAGATCCGAAAAATACATATCGTCCTCGCGGGAATTCTGTTTATCTTCAATAGTGCCTTTGGATCATCACTCCCCTCAGGCGCCCATGATGCAATCGCAGACTATTTCAACATCGCCCACGACGATACAAAGCTGGTTCTTCTGAACTCTTTATACCTTGTGGGATTTGCTATTGGTCCACTAATATTCGGACCTCTCAGCGAACATGTCGGCCGTAGGCCCGTTCTAATCGGTACATTCAGTGGATATATCATCTTCACCATGGCCTGCGCATTATCACCAAACTTCCCTGCTTTGCTCGTTTTTCGTCTTCTATGTGGCTTGAACGCCGCTTCTCCCAATGCTGTGCTTGGAGGGTTGTATGCTGATATCTTGGATAACCCGCAAACTCGCGGTATTGCCATGGCGCTTTTCATGGTTGTCACTGGCTTTGGTCCTCAGCTTGCACCGCTTGTGTCTGGGTTTATCTCCACCGTATCATGGCGCTGGACCTTTTGGGTTGGACTTGCTGCCGCTGCTGTAGGATATCCCTTTGTTCTCTTCATCCCAGAGACCTATGTGCCTGTTTTGAAACAGCGACATGCACGACGGTTGGCTAAGGCGGGAAAACAAGAAGCGAATGGTGAAACAATCATTCCGCCTCAGGGCCCGGGCCATCGCGGGGATGGTGTCTTGTCCATCTTCATGAGACCATTTGTGATGACTGCCAAGGAGCCGGTTCTTCTATTTGCTTCACTTTTCATGGGCTTCACATATGCGATGTTCTATCTGTACTTCCAAGCTTATCCGCTCATCTTCCAAAGTAAGACTCATTTTGATATATGTGATGAGACCTGGAAGAGTTGCTGACATTTATAGATCTATATGGGTTATCACCGGGTGTAGCAGGGCTCGCATTCTTACCCAGTATGTCAACCAGCTCGCGTTTTGTGATGGAAACTAACATTTTGGTCACAGTCAGTGTTGGAGCCTTGGTTGCCTTTGCGCTCTTCTTGCTCTATGGCTCATATCATAGCAAGGCTATGAAAGAGGGCAAGCCCTGGGCCATGCTTGAAGAGTATCGCCGTCTGCCGCTTGCCGCATTGGGTGCACCTTTGTACGTCAACTCTTTTTATGTTCGATTAGAAGATCAACAGCTAACCTTTTAGACTTCCGATCGCTCTCTTTTGGTTGGGATGGTCCTCCAAATTGTCCATCCACCCCATCGTCCCCATGATGTCCGGTCTCTTCTTCGGCATCGGGTACATTCTGATCTTCATGGCCATGATCAACTATCTCACTGATGCCTACAAGCAGTACTCTGCATCAGCGCAGGCTGCTGCTAGTACGCTACGATCCTGCCTTGCCGTCTGTCTGCCGCTGGCTACGAACCCGATGTACGGCACGTTGGGGATCAATTGGGCGAGCTCACTCTTGGCATTTATTGCTATTCTGCTTGCTATGATTCCATTCGTGTTTATCAGGTATGGACAATGGATCCGAAGCCGAAGTCCATTCTCTCAGCAGGTGATGAAGGGGGAGTTGACTGAGAGACCAGCGGACACGGTAGTTTAATTATGTACAAGATAATGACCGGTAAACTTGCAACTCACCTTAATAACCTACATTTTCGCACAGCTCTGTACTCTCTTGTGATTTTAGCGGTCTGCTTGACCAGTGTATTCTGATTATTATTCTACAAGCATAGTGGAGAAAGTGCAACCGTTTACTATTGGCCTCCCACTTCATCTCCGACAATGAAGATCACCGAGACCCTGTTGTCTCCGCTCGAACGGAACCTGACGATTGCATCGGAAGTAACTCACATCGAATATTCTGCTTCAGATTATTCAGCTTACTCGCTTCCTTCAGGTTCAGTACTACTGTACACAATACATGTTCGTGGGGTCTTGGTATATGGCAGCACTGATCAGCTCTTCCCAAGGCCAAGAGCAGTTGACTCTTCCCATTTCTATTCACATCCGACCTGCCATCCCGATCCGACTGCATATCCGAAAGTCGGTCCGAAGGCACCAGACCGAATGAACAATGTGCTACCGGGAAGCCTAATCTGCACCATGTCAGCCACTGGCAACCGTTTGAGCCAAATGAGTACTCGCATTAGTCGCGCGTAAAGCAGCGGCTGCGGGGTCCGGGGAATGATCCCCCACACATAGCCCGATGTGCCCAGGCTTGAGAGTATATTTGAAGTCCATATAAGAGCGTCAAGTGTGTCTCACTCTTCAGATCTGAAAGCAAAGCATCTCATATTGAATCAGAATTATCTTGATCACCTCTGCAAACATGCCTGCAACACTTCCAGCACTGGAAGATCATGTCGACGTGCTCATTGTTGGAGCCGGACCAGCAGGTCTAATGCTGGCGAACTGGCTGAGTCGTTTTGATATTAAGACTCGGATTGTTGACAAACGAGGCACCAAGGTAAGTACTCTCCTTTGTGCAGCAATATCGCTACGGTCCTCGTCCCTGACCCGAGTCACCAGATCTTCAATGGCCAGGCTGATGGCCTGCAGAGCCGGACCCTTGAGATTCTTGACTCATTCGACTTTGTGGACCGTGTATGGCGCGAATCAAACCATATGATAGAGATTTGTCTTTGGAACCCTGATGAGAATGGGAAAATCCGACGATCGGATCGAATCCCGGACACAATTCCGGGCATCAGTCGTTTCCAGCAGGTAGTTCTGCACCAGGGCCGTATTGAACGATTCTTCCTAGACTCTATCAAGGAACACAGTGATATCGCCGTTGAGCGTGGGGTCTTACCCACTGCCTTCGAGTTTGATGATGCGAAAGCTGCCGATTTCGCAGCTTATCCAATCACGGTTACGGTACGCACCTTATCAGAAGAGGACGCCATGCCTCAACAACAGCAGCAGCATCACAAAAATGACGATGGTCAAGAGGCTCCAGTCAGTGACGGGCTATTCAGAAGCAACTTGGCCGCCGATGATACAGATGACCTCATTCGAGCTGCCGAAACCAACGCCAGAATCAACCAGGCAGAGTCTATCAAAGCCAAATTTGTTGTGGGATGTGATGGTGCACATTCCTGGGTCCGTCGCCAACTCGGATACAAGCTAGAAGGCGACTCCACAGACTATATCTGGGGTGTGCTAGATATCATCCCGATCACAGATTTCCCCGACATTAGACAGCGGTGCGCTATACATTCGGCTAGTGCGGGGAGTGTCATGGTAATTCCACGCGAGAACAAGCTCGTGCGTCTTTATATCCAGCTACAGGCCACGGAGCATGGCCAGAATGGAGGCAAAGTGGATCGTTCGGGGATCACCCCAGAGATCATTCTACGATCTGCACAGCAGATACTGCACCCATATAAGCTGGATTACTCATATTGCGACTGGTGGACAGCTTACCAGATTGGCCAACGGGTGGGCAATTGCTTTTCACTCAAGGAACGTGTCTTCCTAGCCGGGGATGCAGTGCACACCCATTCGCCCAAGGCTGGTCAGGGTATGAATGTGAGCATGCAGGACAGTCAGTATTTCCTAGTCTCTACCTGTGTGTTTGCAATCTTAAACTAAAATCGAAATTCAGCGTACAATTTGGGATGGAAGCTGGCGCATGTTGTCAAAGGATATAGTGACGCGTCGATCCTGAAGACCTATGAGACGGAAAGGAAACAGATTGCACAGGAGTTGATTGCATTCGACCATCGATTCTCGCGACTGTTCTCTGGACGACCAGCTAAAGATGTTATGGATGAAGAAGGGATCTCCATGTCCGAGTTCAAGGCGGCGTTCGAGAAGGGTAACGAATTTGCGAGCGGAATTGGTAAGACTCCAGAATGGCTGAGCAGACTCTGGGCCTTGACTACTAACACTATATCTCACCCAGCGGTCAACTACAGCAGTAGTGTGATCATTGCAAAACAATCCGATGCCAAAGTTCAATCCAACCAAGTTATTGGCAAACAGCAGCTGGCAACGGGCATCGTGGTTGGCAAACGTATGCCGAGCGTTAAAGTGCTCAATCAGTCAGATGCTCGACCGTGGCATCTCCAGGAACTGTTGAAGAGCAACGGTCGATGGAGAATTATCGTGTTTCCCGGGCAGCTTGCTACCCGCACAAACATGCAACGCATGCAGGAGTTGGGAGCCAAGCTCGGAGCCCAGGACTCATTCATTCGTCGCTATACACCATTAGAGCAGTCATTTGACAGTGTGATAGAGATTTTGACGGTCCATGCTGGGTCGAGAAAAGACGTTGAGCTTCTGGATCTCCCAGAGGCATTCCATCCATTTGATAACAAGATAGGATGGGATTACTGGAAGGTGTATGCCGATGATCAATCTTACCATGAGGGTCATGGCCAAGCCTACGCTAATTATGGCATTGACTCTGCCCAGGGGGCTAGCATCATTGTCCGACCAGATCAGTATGTGAGCTGGGTGGGAGAAGTAGACGACTATGATGAGATGGCAAGGTTCTTTTCTGTATTCATGAAATCCCAGAAATGATTGCCAGAAAGGATGGAAGGTTTTGTCGGGGATAAATATAGCCTACTGAAATCACCAGCCATTATTGTGTCTATTCAAATCTGTCGGTGCATATAGAATACGGAGTAAATTACAATACTAACATTACACAGCCATACCGACTTTCCTCGCTCTGATTGGCCGGAGCTGACGGAGTTAAGAATTAGGCTCAACTAGCGCTGTCAGCAGCCCGCATTAGCGCCACTCGTTTTGATCTTGGATCAGGCAACTGAATAAATTGGCTTTCATATCGAATTTGCATTGTCATACTGCTTTCATATTGGCTCATATATATCGGAATATTAACTTCTCGCCGCGACGCGCACGCCAAGAATTCGTCGCGTTCATCAATTCAGGACACCCCCGAACAATCCATTGCCACTTCTTCAAAAACGGCTCCGTCACCTCCCAATTGCGAATATCCCAAGGCTCCCCCCACACCAATAGCCCGGCGTCCATCGTCGACTCGCCCCAGAATCCCATGATGTCATGGCAAAGCTGCACATCATCCCATTCATCGCCTGCTTCGATGAGATTGTCGCGCATTTTGGGGAGAGGGAAGAAATCCAGCCAGGGGTGGTGCGGCGTTTTTTTTGGACTCGTGTGGGGCGGAGAGTAGGTGGGATGTGGCTATGATCGTCTGGCGTGAATTCTCGTTGTGGTAAGGCTTGGTTGAAGAGAGAGATGGCGTCATCGTCCATCCAGTATGGTGACCAGCCGATCAACTCAAGGTTCTGTGCGAAGGCTCGGAAGACGTTGACTTTCGTCAGGGTCATGAGGTGGTCGGCCGCGGGATCGCCGCGTGCGTAGCTTTCAATTGCGGATTTGGCGAATTTCTCCAGTAGATCTTGCAGAACTCCGGGGCTGCAACATGACTTCACCTTCGAGCCATCTGGAGTGACAGAGTCATCTGACTGGGGCGATGTCGACGATGTCGACGGTGCCGACTTGGTCGATTTTACCAGGGTCTTAGGGTGGGTTTCTTTGTTTTGGAGCCGCTTACGCTTCCCTTTCAGATCCAAATTAGCGTCCGTTCTATGTAGATCGACTGGGGCATGCAGCTTACGGTAAGCCCGCTGGTTGATGCGGTTTTGCCGCCGTCGACGCTCAGCCGGGTCGGTCAGCCCTGACCAGTTGTCGTCCACCTCATCGGAGGAGATTGGTTCGGCAATTGGAGTAGAGGGGTCGGTCATATTAGCACGGGTGTAGGGTTTCAGCATGTTGAAAAGGAGTTGCTTTATGAAAGAAGACCAGGTGGGTTGGGGTTTTAAATTACGACGGAGTTAAGAGATAGTGTATGGTATGGTCCCAAACGGGTACAGGACCCCTTGCATCACAATGTATTTCACCCGAGGTTCTCCCGAAATTCAGCATATGCAAAATCGGCTGGTGTGAGGCATCGTTGTCTTTCTCCAAAGGAATAGAGACCCATCATCATGCCTGTAAAGTTGGCACCGACAGGTGGTGCTTTTGTTGCAGCATTATTGGAGACTGAGCCAATCCAGTGGAAACTAGTTTCGGCGTCTTCTCGATAACCAAAGCGATATTCGGTGCCACATTCGATTGTAAGAGTGATGTCTGTTGCTGCGCCCAGCTCACACGCCACTTGTTTACCTTCTGATGGGCGAAACAGGATGCAACGGCCCTTTTCGGTCTTTCGGATGCCAAGAATGCTGTATGTAAAGTAGTTCATCCAGAGTACAGTTCCTGCTTCCGTGGCATCTGTAGTAGGATGAAATGAAAGCCGTGTCTCCCATATGCAGTATCGATGGGTTTGCTTGCGGAGGAACATTGTTGGGCACGCTGGTACCGACAGGTTATAAGGACCGCCATAGAGTCGGAGATGGCTTGGTCGTTCAGTGAGCGAATAATCCGTGATAAACGGTGTATCTATTGATAATCAGCAAAAGTTTAATGGTAGCTGATTCAAGCACCCACTCTTTCTATACCATCCTAACTGCATTTCCGGGGCAGCGAACTCATCTCGCCAACACACTGGGGTATCAAGCTGATAAAGACCCGGCCCTTGTGATTGAAGGGTGATTTTCTGTCCTCCGTTAATCACAGGCCAATCTTGCTCCCAGTCCAAAGGTACTAAAAAGGTTTCTCGGCCTGTCTTAATCAGTATGTAAATAGCACGATATCTGGTAGTACTCACCCAGTACTGATTCCTCCCATTGATCGTCTCGTCGTAGAGGACGAACCCCAAGCATAACGGTCCACCACTGCCCTTTGGTATCCTCAACCAAATCTGCATGTCCTGTGTTCTGGACTTCATCCTCGATACCGTTGCGCCAGAGTGGGTTGTTTGGGCCGAGTTCCCACGGTCCCAGTGGCCCAACCTCGCTGCGGCTGACCCATTCAGAATGTCCACTTTCAGTGCCTCCCTCGGCCGTAAAAAGATACCAGTAGCGGCCGCGCTTGAAAATATGCGACCCCTCGGCAACTCCAGAAGAAGATTCGCGGATCAATTTTGGCTCAGACGTGGAATGGCCGGTTTTCAGGTCAATTGTGCAAATGTGAATTGCAAAATCTTTCAACTTTGCATGAGGCGTTGGTTGGAGTTTTCGGTAGGTAGACGACAGATATACCGTTTCATCATCGTCCCAGCATAGCTACTAATTGTTATTTGAGACTCGTGATGCTCATCTTCACAACTCACGTCTTGGTCAAAGCCAACCTGATCAAAGTAGACTGGATCAGACCATGTCTTTTCATCCCAGATATCGGATGTCTTGACATAGAATCCCTGTGGCCAAACTCGGTCATCTTGTTGTGGGCGATAACGCTGGAAGCTTGCTGCAATGATATAGTAGACACCGCGATGGTACCGAATTGTAGTCGCCCATACGCCACCTCCAGGCTCTGGTGTATGAATTTGAAGCTGGCTGCGCCTTGTCAAGGCATGGCCGATTAGTTTCCATTGGATCAAATCCCGACTATGGTAGACAGGAGCTCCCGGAAAATATTCAAATGTGGACGTGACGAGAAAAAAGTCTTCATTGACACGTATGATTGATGGATCGGGGTTGAACCCCGGGATGATTGGATTTGTAAAACTCATTGCCGCCTAAGTGGTCTATTGATGACTCTGACCAGCTTTATATAGAACCGTAAACAACGTGATTGGTGGAGAAACATCATCCCAATCAGCCAAAAGGTGGATTGGCTCGTATTGCGGGGTGAGCTGGGCTGATTCACCGATTTTCATCTCTAACTCTCCTTTAATTCAATCATCCAATATAGTCGAGGAAGTCTTAGCATTATACATTTGGCACCAAGCTCGAAAGACATTAACGCATGGATGTATGTGACGAGGCGACATTACAAGCCCAAAGCACTCTCTGAGCAACGCAAAGTCTAGGCCGGGAGAGATCAAATACTGGTAGCCTGCGAAGATATAAATATATTGAATTCAAATGATCTACTCATTAGCCCAAATCACTAACTCCTGTCACATGACCATACATTCGTCGAATATCAGGACTAATTATAGGTTGTTCAGCATATGAGGAGCACGATATTCATGTTCCTATAATGTCCGATATGTAGACAGCTGTCAACTCGAAAATATGCGGTGAACGCCGAAGTTTAACCGTCATTGTCCCCTCATCCCAATCCGGCAATGCGGGTCCAACCTCCGCCCCACGTGAAGCGCTTGGATGTCTTTCCTTCTTGACATTCAGCTTCATCTTATCTTCCAATGAGTTCTGACCATGTCCACCTGTGTGATCCAAGAATCGCTTGATGCAAGTCTCATCACGCTCGAGGCCTTGCCTCGCCAGCGTTCAAATGAAGGATCAACCTCGAGCCAGCCCAATGAGTTCCCGGTGTTGGAGAAGTGGAACCAGAATCGTCTGAATATATATCGAACGCTTGCAACATTCTGGTGTTTTCTGGTGATGGGAGCCAATGATGCTGCTTATGGTGTGAGTTGAGTCAAAAGATCCTCGGTCGTGGTGAATGCTAACTGAATACAGGCCCTGATCCCATATGTAAGGTCTCTTCATCAATGTGTCAAATTCTAACCTGGATATAGCTGGAATCATACTATCACCTATCCTATACAATAGTGTCTCTCGTTTTCTTGTCGCCTCTGGTAGGCTACACCATCGCTGCTTTTCTCAATCAGCGCATTCACAACACCTTTGGACAGCGTGGTGTGGCACTGCTCGGGTCAGGGTGCCATCTCATCGCCTATGTGATCAACTGTGTTCATCCGCCATATCCAGTGCTCGTTGTCTCGTTTATCTTTGCAGGATTGGGCAATGGGGTTGAAGATGCAGCCTGGAATGCATGGATTGGTAACATGGCCAATGCAAACGAGGTACTCGGATTTCTGCATGGAATCTACGGAGTCGGGGCAGTCATCAGTCCTTTAATCGCAACCTCGATGATCGCAAAAGGTGGTTTGCCGTGGTATTACTTCTATTATGTCATGGTGAGTGTCTTTCCCACATACGACGAGCACGGCTTAATAGTCAGGTTGGGTGTGCGGCCATCGAGATTGTGGTGTCCACTACCTGCTTCTGGAAATCAAATGCCGCCGAATTCCGTGCAGCGAACAGACAATCGGTTGAGGAGAATAGAAAAGGGGGACTCCGGGACGCACTCTTCAAACGTCCAGCAGCCCGGATCACATGGCTTTGTGCCTTGTTCTTGCTGGGCTATGTTGGAGTTGAGGTCGCCCTCGGAGGGTGGATTGTCACCTTCATGATCCGAGTCAGACAAGGCGGTGCTTTTGCCAGCGGCATGACCGCCACCGGGTTCTGGCTCGGCATCACAGTCGGGCGCGTGATTCTGGGGTTCGTGACACCCCGGGTGGGTGAGAAGATTGCCATCTCAGTAAGATCATCCCGCGTCAATCACGAGATCCAGCATTGACTTTGCTAGGGATACATTGTCTGTTCGATGGCCTTTGGTCTCGTTCTGTGGCTCGTGCCCCAGTTCTATGCCTCGGCCGTGGCAGTCGCGTTCCAGGGATTCTTCTTGGGGCCTCTCTTCCCAGGGGCTATCGTGATGGTCACCAAGCTTCTGCCCAGACATCTGCACGTCACATCGATCGGGTTTGTGGCCGCGTTTGGAGGCAGTGGAGCTGCGATCCTCCCTTTTGCGGTGGGTGTCCTGGCACAGGCCAAAGGAGTCAAGGTGCTGCAGCCGTTCATCATTGCCCTGTCAGGTGCCATCCTCATTACGTGGCTGGGATTGCCGCGGGTGAAGTTCAGCAGCGAGTAAAGCGTCACATGCGAACATTCTTATCAGATCGGATCCATGTGATGCAGTCAGCTGATCTGCTTATTCATTCCGTGATCCGATCTCGGTTAGCTGATCTCGGGCTTCGAGATGCCGAGCTGGACTCACCTTTGCCCCGGTTACCCCAGAACAGTCGGTAGTTATGCGGGGGTGGAAGCCACGGTAAAAGAGGATTGCCTAGGTTTTAATTCTCCATTTTCTACACTCCGTAGTCTGTTCCCCATAGTGAAGCGAGAGGGACCGTAGCCGGAACTTCATCGCGCTTTCGTGATTGGCCGAGGTCTGCCTCGGCTCTTTCCTAGTTGGGACGGATGTCCCTCGGCCTGGGGAAACGTCACTGACTTTCCCCCGGGTTCATAATCCTTGACTTTCCTCTGCTTTGTTTCTTACATTCTTCCAATCTACACATCATGCCTTCTCCTACTCCTGAATGGGTCAAGGCCCTTAAGCCATCGGGTCCGCAGGGCTCCGAGCTGCTCCAGCAGGAGCGTGCTCAATCCAACGTGAACGTGGAGAAGTTGTCCGAATTGCTCCACACCAAGGAAACATTGAAGCGTCAAGAGTCTCTTCTGGCTCTGTTGCAGCCCGAGAAGGTCTTTGACAAGTCGCAAAACCACACACTCGGCCGAGTGGAGCGGCTACAGCGTTCGTTGGCCAAGGCGAAGCGCCTTCAGCAGCTGTCCGAGCAACACAAATGGTCCATGGAGGAGCTCCATGCAGCCAATGAGCTGATCGGAGAACCCACACCCTATGGCTTGCATGCCAGCATGTTCCTGGTAAGTGGTCAAATACACACTGGCAATAACAAGACTAACCGGCGTCCCGTCTTCTAGGTGACCCTCCGGGAACAGGGTACCCCCGAGCAGCACAAGCTGTTCCTCGAGCGCGCTCAGAAATACGAAATCATTGGTTGTTACGCACAAACCGAGTTGGGCCACGGATCCAACGTCCGCGGTCTCGAAACCACCGCCACCTGGAACTCCAGCGACAAGACCTTCACCATCAACTCCCCCACATTGACTGCCTCCAAGTGGTGGATTGGATCTCTCGGTCGCACAGCCAATCATGCGGTTGTCATGGCCCAGCTGTTCATTGACGGCAAGAACTATGGCCCTCACCCTTTCGTGGTGCAAGTCCGTGATCTGCAGACCCACCAGCCCTTGGAGAATGTGTATGTGGGCGATATTGGTCCCAAGTTTGGATACAAGTAAGTTTGGCTTACCCACTCAACAAATACATTGGCTAATATGATACCAGCACTATGGATAACGGCTTCTTGCTGTTCAACAATGTCAAGGTGCCCCATGTCAACATGTTGGCCCGTTTCTCTTCCATCGACAAGAACACCAACGCCTACTCTCGGCCCGCTCTTCCCTCCTTGGTCTTTGGTACTCTGACCTGGGTGCGATCCAACATTGTCCTCCAGGCTGGTGGTGTCCTGGCTCGCGGTGTTACTATCGCGACCAGATACTGTGCGGTCCGAAGACAGTTCCAGGATCGTGATGCGGACGCCCACGCTGGCGAGAACCAAGTTCTGAACTACAAGATGGTCCAGGTCCGTCTCTTGCCGCTCCTGGCATCCATGTACGCCCTCCACTTCACTGGTCGCGGTATGATGCGTCTGTACGAGGAGAACCAAAGTCGCATGAAGGCTGCCAACTCGCCTGGACAGGACTCGCGCGGTGCTGGACCTGAGGAGCTTCGCGCTGGCGCCAACCTCTTGGCGGATTTGCACGCTACTTCATGTGGTCTTAAGGCCCTGGCCAGTACTACTGCCGGTGAAGGACTGGAAGTTTGCCGTCGTGCATGTGGTGGTCACGGATACAGCAGCTACAGCGGCATTGGCCCGTGGTACTCTGATTACCTGCCCACTCTGACCTGGGAAGGTGACAACTATATGCTGACCCAGCAGGTTGCCCGTTATGTAAGTTGTTATGTTTTGAAATACCGCTCCTACATGATATTAACATTTTTTCACAGCTCCTCAAGTCTGCCCGTGCCGTCTTGGCCGGCAAGCCCGCTGGTAACGATACCAGCCAGATTCTCCAGACATACCTTGACCGCCGCGACAAGGGAGCTTCCTTCGATGTGCTCGAAGAGGACAAGGACATCGTGGCTGCATTTGCCTGGCGCACAGCCCACCTGACCTTCGAGGCTCTGAAGCACCGCGATGCCGAGCAGCGCTCTTGGAACAGCCTTCTGGTTGACTTCTGGCGTTTGTCAACCGCTCACTCTCAGTATCTCGTGGTTAAGAACTTCTACGATGCTGTCTCCTCTCCCGAGCTCTCATCGGCTTTGGACCCTGAGACCAAGGCGTTGATGCACCAGCTCTTCCGCCTGTACGCGCTGCACACCCTGGAGCGCGAGGCTGCTGAGTTCTTCTCCTCTGGTGCCGTCACCGTGCGACAGATCACCTTGACTCGCACCACCGCTGTGATGAACCTGCTCGATGAGATCCGCCCACACGCTGTTCGCCTCGTCGACTCCTGGGCCATTCCCGACTGGCAGCTTGACAGCAGTCTCGGCCGGTATGACGGCAAGGTGTACGAGGATCTGTTCCGTCGCGCCAGCCAGGAAAACCCGGTCAACGACCTGACCTTCGACCCATACCCCTGGAACTCCGCCTTGCTCAAGAATGAGCCCAAGAGCAAGCTTTAGATACCTGTATACGTTTCTTCGTTGTAATTATTACGCCTATTTGGGAATGGATGATAGACCATAGATATGAATAGATCTCATAACTGGCCATCAATGGAAATGAATTGCACACACTTCAATAGCAATATGCGTAATGCCACACAGTAACTAACTCTGTCGATCAACATTTATAGTAACGACTTTTGCGCCCTGTGAACGACATCTTTCATCTGATTCGCCAGTGTAGACCCACCAGCTCCCCCATAAGGGTCTCCGACAGTTAAAAGGCTCGAGACATTGGTATTCATTTCCCTTTAATATTCTTTCGTATTCGAAGATGGAACTCGAATCTCGCAATGAAAGTACCGAGCACATTGAGCCAGATGGACTGATCCATTCCCATGGAGGAAGACAACTCCCACCAGTGGATGGAGGCAAAGATGCATGGATGTTCCTAGTAGCTGGGTTCATCATCGAAGGATTGACTTGGGGTTCGTGCTGAATGGACTATCCCAATTAGCTCTGCTAATAGAGATCTAGGCTTTGCATTTTCATACGGTGTGTTTCAGGATTATTACCTCTCGAGTGATGAGTTCAAGAACTCGGGCAACATTGCAGCTATTGGTACTTGTGCATTGGTATTGGATACGGCTCTACATTTCTTTTTGTCTCCCTTGTACTGACATGAAACAGGGAATTGCATATCTCTCTGCTCCCCTTGATTTTGCACTGTTGCTAGGAGTGCCTCGTTTCAGACGACTTGCCACTCCGGTTGGATTCCTGGTGATGTGTTTAGCTCTTGCATTGAGTTCTTTCTCAACAACGACAACACATCTCATTCTCTCGCAGGGTGTGGGATACGGTCTTGGAGCTGGATTGGCCTATTCACCGGTCATTCTCTGGATGGGTGAATGGTTTGTCAAGAGGCGTGGACTTGCATTCGGGACTATGTGGGTGAGTATATCCTATCAGTTTGGATGAGAGGACTACGGACTCATATATCCAATAGGCTGGAACAGGTCTATCTGGCGTTGTTTTTCCTATCGTCCTCCAGTGGATGCTGAACGAATACGGCTTCCGCACCACTCTGCGCGTCTGGTCTGTTCTCCTGATGATCCTCATTGCGCCAGTCATCTACTTTGTCAAGCCACGCATTCCCACTTCATCTCAGACTGCTAGCAAGATCAGGCCTTTCGATCTTAGCTTTGTCTGGACCAGATCCTTCGTGATTTACCAAGTGTGCAATACAGTGGAAGCATTGGGCTTCTTCCTTCCAGCTGTGTATCTCCCAACTCAAGCCCGGTCATTAGGTGTGACCGGTCCACTGGCATCGTTGACAGTCATTCTATTCAACCTTGCCTCTATCGGTGGATGTGTGGTGATGGGAATGCTCGTGGATAAACACCATGCGACTACTTGCATTCTCTTGTCTAGCGTTGGAACCGCGCTGTCCGTCTTCCTCATCTGGGGCTTTAGTGTTTCGATTGCACCTCTGTATGTATTCTGCATTGTCTATGGCCTCTTTGCGGGCTCATTTACATCTACATGGACCGCGATCACGAGGGATATTCAGAAGAAGAACGAGCGTGCGGACATGTCGATGATCTTTGGCATTTTGGAGACTGGTCGTGGGATTGGGAATATTGCCAGTGGGTTCTTGAGTGAAGCGTTGATTGCGCATACAGTCTCTACCAGCGCATACGCATTTGGCAGCACTTACGGCAACGTTATTATCTTTACCGGAGTCACGGCTCTATTCGGAGGTGCCTGTGCCCTAGCTCGTCCTTTGAAGCTACTTTAAACGCCTGATCTTACACCAAAAGAAGAACATGCTGATACCTGGGGGTGTGCTTGGCATGATTGGTCCATATCAAAAGCTGTTGAAATATCATTACTGTAGTTCGATCACCTTTCAGTCTTCGTCAATCATTAGAAAGTAAAGGTACTCCCAAGTGGCAAGTTCCGACTCGAATGTCCCACCCAAATCTTGTACTGCCCCTTTTGAAGAGCCCACTGCTGCGCAGTGATATCCCAGCTACTCAGGTCTCTCCTTGTCAGCGAGAACGTAACCTTTGCACTCTTTCCCTTGTTCAAAGACACCTTCTCGAATCCACGCAGTTGGCGCACAGGACCGTTCGGGATGCCAACGTACAACTGTGCCACCTCGTCGCCATTCGCCGAGCCGGAGTTTTGCACAGTAGCCGAAACCTTCACGAGCTCATCCCACAGGTGTGGATTGCCGCCTTCCACGATCTTGGCTGCGGGTGGATACGTTGACCAGGGTGTGCTCTTCTTCTGTAATTGAAGACCAGAGTATTTGAAGGTTGTATACGACAGTCCGTATCCGAATTCAAATCTAGGGACAATTCCCTGTGCGTCGAATGCGCGATAATCGATGAACTCTCCTTCGCTAAAGTCTGATTGCGGATACTGCCAGTACTCTCCTTCCGGCTCGGAAGGGTGCAACAGTGATCCGTAGTCGCTTGCCTGCTTGGCGACGGTGTATGGTAGTCTGCCAGATGGGTTGGCATGGCCATAGAGGAGGTCAACAATTGCGCGGCCGGCATCCTGGCCAGGCAAGTGGGCGAACATGACTGCCGTGATATTATCCTTTTCAATCCAGTCATCGACCACTCGGATACCCGCATTGTGAATAACGACTACAGTGTTAGAACACTTGCTCGCCACATTGGTGATCAAAGTATCACTGTAATCATCACTCAGCCCGGGACGATCAAAGCCCTCGCTGGCATAGCTGTTGACAAACACCAGACAGACGTCCGAGGTGGGATCCACATCCGGGTCTTGGGAATCAAAGTTCCACATTACAGAGCTACCGTCGGAGTAAGCCTGGTGTTGAATGGCATCGATGGGACTATCCACGTAGGCAGCTGAGTTGGCACCTGAGCCTCCTGCAACGTACAAAGTGCTATTCTGCGTCGCAGGAGTGCCCTGAGTCCAGCCGAGCGAGACATCTAAGAAGTCTGGCCCTTTGGCATCGTACCCGAATACCGACACCAGATCAGGCTTCTTCAATGGCAGCGCGTTGTTTGTGTTTTTGACCAGAACGTGTCCTTCAAGGGCTCCCTGGAGCAAGATGTTCTTTGAATCTGCGGATTTCCCGACCACCTTCACATGCGGGGCGCTCACGTCTGAGGGCATTCCGATGCCTGGATTTGGGATACCTGTGTCTTGATTGAACTGGTACCAAGTCGCTATGATACTATCACCTCGCGATTAGCAATTCATTTCGTCAAAATTGATAGCCAGACTGCATACCGAGTAGCCATGTCATCCAGCCTGGAGGCCTCCATGGATCCATTGGCGATTGCAGTTGTCAAATTGCCACCCCATAATGCTGAGGAAGGCATCACCATGTCCAAACCGGCATTAGCTGCTGCGATACCGGCATGCTGAGCACCCCAGTCAGTGACCACATAGCCTGATCATGTTAGTCGAGTCATAAATGAGTGTTGCAGAAAGACCCACCCTGGAATCCTAGTTCAGTCTTGAGAAGACCATTGAGAGTCTTGCTGTTCTGACAGCCGTAAGAGTTGTTGATGCGTTGGTAAGAGCACATAATTGATGCACTACCAGCTAGCACAGCATCCTGGAAGGGCCACAGGTACAGTTCATGCATGGTCTTGTCATCGATGTTGGAGGATACTGCAGCCACAGCTTCACCCTGTGAATTTTGCCCTGGGTTCCGATTTGTCTCTTGCTCATTTGCGATGTAATGCTGGTGACTGTTAGCTTACGCTGTACCAGATGAAGGCACCTCGTCTACCTTGGTAGAGGCTCCCACTCCTGCCGACTGTATACCATCGACTGTCTCATACACAAGTGCACCGGTCAGATAAGGGTCGGTCGAAAAGCCTTCCCAGTTTCGTCCGCTTTCAACAACGCGGCCAATAGGGCCGACAACAGGTCCAAGCAGAAGGTTCACGCCTTTTCTGCGGAACTCGGCGCCCATGTGAGCTGCTCTTTGTTTGGCCAACTTCTTATTCCAGCTGTGAGGTATGGTCAGTGTGATGCAACCTCAAGTAAGGGAAGGTCCTTACCTAGCTCCGACGTGTATCCCACTCGGCCAGCTACTGACAAAGTCGGTCCCTCTCTGTTGGACCTTAGATGAAGAAACTTCAAGCTTGGTGCTTGGTACTCACCAATCCATTGCCAGCGTCAGACACGCAGAATCCAGGGAACCCGAGGTGCTCAACCGAACCGATGTTGCCCGAACACCCATTGTCGACTGAAATTCCCGCAGTCAAGTTCACCTTTTCCTCCGGGGTGAGCTTGCCTACAAACTCTTTGGCTTTTTGATAAGCTGAGGCCCATGATCCAGAGCCAGTACCCTCCGCTGACAGGCTGGGTTAGTATAGATGCACATGCTCGGGGACCAGGACGTGACATACGAGATGGGTAGACCGGCGGAGATTGACCATAAAAGAAAGAGTCACTTGTGATATTCTCAGCTTGTGTAACAGAGCTTAGGAAAAGGCCAAGCAGAAGGCTCAGGGCACAAGCTTTGTGCACCATATTTGCCGGTGAAGATGTCGCAGGACACTATATTGATCAGGGGCAAATCTCTCAGCTTTATAGTCAGACCCCAGCGGTGGTCCCGAAGAGCTCCCGAGCGCTGAAGCAAGAGACCCAGAACCCCGTCATAGCATTGGGCACGCAGTTTGGCAGTATTCTACCGGAATATTATCGGCCGATCATATACTAGCTTCCCCAAAAGAGAGGGGTACGGCTAGTTCAAGGTGATATACAAATTCAAGACTTGCATGGATATCTTCAAGTGAGCGAGGGCCAGTGCATCGTACACCGAAACGCGTGCCAGTCGCGCGCACTTGCGCATTCCATCGAAAACATGCCATCGTCGGTATGTCAAATGCCGATCCCCAGGACAGGGTGCTGTCCGTCGCATGATAGAGTATCAGTTTAATGTAGCAGTGAGGCACAGAAAGGCCAAAGCAAAGAGTATAAAGTGTTAACAGCATCACTTCATCGTCGGCAACAGCCGCACCCCCGCATTTCCACTTCCCCACAAATGGGGAAGTACTGGGGAAGTACTTCGATGTACCTGAATAGCCTGGGAGTGGCGGGCAATGAGACTGGATTTGCCGTAATATCCGATCACAGTCTATGTGGGGTCAGACAATCCTTGTATAAGAGCCTGAGTATACCCCTCAAGTCCGCGTGGGCCTATTCCCAGTGACAGAAGTACTTTGAAATCAAATCAAACGAAATACAACTAAATTCGAAATTGCCTTTCACGTTTTACAATTATCATCGATTTGCGGATAGAAAATGCTGGGGGCTGGTAATCAAAGATGTTTGCTAACCCAATTGCGTGGGAGAAAGAGGAAAGTGGTGGCGTTTCGATTGGGTTGACCTGGTCAATTAAGTTATCGACAAATGCTTATGATAGATTGCCTGCTTGTTACCCTCACAGGACCAAAGGTGGATACCGTAGTACTTCATCGTTCTAGTTCGCACGACATATCTTCAGTCTTGTTCTGATATCCTACCTTGCCACTAGTCTCAACTTAAGACAAACCGCATCAATAGAATCAATGATGCCTCCTTCGAATGTATTGTTGCTGCGTATGAATCAGTGGCTCGTCAGAGGTTCCTCCTAGACCCCAGGCCGCGTAGAGAGCAGCGCATGTCTTCTTGGTAGAGGCGCTCATGTAGGACACAGGTTCTGTAACACCATAGACAAGAATATCACTGTTGCTGCTAGCATCGACATAGTGCTCGGTAACTGCTCGCTTTGGGCTGATCAAAATCTCGTTTATCTCGACCTCGGCAATGTACCCAGCTGTTGCCGTGCACTTGCCCGGCTTCGCCGTGAGTTCAGCCGGCCACCGACGAATGCACAGTCAGGGCCATGGCATCCTGCCTTGGCCATCTTGAAGGATCGCCCGTAGCTAGTCACACTGACAGTGACCTTGTTCCCGGGAACCCCTGCCTTAGTTATCGTTGCTAATGACAGCCTAGTCTCTGTCAGCTTGACTTGACTACGTAGATAGTTACCGTTTTTAATAGAATCATATCAAATAGGGTGCATGCACAAAATAGATAAAAGGTGAAACCCAGATAGTGTTGCAGCGGGAGCAGCTAATCATGTATCAGTGAACTATTGCAGGAACCTGGTCACATAAGAAAGAAACTCAACGCCCCAGAAAGTGCTAGCAAGCAGGATATACCAGCCACAGCCAGTTTTTGTGCGACATTGTTTTTATCCGGGCAATCGGCTGCCTGGCCAAAAGTGATATTGCAATGCCAGGCTTTGAGAGAGGCCTCCATGCTTGCGACAGTGGCATTGCCAATTTGGGACCGACAAGGATTTGTTGTAGGAGTCGGGGAGGCCGCCACTACAGCGCATGTATGATTGGTGTACTGACCGCCAGACCAACCCTCACCGGGGATATACATAGTTCTGTCGGACACATTGATTGCCACGCCGGATTGCCCGAGGCATGTCCTATTGGCTGTAGCAGCAATGGGGTCTAGCTTTGGGGCGGAATTCTTGGTGGTGAACCAGGTCGCTTTGGTGGTCGTGTTGTAGACCACCTTGCTGCCATATTGTGTTGAGTCCTCGGCGCAACTATCCCAGCTCAGGGTCCAGAGTACCTTCCAAAAACTCTCCCTGCGGAGGGATCTCGAGTATTTGTATGCAAAATAGGTGTCCTGGTCAGTCCAGTTAACCCATCTAAGTTCATGCCGCACTGGGAGGGCCTCATCCCCATTCTCATCCCATAAAAGGTACTCAAGTGAAGGGTTTAGGTATCTTGCGCGCTCGGAATTCCTGAAAGCGAAGACAATAGGGAACGAGTCGTTAGGCGCATATGTGTCGTTTTGTGGGAAAACCAGATTCACTTCTAGTATATCAGAGACGGCGAACACGGTCCCTATACCGGCAACGAGCAACCATATCGCCCTAGGAAAGTGCATGCTAAGGGCGAGTCAGGCCTTCGAGTGTGACCTGAGTCGAAAAGATGGAAGTGAGAGAGATTCGCAAATATTGCGAGACAATCGTTGTGTAGGACAGGGTGGACCCAAATCTATAGTGAACAAGGAAGGCAAGATGAAAAGAAAATATTAGGTGCTATGCGCTAAGATAGACTACGGAAGCAATCAAATAGTGGCAGAGGTTCAAAGGACATGTGAGACCATTAATCCTTGCCCGCATAAGGTGGCGCCTTGGCAGCTCATGGCCCAATTTACAATAGGGCCCAAGACCCTGGAGGTGTCCTCTATAGGAAACACCGAAAAGAGCGCATTCGCGGTTGCCCCCTGCCAAGGCCTTGGCTTTGCGTTCCGTGTAAGTGAGTGAGCCGTTGATATTTGGGAAGTGATTCCAGAATACAGAGCTGACTGAGACGGAATATGGATAGCCTAGAAGTGGTTATTGACCCATTGATATTTGAGAGCTGACTTCGGAATGTAGCCTAACTCAACCACGCTGGTAAATTGCTGGTGTTGGCAATACGACAAGTCTAGGAAAACTTTGGCTGTAAGAACCGAGAACCTCTCATGGTAGTTGGTTATTGACGTCCTTGTTGCTAGCATGCCGTGTTAAATATGTTATGTCCAATTTTTAGCTCGTCGTAAACCTTTCTTACTACCTTGGTATAGTTTTCCTATTAGGTTTCGTTTCCCTAAACTATTATGCGAATGCAAAGGCCTGATATTGTTGTTTTTTACTTGATTTTCTCATGTATATAACTTACCGGCCGACATTATCGTCTGCCAGGATGCCTCTGGACGCCAGGGCCAGGCTCCACATCGTTCACAAATTACAGATAATTCTCCGAGCAAGATAACCCTTTTGCAATAACTCAACGCTGAAAGGAAAGCGCAAGATGCTCAACGATGAATCGGCACAATCGATGATAGAAATCTGGTGTCGGAGCGCGTTAATATCGTTGCGAAAAAGACAGAATATGTACTAAGATCTTCTATATTATAGGTGAATACGGTCAGATACCAAGACCAGAATGTACAACTTTGGTGTAGGAAACGTCAAGGTTGGCTTAGGGCGAGGGCAACGGGATGAGAGAGAATCGGAGTGTGCAATGACACCGGAAGAGAGAGAAGACGAAACATCTTGTAGGCACACGATCGGGCTGGGCGAAAAGGGAGGGGACTTGAATTTGGCTATAGAGGGGAACCATTTTCGGCGTCGTTTTGGTCGCCAGTGGAAACAAGGGGAACAACTGTTGAAGTCAAGCGCCAACATCATGACTGGGGGATGACTAACAGTGCTGGGCACCTGAACAGCATTCTGGTGGTGTTCTAGGGCCTTGGGCGGTCAAGCGGCGTGCTTGACGTCTAAAGTTACTTACTGGTGGAAAGGCGGCCGTTTCTGGCATCGAAAGCGGTCATTTTCGGCGTCAATTCTATCTAGGTGTAAACAGACGAACGGCGTTGTGATCGTCGAAAGTGCCTACCAGCTCCACCAGATTTTCGTGAAATGCAGCTTGAAGTCTAAAGGCGCTAGCAAGCTTCTTACCGGGGATATTCTTTTGATCAAGACAGTTGAGTATCCAAAGTAGTTGCGGGGGCTTAGCCAGCCATCCGCAACCTGCATGATTGACCATTCAATTCAAAGAATACTTCTGGGAGGGATGCCCAACAGAGCCGCACATACGGAAGCAGTGTTGGGTTCCTCCTGTCCCGTAAGGGGTATAACCCAATTGCTATCGATCATGCTTAAGCCATCCGGTGAGTCTATTCACAGCCCGCCGTCCTCTGTTGAAATTGAGATGTGCGGCCTTCCGACTGCCAGGGAGTTCTCGCTGGTACATCTCCTCTGCCTTTCCTAGCTTCCCCTGATTAGAGTAGAGAAGACCCAGATTGTTGACTGTATTAAGAGTCGACGTGTGATCTGGACCCAGGGTCCTTTTGTATCCTGCCAGTGCCCGCTGGTACATCTCCTCTGCCTTTTCTAGCCTCCCCTGATCAGAGTAGAGATTCCCAAGGTTGTTGGCTGTATTAAGAGTCGACGTGTGGTCTGGACCTAGGGCTTTCTCGCGTCCTGCCAGTGCCCGCTGGTACATCGCCTCTGCCTTCTCTAGCTTTCCCTGGTCAGAGTAAAGACTTCCAAGGTTATTGACTGTATCGAGAGTCGACGTGTGATCTAGACCGCGAGCCTTCTCCTTGCCTGCTAGAGCTCGTTGGTACATCTCCTCTGCCTCCTTTAGCTTCTCTTGACCAGAGTAGAGATTCCCAAGGTTGTTGACTGTATTGAGAGTCGACGTGTGATCTGCACCGAGGGCCCTTTCATATCCTGCTAGTGCCCGCTGGTACATCTCCTCTGCTTTCTTCGACTTCCCCTGATCAGAGTAGAGATTCCCAAGGTTGTTGACTGTATTAAGAGTCGACGTGTGATCTGCACCGAGGGCCCTTTCGTATCCTACTAGTGCCCGCTGGTACATCTCCTCTGCCTTCTTCGACTTCCCCTGATCAGAGTAGAGATTCCCAAGGTTATTGACTATATTAAGAGTCGATGTGTGATCTGGACCTAGGGCCTTTTCGCGTCCTGCCAGTGCCCGCTGGTACATCGCCTCTGCCTTCTCTAGCTTCCCCTGATCAGAGTAAAGAAGACCAAGGTTGTTGACTATACCAAGACTCGACGTGTGATCTGGACCTAGGACCTTCTCCTTGCCTACCAGCGCCCGCTGGTACATCTCCTCTGCCTCCCTTAACTTTCCCTGATTAGAGTAGAGATTCCCCAGGTTGTTGACTGTATTAAGAGTCGATGTGTGATCTGGACCCAGAGCATTCTCGCGTCCTACTAGTGCCCGCTGGTACAGCTTCTCTGCCTTCTTCATCTTCCCCTGATCAGAGTAGAGATTCCCAAGCTTATTTACTGTATCCAGGGTCGACGTGTGATCTGGACCTAGGGCCTTCTCCTTGCCTGCCAGTGCTCGTTGGTACATCTCCTCTGCTATATCTAGCTTTCCCTGGTCTTTGTAGAGATTTCCCAGACCATGAAAAGCCCCACGAACCCTAGTATCGTCTCCCAACCAATCTCCACCAAGCACATAATTGGCGTGCGGAATAAGCCGTCGCTGAAGTTCCGTGTAATTTCTCTCACTGACATTAGGCACAAGATATCCAACAGAAATCAAAGCCAGTTCTTTGAGCTGGAGGGAACTCGGATTCTTGTCAGTTCTGGGTATGTGAAGACACCAGTCCTGTACCACTGGATGCATTGTGTAGCTTCCTTCCTGCTGCTTAAGTTCAAGAAAAGAGAATTCGATCAGAACGCGTACTGTGGTCGAAAATGCAAGAAAGCTTGCAGCGCTTTCATAAAGCCACAATGGAACGTCTGACGCATTACAGCCACTGTGAATCAATTCGTACCAGATGTCTTGGTTGTTAAAGTGGGCAAGAAGCAATAGCAGCTGGGCTGCGTTTGAGTCACGCTTTTGAATCTCGTGATATGAGAGCAGCCACGTCTGTAGTATGTTGCCTTGTTTGTACTGTGGTCCAGGTTTTGATTGCAATTGTAAGTTGGACCAAGACTCTTGGTAGAGCTGCAAGTACCTAGCGACGCTGGTTCCAGTTTTACGTATATAGGACCCGGCAATAACAATGGCTAGTGGCAGCCCATCCAGACGACTGGCAAGGGCAAGGGTTCCTATGTATATAAGTATCACCAAGAAGATCTATATGTATATCAATTGTCCCCATACCTGGGTTGCTCCCAAGCTCACCGACAGCAGTATTCGCTAATAGACGGCTGCTTCGTAGGAGTAGTTGGATCGCATCCTCGTGGTTAAGCCTATGTATTGGAATAGACTCCCCTAGCTCAGTCAATGTTTCGAGCCGAGACGTGATCAAAATAGAGCCATGATCGGCCCCAGGGAAGAATCGCTGAATATCGTATGTTTGACCAACAGCGCTATTGTCGGGAGAGTATTGATCGATGTTGTCAAAAATGATTAGCCAGCGCGAGTTTCTCTCCAACGCTAGCCACCGCAAAACAGTCCTAGCTCGTTGCTCTGCCTCTTCGTCATTGATCGCATCGGGAATTTGGCACTGGCCCGGTAGTCGGGGCAAGACTGAGCTTAAAGATTGCACAAGAGTGGCTCGATCCTTGCCACTCAACCAAAATATAGCAGTGAAATCACGTTTATGGTGCCGTGCGAAACGAATGGCTAGCTGTGTCTTTCCCATTCCCCCAAGCCCATGAATGATAGCAACTTTCTGTAGCTCAGATTTAGATGGCTCTAAAGACTGCCACAGCTGTTCTAGCTCTTTTTGCCGTCCCAAGAAGTTTGTTTCAATCACCGGCATAGCAGCAAGGTCGAATGGTACGTGAAAACGATGAACTACATAACCAAAGGACAGATTAATGATAAATTCGAGGAATTAAGCATACCATGACTAGCTCACGATCTTCGTACCTGACTGCCACTGTCTTTGATTGGCGCGTAGGGTATGTTTCTGTACGTTTTAGCAAGGAACAAGCTGGTTGGAGGTAATGCACAAATGCACATACGTGTATAATATTGACGAAAGAAATCTCAGTCTTGTCTGCAAAAATCAGCTAAACGATCCACTCCACTAACTAAAGTCTTCAAGATACACACTTTCTTTGAGTTTCAAGTTTTCAATGCAGTCCCGCACCCGGAACTTCTGTGCCATGTGCGTGAGATAGCCTTCTGTCGCCGCCTCTATCGCTCCCTTCTTCCTGTACTCGTCAAGCCCAATCTCTTGTAGTCCCTGCTCGACATTCAACCTGAAGTACCGTTTCTCGTCGAAATGCTTTGCCCATCTCGCTATGAACCTCCGCTCTGTGTTCTCTGTCTCGGTTGCAATCTGCACCACTGTCTTCCCGAGGAACTTGAATATATTGTCCTCGAACGGCTTCTTGCCTGGGTTTCCTGTCCCGATCGATATGAAGCACTTCACCTGCGGCTTAAGCTCTCCCGTCTCAGGGCACCATATGTTCGACGCCTCGCCTTCAACTTCGTCCACTGGGTTGTTCGCGCCTAGTCCACCATCAGCAAACGATCGGTCCCCGATGCTGATCGGTTCAAAAAAGGTTGTGGCTGCAGATGTCGCAAGGGCAGCTTGGCATATCGTCGTGCGGATATTTGGCTCGTGAGAGAGGCTATAACTTCGGAGGCGAACAATGTCCTTTGTATGGCGGTCGGCGGTACAAACGAAACTGGATTCGTTAGAGATATCACCCTGGTCGGCAATGAACTTACGTTCTACATCCCCGTGCAGTGCCATCATTAAATAGATCCTGCTTACAAGCACCACTGTTCTCAATAACCTTTTGGATCGCGCTTTCCAGCGTCGCCGAGTCGAACCGGGCCGTGATACTACCCTTAAAATTGATAGGGACTGAGCGCAGCTTCTCCCCGAACACTGTTGCTGCAAGATTGCTGTATGCGTCAATACACTGATCGACATCCATCTCGAGCCGGCCGAGCATGATCGCGATGAGGCTAACTGATAGTTAGTGTGTCAAATCAGATGTGGCAGGCGCGTCCACTTACCCACCAGTGCTTGTGCCTCCAATAAGGTCGAACACTTCGCACGGCTTCACTGGCAGGAGTTGCGTCTGCTCCCGCGCATGGTTCAGTCGGTCCATGATGCTTTTCAGGATGTAGAGTGATGAAAGGCCTCGCACCCCTCCGCCATCCAGGGACAGTAGGCATAAGCCAGTAGTGTCCAGCGGACTCGGCTCCCTGCCATGAACATGTGCTTCTTGCTGCATCACCGGGTCCTCTCTTCAGTCCGAGAATCCCGCTTTCAATACTAAATTACAGGCCCAAGAAAAAAGCACAACCAGATGGTTATCAGTCCGCTGGCCCGAGGATGGGCAGTCCAGCTGAAGATGCCTGGGTGGGGCAAGTGTGACGCCTGTGACCAACGCATCTCTTCCCAGATACATCACATCACTTAGCGCCATTTTGCTCCACTCCCAACGACAAAAGTTCATCTGAGCACATTACGTTGACAAGAACGACCATCTTCTGTTGATATCTGTCTACAGTCATTCTTTAGATCGGCATGACAGATACACTTTTCGTCACTCTTTTCTGGCCCGATCGCTAAGGTCTTAGCAGAGATCAGTCATTGAGCGCCCCTTGTCCAGCATTTCTTTCACACCGGAATATCTTCGTGGACGACCAACCACCCATACTAGCGCTATAAGGGACCATGGCTCCCAACCTAGCCAAATGTACGCTCGAGTTGATTCATGATATGATAAGCGGTGGTGAACTAACCGCCTCCTAGATAGCCGAAGCTGCTGGCCGAAGCAAGCGCGCAGTCACTAGGATCCGATCTAACTTGCACATGTTCGGTAGCATCAAAGCCCCCATCAAAGCTAAATGGCCACGAATCATCACGCCACTTATGCTAGAAGCACTGAGTGACCGTCTACTTGAAAAGCCGGCGTTATCCTTTGTGAGTTAGAAATCTTCTTGCTGGATAAATTTGACGTATCCATACCAAAGTCCACGGTCAGCGATGCCCTATATCGCAAAAGGGTGGTCGAAAGAGACAGCTCAACAAAACGCGGTAAAGTGGAAGGCGGATTTACGAGACGATTGATTACTGTCATCTTATTTTTGAGTTTTGCTTTTCCTGATGCCTCTTACCATGTCAAAAGTCTTCTACCATCCACCAATACAAGGTATCAAGGCGCCCAGGTTCAATTTTGACGTTTCTATACTGTCGCAAGTCCAACCTAAACTTTCGTTATTTATTTCAACTCGCCTGCGATAGATCCTAGCAATATCCCGACTTCCTACCAAGCTCTGTGGGACACTTGATATCCGGGTATCAGCCGATAAATAGACCTATCAGCTCGCTGCTTGGCCAGTCTCTAGTACATCATAGAAAGCTAGAATTATCGATACTGGGGGCTTCTAAGAGGCAGCTTGGCTCGGCGTTGTCGTCAGAATCCGGTTATTTTCTACGCCTAACCATCCCTAGGAAGGAATAATGTTACCAGTGCAGGCAAAACTTCGTTCAAGGTATTTGCGAATCATTTCATACTAGAGGCAGCGACTTGTCATACTTTGTGGTGACTTTCGGTTCAAGACTGTTTGAAGCGCATACTACTGCGTCGATACGCAGGCAGATACCATCATGTAGGCCGAAAGAGGCCAGTGTTGAGGCTTGACGAATAGTGAAATCTACATTCTCGAATAATTACGATAACTTTGTCACGACCGGGTGGTGCACGATCGGATGCATCGTCAGTGAGTCGCGACTGGTCGTTACCTAACGGGATCAGTTACAGTTGCCCCGTCCCGTGCCCACAAATTCTGCCCGGGCAGAATGAGATGACTCAGCCGATTCCAAAAGAATCCAGGCTTGGCACGACCTCACGGTGACGTGATGATGGGCTTTTGTTTCGGCTCCTTCATAGGAAACGGATATGTGTTTGCTGTCGCGAAGGCCAAAAAGATCAAATGAAGTACTGGCCAGCGAGCTAAATTGGAGGATACATCGAGCGGTGTTGGCCTATATAGATAGGAGAGATATCTATCTAGCAAAAGGGCTTGGAATGTTAGGTAGGCGTGACGCAAGTTTTAAAACCTAAGACTCGGATGGATTTGGTTAGGGCATGTTTGGTTGGGGCCATTAGATTAACAACTAGCACACTGCTCCTGCTGGAATCTATTTATTATATCGCCGTCCCCCCTACTCATTGCCACCGTCCTTCCCTTTCTTCCACCCTCTTTTTCAGAGCATCCGTGAGCAGCTGTCTACAATGTCGACATCCGAGCATCCTGAGGCGCCTTCAGCTCTGCCAAAAGTTAATTCAGCTGAGTCCTATACTTACGACAACCTCACGGGGTGGAAGAGCGTACGTATCCTTCGCATCGGAAGGGGGATGTATCACGATGTCCGGAGGCGTCTTCCCTATTACTGGAGTGATATCCGCGATGCGTGGACGTATAGAACTGTCGCCAGTATCATTCGCATGTACTTTGTGAAGTGGGTTACTATAACCCGGGACCAAACTCAAGGCTAATACATGTTCTCTAGTATTCTCCCGGCTATAGCGTATACACTGGATATGTACCGAAGAACTGGGCAATTTTATGGTATTAACGAAGCGCTCTTCTCATCCGCCCTGGCAGCGATGGTATTCAGCATCCTTGCAGTGCAGCCTCTAACCATCGTCGGTATCACGGGGTTGATCTCTCTGTTCAACTACACCATATATGACATTATCAAGATCTATGAGCCCTCTATCTACCCCCAATTTATGTGTTGGGTGGGTATCTGGGGCGCCATATTCCACTGGATTGTTGCTTTGTGCAACATATGCGACTACATGCGCTACGTCACGGATTTCTCGAGTGAAGCATTCGGCTTCTATGTCGGAACGATTTATATTAGTTAGTTTTGCTTGCTTAAATCTACCTCAACGTCAAGAAGAACGATAACTAACCGGGAGTCTAGGCAAGGGTGTGCAGGAACTAATCAGCGAGTTCACTAGCAACAGTTATACCGCTGGCTTTATGAGTTGCATGATCGCAATACTCTATTTCTTGACAATCTACAGCCTGGAGACTATTGGATCGAGTACCATCTGGAGACCTGCTTTCCGGGGTTTGCTGGCGGATTATGCATACGTGGTATGTGGAGTCTAAATACGCCCGGCTACTGTTCGGAATCGTTAACGCTCTTTCCTCTTTTTTTCTTCTCATTAGGTAGGGACAATTTTCTGGGTGGGGTTTTCGCACATCCCTGGTCCGCTCAAAGCAGCAGATATATCCCGTGTCCCTATCAGCAAAGCCTTTTTCCCGACACAGCCGCGAGGCTGGCTGATTCACTTTTGGGAACTGGACGCCAAATGGATTTTTGTGGCGCTGCCGTTTGGATTTCTGGTCATGCTGCTCTTCTACTATGATCATGTATGAGACCCTATCCGGGGAATGGAGTCTCACTTCGAGCTACGGTGCTAACTTATAGCTAGAACGTCAGTAGCCTGACGGCACAAGCGCGGCAATTTCCATTGAAGAAGCCTGCTGGATTCCATTGGGACTTTTTCCTTCTCGGATGCACCACCTTTATTTCGGGCATTATTGGTATTCCTTTTCCTAACGGATTGGTACCGCAGGTATGAAAGCCAAATTGAGTTTTCAATCTTGTTTTCAAGGTATTAATAACCCGTGCTAGGCACCCGTACACACAGATTCATTGACCATCTATGAAACGGATCTCCACATTGTGTCAACTGAGGAAGGAGAGGGGGCCGAGATCCGCCGTTCGATAGTCAAGGCAACTGCAGTGGTAGAACAACGCATATCGCATTTCGTCATGGGGCTGGCTATTATTGGCACTATGACGGGCCCCCTCCTAATCGTTCTCCATACTATGCCTGCTGCGGTATTCGCAGGAGTTTTTTTCATTGTGGGATGGGGCTCTATTGGATCTAGCGGCATCATGCAAAAAGCGGTTTACCTCATTCGGGAGGACCGTTTTGTGCAACGTGACGAACCTCTTCTGAAAGTGCAGAACCGCAAGATCCTACTGTGGATTGCGTGCCAGCTCATTGGGGTTGCAGCCTGCGTCGCCATCTCCGAGACAATCGCTGCTATTGGTATCATCTTTTCTCCTGTTCAGCTTCACAAAAGCGACTAACAATTTTTCATTAACCAGGTTTCCCTGTGTTGATCATCGCTCTAATACCATTTCGGGTGTGGATCATTCCTAAATGGTTTTCTGGGGATGAAATAGGTGTACTGGACGATATGACGGCCGACAATAAAGCCGTTCTAGCCAGTCTCGGCGGATCACCGAAATTCCCCGGAGAGGAGCGTCTGCGGGACTACGGAATTGAGCGCCGGTACTCGGAGCAGAAGAGGGGAATCAGCAGACAAAGAGCTGGCAGTGTACATCGCTAAGGCCGTGTCAATGACCCTAGTACTGAGGAATCACTGATCCACACACGTGACCAAAGTCTTTTCGAATGGATGTTAGTATTATCACGGTGCTTCAAGTACAGCCTGAGGCCAGCAGGCTGAGCCATTTGCTCCAAACTTCGTGGGATATTTGCATAAAAATAGCACATTATTCTATACTGGTATGGCTTACTGTTATTTCACTGTAGCAGCTTGACTCGAACAATAGAGCACCGATCATCTATTCTATCTATGCACCCCCATCAGGAAAGTACTGGTGTGCCAAGCCTCGTGCACTGATTTGTCATGTCTTTGAAGGTATACAGGCCGGTGAAATCGGGATGCAAATCAAAGGAGATCTGGAACTGCGACCAAAGCTTTCTGTTAACCATGGCATACCGGCTTAAAGAATCGCCACTATTCGGTGCCGAGGTCTTAATGCATTATTTGCAATCTATGATACTATACCTACAGGAAGCTTTTTAGTGTGAGGAGATCCGTATATGAAACCCCGGATTTTGAGAATTGAAAGCCAAAAGAAGTGGTGGAATATTACCGATAGGTATTTGTAGCGTTAAAGCCGATGTTGTTGCCAAAGATATTGGACGTATTGGGTGAAGCTATTAATATCCCTATCCGTTCTAGTCCACACCGCCTTCATAATATCGATAGGGGACTTGGAAGAAGTAAGCAAATTGATATTTAGACTGATTCGGCATTTGACATAGATATAGCCAATCTAGCCTTGCGTCTGGCCGGCATTTTCACATCACTTATGATACACACTTGGAAATTGCTTTTGAACCCACCCAATAAGATCCAGCGCTCTAAGGCGGATAAAGTTGTTGCTATTGAGATGTTTCATGTCAAGGCATTCGAAGAAATATCCAAGTTGAACAAAAGCTGTAACTCACGGCATTACAAATGGTGCCGAAAAGTGTTCTGACTGTTGCAGACCCCACCACTGTCCGGGTATTTCATGTTTGACCATGAAATTACGGGATGGATCGGAACCTCAATACAGCCTTTTGAGCCCTATATGCCAAGATAGTGTGGAAGTTGAGATTGTTGAACTAGAAAGAAGCGCGGGTCTCTAGGTAATATGAATGGAACGTGAAGCTTAGCGGAGAATGAGATGGACTGTCCATAGTCTCGATTCTTAAACTCCTGAGTCTGCCACCTTCAGATTCTAGCTTTGTCAATGGCAGTATTGTTAATGGACTGTACTGAATGGGGGCGAACGTGGTGAATGAACGCTGGTAATGTAAATTCGATTGAATTTGCCAGACTAAATTTGTTCTAGAAAGGCTAGTCGAACAATGTCGGTGTCAGTGAGAGAGGCGCAGTGTTTATTGGATGTCTAGAACCGTGTTCAATAGCTCCATCGGCATCTTGAATGGCGGTTCGTGCTCTTGCGGAAGACCATCTCTATTTCTCATATTCACCGTAGGCCGAATTTGCATTCCAGAGTGGAAGGATGATCACGGTATGGGGCCCGCACTCAAGTACTCTCAATAAAAAAGCAGAGAGTTAAAAATTCAGCTAAAAAAACATCATGCGTTGATGATGTGCTGTGTCTTTGCTATACTTGCAGTAGAAAAAGTCATCAAAATCAACCCGTGCATATAAATATTGGTTTGGAGACTTTGTGGCCGACAGTCATGCTGGATTGTACCCGCGGTTGGCCTGTTGTGCCAGGTACCCTTTAGTCTCGCTAGAACCAATCTTTCACATCCCTAGCTTCACGCTGCTGAACCTTATTTCTTTCCTGTGTATTTGCAGCCAACTAATGTTGCCTTTACTAGAATCTCTCCTGGTGGTATAGACACTATGATATACTCTGAAAAATAGGGTGGTGATTGCCTATTTTTAAGTTAGAATAATCAAAAGCCTAGACCCTGTTGGGAAGCCTTCAATATTAAACTAAGCGTTATCCAGGACAACCATCTGAAATATAGCAACCAAGGATCAAGAGCCAGGTTCTGTGTGCGTTGAGCAGGAACAACCTTCGAGAGAGCATTAAAGCTACAAATTCTTGAGACTAATTCTCTTCTACAAATACTGCATGGAAACGGACAAATCTTTGCAATGAGTTATACACGATCTGTTTCATTTAAAAGAACAAGAACAGCACGGGAAAAACCCTTCTGAGGGGAAAAAACCCGTATCAATGACCAAACGACCTGACTTCTCTCTTCAGCCATACTGTATGAGGCAGTATTTGGTTCCGCCATCATGTAGATAACACTTTGATTAATAAAAACAGTGCCTTGTGTCGACAGGCCAGATAAGGCATTCTCTAGGATATTGAGACTGAGGAAGATCCGCTTATTAGTCACTAGAGATACACTATTCGTAAGACAACTGTTAGCATATTCTATTAATTCTCTGAAAACTTCACGTACCTTTCCGTTAGACCCAGGAGGGCCATTCGAAGAGCACTCTAAACCAGCGCAGCAGAGAATCCCTGGATGGATGGATTCATTGCAGACCTCGCCCTTGGCTGAGCACTGCGGTGGAGGAGACACACACTATTTTGATGAGTTAGCTTTTTTCTTCTTTTTCCTTCTAGCTAGATTAAGTCATCACGCACTGTTCCATTAGACCCGGGTGGGCCAGTTGAAGAACAATCTAGGCCATCGCAGCAGAGAATCCCTGGATGGATGGATTCATTGCAGACCTCGCCCTTGGCTGAGCACTGCGGTGGAGGAGACACGCACTGTTTTTGGTGTTATGAGTTAGCTTGATTTTGTTAGATCGAGTCATCACGCACGGTTCCATTCGATCCCGGAGGGCCATTCGACGAGCACTCTAGCCCAGCGCAACAGAGAATCCCTGGAAAGATGGATTCATTGCAGACATCGCCCTTGGCTGAGCACTGTGGTGGAGGAGGCACACACTATTTTGATTAGTTAGCTTTTTTCCTCTAGCTAGATAGAGTCATCACGCACTGTTCCATTAGACCCGGGTGGGCCAGTTGAAGAACAATCTAGGCCAGCGCAACAGATTATACCTGGATGGATCGACTCATTGCAGACATAGCCCGTAGGTGAGCACTGACCCTCTGGAGGACAAGGTCTTCCATGATGAGACCATTTCCCATGTTGCGACCATCCCGCTGGGCCACTGTTACCTGAATATCCAGCCCACGCGAAAGCGGAAAAGAACAGGGAGATTAGTAAGAAGTTCATGGTGACCATTACTATATGTCCGGTTGTCCGGGCAATTAGGTGTTGGGATTAGATACGGGCCTATGTGCAATGAGATTGTGATTTCGACGGGTAGTATGAAAACCATCCAACTTACAGAAATTGTTGCAATGATGTGCCCCGACTGAGATTGACTTTTCCTCTGTTAAAAAACAGGATGTAATAGGCGGATGCTCAGCCTTTTATTTTTCTTTAAAAGAGCGGTGATGGTCTAGATTGAACATGCTGATTGAATCGTTAGTTAAATCCGGCTTCAAGTCTAATTTTTGTCTTGCCACTCAATGTAATGACAAATGAAAGTCATTGACACAAACAATTGTTAAATGTGGGTTGTCCTTCCAATTTCAGTCCAAAGTCTCGTATACAAAAGTATTCCATCAGAATAGGTGACGTGGTCAAGAATATCTAGCCCAAAGAGAACATCAGACAAACCAGACAATTGTGCGACATTACAAAAACGGATTGAAGACAGATGAAGTACACAACAAATGTAGCCTAATCACTGGAAGTCTAGATCTTTTATTATATCATGTTTGCAAAAGTCGTGGTGTAATTTCGTATCCCAGAATCCTTTTCCCCACAATCTCTTTTCTCGGGGATCTTACCCTGACGTTAGTAATAAGTTCACCAAGGTTAGCTGGACGGTCATGGTCATGCTGAAGTCAGAGATCCGAGAACTGGCGACCATAGGCATTTAATAATAGCGGAACGAACTAAGCAATTCATTGGAAGATGGAGAGCGGACCCAGCCGGTCCGTGCTTTATGCAAGGATCACAGTGCAGGGAGAAATTCGGCCGAAATTCAAATGTCCTAGTTACCCTACGGCAGTTCGCCAACATTCCTTAATCAAGAGCACGTACGTGATGGGATGATCGAGAAGTCTATAGATACGTCCTCTATCCCTAGCGAATTAATTAATTGGCTCTTATTATTGATACTGAAATTGTTGCGTCCATTACTTAGAATCCAGAGCGCACTTGTTAGGATAGGTAGGTATCCATAACTGGTTGTACGGATAGAGATGTTGGAAAAATGTACGCCTTGTACATATCACACGAGGGATAAAAGAATAAGCCGAATCTCACAATTCTGCATCGGGCAAGATACCGATTGGCTGGTAAATTTGCCGTTAGCTGGCAACCATACTTAGGCGCAAGCCAAAATTTCTTAAACTAAAGCCAAAAGGATATAATTTGCTACCCCAGGTCGTATGCTATTCAACAGCCACGGAATGTACTGCGGTGGGTCAAATATTTAGCTACACCAATCACCTCTGCCTTTTTGCTCATGGCGCGCTTGAAATATTGCTGACACCCTCAATTGATACATTCCAAATAAAGCATTTGAAAATCCTACTAAAGCAAAATTTATCTAACCGTCAGCTATGTCGAGAACATTGAGAAGTTATCGCACGTTTGATAGGGCTAGTTTTGAACAATGTGAACTCACTTAGATAAAACGAAGTCCAATCGAATAGCCTTCCAACTCATGCCAATTGGTCCAGAGTCATACAATAGTGTCCAAGCTATTGCACAGTACCTTAATTTGGACGAACATTTATTAGATATTCTAGGGAGCTGTTGGCTGTGTTACATGGTCGCGTCAATAGTCACTGCGCATTAGCAGGCGATGGTCAGGCGTCATTATTGATTGTTAGATTTCAATCCCACAGCGCGTTTTACTGTGGTCCCTTACATATCCCATTCCATTGAACTGTGGAATTCAAACGCACAGCATCGGTTAGAAATGCCGGTTGCCTTTCCTGGCTCCTGTTAGCAAGAATTCAAGCAGATTCATAATGAAATCCTCTACCCTCTGGTATAAATGCAGGCTGATATCGCACCCGTAGAGACCCAGACAGACGTTTTTAAGACTTCCTGAACTCATTTCAGCCAGCCGTGCTCTTGCAATTCTTAGTAGCGACTACGAAAACTTGTGAGTCCATCCAAAAGTCACTTAGACGGCTTGATATTTAACCATGCGCAAGTTTTGAATACAATATGTTGTTTAAACTCGCAACTGTTCTCTCACTCACGAGCCTGGTATCTCTCTCAAGCGCCGCAGAGTGTTGGAATCGTGACTACCCCATCACCCGTGCGGATTATGACACTCTGTACAATTGGGGACCTCAGTGGTGCAGCAATATTTTTACAACGACAACTCCACCAGGTGACTGGTGGAAATATCCGACGGCACCCACGGTTGCCTATGCTGGGAAGATCGGTAACTTCCAGAATCAAACGCAGTGTCTGACAGCATGGGATGATATTATGACAAGTTGCTATGCAAGTGGACATGGTGGCGGGGGATGGACCGACTCTTGGCAGCCGTCAGAGGGTGCCATCCAGGGGGTGAGCCTAGAAATCATTTTCGGTCCATGGCCCACGCCAATTTCATCGCCGACTTCAACGCCGACTTCAACATCGACTTCAACATCAAGTTCAACTTCAACTCGAACAAGAACGCGAACGTCAACATGGACATCATCACCAACGCCAAAGTGAACCCCATAGTAGCACAGGTATCTTTGATGAAATAGGGGGGATTTTCCCCACCTCTTAGGTGGTTTTCCCCCATTATCATGATGGACCCGCAGTGGATGCCTATGTGGCCTGCTTTGTTCTAAATGACTGAGTATGCATGTTATGTCTTACCTTAGGCGGGATAGTTTGCTTTTTTGTTTCGTCTGATTCTTTGACTTGCAATTTAATCAAGGAATTTTCATCAAAATTTGTATAACGACGTTCGTCACCTGAACATAGAGGCAAGTGTGCAAGAAACTACGGAGATGGCCACTGTCATACGTTGAAGAATGGCTTGCATGTACACAAGGCTCATAGCGTCTTTAAGACGAGGGATCGGAGAAAATAGCTAATGCCAAACAGGCTGCGTGTAGTCTCGTATCGATCCTGCCTTGGACGCTCGCTGCGTACTTTCAACGTTGGCCGCAACTCAACCTTAAGGCTCACCGTATGCTTGCCTTGATTGCCACCGCCTCCTTCGCCTATTATTTGATCGACCAGGCATCGATCAGACTACTGCTGGGTTCTACTGGGCCGGGACATGTCTGCACGCCATGTGGTTTCACAGGTCGTAACGCATAACCTCTCGAAGGACCCTCGCGTGGTCTTTGACCGACTCTATGGAACGGGGAGGGGGAGGGAGGAGAGGTCAACCGGGGCAGTATGTACATCTTGGGATGTCCGCTTGGGCGCGCGGTCCTGCTTGCAGATCACGCATTATTGGCCTGTGACTTTCTGACTCAAAAGGAAAAAAAAGGAATAATTCTTCTATAGAAGATGATTAAAGATTACCTCATATTTCTCCTGATTTGATGTCTGTTTTACTGACACGATAATAAGTGGAGCGAGATATTTCCTGTGGGCTGCCTTAGTTGCTCACCACAGCTTACTATACAGACAGCAAAACGAGTATAACCTGATTGTGGGGTGATCAACCTCGCAGTGCCAATAGCAGTCGAATCCTACTTGACCAATTGGAATTCTAGACTCTAAAGCCTTGATGAGCATAAAACTCTTCATTATTTTGACAACATTTAAACATCCTGAATGTGCTTAATGTGAAAGAAAAACCAGCGGCGTTGAGTAGCCGCATCAAATGGCATGACTTTTGTCGAGGTATCGGCCTATAAAAGGGACATATAACTTCGAGCTAGGCCAGAAATTTTAAGCGCAGAATGACAGATGTGGGCCCCACACAGTTTTCGGACAATGTGACCATCTGCTAAATCACGTCAAACCACTAAGGATGATCATAGTTCTTTGCGTTATGTCGTATTTCCGCCATGGCGCCATGGCGACTGGTTCTGGTCAATCTGGGTTTGTGGAGATCTATGTATCATCTGAGCAGTGAACTAGCAAGTCAACGTGCATCCTCTAACATGTGTGGCTTGCAACTATTCTGCATCTGATTGGCGGGTAGGTCAAACCCTTGAGCTGCCCCACCCCACCATTTGATCTGCGGCTCCCGTGCGGCTCCCGAGCAATTTTTTCAACCACATAGCTCAACTGACGTCCAACATAGCTGAGAACCGACCAGTCATCGTAGCGTACACACAACAGTCTTCTTACCAATTTATACTCTTTGTCGGTCCAGGCTCGAGCCCAGGTGGCCGGAAGGAGCGAGGTGTTTACTATAAGAATAAGGATTAAGATCTATGAAGAGTTAAATGTTCACTTCGAGTCTCTCAATAACTTAAGTCGCTCAACATTCAAAATGCAGTTCCGAGGCAATATGCAGTCGTTAGTCCTCCTTCTCATCGGAGCCATGATTACCCAGGTCTCGGCTATGAATCTGGGAGGCCGGCCTTCGACGGTTCGTCGGTTCAAATTTTTTATTAGTGCTCCACTTATACTGATACTTTCTAGGATCAGCTCTCAGGTTGTGGCAATGAAAGCCTTGCGCTTGGGGAGGATTGTGCAGAGGGATCAAACGTCAAACGATCTATCACGGACGTCAGCCAGTATCGTCCTCCAGAGGTAGAAGCGATCCAATGGATTAAGAAGTGGACTGTTCCAAACACCCGCACGGCAAGCGGCAATAAATGGTCAACCACATCTCTACCATCCGCTCTCACAGTATGGAATGGATATGATTCGAAGATAGCCCCGGCCGCGTGGGCTGCCGCAATTGTCACTAGACGGTCCTTAAGCCAAGGGATATTTCGCCTAGGTCTTGCCAAGTCCTGGCTCAATGGAATGTGGGGCGTGCAGCAGAACGGTGTCAAAACTGCTACAGACCTTGCGGCTCGAGCTGAGAACATCTATCAACATGTCCATCCTTCAGAGTCTTCGTACCAGGCTGTGCTCAAAAACACTCTAATCGTTTCCGGGTTCCCTGCCAGATCAAGCGTTTACAAGAATGTGATGCGCTGTATAGTTACGGGTCAGGGGAAGTTTGTGCCAGCTAATCAGCTATCATCTGACTGTGCAGGTCTAGTTAGCACGTGGTTAACCAGAAACCACCTCGTGGGATTGACACTCGCTATTAATGTCAAGTCGGATTGGCTTTCCAAGAACCTCGCTGAGGTTGGTGTCTTGGCCCGCTACTTTGACTCGAAAATCTCAAACTCAGGTCCAAAGAGTGCGCCTGCCAGTTCCCTACCCTGTATTGAATTCTGTGAACCCTGGCCGGGCAATGATGACAATAAAATTGTATTATCACAACGACCAGTACGATGTCCAAAGTGGCTCAACAAGCATCCTCCTGGTTCCAATGATTGGAAGTCGTATTACGATCAGTTTTGGAAGGAAAGGGGAAAATTTCATGGATGCAGAGATGGCTTGTATGTTTCCATCTGAGCTCCAAATGATGGATTAAAATGATTTAATTTGTACTCATGGTTATTAGATATATATCCCCAGACCTGAAGGAGGAGTATGATCTCGACTTCCATGGCCCCTTTACGCCTTTGCTTATACATTGTGCTAACTTCCTCGTTAGGATAGTTCTCTTTGCTATGTGTGACAGTTCAGTAGATGAATCAAACGCTCATGAAAAGTGTATCGCCAACCTTGCTCCCACGGCCTCGTCTGGATGTGTTGGTGACTGTCCAAGCCCGGGCGTGGCTGCCTCCTAATCTCGCTGCCTATCCCACGAGGGTAGGATGGAGTCGATTTAAATTAGGGTTTTGCATTTAACTATGGGAGAAAAAGTGGGGACAGGCTGGGTCACAGATTATTTGCACCATGCGAGTCGCGAGAGCGATAAGGCTCAATACTTCAGAAGTTATAATCCTAATATCACCCTTGCAAATTTGATGGCGAAGCTCGAATCTAAAAACACAGAACTGAAAAGCCACTTAAACTTTATACACGTTGCGGACTTTAATTCCAAATATGAGACAAGGTGGGAGAAGGATGATAATTAGTTGCTCAGTATCCACACAAGTTCTTTGAAATAGGACATCAAGCCTGCTACAAAGAGCAACGTAATAAAATGAGGCTCTGGGGCTTATTGGATTTCGTTTGGATGGTTTCGGTGGCTTTCTATGGTTGTTGTTGGGTACTTTCTCTTGCTTAGCCAGAATAGATGGCAAGCCGTTCTTTCCACATTTTGTGGTCGAGTGCTAAGGTTATGTAGGGTTGTAGTCACTCAACTTTTCTATAAAGATATGTGATGACCATGTTTATGTGATGACCATGTTGGTTAAGGAATAATTAAGACCCCTTTCGCGTAATATCAGTTCCAACAAAGTCCTCTCCATTCTAAAATACATGGCTTCAATTTTAGGTAACCCTTACACGCCCTCTTAAGTCGAAAGCATGTTCCTGATAGTTGTTTCAAGCTGCTCAGGCTCGCGGCCAAATGTCTGAGCCAGATTTGAGGTAAATGCTACATGCTCGCCATCGTGGATCCCAGCAAAAGCAGTCGCCCAGAGAGGCTTCCAGTTGCCACCACCATATGTGAGACCAGTCTGGACCTATGGTTATTTGACGTACTCGGCCACATGTACCTGGCAGACCCTGATTGGCTTGTTGAGCACGCAGCTGAATACATCTGCTGTTTCATTGTGAGACAAAGCATGAGGGCCCGAGAAAAGTACGGTGTTGTTTAAAAAGGAAAAAGCAGCGGGGTCTTCGGCGTGTTGTGCAATAACTTTTGCAGTTACTTCCACTAACTCATCTTGCTTAGCCCAAGCAATGCCAGGGCCCAGCCCATCGTGAGGGATTCATATCTCGTTAGAAGAAGCTATTGAGATCAAATAAGGTAGCATAAAATGAAAACGACTCTAAATATGAACCTTGGCGAACGACAGTGTACGTGAACTGTGGGTTCTGGTCGTGTAGCTGAGCCAATTACTTCTCCGTCGCAAGGTGAGCAAGCAAAAATTGGGCCTTCGATATCTCCATCACCAGCAAACGAAAGAGATGAATAGAATAGACTATATGCTTCACGCCACTCTTACTAGCCGCATCAATCGCGGCTTCATATACTTATAGAACCAGTTTAGCTCCTAGGCGCCACCAGGTTGTAGCAGGGGTGATACAGCCACCTTGAATCGATACTCATTTTGAATACTAGCATACTAAATCAAGTTCAGAGACGAAATTCCATCAAACAATTGGTCCAGTGTCGGGGTATTGCCGTAATAGGCCGTGCGAATAATATCACCAACGGCTTTCTCTTTGCAGAGTTTCTCTGGGCTGCGAGCGACGAGCACCACATCATTAGGTGGGACTTGTTCGAGAAGTTGTCTTAGGGTACTGCCTCCAAGGCCTCCAGGGGCTGGGAATATGCCGAGCCTGGTTGCCATAGTTGAGAAACAGTTGGTAAATAAGAAGCCGAATGGAGCTTATTGTATCGTTCTTATAACCAGCAGACGCATGATAAGGCTTTAAAAGTCTCCGGCTCGGGTGAATTAGATATTGACTTCTTGGTGTTACTCTAATGGCACCCACGTCTTCCTGGTGGAACTCAACAGCTGATTAGGCAATACTTCATATGAAGTTTCTGCACGATAACGACATCATATGAAGTTGCTCGTAATGAAAGTTTCGCCTCATAGTCCACTGTGGCGCAGAATAATCATCCAGGACTTCTTGACAGGTGAAAAGGAAGCAATGATAGATATTATTGATGAAGAAGGATGGAGAGAGGAAGAAGTCCTGCTTTCCAAGCTAGGTAACTAGATACCTCAGGTCCTGGATCACCTGACAATAGTGTCATGTGATCTCGACAGGACTCCTCCAGAGGCGGGTGATGCGTGAGATCGGACTCCGGTGGGTTTAGACCTGAGATTTGTCAAAGAGGGGGCTCACGACAGCTCAAAGTCACGGCATGATGTAGTCATAAGAGATTTCATTCACCCCGAACTCTCATAAAGCAATATACAGGATACACCACTATATGACGTATGGTGTAAGCGAGTGGAACAGCTAGAACACCACATAAGCCACTTATGCGCTAACTGCTTGGCGGCACCATAACAGATGAAGTGTACATATATCGAATGCAGAATGCTAAATCTCTCTTAGATAGAAGAATATGAACCGTACTGTTCTGTGAAATATATCTATGAAACCCAGACCATATTTCACAAGAGAAAGCCCCTGTAAGTAAAGCATCGTAGAAGTTACTTTGCCAAAAAGTAAAATGCCAAGCGAAGATTAAAACTTAAATGGTGGCCATAAATCAAAATATCAGATAGTGAATGGCCAAGTTTCCAGGAGATTCACTGGTACCGCACACTCGACTGTGGCACAGTCAAGATGGTAAAGCGTGGACTGGCAAGACAAGTAGCTTTATAATACTAATGGATAAAGTTGCAGGAAACCTTTGGTAATACTAAGTGGCTATTGACTCAATATCGGATCGTGAACAAAACCAACGTTCAAAACATGAGCATGTAATAACTCTCAGTGTACCACAAAGCCTTAAATGAGAAGGCCGTGGAGGATATGATCGGCAGCCAACATTCCTTTAACGGATCCAGCCAGTCACTTTTATTCAATATGACCCTAGCCCGTCACTCTTAGTGCGTATCTGAGGTGGCATCAAAAGAAGTAGTGATGGGAAAACGAAGGCATGGGTATTAACAGACCTCAACTAGGATAGGCACCTGTGTCCATCAACTTTTGGTATCAAGAAGAGCATGTAAGTGATAACTAGGACCCGAGAAGTGTCCTCCAACCTCAGCCATTTCCTCGAGAAACTAATCATTTCTTCGCGAATTCGAGTAAGTCTTGCATTTGAGGCGTCTAATAAATTCTTCCCCTTTGACGCAATACTGAAATTTCCACTCTATCAACAATAATAGAATACATCATGGATCTGCAAGTTAGACAATACCTGTGAGAGATGTGATTCCCAGCAGATTCACCGTGCTGCCTATGTCTTTCAATCAAAGAGACAAACAAGGCTTGGGCTTAGCTGGTCAAAGCGTATTTTCTATGCGAATATCTCTGTTCACTATAGCAGCCGACTGAGCTAATCCACTATCGCTCCCGCCCATATACGTATGCCACATTCCAATGAGTGGAATTTTATTCCCATCATCAGATCATAGTATCGAACCAACGTTATATTTCGATGAATATCGATGGTGGGATAGAAAAAACATGATGCTGGCGTAATACCGAACATGCTTTAAATAACAATGTTTTGAAAGGTTGCGAAATTATACAAAATTGAGCTTCTGTGACGATTGAGGTTTTGGGGTCCAAGGTTCCCCAACCTAATGCCGCGATCTAGTTCTGAAACAAAGAAAGTTAGGTCAATTAGCTTCGACCGAGTCCGGCATATTAGCTATCGACTCTAACTAACGGTATCCTTAATCTGGTACTGATGTTTCCCGCACTCTCATATTCACGTTATGTTGAATTGGCAGTATATGTTATGAATACTGGCCATTGGAAGGCATTGAAAACCGGAACACAGGAAGTTTGGCAAACAAAAGCACTCGTCCAGACTGTGAAAACGCGGCAGGTTTCTGATAGAAATTACATACAAAGAGAGACCCCGAGAGAAGGTAACCTTTCCGCCTTACTCAATACATGTCAAATTATCAAATCAAATATCTCGAGGAGTAAGCTCTTCTTGAGCTTTTCTGGTTTCTCCGGCAAGCCCATTAACTCAGTCACAGCAATCTGTCCCCCGCGCACACTATAATCCATGTTCAAAGTGGTGTCATCCATAATCTCGACAAATTGGCCAACGCAAGCAATGTTACCAGTATTATCCGGAATGACTTGCGGACGGCTCCTATCGCCACGTGTTAGGAATGGAGCAGTGCCCAAAGGCATTCCGCATGGAATGGTTTTAGAACTGGGTAGAATGGACTCGATAGGGAATCTGAGCCAGGAGAGAACCTCTGTAAGAATCTCCTCCCCACAACACTCATACATTGGCTTTTTCACGTAGTTTCCCTCATTGAGTGGACTCAAGGCATAACCACAGACAATATTGACATCGTTTGCCTGGCCATGGAAGACGGGTTGGTGAGGGATACTGAGTGTAATTGACCAGTTGGTTTCAGTCAGTGTCACTAATGCACCTGTCCCTGGCCGATCGTGGGTAAGCGTCTCATATAATTTCATAAATTCGGGGCCCTTGAAAGTGGTGGTAAAGCATTCCACGGCGGACCTGAGACTCTGTGATAGAAAGTTAGTGGGGTCTCCGAAGTTAGGAGATACCTGAGAGAGTTTCTGCCATAAGCGCCAGTCGCAGAGCATCCGATCTTCCCATCCCGAGGACAAGTTTGGAGGTGGAGAGTTGTTTGTCCCTAAAGCCGCACCACTGCTGGTTGCTCCCAAAGTGATGACCACAACATCAGTAGGTTCTATTCTGACGTAGTGCTCTGTTCCATCTTCGAGTAGCTCAATCTCAGTGGCTATGTGTGGCTGTTCCTCACGATTTATTCTGATATTTGTCACTTCGGTATTGAAGCGGAAGTCGATGCCTTCATTGTTTAGATAGGCTGTAATGGGCACTATAAGAGACTCGTAGAGATTGTACTCCGTTCGATTCGAAGTCTTCAAATTATTGAGGGACTGAATATCCTCTAGGTATTTTCGAAGATGCCTGTGAAACTCAACAGCACTATGCCACGGCTGAAGTGAGAAACTGGTTATTATATTAGCAAAAGAGGGATTGCCAGTATTTTGACTGGTGATGCCGCTTACGATGTGGCCCAGAGCATCCAGAATGTTGTCTCGAAAAAAGATTCATCCATCATATCCTTGATGGTATGCGACCCAAGCATCTTCTCACTCTCCAGCATAAGTCTTATCAAAGCCATTCGATTCTTCACTCCAATGTGGATGCCTTTCGTATCAACCGCTTCTGGGCCCGACTCTCCCTGCTTGAGTGCTCTCGCAAGAGCATAGTCCTGCGGGGGTGGCCGTTGGAATTGCCCAGAGCTCCGGATCGCATCCAGAATCGATTTATTAGCTTCGGTCTGGCTTGGGACAGCAGAAAGGAGCTTCTCCAAGCAACTGCCGTAAAAATGCGGATGGCATTCAAACGGAAGAAAATAGCCATTTTCTGCATCGCCAGACGGGTTCATTCCACCCCCAGACCCGGAATGTAGATCCAAAATGTGGATGTTGGCGGCAGGAACTTTGGCATCATTGATTAAGTGCACTGCTGCTGAGAGGGACGCGATACCACTGCCAATCAGCCATGCCTGAGTGTGGTTCGGCTCGCGATATGGTCGGTGTAAATGGGTTGTCATGTCGAAGGATGGTGAGTTTGGACGCGAATTGTGAATTTGAATCAAACACGACAGGTTATCGTCATATATTTCTCTTTCCATTTGCCAAATTTCCTAGCTAATGCATGAGTTGATGGATAGCAAATGTTGATTAAGTACTTTTCAAATTGTGAACAATATGCGTCATGACTACGTATAATTTCTACGCTTCGGCCGTGATCATACGAGGCAGTCTTATCGTCATCATATTTTTATCATACGATACTCTGCTGATTATATGAGGTTTAGTTCCCCAGCGGATGGCAAGGTGGAAATAGCCAAGTCAATTCTACTAGCTCAAAAGAATTTGATAATTCATGGACCACTACAGTCGATAGCGAAATCAGCTTCTTCCCGGGCACCCAGCTCAGCGGGACCCTGAAAAAGTTCAACGGGCCCCAGGAAATTCTGACTAATCCTGGGTCCCGTTGAGGTCCGGAACCTCATTGGGACCCAGGACCTTATATTATATAATAATATTTGACATAAATAGACACTTACTAGCTCCGGAATGATCCTGACGGATATGAAGACGTATTAATAGCCCGTCTAGGAATATCATGCCGCATATCTATGCTAGGGGGTTCATAACAATATCGCATCTATTTCGCGTAAGATCAGTATTTGCCAAGTATATGCTGTTACGCTGTCTCATAACTTACACGCCAATGTTCTCCTTGTTCAAAACCACGGTGAGGTTTAGGGGTGGAGTAGCGATAATATCGGCAGTCTTGATGTCGTAGTTGCGAGCACTACCTGCTATGGCTGTATGATATACAGCGGGCTTCCAACCAGGGTTGTTATTAGGGATAGGGCCTATATATGGTTAGCATATGTTATGATATATCATGTCATAACATACTATAAGCGTAACCCGTGAGAGGATCGGGGTTTACTACATTTAAGACTGAGTTGTTGTCAAAGTCGGCTCGGGTTAGGCCGAGGCCCGGAAAGACTCCAAGATTGGCCATGTTGATCAGCTAGAGATGCTTAACATATGCATAACATATACAACAACACGTCAAGAGATAGAGGAGACGGACTCATACCTGATGGAAGGAAGATAGGTGGGAGATAGATGAAAAAGGGAAAAGAAACAGCAAGGTGAAGAGGAAATCAAAACAAGCATATAGGATGAGTATATTGCTTTCATAGTAATATGCTCCTGCTTTGTTTACCCAAATATATATTTCTGCTTTGTTAACAAACTACAAAAATATTTCAACTTCAAACAAACATGCACTACTTTTGCAAGTAAACGGCAGTGGATAAATACATAAATCACATAAAATAAGGATAAAAGTTCAACGGGACCCAGGATTAGTTAGCTGCTCTCTGGGTCCCGTTGAACTTTTTCTGGGTCCCGTTGAACTGGAACCCGCTTCTTCCCTAAAGATAACTTTTATTTTCTCGGGCCCCACTGCCAAGGCACTAGTGCGAATATTTATTTAGCGGACATCAATATAAAAGTCAACGGGTTAAGGTATTGATCGATATTCAAAACCGGAGTTGCAGTTCCAAATTTACAATACTTTACACATGAATTGTGTTTTGATTTGGGTCGATTTGGGTCTACTCGAGTATTTGGGTGATACACGTGACTGTATTTATCTTTATGGAATTGGCTATTGAGACCCACCGGTAGTTGCGGCCCTCAATTTACTGATTGGAGGAACAATTTGGCAGCAGACTCTTGAAAGCACCATTGAATCCAGTAATTTACTTTCAATGAAATCACCACGTACATGTCAATTGAATATATATTGTCTCAAATTTTTTTTTTTGTTTGGATTTTATTGGGAATAAGACGCAGGTTTGTGTGGGCCCTCAAGATTAGATGCTGACGTTTACCCTTAATCGGGAATAGAGGTCGATCATACATATCCATGTAATACCGTTGAATATCAGACCCACATGCAAACAGGACAAACGTTAATATGGAGTGAAACCGAGCTGGCTTTGTTGAGCGGGCTGCCCTTTGCTGGTCTTCTGACTGCGTTGCACTCCCCAGGGCATCATCACTACTCAACGAAGCCAAGTGAATACCGTATGACCTAGCACTCTCATTTTTTAGTGCCATTCATCTTCCAGCACGTGCTACTCCCCTCTTCTGCTCTTCGCGGTCGCTCTGTCCAGGTAAGGTTTATCGGAAACAGATCGAAATGAAGGATTAGCTCGAGTGTTTTTTTGTTCATGATGATTAATATTGATAAATCTTGAATTAACAGCTCCACAAATATGAGCTGTAGCCCATTCTATGCTCACGATGCCCCGCTATATGACTCCTAAATCAATCCGATCAATCTCCGCTCTTTGCACCAACTCCAGGATATGGCGTTTTTCAAACCACATCTGTGATGATTTCCGCGAGCCCCGAACGTCGCTCGGATGACAATTTTTCCTCGCAGCATCAAACCTAACAACTGAGCCAGATTCCACTGCTTCAATTGACCGAGTGGGAAGAAGGAAGGTTATATGATGAACCACCACTACTATATGTTCGGGCTTTTGCCGACCAGCTTGCCATCGACATAAGAAACACCTCCAATGTCTCAAACATCGCAGATATACCCTCGGAATTTTTGGATCATTTGTTGAAGGCATTCACATGGAAACTGCACGGAGAATCTTCATTCCCATTTCAATGGGAAGCGGCCGTCACTCTTCACCGTAAGCGAAAGTATGTATCCATTAACATCGGTTCAAAAGCACCCAACGCGATAACATTTCCATCTAGGCAAATTATTGATTACGTGAAAACGGGTCTCCAAGATATAAGTTTAGAAGGTCATGGTATGGAAGCTCTCGAGGGGCCAGGGAGTGATGAAGAGCTACCAGAGCGCCGGCCATTTGAGAAGGACCCGAATGAGGTTCTAGAATGGGTTATCAATACTGAGCCATCCAGCATGAAGGAGTTTGACCAAGATCCAAACATGTCTAACATCGCCCCAGGGGGGGGTCGAATCCCATTTGCCAGAGTACGAAAAGTTTATCCAGGAATCGATTGCCTATAAGGATTGGCTACTTTCCAATATACGCCAAATTGGTCGCCTGGAATCTGGAAATCCTGATCTGATGATTGGCATAGGAGTGAAGGTGCGATCCCGACTAGGAGCATTCAACTCGCTACGCAAAATGAGCCATCGAAGACAGCAATCCTTGATAAAGATGACCTTCAACCTTGATTGGGATCCCGCACGTTTCATCCACGACCAAGATAGTCACGACCAAAGGTTGGCCTCTCCTCAAAATGACCTGGAAAACGTCGTTTGTTTAACAGGCTCATGGAACAATGCACAACCTGCAACTGTGGTGGAGTACATGGGTCAAACGTGGCCTGGAACTGGGCAGTACATCATTACCTTGTTACAAGAGTTGATTCGTCTTCCGAAGGGCCAGGAATGTTCTTGTAAGGCCCAGAACTATATGACGGACAAATATAATATTGATTCTCATTTCTCTCTAGATCAACTGCCAGAACATGGCTCATCTCGACCCAATATCCATGGTCTGAAGAATGCACAACTCACAGCGTGTATTCTACCTCCATCCTCATGTTCTATTACCGCCACCGGTGACAGATATCTACTTTCTGAGATAGCTGAACAGATTGGATAGCTAGCTTTGGCTCTGCGATCATCAAATCAAGGCGCGGTAGCATGCTACCCTTGCGTTCAGGATTTCGATTTTAGCGTCAGAAGCGGAGAAAAATCAACAAAAACGGTAGTGGGGTCATGCTCCTTAGTATTCGAGTTCGAGAAAGGGATCAAAACGATGAATGCAAGTCATGGGTTCTACTCCCACTCAGGCATCCACAGCGAAATCTTAGTCCGAGGCTACCCAATCCGAACGGGGCTTGGAATTTGTATTGAGAAGGCCAGTGAGGATCGCAACGCGCAGGATCAATGCAACGGTTCTACAATGCAGGCGGATTCGGCTGAAATCCATCTTCCCATACTTTTAAGTGGAGGCGAGAAGCATTTGCGTGGACAGTCAGCCTACAAGAAAAGAAGTTGGGCAATTTACATCTCCCGGTGTCTTTCCTGGTTAAGAACAATTACGAGGCCACGGCTGAAACCCGGTCATCATCGAATTGAGTGGCAGTGTGTAAGTGATGTGTTGCAATACTGGTCAAAAGAACAGGACCGTTACTGTTTCAAGGACAAGAGATTAATGCTGATGGGCAACAGGATTGTGGGGTAGACCTGTATGCTGATTTTCTCAGCAGCGATACAGATAATCTCGATAAATTGGCTTTCTCCTTACAGAACCCTGGACAAGAAAGCACCAATAACGCTTCGGATATTCCATGTGACTCAGCAAACCCTCCAATCCATGATAAGCCTGAAGACTCCCGACCAACAGGCACCAAAGCGATACTGAGACCGCTGGGCAGCTTAACAACAAAAGGTAACCATGCTGTTGCAAGTTCTGGTAATATTTTTGAATCCGGTGACGGGCGAGCAAGATTCCTAGCCCTCTGTGTCAACACGGGCGCCATATACAAGACCTTGGCAGAGATTGAGACATCCAACGTGAAATCCGATGCAGTCGCTTTTAGTAAGCTAAAGGATGAGTATCTCAAGACAAGAGGACTGCGTTCACGATTCAGATTTCAGATTAAACCAATAACTATTGAGTTCATTCAGGTAAGGCATTCAATCATTCTTGGTCGGCATGTGTCACTGCTAGTTACTTATAGCTGCTTAGTTTACACTTTGGAATCTCCGAGGTGGTTATATCTCTGTTTGCGATCGGCCAAACTGCATCCCTCCGGACAACTGCTATGAATATGAGTTTTCTAGACCCCTAAAACCCCTCCCACCAATGCCACCGGAGATCTTCATCCACTATCTCGAGCATGGTGAAGGAGACTTGAACCCCGTGCGAAACGATTGGCTTCCTCGTTTGCCTAAGCGGAAGGAAAAAAGAGTGATTGACTGTGATGAGGCGTGCTTCGGATGGGGAATGCACGTTATTGAAGGACCGAACCGCGAGGTGATCTTTTCGATGATGATGATCACGATTCTTGCCAGCGTTTTGACTGGCGTGCTATGGTCAACTCTTCGAGATGATCTTCAAGGGGGTACGGGGATGGGCGCCCTCATTGTGGCTCTCCCACCCGCAATCCTGACGGCATTTTTGTTTCGTTTAGGGGGAATATAACTCGATACTTCAATGAGACTTATGGAATAAACACTTGAAGCTTGACGCATAGTGCTGGAAAGAGATTAATTTAGAAGATGAACTGAGAGGCGGCCAATACCACCAAGACCGTTCAGGACAGGCGTATCCAGGACATCACTCGTCCTTGTATGGTAATCCAGATAAAATCGCGAATCTGGTGACGTAACAAGTTGGGGATGGGTTAAGTTATAAGTAGGCCTCGGGATGAAATACCTCTTTTACGCTAGTACCTTGTCAGTGGGGCCTAGAAAAAGAAACAAAATAGTAAGGGCGGGAGCAAATGTCGCTAGCGCTGTACATTGAAATCATAATGCTATTTCCAAATTATAATAGCAATGTTCAAGGTGGAAGCTGATTTTCGCTACCGACTGTAACCTCGAGAGCAGGCAGATTGTATCACCACAGAAGAATGAAAGTAAAGGAGTCGGGTGATTCCACTTCTCGGCAGCTACAGTTTTGATTAAATATTACCACAGCATAGAGACAAACATATTAAGTGCAATAAATTTAGCCCCCTAAAAGAAAATGAAAAATGTCCGAGGCTTCCGCTTTGTTCTCGGGGTTGATTTTGGCAGCCCCATTAATTGATAAACTGTGGTCTGAGCTCCACGTACACTGTATTCCATATTGAAGGTTCTGCCTTGTGATCCCTCAGCGAATCATCCAACAAGTGGAATATTGCTAATGATACCTATGCAATAGTGCTGATATTGCCCGGTGGAAAATACAAGGGACATTTATTGATTTGGGAAGAATACTATCGATCGGAAAATCGAGGTAGGCGGGCAACTCGACAAAATCACCCATCTTCTCAAGCTGCGACACACCTATTATCCTCAGACACAGTACGTCCCGACCACCTACGCTCTTTAACACTTGCTCCAGCTCCATCACCAAGACACAGTAGCTGGACAGATTTAAGCTGCTACAACGCCAGGTGATTTTAACCTTCAAGCTTTCAAATCACCCTTTTGTTGCAAATATGAAATGCTCCAATATGACTCATGCTCAATCAATTTGAGGTACGTATTGTAGGAAAAGAACGCATTCAGCTATTTTTTGAGCTGCCAAAATCATATACCAGCGAGCAGGTCAAACACGTCGAGAAGCAAATTTCACTTTAAATGGGGTACTCATGCTCTCTTCTTGGATAGATATTAGAAGACAATCAAGGGTACACTGAGTACAACGATAAGTTCACTAATCAGTGCGGAAACCAACAATGAGAACCCTCCCATTAGTATACCCAAGAGCAATAGTGCCATCCTGTACAGCTGAGCAATGGAATTTGCGATACTCGACAGGGAGCCATATAAGGTTTTGGTTTCTAAAGGCGATCCAGTCATTTGCTATGGAAACTTGAGGGATGGTCTTATATGAACTTTGACCGACGACGGACGCGATCGAATCGGAATGGCCCTCGAGCGTCTGTAGCTCTTTGCCCGTCCTAGCATCCCAGAGCTTGATCGTCTTATCAAGCGAGCCTGAGGCCACTGTTTGGCTGTCCGGGGAGAAGGCCACAGAACAGACCGAATTGGAATGGCCCTTGAGCGTCTGTAGCTCTTTACCCGTCTTAGCATCCCAGAGCTTGATCGTGTTATCATCCGAGCCTGAGGCCACTGTTTGGCCGTCCGGAGAGAAAGCCACAGACCAGACTGAATTGGAATGGCCCTCGAGTGTTTGTAGCTTTTCGCCCGTCTGAGTATCCCAGAGCTTGATCGTCTTATCATCCGAGCCTGAGGCCACTGTTTGGCCGTCCAGGGAGAAAGCCATATACTGGACCGAAGCGGAATGGCCCTCGAGCGTCTGTAGCTCTTTGCCCGTCTTAGTATCCCAGAGCTTGATCGTCCTATCATCCGAGTCTAAGGTCACTGTTTGGCTGTCCGGGGAGAAAGCCACAGACCAGACCGAATCGGAATGGCCCTCGAGCGTCTGTAGCTCTTTGCCCGTCTTAGCACCCCAGAGCTTGATCGTCTTATCATCCGAGCCTGAGGCTACTATTTGGCTGTCCGGAGAGAAGGCCACAGACCAGACCGAATCGGAATGGCCCTCGAGCGTATATAGCTCTTTGCCCGTCTTAGCATCCCAGAGCTTGATCGTGTTATTATCCGAGCCTAAGGCCACTGTTTGGCTATCCGGGGAGAAGGCCACAGAATAGACCGAATCGGAATGGCCCTTGAGCGTCTGTAGCTCTTTACCCGTCTTAGCATCCCAGAGCTTGATCGTGTTATCATCCGAGCCTGAGGCCACTGTTTGGCTATCCGGGGAGAAGGCTATAGACTGGACCCAATCGGAATGGCCCTTGAGCGTCCGTAGCTCTTTACCCGTCTTAGCATCCCAGAGCTTGATCGTCTTATCAAGCGAGCCTGAGGCCACTGTTTGGCTGTCCGGGGAGAAGGCCACAGAACAGACCGAATTGGAATGGCCCTTGAGCGTCTGTAGCTCTTTACCCGTCTTAGCATCCCAGAGCTTGATCGTGTTATCATCCGAGCCTGAGGCCACTGTTTGGCTATCCGGGGAGAAAGCCATATACCGGAGATATCTGGAATAGCCCTCGGGCGTCTGTAGCTCTTTGCCCGTCTTAGCATCCCAGAGCTTGATCGTCTTATCAAGCGAGCCTGAGGCCACTGTTTGGCTATCCGGGGAGAAAGCCATATACCGGAGATATCTGGAATAGCCCTCGAGCCCATATAGCTCTTTGCCCGTTTTAGTATCCCAGAGCTTGATCGTGTTACCAAGCGAGCCTGAGGCCACTGTTTGGCTGTCCGGGGAGAAGGCCACAGAATAGACCGAATCGGAATGGCCCTTGAGCGTCTGTAGCTCTTTACCCGTCTTAGCATCCCAGAGCTTGATCGTGTTACCAAGCGAGCCTGAGGCCACTGTTTGGCTGTCCGGGGAGAAGGCCACAGAATAGACCGAATTGGAATGGCCCTTGAGCGTCTGTAGCTCTTTACCCGTCTTAGCATCCCAGAGCTTGATCGTGTTATCATCCGAGCCTGAGGCCACTGTTTGGCCGTCCGGCGAGAAGGCCACAGAGCAGACCGAATAGGAATGGCCCTCGAGCGTTTGTAGATCTGAGCTCCAGGAATCTATCACCGCTGGTCGCCTCTGTATCCTTTTTGGCATTTCGCTAAGAAATGTCCCTTTGATGACACTTTGTGTTGGTGCAAACGCTAGCCCGGAACAGTAGAGCTGCAGGGGAGCAATTCCAGCTATGTACACATTTTGAAGAGTAAATCTTCTTGCATCATGTAGAAAATCACACAGTGCAGAATTGCAGTCGTCCTATATCTATTAGTACATGAAGAAAGATATTTGTATATTGATAGAAGTGACTTACACCAACTAGGCCCTGTAACACATCGATTAGCCTGATACTCTCCGATATTCTCCCCATGAGGCTCAAAGCTTCAAGCCAGTGGAGGAAGTGACTGCGAAGGAATTGGAGCGCATGGCTTTCATCATTAAGTATCACTCTGCTACTCTTCAAGTGATGCACCCAGTAAAGGCACGCATATTGAGCCTCTGATGGCAGGCACCGGTCAATCGTTTGCTGGTCGACGGTAGTACGAGATTTCCCTGGTGCTCCTAGTCCACAGATGTCTTTTTTTAGATAGTCATCCTCGGAGAGCAGCTGAAGACATCTGTCCGCAAGCTTCTTGTGAGTGACCTTCTCATCAATAAAGAATTCGTGGACGTCTTCCGGGTCAGGACGAATGAGGAAGTCCCGGAACGATTCATGAAATATTCTCACAGGACTAGTAGCATCGGTTGGGATGTCGAGTACGGAATGAAGCAGCTCCAATCTATTTTTGATGCGTTCAGTGGAAATGCCGAGGAGCCTCGCCAGTGGCGCAGGTCTAAGAGGATTTGCGAGGGTGACTATCGAGCCCACAATTTGGTTGAAATCGCTTATTGCAGTGCGACGCGCGGATGGCATGAGTCCGTGAACCATCTGGTTCAGGGTAGGCAGGTATGTTTGGTCGAGATGCCCACGAGTCTCCTGTTGGAGTATCTGCTGAAGCCGATCATCTGGCCCGTCGCCGCCTTGTCGATAGTCCTCGATAAAGCGGCAGGCAGTGGCCGCGAAGATGAACAGCGGAATTGATTTCCCTAGGAGATTTTCGAACTGGGTTAAGTTTGGCCAAATAGATTTGATTTGGAAATTGCGCTGAATTTCGTCCAATCGGAACCTCAAAAAGGTTGCGATGTCCCGCTCGATTATAGGCCGTTGGATCTCGTGAATAGGAAACTCGATGAATTTGTCTTCAACATCCTGGAACCCAAGACGAATCGGAGGTTCAAACCTGCTGGTGACAAAGAATTTCAAGGGGACTACTGCCGAAAGACTGTTCTGCAGCAGTAACTTGATAACCGCCGTGGTGTTCTGGTCTCCCTCGCATTCATCGAGGGCATCGATCACGACCGTCATGGTCCTAGAAATACCATGCGGGACAGCCTTCATTGGCTGCAAGATAAGTTTCCTAAACTGCTCTCCTAGCGCCATTGTGGCGATATCAGGGTTAGTTTCGATGGCGTTTCGCATATGCTCAGCCATCATAGGTAGTCTCTGGACGAGTTGGGCGGCGATAGTGGTGAACAAGTAATCGGCACTACCGCGATCGGATTCATTCCTCTTGAAGAAGAAGCTGGCCGCGAGACGGTCTTGCTCGGCAAGGTCACCGGCCACAGTACGAGCGATTGTTGACTTGCCGGTGCCAGCCTTTCCTTGAAGCCAGTATATATGCTCGCGAGCTATAGGGCCATCAGTCCATTGGTTAATTGTCTCGAGAAGCTCATGGCGCGTGTTTCTGAGACACGTCGCGACGTGTTCGTTTGCACGGGAGTTGAATGCGGCACCTTCCACGGTGCGTAGTGTGTCACGGACAAACCTCTGGTTGCAGTTTAGTGTTGGGGTGGTAGCTCTTTCGGCGGGGCGTTAGCCAGTCCATCTGGAAATAGAGTGAAGTGACATACGGTCTGATTTTATGTAGCTGTTTTCGGAGGTTTTTATATAACGGATCGTTACGCCTCCTGCACTTGTTTAGTCCAGAGTGGTCTGTATCGATAACGACGGTTTGAGCAGCATGGCCGCCTCGGGCTGAGTCCAACGGGACAATCTAGGGATGTTAGAGAGCTTCCACAGAGGGACAGCAGCACCTACCAAGCCGATAGATAGCCATCCCAGCATGCGTGTAGGCTTTTTTTCGCAGAAAGCTATGATCTCGGTCTTCTGTCGTCGACCCTCTTTCTCTTTCATGCACTGAACAAAACGTACATCCAAGTCGGAGAGCTGTGTCCGGTAGCTCGCTAGGGTGAAGAGGAGCCCGGTGCTGGATCCTAAAAAGCCGGTCATGCGGGCTACAACAGTCCCGAGACTCGATATAGGTGACCCTTGATGAGGGGTCCCGAGAAAAACGATGCCGCAAGTGCTGTCGACGACGTCTCGCGCGGCGTCCCCAGGCTTGCACAAGGTCTGCAGAAGGGATTAGGTTTGCATAAAAAGGAACAATATTGCGGCATACCTCTTTTATGATGATGCCCCCAAAGCTATGACCGATGAAGACGATCGGTACACACTGTGACCTCTGTTAGCCTTGTCTTCTTTGGGTTTCATAGTCCTCACCCGATGTCTTGACCGATGCTTCACTAAATCGTCTAGTAACCGATCGCCGAGTTGCTGCGCTGACGTGACCGGAGCATCGATCAACCAGTCCGAGTTGTGCGCAAAGGCCAGGATTCTTGCGTTCGGAAAGTCATCTTTCAATAGGTCTCTCAAGAGGTGGACGCGTTTGCCGTGATCTGAATTGGTCGATCTCGCAGGACCACTTGTCCAGGTGTATTCCGGATGTGCCCCAAGGCCGTGGACGGCGACAATTCTATGGCCATTAGCGTGAGCGTCACGGTAGGCGCGGCGGCTCTTACTCGAAAATGACATTCTTAGCATGCTCCGGTTCGGAAATAGTGTAAAGACCGTCAGGGCGGTCCGTCCTTCCACGACGACGAATCTTGGCAAAAATGGGATAGAGAAGGAAGACAGGAAGCACAACCAAGGTGGCCCACAACACGAAATCGTTCATGGCGTTCACTGATTTCGACTCAAGAGTGGGGTCACGGTGACATGAACCAATCGGTTTGAAGTACCACACTGTCGGTGTCACTCTTTCTGCGTAGATTCAAACGCAAAGGATGGGTGTGACGTCTGATAGAGTGCTTCCATCTGTAAAACAGGGGCGAGGCATCATTTGAGAGCAGTCCTTAGCTTAGCCTCCAGCCTGACCCACTTGTCACATCTCATCACCATGCAGGAGGCGCGTGACAGCGCGAGTACGCGCCGCCAAAATCGTCCTTGGGGGCCACGTTGACCTACTAAAGGCAATTATATGAATATATCGATACCGGGCAAGTCTTGACAAGGGAAAGAAAGCAGCAATAATAACTTCATATTATTGATGACGAAGGACGGCGAGAGCAAGAAGTCCTGCTCTCCAAGCTAGCTAACCAACTAGTTACAACTAGTTACTCTTAGTTAAGTCTATCCTGGATCACGTAATCATCGGGTCATGTGATCTCGAAATCCCCTCCATAGACCTGAGCACTAGCTAGTTGTCCAATTTGCTAGCAAGACCATTCCGATCTGACCAATCACAGTGATCCATTCCCTTCAATTTCAAATTGCCAATTTCCATGTCACATTTGTAGATTTCTTTCCCTTTCGGGGAGCATTACGGTGTCCACTGGTAGAGCTTCCATGATCGGTATGCTCTCTGGGTCCTGCTGTAGCACCTCTTCCCCCACGTCCGCGACCTCGGCCACGGCCTCCACAATCCCACTGAGAATTCTGGTTGGATGGGGCGGCAGTGGATTGTTGTAATTGTCTTGGCGATCGTTTTTGAATGGATTCCGACGTGCCGAATGTGTCTTACTAGCTTCGGCAGCAAGTTGACGTGCTTTGATTGTCATTTCCTTACACTACTTATCGAAGTCTTCGTGGGTATTCGAGTGAGGTTTCTTAACCTTCCGTAACGCTTCACGCATAAAGACTATGTCCGGAAGCTCATTCTGGAGCTCACGAATCATGATTCTAATTGAGGTAAATGCCGGCGGAGCAATTTTGAATTTGTGTAGTACGTTCATTTGTCTCTGGTAGTCACTAATGTACTCTTCGGCCGAGCCATAGTGATCTCTCTTTATATTATGAAGTCTGAAAGCATCGATTAGGACATATCTGAGCGATCTCCTCCTTGAACGTAGCTGACTAGCTCTTCGAATAGCTTATCGGCATACTTTGGGCGGTTAGACAGTCCGCTTAGCCTAGTTCGCACGTCCTTTTCAATTTGGAGATACATCCATGCGGCCACCGATGATGACCAGAAATTCCATCTCCGATAGAGAATATCTGCTTCACTTGGTCTTGCCATCGTAGTATCAATGAGATCTCCGAGCATCATGGGCTGCAGAGAATTTTCAACCAGCATCACCCAATCCGAGGGGTCTGTTTCCTCGCCGGTGAGCTTTTCAATGGTAGGCAGCTCATATTTCGTGATTTTCGGTAGTCGGCTGCCTTGATGACGAGCGACGCCTGCAGGTGCGCTCACAGGCTCGTCATCGATGTCGTTGTTTCCGACATCTTCAATGTTTGGGTAGCCTAGGTCGTCACCCAGCGCTCCATGATATGTCCCGCGGTCCGAAGCGGTAGACCTTTCGCCAGTTTTCGCGTATTTCGATTCGAATTCGATGGTTTCAGGGTTCGGAGGTATGGGGGCTCAGGGGTGGGGTGGACTCACTGCTTCTGGTAGGTTGATCAGACCCACCGCAGCGTGCGGCGTGCTTGGCGGCCCTGGATTGGGTCCACCAAGCTTGGCGCGGTGTGAATAGCCTCAAAAGTTGAGTAGAGGGGTCATAACCTCTTGACAAGGGAAAGGAGGCAGCAATAATATGAGGTTATTGTTGATGAAGAAGGACAGAGAGAGGAAGAAGTCCTGCGCTCTCAGCTAGCAAACTAACTACTCTCAGGTCTATCCTCAATCACGTGATCACAAAGTCATGTGATCTCGACAAAAAGAGTTTCTACGAAGAAGTGAGAGCAAAAATGTGGTAGAAGACGTGGTGAGAGAGCTCATAGTGACTTTTGAGCTGATGGCGATAGTAGACCACCGGAGCAGAGTTTCGGCATCTTCAATTGGTCAGGTAAATTATTGGATTACACTGGATTCGACATCTCCAACCTCCTCGTGGTCGCATTATTATATAGTAGTTGGAGGGAAAGATCCATCACATCGGCATATCATCCAGAATATCGCAGGATATAGCCTTTTGTTGCATTAGCCCCAATTGCTGATGTTCCTAAATTGAGTCATTGGCGCCCAGGCGCTAAGCGAGACATAAAAGGACATCCAAGGCCCCTGGAGATTCCCATCCAACTACAACTACTTGCAAAAGCGCTGTGAGAACCATGACTCATCCACGCCAACCCAGTACCTTTCATCACGAATCATGGTCTACACCATGGCGGTCGTCGTCATCCGAATTTCCGCCCGAAGAGACTTACGGCCAGCGAACAGCCCGACAAGGAGAAAAGCCAGAGTGGAATTCCGCCCCGGGGTTTCTAAAGTCTCAATGTCTTCGTGAGATATATGGCTGGCCATGGGGCTGGGCCATCTATCGTACAACTTATGCTACCACATCCGATGAGGACTGGGCACGAGCCATTGAAAAGCTCGACCAGGCCTGTCTGGCTGGCCTGACAGATAAAGAGGGTGAATGAACCTGGTTAGGGTATACGCTTATTGAACTCTTTCGCGAAGGTTATCGAAATGTGATTATTGAAGACCCTGCCTTGGAAGGGGCGTCAGAATCGGTGATTCGAAGCCGGCACAGAGCGTGGGCTGAAACCCAAGGCCGCCCTGCATTCGGTCCCTGTCTTCGATTTCACTACCCTCTTTTGTTGGATGATCGCTGTGGGCGGTTGATTTTGGCTAGCACCGAGCCCCGAGTTCCAGACCTTGCCCAATATGATCTAGGGTGACATATTGTTATGTATGAGCCCGGAGCAATGGTCGGTTATGTCAATGTCGTTGACGCTGGTCTTCTCGAATTGGCTTCCGAAGATGAATCAATTTCTGAAGATGAACCAGAATCTAAAGATGAGAATCACTACCGTGGCATGGTCCGGGTTCACCTAGATTGCCTGTTTAATTTCGCTGACTCTTGCGAGTATATGGAGTACAAACAAGTTGCTTGGGGCGATTGGGGTATGTAAACGCCTTTGACTGTGGTTTTTACAGACGGCCAGTCAGCGAGAGTCCAACCAAGGATATGTTTCTTTTTTCCCCGGATCAGGAAGTGAAAAGAACCACAAGTATCACTGAGCGGGAATATCTTGAACGCCAGTGCTAAGTAGCAATCAATAGAGGTGTAATTAGCATTGGGCAGTGTGTTGAAAAATTAATTCATCCCAACATTCAAGTCGGGAACGCTACAACCTCTGCTTCATACCCATTGCTATAAATCTCACCAATCTTACTCCCTAACGCTTCAAGTATCTCCTCAGTCTGTTTGACTTTGCTGCGCCATATCTCATCCTCGCTCGTATCGTCAAACCCATTTAGTAGCCAGGTCTTACATGGCCTTTTTGACAAACGCCCTGCAAAACTCACCATTCCGTCACTTTGGCGGCTAAAGAAGCGATCCCAACAGTCCCCAAGGTCAACCGTTTAACCAGAGAGTTTAAACCATTTTGTAGTAGTCAGGTCTAACTCTCCTCCGATGCCCTCGTAGATGATATTGAGTCTTGTCAAGTTTTTTGCCGCATTTTGATAATTGAGTACGGCAAATGTCTGCAGTGAGTCAGTGTTTACAATTTATCAAGAAACAACGAAGAAACAGAGCATATCAGTGGATAGACTTACATTTCGTAACAGGGTTAAAGCCGCTCCAGGGTCATCACCCCTAAGCAAATCTCTCGATGGATAGGAAGGAAGCAAGCAATAATGGCAATTTATTGGTTGTTCATTGGACGGGGAAGAAGAGAAGCTTCGAACCTGCCCAAACTAAGACTAAGTCATCAACCTCTTGACAGCAAATTCACTTGGGGGACGGGAATTGCACATGGATGAATACACTTGCACGGCCGTGAACATTGAAAGTGGGATTATTGAATTAGTATGCAGGGTGGGCGGCAAGTGTTCTTGTTAGAGCTGAGAGTTGACGATATCCCGAGATTTGTGGGAAATTTAAATAGCTGCTGGTTCGCGTTTCAAAGACAATCCTGATTTCGGTTGCCGTAGTTGAACTAGAGCACTCTGTTGTAACCCTCCATGTTAAGAAGAAACCCACGGTCTTCTTTCATACGCTATTTGGAGTAGGATTCCAGAAACAATTTCCTTGCGCAAAGTCTGGAAGTCAATTTCGAGTTTAGCTGTAGCGAAATCGCAGTCGTTGTATCGTAGTGTCAAATGTGGTCGGACCAGGTTTTGTCTCACACGATGTTAGAGAGAGAGCCCAAAATGGCTGAAGCCGAGGAATATGCACAGACCAAGAGCTCCTGGAGCTGTCGATATAGGATGAAACATTGTTTGCCAGTGATTTGCATTTTGGTTGAGAGTAAGGCCGAGCATGTGGGGGTGGACATCGCCAGGGAACTCATATGCTATGCCCCATGCACATTCGAACCGAGTTTCAACAGAATCAAAACATCCAAGAGAGATCCAAGAAACAGTCGGTCCGTGAGCCAATCTCAGACAAATAGAAGAGCTCGCCTAAGCAATCAAAACGGTAATACTCCGGCGGTGGTCCCACGACTATTATTTACCCGACCGGTCACAACAAGAATCCCTCACTTGATAAAGGATGTGAGTTCATTAACATCGATGCGGTTTCCTGTATTCACGATGCCTGTGGCGCTATGATATGAAGCTTCCAAGGGCGCCACCATCTCATGAACGGCATGGGCGGGCTGTCGGCAGGGGCGCATTCTAGCCCCGGGTGCATTTAACCGGCCTCGGTAAAAGACTGCCGTGACTAATCTTGAGATTGCTTAACACATGTCACCCCCGTATTCGGCGGTGTTTTTGTGTCAGAATTATGCTCAGATGTGATTTTAAGAGGTTAGAAGAGCGCACAGTCCAGAGAACCAGCCACCATGTTCGGGTTGAGTGTTCCGGCTGAGTCTTTCAACTCATGTTCCCAGCGGAGGAAACTAAAAAAGAGGGGGGATGTAATATCACCATCGGCTACAGACTGTAATCGCTTGAGTATTGAAATACAGTGGAATCATGGACTGATATAACCTTGATTGGGAAGGTGGGTATTGTCATCATTCCGGGTGTACTCCTTGCTTAGGACTGCGGCTTGGCTAAACTTGAGGTGCTGTAATCTAATGCTAGGCTCTTGTGTAGTCTTGGTACAAGAACATGTAGCTAGAATGGAGATCTAATGTTTCCCTTTCACATCTACCACAGGTTTATACCAATGACGTCGGTATGCCGATCTACGGGCCGACCTCGCATATACAGACAGGACAAAACGGTTAGTATATCATACCGGAATAAGTCAGTTTCTCTTCGGAGAAGTGAAACCTGCAAATATCCCGGCTAAATAGGTCGACTCGGTTAATACAACTTCACCCGACAAATGCCCCGACTGGCTCTGAGTGACTCTGAGTGGCTCCCGACCCGCCAATGACGCCGTTCATCCCCGACTTTTGCATCCCCGGGATTTCTGGCCTCTCCGCATTTCCCTTTGCCTGCTGATCTTTGCCCGTCCGGGGTACACCCCCCGGTTCTGGTGTCGTGCCATGCGACTCTACGCATTGGCTGCTGTCACTTATAAAAACGCCTTGCCGCAAGCCTCCCGGACTCTATTCTCTATGGACCAGTGACCATGTATACTATAACGAATATATACGGTATGTACTGTTGGATCAATGAATCCTGCCAAAGACTAACATGCAACAGTCCTTGCCGCGTTTGGCACCATTGGAGGTGCTCTGTTCGGGTTCGATGTGAGGTGTGTATTCCTCTTCTTCAAGAAGACCTGACATTAACATGATTCCAGCTCGATGAGCGCCTGGATTGGCGTTGATACGTACATGGACTATTTCGGGTCACCAAACTCCAACCTCCAAGGAGGAGTACGTGATCAATACCCCATCAACCTGTTCAAGATGCTAACATATACACTAGATCACAGCTTCCATGTCTGCCGGTTCCTTCGCTGGCTCAATCGCAGCCGGATGGCTATCCGATATTCTTGGGCGTCGCTATGCCCTGATGATTGCCTCGTTGGTATGGATTGTTGGAGCCATGGTTCAATGCAGCGCTCAGAATGTGACACACTTGGTCGCTGGCCGTGTTGTCAGTGGACTTGCTGTCGGTGTGACCTCCTCCCAGGTCTGTGTCTATCTGTCTGAACTTGCACCTGCTCGTATTCGTGGCCGTATCGTCGGTATCCAGCAATGGGCTATTGAATGGGGTATCTTGATCATGTACTTGGTCGCTTATGGCTGTGTGGTGGGTGTGTCCGGTCCTTCTGCGTTCCGCATCTGCTGGGGTGTGCAGGCTGTGCCCGGTCTTGTTCTCTTTATTGCGCTGTTCTTCTTCCCCGAGTCTCCTCGTTGGCTTGCATCTAGGGAGCGCTGGGAAGAGGCTTTGGATACGTTGGCGCTCCTGCATGCCAAGGGTGATCGCCATGATCCCGTTGTACAGGTTGAGTTTGAAGAGGTCCAAGAGGCCGTTCGGGTGGCACATGAAGCTCAAGATGTTTCCTTCTTGGCCCTGTTCGGACCGCGCATTTGGAAGCGCACCATGTGTGGAATGACGGTTCAGATGTGGCAGCAGCTTTTGGGTGGCAATGTTGCCATGTACTACGTGGTCTACATCTTCGAGATGGCTGGCATGGTAAGTATCGTCAACAGTGATGCACGAAGAATTCGCTAACTTGAAGTACAGACTGGAAACACCACTCTTTGGTCATCGGCTATTCAATACGTTATCTTCTTGGTGACGACTGGTGTTATGCTCCCCTACATTGATCGCATCGGTCGGAGAAACCTTCTTCTCATTGGATCTGTGACTTGCATGATTGTTCATTTCATCATTGCTGGTGTCATGGCCAGCAAAGGAAAACCGGTTCCCAATGTTAACGGAAATGCCAATCTGACTTGGGAGATCAATGGCAGTGCTGGCATGGCTGTCATCGCGTTTTCATACATCTTCACCGGAATCTACGGCTTGACTTGGGTATGTCACCCTCTTCCTTGACAACATATTCATACTGACAGCTATAGGCTCCCACTGCGTGGATCTATGCCGCAGAGGTCTTCCCTCTGAAGTACCGAGCCAAGGGTGTCGGTATCTCAGCTGCCACCAATTGGATCTTCAACTTTGCCCTTGCATACTTTGTGGCACCAGCCTTCCACAACATCCAGTGGAAGACGTACATCATTTTCGGGGTTTTCTGTACCGTGATGACCTTCCATGTGTTCTTCATGTACCCTGAGACAGTGGGTCGCTCTCTTGAAGAAATTGACTTGGTCTTCGAGACCGATGTCAAGCCGTGGCACACTCACAAGATCAGTGATGTATTTGGTGAGGAAATTGAGCGCCACAGGGACGTGAGTACCAAGAAGGATGTTGGTGGCGCCAGCCATGAGGAGGTGGTGTAACAGATATTGAGGGGATTCGTCCTAAGGAAGCATAAGAAAGCCACGAGGCGTTTGCAAATATTATGAGTTAATGAGAGTTAATGCAATATTATAGCATCGTATGAATCGTATTTCGAGTCATGGTGGCTTAGCCGTGTGGTAGAAGGACGCGAGCGGGGATTTCGATACCAATTTCATCTGCTCTTACAACAACATATCCATGATCAGTCCAGAAGAGGGGGGTCGGGGTCACGCATGCGGAATGTTCAGTTTGGTGCGCGTCCACCTCCAAAAAGATTTTCTTTTTTTTTCCTACTAAAACGCCTCTTACCTTTCTATGATAAACAGCTGGCCTAGGAATCGAAAAGATGTTGAGAACAGATAAGAGAAACAAATCTCTTCATAAATAGGGTGCTGTTCGGTGTCGGCTGAAACTTCCCGACTGAACTGAATGAACACGGTGTTTGTCAACGCCGAACAAGTACTCCAAACGCAGCCGAATTCCCCGAAAACCCCAAGTGTGCCGAAAGCTCTACTAGCTTACAATTCGAGAAATCATTAGCAATTGTAGCCGTCTAAGTCTACCAATGCCCAAAAGCGAACATCCTAGTGTCCCATAGGCCGCGGCTAGGCCAAGATAGTCGCTCTCTGATGCAGTCACTGTACTTCTTGTGTACATGCATCACGAAAAGGCTTGTATCTCCCAAAGTCCCAGATATGATAATTTTGGTAACCGGGAACTAATAACATCCATTTCATCATGTTCATTGGATAGACAATATTGTGTTAATATATTCACGTGTATTCAACTTCACCCCTCTTGGGAATAATGAATGGGGCATATATTAACATTATTAAAACAAGACATGAAAATTGTTGGTAGTCTGGTTAACAAACATTGTATGAGCTGGTTCGGGCCATTGCTGTTAGTTTAGTTTGCACGCCCAAGAACTACGTATGCTACATTTACTACTGACAAGTATCGAGTGACGCTGCAAAAGCCTTCTTAACGTACATATTTGCAAACTAATTTAGTCTGACATGGGTATTTAACCTTTCTTGGGCAAAAGGTTCGAGAAAAGATTGTCCACAAAAATAAAGTAAAATCAGAATAAAGACGGCATAAATATTCAGTCAAGCCAAGCCGCGGTAGGTTCCCCGGAGACCTGACATCAGTCATCCGCAGAATAGAATAAAATCGACATCAACGAGTTATGCAGATCAAACAGATCTCTCCTCACTGGTATTTCCGTCACTGTACTTCTCCGCGTGCTGTGTTTGACTCTGGGCGTGAGTCTTGTTCTCCCTATTCAGCATACTGGCGCGACGGACGGCATTATCCTCGACATCATCCAGAGTACGCAAGAGTTCACCATTCGAACCATACATATGGGGCTCGGTGCGGGCAACCGAAACCACATTGAAGACATTTGTAGTCTTGCGGAAGATGCGGTCCATCTCTTCCAGGGAACGCATGGTGGTTTCTGGGAAGAAGAAGTAGACGACAGGTACGATGGCAGCGTTACTAAAACGAGTCAGTATAAACCGAGGAGAACTAGTGAATCAACACTCACATTACGGCAAAAATGACGTAGGTCTTGTAGCCAATGCTCTGGAAAGCCACAGGGGTAATCATAACAACCATGAAGTTCCAAATCCAGTTGGAAGAAGTGGACAGTGCGTTGGCCGGGGCACGAATCTTCAATGGGACAATCTCGGCAGGGTACAGCCAAGTCATGCCGAGCCAGCCGATGGCAAAGAAAGTGTTGAACACGAACAGGAAGACTGTTTGGGCAACGCCAGCCTTGACACCGGTAGAGGATTGCTTGTGGGTCGAGGAAATACTGTCAGAGATGGCCAGAACAGCCATGGAAATGGACATCCCGACTGCACCAAAGAGCATGAGTGACCGACGTCCAAACTTTTCGACGGTGAACACAGCGATCCAAGAGGCGATGAAATACTCAGTTCCGTTGCAGGCAGCGATAAGACGCGAAGTTGTGGCATCCAGTCCGACGTTGGATTCCAGGAGAGTTGGGATATAGTAAGTGATCAAGTTGATACCGGAGATCTGCTGGAACATCTGGTTGACGTAGGCCAACATAGTACGGTGGAAGTGACGGTCTTCGCCCATGGTGAACATATCCCGGAACGACCCCTTTGCCATCTCCAGGACGGTAGCCTTGATAGCGGTGAACTCGGTGTCAATGAACAGCTCATCGGTCTCGTCGCCCATCAAGCACGCCAGGACTTCCTTTGCTTCCTCCTCCCGACCCTTCAAGATGAGCCAACGGGGCGACTCAGGTAGGAACATGACAAATACTAAGATAATGGCCGCAAAGAAGATCTGGAAAGCCAACGGGAATCGCCAGGCAACTTCGTTGGGGTCGGCAAACATCAACCCGAAATCAATCCAGTAACTGATGGTGATACCGCAAGTGATCATGGCACCTTCGATCATGACCATCTGGCCTCGTCGGTGAGACTTGCAGCATTCTGGTCAACATTAGCTTCTCAATTTCTATCGATAATGGAAATTTTTCCGAGCCAGCACTGATCGAGCACCGCAGCGGTATCTAGATCTTCAGTGGCGGTCGTGATACGGAATCGACTTACCGGATTGCCACGTAGGGACAGTGGAGGTATTGATGCCATTGCCTGCAGTCTAGTGTTAGAGAATGATTTCCGTGCTTTTGCTCACTGAAACCTACCGAAACCAGTGACCAATCGGCCTACAACCAGCTGAGCAAGCCCATAAGAAGTACATTGCAGGATAGCACCGATACACATGATGAAGGATCCAACAAAGATAGCCTTGCGACGACCTAAGATGTTACCAATCCAAATCGTGGGAATTGAGCCGGCGAAACATCCCAAGTTGTATGCTGCAACTGTGATACCCTGCCGTGTCGATTGGTTGTTCTTCTCTGCTTGTGTCCATCCTTCGGTATATGAATCCAACGTGTTGATCGAAGGGAAGTACTTGTTGAAAGATGTGAGCGTAAGCAAGCCACCAGTTACACCTTGGTCGTAACCGAAGAGCAAAAAGTCCATGCCGGCCAGAATGCCAATGGCGATCTGAAGCTTGGTGCCATTAAGGCCCAAGAACCGCTTGGTCTGCATGTTAGGCGAGGTTAAGTGAAAAGCCTCTTCTGCTGTGAGTGCCCCAAAACAATACAAGACCGAGCCAGTCGGAGAAAGAGAATAACAAAGAAGAGAAGATCACGAAGATCAAAGTAGAAAGCAGATCAACGCGGGGAACTCGGCAGATTTAAAAGGACTTGTCCGGGGTGCCTTGACCTCCAGACCAGGGGCCCTTGTTATGGCTTCATCCTGCTGCCGAGCCGCCGCGACAAAGCAAACAAGATGTGATTCGGAGAGTGGATTCACAGGCTCCACATCTCCTGATGTGAGCAATGAGCCCCGAGGGGGCTTTCATCCCGAGTATCCAGGATAGCACAGGCCATCAACGGCCCCAGACATGGAACAGGCCCGGGGTTGCCCACGCGAGCCAAAGAGACCAATCAGCGTTGCATACATCGGGCAAAGGCATCGGGCGACGGCTTCGGCTTCTCCAGACTCAGTTAGCTGCTCTTACTCGGCTGTACTGTTCAGGTTCAACCCCGCCGATCGCCCTTCAGTGGCTTGACATGTACATGTGGAAACTCCCCGCGTCTCCAGATAAAAAAAAAATTGGGTCTGGAGTTGGAATCTGGGGTTGTGAAGTCTTATTGTTTGAAGTTCGGATCGAACTGGGATTCATGCTTGGCTTTGAAGCTTGTCGATGCCAATGTTGTGCCAATGTTGTGCCAATATTGTGCCAATGTAATGCCAATGTTGTGCCAATTTTAGCTTGTAGACTAAACAGTATTTCATTGGGAGTAATAGTCTTCGACCATATGCGCCATGAGACCAGGATAATCAATTTGCTTCGGTCAAGGGGCGCAAATGGCGCTGGAACATCTTGGCAATGCCTGGGTGACTTTTCTTTGTTCGCATATTGGAACATCCCCATGCCCTAGTTGGAGACATTTGGGTACCAGGGACCCGGCCAGGGGTAACCATTGTTTTCTTCTGTTTCTTCTTTGTTCATCTTCTCCCACTTGGACTTGGACATCTGCATCCCAAAAAAATGACTCGTTTCTGGACAATTCGCACTAAACGCAGCCACGGTCTCCACTGCGAACAGCACCAGCCAACAAGATCTGCCTGCCCAGTTTTGTCGCGTTGCGTTTCTCTTTTCCCCGAATCCTGGATGCGCAATGCAACCTACCCTTTTAGGCAGTTCCGGTTTAACCCGCGGCCTGTCGCATCCTCAATTTGCATCGCATGGAGCCAGATGCTCAGATCCGGGTTCAAAATCCTGACCGAAAATTGCTGCCCTTGCGTTGACGGTCAGCTATGCGTGGCGCCTCCCGGCCGCCGCTGAAGTCATTCAGCCTTCGCAAAGTTTCGCGACAGCCACGGCGTGTAGATCCCCCCGGGCACTGTCTTCCGCGTTCTAGCCCCTGTCTCGCGTTTCGCGAACAAGGCATGGGCTTGGCATAAGATGAATCCAAGCTTTGGGTTCAGAATCGGGCGTGCCATAGATGGCACTGTCATCGCTAATTGCTTCTCGCTTGTCTGTTTTGTGGGGCCGAGGGGCGGCGACGGTACATGCTAAATCCGACTTTTTCAGGAATGCAGATGCGATGGAACTATTCCCATTCGATAATCATGGCCGCCAAACAAAGTATCGGTACGATCAACAGGCAGTTACCTGGTCTTGACGGGGATCCGTACCCCATGCATGACCCTTGCTGCGAGGCTCAATGCGACCGTGTTCGGTAGATCGACCTGCAGATGGGTTTCTAGATCACCACTCGGTTGGTTAGCCGCGTTTTCCAGTTGGTCGCATCTTGCAGGCACTGTGGATGCAGGCTCAAGTCATGCCGGAATTTCACTGGCAGTCTGCAGGATGAATCGAAATCAGGTTTGCCAGTTTCCATAGAGATTATTTCTCCAACTCAAGGCCATGGCTATTGAAGTAGGCCAATAATTGAAGTAATTTTGTCGCGTACCAGTCATCGCTTCTAGGCAATTGTATGATAGATCTCAGGTCGTGTAAGTGTAGGTTGCACTCGAGGATTAGATCAGTGCTTTCGATTGACCTGTTTCCTCTCTCCTACATATACCATTACACATATTGTTCAGATCCATCTTTCTGTTCCAGTTGATTTCTCGCGTGTTTCCCCGCACCCTCTTCTCTGGCCCATCCCCAGTAGGTCAGGCTGGCATGTCCTGCGAATCGTTTCGTTCCATCTTTTGAACATACCGGCTTCTTTCCCGTAACATTGGCCCATATCGCTGAAGTACAAATGGAACAGGTGTCAACGCGAGTAGAACGAACGCACAAAGGGTGATGGTCCAGTCAAACCCAATGCGGTTTACTAGCTGAATGGTGAAAAGAGGGAAGACAGACGAAAATGTGTACCGCATGGCGACATCGACTGCAAATGAGGAGGCACCGAATTCCGCTCCATAGACCTCGTTCTTGTATAGCGGGTAGACCAGCTGTATTTTATTGACCATTAGTACGGTACGATTGGTGATGACACTCGGCAAGTACCTGTGATAATGCGAACGCCATCCCATAAAGCCCCCCAGCAATGAGCGGACATATCCAGTGAATAGTGGTTCGAGCTGTCCATGCAAGCCTATTGTTATATATTAACACCCTCCTGCAGCCCAAGCGCTTGACAGCGGACATACCAAAATAGGCTAATTGGCAACAAGATTCCTGCTATGCTGGCCGCAGGAAGTGAATCCTCGGGCTGTGGGTTCGAGGACTTGTCCCTCCTTTTCATCACCACTGATATGACAGGCAGTGCCAGCAAACTTCCAATCACCAAGGGAATGAACGCCAGCCCGGTTTCATACGATGTGAACTGATACACTCGTGCGAGGACCAAAGGGTAGCTTGCATAAAACACAAACACCACAACCTGACCCATGGTGACAATAGCTGCTGTGGGAAAGATAATCGGTTCTACCAGCAGCATGTGTATCGGACGCGCAAAAGCAGGGGCCAGACAATGCCACAGATTCCGCCGGGGGAGCTTCAGCATCTTCCTTCGGATCTCTGGCCTATGTGTCTCTGGCACTGACACCATGGCCAAGAAACATACTCCAACTAGCATCGCCGTGAGCCAAAAGGTCCAGCGCCAGCCACGGTCGGCGACTATCGCCTCGCCTGCGATAGGCCCAACCTCAGTTGCAACTGCCCCCATTATGCCATAAATTGCGAACAGGACACCCCCCAACTTGTCCTTGGGCATCCTCCATAGATCATTCAACAGGCCCGAGAAGACAGTCACACAGGGAGACCCAACTATTCCACAGAGGCCACGGGCAACTGCTAATGTCCGAAAGTTCTGGGCGGATCCACCGACGATGGTGAAGACGAGATGGAGAAACAAAGAAAACTTGTAGATGTATTGTCTGCCAAACTCCTCTGAGAGTGCAGACGTGCACATGGGTCCAATCACAAATCCTATTGCATAGAAAGTGATAGGGGAAATGGCCAATGTCTCTCCAACATGAAATTCTCGCATGATTCCTGGGATACTCGCGATATATACCGAAGTTGCCAATGTACTAATGCATCATGTCAGTCCAGGTCAGCCTCACACGAGATTGGATAGTGAGCTTGGATAGATCAACTCACATGACAAAATAAGAGCAAATGGCACTAATCGAAACAAAAAGTTTGTATTTTGGGTCCCAATAGCGAGCGTCGGGCACTTGAAGCTCTTGATCATTGTAAAAAACTTCATTGTTATTGGAGACTTCTTTTGCATTTTTGTCTTCGGCGTCGGAAGGGGTATCCGCCATGACAGCAGGCAAGACATTCGCAATGCCACGCACTGAACTTCCCAACGTGGACTCACTGACACTATGTATCTGATGTCCTTGCTCATGGTTTGTCATAGTAGGTGAGGAATTGATCTCCATCCAAGAGCCGTAGAAAGTTCTCCTGCGATGCAAAGAGAAGAAATGGTATGAAAAGACAATTTTATGTGAAGAATGTGAGCGGCTCCTCGAGAGAAAAAATAGGCAGAAAGAGAAGAACTCACTAATAAACATACAAAATTTGACCAGCCATGGTTTATCAACTGCATTAGCGTCACTAGTGCCTGCGTTTTACATTTTGAGCGCTTGATACCGTGTTTAACGTCATTGAAAGCCCAGGAATTTAAAGTTATGATGGCAGCTGGTCATTACAATACGGATAGGTACGCGGCTCGACTAGCGCGACAGGTGCAGATCCTTTTTTGAATTTTATAAGCAGTGTAGATCACCTACGTACAGTACTGTACACCGACCATGGGTTGGCTTAGCTGACATCTGCTCACGGACCTTCCGTAGATCTACATAGATCCGCCCCACACTAAACGATAATGACAGATCCGGATCGACTTTGCCACCGTGTCCTCTATAGTACTCTTGACTAGATTTTACATTGACCTTAACGGATGAACAAGTCCGGCTGAGCTATGTTGACGCCCCATATTGAGTAGGACATTTGCCGATGGGGAGGGAACTGAAGATGTACTTGAAACAGTCATTTCTGGTAGCTTTACTTGTGTATGTCGATCTATCTTCCTAGTTCATGCACCTCGTGTTCTTCCTGTAGGATTTCCCGAGAGATCCCTCCACTCGTTAATGCCGAAGCATATCTGCCTGACGCATCTGAGCCATCCCAACCGTGGTAGGCAGCTCTGGAAATTTGACACGTATGAATGGGGTGCTTGATCGCGACCGCCGAGGAGGAACCATTGGGAGCATATATTAAACGGGATTACAGGCATTGCAGGAAAATCAAGGGATAAATACAAGGACATATGGCTCTCCAGCTGTCCGGTCTCCATGTACGAAAGTCAGTGTATAATCATGAAATCTTAAATCCGTAAGGACATGTGAAATCATGACATGCAAGGAAAAAGGATCTATGCTGCAATGACAAGGGTCATATACACACGTAACATTTTGGCTGACAAGTGATCCGGCTTCCCCGACCCACCCTGACAGCTGGATAGTAGATCTTTGTCTCTCCAGATAAACTAGACCCATATTTATGCATTTCTATATATCTCTCAAAGATAGTTTGACTTAACCTTAATTAAGCCCTAGATTAGTAGAGACAGCGGAACCTTACTTTGTACCGGTACGTAGATCCGATCTAGACTGGATCTGAGCATATGATACTTACATGGAAAAAGCCACCTTATCCCTATATGTAACATCGGCTGTACCTATCCAAAGTTTAGAGCATTAGTTTGGGGCATTCATATCCACAGATATGCCAAGACTATCGAACTGACCATTAAGAATGTGAGACAATGATCTACGACGCAAACACAGACCTTGCTGAATGGCTTTTCTTCAACCATTAGTGGACTTCGGACCTTTACGACAGCTGAGATCTTCGGTCTCAGCCCGATCCCAACCCGACGAACGAGCCAAATTGATACCAGTATCATATATAATTGGCTTCTCTAGCTTTCCAGTATCAGATAAGGTTTCGCGATGATATGTAGACACAAAACAATGTACCGGTAGCCCCTATTATGACATGTCACACCGCCAGTTGGGAGGGTTCGCTGGCCCAAGTAATGAATCGTCCTCCCAATATTGGGACTTACTGTGATGGCATACTCCAATCTTAACCCATCATCTTTTATGCGAACCCTACGACCTCTAGCAATACAATGTCTAAATTGATTCCAGCAATGGCTATTGCCTCGCTCTTATGGGTAAGCTTTTCAATGTCTTTCTCGAAAATAAAAAGCTCTTGTATTGATCCAAACGGTTTTTAGGGAATTGCAATTATCATCTACCGCTTTTTCTTCCACCCGTTGGCGAAGTACCCTGGCCCTCGCTTAGGAGCCTTAACCAATTGGTATACTGCTTTCTATGCTTGGAGAGGGGATCTCCATATCCAAAATCGGAAATGGCATGAGAAATATGGTCGGATGACGCCTCTTGTATTCAGTCATTCATGCTGACTCTCTACATAGGAGATATCGTGCGATATGGACCAAACAGCCTCGATTTTAATACCCACTCGGGGATGAGCGCGATATATAGCACTCGGGCCAATGTTCGCAAGACGGAAACTTATGCTGCTATGAGTGCTAGTCGACGGACTCCCAATACTATCTCTGCAACCGACAAGACCGTTCATGGTTTCAAGCGTCGGATCATGTCACAGGTCTTCTCCGACCAAGGGCTAAGGGCTATCGAAGACCGCTTCATGGCTAGAATCAATGATTTCATCCCGCTACTTTCAGTCGGCACTGACGAGAAAGAATGGGGCAGGCCGAAGGAAATGGCATCAATGTGCAGTTGGTTAGCATTTGATATCATCAGTGATTTGAGCTTTGGAGAGCACTTCAATATGTTGAAGTCACCAGAACTACGATGGTTCCCATCAGTCATACAGAAGCTTGCCCAGAGAGTTACGATCGTATGTTTTGTATCCCGTTCCGCGTGGTGGGAGCTCTCCTAACTTGTTCCCCAGGGCATGATCCAGCCTAAGTTCTTCAATCTCAAGATTGATCGACTGTTCATGGCATCCCAACTCAAAGATATCTTGAATGCCGGAACATGGATTCGTAAGCGCTCAGAGCTGCGGGCCTGCCTTGGCAACGACATCAAACAGGATCTATTTTACAAGATGATGAATGCCACAGATCCAAAGACGGGGTTAAGCTTTACTCAAAAGGATCTTTGGTTGGAGTCTATTATGTTACTCACTGCTGGTAGGTATCCCTCAAAAGGTTCAAGTCCAGGCTGACTTACGTGAAATTAGGCTCCGACACTACCTCTGCTGCAATGAGTGCCACATTGTTTCTCCTGGGCCACCATCCAGCCACGCTCGCACGATTGACAGAAGAGATTCGCATGGCTTTCTCTAGAGAAGATGAGATCCATATAGGGCAGCAGCTTAACTCGTGCAAATTTCTCCAAGCGTGTATCAACGAATCACTACGTCTACTACCATCTGTTCCCAATTCACCTCCACGGATAGTTCAAGAAGGCGGGATCCAGATCGACCAGGATTTCATTCCCGCCGGAATCACAGTGGGCACATCCATCTACACGCTTCAACGGAACCCGCGATATTTTGCGGCCCCCGATGAGTTTCACCCGGAAAGATGGTTCAGCAACCCAAAGGAGAATATCAAAGAAGATTCGAAGATGAAAAATGCAGAAGAGAGTCTAAGTATCAACAGGGAAGGATTTTGCCCTTTCAGTTATGGACCTCGGTCTTGTGTCGCTTGGAGACTCGCGTGGATGGAGCTAAATGTGACTATTGCCCGGGTGCTTTTCCGATATGACATGAGATTAGCGCCTGGGTCTTGTTGTGGGGGGACAAGGAGTGATTGTCAGTATTCGTTGAAGGGCTTCATCACCGCTGCGGTCGAAGGCCCTTGGATGCAATTCCGGTCTAGCCGGAGCTAAATCACAATCTATGATTTATAGAAAGAAACAAATCAAAAGGCAACTCTTTCTTGGCGAAGGCGATTTCTTGAAATATCCACCCAATCAGAGATTTTATGGCCTCCTGGATCAGTATACCACATTGAATAGCTTCCAGCGCTACCGTCTGGTATCTTTTTGTGGGATATGGTAGCAAGTGTTGCAACTGCCTGGAGAGGCTGTCTTTGACGCAGGAGTGCCAAGTGCCACGAGACAATGCAGTGATAGTAGCCAACAGTGCCCCGGGGGCTGAGCACCTTCGCAAGCACCCTGGGTCATGGAGAGTATTGGGAGCTGACTCCGTAATCCACGAGCCATCGAGTTGTGGCATTTCCATGAAGTTGATAGAGCTTGCCCTGGAACGATTCCCGACGTCGCAGCTGAACTGCTTAGTCAGAACGATTAAGGCAAAGGCGCGCTGTCAGTGCTGCATTCATGAATACGGATTGAGAACCGGAATTATAGTAACTTCGAATGAGCGGATTACTAATGATGAGCATAGCATAAATAGCAAGAAATAGCAAGTAATAAATAACAGAGATTTGAATGCCCTCATTGGCTGAGCAAGTTACGGAAGACAGCAAGTTTCAACAGTTATGAGCCCGGTACGCCTATAATTGGATAGCAAGACCATCCTGAAGCTATTCACAAGTGACAATTCACTTGCCAGAGCTTTCTTCTCGCCGTCCGATTACCCCTGAACCCCTGAATCCTCCGAATACCCTCATCCATCCGAAAAGGTCCAAGGAACTCACTTGCTGCGATCAACAAGTGAACATAATGGACCCGAGCACCTATCTCTCCGCTATGAAGAGCGAGAAACTAAAGGACTCGTCACAATGGCAGTCCTGGCACCAGCGAGTGAAGGTATTCGCGAAGCGCCGTGAAGTCTGGGACTTTTGCAACCCGGATATTGACGAATTGCATCGTCCAGAGGTTCTCATTGAACCTATTGCACCTGAATACCCTGATAATGGGTCACGGGAAGACCAGAGGAAGTGGAGAGACCGCCTCAAAGTCTATAAAACCAAGGCAAACCGCTGGGATAGACAGCGCAAAAGCCTAAATGAGATTGATGATCTTATCGTCAACTCTCTGGATACATCACTCCGTAATGCAGTTTTGAAGTGCGAAACACCGTACGACCGTCTAGGATATCTCAGCAAGAGATTCGCTAGATCCGAAGCGTATACTGAAGAAGTACGCATGCAATGGAAGGCCGTATCAGCCCAAAAACCGACCGGAGATATCGAAAAATGGCTAATCTCATGGGTGGAGCTATATGAGCGAGCAGTCAGTCTCAAAGTCATTGAAACTGCTAGCGCAAATAAGGACTTACTACAAGCCGTGAAAGAGGTCTTGCCAATCTAGTGGCAAGCCAAATTCTAAGAGATCGTGATGAAGAAAGCATCGATAGAGACTCAAAGTCTGATCGAGTCCTTCCGATCGACATATCGTGAAATTGGACCTAATACAGCGTTGCCACCGGCGGCAGCACTGAAGGGGTCTTTCTCCACCTAGCAAGGATATCAGGAAGCGAAAACTGATGCGCCAAGTGATGCGAAAAAGAAATCGAAAGGCAAATTGGACGACACGCCTTTCGAGGCAAGACCATGCCCGTGTGGAATCAAATTCCACAAACCCGCCAATTGCTACACTCTGAATGCCGCGATGAGACCCGACGGTTTCACGGTATCAAAAGAGAGGCAGAGACAGGCCGAGAAAGCGCTTGCTGCAGATCCAGCATGGAAGAAATGGGTCAATAAAGCCATTGAGAAAGCATCGCCAAAGCTGTCAAATACAGTCACTGGAAACATGGCTTTCTCCACTAGCTTGCTAGACCTACCGGCGTCATCCATCAAGGACCGGTGGATCTTAGACTCCGGTTCCAGCGTACATTTCTGTAATGATAGAAGCCGCTTTGTGGACCTCTCCACTTGCCAGCACTCTCTATCAACCGGTGACGGCAAGACATCTGTTATCGGGCAAGGGATAGCAAGGCTTCATGGCATCGATCCAATCACAAGAAAGAAGAAGGTGATTACCTTAAGCAACGTCTATTACGCACCAGGTTTCCATGTAAACCTAGTGTCGTACGCTCGCTTGAAGGAGAAAGGCGGGCATTGGTCCGAGGAAGCAGGCTATATCGAATATCACAATGCCATCCCAATTGTCAGCCTGAAATTGGGGAAGTCAGCCGGCTTATGGGTCTTCGATCAACCCGGGAGAGCACCGATACGGACAGCAAATGCCGTCCGATCATCATCATCGCCAAAACAGTCAGCCGCATCAGCTGAAGTATGGCATCGCCGACTAGGTCATTCGCAGTACAAGACTGTACAGCAAGTGGCAAAGCTAGTCGAGGGCGTCACAATTGACGCTAGGACAGAGGATCACGCAATTTGTGAGACTTGCCACCTAGGAAGATCAGATCGCCAAGTATCAAGAAGACCAATTGGAAGGGTTTTCGGGCCACTTGGTAGGGTTCATTTTGATCTGATACAGCTTCCACGTGCTTACAATAAGCATAACTGGATCTCCCACTTCTATATTGAAGGAATAAGGTTCCACTGGGTCATGACGCATGATTACAAGCCCGAATGTCAGCTTGCAATCAATCATTTCGTCCAATTGGCCAAGAACTGGTGGAAACTTCCGATCAAAGCTTTCAATTATGATAATGAGAAAGCTGCAGGACGTCCAGCTGAGCAGAGCTTGACATCCGATGGAATTGTGGTCTATCATAGTCCACCAAGGCACCCCGAGATGAATGGGTATGCCGAAAGAGCAGGAGGTGTCATCATTCTTCGCATGAGAATGCTGATACTCGAAGGCAAGCTCCCAAAGGCCTATGGCCTAAAGCAGCAATAGCAGCAGTCTGGCTGCTGAATCGGACCCCAACGTATCTGGCTGATCAGAAACGTTGGATAGTCCCATGGGGTGAAGTCATGAAGAGCTTCGCCGGCGAGCAAGCGCCACCAATCAACTTGGCCAACGTTAGGTTATACGGCAGTCTCGCTTATTGCCGTATCGAGAAGCAGGTTCAGTCAGACAAGATGAATCCTCGTGCTGAGATTGGCTTCTTGGTAGGCTATATAGCATCGAACGTTTGGAAAATATGGTTTCCGCAAGCCAACAAAATACGGCTCGTTCGGGATGCTATCTTCGATGAATCACGTCGATATACAGCGGACTTTCAGCACTTCCAGCAAGTGCCATTGCCAATACTGAAAGAACCGCAAGAAATGGACCAAACAGAGGCGACGAGAGCCTTCGAAGCATCGATCTCGACTAGATCAATGCCTGAGTCAGAGCTAGAAGCAAGACCATTCAATGACGATGATCAAGGGGTCAATGCTATTAGCAATGCTGATGTCCAAAGCAATGAAGTTCAAAATGAGACTCTAGACATTGGACAAAGAGACCGTTTTTCGGCCGAAAAACCGTCTCATAAAGAAGCAGCAATTCCTCTATTGGACAGTGACGGTCTTTCTGCAAAAGACACCGTTCAGCCAATCAGGAATCAGGAAAAGCCTGACCAGACATTCAGAGGTCAGGGGGTGTACAATACACCCGAAAGGGAAAGACGGGATGAAACAGACATCATCCCAGGCGCATTTCCCCAGGAAGTTCCGCTTCCACCTACTCCGCTAAGTGAGTATCCTGAGTCTCGTCAGGGGGTGGAAACGCTAGATGAAACGCGTGGCACGCAAGATCTAGCAAGGGACCAGGCTCATGATACGCAAGAAGTCGTACAGGAAGCTATAGAGGATCAGCAAGTGTACTCGGATGAAGAAGCCGAAATGCAATTGCTTGCTGGACTCGCACCAAGGGATATCAATGGAGATGTCGATGAAACAAACATCATATCTGGTTCTCGAAGACGTCAGCCTAAGCGAGATGATGCTTATTCGTACGTCACGATGGAACCGCCAGCGTATCTGCATGCATTTGCTGCTGGTCTGTACGCCGAGAAGCCAACTCGACGTCACAGAGATGATCTCCCTGAGCTTCCTAGGCACTGGAAGGATGTCATGAATCATCCCTTCCAGGAAGGCTTTCTCGCCGCTATGAGAAAAGAGATCGAATCGCTTACTAGAAAAGCGACATTCGATATCATCGATCGTCCGAAGGATCGAGGGAAGCAAATACTTCCACTTCTCTGGGTTTTCGCGTACAAATTTGATCAGGATGGATACCTTATCAAACTGAAAGCCAGAATTTGCGTCCGAGGTGATCTTGAGACCATATCATCAGATGAAAAGCGGGCTGCTACACTAGCAGCAAGAACAGCAAGGATGATATTCGCACTTGTTGCGGCGTTTGATCTTGATCTTCGACAGCGAGATGCTGTCACTGCTTTCTTGAATAGCAGGCTCGACAAGGACGTCTATACCAGAATGCCGGAAGGGTTTGGAACCCCTGGCAAGTGCTGGAAGCTCCGAAAGGCGCTTTATGGGTTGAGGATATCTCCTCGATTATGGCAGCAAGAAGCAGCCGGAGTTCTCACCAAATTAGGACTCCGTCAAGTGCCAGAAGACCCATGCGTATTTATCGGAATGGGATCATCATCTTTTTCTATGTCGATGATATATTGATAGCAAGTCATCAAAACGTCAGGAAGCTTGCTGATCAACTGGAAAGAGATCTCGAAGCTCATTGGGAGCTTACAGATCATGGAGACGCGGAATGGTTTCTGAATATCCACATTATCAGAGACCGGCGTCTAAAGAAGCTGTGGCTATGCCAAGACAGCTATATATCAAGTATCGCGGCCCGGTATCACCTAACGGATAGGCCACCGGTTTCGACACCGCTGTCGCTTGATGAATTGGAGCCGTATCACGGCAAGGCAGATGCTTAATCAGTGCATCTATACCAGCAAAGGGTTGGCTCGGCCGGGTATGCCACCACGATAACCCGACCGGATGCCGCAAAAGCGAATGCGAAGCTTGCTCAATTCTTGACGAATCCTGGACCTCAACACCAAAAGGCGGCTGATAGACTGATCAGCTACCTCTATTCAACGCGGTACCACGCAATCGAGTATGGGTCTCAACAGGAAGACATCGAATCCGTCCAATTGGCAAGTGACGCGTCGTATGGAGATCATGCAGACCGGAAGAGCTCTGCAGGATATATCTGCCAGGTTTATGGAGGACCTGTGGACTGGAAGGCCACCAAACAACGGACGGTGACTACATCAACAACGGAAGCAGAGCTTCTTGGGCTCTCAGAAGCTGGCAAGCACCTTCAATGGTGGAGACGACTATTGCGGCATGTTGGTTTCGATCCTTCTCACGTTATTAGCATTGAATGCGACAATGAGAGAGCGATCAACTTGCTCACGTCTCAGGATGCTAGCTTCGACACCAAGCTTCGTCATGTAGACATTCACCACCTATGGCTGAGACAGGAAGTGCAGAAAGGCCGGATTTCGATCCGATGGGTGCCTACTGCCAGAATGGTAGCCGACGGCCTCACAAAATTGCTGCCAAGACAGCAGCACGAGCGTTTTGTGAAAATGCTTCACTTGGTGGACATCAGCCACTTGGTGGATGCTGAAAAGACGCCAGGGAGAGGTTGACGGGCCAATTGGAGAACTCGCTGATTCATGAAGCTATTCCCAGAGGCAGCAAGCCAGCGACACTGCGCTTGCTGAGGGGGTGTGTCAGTGCTGCATTCATGAATACGGATTGAGAACCGGAATTATAGTAACTCCGAATGAGCGGATTACTAAGGATGAGCATAGCATAAATAGCAAGAAATAGCAAGTAATAAATCACAGAGATTTGAATGCCCTCATTGGCTGAGCAAGTTACGGAAGACAGCAAGTTCCGACACTTTCGTTTCGAGAATCAGCCCAATTTTCTGTACTGGAGCACGATCAGGCGTACGGGACACGAGTTCTTGCTTCAACTGGAAAGAAGCGCCTGCATAGCTATTCGATACTAGATAGGCTCCAACAGGTTAATAGAACTTTGATTGATTGATTGATTGATTGATTGATTGATTGACTATCAAGCACATGGACTTACCAAAGAGCAGCAATGCCCTATTCTCCTCCCTCACATTGCGCCCATACTCGGTGAGAATCCATCCTCGAAAAGCACTAAGCAGTCCCGGATTTGGATTGGTCAATTTTAGGCTTATGATAGGCCAGTCGAGCTCGAGCTCGTTCATTGAAGCCTGATCTGGCTTGAACTTAGGGGAAATAAATTTAATAACGGCCATTGTGCTATATCAATGCAGTGTTGGGAAGAAGAGATGATGGGTGACGAAGGTGTTTGCAAGATGCAAAGCATTTATATATTGTCTGCATGCGGAGCTCATGAGCTTGACAAAATCAAGCTTATAAAGATACCTCGATAAGTTTGAATTGCGGACTTTTGCTGTACAATATATGGCGTTATCTTAATCATTTCAAAGCAACCACCTTCATTTTTGTTTATATTGGGACGAAAGTGGCGACATCATTGGATGTCTTACGGCTCTCTCGGCGGGACCTGCGGAGTTTGCGGAGTTTCAGAGACGTTGGTGAGATGAACTTTGACATCCTCTCTTGTACCCCTGCGCATCACTAAGAGCCCGCAGAATGACTCTTACATCTGGCGAACCCCGTTCTCGACAAAAGTCATGCGTCGCATGTGCGGATGGGAAGCGGCTTTGTGATCGTCAAACTCCGCAGTGCTCCCGGTGTGTCGGTCGGGGGCTGAAATGCACCTACGTCAATGGATTGTCCGCAAAGAAGCCTCAGAGAAGGAAATTTTCCAGTGTGCAGTCAACAGAATCCGAGGTATATCACGGCTTGGACGACATTGTGTCGTTTTGGTCGCCAAACAGCGACTCCATCAATAATTCGAGCGCCTTGACCCCTTGGCATACTGGAAGTCCTTCGTTGGTCACTTCTCCGTCGCTGTTCCCCGCCATCTTTTTTCCAGACACAGTCTGTCCAGATAAATGGTCAATAAAACAGTGTTTGCAAAGCCTCAAATCCTTCCCGCAGAGTTTTGCACGGTCCAGAAAAACACCCTTCATTCATCAACGTTTATACGATACTTATCTACCAAACGCCATTCAAGATGCCTTTACAGTCTCGACAGCTTATTGCACGAAGACAGCAGAGACTGAGGATATGACTCTAAGGATACTAGAAGCGAGATCTATGAGCCTGGTGGAGCAAGTTCATCAAACAACATCGCTAGAAGAACTTCTCGCATCTGTCCAAGCCTTGATACTTTTCCACATCATCCAGCTATTTGACGGTGATATACGTCAGCGGGCAATAGCGGAGCGCAATATGGTTACACTGCGATCGTGGACTGCTCGGCTACATGATCAAGCCGAAGACATAAGCCAAGTGTCATCTTGGCAGGAATGGATCTTTGTGGAAAGTATTCGCAGGACTGTCATACTTTCCGGGCTCACTGACAGCTTATATTCGTCGCTAAGAAATGGGTACTGCGCGAACGTAAAAGAATTGAGCATGCTGCCATTCACGTCGACCTCTGGACTTTGGCACATCACCACAAATGCCGCGTGGCTGATCAGTCAGTCGGAATCTGACGTGGTGCTATACGGGGACTTTTCAATGGCCTGGGAAAACGGACGAGTATTGGGTGAATTGGATGATTTTCAGAAACTGCTGCTTATTCCCTGTGTCGGTGAGAGTTATAAGAACGCTTTGGAGCTCGAGAACGTACCATAGAAGCTATGTGACTACCTCTGGACTTGGTTGAACCTCAGGATACGACTTGGGCGCTGAGCCATTCTTAAACACTGTCAACCTTGTGGTTCACAAAAACTAAGCGAGACCGATTTGATCAATCAATCAATCAAGGTTCTAATAACCTGTTGGAGCATATCTAGTGTCGAATGGCTATATAGGCGCTTCTTTCCAGTCGAAGCAAGAACTCATGCCCCGTACGCCTGATCATGCTCCAGTACAGAAAATTGGGCTGGTCCTCGAAGCGAGAGAGAGTATACCAGCCCTACATGTAATTCAAACCCGTAGACCCAGACGCAAATCCCAATACAAATGAGACATTCAATGCCAAGAAGCAATGAATACAAATGATTGCGTGGATGCACCGTCCACCTCTCCAAGCCCGTCCTCTTCTCATGTCTCATGTAAGCACCTCTCGATCTAGATGCCAGCCAATTCCTGCTGCAGCAAGATCAACTCCCGTATTCCGACATCCTCACTTCAGCCTCAATTGCTGATTATCGTTGTTCCGTACCCAGTCAGGCAGCGTGTATTCGAATAACGCATTGAGGTACTCTCCACCCTCGATGGTGTCAGCAAGCGGTGGTGAGTGCCCAGCATCTTCACGACTCTACAATTTGGCCTCGGGACCAAGATCCTCGGCAGCGTGTTGAAGCTGCGCAAGTAGACCGGGTTGGTGCATGAATTTGGCGATGTAGCGGATCTCCAGCGGGCCTGACACTAAAGCGTCATAGTGAGATTTGAGACCCCTACCTGAAACAGCTAATCAGAAAGCTGTTCTCTTAGACCCCAAAAGGCCTGGCATTGAAGCATGTCGTGCTTGGGGGTCTGGGGACCTTCTCGACACGGGCATTTGTCCGATTCCGCTACATTGATTTTGTACAGGAAGTGCCGCAGCGCAATGCGCATTGAGCGCATCTGTATCATGATTGATGAGCGAGGTTCCGACAGGCATTCGTACAAACGCAAGACCTTCTTTTTCGGCCATTTTACCAAGCGCTTCGTAGGCTGAGCAGTCCTCCCTCTCTCCCATTGCTTCTTCCATCGGTCCTGGATCCGCCAACGGACCATCCGCTTGGCAGCAGCAGCAAGTCGGATGATTTGTTTACCCGCTCCGCCGATCGCACCTCCCGGGATGGGGGCCGATTGGGGGCCCACGGTGGGCTATGGGTTGGGCTGTAGGCCCGGAGTCTGGGCCTAGAGGTGGGCTTTGGCGAAGTCTAATACTGCACCTATTGGCGGTGACCAAAGAATCAGCCATGGATTCTTGTCTCAGTGGAGCGTGAAGCCGTGCGTAAAGGCGGAGGAGGCAGTTGGCAGAAAAATACAACTCGCGGGCTGCGAGAGATTTTGACAAACTCGCTTATTAACTTGACTCTAGTATCCAATTGTACACCCTAGAAACCTCGAAACCATTTCTAGGAGCTATTTGCCTCCTAGGAAATACGACTTAGCTTCTTAGGCTATTTCTGACTTCCAGGAAAATAAGATCTACTCCTAGGACCTTCACTTTACGTTCCTGGCTGAATACGAAACTGGCTCTAGGAATACATTGGATGGATCTGGGAGCTGTAGCGCCCCTGGGACCATACATTGGGTTCTAGAGGTCCATACTTTGCCTTCTGAAGCCGTGGAATGCCCTCACGAGACAGCGTTACCAGACCTGCGCACAAGTCTGCGTTATTCAATCACCCCTAGAAGGCCAAATAATCGCCCTAGGAATCAAACAAGTCAACCGATTTCCCGAGTTGGGGTTTCCAGACTTCAGAAGCTACGTTGGGTTTCCTGGGAGCTATGTGGCTCCTAGAAGCTGCTTCTTTGCTCCCGGAACGATTCAATGACTTCCGGGAGCAAGGGAACTCCCAGGGCCACGACATGTGTTCCTAAAATCAATAGAACGGTCCGCAGGAACGTAACTGGTTTATTGGTAGTGATGACGGATAGACTTACAAGTTATGACTGATACCCGTGTTATCGATTCTAGCTTCACGCCCCGGTCTAAGGGGTTTTCGGTTTTACATATCGATGGTTTCGAATGGTCCTGGCTTTGAATGCTGACGTTGAATATCAATTAGGCAATACAAATACATCCCTTGGGGTATTGGCGGAACCCAACCACTTATGGGATACCCACTGGCTCTCATTAGATAATTTAGTAATGGGCCGGGGCTCCCAGTCCTTGAGGTCCAGCCTCAAGCCCTGCACTGGAGCCGTACTGGATACGAGCACTTGCTTAGACTGAAGAGAAGCGCATGTATGGCTATTACCACGCGATTCAAGCTGCATCGGATTAAAATTGATCCATTTGCTTTATTGTTTGGTAGCATGCTGTAGAAAACTTTGTGCCAGGACCAATACCTCGTTAAAAGCCTCATTAAAATCACAATTTTATGGCCTGTGAAGTTGCTCTCGTCTGTAAAACAGAAGGAAACCAAAGCTACAATCAAAGTTAGTTACATTCTTAAAGCAAACAGAGGCAAATGAAGACCAACCTAGCTAGGATCTGGAAGAAAAGGGCAATCCAGAACCACGCATTCCCAACTTTATGCAGCGATGATCCAACATCGGGAGAGACACCCGCTGGACCAAGTCTGTTAGGTGCAAATGCACGGGCACAAATTGTAGCGATGGACCCAAGAGATTGTGCAGCCAATAGGACAAAGCAGACGTGAACCCTTGTTAATGTCTGCAAGAGAATCATCCCAAGACCGACTTGTTGAATCTCAGCAAGAACGCCAAGCCAGAGCCAGAGACATCGCGATACAAGGGCCCCGGAAGTCAGACCCCCGGCCCATGGCAGATAGTATCCGATGTTAGATACTCCCCACCATGTTTGCGCCCAGCGTGGTGCACCGAGACTCAGACCGAAGACAGGAAGGATCCAGCTATGTTCTTTTGACAAGACACGGAAGATGTATAGTGCAAGGGTCCAAATAAAGATAAAGAAAAAGATCACCAAGATGAGAACCTGCCACGATTTGGTGTGTTGAGAGGACCAAAGGAATGACCAGTTCCGACCAAACACTGCGGAGAGGAACCAGTTTTGGATGATAACCATGAAGAAGAACCAGAGAACGATGCGTCGGCGGAAAAGCGAAGTGTCGAAGAAGGGGGTCTTTCCCGGCGCTTGGCGGTAGTATTTTGGTAAGCCGAGTACAAGGAGGACACCCACAGTGAAACAAATTGTGGCAATAGGAATCGCCACAGCTGTGAGTTTCCAAGTATTTAAGGCAGCTTTTGAAATGCCTCCAACTTCCACAGAGGTGACTCTAGAACTCCAAAACCACAAGGCCACTGTATAAAGCTGTTGAATACCTTGTATAAAGCTAGCGCGAAACATCCAGTCTTTCACGGGGACAGCGCCTTGATCGCCGAAGTTTAGCGCAAAGAACAAGGAGCCGCTAGATGAGGCAGTAGCATAGACGCCTGCGGCAATATTCTGCGCCCATGCACGGCCAACAATCGAGAGGCCGAACGGTGAGATACCAAGGATGACGAATGCCGTGGCGTATATGAACCACGGAACAGTGAGAACTATCACGGATGGGAAGCTGTAAAATAGGAACCACCAAATAATGGAGGAGACACAGTAGACAGCAGCAATAACATAGAGCTTGACCGCATTTTCACCGATTTGGCCTACTAAAAGAGTGATTTGCGCCGAGTTTGTTGCAATGATTTGCCCAAGACCCAAGAACAATGCATAAACAGGCCAATTTCCGATACGCCATCGCATAAATCTCTGAATAGCAATAGGCCTCTTGTAGCCAAGACGTGAGAGCCATTGATCGATGTCATGAGACCTATTTGAGTCTGACAGAGTAGTGGCTTGGTTATCCAATCTATCGTTGGCAACATTATTCAAGCCGACTTCATTCGGTGCGCCCTGACCCTCTTTGGGCTGCTTCCTCAATTGCGCGTCGGTGTACATATTGAAGAACTTTCTTTCACTTTTCATCAGGTAGGCTTCGATACAATGATGTGTTATCGAGTTCTTCTTGTTGAGATTGGTGAGCGACTTTTCAAAGTGTCGTGTGAAGTAGCCCATGCTGTCAGTAAAAGTCGGGTCGATCTTTTGCAAATTGAAGATGGGTTGGTCGTGATCCTCAAAGATGGAGGGTAGAGATAAAACTGATATATTTTTAACGTGGATGTTGGGCTCAACTTTACCATGATTAGGATCATCAGCAGGTTCAGATGGTGTTCTCGCCGGAGAAGGGTCGCCAGAGACAAAGCACGACGAGTTTGGGGTTGATGAGCTGAAGCCAACGCCAGACTGACCCCTGTCATCGCCTGGGAATGTGCCCCTATCCTGGGAGCTGAGAGCCTGATTCACTGCCGCTATCGCTTCCTCGGAAGAGATAAAGCTTTCCGGTGGCGCGGTTGTGCCATCCACATCGATATGAGAATCGACGGGATGTTCAAACATCTGACTCTCTCGCAGAGAATTCTTGGCAAGATGGCTTTTGCCCTGTTCAGGCCTAAATCGTCGACCGAATGACATTATACGACCCAGAATGTTATTCTTATCACGGCCAGAATGATCCGCCATTTCGAGGTTGGCTATTGGCACCTCTAACAGAGGAGGATGTGAGTCTTCTGGTGGCGTATCCAAAGCCCCTGCGATAGGTTGGTCGGATACTGCGCGGGGTGTGGTCGAGAACTGAAGATTGTCCACATTGGAATTGGTCTGAGACTCTTGCACTGAGACAGAAATCTTGTTTTTATTTTCGGCGTGATGGATGTGGATTGCTGTTCGCTGCAACTTTTCCAGCTTTTCCACCCACTCAAGGACGGGGAACCTTTGCTTGGCGGAATTTGCACGCATCTCCTGCCGGACCTCTGGGGATGATGCCAAGGCAGACTCGATGGCAGCCTTCAGCTGTTGCAAGAGATGGCGAGTTGAATCTGACTCCACAGTATACCACCAGCCAGGCATAAGTCCAAGGCCTCCGATGAGGGAACCGATCCCAAGAGCACCCTTCCGACCAAATTCAACGGCAACCAAACCAAATGGCTCATCGCGAGAAGGGATCAAGGCAAAATCGGCACCGGAAAACACATAGGGAGGGAGGATCGTGAACTCTGGCCTCGAGAAAACACGGCCTGGGTATAGTTCCATGATGCGCTCCATCTTGATAGCAGCCAATTTGCCATAAAGATCAACCATGGGACCAATACAGATGACTTGTACCAAAGGATTGGCTGACAAAATCCCGGGTACTACATCCGCAATCAGGTCTATCCCTTTCTGCTTTGACCATCGTCCAACAAAAACTAGCAAGTCGGCATTAGGCTGCTCGTTCAGACCAGCCCAGTTCTGTGCCTGACGCTTATCACGGATAAAGTCGGAGTCCGATTGAATCGGAACTTGCACGGTTGGATCTTCCTCTAGGGCGGCAGTGTCCGAGGGATCTGGATTAGGAAGACTGCCGATGCTGTTGAGATTCCAGAATATTGGATACCGGGCCCAAGAGCGCTTTCCATACTTTTGAGATACACCCACTATACCGAAGCCGCGCTGATGGGATCCCACATAGCTAGCGCCGGCGTGGAGCAGATTGAAAACGTTTCCAAATTGGCAGTAATTTGTCGCTATTTCGAGTGGAAGATTGAAAACAGCACATACTTCCTTTTTCTCTTTCTGAGTTCTCAGTGGCCAAAGACCTTGGAATTCTGCATTGTGTAAAGACAGGCAAACTGGGATAGTTCGCGTCGGTAGCAGATACAGAGGTGCTACGCACCCATGGAAATCATTCATGTGGTACACATCAATAGCGGGGGCACGTTTCATTGTCCCCGCAATGCACTGATTCCAAGCTGAGTAGTAGATTGCGCTTTCAAGGTCATCCATTCGGGCTGGATATGGCTCCGCTTTAGTCTGTTGTCGGAAAACCGGAGCATCGAGCAGGACATAGGTAATGTTTTCGACGGTGTGGTATTGCACTTTTACCAAGTAGCGCTTGTCCAGAATCGTCACCCTAAAGGGCTCACCAGGCGTGTCAACAGGGTAATCGATATCACCGACGCATGGCACTACCCAGATGAGATTTTGATGTTTTAGGTTTGAGGACATAAGCTGAGCCATGACACCTAGGCCACCAATCTTGACTTTAATATCCCAGTCCTGGATGTCATACTCCATGGTAGCAATCAGAAATGTGCGTCGGTGGCCGCTAGCTTCAGCCACAGCAATATCTGTTGGTGCAACCTTTTCTGAAACCAGTTTCACCGCATCAACCTTCCGAGAAAGCTTGTCCTTGACTGTATGCCAAAGCAGAACCGGCAGTTTCTTGGCCTTGACAAAATTTCCGTCTTTGTTGAGCTTCACTTGATAGAAGGTTTGAATAAAGATAAAAACACCAGCCAGGCCCATTAGAATCGGAGTAAGCCAGAGAAGGATGTAGAGTGCGAGCTGCGACCATCCAGATCCGATGGGAATGAGCTCGTATCTCAGGTTACCATCATTGAGAGAGATTCTGTAGCCAAGGTATGGGAATGGAGGCGAGTTGGTCATGTTGATCACGTTGGACGCGAGGTAAGATGGAGGTAGCTCTAGGATTGTGGAGGAGTTTCCCACGTCACCGTAGACCTCGGTGTTGTCGGGAATACCCTTGGGACCTACACCCCAGACGTTTATTTGTCCCACAGCTGGCCAATCATGGACGAAGTCGAAATTCCAGCGCGAAGTTTTGGAGTCAAATTGCAGTTTGTTGTCCAGTCCCGCGTCGTAACCATACTGATTAAACGGACCGTTGAACCACAAATGAGGGAACCTTCGACTTGCATTTCCTTCCCAGTCGTAATCTCCTTCTTGGATGTAATCACTGCTTCCAGTGAGCCTTGAAAAATATTGGACACGGATGTGCGTTCCCGTCCAAGTCTGTTTGTCTGTTCCGGCGAAAGTGGGGGTGGTAACAGTCGTGTTGCCGCCCGAATACAGCATCCATTCGGACCAGGTGCTCCCGAAATCAGATGAATATCGGAAGCCGTCAGCTCCAGCGGCTTTGTGCTGGACGTAAAATTTGCCGTCAGATTTGTGGACTAGGCCGGTAGAGTAATTGGACATCGGGGACACTAGAGGATTGTCTTGAGCGCCAACGCGGAGCAGAAAGCTATCGGTCGAATTGGTGTACATTCCAGATGTGGAGACGTTCGTGACGGTCAGTTTATGGATTCCGTGATAGACGTTGCTTAGGTTTGCAGTCCATATCCAAGTGGTCGGGATCTCTCCGATCAAATTGTTCCCGGTCGTCCTTGTAGTTACGTTGGCGCACTTCACGCTGGACGTATCAAGAGAGGAGACAATGCCTTTTTCCGTCGTGGAATTTAGGAGAATGGCATTAGTAATGCTGTCGCAATTCATTGCTTTGGAATATCCAAGCTGGACGGGGATGGTATCAGCCGCGTCTTTTGACGATAACAACCGAGCATCATGGCCGGGATAGAACTCAGTGACGCTAGGTCCAGGCTCTATGAAATTCTCCTTCTGTACGTAAGCTCGGTATTCCCATGGAAGCAACTTCATTTGGCGGACGCATCCATAGTTACTGTTGTCGGGACCATCTTCCAGAGTGAGCTCATCATAAGGAGAGAAGAGATTCTTCAACTTGGTCCCTGCATCAAATGGAGACAACAAAGCACCAGTTTTGTTCTTGCAGCTGCCACCAAAAGATTTCGTCGAGTTTCCATTTTGGTACACGAGCCATAGAGTTTGGTTACCCAAGATTGTATCTGTTTGGACACCGGGGAAGTAACTTCGCAAGACTGACCATAGGCCAGTGACAGTGGGGGTGGTGGACGAGCCAGGAAGGAAGATATCTTCTGTGAGTTGTGAGATAGTTTCAAGATAGAAACCGTCGTTTGCAACCGGGTAATGGTTCCGAATCTCAAACATTCGCTTCATTATGTTACGAACAGGATGGGCGGGATTTCGTTGATCGTATGTGACGGTAATGTCGTTGCAGCCAACGCGTCCTTTTTCGATAGGAAAATCGTAGAATTTTGTTGTATTCAAGTTGAAACATCCATTTGTCCACCATGCGGTTTGAGATGACAAGGGCTGCCGGCCGTACAGATAGTTCGATGCAGTGGCATCGAACACATACATTGCCTGCTCTTCGCCCCATAAGATGAGAGGGATTCCCGGAAGCACCAATGTGACAATGTTGAGGCCTAGAAGATACTTTTCCGTGCCATTCTTGATTGATGGCCAACGGAAATTATCTTGGTTGGAGACGCCATACATATGCCGGGGATCAAGCTCCCCTGTGAATGCATTGATAAAATCATTTGTTACAAGCATCGCATTCCAGGCTTCAATGAAATCGGTAGGCAGGTCAAATCCCGCAACAAGATTACCGTCCATTCCCAGGAAGCGTGTCATTGAACGATAGATTGTATAGTGAAATGCCGAGGCATCAAGTGCTTGCAGACCATTCTCTCTCATGAAAACTCCATCCGAAGTATTTGTCAGTCGAACACCAGCACTCGTGGAGTCTGGGCGCATATTTGGCTGCCGACCGCGACCAAGGTAGAGGCTGCCAAATGTGTCTCCAGAGGTTATCTCTCCGGGAAGGAAGAAATTATTTTTGCCGAATTTCTTCGCGCACTCACGATATATAGCGGTCATTTCACTCAGAGGTTCGAGAGTTGCTTGTACTGCCTTATCCAGGCGGAATCCGTCGATGTCTAGGCTTGCGATTTGAAGGCAGGAATGCCGTGTGATAACGTCGCGGACAGGCTTGTGCCATTCACGTAGGCGATCCTGGACTGAGGCAAACTTTGTGAGCTGACGCTGCCAGTCGGGAAAATTCCCAAACGCCTCGAGCTCTCCGTATTGATCAAAGTCACTATTGTAGCAGCCTTTCAAATCTTCAATTCCACCGGTTGTCAAAGGATACCCCGTCTCGTACCAGAATTTGGGATAGTGGCATGTTTCATTCCATTCGTTCCTAAATTGGAAATCGGCATATTGTCTCTGACTGACCCATTGGGCGTTATATTCGGTTGGTTTGAAGTCTGCGGAATCATTCAGGTGGCCTTTGAATCCAATGAGGTTGCTGAGCCTATTCATTAAGATGAGCTCCTAGGCACCTGCAAGATTTGAATCTCAATTTTGCAGCATTTACTTACGTCGACAGTGTATTGTCCACCAGTACATACATATCCCGCTTGTGGATTTCTGTGATAGTTCGCCTCCAATCCTCTAACGTGCCGTAATGCATGTCGAGAAGAGTGGTATCAGCTGGGGAGTAGCCATCGTAGGCCCAAGGTAGATTAATTAGATACGTGCCTGCGAAATAAATGGCCTTGTCTTGGTTAGCCATAGAATCATGTCGAATGCGTGTAAACCAACTTTGAATCCCATTCCGTGGATGTAGTCTAGTGTATCTATGAGACCTTCGAGGTCCCCACCGTGACGCATCTGATTAGATCCCACCACATGCTCAAAAGTGGTACCGTTTATATCATCATTCGTAGGGTCACCATTGGAGATTCGGTCCAGAAATATTGTATAGACAGGGAACCGCCAGTTTTCCGGTGAAGGATGGTATTTATGGTCTGGCCATGCTCCCCAATATTCGGTTGGGGCTTCAGCTGATATGTTCTCGTTGAGATTGTACCCAGCCAGTGACTCGACATAGGGCCAACAGAAAGCATAGACGCTCAGAAGCAACAGGAAGAGCAGGGTGGAGAGCTGCATCGCCGTATAGTCTCAGATATTAGCAGCGGGCTAGCTGGCGGGTAAGTGTAATATAAGGCTTGATAACAATTAAAATAAGGCCGGAAGTGAACTTCACAAAACTTGAGAACTGATCGAAGACGGACGTGATATTTTTCTAGTCTAATAATAAGGTCTAGAATGTATAATTTGGCTGGAACACTGTACGCCATCTGACTGAACGGTGGTATACGTATAGAATGGTACCCCTTGGCTTCAGTCAGACCCACTGAAAACCGAAATTGTGTGAAAAGCCGAAAATGGGTACGTAGCGTTACTTTGAACAATTCATCAGGCTAACATCATTGAAAATTCGGTGAAACCCATGAGTACTTGACTAGCGTAATGCACTTCCATGCAACACACCTGATCGCTGCATTGGAGGATTTCAAGGAAAATACTACTCATTGTTCACAGCGCTGCTCTGATTTTTGTCGATTATGCGATTTTCAATCCATGACTTTGATTTTCTACCTACCTTCGCGTCATCATTGAAGAAATACCGGATATTATTTTGGTTGTGTTTCGACCTGGCGAGGTTTTTGGTTGCCGCGAGGAGGGGCGTTGGGGGGCGGTTCTTCCTTAACAACCACACAGGTCTATCCCCTGGAGAACGTAACATGAATAGAGAAGCTCATTATGAAGATGATTTCAAAGCCGTTTACCTGATCTATATAACGCAATTTGGCAAGATGCTACTCCTATGCGAACATCCTCGTACCCGCCCACCTTCACACCCGAGGTGAACACGCTTGCTCTCTTAGACAACAGGAAAACAGCTGATTTGGCGTTGCAATCCTACTAGACACCGTATTTTCATCTTTCCAGTTATTCTCGCTTCTTCTGGTTCCTCCATGCTCAGAAATAGCCCTGAAGCACTGAAACCTTGTTCAAACTTTAGATTCAGCCACGTCCGAATGTTGTCCTGACGAAAGTCGGTTAACAGTTGGAAGGGGCGTTTTCATCTAGTCGCATTTTTCGTGTAGCAAGCACTCGAGTAAGATATGATTTAACGGCTGGCTGCCTCGGGTTGCAGTCACACCACGTCAGCTCGAGTCAGTTGACACGGTGTAGGTACCCATCATATTTATCGGCATTTTCACTTATTTGTACTGATGACCACCTGCTGTTTATCGATCGAAAAATAAGAATAGCAAACGGCAGAGTTGTCACAAAATTCATGGGCTATCCGAAACGAGGTTCCAACATAGGCAGGGAATATACTGCCAGCAAGAACACGTGACTTCCTATTTCTCGGGTAACACTTAGCTCATGGGGGGAAGGGGCGGGGGCGGGCTCCAGGTATCGCTGATTGAATGAATTTGGCTTATATGTGGCTATTACATAAATACAACCTATTTCAAGTCCTAATGGCCATTTTCTGGTGTACCTCCCCTACAATAATCAGTCCCTGCGTAAGACTTTAGGCCAATTACTTGATGCGTATGCCATGTGTTATCGAGGTGTCAGATATCATATCTTTCTTATCATCTAGCTCTGCACAGATCCAGTGTAGACCCACCGTTTCGTGGGTCTTTTGCATGTCAAACTTGCGGTTAGCTCTTTAGCTACTCCACATGCCTCCACATTCCCGCTTGAATTACCCGGCCAATGAAAGCATCAGAAGCGAAACCGCCAAACATTTCGATAACTTGGAACCATGGAAACGCTCGCTCGGTGAGAAAATGCGGCTTTCATAATGGATTCAAGCTTGAAATGGATCAAAAGCGTATCTACAGGCTCATAATCAAGATGCGAAGGGTGAAATGAAGCTCAGGCGCCGCAGATGGGCCGGCTCATAATCGACTCATGTTCGGGACCCAATCGGTTTTCGACTTCTAAGACAAAAGCCGGAAGACTTTATTTATGTGCATCCATATAGTCTATCGAAAATGGGCATACTTTTACAAGCAATCTGCTAGAGTTACAAACTTGCCGGTGGAATTGGGCAGATGGAGAGGATGTATCGGGCTCACAGAGGGTATGATCCTCAGGCGGAAGGTCGATGCAGGAGAAGATACATAGCTTCTAAAGCAATCTACAGAACAGGCAGACAGAGAGCAACTTGCCCTTTGATAGGAGGATTTACTCTCCTGTGAGAGCAACTAGGAGAGCACAACACGGATTGGAATTTAGCCTACCGTTATGTCGCAAAAGTGTGTGTAATATTTGAAATACCTCTCCGGCCCAAACAGGACGCCCTAAGCAACGAAGACACCTTCTATCGGACACTAACGGCCGTAAACTGTGGACATGTGGATCAGGTCTGGACCCTTGCAAGTCCTCCATTGTCTTCTCCGGATCACAAATAGAACCTTCTTGATCTATCCTATAGGTCAACGCTAAGATCTGCATTACAGAACCGTATCTGGTCTGTATAACTCCAGCCGCAGTGTTTGATTGGCTCGGCTGGAGCGTTTTGTGTCCCGGATCTCATCAATGTGATAGTAGCGTTACAATCTCGAGAGGTGGAAGATGATCAACAAGAATCTAGCTCGTGAGACTTAGTTGCAACGGTTCACATGGTTGTCCTGGAAACTAGGCTCAGTTTCCTAGTGTAGGCTCTCCAACTAGATCTAGAGTTTTTAATCTAATCTCCGCCAAAGAAAGACAATTGAGAGTATGTTCGTAGTGCCCGTGCTGCCAGTTACAGTCGTAGTAGTAGTAGGCTTCATTTACACCGACCTCCCGCAAAGCGACATACAGGATACTGAAACTACATATATCCGTGTATGTACATGTGATGCCATAGCAATTGAATAAGGCCATTGCCTAATAGCAAGCTCATAAAAAGGGGGATCATGAGCCGCCAATCAGCGAAGAAAATGTACGGCGGCGTGGATAGCGGTTGCATACATCAGTAGGATCAATGGCGCTTAATCTCTGTCTGATAAATTGAACGTTGCATTGGAAGGATGCCAGCCCAGTAAGCTAGGAGCTGGCTCATTTTGCTTGACGTAAGCTGAGTGGCTTGTTTGTAAGGCTGTTTTGGGGAATGTCTCAATCATGATAGCCAAAATTATGCACTGACATGCTATCAAGGGATAAAAAAATGAGCCACCAATAAGCTGCCTTGTATCGCATCACTTGCATCAAGTTTCCAAACAATGTTAAGTAAAAGAATCATTTTGGCCACTGCCGCATTGAGGTCTTGTTGCATTCAACCAGGAGAGCACCCGCTTACCCAGATACATGTCTGTCGAAGAACCCTGTCTGATCAGCGGAATTGGACCTCGCAGCAGGCAGTAATGGTGACTCCAATTGTGCATCCCTATTTCGTTGGCCAATTGCAAGACGCTGCTAGAGTCTCAGCACATGGAGGGGAGAGATTGTAATTCTCCCGATTCGGGAAATGTGCGCCCTGCCCGTCTTGCCAGTTTTAAAATAATATGTTCAGTCCATCAACTTGGAACATGCTAGACATTCTGTGTAGGACTTAGCTGGTGCGTGGAGATCCTGGGATTAACTAAAGAAAAATTAACCTTCGCAAAGTTGTCACCTGCAGAACAGTAGATCTTACAAATCTTCCGGTATTTATGAAAGAACCTAGGGCCCTTTATCGCAATCGCCCCAGGTGCCCCACCCAGGGGTACTCTGTTTGCGGCTTGCTTGAGTATACGACGGTGGCCATTAGTTAAATGGCCTATAGCCGCTTTTCAACCGTGTAATGTAATGAACAAGGCTCCAAATATCTTAGGTTGGTCCCCAAAGTGAACTTGCTTCAGAAATAGATGGGCTAACTAATCATTCATTTTTCTGAAAAGGATTACTAGGATAAAAGCCATGGCAGATTCAGCGCAGGTTCCAGTGCCAAGAAGAATAGAATTTGTTTTCCTTCTGCTGGTGCTCAATATCCCCATATGTCTGGCAAGCAATGTCATTGCATATCTCATGTTCCGTCAATTTCTGATAGCTGTTTGTGTGTCATTTTGGATGTGCCTGTCCGTGTTTGTTGCTTTTTTCATTTAAGGCGCTTTTCTTACTCATTCAGCTCACGTGTGCCACGCATCAACTTCTGTACCAGGGGATGAAAACCCCGCCCTATTTTCTTTTCCGGATAGGAGAAGCCGAGAGTCTCAGTTAATAATGAATCTTAGATAGCTCGTATTTCGGTCCGAGCATCGCTTTATTGACTACTCTTCAATGCATACCCTCTTCTGATTGTTTTTTAATATTCCGCTCTTTAGGGTTAGTGTTGGCGGTTTTACTTCTTACTTATTGGCTCTTTCCTCTATAATCCTAATAGCTGACTCCCGAAAACTAATGCCCGTGCTTCATACTTGCTGCTTATTCGTTATACCCTCACGTTAATTGCTTGCATACTTTTGCTGCGCGCGTCTTTTAAATTTTCATCTGATTGGTCGCCGCCTATTTCTCTATCTTGTTCAATTATATATAGTGAAATGGGGATGGCACGATGGCAGTCTGACATAGCAGACGGGTCGATACTAATGAAGAGATCACACAACCACTCCCATGGCCTGAAGGCGTAGAGAGCGGTCCCTGAAGGTGTAAATCGTACCGAACCTGATGCTATATCATGAATCAAGAAGTTTTGCGAGTAACTGTAGTCATATTGAGGTTGTTGGATCATGCTCCTCTCTCTCTGTAGGAGAAGACTGCATGTCTCTTGAGGCATCATAGATGCCTCAGGCCATTAAAAACTACTGTCACGGGATTCACCACTACAATAGGTAACTCTACATAACAGATTTCCTCTGCCGGGTGGGGCTTTCCCATCTTAGCTGCCGCCGCTTTTGTGAGGGCGCTCAGAGCCAGGCTCACTGAGCTGCTCAGTCTCATCACGTGATATATCAGTGAGGTCCAATGAGTGCTCAGTGAGTGCTCAGTGACTCTGATTGGCTTCTCTCTGATTACTCCCTGATTACTCAGACTCTGATCAGAGGCATCTACTGAGCACTCAGTCCACACCCAGTCTATACCCAAAGTAGCTCTCTGCCCACAATACCGTTTATCTTGCGAACTACTTTTTGATGGCCATCATTTCTCACCGTACGCCTAGTTTTTGAGGTGCTGGATCTTCCGGTCTCGTTCGTCTCTCAAATTATAACGCACTAGAGCACGATGACGCAAACTGGAAGACATGGAATCCATCTATCACGGGCGGCGTAGAAAAAAGTCTCCGGTCATCTCCAGGTACTGAATTATAAATTGGAACTATGTTCCTCCTACAGGCCTCCAGGATAGCTTTTACAGTTACATGCCTCACTTTTCCAGCTCTTCGGTGCCTCACAAACTTTGTGTTGAGAATTCATCCAACCATGGGTAGGAAAGCCTTTTTTGCTAAAAAGATGAGATCGCCAAAGAGAAGCACTGCAAACAAGTGGAAGACAGCGGCTATGTTTTTGGCGCTCATGCAGATGAGGATGCCATCCGAGACAAAGATAAAAGGCTACCCAAGACCAAGAATATATACCGCACAGCTGTCAATCTCTGGATGAAGTGAGTTTCAATACAATTGCGCAAGAGGCCTACCCACCGAATGCTCGAGTTACTGACTTACTATAAGGTTCGTGAAACAGCATGGAATCGAGGGTTACGAATCGAGGCCAGTCTGCGATTCCGGACCACACACTCATCAAAGAATTTCTTCGCTGGTACAGTCATTTTGCGCGAAGAAGAAAAAGTAAAAATGGACGACCGGTGATGACATCGGTTCTCAATTGTGCAGAAAGGCTGTTCGGAGGGTTTGAAGAACAATTTCAAATGAAAATTGTGATGAAAGACCGGAGCGAGGTATTCAACATAAGTCCTTATATGATCTTCGCTTTCTGTGTTCTAGAATGCAAGCCAATCTAACCATAACACAGTGGATAAGGAGAACACTGACAGCAAATGAAGGAGCGATTGAGAACGTCGAAGATCCAAACCACAGCTTTACCAAAAAGGATTTTCTTCGAACCATATCCTCTATGTGGCAAGCGGACCATTGCCGGTTCATTCCCAGATTGCTCAAGGCTATCATCATGCTACCTCTTCAACTATATATTTTCACCGGAGCAAGAATTAGAGCATACATACCAGCTCACGAGGAAAGAAACGAGAAAGGCTCAAGATACAAGGTTAGTACATTGCGACGTTGGGATTGTGTGTGTGTGTGTGTGACTAATTGCTAAACAGCATATCGATCTGGTTTTGTTTCCATCCTCTACGGCACCTTGGAAGCTAGAATGGAAAGTTGACCAAGTGTCGCTCAAAGGGAATCAAAACCTATACTACACAGTTTAAGTTTACTGCAAAAAAAGGTCTTGGGAAGGCCGATTTGAATTGAGCCCTCACTCTCTGACAAAGAATTAAGGCTCGGAATTGGTATCCGTGACACTAAAAGACCACAATTTGGGTCTGGCTACCTTCTCCAAGCTATTGCCCTCCAGAACGGTGCTCTGTTTGGCATCGAAACGGTGGAAGACTTCGCCGACTTCGACCTTCAAGTGGCACGTCCATAAAATTTCGCTGGAAAGATGAATATCTGGACAAGCCTGTTCTCAGAAATGTCACTGCTGATAGCCCATAAGATGTCCCGCTTGATACGGTGCGGTTTTGTGAGTTACTACGTGTAATAGTCACGACTGCAAATTACAACACGAGTTTAACTATTGACATGATTCGGAAGTATCTTGGAAGTGTTGTTGAAGGTATGACAATCAAGCTCACTGCTTGTCGAAGGAGACACATTCGCTAACTTCTGGCTTAGGGAAGCATGGTTCTGCCCTAGTATCTCAAATTTATGGACACAAAGATGCGGGAACATATCCTAAGGCGTATTTGTTACATTGCTCTTCGATTGATACAGTCTCGGCCGTCCTGGGAGAAGAAGATCAGTCACACCATATCGAGTACTTCCAAGGCGTTGAGAGGTTTTATAAACATGGACTTCCAGGGGAGTTGCCGGCTGAAATTGAGGCCAGTATCCTGCAGAATCCAGAACTGATCGAAGACGTCAGATCGAGCAACTTGAAGCATCAAACATCGACAAGGAGACTTTAACTGCCGAGAAGCTGGGCTATAGAAAGGCGTCGATTCGACTCCGTCTTGCAGCACTCAAAGAATAACAGGACCGCTGGGTACGAGAGCGACGAGATCAAAGAATCCTCAGCAGGGGTAAAGAAGAGCCAGTGATTAGTGACAACGATGTTTATACGCGGGCTCAATCTTTTATCATGCCCGAGATTGCCCGGATCTCAGCTTTGATGTCTTCTGATAAGGAGCTTTCGTTTAATGAGATGCTTCTTTTTGTGGATGATCTAAAATCTCATTGTGGACGGGATTTCGAGGTGGCTTATTCTTAACAAGGGGAGAGAGAAGCAGCAATAATACGTAGATATTATTGGGAAAGAGGGACGGAGAGAGGAAGAAGTCCTGCTCTCCGGGGGGGAGGTGGTTCTATGGATCCATCCCCTATTTGTTATGATGTTCTTCTTTAACCGTTGAACTTTTATTAAAGCTATGATTTGCCTCCCTGTAAGGTTGCGAGAATAATTTTTTTTATGGGATTTTTTCAAAACCGCTTTTTTAAAGTTGAAATGTGGTTCTAAAAAACCGCTATATTCCGCTAAGGGTGTGTGTGTGTGATTCATTTACCCTGACCCCTCGCAATGCCGTAACAGAAATTCCTCATACAATGAATAGCGGAACGAACTATGTGTTGCGGACATGCTAGTCACCAATCACAGGTGGGGACCGCAATTACTGATGGGCCACCGAGAGCCAACCGATCCATCTACCACTCAGATCACATGCAACACCCAATACCCAGACATCCCCAGAGATTCAGGGAAAAGAAAAACCACGATCATGCTTAGTGAGCAAGAGCATGACCCGCCCTGATCCCTGATCAAGGCCCACCGGCAGGGGCTTTCCGGTACATATGTAGTCAGGTGGATTTGTTCTGTTCCACATTTGCAAAATTAAACCAGATATAGGCGTCAATCCATTTAGACCGTATTTCAGCCTGTCCGCCAACCAATGTTCCTTGTGGTGAGAGCACCTGGCGAGATTGTTGAATCAGTCCCATTTGGTACAATCGCCATTTGTCCCAGAGAGGTAACCCCAGTCTTCGGAACACTTGGAAATCCAATTGCCAGAGAGTGTACCAATCACGCCCCTTTTCTCCGCTGCGAAGCATATGAAAATAAGAACGGACAGAGTTGGTACAGAGAGCCGAGTTCGGAGAGCGACCCCAATTGACCGGTGTATCTTCAACAATTGGCAAAGGCCATGTTGGTAGCGTCAAATTGGGTGGCGGGACAGCAATCAAAAATGGAGCTTGAGGATTGAGGATTAGTGGTTTGGATGAACATAGATCGACTATGCATTCCGAGACCGTTTCAAGTTCTTGTGGATAATGTAACCATTCCAAATATTCTTCAATGAAATAGTCTATCTCATGGGTAGACCATAGCCAACGGTTGATTACGGCATCATGGATTTGGTGAAAGAGCTCCAGTCTCCACAGGCTTCGGTGCATCCGATAGGATTCGATCCAGGATGAAGGATCAATCTTGAATTGAAAGACTTCGCCACCTTGGGGGGGTGGGCCTTTTTTGTGTATCCATTTCTCAAGCTCGGCATTGGAACCCCCAGGAAGCCAGGGTTTGGCGGATTCGAGACGAGTGAAGAGACATTGGAAACAAGCACAGGCAAGGAAATGAATTTTGGCTGCGGTGCCTATAGTGTGACGCACCGTAGCTAGTGAGTGAGTGGAAAGGCAAATGTCTCGTCCAGTATTCCATGAAAGGACTTGTTTAGCATTCTCGGACAAGCTAGTGAGCTCTGCGAGCAAGGTTTCCGGGGTGAATGGCGTCAACTGAATCGAGGCGAGGAGCGTAAAATAGCCATGAAGCCCCTGGGAGGCATGGGAACAGTTTCTCAGGACACTTTCCGTGATTTTTTTGAACGAACTGTTAAATGCTTGCTCCACTCGGGGGGAGATTTGTTGCAGACCGTCCAAGCCGGCGACGTCGCAAGATTCGAGAATCTGCCAGATGATTTCGACGGAGAGTTTGGCGAAGGGATGCATGGGGGAGGTGGAGGAAGAAAGATGGAAAGGGGAGAGTATTTATATGCTAATTTATCACTTAGCTGTCTCGACTAAAAAGGCTAGCAGTTGACTACATTTATTCAATTCGGGGTTAACCAGTTCATTATTGTTGATTTATTTATTTATTTTACCTTGGGATTAAATTTACATGTCTAAGCCTGAAGATCCATCGCAAGCGCAGATGCCATCGAAATTGGTGAAAAATCAAGCATCGTCGGTCATAGAACGTACGGCGTCAAGAACCAGAGTATACAGTCTTTTGTGAAACTACCACCCTGCTTCCAGAAATCATGCCCGTTGGCTGCCATATCACCTTCAACAGCCTGTTAGCGCGGTCTAGTTTGAACCAAACTGAAGACTTACATGAGTTGATAATCGTAGCGAAGTTCTGCAAACATGTTTTGATCGCGGCATCATGAATTTTAGCAGAAAAGTCAGGGAAGGAGGGACAGTTGCTCCCACTTGTTTTCCTGATATCAAAAAATAAGATGGGCTTGACCGGGGTGTCTAGTTGGCCGTAATCTATGCCGTAGTTGCCATTGCCATCGGAAGAAAAGTCAACATTTTCTTGCTCGCAGACAGAGCGCGCAACGGAGTTGAAGTGAGGGTGCCAAATTGAGCTTTGTCTTCCTGCTTGTAGTCATTGTTGTCTGACATGCATCTAATTACACCCCCATCAACGGTATGAGTCTGCTCGGGCCGGTGAGTAGTGGTGCTGGTCTTTTCGTGGGTAATGGTGGTGACCCGGCGATCATCAGTCGTGGTGACGAGCTTAGATGATGCTCCACCGTCTTGTCCTTGGTCCGCGTACGGGTTTACAGAGTAGCAGGCATCTACCCCTGTGGTCGTAGCCGATGGAGTCGCCCGGCAGCCGGTGTGGACGTGGTAGCTTGTAGTGGTGCATGAGGTGGATGTCGAGTCAATAGTCTTGCAAGATACCCATTCATCCGTAACGGTGGCCGTCTCGATACAGTCATCATTATCTTTATCTGGGTCATCGCCCGGATCTTCACTTGGTCCTGGGTTAGGATTTGGCAGGGATCGTTAGAAGCAGAATACCCTCCACCGCCACAAGCCACTAGACAAGGGCCGTGGCAAAAGGACTTGCAAGCGATATCACATCTTGCACGATTAGTACAAGACGGCCCATTCTTGCTGTCTAAAGCTTTGATGTACCGACTGCAAGCGAAGTTACAGAGACCTTTCATCAGCAGATACTCGTCACCGTCATCAGTATCCGGGACTCCTTGAATACTATCTGGCTCGGGTGGAGCATAAAGAGGCCCTGTTGATAAACACGTGCATGAATTGACGGGATAGAATCCGGAATTACAGGCGAAGCTGCAGAGCCCAGCCATTTTGCCCTCGCCTTCGCCGCTGGTACAGGCTAGCGGGGTGAAAGGAGAGCTGGTGGGAATATATACTGCTCTCTCGGTGGTGGAGCACGCCGTCTTAGGACAGTATCCATAATTGCACGCGAAATCACATAAGCCAGCATAATTGGCATCCCTGTTAGCAGGATACCCTTTGACTCCGGTGGCTTTGGGGAGCGCCTTCTTTCCTATCGCGGTACAGTAGCAGGCGCCAAATGGGCAGTATCCATATTTATATGTAAACGCACAGAGTCTAGCAAGGTTAGTAGCTCCTAATCCAGCAATACAGAATTGATCGGACAGTGATAGCTTTGGAGAAACTGCTGGAATTAACGTCTCAGAAGTTGCGCTTTCCACCCACGCATTCCAGCTATTGAGACCGTTGTCGCAGACCGTAGTGATAGGGGTGCCGCTAACCCTGATAACCGCAAGATCCCGGACAACAGTCACACTAACATCTCTAAACAGGTGTAAGTTGAAATCAATACTGCCATGGTAGATACCAACTCCGCCATCTGGCTCCGACTCCCATGAAGCATAGAATTTCAGACCATCGATAGTCACTTCGACCGTGGCGTTGGAACCTAGGAAAGCGGAGAAAAATATTTTGTTTTCAAAGACTGTAGAGGCATGGTATTCGACTTGTAATTGACTTGCTGTGTTTCCCGTGATGCCTCCACCATTAGAAGTGAGTCTGGATTGCTTGCGATACCAGATCACCAAGCTCTCTTCTGTCAAGGAGGCTTTACCATTTTTGTACTGGTCGATCACGTACGGAAGTCGAAGTCTCCAACCATCATGCGGCATACCGCGAACATAGTTATATGGTGCCTTGCCAGTCGTGAAAGCGACGTAGGCTTTGTCATTCAGGGGTCCAATGTAATGGTATTCTCCGTAGTCATTCGAGGAGATCATCTCCACCTATTCCGGTTGGATATAATCGACTTCCGTCCATCGGTCATACCATAGATCATCGGAATGCCAAGCCCAATTCTTGTCGTATCCGGGCATATTAGTATAAAACTGCGGGGAAACAGGCATCATGTATGTCTTTTCACCCATGGCCGCGAGATACTGGAGATAGGATGTATCGATGTAGGTGTTCATCCGTTGAATGCCCCATGGCCAAGCTGCCCATGAGAAAAGACCGTCGGCAACGCCCCCAGCGAGCTTAAGTGCGAGCTTCGCTCCAACAGATGACCAATCAGGAACAAAAAAGCAGCCAGTTTCTTACTTGATAGAAACCCAGTCCTCTGCATTTGCAGAGCCTTCAAAGGTAGAACCGAAAGGTTGGCCATTGTGTTGGAGATGGGCGGAGCTGGACGAGTATTTGCAACAGGCTGATCACCTCCGACTTGGGCCACGCCCCATTACCGGCATAGTCCAGAGAGAAGAACAGTTTAAATCCAAGGCTCTCAGCTACAGAGAAAGCATCTTCAACCGACTTCTCGTTGGTTGCCTTGCCATGGGCCACATTCAGGGCAAATGCATCGATGTGGGCGTCATGAGCGAGGGAGATATCATTTTTCCAGTCCGCAAGCGTGTATCTCTCTGTATTTTCCACCTATCGACCTGTTTAGCTATCGAAATGAGTTGGACCAGGAGGAGGATTACCATGAAATGGGCAAAGGCGGCTTTAGCAGACGCCTGTGGGGCTATGATCAAAATCGCGAGCAGGGGAAACCTCACGAAAGAGGCCCTATGAAGACCATGGCGAGCAACAGAACCATCTTTCCGGTAAGACATTGGGAAGGAAGAATTGGACAGTAGCCAAGCAGACATGTTGTATACACTCACCACTGCACTAAAGACCAACGCTTGGGTTTAATCACTCGCTTCGAAAATTACCTTCATCTCGACGCGGACCTCGGACTTTTTCCGATATACACTAATCTGTGGATCTAAACAACGCCGTTTCCCAGAGTTCTACTTGTACAAGTACGAGTATCAATCAATCAATCAAAGTTCTATTAACCTGTTGCAGCCTATCTAGTATCGAATAGCTATGCAGGCGCTTCTTTCCAGTTGAAGCAAGAACTCGTGTCCCGTACGCCTGATCATGCTCCAGTACAGAAAATTGGGCTGGTTCTCGAAACGAAAGAGAGCACCAGCCCTATATGTAAGCCAAATCCATAATCCCAGTAGACACGAAGCCAGTACAAATGAGATTCTCAGCGCTGTAAGCCGCTGAGTACATAATGAATGCGTGGGTTGGAGGAGTTTCGAAGAACTGTCGAGATCACGTGATCCAGGATAGACCCGAGAGTAGTTAGTTAGCGAGCCTGAAGAGCAGGACTTCTTCCTCTCTCCGTCCTTCATCGTCAATAATAACTTCACATTATTGCTGCTTCCTTTCACTTGTCAAAATTATCCCGAAGATGTGGGTTTTGTCGCAGTTCTCCTCACAGAGTTGCATGGCCAAACTCGGGTTAGAGAAGGTAATATTGTCTATGTTATCTTGGAAGAGCTTCAAAGCGGACTGGGAAAGGCCTTGGTTCAGCAGACCCTGGCCAATATAGAGACCGATAGTAGCCTGACCCGACTTGCCGTAGATGATGAAGGGGCGATCTGTGGCTTCATCGCTCTTCTCAACGTACTGACGAACCTGCTTGATGAGAGAGCGCAGCCCCGAAACTGCAAGCCCAAACCCGTCCTCCCACCAGCCCACCTCGAACTCAACATCAACAGATTTTCCAGACGCAACCCGCGAAGCGGAGATCTGAAAAATATCAGGACCGAAAGACGAGCAAGCATGAATCTCGGGATTCATATCCTGGTCGTCAACGGGATCAAATAGAGAGAAGCCGCAAAACATGATATCTTTGCATCCTTTAAACTTCTTGAAGTCGGGATACACGGACCACTTTCCGGTGTTCGGCCCCAGAAGCACTGCATCGCTCAGGGCAGACATCAATGCTGTTGTAGCTTGGACTGGCGGAACCCTTGAATCCTGGGGTGGCAACAGCACCATTGACAGCGAGCAAGTGGCCGATTCCAACAGCCTTAAAGGCCGTCGTGAAGGAGCAGGGCACCATTTCGTCCCCAAAACAAACAAAGAAATTTCAAAATAGCGAATGAGTGATTAGCGAATGTGTGATATAATGAACGATAAGGAAGTGATTTCCATAAGAGGAAAAAAATGGCCCAGTTGTCTTTATATTCCTAGAGATGTCTATATCTCTTTCTTGTCTTCTGGCCCCGGATATCAGTTTCACGTCCGTATCCCAAACCTTCAAGCCTCGCTTTGACGGTAGGTTACATCGGCTCATTTCCGGTTCATCTTGATTCGGCTAATCATCCCTTATTTTAGCCGCTAAAATATCAACATATACGAGAACATATGACAATCGAGAAGGATCTCCCTGATCCTGTCTAACCTAACAAGAAACCTAGGTCAAAACTAGCGCTTTGGTATTGATGAGACTATAGAAATATATCCGACTACAGCTAGCGTGCAAGAAGAGGAGAATAGTTGGAGAACAAACCCTAAGTGGAGTAGGCGGCGAATAGAAGTTGCGTCACTGTGTCAGTGTAGTGAGGCAAACAGCCACTATTGGTCCCTTCCGAAGGCTCAAGCCTTCCGCTCCACTACGACACTCTCGATGCGCTCCGGGCCGTGCCGTGGTCCACGCCATGTGCCCGCCGTTACCAAAAATGGCTGGGCTTTATTTCCCTACTTAAGGATGGGCTACAAGTGAACTTCAACATGGCTCAACATACGAACTGATAATATATGAATTATGTGGAATCAAGCAGCAGCGCGCATGTGATCTAATTAAATAGGGTATATACACAATAGCCAAAAAGCATGGGCCGAAAAAACCGAGGTTTTATAACAGAATTAGGAGATCAAAGATCGGCTAATGCAGGAACATAACCAAACAAGAAGTAATCCCAGTGCCCCAAATGTAGCGAGCAAGCAGGATATGCCGGCCACAGCCAGTGGTTGCGCGGCCCTATTCTTATGCACCGGGCAATCGGACGGTGGGTTTAAACCACCGCATAATCTGGCTGAGTAAGAGGCCTCCATGCTTGCGACAGTGGTGTTGTCAATATGGACCTGATAGGGCTGGACGTGAGAGTCGGAGTAGAGTTTGCCACCACCGCGCATGTGTTATTCGTGTAGTCACGGCCAGACCACCTCACGTTCCAGGGAACATTCATTGTTTCGTCGGTAACGTTGGGTACCACGCCGTAGTCCTCGGGGCAAGTCTTGCCGTTGCTTGCTGTAGTAGCAACGACATCCACCGTAGGGGCGGAACTCTGAGTGGTAAAATAGGTTGCCCAAGTGGTCATATTGCTGATCATCTTAGAGGTGTCGAATTTCTTTTCAAAGGCGTCCACGTCGTAACTCTGCCAGGTCAGGGTCCAGCTCACTTTGTACTGACCCTCATTTTTGAAATGAGTGAAGTACGCATGTGCAAGGTAGGTGTCCTGGTCGGTCCAGTTTGTCGATCTAGGTCCATTTCTAGGATATCAGAAGCCTTAATCATAGTCCCCATATAGGCAGCAAGTAACCAACTCGGCCTAGGAATTTGTATGCTCAGGGCAAGTTGATCCTTCAAGCGTGGAGTTGGAACTATGGGAGGGAGAGAAAAACGCGTTAATTGCTTTGCGAAAAATGAAAATAGGAACCAACGTGGTAATTAGCGGCTGGCGAAGGCAAAATTCAGGAAAGAAAATAGGGGCCACGCGCGAAGATAGACTGCGGAGGCAATGAAATGGTAGCAGGGTTTGAAAGAATGCAAGCGATAATTACATCTGTCCTGTCTGTCGCTAACGTGCAATATACGCAACAACGTCACCCAAGAACCAGCTCAGTGCCCTTCGCACCCCAATTGAAAACTGTGCGATGTCTCCTACACGCGCATCAATCATCTGAAAGGACATATGCATCGCGCTCTCGAATGCCGCCAGCGACCGCTGGAAATTACTATTTACCTCCCGCATATATAATTCACGGCAAACTGAAGCATCTCATCCATACGAGTACGATTAGATTTGAGCTTGACACGGATTTATATCAGACGTAATATTTCCCATTAACTAATATTTCCAGCAATTGTAGTGTGACCTCACACAGTGATTTCCCTCAAGAGTGTCTTTCATGTCATAAGATATGATTGCTCGGTCCTTTCATGTATATACATATGAATGCCGGGTTCTTGGGTGACCGGGAGCCAAGGCTGTGTTGAGTACTTTGGATTGTGGTGCACTCGAACTGAGGTAAGACCCGGGTTTTGACCGCTTCTGAAAATTCGGGTACATCTTATCCCCGATAATCTGAACAGCTTCATCCAATCTCCAGCTTAAGGCTTCCTTGTCTGAAGACATCTATAAGGTAGAAAGAAATATACCTTGTTTCGAAAGGAGAGCTGCGTTGCGCGCCATGATGTATTTGAAATATAGCTAGTTGTTGCTGGCATGGACTCAGCTATGACCTATCGGCTAGGATGAACGTATAACCAAATGAGGGCAAGTGTATGTGGTCGACATGATTTTCCCAGGTACTAATTAAAGCCTAATGCAGGCTCTATGTTGAGGCTTACTAAACTAAAATGCACTAACGTAATTCACATGCGAGCTGGACACACAAGCGAGCTGGACACCCCACCTAATCAATCAATTTTAAATGCATTTATCTCAACCAAAACGCCATTAAATTCAATGAATTAAACTCGAGATCTATCAGGACATGTAGTCATTCTATGACCCTGAATTCCACAAACGCTACACTTCGGTAAGGCTCTCGTACGTGGCTGAGAAGGTGTCGGAGCTAGCTCTGCCTCGCGGGGCAATGGTGCTAAAACTGCTTGCTCTGACTGCGCTATTAGAGTAGAGGCCTCTAAAACTGAGAGGCCTTCTCCGGAGGGTATTTGCCTTGTAGAACGAGCCCTTTTTTGCCTCTTCTTCTCGTTTTCAGCGCGTAAATCGCTTACTTCTTTCTCGAGTAAGGCAGCTGATTGCATCGTGCTTTGACAGGCTTTTAAAACCTGATTAATCGCGGAATTTAGCGGACTCGGTGGGCTTTTTGAGCGTTGTTTAAGTAAGGCTTTTATTGAAGAAGCTTGTTTTTGTAATTGGACGTAGTTCGAGGGCGTTTTCGGCGACCACTCGCTTCCCCGGCTCGAGGGGGGTGTCGGGGTTCGAAGCTAAATATCAAGCTTTGAAATCACTCGATCGGGGTTATACGGTATTAGACCGGCAGCGGCGAAGCTATTTTTAATAGTCTTTGATTCAAATGTCTCGTTTCGGGCAGACGGGTAGGCTTCGAGGAATTCTAGTTTATCGACGTGATTGATATTTAGCCGAACTTTCGATTCGACTAACCGACCGTACGCGCGCTTTAACCCCGCAAAACAGCCAATATCGAGAGGCTGTAAAAGGTGAGACGAGTGCGGAGGCATACAAATTGCGATAATATTGTTCTTCTCGCAAATTTCGTCGAATTTCGCGGTTAAATGACTTCCGTGGCCGTCGAGTATCAAAAGTCTATACTTCCCTTTCGTACGCGAAGAAGTAGACGGAATAAACTGCTTTTGAAGCCACCGAAGGCTAATTTCGTCGGAAGTCCACCCATTCGAACTAACATCGAGTCTCCAATCAAGCGGAAGGCCGTCGAGCCAAGATTCAATAAGGACTTTACCCTTAAAAATAATATACGGAGGAAGCGCCCACCCTGACGCGTTTATACACTCGATTGTAGTCACCCACGCGCGATTTCTAGGCTGTAAAAGCGATCTCCGACCGTAGAATTCCTTTCTCGTAATAACTTTTGCGGTCGCAATTAAGCCCATTGCAAACCCGGTCTCGTCAAAGTTATAGATATCGTCGAGATCGATACCGTACGTTAGAATCGTTTTTTGAACGAGAGAGAACCATTCAGAAATGATTTTTGGGTCTTCGCATTTTGCTCGCTGATAATCGTAGCGTCTCGAGAATCGGGCCGATAGGTCAGAATGCCTTTTAACGAAATTCGTAACCCAATTTTGGCCGACCGAAGGAGGAGGGATAGATCCACGCGCCGCGAGTAGTAAGTCTGCTATTTCTCGTACAGTAGAAGGCCGAGGGGCTGCTCCACGAGAATCCATTGAGAGAATCCATTTTCGAAGCGATTCCTCCTCAATTTCAGTCAATTTGTATGAATTTGCGCGAGATTCAACGCGGTTTTTAACCCCATTAAGGCGTGTAGCGAGAGTTGAATTCGGTACTTTGAATTGGCGTGCTGCTTCACGAATAGAGGTAAATTCTTGCTTCCGAATAGCCTGAATAGCTAATAAGATCCTACCCTCTTGCTCCGTACGTTTTTGAGAGGATTGAGTACGAATTGGTGGCATAGTGGGTGGTTAAAGAAGAGAGATCTAATTAACTAACGCGTTTTTGGTGGGGTGTCCAGCTCGCTTGTGTGTCCAGCTCGCATGTGAATTACGTTATTGGCGACATTCTTAGTCCATACAATCATTTGTTGCTCTGATACGAAAATGGGTCAGTCTTTTTTTCTCAAATACTGTACTAGCTTCAAAGCTGAACTTTGGTGTTTAATTGTATAGATTAGAAGTGCCACCCTGAGGCCCAATTTAGACCGCTTTGGACGATAGCATCCACTTTGTTCTGGTCCACGGAATCGTGGAGCAAGTATCCCCACGTGAGGCGACCTTATTTAGTGTGTTCCCAACTCAATCCTGCTTTACCGTGATCCCCACGCAAATCCGGTATGCGTCCTGACATAGCACATTAAGCTTCGCATGATATGCTTTTGCAATTACGGAAAATGCAATCAAGTGGCGTCTTCACGAACCGTGCGAGATTTACCGAGACGAGTCTTCACACGTGGAACCAAAGGCAACAAGCAACATTTACCACTTTATTATCCTGGCCAGCCCTATGATAGTAGGGATTTTATTATCCCATTAGGCTCTTGGAAACCAATATGAGAAGTGCAAGTTGGTTTCATTCATGCTGAAGGATCATGCAGAGCTGCCCTCACTTTTAACATGCTCTCCACGCTAGCATATGTTCCGTACTTGATGGCATACCACAATGCACTTTTCGATGGTCGATTTTGAAGGTAAACATCCAAATTTCGCTGGTTGCCACACTTCTCTTTTCGGTGACGTAGCTGTTGAGCGAACATTGATTGGCTCACCGACATGCGTGATAACCCCGCGATAATGGCGGCTGAGCCCCAGAGGGTAGGTGGTCCGTCAAATCATCGGTCAAAGTGTAATGAAAGACGCCTACAATGACTCAAAAATCATCTCTGGGTCACCTAGTCTCATTTCAGACTAATCGGCAGCCCAGGCGCCGCTTTAACTGTATCTCAGGGGCTCGATCATGCGTGGGGCACGCCGGCATTACTGATCTAGGTTGTGCTCTGAACGGATCATCCAGATTCACGCTTGAACGAACTAAGCATGGCCAGGCTAAATAAGTTAAGTTGTTATATACACCCAAAATATTCACCCTGGGGCAAGGTGACGATGATCCTGATTGAGACCAAGACAGTGACGCAATAAGAGGCCCCGCTTGCTGGTACTTTTCGGCTAATTGTGATTAGCGTAAACCTAAAATTTATGCCGTTGAGTAATCGAAGGGGAGACTTAATCAAGTCACAATAAGTTACTAACAATGGAATTTGGCATAATCCAAGGCCATACACAGATTAGCCCTCGTCATCCTTCCATACTTAAAGCGCTATCGCCCTGGACTAGAACGTGCCTCCGGAAATACCGTTGTTGTACATGACCTTCATGTTCTGCTCTCGCACGAGCTCTGGAGCAAAACCACCATGCCCCGTAATGCTTCTTTTTCGTCCGCAGCCCGTCCCCCGCCTTTCTCTGGACAAATTGGTGTCCGCCTCGACCATGACACGGTCCGTGGGCCGCTGTCCTTTTTCAACCCAACACAGGCGTGCTTTCATCTGGACACAGAGGCGCAGCAGCATCCCCAGTTGCGCCACGATCAAATTCCGCAATTCTACGCAACCCGAGTTGCAATGCCCGGCGCGGTCATCAATTGGAGATCTCGAGACAATCGCAAAGGGCGACACCCACTGGGTGTCGACTCTGTTTATCCAGACTCAACAGCAAGTTTCCGCGTCGTGAGCCATGGCCTATTGCGCATGTGCACCGAATGCCCGTACTGGGACGTTTCCTACCTGGTCGCCATTTCTTTCTCTATTGGGTGCCTGCTTTTTGTAATCAGTGGCCTATTTTATTGGCTGCCGCTCGTAGCTCCCGCCTCGGAGTTTTCCACAGAGACCATGGCGGGAGACATACTCTCATTCGTCGGAGCCACGCTGTTCCAGATCGGAGCAGTTCTTCTGTTATTTGAAGCATGTAATGAGAATCGTACCGGATGCTTTGGATGGGCACTCTATCACGCTCTCGAAGGAGATGACAGTGATTCCGCCGGGGCATTATTCGCCAAAGCCGATGCTTATACCTGCCAGCATCACCACCACCGGAGACGCAAGCCTAATTCAGTGAAGCAGCAGCTACCAGCCCCACCCCAACAGCCCCCACCGGAACGCCAATGGACCTGGTGCCCTACTTGGCACGAGCTGAGGACGCACTATTTTCACGAAATAGGATTCATGGCTTCCATTACAATGTCCGTCGGCGCTACCATCTTCTACGTTTGCGGTATCTGTACGCTCCCCTGGATCCATGACAACCTAAGCTTGGGTACTATTGAGGGCGTGTACTATCTGACGTATCTCGTTGGTGGTGTCATCTTTATTGTTTCCTCGGTCCTGTATATACTGGAGACCCAGCCAACTTGGTACACGCCGGCGCCCCATCTGCTGGGATGGCATGTTGGCTTGTGGAATCTGATTGGGTCTATAGGCTGGACCCTAGCGGCCTCATTTGGTTACTGCTCCCGCAGCTGGTGTGCCTATCAGAGTTACTTGACCTTGACCTGGGCCTCTGCCGCTTTTTTGATCGGTAGCATGCTCCTTTGGTACGAGGCACTCCAAAAGTATCCTGTGGAGAAAATGAGATAATGTCTGGTCTTTGTATTTGAGGGACATAGCCTAATTTTCGGGTCCGATGACTTGTGTATCTCTAGCCCTTCTTAGTTTTACAGTCATGTCTTCACATAACCCTACCTGGATTAACGCGTAGGTCGCACGCTTGTAAGCATCATGAACGAAATGGAAACTTTGATCCAGCCAACTCACGATCAAACAGGCTTCATAGCTACCAGCTAAGCAGCTTTCGACAAGCTATTTTTTGCTATACTATCGTGCTTACCTGACCAACCCTCTCAAGGCGAATGTTGCGGCAAGTACCATAGTTGCGTGGTTTGATCTGTTTGCTCTTTGGTTTGCGATGGCTGATACAGACACTACAAAAAGAGGGGGCACATCCCGGTCGAGTCTTGCCTTGGCCAAGTGGATGCTGGACGATTTACTTATGTCAATCGCCCCCTCTTGCAAACAATATAATGCTCGAATACGAGTGTCTAGACTCCAACAGTCCCCGCTCTTTCCTCTTCTCTGTTGTCGCCAATGTCGGCCCCCGTGGCGCCAGCCGCTCCCTGGCCGTGGCCTACCGCCAGGGCAACGACAGGGACGCCTCAGCTTCATCTCGGACACGCGTGGAGAATGTCGTGGCAGACACCCTCGCGCTGATCTAAATTCTCTCGGATCCCATAAACCGCGCGCCGCTCGAGGCGGAGAGGGCGCTCGCGGAGGGCTGGTATCGTCGGTCTCAGGGGGGCAATGAGACCGAGAGTACTGAGCGTCCCACCATTTCAGACACGCCACAGCCCCCTTTCATCGTGCTTGATGGCTCCTGGCGGCGGGAGCAGCCGCAAATACTGCCCGAGCTGCCAAGGCACGATGACGCGCTCAGCGAGTTCCCCTTTACAACGACATGCCTTTTGCTGGGGTTGTTGCGCGATGATGGAGATGGAAATGCCAGTGTCACTCATAGCAACCGCACGCGCCCCGGCGACATCCAGCTCCGGCCGCTATCGACTGCGTTCCGTGGCGACTGCACCGAGTATGGCCTTGTCGTTCTCGATATCTCCGACCTCGACAGCGGCATCAAGTACGACATCGTTGGCTTCCCCGTGTGCTACATGGCCGAGGTTACCTTCTACTGCAAGGAGGGTGGATGGGATCTCGTTGAAGACCCCCCGCCTAAGAAGGAGCCTGACATTGTACTCATCAGCCCGCGGCCTCGAATGCCGTTATCTATCCTTCAGTGACTACGCAAGTACTTCTACTATATGAGCCTGGACGCGAGACCTAGTATCCTAAGACTAGAGGATAGGCCGCTTGTTGTTCCTGCTGCCTTGGACTGTACGTATTTTTCCACGCCATCTGTACATCTATAGGGTCAAGATGATGTGCATGTGCTGACTTGGGAATTGTAGACATTTGGCCGCCGGAGCTTGAAAATCAGGCTAGAGAACCTTCGCAGGGTGTCATCTCAAGCATCTCCGACTGTCTGTGAATTACTCGCGCTTCCCTATGCTCACCCATATCTACCGCATTTACTGACTTATGAAACAGACTTTTGGTCTTCAAAGTCCACCACCAGCGCCAAAGATGTGTCGATCAGAACAGCCTCACGGTTAACCACGTCACACGAGCCGCCGCGAAATGCGCACATGGACCGCGCCATTGATAATCTGCTAATTCTCACACAGGAGCCCGCTGGTCTCCACCTCGACAAAGAGACAATTGGCAGATTCCAAAAGCTCGCCGAATTCCGCGAGCAGCTGCGGCGGCGGCTCGAAGAGGTGCCCGACAGCCTAGGCCCGTCCTCTGAGGCCTCGGGCCACGTTCTCTGGGTTGCGTACGCTGGAAACACGCACCTCAACTGGGTTGCGTTTAGAAACCTCGCGCCCAGCGTGATTTCTGCCGCCATTGTATCCGACGAGCTTCGGGGCGCGTCTGCGCTCAGCCTCTGCGTCGATAAGTTCAAGCTGGAGGGAGGCGAGGGGGGCCTCGGTGACCTAGTAGTGGCTCTGGCGGAGTCCACGACCCTCAAGCAGCTCTGTTTCGTGCGGGGACCGGACAGGACCAACGACGATGCCTCTGTTCTTTTCTGCACGCAGCTGCTGTTGCGGGGGAGGTCATCAGGAGACTTGGGATCGCTCCGCGACAAAACCATCTATCCAACTTACGCCTTTTCGAGATCCTTGCGCATCCGCAAATTTGCATCGCCCAGGACAACTAGTGTCACTTTCACTTCCTCCGTCGTCCAAGTCTTTCCCGGGGTGCACATGTTCACGTTTGAGGGTCATCAACGCGAAGATGTCGCAGACGCAGACCACCAGAACAGTCACTACTACGACATGGGCTACACCCTCCTAGACCCCGAGCGCTTTGCCATCCAATTCCTATCATACCTCCGTTCCATAGGTTCGGGTTCTGACAAGGCCATCTTGCGGTTCGCATACGGGGAGGCCTCCTCGTCGGTCACCACCACCACCACCAACGACAAGTCACCGCTGCCATCCTTATCGTCCGGAAAGTTCGCTGTGAGTCCCATTCCCGCTGAATTTTTTGGCAACCGCCTCGCAGCAAATGATGAGTCAAGAGTCAGAGTCAGAGACATAGACCCCGGCAGCTGGGTCCTTCTTCTGGACCAAAAAGGCCGCAGTTCAAGTGACGACGACGATGACTTCCTACGATACTCTTTTGTCAGAATTCATCAAACCTCTGACGAGATTGCACCCGAGCAACAACAAAAAAGACCCGTCCCCGCCCCTGATCTCGTCGAGGTAGTAGGCGGCCTAACAGAGTTCCTGCGCGAGACTGTGCCAGGGATTGATATTTCCACGTGGGAGAAACGAGTCGAGGAGGCAGAGAAGGACTTCCGCGCGCGGCGGGCTTCAATTGAAACGGGGAAACGGTGCATCGGCATCGGCGTCATGGCTGAGAGCAGTGCCCGGGCATTGCTTGACCAGTTACTGTGATATCATGGTATTAACTATTCGAGCATATTTCAATATTGGATGTTGCGAACTGAATTATTTATTTCTGAACTGTGCTGGAATAGATAGTAGTGACAGTGACTAATCATTTTTTCTGAAATGTAACCTACTATGTACTAGGTATGTACATACATATCTCGCCCCCAATCTATCCGAAAGATATATAGTGGAACCTAAGCATCTGACCTCCCAGGGGCCAGTCGAAAAGTTTTCTGGTGGACCTACAGTGGCGCCGTACAGGCTGGAGTACATCTACCGCCTAGTTTCTGCCACTTATTCTGCCGGTTCAAAATATCCCTGACTTCCTAATGTTCGATATGTATACCGTCCATTTCACGCAATAATAGCCTACACTCTCCGCAGCATGCCCTCCGAAAGGCTTTTTAAAATACTCAGATCAAGCTACTGCCATGCCTTCTCTGCAGTATCAATCAAAAATATCTAAATTTTCGAAGCTGGACTAGTCCGAATTAGGAAGACGAGAAGAAGGCGGTAAATTTGATTGCCTCAAACATTTGCGGCGCCACTGCAGGAGCTGATGCATGTACGAAATGCATATACCCATACTGCGAAGTGGAGAAGGGGATGTTAGTTAACCAATTTTCTGTGCTCGGTACCAGGTTCCCTTTCGGCACCGCTTCCGAGGGTTTGGCGGGCATTGTTGACTTTCATATACTAGTGTCATATACTAGTGCTGTGTCCGAGGAGCCGGAAAACCTCCGAGCCACATTCCAGATCGATTACAGGTTCCACTAGCTAAGGGGCAACAGTGAAGAGCTACTCGCCCAATCAAACGTTTCGTATACCACACTTAAAGGGTCTAAGGGTCCTTTTACTCCACAGTGTGGCCCTTCGCTTACATATAGGCGTATAACCCCGGGGCCCACTCCCAGTGGGAGTTGTATAGGGACTAGTATATTGCGCGATTAAATTAGTACTCAGTCTCAGAGCAGATTCCACTGGAACGCTACTTTGATAAATTTGAGAATTTGTACTGTATCACGTAGTGTTGGTATTAGTTCGAGTTGGTAATGGCCCTGTTGGAAAGATTATCATAGTTTCTGGTTTATCCCGTACCTGAGCATTTTGTACATATGACAGTCCCATCTTCCAGTACTTTCCAGTCCCAACATCATACACTCATTTCCAAACATCTTTTTCTTCTACACATTACACCTTCGTTTGACTCAAATGATGGAGTTTGCTCGCCCTGCAGGGGCTTTTAAACCCCTACTTGGCCAGCTTATCCTTTTGACGCAAATTGTGTTAATTGCGCAAGCTCACCCGTACAGCAATCACTCTATTTCCCAAGAGGCTCGGAGGATAACCTCTATCATGTCGTTGCAAGAGCCACTGATGCTCAATCTACGGCCCTGCCAAATTCTGGTAGAATTCGGGTGCACACGAGCTGCTTGAGCTATTGGAATCTCGGTGAATGGGATGCCACTTTGGAGCAATTAAAGGTCGTGGTAAGTGAAATTATCCAAGTTTCTCAGGCCATGAACACTAGGATGAGCTCAGAGGGGGGAGTTACATTTTTCTAATATCGATTATGAGGCAGGCCAATTACGGCCAGCAGGCTACTCAAATGACACTCGACTTGATCAACAACAACATGAACAACAACAATCCAACCCTGCATGCACAGCAAAGACGCATAATAGATCTCTTCATGGTTCTTTATGGATCTTCCAGGTGAGATGACGTCGCTACAAAGACGAGAGTAAGAGACCGCGCCGTACGAGTGAATCGTAGGTTACAAATACCTATTCATTACAAAATGCCAATGCTTCCAATCTTTCGAATTAAATCTTCTAGAAATGGCTGCTATTTTCGCGAATGGTCTGATACAGAACACGGCCAACTGGAATTTCTTCTGCGACGAGAGCGAATGGGTCCTCGACCCTAATGTCCCTTCTACTGTTAAACAAGGTGAGTATTATCCAAAAATTCCCCTTAATTCAAACTTTCATCATCATGAAACCATATCTGACTCATGATATGTGTAGAATTTTGGATGATCAAGGACCTACTTGCTAGTCCTCGCAAGCAAAAAGTGTCCGCGTCTCTTTGTACGATCCCACGAGATTATAAGGCTGGATTCGGTGGTGGGCAAGCGGAAGCGGTCACGTTAACAGCCAAACACGCTCAGGGTAATCCTAATTGGATTATATTTTGTGCTGGGGTGTGGTCTCAGTTGAAATTTCCGACGAAAGTCTGGTATCAACCTGCAAATAAAGCAGCAGTTGTGTAAAACGGTGATTTCCTTTATAATATGATCCATAACACACCAGAGTTACTCCTCACGCATGAGTTCACCCACGGGGAAAGCCAATTTGGTGCTTATTATGGAAGTAAGTACTTTACGATGCTACTTTCAACATATCGGTCTGCTAATGAATGGCTCTCCTCTAAACTGTTTTAGGGGATATAAAGTATGGCTGGGTAGACGTCGTTCAGCTTGCTAAAGACGACAACGCTCAGACTGATGCTACAAAGTCAGACTGTCAGCAATGCTGGTACAATTTCTTTTTCTGAAATATTGACTTGTGAATCGTGCTGATTATTTCTAGATACTTTCACATATTGGATCAATTGTAAGTTGCAGAATCCCCTATGGTTCCTCAAGACGACAGGTGGTTGATTAAACTAACCACCGGCGGCTGGGTGTATATCTGGAGATGTGCAACTTCCGCAGCGGGAGGTGTGAAGACCCCGATGAAGTAGCAAAAACGCCCTAAAACTCGGACTCTTCCTGACTCACTGTGTGCAAGCAAGTCTTCCTCGGGCCTCTTCACGTGTGAGTATCTCTGCTCATTTGGTATCCCCGGGGCTGTGACGATGTGACTTGACGATGTGACCGATCACGTGATGTTATCACGTGGAAGGATTGTGATTGGCTGGCGGAGGTTGATTTAGTCTCTTAGATAGCTCCGCGCCTCCCCTCCTCTTCTTCTTCTCTCCAGTTTAGTGTCTTAGTGAATGGACCCTCTTACCTACTGGCTTGCCCTCTCACAGGGGCCCAGTTTTGATCTTAGAGCATATTCATCTCTGTGCCTATTCATTCTAACAAGCAAGCGAAGTGTTCCAGTTGTTCCAAGGTTGGAAACGTTACATGTGACTGATGTCCCATTCACGTATCTTGATAGTAAATTTGGAACCTTTTTTCTTGGTATATAATGGAGAAAATCCGTAAAGAGAAAGACATGCAACTTCTATTACCTCATACTGATTGAATCGAATGCAGTGTCAAGACTGTAATGATAGAGCTCAATTATTCGCAGAATTATTGAGATAAATGCAAGCTGAAATTTTCCTAATATCGGTGACATCCAAAAGGACATCCCCAGGTCGGCTTCTTTTTCCTTTTGCAGTCACAGTCTAATCTAGTAAATGAGCCGCTGTCCTTCCCTATCATCTCGTCGAACCAATCCTCCATTTCTAGCTTCCATCAGTAACCACAGAGAGTAAATAGGGAGGTACCACTAACCTTCGTCTTCCTTACACTTTATAATGCGATCGGCCGGACAGCGAGCAATTGGCCTTAACCGGTAAATCCAATCCTTCAACGAAATATTGGCTTTGCGATTGTCGAAATCCACTTTGCCCCTTTGTTTGTCTGTAGTGTCGATTCTTTCGAAATCATAATAATTGCCGTCACAGATAATATCTTCCAGGGAGAGTGTTTCTAGAGATAACTCGTTCCGTAAAATGTCCAAAAAGCTGGGCACAGAAGTGATCTTTTCTTCGTTGCGTTCCCATGCCATTACGGTTTCCCGGGTGGGACAGACAAAACCTCCAGCTGTTTCAGATGGCTCATATGGGTGATATGTAGACATCCACTTTCTGCTCCAATATTCTTCTGTCGACGCCTCAGAGGAATCGGAAGTCGAGGAAAGCTGGGGTGATTGGGGTGCACTTTCGGCCGATGCTGTTTCTGATGCTGGTAGGACAGATAGGGGGGCTGGTCCATATTCTTGCCGGGACACAGTCGGTGTGTACGGTGACGATGTTGAAAATGATGGCGGTGTTGGTTGAAATGATGGGACTGTAGGTCCATGTGATGGCAAGGTTGGTTGGTGTGATGGCACTGTAGGTTGATATGATGGCGATGTATATCGGACAGATCTTTCATTTTCCTGGCGGTCAGGGGACTCAGCATCTTGCGATCGAGGGTTTTCTGTGGCTCCCGACTCCTCGCTGCCCATTGTAACCCGTTTGACTGTAAGAGAGACCAGACTTTTCTTGACACTGAGCAATAGTGATCTCAAAGAGCTGAAATTGATATCAAGCTTGTTTATATGAAGCATTCGGAGTCGAGTGAAGCTAATGTCATGGAACATGTTTCCAACGTAGCTTTCTGCCGGATAGGCATGCATGTCATCTTGAACAAGATAAAAAGGCATATGATCTTGCGACAAGGTCAGTACTTCCAGTTGAGGTGCAAGCTTCCTGAAAAGTTTCAGCCAAGCTGGCTCATTGAGATCAATGCATAAATGAAGATCCTCGAGGTCTTCTAAAGTAGACAGTAGAGAATCTGATTGCTCTTCGGAGAGGGCAATCCTAGGGCCGATATCACAACAGAATTTAGAATCGCAGGTGGACAGCTTTCGGGGTCTGCAGCTTGAGCCACATAACGCAAGAAAAAGCTTTGATAATGCCAAGGAGTTCAGTTTCCGTATCTGACTAGCCTTGTTGGTACGCGTAGACTCTTGCAGGCTGTAAACATCAAATCGAAAATCGATCTGGCTCATCATCTGTCGCCTGCCGAGGAATGGAACTGTCTGCTGCCGGGGATCAAGCAAAAATTCCGTTCTGTAATGTGCGAGTCCGATTGTTTGGATGTTCTTGAATTGATCCATACATTCCCGAAGTCGATCACTGAACGCTTCTGCTTCCAGCACGTTGCGATTATCCGCAATCATGTCTTTTTGGACCGCACGCCGACTTTCCAGCTCGTCGCCTTTGACTTGCCGGCAGCTTTTTGACGATATAGATATCATGCCGAGGGGCCCTTCAGCGCCATCGAACACCACGGGAATCATCCATAGCTCTTGAACGTGCTCGCGGAGACCATCTGACTTGGATAATTTTTCCAGTTCGTGGAGACTTTCGCTTGTCGCAATAAAACAGATTTTTCGGTAAAAGGTCTTCGCAAAATTCTCCAGTGAGCTTTTGTACAATGCGTGGCATGATAACCTCAGAGCGACCAATTCCTGATAATCCAAATGGTCACATATCTTTGAGATCAATTCCACGGGCAAGGCTGCAATGGACATTTTGGCTGCGCGTGCGACGTTTCGAGATTGAGAACAATAATAACCAAAAAGCTCGGTTTGTTATCCGCAGAAATGAGTAGGAATCGTAGAAGAATTGCTTTTCAATTTCAAGTTCCGAAATTCACGAGGAAAAAAAACATGGAGTTCAGTGTCCAGAAATGGCGGACAATAGTGTCTGCCAGAATTTGCGCGAGGTAGAAAGCATTTCAAAGGAAAAGAGGAACAGGAGCAGAGGCGAGGATTGTGATTCTAAACAAGGACTAGCCCTAGACAGAAAGCACTTCAGGTGGTCAGTTGGATGTGGGTCAGAGAGCAGCTGACTAATCCTGGGTCCCGTTGAACTGGAACCCGCTTGATTTCCTCTGCCACATCTTGGTGTTTTCTTTCCGTATTAGTGCTCAGCCCTTGCCGCTTTTTGCTCACTGAAAAGACCTGAGCACACCCCTGAGCGCTCTGATCATCTCACGGGATCCGAGGTACTTTCAATCATTATGTGTAACCCCAGTAGAATGAAGTCACCCTACTGCACTTTATTAGCAACCTTTTCTACGTCAGCCTCATAGGAATAATAGCTCTAGACTATAGAAACTATGACTCCACCACCAGAAACTAGGAAGCTCTTTAGCTGATATCCATGCAATTGCTACTTAGCGTTCTGCTACGTTCTTGGCACTAAAATCCTCAAAGCCAAGCCTTGGCAAAGGTGCGGCCCCCGCTTCCGCGCTCTCCCGGACTTCGTGTGGTCTTGTGTCCTATGGCAAGATTGCCAAAGAGACGCCAAGATATGGCCTGATACGGGCAACCATTAAGGGTCTCACCTGGTCTTTGAACCCCTGTCCGCCACTATTTGTTTGCCTCCGTAGTCTACTTCCTGCTGGCGCGTAGCCCGACCCCTAATTCTGTGCATCTTGGCGTCGCCGTCAACATTGGCTGAGTCTTTCTCCCTGGGACCATAGTCTTAAGGAACTTACGCAGGGGATTTTCTTCTTTCTCTTACACTTCTCTGCCTCCGGCCACCACACTTGAAAGCCCGACAAACCCTTAGCATGTACGTTCCCAGGGCGAGCTGGTTGCTCGCTGCTTGTATGGGGAAAATGATCAATGCTTCTAAGATACTAGAAGTGGACCTTGTTTTCCCACGCAACGAAACGTATACGCCCACCGAGTGGTTCCCTGTTGTCTTTGCTTTTCAGAATTTCGAGAGCGCGAGATACCTAAATGCGGAGATTACCTATAATCTATGGGGTTTGAATGGCGGGAACAACTCCCATACCCGGTCACACAATTTCCGGACTTTCAATTGGGAAAATTCGACTGACGAGGAACTTTACCTTGCTTATGACTTCTTCGGTACCTTCAACCATGAGGGTCGGTAGAAAGTGAGCTGGGCCTTGAGCTGGCAGAGTTGCGACGAGGATGCCTTTAAAACCCATCCCTTAGAGGCCGATATGATTAGCAACATTACAAGTTGGGGAACTTGGTTCACTATTAAAAGTTCAGGCTCTGAGGTAGATCTTGTTGCTGCTACAGTAAACAAGTCATGCCCCGGGGAATACGGCGTGGTAATCGATGTGACCGACAAGACTATGGAGGTCCCTATGTGGGTGACATGGTCTGGCGGTAAATACACCAACGACACATGCGCAGTGGTGGACTACTCCAATCGGACCACGCCGAATCCCTGCCGGGTTGACATCGACGCGACTAGTGTTGCAAGCATGTCGGCCTCTTTGAAAGCCCGTTTATGCAGCGGTATAGACCCACCAGACGATTGCCCCCGGAGGATAAAAGGAACGCTGCGCAACAGTTGGCTGTGGTGGGTGTATCCTGCTTTCTGGCTGCATTTGGGGTGATGGGCCTCTTTCTTGTGTGATCATGGTCCTGCATTAGTCCTCTGATAGATTGCAGTGCTGTTCCTGCTACAAGGCCTTGATCCTTTGCATACATGTTTCAGTCTGTTGTGTACAAGGTATACCCTACCTAAATTGATGTTTATTGCGGGTCTACTTCCCTAGAGTTCACAAAGTGCACCAGCGCATACTTCTTCGGGTCAAAAACCGATGCATGTTTCTCGGCCCATTGGTTCGATTTGCGGCATGCCGCTCTGAGTTTCTTGATGGTTTCGCGTTCGCCGTCTCCCGTTTCGAATAGTGACCGAGGTATCATTCCGATACGGCTGGAGTAAAAAAATAATAAAATAAAAATAAAGAGAGACAGAAAAGAAGAGAGATCAGTATTGAACGAAGGAATAAAGAATGAACGGTTGAAGAACCAAAAGCACACAATGAGTGACGGTGGGTAAGGAGACTTTTCCCATCTACACCCATATATACTGAATGGGCAACGCTTTTATACAGCAATCATTCTACATCCAGACTCGGCCTATCTCGCTCGCTCGCTTGCTCGCCAGGAATGCCTCATGTAAGCCTTGACTACGAGCCTTGAATATGGCCCCGGTAATCCTTCTCTTTATTCTTTTGCTCCACCTGATTGTTACATCGTTTCATTCTCAGACGACCTAAGCGAGATGAAATCCATATGAAGGCTCCTTGGCAGACCTGCCAAAGCACCCGCATAAACCATACCTCGGAGCGCGCGAAGAAACTCCTCTCCCACTCGAAGAAAAGCAATATAAGGGCCATCCTTGGCGCAATATTAGCCAAGTTTCTAGCTACGTCTAGACAGAGCATGCGCTGTATTTTAAGAGGCAAACCGGGATGACTAGGATACTGACTCGCCACTAGGTTTTGGGGGCGGATGGCCAACAAGCCACCGGCCGATGAATGTTGCTATCTCATTTAATCTGCATGCGCCAAGATATTGATGCTTGATAGCTTACGATTGAACCTATCACGGATTTAAGAGATGGATATTCCCGGGGCGCCGAATCTTTGCGGGTTTCAGGAACGAGTGGAGACGCTAGACTACTGCCCAAGTCAGTCGGGTCCTCACGGACAAAAACATGTGGTTGAGAGGTGGGACAATAATTGGCTTACGGTACACTACTCGTCACGACTGCTAGTACTACTAGCTGCATCCAGTAGCGCGACCAACACGAATCTGCACCGGGATTTGCGAAGAAATCAAGTGAATTGGAAAACACTATCTGAGGGCCAACCCAAGAACGGCATACTCCGTACAGTGGTAGAATGTTACAGGAAAGCACCGGCTCAGAACGGCGCGAGAAGGAAGCCAAGGGCCCCGAAGACTGCCAGGAAACACGACAGTCCAACAACTACCAGGTCCTGTGCCGCATTCTCATTCACAGGGCAGTCATCGGGAGGATTCGCGCTCTTGCACAACCTCGCTTGCCACGAGGCCTCCATGCTCTCGACCACGGCCTCGCTGACATCGATGCGACAGGGATCAGGCGAGGGCGTCGGCGTAGGCGAGGGATCCACCACCGCACACTCGGGGCCGTTGGACCATTCCTCGCCCGCGGGGACCCGGATAGTGTGGTTAGTGACGGTGATGGGGACGGCGAATTCATCGGGGCAGGAGTCTCGCGCCGTGTCCGCGACGATGTCGGCTGGCGCCCCGTCTTCCTCGATCGTGAACCAGGTCGACCAGCCGGTGGAGTTGGTGATCATCTCCGCGCGCGGAAGCATGCTGATATTGAAGAGGGCAAACTCGTTGCAGCTCTTCCAGTGGACGTTCCAGGCGACCCGCCAGCGGCCGGGGGTGCGGAAATCGGAGAAGTAGGCGTAGAAGAAGTACGGGTCTTTGCTGGTGTTGTTCGTCCAGTCGATCTCTGTCGGCCAGTGCACGATATCGCTCATGTTGTTCGCGTTCCGGATCGTGAACGAGATGTCCAGGTCGACGAGCGGCGCTAGCTCGGAGTTCTGGACCCCAAAGACCATGGGAAACCACTCAGTGGGCGCATAGGTCTTGTTACGGGGGAAGAGGAGATCTGTCTCAAGCAGGCCTGATGCGTGCACCATCATGACCCCCAGGCAGGTGGCGAGCATCCAGCTGCTCGCTAGGGAAGAAGGCATGGTGTGGCTTGAGCGAGTCGAGAGCAAAACAAAGAAATGCCCACAACAGTCATTCGGGGTGCAAAAAAGCAGCAGTTTGGCTTGTACCAGTAGGCCCGGACAAACCAGGGGCGGGCCTAGGGCGTGCAGGATTCAGGGAAAACTCGGTTATATCACCGCAGCCAAGATTGAGTCTGGCAGGAGAATCAACACCCTAGATCGCCGAGCCGCCAAGTGCCGCTACCAACATGCCGAGCCCTCGCTGGCCGCTCCGCTCGATGCCCTTACGCCACGGCTAAGATCACTAACTCACGAGACGTTGCAGCGCTACTCTAGTGCTATGCACTGCGCGTTAATGCTAGGGGCTGTACTCCGGGGTAAGCGAAGCCCAGGCACTAAGACGCCCAGTTAATGTTGATTGGATCGTTCTTGAGTCGGCCTGTCGCTTGGCACCCATCTAGTCGGTATTTAGCCTCCATGACGACCGAAAACACCACTCATCCCACGCGCCCTCCACGGGCTCAAGTATTCTCGAAACAGTAGCGAACACAGGGCGCCACCGCACGCTAGAGTCATTGGTGGTCTCCGCGGCGAGCCGAGATCTCCACCGATCCAGGCCCAGCTCGTTCTGGAAGGTATATATATGAGGTAGATATCGGAAGATCCCTCCTTGTCGCATACACCCGGGTCTCACACCTTCTATCTCCGTTCTTCATGCAAAGACAGACCCCTCTTAGCAAGGCCCAAGTCTAACTCTCCCGTTCTCCAATCCACAGAATGCTCCAACCTCTGGCTCGACTACTACGTGTGCAGCAAAGCAATCTCTGGGTCGATTACTATGTCTGTGTTGGTGTGTAGTCTGTTGTGTGCCTGGCTAGAAAGAGGGCTACAAGTGACTGGCGAGGTTATCCAGTCAAAAATACCGGGGGTGGGGGCATGTAGTGGGCTCGTTTCCCATAAATTGATAGGCTTAGGTTGCGAGAGTTCCTGAAAATGGCCTGTATGGTAGCTCATTACCTCACAATAGGAAGAGATCCTGAGAAACCTAGAACCAGTGCTCTCGTCAGTTCAGCATCCTGGACATCATCATGAAATTGGGGCGGAAGCCGATATGCCAAATATGATAGAAAAGGGAGTCATAGGCTTCGACACTGCCTAGGTATGATGAAAAAAAAGTATTAGCTGGCCTCTTTAAGTTGAAGTGTCCCCTGTAATGATGGCCTCTGAAGGGTGAGGGTACAGGTAAAGAACACAAGAACTCGCACTGTCAACTTGAGTTGGCCAGATCTGCCAGGCACGTGCCCGCTGAACTCTAGAACGGTGATCCCGGGGGCTTGGCAGGGTTGTTGGTCAGACTTTTGGATGCCTGGTTGCTAAGGCATCTACTTGGGCAAGTGATATAGACCTACTTGGCAAGCCTGGCATGTCAGTTATGTAAGTAGGATTTATTTAGTTAACTAAATAGCTGGCAGCGGCCACATAATAAAAACCATGCGATCCACACAGTATCTCAGAACGTTCTCCTCGTTGAATATGTAGATATACCCCTGAACACGTAAAGTAAACAACGATACAGCATAGAAACATGACCAGATCAACATTCATGCCTGGCCTAACGATTTTAGTACCAGTTCATCCTTAGCGCTAATTCAAAGAACAAAGTGGAGTGTGTGGAGTGTCAAGCCGTCAATGCCCCGACATAAAACACCCGTCTCCGCCGCTCGTCCTCCCCTCCTCTCACTTTTCTATTCTTCTACCTCCCTATCTTGCAATCATTATTGAGCAGCTGGGATTTTGCACGCCCAATCGGACTCGCCGACTACCCCATTCACCCTGTCACTTTCTGGTTACAAATTGCGGCCGATTCCTTGTCGTACCTCCACTTTCACTCCTGGGACCGAAGTTATTTGGCCCCATACTACAGTATCAATTGTTCTTCTGCAGATGCTCACTCTACCGATTCCATCCATTTAAACTTCCGCATGATCCAAGTTGGGTTCTGCGTATGTCTACCAATAGGTTCATAGAACATTGATTGTTTGACTACTCAAGAAAAGCTTTAAACTTTCGTTCTAGATCCTCCCTATACCGCACCTAGTTCCTTCACATAAATGCTTTCAATTCTGAGAAGAAATCCTCGTTAGCATACAGATCAGATGAGTAAGGTGGCATTTACTCTTGTTAGCGTCGCAGAGCCGAATCACCTGACGACGTGCCGCTCCTTCGGCTGAGAGCCAGACAAGAAGTTGTGATGAACTCAAAACAGGTAACTTATACGACCATGGCATCGACAAGTCACTCTGGCGTCAACTATGGAGCCCAGGTGGGAATCAATTATGGCACATTCACGGCAGACTTCCATCTGCCCCCGGGTAAATCAGGAACAGAACCAAACAAGGGCAAGGCCGACTGACTACTTTCCGCCTCCCCCTAGAGCGACCAGAAACCCCACCCAGCCCTTTATCGACTGTTCCATTCACGCGCGATCCGGATTTTGTCCGGCGCAACAAGCTGCTTCAATGGATCCACGATAAAAGCTCGGTTCCGGGGTTGCGGATCGCGCTTTTTGGCCTCGGCGGTGTGGGGTAAGTGTAGATCTGCCTTTACGTGGTCTATTGCTCACGAATCGAAGGAAATCGCAACTTGCTATCGAGTACTCCTATCAAGTCCGATCTGAGTCCCCGGCAACGTGGGTGTTGTGGGTTCATGCGAGTAATCAAGCCCGGCTCGAGCAAAGTTTTCGGGACATCGCGGACCAGGTTAAAATCCCGGGTCGTCAGGATCCTAAAGTTAATATATTCAGTCTTGTCGAGAGCCGGCTCCGGGATGAGAAGAAAGGGAAATGGATTTGTATCCTTGATAATGTTGATGACGACAAGTTCCTTTGTTCGTTTCCGGCGACTGGCGAGGCAGATCCCATCAAAGGCCCAATGATCGCCTCGACAAAACCACTCCTGGAATACATTCCTAGAAGCCGCAATGGATTTACTATTATCACGAGTCGAACAAGAGAAGTTGCGTTGAGAATGGTCGATCATAGGGACCTCATTGAGGTTCAACCCATGGAAAGTTCCGAGGCGCTGGAGCTTCTCCAAAAAAAGCTTGAATATCAAGGGGAAATACAAGAGACTCAACAGCTGGTTAATGCGTTAGAGTTTATGCCGCTGGCAATAGTACAGGCCGCTAGCTATATACGAAACCGGACACCTCGCTATTCGGTATCGCAATACCTGCGAAGCATTCAAGGAAGTGATCGGGATGCCACAAACCTTCTCAAAAAAGAGGCAGGTCACCTTTCCCGTGACTGGGAAGCAAATAATTCGATTCTGGTGACGTGGCAAATATCCTTTGATTATATACGGCAAACGAAGCCTTCTGCGGCGGATTTACTTGCTCTCATGAGTTTTTTCGATCGACAAGGGATACCAGAGAATCTTCTTCGGCTTCACACTGGGCCTAAGTGCAAATCGAGCCTAGAGCCTCTAAACGGCTCCAGTGATGGGGAGACATCGGAATCTGATATGGGGCCTGATTTTGAAGATGATATCACAACACTGAGGGACTATTCATTTATCTCTTGTAGCGAAGAAAGCACCTTCACAATGCATCGGCTAGTGCAACTGACTACGCGTGCATGGTTAAAAGCCCATGGACAAACAGACCAATGGAGGGATAATTTTATCAGCAATTTATGCGACGAGTTTCCCACCGGCCGATACGAAGACTGGGAAAGGTGTCGACCCCTCTTCCCTCATGTCAAATCAGCAATGTCACACCGTCCAAAATCCTTTGAATCTCTACGGCAATGGGCTACTCTGCTTTATAGAGGTGCATGGTATGCGTCACGGAGCGGTAATATCGTGGATGCGAGAGAAATGGCATCACGATCGGGAAAAGAAAGGGCGATCCTATTGGGCGAAGAGCATGAGGAATGTGTTGACAGTATATCTATGGTGGCAAACATATGCTGGCTTGAAGGCAGATGGCAACAGGCCGAGCAGCTCTTCATGCAGGTTATGGAGACCCGCAAAGCGAAGCTCGGCAATAGTCACCTTGACACGCTGACGAGTATCACTAATCTAGCGGCGACATATCGAAAGCAGTGTCGGTGGGAGAAGGCGGAGCAGCTCCAGGTGCAGGTGATGGCAACTTTCAAGACGAAATTTGGTGAGGACGATACCGAAACACTATCGAGTATGTCCAACTTGGCGGCGACGTATCAAAACCAGGGCCTGTGGCAAAATGCCGAGCTACTTCACACGAAGGTGTTAGAGACTCGCAAGCTAAAGCTCGGCGAAGACCATCCCGATACACTATCGAGTATGGCCAACCTAGTGTTGGCTTATCACTACCAGAGCCGATGGGAGGAGGCCGAGGTGCTTCATGAGCAGGTGATAGAGACCCGTAAGATAAAGCTCGGCGAGAACCACCCCGACACTCTCACGAGCATTCATAACATGGCGTCAACATACTTGGACCAAGGCAGATGGGCAGAGGCTGAGCTGCTATTTATCCGTGTCATCAATACTCGCAAGACGATGCTCGGAAAAGACCATCCGGACACGCTAACGAGCATGGCGAATCTAGCCTTGACATACTCTTACCAGGACCGTTGGGAGGAAGCCGAATTGCTTCACATGCAGGTGCTGGAGATTCGCAAGGCGAAGCTCGGCGAAGACCACTCCGACTCGTTGACGAGTGCAGGCAACCTAGCATTGGTATACTGGGATCAGGGTCGCTGGGAAGAGGCTGAGCAACTTGAGGTGCATGTGCTGGAGACAAGCAAGAAGGCACTCGGCGTGGACCATCCTGACACGTTGACGAGGATGGCTAATCTAGCGTTGACGTTTTGGAACCAGGGTCGATGGGAGGAGGCTGAGCAGCTTGAGGTGCAGGTGATGGATTTTCGCAAGACGAAGCTCGGCGAGGATCATCCCGACACGCTTACTAGTATGGCCAATCTCGCTTTCACCTGGAAATCTTCCGGTCATACAACTCGAGCCCTTCATTTACTGCGAGATTGCGTGACCAAGCAGAAGCAAATGCTGGGGGGCAATCACCATCAAACCTTGTCTAATTCCGAAACTTTGCTGGAATGGGAAACGGAGGGGTTGAATATAAAAACATAGGCGAATCACATACTTGAATACAATATTCTACTATGCAGCAAGCTCCGCTTTACAGTTCAATTCGATAGCATAATGATTCGATCATAGAAAGATTTTCTGTATGTTTCACAGAAGGGTACGCATGCCTTATCATTCTGGTGAACCTTGCTGCCAAGAGAGTGAAGGCAGCTGCAACGGGAAGTGGGTACATGCCACACGATGAGAGTATTCATTGTAAAAATATTTCCAGTGATTCTGAGTTCCCGGAGTATGTAACTAGACATTTGAATTGCGGCCCATGTAATATAATAAAAATTATGTGATTCTTATGTCGTCTCGATAATCCACCCCTTGAACTTTAGGAACATGGTCAAATACAAGATTAGATTTAGTCTACGATAACGTGGAAATGAGGCAATTCACGGAAGCGCAATGATGCTTCTCATTTGTGTCATCAAAAAAAAATGTGTGAATGGCGAACATGTTATACAGTAGCGTCCGGTATCGCCTTCCATGTCGGGAACACAGAGGTCATCTTTCAAACCCTAATCACATGACAAAATGGTATTTAACCTGTCCGTTTCCCACACAAGGAATGTTGGAGAAAAAGGTGATTAGAGCATGCGCCTAATGTAATTCAAGTCTTTCTCTCCGCCTAGTCAAACAGTTTCGAAGCAAATCAATCGCTATAGCATTATGACCAGAAGATTTCCGGGTGAAAGGACAGGCCTCGATGAGTTCGGTCTTTCAAATTCCATCGCCTGTATCCGGAGCTTCTCAGCCTCTTTCCACTGGCCTTGCTTAAAATTTGCCGACGTCGAATTGTTTGAAGACATTACCAATGATCAAATCCGTTTTCCCTAACATTTCCTTGGGTAGACTACGAATCCTCCCGACGGTGTTTGACGATCATATTGATAGAGGGCAATAGCAAGTTCAAGCTTGTTTCTGGATCCTAGCGGGACTGTTCTTCATTTGACATATGAAATTCCAATAGAATCTACTTTTGACACAAATAGGGAGGGACTATTATCCAGAAATAGGAGTATTCGGGGATTCTTATTATCTGCGTAGGCAGACCCAAAACCTGCGAGGTGATGATACTGATGAGGCCTAAAGCCAAGCTATAGCTGAACACCATGATGAAAGTGACTGAAAACGTCCGGAGTCCTTGAGACGAAATTTCTCCACAAGGTTACTCGAAGTCACAGAGCAAGACTACTGTGCGGACGATGTAATAGCGCCTCTTATTTGAAGGAGGTGGACAATCTCCTGATGGCCTTCCAGTGAGACAGCCTGGAGAGCGTTGCCGTAGAAGCCGCCCTGCGCGTTGACATCTGCTCCCTTGTCAAGAAGATCGCGTGCAGGCACCATAAGCCCACTGAAGCAAGCATAGTAGAGCCTAGAGCCTCGCGGAACACCAGGGCTATCGTCCCAACTCCTATCAGCCTGATACAAACGAGCCCATCTTTGGAATTTCTCTTCCTTTTCTAGAAAGCTGACTATTATTTGGGTAATCTCCTCATAGGCCAGAGTTAACGCAGCATGACATGACCAATATTCGGCCGCATATCCTGCCATCGGAAAATACCGCTTCATCTCTCGTTCGCTACCGTTGATGTCCGTCAAATATGTCAAACACGTCCTCGTAATGGAAATGCTGGCAGCTGTGACCTGAAACTGATCATGACCGAGAAGGTACTCTTTCACGGAAAAGTGGGCAAGATGTAACTCTTTATCATCGGCATGGACGACTGTCACTAAGCTGGGACAGTAAGCCAAGATATCAGTCTCACAAAACAATCGACGCTTCATGTCAAACCCTCGTGACTCGTTTTCAATCTGCGTCGCTATTACTTCTGTAACCTCAGCCAGCGTTAGAGGTCGCTTGGAATGCACTAGGAATTGTAGAAGCCGTGTCGCGTCGTCCTTGAACTCCGTCGGTATGCTTTCAAACATGCGCTCGTATGTCTCATTGAGATTCAGCGGCAAAGATTCAAGAGCCTCCTCCATAGCTGCCTCGTGACGACATCGAGCCAGGCTGTCTAATTGACAGAATGCCCACCTGAACCTGATCAAGGCGTCAGTAAGCTATCAATACATTGATCGAAGCAGTAACAACTCACATCCCGTCAGCGCCGTCACCAACCTTTTTTCTGATCTCTCCTAGAAGTTTCTGGGACAAGGGCTTCTCTGTAAAATCACGCCGTTGAGAAAGTTGCGCTGTAACCCAGGATCGAATATCGGAGTTGACGGCTTGCTTATCAAGTGCGAGGCTGTTTTGCTTTCCTATTAAGGGGGGAATGTCGCGTAGAAACTCGGATTCAGGTCGACCGGTAAGAAGCAGCTGGACATGGCCTAATTCTGGCCTAGACACCATATCTTTGATCCACTCGAGCACACCGTCCCTTGTTTCCGATTCGTCCAATGCGTCCAGCACAATAGAGACCTTCCTCTGGGCTACGAGCATTTTTAAGACAACACCCCAGAGCACCTTTGTCGTAGGTTGGTCGTTGCCATTTCGGTATGCCTGGAACGAAGCATCGAGATGAGTTGCGGAGTCTACCCCGCCGTGGTAAAGTTGAAAAGCAAGCGAGTGTAGCATGCCTTCCAATGTCTGTTTTGCGACGTCGTTAAAGTCAAAGAAGAAGCTAAGGATAAGACCGTCGTTTCCCTTCGCGAGATAGTCAAGCACAGTCGTACTAAGAACCGACTTTCCACATCCCGCGAGCCCGTGCAACCATAACTGTTGACGTGACCCCGAATGCCACGCTTGGAAGACGGGGCATTCGAGCAGCCACGCGCCAGTCCCCTCATGGCGAAGCGTCCTGGCATGGTTGGCGTTTGAAGATGGATCCGGGGGACAAAGCCAGCGCTTGATCTCATCGGCGTGAAGGTCAGATCTGATGGAGTCAGTCGTAGCTCTTGTTGCAGCTGTTGTCTGCTGTACGCTATCGATCTGTTGTTGCACTATTCGCAGTCAGAACATATTTCTGAGTTCAAATTTCATTCGTCTCGGGTATTTGCTGGTACTTCAGACACCCGCACATGATTTATTCAGGTAGGTATGTACTAACCCTTTTCCAATATGGCCTTTGCTGAATCCTCGGCATCAACAACACTGGGCTGCACACATCCTAAGAGTTCCTTCGCGTATGCGGCGGCTACGGCTGCAGCATATTCTTGCCAGGTTTTCCCTTTGCCCGAGTCCGCATAGTCACAAATGCCTCGGATAACAATACATGGGAAGTCATTCATGAGCCCAGCTGCCTCCATCTCCACGCATAGTAAGTGCCCGCAGAATTCTTTGTCAAGGAGGTCTCGGGATTGGGCATCCTTAACCACTTTGTTCCCGGATGCGATCGATATGCGATAATTGCGATGATCGCCTGCCACAGCCAAGACAGGAAATAGACTTCCCTCGGAGTCCGGAACCTCTCGGATACCAATAATGGGTCTTGCAAGCGCTCGCACCTCGTATATTTTGGTGCCAGCCGCGGGAATTTGTTTTCCACATCATCCAGGTACTCATTTATCTGTGATCCGTACATCTCATGATTACTTTTCAGCTGGTTCGACGCGTTGAGTAGCGCGTTCGGAGGTCAATTTAGCGAGCCCTTGTGGACAAACCGCCCATCTCGTTCCAGCTTTCCCATATCCCATTGTATCACCCCGTGGTAGTCAGCAACAGGCTGACTGACCACCACATCACCCAAATTGACCTTGGACGGAATTCCGCTCCCAATCCCTACCATAAGCCCGAACCTGATTGATTGGAACGTGTTGATCATTGAGGTCGCGACGGTTGCGGCAGGGTTGGTTCCCATGTTAGGTAGGCAGGCTATGACGACGTTGTGGCCGCGTATTGAGCCAAGAGTATATGCGTTATGATCATTTCGAGGGGTCGGGAGAGTTCGTGCTCTTCATCTAGCATGGCTCTGGCTGCCGTTTATTCTTTTGGAAGGGCGCACACCCATCCGATGGTATAGGCATCGTGTTGGAGTCGCTTTCGGCATGGTGGTGTGTCGGGACTAGGTTTGTTCTGTCCTGGCACTGATTGCTCTGGCTGAAATTGGGAATTCTCAGCCATAATGGATGAAGAACAGCTCGACTAGCCACGCAATGTGTTAATCAGGCACTTTCTCTTCCAACAGAAGATTCTAAGCAGTAGCTCTTTCAGAAAGTTCCAATGTGGTTCATGACGAGAATCTCAGGGGGGCTCCAGCGAACTGAAAGAGGGGGAACTTCCTCAGCCTCGTCATCATGTGACTCTAGCGTGCTAAGCCAGAAGATCAAATGCGCCTTTCAGCTCACCAACACCGCTTTCTGAATGGTTTTGTGTCGATCTTACTTCCATGTGGGGGCGGGTAATAGCGTTCCCAGGAACGGGTCGACCCGATCCCAAAAGTCCGATCGAATGAGAGCACTTTTACTGTACTTTTACGACCCCTGCGTCAGAACACAACTGCTTGATTCGGTCTGAATGGTGGAACGAGGCATTATCCATTACAAGCGCGGATTTCGGTTCCAGCAACTCATGTGACTAGGGTTTGGAAAGCTCCTCTGAGTTGTCCGACCTGGAAGGCGAAAGCGGTCGCTACTGTACCGGAGGCTAAGCAACTCAACCAAGCCCGTAAAGGATGCCGAGTCTGGGTTGATTGCAATCACTGCGAACGGTTATCTTTCTTTGGTGCCATGGGCCACCCTGTATTAAGTTCTGTGCGGGCTTTCGATACCACCATCATTTCATGCGCAAAGGGATCTGTAAGAAAATCATCGACGAGCCATATGTGGGCAATTGATTACGTGGCAATTCGACGTCAACAGTAGCTGAGGCAGAAGACTAATATGGGCGGTGCATCGGAGTATTTCTGGTGGTAAATGTCGATAAGTTGCCAAGGATTATACCCTTTGGCAGACAGTCTGTGGTATGATTCCATAACTGAAGAAGCCTGCCTGGAATCGCTACACGATTTACAGGAAACGAAAGATTGGAAGAACCAGATTGCCGTAGGTTTATAGGAAATAAAGACACGCAAGCTATAAACAGAGCACGGGATATACAAGAACACTAAATACAGGAATGACAATGATGGGAATCACGTTTACAGCTCCTCATCGGGTTCCTGGGACTGTCCAATGTTCAGCTCCCAGGAAACCGCTTTGAGGTCGAGGGTGTCCTCATTACTAGCAGCCTTGCCGGAGCCAAAGTTCTTCAAGTTCCACTTTTCAACGCCTTCGAAGCCCTTGAGTTCAGGCCCGAAAAGCTCGTAGAGGCTGGCGTTCAGGCTTTCATACTCGCTGTAGTCCTTGGGCCAATCACCCAGGCGCTGCATGGAGAGCTTGAGAAGCTGAAGGTGCTGGCGAACCTGTTCACCATAGGTCAACGAGCTGGTCGACTCGTTGATGTTCAGGTCGTAAGCGGAGCCGTCCATACTGAAGCTGGCATCCATTGAACCTTCAAACTCGGCCAAGGAGGGGTCGACGAAGATGCGGAGAAGGCTCTCGTGCACAACAGCACTTTTCTTGTAGTACTTGTTGGCCATGTGCTGGCCAGCCTTGTCACCCTGGTAGCGCTGGGCGATGCCAGTGTACAGCTGAGACAACAGGGTCGACATCTCAAGAGTGCTGGAGTGACGAGCACCGTTGACACGGCGGCAATTGTACACAATATCCTCGGCAAGACGGGCAGCCTTGATAGAGTCACCAACCAGGTAGCGAGCGAGGATGTAGCGACGAGCCAACTCGAGAGTGAGAACCGGGGTCCAATTGTGCAGCTTGTTGCGGGCGTTCCAGAGATCGCCGAGGATCCAAACCAGGTTCTTGTAATCCTGCTGCTCTCCAAGGAGACCGACGAGGACATTGAGGTAGTCCAGGTTGATCTGAGCCAAGTTGATCTTCAGCTCTGCGAGGACGCGCAAGACCTCCTGAATGATGACCACGGACACGCCACGCAGCTTCTTCAGGATGGCCTGGTTGGGCTGTGGAATGATGGTGTGGCCGGAGATGAACACACCCAGGGTGAACACAAACTTGATAATCTCGGAGGTGCGGAAGACATCGTGGGCCGAGATATATTGGAAGGCAGCGAGAGCAAGATTGGAGGCACCGTCGTAGTTCTTGGCTTGAAGAAGCTCAAGAACCTGGATGTTGCTGGCAATACCAACCGAGCGAACGAAGTTGTGCGACTCGTGCGTGGTGAGGTAGCCGATCATGGTCTGGAGGAAGACCTTCACCTGGGCGGTGTCTGTAACCTTGGTCTTCTTGCCTTCAGTGGCAATGAAGTAGGCCACGAAGTCATCAAAGACACGATTAGCAGCAGTTTCGCGACGATGAGAGAGCAGGAACTGGTACAGCCGAGTGGCAGAAAGTGAAACCTCGTGGAAAGAGCTTGTCTTGCTCTTGGTTACGCTGCGGAACTCCTCGAAGTAGGCATACTGGGTGGTCAGGGTGGCGAGAATCTCAGTGACGCTTGAAGAGCCCTGGCGAACGCTGTGCTCCAGCTGAGCCAGGAATCCAAGGCTGTGGCGGCCCTTGGATGAGACATCGAGCTGGATCTCCTTCGACTTGGATGTGTCTTTCATGATGATCTGTCGATACAGCTCCTGGGACAGCTCAACGACCTTGTGAGCCTGCTTGGTCGCAATGTAGCTCGCAGCGATGGTGGTGGCCGCAGAGACAAGCTGCTGAGAAGAGGTCTCAGACTGTAGGATCTGCTTGGTAGATTCGTGGAGCTCGGTGTTGACAGTCTGCATGTCGCTGTGCTTGGAGTGGAAAGCAACGACCTCCTTGAGCTTGGACAGAGACTCCTCGTGGGCCCAGCCGTAGGTCTCACGAACCTTGCGAATACGTTTGGTCAGGACCCGGGTAGCACCCTCACGGTGAGTAGCAGAGATCGAATCAGACTTGGCCAAAGCCTCGGTCTGCTCCTCGAAAATACCATCAAGGATCGCAGTAATCTCATCAATGTCAATCTCCTGGGACTTGCTGTCGATCAACTGTTGATAGAGGGTAATGGCATCGTTCTCGAAGGTCTTGGACTCGGAGCAAACCTGAGCGAGGGTCAAGGTGGCCTGGATAGTGATCGATGCAGTAGCCCCAAACACTGTCTTGCACTTAGATTGGTACTCAAGGGTGACCTTGTGAATATCAGTGAACTCAGTGCGGATGGTACGAAGACAGTGAGTGTAGCGGGTAAAAACATTCTGCACGAAGGGCACATCCTGGAACTTGGGGCTCTGCTTGGGCTGGTTCAGGAAGGTAGTGAAGAGCACCTTGAAGTATGGCACAGCCTCAGAGTAGCGACTCTGGGCCCAGAGCTCAGTAGCGACAATGATGACGGGTTCCAAAGCCTCAGGCTTGCAAACCTGAGAGTCCTTGTTCAGTATCGAGATGATGCGCTGGTAGTACTCGATGAAGACAGGGCGAGGGCGAGCAATCTCAGCCAAGTTGAAGAGAGTCTTCAATACAGTGGGGTGCTCAGGGCCATAGTGCTTGGTGTAGTCGTCCAAGATCTCTTGTCGAGTGGTGAAGTCCTTGTCAGGCTGGGAAGAGGTCTTGAAGAAGTTCAGGAGTTGAGTGGTGACATCGGTTCTCAGTTTGTCCTCGACAGGACGGGCAACCCGAACAGCACGGTACACGCGAATACGGATACTCTCCTCGCGAGGAACACGGCGACGGAAGTGGTAGCAACGGCTGAGCTGGATGGCGTAGTCCACGGCCTGGTCAACGTGCTGCTTGGGCAAGGTCACATCTTGGATCGAGGGAGCGAATAAAGAGGGCCAAAGGCCACGCAGGATTTTCTTGAGGGCCTTAGAAGCATCTTTCCAGCGGTGCTCGGAAGTGTACACGGTAAGAAGAGTGCGGAGCGCGCTGATTGAAGTCTCGTCAATCTTGGAAGAGGAAGAAGCGTCGGTTATGATCTGTTCCAAGATCTCCTCGGAGATATGGGAGGATGAAGAGCTGGCCTGCTTCAGAACATGCTGCTCGGAAACTTGAATTTTCTTCTGGATCTCCTGGTAGGAAGAAGATTGGGTCTTGTTTGTGCGCTGGTAGTACTCAGAGCAGCGCTTGAAGATGCTCAAAGCAGCAACGGAGAGACCGACAGTTGACATCACGTTGGCAATTTGTTCAAAGTGAGAGGTGGAAGTCTCGGAGAGAGAGGCACTGGAGTGCTTGTGCTCTTCCCACACACTGGACAGAATGGAAGAGGCCTCAGATGTTCTCTTCTGAGACTGGAGGAAGCGAGAGTAATCCAGAACAGCTTTAAGTTTCTCATCTTCCGAGTGACCACTGCTGACACGTTGCCAAATCTCAATGTATAGGCGTTCGGCCCAATTCAAGTGTCCCTCTGCAATGTATTTCTCGGCTTGCTTGATTTGGGACTCGAATGACCACTGAGACTTGTCAAGAACCTCGTCCGACTCGGCAGCAAGGTCGAAAATAACACCGTTGAAGCCATTTTGCTGCTTGTGGCCATTAAGACGAAGGTTCCACTCCCGAGAATCGTCACCATCGTATTCAGTAGTGGTGCGAGCTTGAATCTTGATACTCCACTGTTGCTCCTTCTCAGTCTCCTGAGTCACGCGGTAGTGGTCAATCAGAGCCTTTATCATTCCGATCGTCTTCTCGGACTTCTCTCCGTAGTAAACCGTGAAGCACTCAATGATGAGGACAAAAATCTGCTCACGCTGGGTCATGATCTCCGATTTGGTGCCAGTGACCAAGTCAGCAGTCAGGGTGAGGAACACGAGCGCCATTTCCCGGGTCACGGTATGGTTGATGTCGAGCAAGGTGCGACTGAGCGTAGTGATTTGATAGTAAAGGTGGATAGCCTCAGGGAGCTGGTTCAGCTCACGGTACAGGACGGCGAGCGAGATCATGGACTGAAGAGTCACCACATGGTTGGGGGTCAAAATCTGTTGGCAGAGCTTCGTGACAATGCTCTGGTATGAAACCAGAGTGGGAGTAGCGAAGTTGCTCCAAAGTGTGGTCTGGAGAAGCAAGAGTGTAACGGTGGCAGGGAAGATCTTTCCAACCTCCTTAGTAACATCGCCACCTGTAAAGTTTGGAGACTCCCTCAAGTGACGAGGCCAGTACCGAACAGCAAAGTCGAGCAAAGGGTTGGTGCGCACACGAGGAGCAACATCACGCCAATCCATGGGGAGGAGAGACGGTTCGTGCTGCTCAGGAACAGTGTACTTGATGTAGATCAAGAGGCGGGTCACAAGGTCAGTGTGGCGGTCTTTGATGGTCGTGGTCAATTTGCCCTTGGTGAACACATCCAAGACGGCGGTTCTGATCAGACCGTGACGAAGGTAGACTTGGCCATCCTGGAGAAATACAAGCGAGTTGAGTGGCTTGAGAATTTTGCGAAGGTCGACCTTGTAATCAGTGACCACCTGCTTCTCGGTGTTGATCGAGGCCAAGATGATGAGCTCGCGGGTCAGGAGAGGACGATCCGCAGTGGCAAGGAAGACCAACATGAGCTTGGCATCCTCAGTGACTTCAGGAGACTGAATGGCATGGAGAACAAAGTCGGCAATGGTGGGCTTGCCCTTGACGAGAGTATCGACGACTTTGCGCAAGTTCTCCGGACTGTGCTCCTGGCGGGCACGCTTGGTGCAAAGCTTGGCCCACAAGAAGGAACCACGAGCAGCCTCGCTGATCTGATCAACAAGAGTTTCCTGCTCAAGCTCATCCATGGCCTTGAATACCTTGGTGTCGGCCTTGCGGTTGCTGTTGGTGAAGTGGCTGCGGACGACAGTGGCAATGTCATCCGCGACACGGTCGCCACCAATGGGGACATGCATCAGGTTAGAGGCAGTTTGAGGCTTCTCAGCGCCGAGGGTGATCAACTTGACATTTGTTCCGTTGGCTGTGGCGGCAGTGAGCTTCTGTAGCAAGGCATTCTCGCCACAGGAGGCTTCGTCCACGCCGTCAACGACAATTACGAGTTCCTTGGCGCGGTGAAGGGCAGCAGCCAGGGCATGCTCAAGGGCGTTCCAGAGAATGTTCTCATAGTCAGTTTCGTTGGTGGTACGCTTGCTAGTGTCATAGGCATCACCCAGGATGGACAGTAGCTGTACGTTGCCGATACGCTTCTCAAACAGCTGGAAGAGGATGGTCTTGGCGATGGCGATGGGGGTAGTCTCGGCAGGGATACGAGCGTTGATGGGAATAAACAAGCTCTTGTAGGAGACACCAGCAATCTGATCTTGCAGGCGATCCACGATGACGGAGGCGAGGACAGTCTTGCCGGAGCCAGGAGCTCCAGTGAAGGCAAGTGTGCGCTTGTCCCCCTTGAGGAAGTGGGTCAGGTATGGGTTCATCCAGAGACAAGTCATCTCCTCGCGCTCATGGGCGAGATGCGAGGTGTTCTCGGCGAGATGGCTGAGGACACGGTCTTCGGGGGAAAGCCAGGTGCGAATGGTCTTGACCAGGTTCACGTCTTTCGGATCCCTGTGCTCTTGCACGAGCTGGTGACGCCACATAGCATCGGAAATAGAAGCACATCGGTCGCGGAAAGACTCGAGCTCAGGACTAAACTTCTCATAGATGTTGATTGAGATGGATTGCTCAACAATCTCATCAATTGACTTGTGGAAAGTGGTTGAAACACTAGCGACCAAGTTGACAAGGTCAGCCAGCGCGTCAACCAATTGCTCCTTGATCTCTCCAGACACAGTAAAGAGCTCGATTCGCTCGAGGAGGTTCACCAGAGTGGACGATGTGCTGTAGAAGAACCCAAAGGACGCCATCAGGGCTGGGGCATTCTCCTTGCCAAGCTATAACGAGTTGAGTATATAAGTAGACATTTAGGGGTTGTATGAACAGACCTGGAGGAGCATAGCACAGTAACCAAATGCAAGACGGGCAGCCAGCAGACTGCCGCCCTCGAATTGACGGATAGCGGCATCAAAGGAGTTGAGTCTCTCAGCGAACAGCTGTGCCCATGCGAGCACTTTGTCGTAGCTGCTTCCCTCTGCAGGGAGATGGCTCATGCGCTCAGCGGCGATCCAATCCCGAATCGAGATGAAATCCGTGTTGAACAGGACAGAGGAGTCACCAAGGTCCATTTCACGGCTGCTCTGGTGCTGAAGGCTCTGGATCATGTTGGAAAGCTTGCTGCTGCCAGCAGTGTAGAATGTCCGGGGCATCATTGACTCGCGGCGGGATGTACCCCGAGACAGGCCAGTGTTGGAAACGCTGTCACTGTCAAACATTCCGGACATGGCAGAGACCTGCCGGGAGTTGCCCGGCATGGTTGAATAGTGAGGAGAGGAGAAATTGCCCGGGATGGGGGAAATGATACCGGGGGCCATTTTCGTGGCTGTTCGTGTAGTTTCAGTTGGGATGGGAGAATAATTTCTTGTACTTGCAGGAGGAACAGTCACTGTACCGTACAGACTGTGGGTACCGTGGACAAGAGAAGAGGTATGTCGGGGAGGAGGGTCGGTTTCCGAGATAGCTTCTTTGGAGCAGCAGCTCTTAAAACAACAAAAGAATTGAGACAAACCGGCAATCTGATTTGAAAACAGAAAAGGATTTTAGAGTGTATAGTGATACCACATTAAGATACAAAAAAAGTAAAGTGGAAGGGAAAAAATGTCAGCCTGCATGTGGGAGCTCCTGGGCTTTTGTAGCAGTTCTCGGGTGGAAACCCCTGCCATGTGTAATTCTTTCTATTCCTCCCCCTTGCGAGGTCGATAGGCTGGATTTGTATAGCATTGACATGATAGTGACGTCCTCACTGCCCCTAAGTGGAGACGAGCTTCAGCTTTCGGACCTCACGATCTATCTTTCACCTCTGATCATTGCTGGATCGGCCACAAGACTGGGTGTCTCGCTGCGCTATAGCATCAGGTGGGGAGCCAAGGGACAATGGCCTCTCCCAAAAACGTGGATGCGATCATTCATCCTTCTTTTGGGACAATCCAAACTTCAACCTTGCAGGGAATGGACTTGGACTAGGCTGGTGGTGAGGTATAATCGACCAATGATGGAAGAAAACATGAGAATGAAGGCGCCTGTAAATTGCGAGCTGCATCCCGTGTCCCAGCTCGTTTGATAGGAACGTGGATCATTTCAAAACTGCCTGCATGAAGATGGAGGTGGCTGGCATATGTGCTCCTCAATGGCCATCGAGACCCATTTTTCTCCAGCAGCGGCACAAGTCTGGAGAAATCATCAACCCACTTCAGCTGAAGGTGAAATGTTCAATCCTTGCTGATAAACTAGTTATCGGAGTGTCCGTTAGTTTCGACAAGATGCATCTCCAGCTGTGACCTTTAGCGCTTGGAGGCGTCCAGAGGCGCAAGTACTGTATGAGGTCTCCGTGCAGGCGTCGTGGCTGGCTGACAAGATGCGACTATCCGCCATGTATGGTAGCGGGTCCTAGGCCCTCTGTCCGTCGCATGGGTAACCAATAGACACGCCTTCGCTGGAAAAGCGGGCATTTCAAACGAACTGTCAATCGATTGGCCTCGAGATTAGCCCGTCCTGACGAGTCATAGACACTTCTCGTGCGGGGAGTTTGCCTGCCATTGCCGATCAATAGAGTGTCAAGAACCATGCATGGTTTCTGACGCAATAGATCCCCTTGATTGTTTGGTGTATATATTAAGTCTGCCTCGATCCGTGCAGCGTAAGCTTCGAATAACATGTACAAGTCGTACATGTTGACACGAGGGAGTTGAAGATGCCTTTCAGCGCTGGCTCGGCGTCATTCCAGCATGGTTTCAGTTTGTTCAACGCGCACCAGGCCAGCGAGGAGTCTGGAATCTCAGTTCCCGAGGAGCTCCGGAGAGATCGAAAAAGGGGGGTGATTGGGTCTATCCCTGTATCTATTCCGACGAGGTGCATTAGATTGATGGGTCGTGTGGAGGTAGAAGAGGAACAGGTGCATCACGGACATTTAGTGGATCCTGAAGAACAGATTCGCTTTCGACAGAGTGGCCCACTTATAACACTAGTTTTGACGATTTATATTACATGTCGATGAACTCGGAAGAAATCCCGCAGGCATGGAAATTGTATATCTGTGTTTCGTTCCTTGAAGTGTTTTCTACAAATCCAAATTTTCTTCGTACTTTTGACAGCTGCAAGTATCTCTTGACAGTCACTTGTAAACTTGGACACGTCACCATTTCTCTTTCAGTGGAATCAATTTCATGGCACTTAGTCTCCCTAATTCCTGTCTGTGTGTAAATTCTTTTGCGCTCCGTATTATGAGGGCGATTATCCACTTAACGATAGGCTGTTTCATCTGATTGACCCGTGAATAAAATGGATCAGCCTGACTCGATCGCGTTGGTGGCGTTTGGTATTGCCGAAGTTGCCGAGAACGAAAGAGTAAACGTCACGATCTCACCACACATCGTGGAATTCCTTTTCGATCATGATTTCTCTGTGCCAAACCTTGAGCTGGTCCAATTACATGTATATGGGATGCCACATACTGTACTCCGGATGCTGCGACGATGGCTTATAAGCTCATGTAATGAGATATACAGACTGTACAGTAGGAGACCCACACGATCCCGGTTGTATCAAGACTGAGCACTCGGTAAGAACCACTGCAGAGTCTGGCACACTTTGCCAGAGTGTAGAGATCAAAGCGCCCAATCCGATCTAGACGGGAGCCCTCCCGCTCCCGTTCCCTCTCGTATCTGAATGTGATGGATACAGCGGGACTGTCGGGTATTTCAGCCGAAACTGTCGTCTCACGTTCTGGTCTATTTTGGTCATGTCAAAGTCTGCATGGTCTGATTCGGACTGATTCGGACTCTATACAGAGTCCTCCGCCCTTAAAAATCCGAGTCTACGTGAAGTGTGTTCCATGATCATCTTGTGCGCAAACGCGAATCAGTGCGGGGAAGACCATTTTCGGATGGTTCGCATTGCCGACAGTTGCCGGTAGATGGTGGCCAATGCGCATAGTATAAACTCTGTACTTTGAGAGATGCATTGGTTCGCATCCATTGGCAGTGTACAGGTAATATGGAGTCCAGATGCAAAGAGCGGTAATGTTACAGTATCTTCCGATCGGATCTCACGGTACTGTGCGCAGATGCCGGAAGTGACTTGTGGGGAATCTGCCCCCTGTTTGACAGGAATTGCATGGCAGGAGTATCCCACACAACAGCTAACCACCTGATTTCATACTCCCGGCCTTGGAGTATGGTTCCAGTGTACAGTGTATGGTTTACAGTTCTCGCATGAATTGGGGTTCGCAAGATGCAGTTCGCTGTAGGTCGCAAGGGCCGGCCCGAAAGGTACCAATCCTACAGAGATATATGGGCCAAGGCTCGTAATGCCCGCGCATCTACAAACTTGTTTGAATAGATGAAGACTGTCCGACTTCCTCCTGTTTGGGATCTAATCATAACGAGACTATAATGACATCAGGCTAACTTGTGAAATCTCGAACAGGTTGATCAGTTGCAACATACCGCACGTGCGACTTGGCCACTTCCGGCCATCACATCGAGCCATCCCTTGCAGACCCGTGGGCAGAGTCTGTCTGGACTACGCATTAGTTCAGACCTGTGTTTCAACCTCACTCCAGCGTCCAGTCTAAGTGCTCGAATCAGGCATGAAGAAAAACCCGTATTTTCATTGAATCGGAATGCATATGCGAATATCAAGTACAAAATAGGAGATAAATTGGATATATACACAAGAACATGAAGGAAATCGCTTCTACTCCGAACGACCAGTCCTCTCAATGCGGATCGGGAGATGTTTTGAAACACAAGCGCGTCTCAAATTCGAGGCTATGCCTAGCCAGACCGGCACGGCCAGGCTGTCGCGATGAGGGAGACATCTACTGCCTGTCTCACACCCCCGAGCCGGTGGTATCCAGGATCCAAACGGTCGCTCCGATCAGACAGCGACCCGTGTTGGATCCTGGCGGGTGGCATAATCTCGTCGCTCGAAGTGCCCGTTCCAAAACAGACACATGGCATGCAAGTATATGAAAATAGATGAAATGATAAATGTGAATGTGCCAGTCGGCTCATGCCGCCGATTCCGTTTTGTTTTTCTCGGCTTCTGGGGAGAAGCGCCAACGGTCCCAGTTCTCCGTCACCCACCAATTGGCGACATACGCGGCATTGTAGAGCCAGTTAAGAGCATCGTCGTCGTAGCGCTTGCTGATCGTCGACGCCAGGTCTGGCAGACTGAAGCGCTCAATCGGACTCAACTCGTCGGGATCTTTGGAGAGATCGGAGAATCGCCATTCAACATCGTTGACCAGGGGAATGACCAGACGGAATTCCGGTCGGGCGGCCGACCGCACCGATAGCCACGAACCGCCAGTGTTCATGACTGTAAAGTGCCAGGCTTGGCGACCGTCTTGCTCGGTGATCTGCGGACGGATCAGAGACTGTCCTTCGTAGAGAGATCGGAGGTCTCGGGCGGCCTTGGTGCTGTCCTCACTGAGGGAAGCTGACTCAATCAGCAAGTCGATGATACTGGGAACGATCTGGCTGCTGATGACGGGGCTGTCAATTTCAATGGGAGGTAACTTGGGGTGGGCAAGCACAATGGGAACCTGGAAACTGCCGATATGGGGGTTGTCGTAGGGAGTAACACCGCCGTCATTGGGAAGAGAGAGACCGTGGTCCCCAGCCATGACGAAGAGGGTCTCATCGGCGATGCCCTTCTCCTCCAGGATGTCGATGATCTCGGACAACCAATCATCCACGTACCCAACCGAGTTCAGGTACCGGTTCAGGTCGTTGTTGGGACCAGCAGTAGAACCCATGATCTCGTCGAAGTCGTCGTTGGGAACTCCCCACGGGTGGTGGGTGGTACTAGTCAGATGAGTGAGGAAGAGACGTTCATGCTTGGCCTCGGCGTCGTCAATGGCATCGCGAATGTATTCACGGAGCTCTTGTTCCACAAATCCGTAGTAGTTCACCTCCTTGGAGGTCACGGGATAATGCTTGGCAGTCGGCTTGGTGATGGTCTCCTTGGTTTGCTTGTCACGGAATCCCAGCACAGGAGTCAACTTCTCCTGGTTGTCATAGGTTTCGGTGACCGACATCATGAACATGGGGTGCCACGGCCACTTGGTGAAGTCGTCCGACTCACTGTTGATATCGGGCTGCTTGCTGAACATGTCGAAGACGTGGGCCAAACATGGCTGATAGACGTGGTGCTCAAACTCGCGGTTAAAGTCGGCGACCAGTGGAGTGAGACCACAGAGACTACCCGCCAGACTCTTCAGAGTGTAGGTTGAGGTGGTAACTGCGTTTTTGGCACTTACACCACCGTAGGCCTTGCGCGGGAAGCGGGTGTTCTCATGGTCAAATCCGTTGGGGAAGCTGGTCAGATACTCGGCCGTGCGAGTGAGGTTGGACAGACGGTCCTCGACCTCAGGAGGGATCTTCTTGTCCTTCCACGTCTCGGCGATGCGCTTGTACATGAACTCATCCTTCTTCAGCGGGAAGATATCAGCACGAGCACTCTCCAGCTTCAAGAATACCACGTGCTTGATCTTGACGTCGCCGCTGGCCAAGGCATTGTGAATCTCCTCCAGCACCGGCTTGTTCAGGTTCGAGATGTGCAATGGATCCTCACGCGGGCTGTAGTGCAGAGCCAAGGGGTCTGTCGGATCCCAGTCTGTGAAACCCTCAGGAGCCGGGTTCGGCATCCATTCCCACCGAGGGGGTGGGTGCAATGCAGAAAGCCCTTCCAAATGATCAAAATATCCAGGCATGCCGGTGGTGTCGACGGGAGAGTTCCGGTGAGCACCCTCGACGATGGTCGTCAAGGGCAGCGTGGTCGAGAGGTACATGTACACTGGGTCCGAGGGTCGCATAAAGCGAAGCAGGAGGAACAGACTGAACAAGGTGAGGACGAGCGCCCGTTGGGGGACCCCATCGGTCACCCGCTTGTTCTCCGGCAGCGGGTTGGGGAGTTGCGTGTTCAGCAAGGTGTCCGATTCCTCCTCGTCGCTGAGGTCCGCATTGTCCTCCAAGGCGATTTGTTCGTAAATTTGGGGATCCGGCAGGATTTCATGACGAGCGCGAGGCCAAACTCGTTGCACAAATGGCTCCACGTGTGGCCACACGCGCGCCGCCATCCATCGGACCGGCCATGCCCACACATGTAGGATTCCTCCGGTGATGGCATGAATCGGACGGGCGGCAAACAGTGACACGGTCAAGAGAATGCCCTCGACAATGAGGAAACCCGTCAAGCCGGTCAGCAGAGTGTGGATGGCGGCGGCGTCGCCGTTGAAGGATTTGGCTTGGCGCCAGTGGATTTCGGCGCCGGTGAACACGTAAAAGGAGGTATTGGCCGAAGCCATGAACGAGACGATCAAACTGTCACTCGATTAGCCTCTTGAATCCCATTGAGGTTGTCGACCGGGGGGGGGGGGGGGGACATTAGGGGCACGTGGACACTTACCTAGCTGGGATGACCACCAAAGCCACCAAGGCGGCTCCAGGTCGCCACGCGATCTTCTGCGCGAAGATGCGGAACAGCAATAGGATCGCAACATCCTGGAAAAAGAAGGTGATTCCCCAGAGGAAGAACCGAGGTGCCGGGAGGGAGTACAAGTGAGCGTAGAGATGCAGACATTTGGCGCTGAACAACGAGAGAAAGGCCAACGTGAAAAAGTAGCGGCGGGCAAAGTCCCATACAGCATCCAGGGTCTCGGCAGGCGAGACACGAACACGACGAATGCCGTGACTCAAGTACGACTGGACAGCATGAACGACTTTCATGATTTATGTACTCGTCCCCGACATGAGAGAGGAAGAAGAAGAGCAGGATCAAGGATAAGAGGATTGGAGAGGGCCAGGGTCGTGTGGAGACAGGGTCGCAGTTGGACCCTCTCCTAGGCCTCGTTTCCCTGGCCTTTTCTCTCCCCTTCCCACTTTTCCCACTTTTCCTCCAATTGCTCCTCTTCAGCCCCCAACCGCCAAGTCTTGGCCCCGCTCCGCCGGATACGTGATTTCCTAAAATATTCTGCCTCTTCTTTCTCTTCTGGGAAATGGTCCACCTGCCACATTACCATGTTGGGCCTTTTTGGATGGGTGTCGCTCTTATTTGAGCCACTCGCATTTGATATCCCCCCGATTGAACCGCAACCTCGTCTGCGTGCTGAGAGTCAACAGGTCATCCCCGCTCATGGCCCCTGGGAAGATATCATCACCGGCGATTACGGTCATCCCCCGGTTCTCCGAATCCATGACCGACAGGGTGTGGTGAAATGGAGTTGGGAACGGGCGGATGTCACGCAGGATCTGCCTCCTCGTATTCGGAGCGGGCTCTACAGCAATGCGAATGATGCGACCGACATGAAATGGATGCGAGGGGGTACGAGTGTCGCCGCCATCTACAGCAGCCTCATCGTCGTCATCAACCATACGCCCGACCAACCCTCCATCGATAAGAAGATCACCTTCGCGCTCAGCAGAGACACTCCGATGCTTTGGAATGCCCACACTCTGGAACCGTTACCAGGGGACCGCCTAGCGGTGGGCACCACCGGCCAGCGGCCCTGGGATGGCATCCAAGTCTACAACATCAGCACGGCCAACCCCCTTGTCGACGAACCTCCGGTCCTACAAACCATCGAGGGCTTACGAGCCATCCACGCCATGATCTGGGATGAACAGGGTCAGATGTTGTGGGCGGCGGGAACCGATGCGGCGGCGGATGGCTCGGATCCGGTGCCTGCCTACGGCGTTATCCAGGGCTACCCATTCGATGCCGCAACAGGTCTCCTGCGTGAAGATGAGGCCTATCGATTCCGATTCCCACACTACTACGATATTGATACTGAATGGGGGCACGGGTACAGCTGGTGGTCAGGACCGCATGACCTTGTGCCTGTCCCCAACGAGCGAGTGTTCCTCGTCTCCAACGACATCGGCCTACATGCGTTTGACATTGCGACGATGCAGTTTACAGCCGCCTACGAGGAAGTCATCGAGAAATATATGCCTGGCTTCGAGTGCACCACCAACGATCGCCATGGGATCAACCGTCAAGGCAAATACGAAGAGTTGCCCCAGTCGGACCTGAAAGGGTTCAGCCTGGCCCCGGATGGCAGCTTCTTATACGTGCAGTCTCTCTGGCAACTCTTCCGCAGCAACCACACGAGTCTGGTTGTGGACGGTGTGCGTCGTGAGATCAGACAAGGCGATGAGATCTACCGGTCGCGTTTCTTTGCGGACATTGATGGCTGGCCCAAACCAAAGACATAGACTGACTTGGCGTGGCTTTTCAACATGGCTTGCGCATTTTACGACATACCTAATCCTGACATATCTATAATCAGCATTTGGACAACGGCACTGCTTAGCGAAGCAAGTTGTGGCGTCCGCCACTTAACCTCGCATTACTGAGGGGAGTTTTGAAGTTCTTCATAGAGTTGGCGTCTGGTTTTCCATTACTTTATTGTCACCATTCTTATATATACAATCAATCACTGTATAAATACTGAGTCCAATGTCTACCCTCCCTAGGCGTACTCGTACTTCGAACCCCAAATGCAGATCACTTCCATAGGGCTCATCTGACTGTATTCTGTTGCCTATGCCAAGCCCTGTGAAAGAGGTGTTGTCGGAGGTTCATTGGTTGTAAATGTCGCGATGTTGCCCCTGTTTCAGCCCGGTTAGTCCCAGTTCCCCTGTCTCACTCCTTAATCTGTGCGCAGTATAGCCCTATGAGATACAAGATTGACATCGCTCGCACCGTTTCCAGAAACTCCTTTTTAATAAGTGTGCTATACCTGTTACAGTAATTGATCAGTGCGGAGGACAGCTGTCAAGAACAGTGTGAAATTTGTTATTAGCATGGTCTCTGCAAGCAAGACACTGACACTGCCACCTTGTCATTTACAGCTCAGGCCTTGATCAATCTCTCATGATCGGCCCCAAGTGCTGTCAGGCGCTGTTTACAGAAATACAAACATTGCGCTTGTTCCCGCCCACAAGGCGCAGATGCACGTCCAATCTTAGCCCTGCCAATTGCACAGCCCGCCGCGTATTGACGTAAATCAAACACTAGATAAGTGCATTTGTGTAGTGACTTGGGTGTTCCCAGATAATCCCACAGTTTGATAGTCACCACAGTATCTTATTTTATTCAACATCCATTTATCTGGAATAAATGGATCCCTTCAGCCTCTCCGTCGGTGCTATTGGTATCACACAAACCACTCTATCCAGCATCAGTAAACTTCGAGACATTCTCAATGGTCTCGAAGAAGCGAACGACATTTTGCAAGATGTGACTTTCGAATTAGAAGCTATACACCATCCACTCTCAGCCCTTGAGAATCTCCATGTTTCGGATGAGCCGACATTTCTCGCAGCAAAACGAGATCTGGAGAGAACGGGCGTTGCTGATGCCGTGAACAAATGTGGCCAAGCATGCGACAAGTTTTCAAAGAAGCTTGATAAATGGACGAAACATTCCAATCCCACGGAGGTTTCCCTCAGGGATCGGTTGTCTGTCGGTTTATGGAATCGAGAAAAGATACGGACATTCAGAACGCAGGTCCACTCCTGCCAGTCGATTGTCCAGTTTGCGATTGACAGCGCTCAGTTGTATGTGGCCAAATTAGATACCAGAGAAGATATGCTAATCCTCCGAAGAATCATCTTAGTACGGTCCGAAAGTGCATCCAAAGCTGCACGGCACGAGACCAAGAAACAACTACAAGTTCTCGAAACCGCCATCCAGAAGCACGTTGAGCTCACGACGAAACAACAAGCCGAAGTTTTACAGCGCAGGAGGGATCTTCAAAGTCTAGACGACGAAGATGATGAAGACGACGGCCAGCGACTTCTAACCATCCAGGAGACCAAAGCGCAATCTCATTTCCTTGCAGCCGATCAAGCTGCTTGTGAGGTTGTTTCGCAAATACTCTCTACCTTGGCGGTCCCTCGGGTCAGCACTTACAATACAAATTTCTCTCATAGTCACAACGAGGGTATAAAAATTGGGCACAACACAAGCACGATTACGTGGAATAGCGGTCGCACTTGAGGCAGGGCCATATCATGGATTTCTATGAAGCTTACAGTTATAGGCCATAAGTCTGTTCACAGCTCGGCTATGCTGGAAAAGAATATGAGTAAACCATACCAATGTATTCAGCATGCGCACATGAGCTCGTTTTTTGAAGTCTTAGGGTACATATCCCATGTTGCTATTTGTTATGAAGAGCAAATCTCTCTTTTGCGGGTGGAACTTGATTGGGGTAGTTGAACTGTTCAACAAGATTTCATACAAAGCACATGTGCATCAACGCACCTAGAAGACTATCCACCATGCCATGTGCGGCTCACTATCAAGTTTTGATTTCCTTTGGGTACTGTTGAGAAGATATGATTCAAAGTTATACATAATGTGCTTCATGCCCCGAGGATAGAACCCAGAACCTCAACGGCTGCCTCGTTCTCGGCTTTAGTCATAGCTTTGGCCGTCATTCCAGATAGCAGCACTAACTCCAAGAATTGGCCGTCATGGGGAACGTAGATCTCCAGCTCCTTTTCTCCCGATGTTTTGCTCGGCTGAATAGTCGCAATCTTTGTACCAGAGGTATCGTGTAACTCTAGTATTCTCCCGCTCAACATATTTGTCTTCCATTTCAATCGTCCCGTGAAAGAGGTCTGAAGGCTGAAATGGCCCGACATCTGGCTGAGCCGCATGTCTATTGACTGGCCATGTAGCGTCAGGTGTGATTTTGATGATAGACTTGGAAGCCGAGCGTCGCCAACCATGTCCCATGGACCTGCACCCCAGCCACGAAGTACAACCACATTGGGAGCTTTCTCCTTGCAGATCAAGACCGAGTACGAGGGCGGAGCCTCAATTGGATACCCTGCAGGATGAACTAGGACTTTGGTGGGATCCCATGGTGCCGGTCGGAGTGATAATGAGACAGCTCGTGGGTTTGCTGTGTGGCTGCGAGAGGAAAAGAAGGAGGAACAATGTGCACTCATAGTGGAAGCCGATTAACAATGTTGATAACAGTGAAGAGTAGTGTAGACTGTCGATATCTGGAATATCTTGGTTGGATGTTGTGAATATAAATAATGGTCCCTTGTTGCTTCTCCGATCAGCCCTTATATATTCAAACTATTCTCAGCTCCAAGCAGATCACCCTCACTTGCTGAGCTTCCATGGGAACATGCTGCGCCGGGCTATACAAGTATATGCATTGTAATCGTATTCGAGATGGCATGATCGTCACCAAGTCATTCCCAATTGGGAATCATGATGCGCCGGAGTCTTGGCGGGTCTTCCCCAGAGCTTTTGATGCTTTTCATTGGCTTTGCTGGTCCCTTGGGCTTCAACGTGGCTGTGCGGATGTCATCACAGCATATCGTGGGCGCTCCATATGGCCTTGCCAGGTTGAAAACTACCGGAACAATGCCCCCCTCTCCATTTTTTGAGGCCGGCTCTATCATTGTACCACAACTCTGATCTTGATCATGCCCGGGGTGCCATCCAGTCGTGGCTGTGGCGCTTGCCGCAAAGCAAAGAAGAAGGTTCAGTCCTTGAATCCAATATGGTGGGCCTACATTGACGCATAACCTAGTGTGACCAGCTCAAGCCCGTTTGCTCCCGCTGCATACGTCTGAATATGACGTGTGTTGGAAGCGGACAGCAGCGGTACAAGTTCATGGCCCATCAGCTAGATCGAGGGCAAGCCCAAGGCCGATCTGACGTTCTGCCGAAAGTCTCCAAAAACAGAGTTGTCTTCGTTGACCGACCAGCACAACTATCCAGTACCGAAACAGACCAAGTTGCAGCCAGATTTGTAGGGGCGTTGCAGGTGACCGATATCCGATATGCCCTGGTCTACTATGGACCTTTCTTTCGGGATATTCCCCGACGCCTGGGCAAAAGTGCTGTACTGGACTCGGCTGTCGAAGCCATCTCAACCGCTTATCCGTTTCTTCACACCGGTTCTTACTCACCAACTGCACTCGCGCGCTATGGACAATCTCTACGGGCGCTTCGAGAGTGTTTGAACGATCCAGCGGAGGCTCGGAATTCAAATACGCTATGTGCCGTCTACCTAATCACCATTTGCCAGGTTAGTATTTTTCGATCTCTATCAAATCCACCAACGCAAGAGCTGATCACCCTGAGTATTATAGAGCTGGCTGGGGAGATGTGATGACTCGCTCACAGGCCACAGCGAAGCCATTTCTCATCTTCTTAGAGCCGCTCCACTACATGAATGGAACAGCAGATTCGAGCTTGAGATGGTTCTGATTATGTGTGTACCTATGGTATGTACGAGTCAGGCCATACTCACCGATATCACAGGAACCAGCTAAGACCGGTCCATTCAAATAGATCCTTGAAGGCATTGTTAATCCCCGTGTCAAAATGGACCCAGCATTTTGGGACCTGGCCGCGTCATTCAGAGATCGGATCTTCAAGTTGCAGGAGAACCGCCCCAGACCCTCGACCGAGTTTAAACACCTCGCTATGTTCCCAAATTTCGTTCAAGACCCTGACGCAAACCTTGCCGAGATTGAGAATGCATACCGCAGGCTTAGAGCTGATGCTCAAGTAATGCGACAACGCCTGAGTCAAGTCGAGCAACTCGCTCCGCTGTCCTTCTCATCCCCTGCCGTTGTGGCTCACTCCCAAGCACAAGCAGCATATACCATGGTATCAACCCTGGCTGTGCTCACAAATAGTCTCCTCCGCATCTTTGATCCATGCAATGTCACTCTAGTTAGCGAGTGTATTTTCCTATGTGATGAACTTGCAAACCAGGCCGAGCTAGCAACCTGTTACCGGCCCTTGGGATCAGCTTATATGCCGTTGTGTCTTACTGTCGCTTGGGCTGCATTGAGGGATGAGCCTCGATTGACGCGACTTGAGGCCATTCTCTCCGAATACCAGTCTGACTTTGCACAAGTCCCTTGGATGAGTCGGGCCCAGTGGCTAGCTTCCACTTTTGATAGCCATCGTGTGCGAGTCGCGGCCGAGAAAGCCTTACCACAATCCTCTGGCCTCCACGATACACAGGCCAACATGGCACTTTGTCGTGGGCGTAGACAGCTCCCAGTCAATCCCGAGTCATGCTGTATTCTTTAGCCGTACCACGAGTTGTGCCTTTGGATCTTCAAGATACATACGTTTGGTGTTCGGTCCATGCTTGCATGCTAGCAGTATGGAAAATATGAACATTTCTGCACTTTCGAGGATCAACCGTGGGAGGAAACTATATTGAACTGGAGCACACAAAAAGTCCCTATCTTCAAATAAATTGAGCTGATTCAAGACCAATACTGATTATCGAGGTCCACTGTGGCTTATCTGCATACTTCTTCAATCATTTACATGAACAGTCTAGGACATCTAAGTACATGGTACAATTATGACAACAGATAACGAAACCAGCCTCACCAGTGATTATAACACTGCCGCAAAAATGCTCGCACAATCTAAAATGCATCGCCCGAAGATCCAATGCTTTCCACGCGAATGCCCAAATTGGACATCTTCTTGGTCTCTATGATGCACCGTCCATCAAACAACCACTTGGGAGTTTGCATGTTTTCGGCGATTTTCTCCCAGTCTACCTGCTTCTTGGGAATGTTCTCGCTCAGTTTGTGCACTGGAATGTCACGTCCACTCTCGCGCTGACAGTCTGGGCAATCGGCAGCGCAGTCAGGCTGAGGGATCAACCTGTCCTCAATTGACGTGGTCAAGACTGCGTTCTTGCTCTCCTCTTCTTTGGAAGGCTTGGAGGTTTTGACCTCCTGTGCAATTATGGGAATGGGTTGCGACGCGGCTTTCATGTCTGAAGCAGAAACAGGGTCGCTGTTTCGGAACTCATCAAACTCTGTGACAATGAGAACTGCATTTGAGGAGGCACAGGCCTCGTATGCATCCGAGTAAACCTTCACAGCTCCACCGTCGTCTCTCAAAGCTGGAGGCCCAAAGGACTGGAGTTGGCGAATCTCGCTCTCAATCACGTAAGGGTTGCAGCAAGGGTCAAAGATTGCGATCTCTCCGGGGTTCTCATCAAGTAAGGTCTTGATGATCTCAAGAGCAGGAGCTTCGCGGGTGTCGGAAGTGTTCTTCTTGAAGGCATAGCCTAGCAAGGTAATCTTCTTACCCACCAGGGTGTTGTTAAGGCACTTGATAACACGGCTGGTAAACCGATTGCGCTGATACTCATTCATGGTCACCACCTGGCGCCAGTATGCTCCGACCTCCTTCAGTCCGAGTGATTCGGCAAGATACACGAGACTGAGGACATCCTTCTTGAAGCAGCTGCCGCCAAATCCGATGCCAGCGCGAAGGAACTTGTCACCGACTCGTGAATCCATGCCAATAGAAGCGGAAACCTCATTGATCTCAGCACCTGTGGCCTCGCAAATGGCGGAGATACTGTTGATACTGCTGAGGCGCTGAGCAAGCATAGAGTTAGCCACGAGTTTTGCTAGTTCTGACGACCAGATGTTCGTGGTGATGATCTGGGATCGGTTGACCCAGCCAGCATAAACTTGAGCCAAAGTCTGCGCGGCGACTTGTCCCTGTTCTGTTGTGGCAGAACCGATGATGACTCGGTCGGGGCGCAGGAGATCCTGGATGGCTGTTCCCGCTGCAAGGAACTCTGGGTTTGAGAGGATCTCAAAGTGCGCACTTGGGCGACGAACCGTTATCTATGAGGATGGTCAGTACCAGTATACCACAAACGAGAAGGTGACATACCATCTCCTGAATCATCTGTGCTGTCCTGCAAGGAACAGTCGATTTTTCCACGATAATCGCACCGTTCCTGGCATGTTGCACGACGTCTGCCGCCACGGCCTCAAAGGCTGTCATATCAGTTGCACTACCTGCACCTGAGCCTCGCATCTTAGTGGGAGTGTTGACAGCAATGATGACAATGTCCGACTCGCGGATACACTTGGCAACGTTGGCGGAAAAGAACAAGTTTGGCTTCCTCTCCGGTGAAGCAACTGCACCGGTTGACCCCTCTTCTTGTTGTCCTTTGGCAGCTACTGTTGACTTTCCACCAAGTCCATCTCGTGAAATGCGGACTATTTCGGCAAGACCGGGCTCATAGATGGGAAGATGTTGAGAGTTCCATCGCCGAATCCGACGTTCGTCCTTGTCCACAACGGTAACTCGAAGGTGTGGGTTCTTGTACGCGATGACAGCTGCAGTTGGTCCACCTTTTGAATGTCAGCATTTCTGTCCGGTCGAGAGCTCTGGGGTACGCTTGTTCGATTTGGACCTACCGACATATCCTGCACCAACACAGCAGATACTTCGAACGCGGGGAACCGTGGTGGTAGATTCCGGATCACTTTCATCGGTCACCGTGGTCCTGGTGCCCGTAGACTCTTCGTCGAGCTTGTCTGTTCCGTTCAAACTGTCCTCGGGGGTCGTCGGGATGGTCAAGGTATCAACGGAGATGGCCGTCTCAGAATAGCCGACTGAGCTCGGAACCAATGTCATTCTGGGCAAGTGGAAGACCGTCACGGCCTAGAGAGATGAAAGTGAAAGACGGAGTAGGGGTGAAGCTTCTCAATAAGAGAGACAAATATGCGAGTCCACTCCAAGCCGGAAATAAGGCGGCTTATGGCTAAATTTGGCTCCTTCAAATGCCAAGGTCACATTTGCGAGACCGAAACTAAGGAATCAGAGGATCGGAGAAGAGCATCCTCTCGTACACTATACCAGATACCCCATGAGGAACGGTCCCACGCACCTAGCCACTCCAGATATACCCGATGTACCCCTGTCCGAATTATACCGCTATTGGAAATACGACCGTATTGCATAATCTAGGATTTGAGGATATGATTGTGCACGCTTGTGGAAGCACCCCTTCCTCGTTGCGTTGGGATCGGCGGGGATTCGTGCATGTATTGCTACCGATTCCGATAGTAGTATACGCCTCTATGCAACTGACGTTGCCCCTGCCCTTGAATTCGAGGTTCTGACGATCTGGTTGGAGCGACAGTGACACCATATCGTGCTCCGTTTTCACCACCGGGGGACAAGTCCATCTCGGACCGATCTAAGACAGATCCAGTAAACGAAATGACCGGTGGAGTATTGGTGGAGGCACTGGACTACAAGTGAACTATAAGTAGATTAAATGTAAAGACGATAAGAGTCGAAGAAACGTGAAATCGTATTACCAAACCAATGCGCTTGGCGGGCCCGCCCGCGGACGAATCCCAGGGCTTCTGTTGGACATGTGCTGAAAGAACTCCGATACATCCATTGCGCCCCTTCTTTTTGGGTGATTTGGCCATTTGGGAGGGGAAAAGGGGTCTATCGGAATCCCACTGTTGTCCCTATCTAGTTGCCTACCCAGGGTCTACAGTCTACACCGGATCACTACAAACTTCTTGGCTGGATCGTCGGATCTTCTCTCAGCCTTAAAAAGTCGGTGGGTCTGTCCTGATCCTCGAGGCTAAATGGACGTGGCTTTGGTCGCTGTTCAAATCCAACACCCCCTGGTATATCCAGCCTTATGGCTTTGGTACATTGTCATATTTAGTGTTTTAGTTTACAGGGGATTCGCCACTACCTGTCTTCGCATTCGCATTCCTGAATTTCGACGTGAAGTGCCGGATAAGGCCAACGGGTCGATTCTCTTGGCCATACATGGACTCCCCCGGGTCTGAGAGCAACACGTGCGTTCGGGAATGGTGTTCATCGATCCTCACAGCCCACCCCTTTAGACCCTGGAGCGGAATGATCGTCACCACCAACTGTCTTTGAATTACAGGGATGTGACGCCCCGCGAGATGCCGGTGGTACATACGCTTCGGTGGCTGAGTGGATAGGGGAATAATTGAGTATTATGCGCGTGACCTTCTATGAAATACTATGAAATAGTCCTGTAATGTACAATTTCCCCATCATACCCACTCTAATTTATGACGTGGGGGCGGCTCTTTTCTTGGAATCGAGCTCTGCCTTGCTGTAGGATGCACAGCCAGCCAGTACCAGTAAAATACCTGAGCCGTTTAACCAATCCACGGTGAAATCCTTGAATACGAAAATCCCCATGGCGAGAGTCAGTGCCTGCTTGAGGTTGCCACAAACTGAAATTGTGAGAGCACCTGCAAGCTTGTTAGTCTGGAAAGAAGACACGTTCAGCAAAAACGCTAATAGTCCATTTCCGAGTAAGAACGCAATAGTGCCTGCCGTAGCAAGCTTCGAGGACTCCGTCGCGCGTTGCGACATGGTATCTGCAAAAGCTGGAATCTCTCCAGCAATGATGGCTAGTATCAAAGATTGGATCGCAGCAAGAGGTGACATTCGAAACAGTAGCTCCATGGATGGGAGAGCTAGGGATCCGGTCATGAGTCGGTTGGTGGTTACCGTCTGTGAATGAGTCAGTCAATCTTCACAGCTGATAACCGGAAGAGATCGAAACATACCTTGACAGCGGCAAGAACGACTCCAAAGATAGTCACGAACAGTCCGATAGCGGAGTAGTGATATTCTCCAACTGTGGTCATTCCCGCACCGATGATGATAGGACAGAGGGAAATATAGGTGGCCATGAAATATGAACGACCAAACCAGACTCGATAGATAAGGACAGTGAATATAGGGACGGTGTTGCGAATGATTTGGAAAAAGGCCAAGCTGACAAGAGATCTGCCACGAGGGTTAGCGCCTGAACGCAAGAATAAGCCTCTGCAGCAGAACTTACAACGACAGATTTGACATTGCAATGTTGGCTGTGAAAAGCACCGAAAAGGCCACCAAGATCATATGCTCTTTGCGTCCCAATCGAGACAATTTGAAGTATCCAAGCTTCAACAATCCGAAGGTTCCGACCGATGCGAAAGTGGTGTGTAGACACGTTAGGAGCCAGGGGAATTTGAACTGTTGAACCCGACGGTTAGTTCTGTGACAAGACATGTTCAAAGACGATACTCACAGATCCCAGAATGAGTTTGTTATACATCGTCAGCAGCATGCTGAACAGGAAGTAGGCTCCGAGCCATATAAACTTCACGGTCGTCGGCGTCTGGTATTCAGGCTCTGTGGTGGTCGTTGTGTTCGCATCTTTCTGGTTGGCTTCAAGATCGTCAGATCCTGTAGTTGACAGAGAGTCTTCGTTGGAGAGCAAAGCCAGCTCTGCCTCCTCTTGCTCATGGTTCTTTGAATGACTCATGTTTCCATCGAACCAGTATCACTATGAGGATAGGATATGTTCAACTCGGACTGAAAAGAATGGCGGAGAAAATGTATAAAGACGCACGCGAGGAATGAAGAAGGAAAGTTTTGATCTTCATGGGATCTATTTCCAGCATGCGCCACAAATTGACCTGAATTAGAATGTTCAATACTTTGTACTGTCAATACAAGTGGGGTGGTCGTAATCGTACATGCAGCCCTGAAGGGTCCAACAGTGAGACACGATGGGGTCCGAATCACATTTTGGCTCTTGGCATCTGAAGGCAGCAGTGGATTATGCATTATTTCGTATTATTGCCTTTCGATCTCGTTTGGGGTCCGCACTTGCCGGTGGCTCCGGCATCCTGTACTTTGAGGTCGTATCACGGAAAAGGGGCGAGCGGAAAGGGGGCTGAGGAGTATGTGAGTCCTGATTTCCCGCCTCACACTGGCGGTTTCGTCTCATCTTCCAGCGTGGAAACCCTCGTAAGGCCGGTCTATTGGTCTTGGCTGCGCATAGGACCGATGCCGCCCAGTCACAGCCTCCCTTGAATCTCGGGTACCAAGATTAATAATAGCATTACCTGGGTCTCTTTCTTTTCATCTTTCTTTTGCTTTGACTCTTCTGCGAACCCCAAGCGGTTCATCACTATGATGCTTTTTGCCAGTCGCTGGCAATGGGCGATCTTTGCCGGCTTCATAGTCGTGGCGTTAATCACGCTGCTCCAATATAACCACCCTATCTTAGGAACTCATGTTCGGACACCTATTACAGTATCACTAAACACTGTGAGTTTGTTTTGAGGCATGTTCTGTTTGCCATGAGATGTGCGAAATTAATATTTCAACCAGACCACACCATCCAATCCAGAGGTAGCTTCAGGAACATCCAAGTTCCATTTGCTGATCCCTGCAAATGGACCGCATTTGCAACTATGCAGAGCTGTTGTGTCATCAACCATCCTGGGGTATTCTGTCCCTGTGTTCAACGGTTGGAACAAAACTGGGGAACTAGATGCGTCAATCACCCATTTGGCCAAAGTCCGCAATGTATTGCGGTACTTGAATAACTTACCATCTGCCTCTGATGACGACCTTGTGCTCATGATCGACGGCTATGATGTAGTATTCCAGCTCCCAGCTGATGTCTTGATAGAGCGTTATTTCGCTGTGATTAACGCAGCAAACGCCAAGATTGCCGCTCGTTTCGGCGCAGACTCCATCGAGGCGCTCTCTGGAGTGAATGCTCCCCGGGAGACTATTCTTTTCGGCCCTGAGAAAATCTGTTATCCGGTAGACTGGAGTCGACCTGGATGCTGGGCTGCTCCTGACGACTTGGACATTCCCGTGGGCGCATTCGGTCCAGATGACGGCACCCTGGATCACAATCAAGCCCGATGGCTGAACTCCGGCACCATCATGGGCCCGGTTGGGGATATGAGGAGGCTGTTTGCAGCTACTCTGAAGCGCATCAATGAGACTTATGACCCAGCACATGAATACAGCGACTCAGACCAAAGGTACCTGAGTGATATCTGGGGTGAGCAGGAATATTGGCGCTCTATCGCGAGACATGAGCTCTATTTCCACGATGGAGCGAATTCAACAGACAGATCACCAGCAGGAGATTCCGGCGACACAGCAAGAATCATCCCAACTCGGGTCCCAGGCCAACGCACCGAATTCCACATTGGGATCGACTACAGATCGGAGCTGTTTCAGACACGCGTGGGCTCCGACCAGGTCATTGATCATGTTGCCTTTGATCGCCCTACCCGTGAAAAGTCTGGTCTAGCGACATACGTAACCAAAAACACTATCGAGTCGCCTCATTTCAAGCCTTACTACATCAGATTGCCGGAGAACGTCGTATTTTCTACCTCGCGCCTTCTCAGTGGGATTTCGCAAATGCTCGAAGCCAAACCGGAAGACCTCATTTCCACCATCCGTTTCGGAACGAACTTCGTTACCAAACATGTATATGGCATGTTCCATTGCATCGGTGAAAAGACATATCTTGATGATCTGTGGTATCTGCTGTGGTTCCAGAAATATGCGCAGCCGCTGTTTGAAGCCGCAATTAGATCTGTCAAAGAAGGGAAGAAGATTTCCGACACACCAATTGATGGACGAAAGTGGGATGTTGCCCATGGATACCCCAAGACACCTGAGATGGATTTGCAGGCTGGAGGCGTGTGGGCCGATTTCGATGGTGAATGGTTAAGCTGGGGAGAGCTGTGCCAGCCCTTTGAAGAGGATCTTTTTGGGGACAAGAAATGATCCAAGCATTTCTGCCTGCGGTTGTATTTTTATATCGTTTGAGTGCCGGTCTGCTTGATAGAAACAATGATAAAAAAAGTCGCAGACTCTCATGGCTTTGTATTTCATATTGCAGCTGTCCACTTTCCTGAACTTCAAACAGCATTAACGCCGTCAAAGTTGGCTTGAGATACGCTTTCAATTTGCTAAGCTTTTCCAAAAATCTTATCTACATATGGTCTCAATAGTACGGTCGTGGAAAAAATAGCAGCAGTTACAAAACAATGCTCAACGCTCAAAATAATCCGCCAACTCCTGCTAGTCAAAAATCTCAATCTTCGGGGTGTTGTCTGTGGGTTTTCTTCATTGACTTCCACTGCACAAGCCCTGCGCCGATAAAAGAAAGTAATGCGGCAGCAACAGACACGTAGAATGTCTGCGTGACAGCAATGTTGTACGCATAGAGCACGGATGGGAGAGCCTCTTTGGATAGACGTTGCGACAAGTTGGCTGCACCGCCCTCTATCACCGCACTTGGGTTAAGCTTCGGGGCATATATGGAAATGCTTGCCATAAGACGGTTCTCAAATACAGTCTGAGCAATTGAGATGAATATCGCACCGCTCAGACTCTGTGCAAAAGTAATGATGGCAATTCCGATTGGTATATCATCCAAGGACAGCACGGTCTGGAGAGCATTGATGCACTGTTGGAAGCCGAGCCCTGCACCGACTCCAATGATGACTTGGTATCCAATCCATTTCGCATGGCCGGTATGAATCCCAAAGGTCGTACACAGGCCAGAGCCGATCGTGAGAAACACACTTCCTACGAACATCAAGGGCGTATAGTACCCAACAATATTCACGAGGAGACCCCCTAGGGCAGAACAAACAATCATAGCCACGACCATTGGAAGATTGTTGATTCCGGACTCTGATGCGGAATCTTCTTTGATTGCTTGGAACCAAATGGGAAGCTACAGAGGTGTTAGCGGAGGAAGTATAATGAAGAACTCTAGCCTCACATAGTATCCAAACACAAAAAAGGACCCTCCAAGGAAAGTGGCATGTATCACTGCACCAAGCACATTTCGATTCTTGAGTAGACGAGGTGGCACCGTAGCTTCATCCTGTTTCCAAACCTGGATGAAGCACCACAGAGAACCGAAGACCCCGAATAGGACAAAAAGTGCAATTATTCTTGCATTATGCCAATCATACTTCGTTCCACCCCATTGCAAGCCCAATAGTATTGAGACTATTGCCGGGATGAAGGCCAGAATACCAAGCGGATCCATTCTTTTCAGCTGTCCAAGTGTGTCGAGCCTGGGCTTCATTTTCATCGAATCTTTGAAGCAGAGAACTATCACCAGTCCAGTGAGAGCACCGAATGGTATGTTTATCCAAAAACACCATCTCCAGCTGACATGGTCGGTCAATACTCCACCTAGTCTGCCGCAACGTTAGCTCGCACTCTGGGGATATCTTCTCGGAGTAGAATCTTACAACGGCCCTGTAATGGTCGCAATTCCACTGGTGCTCCCGATGATTCCATAATAAAGTGCACGACGGTGAAGAGGTACACTGTTTGCAAGTACCAGCAAAGCACCCGGAGATAGCCCCCCCGACCCAATACCAGCAATTGCCCTCCCCAAAATCAGGCCTTTCGAAGTCGGAGTCACTGCGCACACCAAGGACCCAATCTCAAACAAGGCCAGGGCGATCATATATGTCCATTTCGTAGAATAGTACGTGTATATCTTGCCGAACGGGAGGGTGACAGCGCATGTCGTCACGAGGTAAGCGCTGGCATACCAAGAAAGGTCACTTATTGAATTGAACTGTTCGGTGATTTTGGGTACCGCGGTGGAGAGGATTGTGTTGTCCTGTCATAGAGAAAAAGCATTGGTGTTAGAGGAACTGCCGATCAAACAAAATGTCCCGCTCAGTATTACCAGGGCAATGCAGAAAGACTGGAAACACAGTCCTATGAGAATTGGAGCAAGTTTCAAAGTCGGTGGATATTCCTGCTTCTCATCGTCGATGCTGTGGTCACTCCCGGTCTCTTTCAACGGGATATCATCTCGATTTGAACAGACTTCATCCCGACAGTCTCTCAAGCTTGGACTGTCTGCCATGAACTGAAATTTTGTTCCCCCAGTTCTTGTTCAAACTGTGGGAGGTCATGAAAGTTTGCTTGTTGTGAAGCATTCGATCCGAAATGTGGTCTGGGTGTTGTTGCAAAATGAAATCTCCGGTCCATGAATCGAAAGACGTATATCGGTTTCTTGTAGGACAGCTACCTGCATTACTACTGCCAGCTGTAACCCATCAAGCTATGCAAGGGATATAGCTTTATCGGTGCTTGGGATCTTTTTTTCCCGGCATTCTTTCCAGGCTACTTGGTATGCAGTAGATTCTATCCCACGAGATGTCCCACTGCTCAGGATAGGTCTCTTTTTTCGAGATAACGTTGATATATTTCTGCCTTTTGAGTTAGCTCGGTTGAAAAGATCAATCATTTCCACACATTTAGGCATTTCAACGCTGTTCAATGTCATGTTGATCACAGCCAACTTTATCAACATCTACCCCTGCATTCCACAGATATTGTAACCTCGCGAGAAACTGGTACCAGCTGCTCTCTCCATTTGTGCAGGTTTAATTATCAAATTTGTCAACGTGGGTGCTGCCATGGAGGGCGCTTCGTCATTATAGTTGGAAAGACCTGTGACATCAAATCCCAGATCTATAAATATCATGGACTCGCTGACTCCCACTTTTCGCTCTTGAAAAATATGATGACTTTTCTATTTACGGTGTAGGAATAGGGAACAACCCATGTCAACACTTTATATTTGTCACAATGTGACATAGGGAATCAAGATCCAAGCCTATGTGTAACCCGGTGGCCCAGAGTACTAGTTTGAATCTACGCTCAAACTTCATGAGAGTAAGTTTATATGTGAGAAACTACTGCAGTCAGCGCATTATATTGCAATGAGCTTCTTTGTTTGGAGCATGTAAACAGTTCAATGACAACGCAGGGGCCCGCTCATGCTGCTATGTCCGAGCAGGTTACGTACTACCAAACTTTCACCACCCGGAAGGGATACCGATCGGGTCACATTTCACAAAGGAGAAGTCTTTTCTAAATCAGTTGATGGGATGACTATACGACGTATAATATAGAAATGAAAACTTGGTAAACCCAAACCAGCACTAGCACTGACTATTGAGACTCATCTAAATTAGCAACATGCGATGTCTTTACGGCCGCAGCGGAAAGGCCACAACTTACTAGTAGGTATACTTACATTGACCACACTTTGAAGCCTGTATAGTGTTTTAATGGTGTGAAGGAGGGTACACAGCTTTGACATTCTAAACGGCTCACCAGGAGTGTTAATAGTGACAGCCTGAACCCGGCAAATACATCCAATTACTGTGGAGTTTGGCAATAGCAGGTATTCTCCGAATGCTATTTTTTACAGGGATGAAGGGGCGTACTCAGCAAGAACAGATCCTTGGAAATCCTGTTCCAGGAAAGATTCATGGCGTAGGCTGAAAATTCCCCCAAGGAATGTATGTGAGGTGATTTCCAGATGACCTCCCCGTCCCGGTTTGTTCTGGCTCTAGGTCAATTGTAACCTGCTGAGCTGTGAGTGTGTTTGATCACGACTGGGCTGGTTTCGATCAGGATCGAGCCTTTTGCCCGTATATCCTGTCGCGTCAGCCGTTCAAGACACTGGATCTTAGCGTGTTGGAACTTGCTGTCTTCCGTAACTTGCTCAGCCAATGAGGGCATTCAAATCTCTGTTATTTATTACTTGCTATTTCTTGCTATTTAACGTTATGCTATGCTCATCATTAGTAATCCGCTCATTCGGAGTTACTATAATTCCGGTTCTCAATCCGTATTCATGAATGCAGCACTGACACACCCCCTTAGCAAGCGCAGTGTCGCTGGCTTGCTGCCACCGGGAATAGCTTCATGAATCAGCAAGTCCTCCAACCGGCCCGCCAACCTCTCCCTGGCGTTTTTCCAGCATCCACCAAGTGGCTGATGTCCACCAAGTGAAGCATTTTCTCAAAACGCTCGTGCTGCTGTCTCGGCAGCAATTTCGTGAGGCCGTCGGCTACCATCCTGGCAGTAGGCACCCATTGGATCGAAATCCGGCCTTTCTGCACTTCCTGTCTCAGCCCTAGGTGGTGAATATCTACATGACGGAGCTTGGTGTCGAAGCTAGTATCCTAAGACGTGAGCAAGTTGATCGCTCTCTCATTGTCGCATTCAATGCTAATAACGTGAGAAGGATCGAACCCAATATGATGCAATAGTCGTCTCCACCATTGAAGGTGCTTTCCAGCTTCTGAGAGCCCAAGAAGCTCTGCTTCCGTTGTTGATGTAGTCACCGTCCGTTGTTTGGTGGCTTTCCAGTCCACAGGTCCTCCATAAACCTGACAGATATATCCTGCAGAGCTCTTCCGGTCTGCATGATCTCCATACGACGCGTCACTTGCCAATTGGACGGATTCGATGTCTTCCTGTCGAGATCCATACTCGATTGCGTGGTACCGCGTTGAATAGAGGTAGCTGATCAGTCTATCAGCCGCCTTTTGGTATTGAGGTCCAGGATTCGTCAAGAATTGAGCAAGCTTCGCATTCGCTTTTGCGGCATCCGGTCGGGTTATCGTGGTGGCATACCCGGCCGAGCCAACCCTTTGCTGGTATAGATGCACTGATTAAGCATCTGCCTTGCCGTGATACGGCTCCAATTCATCAAGCGACAGCGGTGTCGAAACCGGTGGCCTATCCGTTAGGTGATACCGGGCCGCGATACTTGATATATAGCTGTCTTGGCATAGCCACAGCTTCTTTAGACGCCGGTCTCTGATAATGTGGATATTCAGAAACCATTCCGCGTCTCCATGATCTGTAAGCTCCCAATGAGCTTCGAGATCTCTTTCCAGTTGATCAGCAAGCTTCCTGACGTTTTGATGACTTGCTATCAATATATCATCGACATAGAAAAAGACGATGATCCCATTCCGATAAATACGCATGGGTCTTCTGGCACTTGACGGAGTCCTAATTTGGTGAGAACTCCGGCTGCTTCTTGCTGCCATAATCGAGGAGATATCCTCAACCCATAAAGCGCCTTTCGGAGCTTCCAGCACTTGCCAGGGGTTCCAAACCCTTCCGGCATTCTGGTATAGACGTCCTTGTCGAGCCTGCTATTCAAGAAAGCAGTGACAGCATCTCGCTGTCGAAGATCAAGATCAAACGCCGCAACAAGTGCGAATATCATCCTTGCTGTTCTTGCTGCTAGTGTAGCAGCCCGCTTTTCATCTGATGATATGGTCTCAAGATCACCTCGGACGCAAATTCTGGCTTTCAGTTTGATAAGGTATCCATCCTGATCAAATTTGTACGCGAAAACCCAGAGAAGTGGAAGTATTTGCTTCCCTCGATCCTTCGGACGATCGATGATATCAATCAATCAATCAATCAAAGTTCTATTAACCTGTTGCAGCCTATCTAGTATCGAATAGCTATGCAGGCGCTTCTTTCCAGTTGAAGCAAGAACTCGTGTCCCGTACGCCTGATCATGCTCCAGTACAGAAGAATGGGCTGGTCTCGAAGCGAGAGAGAACCAGCCCTACATGTAAGCCAAACCCATACCCAAATAAGAAGCCCGTACAAATGAGAGATCCAGTGTTAGGAAGCACTGGATACAAATGAATGCGTGGATGCACCGTCCACCTCCCCTGTCCTCTCACATCCCATGAGACACCCCTCGATCTAGATGCCAGCCAGTCTCTGCTGCAGCAAGATCAAACCCCGTTCTCCGACATCCTCACTTCAGCCTCAATTGCTGATTATCGTTCATCAGGCCGAACATGGGTCTTAATCCAGTCCGGTATAGTATATTCGAATAGCTGAGTGAGGTTCTCTCCTTCCTCAAACGTCGGCGCAGGCGGTGGTGAGTACCCAGCGTCTTCGGGACTCTGCTCCATGATCTCAGGATCTCCAGTTTCGTCATCGGACTCTTCTTGCTGAGTGTGTTGAAACTGAGCAAGTAGGCCGGTTTGATGCATGAATTTGGCGACGTAGCGGATCGCCAGCGGGTCTGACACTAGAGTGTCGTAGTCAGTATGGTTAGAAACCCCGGCCTGAAATAGCTTATCAAAAAGCTCTCTTCTTAGACCACTAAAGGTCTGGCATTGAAGCAAGACGTGCTTCGGGGTCTGAGAGCCTTCTCCACACGGGCATTTGTCCGAATCCGCTGCATTGATCTTGTACAGGAAGTGCCGCAGCGCAATACGCATTGAGCGTATCTGTATCATGATCGATGAGCGGGGTTTAGACAGGCCTTCGTATAGACGTAGGACCTTCTTATTCGGCCATTCCACCAAGCGCTTTGTCGGCTGGGCAGTCCTCTCCGCATCCCACTGCTTCCGCCAGCGGTCCTGAATACGGGCCCGAACCATACGCTTGGCGGCGGCAGCAAGTCGGATCGTCGGTTTATCCGATCCGGCCCCTCCGTCGGTCGCACCTCCCGCACTTTCGATGGCTGCCAGTTTCGCACTGCTATCGGCAACTTCATTGCCAGGCACCCCGTTATGTGCGGGGATCCAGCGGAGGGTAACAAATGTCGATTGTCTCGATCGAAGGGTCCGTACGTGATCGTATATCACCCCGAGGACGTACTGGCCCGACGGTCGTTGTGGGTTCTGGACCGCCTGAATGGCGGCCTGGCTGTCAGAGAAGAGGGTCACCTCTCGAGCCTTTATGGGTTTTGCCTTGTTGTTCTTTATCGCCCTTGCTAGTGCCATCTCAATGCCGCTGAGCTCGGCAGCGTACACCGTGGATTGGCTCTCCGTACCGAGATGTCTGCGGTCTGAGATAACGGTATCACCGTCATGGATGTTGACGGCAGCCGCACCAATGTGGCCTTCAAAGCCACTGCCGTCCGTATATATCAAGGAAGTCTCACTTCCTTCCTCATACCATTTCTTTCGGATGATGGCTTCATGGGTTGCCTTCGCAGCCTCCGAGGGTTCAATGTAACATGAGATACGTCTCTCCCAGGGTGGCAGCACGAATGCGACTCTTTCTTCCCACTTCTCCGCAGGGTCCGTATATGTTTTCGTGTTGAGTTTGAGAGGTCCTTTCTTCCAGACCAATGCTTCTAAGGGTGTCCATCCACCCAGACGTCTTTCGATCGGCTTCCTTGCTATTTTTGCCGTTCGGGGACAGGCCCACTGAGGTCCGGTGAGGATGCGAATGGCGCATTCCTCGATAGACTGTTGTAGGCGCAGTTTCATTGGGAGCAAGAAGAGCTCAATGTCTAATGCAGCAGTGGAGATGCTTTTAAACGCGCCGCTGATCAAAACAGCTGCGCGTTTCTGCAACTTCACTAGCTCATTGACTAGGCGCGTCATTTCCCATGCCGGCATTGAGCGTGCTGCCGGGCAGTACCAAGCAGAGACGCCCCAGAGAGCCTGAGGCACGACAACTGCTTGGTAGAGCTTACGCATAGACATCAATGATGCACCCCACGTAGACCCCGAGATGCCTCGTAAGGCTTCCAGGCTGCCGGCTGCTTTTGCAAGGAGCTTCTTGCGGTGTGTGTTGAAACTGAGTTGTTTATCTAGCCAGACACCGAGGTATTTGGCTTGTTCGACTGGTTGTATAGGCGCTTCCTGGCCCGGCATGCTGACTGGCATACGGTCATGGCCACAGGGGTCATCGTCCGGCACCTCCCAGATGTCGATTTCGGAAGCGTTTGGAGGGGGGCTCGGAAGTATAGGTTCGGAGGGTAGTTGTGGGTTGCTAAAGTGGATAAGCTCGAATTTCTCGGGTGCAAACCTTGCTGCATGCCGCCTGGCCCATTCATCCGCTCTCTCGAGAGCTTTCTCAATAAGCCAGGTGTTTTCTTCGTAGCTGTTAGAAACGGCAATGATACTGGTGTCGTCTACCCAGCCCAACGCCTCTGTCTTGCCGTACGTCGTCGCCAGCGAGCACCTTCTGATTAGGAGCTCGTTGAATAGCAAAAATAGGATTGGTGAGATCGGTGAGCCCTGCGGGATACCCGTCTTGGTCGGAAATGCCTCACTCAAGTGTCCGGGTAGTCGAATTCGTGTGCTTCGGTCGGTGAGGAAGGCTTTGATCCACGGGACGAGCTCTCCGAGGCCGAGAAGTCCAATGTCATGCAGCAGACGCTCATGTGACACGTTATCGTACGCACCAGCAATGTCGAGAAGCAGCATGCTCACTTTCTGCTTGCTTCCCCAGGCAGTGTGCACTCGGTCTAGGATTAGCTGGATGGCATGATCCACCGAGACGCCTTTTCTCCCTCCGAGATGCGTGTCAGGAAGCAGTCGATGCTCTTCAACGGCCCAGGCAATACGGGTAGCAATGATTGCTTCTAGTATCTTACCCAGTGTATTGAGCAGGGCAACTGGCCTGTACGCTTTCGGCAAGCGGTAGTCACGGGGTCCAGCCTTTCTCAGCGTTACTGTGATTGAGGTCTGAAAGTGTTGGGGGTTGTGGCCGGTGCGTATACAAGCGTTGAAAATTGTCAGGACCCTCGACTACTTATGTTGGTACCTGAGGCACGAGTGGTGCCTCAGGAATCGTGGCAGTATAGTACTGCTCACCGCCCGGAAGCTGGGCCAGCCTGTATTTAGTTCATCCCCGCTGACCCTGGGAAGGGTCAGCGTTCAGTCTCTTCTACAATAGAACCCTATTGTACTACACGTCAGCTGAGGCTTCTACTTCGCTTACCTAACTAAACCGGAGACTCTGCGTGGTCTCACAAAAATAGAGAGGAGGGTGTGCATGAAAACGTGGTAGGAAGCTGAATCCTCACTTGCCAGTAGTCTCCAGACCTTATTTGGAATGCCGTCTGGCCCGGGGGCTTTGTTGGGAGGTGCTCGGCGTATTGCGTCAGTGAGTTCTTGCTCCGTGATAGGTGGGAAGGTGATCGTCGTTTTTTGAGGCTGGCTTCGAGAGCTCCCAATGTCTGAGAGATCAGCCTCCGGGGGTGTTGGGAAGAAGGTCTTGCGCAGTGCCTGAACCTTCTCAGTTGTTGATTCGGCAATGCCGTCCGCTGTCTTCAACGGGGGCATGATGCTGCTTTGCTCCTGGCCTCGGTTCCTAGCCCATTTAGACATGCGCCAGAGACCCTGGGGTCCCTGGTTAATGGCCTCTTTCACGAATTCGCGAAAGCCGGTCCTGAGAGTCCGTTTGATCACCCTGCCTTTCTCATTTCTCGCTGATTTATAGACTTCCCAGTCTTCTTCATCGTGGGAAGTCATATAGCGACGGTATAGACGTCGTGTCTCTTTGATGGCTTGCCGACATTCGCCGGTGAAAGACGGGTTGGCGTACTGGCTGGGTCTGGCCCATGGCGTGGATTCTTCGACGCCCCGGTTAATGATCTCTATCAAGTGGTCGACGGCAGCGTCAATTTGCTGTGGCGTATCGAGCTGGTTTAATAATGGAATTCGGAGGTTCGCAGCAACAAATTTGTCGAATTTGTCGGTTTCTATGGCCTTCCAATTGCGGCGTTTAGGCGCGCTGTCGGTAGTGCTGGTGCTGACGTCGAGTATCGTACGTATTGGCAAGTGGTCCGAGTGTGCATGGCATTCGTGGGCTATCTCCGTTGCTAGGAAACGCTCAGATAGGTCATGAGAGCCAAAGACTAGGTCGATCGTAGTCTGGTGGCCGGATTCATCGCGGGTGATTGTGCCGGGGGCCAGCCACAGATCCAAGTCCGCCGAGTCAGTCAGCTCAATTAGAGCATCGGCATTAGCGTCTTGGACTGCATCATCTCCACCCCAAGCGGGGTGATGAAGGTTGAAATCCCCGATCACGATAGTCCTGGACCTTGTTTTTCGGCCGAAAACATCTCCGAGCATGTTGACCGTCTCAACAGACCCTACTGGGCTATATATATTGATAACCCGAAGCTCGTGCTCATCTCGCTCACCATTATTATCCGTCCGAATCCTCACTTCGTGTGCATCTCTTCCATGTACGTGATGCTTCCATTGGAGATGCTTCGAAATCAGCATGCAGACCCGGGTCCTTTCGTCCTGACATTCATTTGTTGACGGATAGACAAGCTCATTTGTTGCTTTCGCTGGGTGATATGTTGTTTCGGTGTACGGGTTGTCCCAGGGCTCTTGAATAGCGATGATGTCGGCTTCCAAAACCCGGGGATTCCGCAGGAAGTCCGCCATAACGACGTCCTTCGATCGATGCACGTTATATTGAAGAATTGTGAGTGTCTTATTCATTGGATACGTTGGTGGAGGTAGGTTCGGCATCGGCATTACTGCCGGTGATATTGCTAAGACTGCTTAGGTCCGAAAAGCTAATGTCGACGTCGAAGCTCTCCCCGTTGTGGGGTTCCTGGTAGTCAGGATTGACGGTTTTTAAAGATCTTCCCCCGTCGGGGCCGAGGCTTCGCGGTTGGTCTAGTGGCTGAAGCTAGGTTGTCGATTTCGAGATGCTTCCTCTTCCGGGTATCGGTTGGCTGGTTCTCCTTGCCGGGGGCTGGCTTGCTAGCCTTTCTTGCCACAGATCCGTTGCTGTTTCTTTCGGCGAGAGCCGATGATGAAGCCGATGGTGGTGGGTTCCACGAGACCTCCGAGTCTTCTGCCGTCCGAGTTTTCCTCTGTTTGTCGATGGGTGCTGAGGTTGTTGAACCCTGAGACGAATGGGATGCTTGTGATGACGATAGGGCCGTGGCTAGACCTTGACATTTCCCATGGGACGCCTCCCATGGGACTGTCCATGGGAATTCCCGTGGGACTAATTTTGGTCCCATGGGAGTGGGTCCATGGGACTAAACATCTATGGGAAATTCCCATGGCGGGACTAGACCCCCGTGGGAACTCCCATGGGAGTTATGGGAATTCCCATGGGACTGTAAACAATGCAAACATTAGCTATCTCGTGACTTGTATAAATAATGCATTTCTTGGCGGTTCCGAACGGTATTTTATTTACAATAGCTTTTTTCTAAATTAAAGATATACTAAATAATCACAAAACTATGGTCAAAATATATCAAAAGTAATAAATATTTGTTAGTCTCAATACTCGCTAAAACACCTTTAAATTACCGTATTTTATTATAATAACTCAGCAATTTATCCATTATTATTATGGAAATAATGTATAGATGGGAAATTTTGTTAGTCCCATGGGAGTCCCACGGGAATTCCCATGGCGGGACCAATTTTTTTTTTTACTCCCATGGGAGTGGGTCCACGGGACTAGACCTCTGTAGGAACTCCCATGGGACTAAGTCCCATGGACATGGGACTAGATTTTCGCTAGTCCCATGGGAAATGTCAAGGTCTAGCCGTGGCCCGACTTCTCGTACGGATCGGCTCCGATCGAGGTGCTCGGAGACTAGGGGGTGCGCGTTTCGACTGGTAGACTCCGGTCTGATTGGTCTGATTGATCTGTTGCGATGGTTGGAAGTCGACTTCCATATCAGTATCCATTTGGAAGCCCTCGGCTTCTCTGTTCTGCTGATTGTCCGGGGTTCTCATAATAGAGACCTCGGAAGGTTGGCTAGCGATGCTTCGGGTTGCAACTATTGTTGCATTACCCCCGGTGGCTACGCTGGCCGGCTTGCTCACTAGCTTGCTCACTGGCTTGCTAGCTGTCTGCTTGGCAGCCGGCTTGCTGGAGCTTGTTTTCTTACTCGAAACTGATTTATTTCGAGGGTTTGTGCTGGCTGTATTGGTAGGTCCACGGCCGCTACCCATGGACGCTACCTCTCTCGGTGTCGGGTCTAAGCCTGAGCTAGACCCCGTCATCCTCTGAGCAGGGTCCGAGATAGAGAGGTAGGCCGGAATCCGGTGATACCGCTCGCGCCGTATCTCTAATTCCTGCACTCTCTCTAACTCCGCTTTATAGTCCGCACACCCGCGTGACCATGCAGCGTGTGCGCCCCCGCAATTGGCGCACTTTCGTTCGATCAGGGTGGCGTCTTTCCTACCGGGGCAATCAGGAGAGACATGACTGCCGGCACAATAGACGCAGGTAGGTTGCTCGGAGCAGGTCCTTCCTATGTGGCCATACTTTTGGCATCGGTGGCATTGACGGATTCGAGCAGCTCGGTCATATAGGACTGTGGTAAGCACGGTGGAGTCCCAGATAGTGTTGTCGATGGCCTTGTTGGCAGCATGCGGCGAGCTGAATTCGACGATCAGGGACCCGGCCTTCTTTCCCTCTGGCAAGACCAGCCATGCAA